TCTTAGTAATAGATAATTATGATAGGTAGATGATCTTATATATTTTAACTTTAAGATCTATTATATTAAAGGAAAAAAGAATATTTAAATAAATATTCTTAATAGATTAAAAGATCTTAATACCAAAGAAGTTAGAAAAGAAAGGGTAATATTCTAGGAAATACCTAACAATATCCTAGTATTATTAACGGTATATCTAACCAAACCATAACATAAATGGGAATAAAGGATCAAGAAAGAAGCCTTATAAATTAAGGATATTTTATCAATATAGGATTTTACCATTAAAGATATAATATCATACAATAGGAAAACCTACATACTGTCAATACTATAGGAAGAATTTGTACAAAAGATACATAAACATCCTCTACATAGACATTTAAGAATCTTTAAAATAATTATATAACTATAGGAAATATATAACTTCCCAGGAATTAAGGGAATAATCAAAAAGATCATCTTAAATTATAACATCTATAATAAGGTTAAAAAAGCTAGATATAAACCATATAGGTTTTTATAATCCATTAAGATTCTAGATAAACCATGGGATACTATTACATAAGATTTTATTATTAAGTTATCCAAATCATAACATCTAATAACCAAAGAGGAATATAATAGCATATGGATTATCACCGATAAACTTACAAGATATGGATATTTTGTACCATTTAAGGAAATCTATATAACCAAAGATTTAGCTTTCAAATTTATTAAAAAGGTCTTTAATAAACATAGGCTATTAAAGAAGATTATTTCAGATAGAGATAAATTTTTTACCTTAAAATTTTAGGTTAGCTTAATGAAAAGGTTAGGGGTTAAATAGAAGCTTTTTATAACAGTTTATCTTCAGATTGATGGCCAAATAGAGTAATTAAATCAGATATTGGAATAATACCTATAAAATTATGTTAACTATAAACAGAATAACTAGGTAAAACTCTTACCATTTGTTGTATCCTTATACAATACTTTAGTCAATAATACCACCAAGATGTTACCATAAGAAATATTATATGAATAATAAGTAAATGTAGAACAGGAATCATTAATAAACAAGGTTACCCCAGAATTAAAAATAATACCATCTAAAATAGAAATATTTGCTATTAGAACCTTAACATTGTAAGCTAAACTTAAACAACACCTCAAATTTCTATAACACAGAATGGCAACATACTATAACAAAAAAAGAATTAAAAAACCAATTCTATATAAAGGAAATAAGGTTTATCTCTTATAAGATAAGTAATACTCTATATTAAAAACATCTTAAATTTAAACCAAGAGATCAAATAAAAAGTTAGATTTTAAGAAACTAGGACCTTTCTTAATTAAGGAGGTCCTTTTAAGAACAAATTATTAATTATAATTATTAATAAATATAAAATTAAGAATTAATATATTTTATATTATTATGTTTAAACCAGTACCTAAAGACACCAAACTTAAAAAAAATGTTAAATTAGAAAAAGATCTAGAAAAATATAACATCAAAGTCATCTATAATTCTAGGATTATTAATGGTTAAATCAAGTATTTTATCAAATAACTTGATTATTTAGAGGAAAATAATATCTAGGAATCACAGGAATATTTTATAAATAAGAAGATCTAGAAGTTAATTAAGGATTTCCACTACCAGAACCCAGATTGACTAACAATGATAAATCAAAGTTTATATCCTCAAGGGAAAAGTTGGAGAAGGGGTTGACCATGGAAGTTACACTAGTTTATACCTTAATGTCATACTGTTGTTCCCCAGCCAGACATTACTCCTTTTTTAACTATTCTTACTCTTCTAGCTCCTCCAGGCTTTGGAAATTATGCTGAAATATTTTCAAGCCTTTTTCTTTTAATAATTTCTTTTATTGCCTAAGCTATTTAATATAAGCTAAGGCCTTAGCTATTTTAATATAAAGGCATTCAAGGGCCTCTTCGGCTTAACGCTCTTAAACGGATAACTATTCTTCTTTATTTTCAAGCCAGGAAAAGGAACTAATAGAGATGCCTATCTTATCACATTAACAACAATATAGAATATATTTACTATACTTCTTAGATATCCTAATTACCATTATATATTTAAGATTATAATCAAAATAATATAAATATGGCATAATATCCATATTAAAACCAATCCTATTAATCTATTTTGAAAACTCTATATATTCCTATTCCTAATTAGTGCATTTACATTTTATGGATGAATTGATAGACATGATAAAAATTAAATTAAAAGGGACCTACCAGGAAAAAAGATCTTTAAAGATAAAGGAATTAAGGAGGGGAAAAATAGTATCACAAACCATACAGGCTTACAAAAGTATAAAACCCCAGAAGAAACCTTTTTCCTTATCAAAATAAGATAGGAATGTATAACACATGATATAGATGAATGTGGATAAGGGTATCCAATTTTATCTAATAAATGTGACATAGATAAATATGGATAAATATATCCAGTTTCATCTAACAAATATAATAAGAGATAAATATAGATAAAAGGATCTAATCTCATCCATAAGGAAGACAGTAATAAAGAATATCTATATAATTACCACAATTCTCCTATATATCTAATCATTTTTTTACATTCTTTAGTTATTAATCTAAAATTATTCTTTTAAGCATAGTGAGAGGACTCTAAACCTCTCTGACAAACAGAACACACTTAACTACTTAATTTACTACTAATACTATTACCTTTAAATCAAGAAAACCCTGGATTAGCCAATCCAGCAATGACTATACCTCTCTGAGGCATAGGTTTGTCACAACTATATAGATTTTTATAATCTATTAAGATTTTAGATAAACCATGGGATATTATTATATAGGATTTTATTATTAAGTTATTTAAATTATAATATCTAATAATTAAGAAGGAATATGATAATATATAGGTTATTATTAATAAATTTATAAAATATGGGTATTTTATGTTATTTAAGGAAACCTATATAGTTGAAGATTTGGTTTTCAAATTTATCAAAAAGGTTTTTAATAAATATAGATTATTAAAGAAGATTATTTCAGATAGAGATAAATTCTTTATCTCGAAATTTTAGGTTGATTTAATAAAAAGATTAGGGATTAAATAGAAGTTTTTTATAATAGCTTATCCTTAGACTGATAGCTAAATAAAATAATTGAATCAAATGCTGAAACAATATCTACAAAATTATATTAATTATAAATAAAATAATTAGATAGAGTTCTTATTATTTATTATATCTTTATATAATATTTTAATAAATAATATTACTAAGATGTCATTATAAAAAGCATTATATGGATAATAAGCAGATATAAAATATAAATTATTAATAAATAAAGTTACCCCAGAATTAAAAATAATATTATTTAAAATAAAAATATTTATTATTAAAATCTTAACATTATAAATTAAATTTAAATAATATTTTGAATTTCTATAATATAGAATGATAACATATTATAATAAAAAAAGAATTAAAGGATTAATTCTATAAAAAGGAGATAAAGTCTATCTCTTATGAGATAAGCAATATTTTATATTAAAAATACCTTAGATTTGAACTAAGAGACCAAATAAGAAATTGAATTTTAAAAAACTAAAATCCTTCTTAATTAAAAAGGTCTTTTCAAGAATAAACTATTGATTATGATTATTAATAAATATAAAATTAAGAACTAATATATTTTATATTATTATATTTGAATCAACATTTAAAGATGTTAAACTTAAAGGAGATATTGAATTAGAAAAGGATCTAAAAGAATATAATATTAAGGCCATTTATGATTCTAGGATTATTAATGATTAAATTAAATATTTTATTAAATGATTTAATTATTTAAAAAAGAATAATACCTAGGAACCATAAAAATATCTTATAAATAATAAAATTTAAAAATTAATTAAGGATTTTTATTACCAGAACCTTAATTAATTGAAGTTAAAAAGGCCTTAATTAATAATAATATTAAATTAAGATTAAAATTTATTTTGGATTAATTAAAGATAGGGGAGACTTTAGAAGTTTTAATAGAAGGAATAATAATTATCTATTATGTTACCTTTATATATTTGATATTTTTTAATTTCTTAATATTAATAAATTCTTTTTGGATTATCTTTATATTTTTTTTATTTAATAAATAATATATTTTTCAGAGATATTATAGATGAAATAATAATTCTTGAAGATAAAATTCTTTAATCTCTTTTTTCAATTTTAGGTAATATTTTTTTTTCCTAATCTAAACTATGGAATTTATGGGAACCTCCCTTTTATTATATAAGATATTAATAATCTGATATTTATGATATTTATGGATACTAAAAATATTTTTATAGATTAAACCTTTATTAAAATAATGAATATATGGTATTATTTTGAAGTTAACTTTTTCAATTTTAAAGATTAGATATTTGTAATAATTAGTGGAAGATAATTTGAGAAAATTATTATGTTTTCTTTTATTAATAAAGATGGATAATATCTTGATGAAATAATGGAAAAAAAAAGAACCTATTAAAGAATTTTTAAGACAAAAAGTTCAAAAAAGAGAAAAATAATATTATAATCTAATAATTTATGATCATATCCTTTTAATCAGGTGGGATATCAAATATCTAATCATAAAGAAACTATGGTAAATAATCTATTCTATTAGTTAATAGAACATAATGCTCTATCTTGTTCCAGAGCAGAATAAAGCAGAGGAGGTGTTACTCTGGTTGACTCTAAAGTAGAAGAGAGCAAAACAAAATGGAAAAAAAGATATTAAATTATATAATCATTAATATTTCCTTTATATTTAATTACTTTTTTTATAAATTCTTTAATTATTAATTTAAAATTATTCTTTTAAATATAATAAAAAAATTCTAAGCTTCTCTGATAAATAGAATATATTTAACCATTTGACCTACTATTAATATTGTTACCTTTAAATCAAGAAACCCCGGATTAACCAATCCAGTAATGACTATACCTCTTTGAGGCATAGGTTCGTCACATGTCGACCTTGTTAAAGTCATCAAGTTCCTTAGGATCTTGTCCTCTCATATTACAGCCCACACCCTCGAAGATGATAAGTGCGCATTGTCATTAATGGGCGACTTCGTTTATAGGTGTACTTGCGGCAATACGAGCGCCACTAGAAGCTTTTCCGAAGCTTTAGAATTATTTGGCTTCCGTTCGGTTCCAAGCTCAGTAAGTGACTTTTTGGGCGGCAGTCTAGCCTATCCATACGCCATTCACTATATACTGCAGCAAAAAGAAGTTAAAAACGGATATCTCGAGTTCTTATACCATATTATGGGAACCTTTGAAGCGAAACTCGACGGACAGCTCGTGAGAAGTAAATGGTGCGAATATCTAGAAGAGGCGCTTAGGGCATCCCGTGGCCGCCTTCACAACTTATCTTACGCAACGACGGGAGGATATGCGGGCCTACTGAAACATCCTAACTTCTTAATGACACTATTGCTATGTTACATCTGGGGCTTCTGGAAACATATCTATTTGCTTCCCGGGGACTTTGCGAAGCTCTACCGGGATCGCCTCAGACCAGCCCTTCTAGCATGGCTATATGTGCTCAAGAGTAGCGGCATTGACCTAGTGGAGTACGGGAAGAATGAGCAGAATATTCTGCTTAAAAATCGCGCGTTATTGTCGCATGAGTGGTGGAACGCGGGCCGTGTTCATAACCAATTAGGGAGTGTGACGCTTCGCAATATTCATTATGGTGCTAATCCAGAGAATTGGGATCTAGAATGGAATGTCAATGAGATACACCCAGAGGTGGCCAAGACGGTCAAGAAGAATGTTTCTTATTCTGTACCGGGCTCTTGGCCACATGAAAATGATTGAGATGGCGAAGATGAAAAGGGGTTGATTAGTAATCATGGCTTCGGCTGACATAATGACTGATTAGGTAGTTTAGCTACGAATTGATTTAGTAATACCCGCTTACATAAGTTATCGTGTATCCAACCGCTATGTAGCTCTGTAATTACAGGTATAGCGCGCTAAAACTCGTGGTAATTTCGCCAGATTTCGGCGCATGGTACCTGGCGCTATGGCGCCTAACCCCTATAATTATAGTGATTGAGCGCCATCTTGATGCACTGAATTGGTTTTTTTTCTCACTGAACGTGCGATTCTATTTTGTTGGCACTCTCGTAAATAAGAGCTGATGGGTAGGTCGGTTTATGTCCACGCATATGTTATACCTAGCTTAAAGTGAAGTTGGATGCGTATGTAATAGTATCGCATTCAAGCTGAGGATATATAGATGATTTATCCCTCCTAGGTCTATCGCATTACTTTCGATCTATAGCGTTAAGGCTGTGTAGCTCCTAGTATGCGCCCTACACACTCGCCAAAGCCAACTCGCTCACCTGGTTTTCCACAGACACCGCGGATTGTGACGGTGTCTCCATCCTTTAGAAAACGGCGCACGTCCATGCCGTAAAGCATGATATCCTTTTTCCCACCTTCACTTTGCTCGAGAAGACTCCCTTTTTCGCGCAGTGAAGGTCCGCTTATCGTTCCTGATCCGAGAAGATCACCAGTTCTCAGAGGACATCCGCCAAGAGAATGATGCGCGATCATTTGGGGGAATGACCAGATGAGATACTTCGAACTTGTTGTACATATCGTCGTCGCATCACCTTGGGGAGCTATATTGTGTTAGCCTTCCTCTCTCAACTGTGTCTTAGCTGATGATACATACTCTCTAGGTCGACTTGTAGTTCAATGTCTAAGATGTTATTTTCCTTGCCTTCATTCAGATAATCCTGTAGTGGTGTCCAATTATCAATTCCCCTAGTGCGGAACGGTTCCAAGGCGTCTGCAAGGACGACCCACGGGCTGATAGTGGTAGCGAAATTCTTCCCGTTAAAAGGTCCCAGCGGGATGTACTCCCAACCCTGAATATCCCGCGCGCTCCAATCATTTAACAGAACGTAACCGAAAATATGATCTTCGGCATTCGTAACTTTGATTGAAGTGCCCATCTCATTGGGGGTCGCGATAAAGCAACCTAGCTCTAATTCAATATCTAGACGTCTACTAGCAGCGGTGGTGGGTTGCTTAGGTTCCGCTGTCGGGTCGAGAAGGATTTGACCAACAGGACGTTTGATTGGTGTACCCGAAACTATGATACTGGATGACCGTCCGTGGTATCCGACCGGAAGATGGGTGTAATTCGGCTGCAGAGCCGTCTGAGGTCCGCGGAACAATGCTCCGACAACATAGGCATGATGAAAACCAGCGTAGAAATCTGTGTAGTCGCCAATAGTCATAGGCAAATGCATCTTAACACTCCGTTGAGGAAGCAGTGCTTTCTCTCGAAGTTCTGCATTATCCTTTAAGACATTGGGTCGGGATGTTTCGGAAGATAGGAGATCCTGGATGATCCCCCGAACCTCCCGATGAACCGGGCGCCCTAAGGCTGCGAACTCGTTTAATGATGGCTTTGAAAAAATTTCATTATGATCTTTTAACGACGGGAATATTTCATTAAAATTCTCATATGATGACAGAGCCTTGAGGTCGAGCACATGAGATCCAATGGCAATTGCGGCGTGTGGCGCGGGGTCGGCAGCGGAGCTGACGATACCAAACGGAATGTTAGCTAGGGAAAATGGAGTATCGGGAGAAACGTCAGGAACCCATGTTGACGCCATGGTGAAAATCGAGGTTGAGTTTCGCCTAGGTGTTACCAAATAAATTATATAAGACGATAGGTTTATATAACAAGTTTATTGTTGATGAGAGTTACTTTCAAGCTTGGGGTTGATCCCGTATCTCTCCCTAAGCTGTTTGCTACCTAGGTAAAGGAGGTACCTAAGTATCTTTTCCGATGTAACACTAATGTATCGGAATCCTGCCCGATACAAGCCACCCCGGCTTTGTGTAACAACCGTATAATTCAATGCTTACATAATATTCAATTGAGTGAATTTTTCGACTTAATGATGTTAGATCCATAATTTTAAAAATAGGGGGGATGATACCGAAATAAACCTCAGTCGTGCTTTCATCTCTACCTATATATAAATTCTATGTATACAATAGCTACTGCTCATACGGAATAAAAATAACTTGAAAATTATATTACGGAAAGCACAGACATGATGTAAGGTTATACCCTGAACGCCTACATGTAGGTAGGTACGTCCGGTACTCATCTGTCGATCGTGTTGCGGCTCAGGGGGGCTACGACCCAACGCCATTCAAACCACTAAGACATAAGCCATTCACAGATATATTTACCCCCATTGCTCCCATCGCCATAAACTCACTCAATCTACCAACAAATACTATTCATTTTGTATCCTACGACGTTCGTTTCCATCGCCTTATTAGGCGTCTATATACTAACTTCTCGAGTACCTACGGCCCTACAACAAGTATTGCGAGCCATGGATTCTCTCGAGGAACCTCCCGATTCTCCTTCTACCGTTGGTGAACCCGAGCCTGTATCCGTTTTCGACCATGCTATTTTATGCAACACCCCGCCATCGGAATTGGCCAAGAAATTTCTAGCATCCTTAGAATATGTTCATTGGAAAACACTGGCAAAGGATGTTGTCGAAGCCGTTGAAGCCGGCCTTGTACCGCCTACTATTTCACACATATTCTTTTGTGTCTGCAAAAAACGGTACGCTATCGCTTACACACTCGATCAACCCGGTTCCGCCACTGCTCGGCGGATCGCTATCACCCACTTCAAAAGATATTACAGATCACGCCATGCTACCAAAATATGGGGGGCGATGGGAGGGACGGATGAGTTTTTTGACTTGATTAACGCCATGTCTGTTCGCGAGGTACGCCATTTTTGTCGCTGCCTCGGCCAATGTACTAAGTCAAAGTCCGACTGGGGACCGCAAGCGAAATGCATAACCACACTATATCAAAAATTATACGATACATATGGCGAGGATGACAAGCCGAAGATACCTGATGCCCGACCTCTTGGTTGTTACTACAAAAAGATGCTGCCGGGCTGTGCACCCGACGTCGTCTTTCAGGCATTATCGAAGCATGGCACCATGAAAAAGTCAAATTGGCTGCCTAACTCCGAGCCATACCGTCAAAATTTCATGGCCGTCATCTTTCCATCTGAAGGGCCAGGGCAGACTATTACCCGCTACAAATTCATTCTTGACAGCAATAATACGTTTTTCTGTCTTAATACCTTGAAACAATTTTCTACTTCCCCCAGATCGCTAAAAACTAACGCCGAAAACCTTGGTCGAGATCTCATACTTCCATTGGCCAGGCGACTTTGTAATCGAAATGAAAAAGACGACCACCAAATACATTTCTACGATTACGTTACTTGTTGTATACAAAAAGAGCGCAGCATCATCGCGTCGTTGGGTTATGAGATCATCTCTTGTGCTATTAAGGCATGGAATCGTGCTCGTGCTCAGCCGGAGATGGAAGCCATGGAAAAACATTTAGAGACAATACTTGATTTCATGAAAAACAAATACCAATGGACGTTGAGCGGTATTGCAGACGAGCTGCAGCATATTAAGCCGGGTCTACGCTTTTCGCTTCTACGGCTCCTGGCTCGGAGGATTAGACCATTCAAAGTGGATATCATCTTCTCTTCTGTAATAGATGATTTAAAGCTCAAAAATCTCGGTAATGATTGGCCTCCAAAGATTTTCCTCCTACTTCCCAGTGGCATATCTCTTTGTTTGTTCCAGAGGCTTTGGGATGTCCATAGAGATGATATGTTCCTAGAAAGAACAGATGAAGGCTGTACAAAACTTGGCGATTCAGACATATTCTCCGCTATCCTACAGTCGCGACATAGAGATAGCGACCCGAGTTTTGTTAATTGGCTTCCCCGGGTGACCAACCTTATAAAGGGTCGAAAGAATATGGCGTTATCGGCGCTTAATTCCGAGAATAGGGCAAGCTTGGTACAATACGTTGTTTTTTTGTCCATTGCAACTAGCTCGTTGGACTTGTACGAAGAGGCAGTGGTTTGGGCGAAACAGTTCCATGAAGATACCTTGGTTATGACACGATTGCTTTCAGGCCAGATTCTATTCACAGATGAAGGGTTGGATTTACTGAGTGCAATTCCGCGGCGTGTAGCCTACGGCACTTCATTGGAGCTTTCGAGAGCAAATGTCGTACGCGCGAACCAAACGATGTTACTTTTGGTAGAAATGGCTTTTGCCTGTCTCCAAGAGCGATCCCATCCCTTCTTCGGTGTAGGAGATGTACTGTCGTTACTTCCTAAAGTCATTCAACGCCGTGCGGAGAGGCTCGAGGAGTGGCAAAAGGTTGTGGAGGTATGTGATTAGGCGATACACGTCTCCGTATGGGAACCAAGCATTACGATGATGATTGAGGCCGAACGGTTTGCTATCAATGAAGGTTTCTCCATGCCGCTCTTAAGATCGCAACAATTCCCTAGTCGTCCTAGGTGCCATATCTCTAGGTTCCTGGACAAATTAGGGGAATCCCGCAACACATTTTGGCAAGAGTATAGAGCGCAAGTTCATCCTACTATGGCGGCAATAAAACCACCATGGCCAAAAGGTCTTCCTATTCAAGATCTTGCACCATGTATACCTGCGGCCTGGAAGGATATGCTATATCTACAATTGAGAGCCGTGGAAATCGTTCTATCACCCGGAGGTGTCTTGTTATCCCACCTACCAACTGACCACGAAACAAAGCAGGCAATAGGATCATTCGTTGATGAGTTCAGATTTGCCCTTCGTATTTTTATTTGCTCGGCACAAGATGATTCTGACCGACAAAAAAGAATATTTCGAGCCTGGGACCATGCCATCACGGAGCTTACTTGTAGCTGCATGTCCAAGGACGAGGCATTATGGTATTGGAGATATTTATTCTGCTCAGTACCTGGAATCAGGCTCCCTGAAAAGGTAGTGGAGCAGTTTGACACACCCGGCTTCAGGTTACCAGCGCATTACGATGATGCTGGTCCCGTCAAGTGGAATCCGAGCTTGATTTTCGGACATTCTTCATTGGTACCAACTGTCATCGAACATTCAGAAAAACACTCTAAGTTTTGTCTGGACTATATGCTGAAGCTTGACGGCTCCGGAGCTATTTATACTCCTCGCTATATTTGTTCAGACTTTGATCCAGGAGTTGAGGATGCGACCAGCTTCGAAACTGGCATCTCAATATGGGATCGTAGGGATTCTTTGACAGCCCTCCGTCCAGCGACGAGGGAAGCTTTTATTGTCGCTATTATGGAGCTCCTTAATTCAAAATATGGACAGGAACCATCGTTGTTTGCGCAGCCATTCCCATCGGCGGACAATGTTAGGTTCCCTGCTCTATATCTCGACCCCATGTTCTTAAGCAAATACGACAAAGTCAACCTAAACTCGGTAATACAGGCTCTCAACGCTCTTTCACCTTCAATACCTATGAAACTTTTTCGAATGCTTATAAGATCGATGATCAAACGCCTGAAGGCCGAGCGAGGGAATAATCAGGAAGTAATTGAAGCTACTATAGCAACCATAAAGGCTCTTTACCGGTCGGATTGTCCTTATGATGCCTACGAGTTTGTGAGACAGCTTATCTTCGAATGTCAGATTGACATTTCATGGCATAGTCACCTCATCAATGCCGCATTCCTTTCTCGTCTATCCGGGAAAGAAGTGAGATGTTTCCTCAACGAATTTTCTGCTGCAATCACGAACAGATTCAGGAGACAACATCGTTTAATGATTTCGAGTGAGCGAAAATGCAAACCATTCGCACCACCGCTAGTTTCTACCCGAACTGTTGGGTTAGTCGCGCAACTTTTGCGCGGTGCTAGATTTGCTGGGTGGCAACTTGCTTTTACTACACTGTTGTCCCTCTACAAGGTCGCTATATATCCCAGAATGCAAATCGACATCTTAAAAAGTCTTCTAAGTATCAAAAATAACGCCAAAAGCCAATACCTATATGTCGGGGTCGTTTATGTCATTCGAAGTTATGTTGTGCCTTACGTGGCATCTGTCAATGAAATTAATCCGCCACATTTGGAAACATGGCTGAATGATGAAACGGAGAAGCTCCCCTTACCAGAAGTCTATAATGGCAATGGACGAATATTGCCGCCGTTGTTGAAGTTACTCACTCGTGAGACCCGTGTGCCTTCTATTAGACATGGTCTCTCGTCGGATCAAACAGCGTGGATGGAAGACGTCATACTCCCGATTGTCGAGAAATCGACTACCAACCACATAATATGGACTGGTCTATTCTTGAAACGCAATAGGTTTGCCCTCACCACTGACGACCTGCCGCACGTGCCTGTGAATCCAGCATTGCTCATTCATATCTTCGAAGTTAGCCCCAAGCACTTGAGTGGCGATGACTTTCGTAAGATTCGAGATCTAGCAATGATAAATATCAACCCCCCCGAAAATATTGCTGCAGTCAATAAGGCTATTAGAGAAGACCCCAAACTTCTAGATTCCAACGCGGGGAGACATTGGCTTTCCATTTGGGACCTGGAGGAAGGCCCTATGTACTTAGGATTAATCCAAAGTGCTAACATACTACTCCGGTGCGCCGACGATCAATCGGATAAAATATTGGGGTGTATCAAAATCGCAGATTTACGACATTTTCTGTTAAATGCTGCTCGGGAGTACATCTCCACATCCGATGTTTTTGGATTCACCCAGTTTCTGAATAAAGTACTGTCTCACAAGCGAATTATTGGTTTTAAGAACTATCAATGTTTCGTAAGAAATTGCATTCCATTGCTTACGGATATTTACAAGTTCATTGGCTCCTTGCGAACCCCGGAGTGGCGAAATAACCCGAACCGTCAACCTTCGCAACTCCCAGATGCCTTCCCTTTACTGTTGGAAATTGCGCACGCAAATTGCATGTACTCGATCCCGAACCAATTGTCAACTGATGACGCGCTTCGAATCTCTCTCGAGTTCTCGCATATTATTCTAGAATTCATGAGAGGGGACGATCCTAACGATAAACATTGGCAAACCATTAAGCAGGTTATATTAAGAAAATACGACAAGAGGCATTCCTCCTATCTAGCTCAAGCGTTCTGTCCACCGAAGTCAGCATATTACCCTAATTTCATGGCGGTGTATTATGCACGCAACGAACTAGCTATGGAATTCCTTTCACGAGCTTCTACATTCGAAAATGTGATGCTAGTACCGGGAATACCACAAATGCTCCAGGTTTGGAACAACGATGGTGACGAGACGCTTCAGACGGCGGCACGGCTTATAGCTGCTTTCGGGCATCTGAGTAAGTAATCGGAAATATTATGTCTTTTGTGGGTGGCTGTTGGGATCGAGGGATCGTCGTGGCTGTTACACAGAAAACGATAGCCCCTATTGTGTAGGATGGGAATAGTCTGGTATCTTTTTTAAGAAGCGATGTTTCAACGTTAGAAAAAATCGAATAGCGAACTTACTTTATCAAGCGTTTGCCTTTTTCGCCTGGTGGTCCTGTTCGCTGCTATAATAGGAGGTGGCGGTGCATAATGTGGCTAGTGAAACCGCCTCACATATGTGGCGTACCTATTTATAATGTCTACGATCGCAATCCCCGCCTAAGTAACTTAACCTCCTAAGGGTCCTTCATATCGCTAGATATTCGAGATTAAGATGCAGGATCGAAATGATTATACACGATATCTATACTTCTTGGATTATCTACGCGATGTTACCAGGTTCGCGCATCTAACCAGCGCAGCAAGCCACATCGTTCCATAATAACCCCACAGCGAAAAAATCGGAAGTCCGGAATACGAGGTGTTGTGTAATGCATCATCATGATTGGTTTCATCGTTTCAATCGGGAACTTCTTTCATGTTGTACAACCTTCGGAGATAAGGAGGGATCAAGGTACTCCCGTGCCGGTGATGGCGTCAATCCAGCCACCCTCCTTCACACGGCAGCTAAACCGGTTGGGGCCAGGTGCACTAGTAAGCTCGTACAAATATAGATATAGTTTGTGCGCCTCATGTATGGATTGAGAGGGTCTGTACGACCAACGATAAGTATGATTGGATCGATTGTAATTTGATCGGGTGAAAATAGGAACAGACAAGCCACCGTATCAAGGCGCTCGAGAATCTACGACGGCATAACGGCGCTAGAAGAGACCGCGAGTGGGCGCTTGTTGTCGTGTTTTCTATTCAGGCATCATCCCATAGGATGGCAAGGGCGTTACCTAAAGCACAACGGCATAGTCCTCAATATTTCGGGCCCCTCCTCTGTTTTATGGGCCATGATTCGTCATACCAGTCGTAAAGTCTGCTGTTCCCTAGGGTGAATCCATTTTACCAATAGCTTGCTCGATGGTACTACTATTATACTGCTAATTCGTTATCGCAGGGCGTTGTCACGAGAGGTCAATTCCTATCACTAGCGCAAGCCTTCATATGCCCGTGGGTTGAAGCGAAATGAAAAGGCCTGCGATCCTCCTTGAACAGCCTCGGATGGAGCGGCGCCTGTCAAGAGACGAAATGTCTTTCATTTTCATATAAGTAGGGCTGCTAGGCGATACTTTACTTCAGCTTAAAGCAGAATCACCTGCATCTTTCTCTCGGTCGCCATCTCTTTATTACTTTCATTTATAGAACTCGAAATTCATTCGCTACTCGCCAGCGCCCCTCAGAATTACCTGCATATAACTTGGATATTGACATACATAACATTCCGCGGCATTTACGACGTCAGATTGTGATACACACCAACAACCCCAGAAACCGAATATGAAGGTTACTACCGCTCTCTTTTTTGGTTTCATCACCACTCCAATTCTGGCCTATCCCGGCATGGGTAGTGCTATGGCGGAGATACAGACTCGTCATGACTTTGCCCTAGGACGCAGGTCCACGGAGCTACTTGGCGATCTGATTAACGCCGACCAGGGTTCCTTGACGCCATCTGGAACAACCATCAAGTCTATTCTGGAAGGTGGAAGTGCCATTGCGGACAGTAGCACATACACACCTCCCGGGGAACTTGCATCTGACACATGCAAGAAATCTGTTTTGTGCGTCTGGTACTATATCATCCAAGACTTAAGCGGCTCGTTTACGGAAAGTGATGGCTGCACGGATCTAGCCCGGGGCGCCATCCGCCAGGGATTCCATGACGCGGCAACCTGGGATAAGAACTCGGCTTACGGGGGTGCAGATGGATCTCTACTCCTCAATGACGATGAGCTTGCTCGTTCAGAAAACAAAGGTCTCGAGACTATCAGCGCCCAGACTAAGACGTGGTACAATAAGTACAAGGGCTACGGAATAACCATGGCCGACTTGATACAGACCGCTGCGATGACCGCCACTGTATGCTGCCCTGGAGGACCGCGCATCAAATCTTTCATCGGCAGGAAGGATGATAGTCGAGCTGGCCCTACCGACAAACTTCCACTACCCCAACAAGATGCGCAGTACTTGATCGACCTTTTTGCCGCGAAGACATTCACTTCTAATGATCTAGTCGCCCTCATCGGCGCCCACACGGTATCTACACAGAAATTTGTCGATACTAGCCGAAGCGGCGCATCGCAGGACACAACCCCTAGTGTCTGGGATACGAAATTTTACAGTGAGACAATTGCCGGCGATAATAAAACCATCTTGATCTTCCACAGCGACAAGAGCATCTCTACATATTCTTCTACTAAGGATCAGTTTAATACTTTCGCTGGTTCGAACGGCAAGTCTCTTTGGTCTCCTGTGAGTAACAGCTCTCCATGCTATAAGCTATAGTCTGTTATGTATACTAACTTCTGATCTTCTCTTTAGGCATACGCCCAAGCATACTTTCGCATGAGCTTCCTAGGAGTTAATAATCTGAACAACCTCACTGAGATTACGCAAGTCCTTCCTTTGCCCAAATAGGGGTGATCGGATATTGGGATTGGGTTGTTATAGGGATATCACGTTTATTAGAACGTACTATGGAGTTTATGTATAAATCAGAGGTCCGTAAATAACCGCGAAAAGCCGAAGGGATTTAAACATTGCGTCATCAAGGACCCCTCTATTCCACGTGACACCCTTTAGGTGTTACAATGGAGGGGCTTCTTGTTTGCTCGCTCAATCAACTTTTCGATACAAGTTTAAATCTTTTCAATAAGCGGCACCCAATCCGATTTAATTGCGCAATGTGTATAAGTGTTTATTTAATGAGAGTAAAGTGTCCTGGAACTAACTATGTTCTAACCAATCCGACCCCCCCACCTAGTCCCCAGGAAACATGCAAATTCGACCAAATCACTGACCGACACCGACCATAGTAACCAACTCCAAAAGTAAAATGAAGCCAAACCCCGTCAATCTCACAGTCTACACATAAAAGGTAAAGTGAAGGCGGTTGTTCTTGCTAGCCACATCCGGGACTCCAGTACCTCCCTTGATATACGCCTTGTCGTGACCGAGCTGCTTGAACTCCCAATCAACAGCGGCCTGGTTTCCAGGACCCTTCCAGTTTCCCTCAGTACTAGCAAGAGCCTTCTCGCCGCTAGGTTTCTTCTCAACTGCAGCCGCAGGCGCGTCTTTAAGAATATCCTTCGTGAACCCGTTCGACACGTTGGTACCGTCAGTCGAAGCAACGGTAGCGGCACCGTCGCAGCCCTGTTGAAGCGAGATGTCGCCGTGCGCGCGTCCGTCGTCGCTGGCTTTGACTTGGAATTCGCCCCATGTAGCTGGTTGCTGGTCGCCCCGCTGCACACGGCCTTTGAAGGCTAGGGTTAGAGGCACGTGGATGGTCTGGTTGGGGTTCACGTCGACGTGCTTGAGCGGGTGGTCGAAGTTGGCACCGGCGGTGCCGTTGCCGTTCCAGTAGTTGTCGTAGAAGTAGTACGTGTGTTTCTTGGCTGATTTGTTGGTTAGGAGGATACCTGGGCCGTTTGCTTCGGTTGCAGCGGCCTTGATCTCGGGGGCGGGGGAGGGATGCTCTACCGCGGCTTCCTTAACGGAGGTGGCGGAGAAGGCGGCGGCTTGAACGGACTGCCCGGTGAATGGCTTGGAGGGGTTCGGGGCAGCGTTGCCATCCTATAGAATGTGAGTTTCAGGAATACCGAGTACTAGATGAATTGCGCTTACGTTGTAGATGATCAGAATATCCTTTGTGCCGTTGCCGGCCTTGCTCTGCTCATTGTCCGCAGGGTTACCGGTGCTCGGACCCCTGAGAAGCCGTTAGTAACTGTTATCTAGGGGGTAAAACGTTCCGCGTAACACTTACCAAGCACCGACGCCGATGTAGGTTCGGCCGTTAGCGAAAGTTCTCACGAACTCCTCGAGTGCCTGGAGCTCCTTAGGAGGGCCGATACGCTTAACATTGCCCTTGCCATCGAGAAACACATGACTCTTAATTTGATCCTTCTTTGCCTGAGGAAGCTTGTGCCAGGCCGTGTTGCATGCTTGCATGAAGTTCTCAAGGCCCTTGAACTTTCCGGCAGGGTCACCGACCTGTTGGCAGGTCATGTTTCCACCGGCGCCCATGATGTTGCTAATATCGATGGTGTCGTTTCCCATGTAACCATGCTTCATGACCTCACATTGTTCGCCGATAGCGCCATCGTGGACGGCAAGGACCGCGCCGTGGGAACCATCAGGGGCTTCGATGCTAGCCTGGCCGCCCGCCTTGATGGTTAAGTCCTTGTCGCCATTGTAGCCGTGGCATTGGAAGGTTTGGGGGTGGTTAGACCTGTTGTGAATTTTGAGGTAATGCATTTTGACTGATTTTCTAATAGGGTTTGTTCTAATATCGAAGAGATTATTTCATTGAATCGAGAGGAAATCAGTGAGAATTTATATTATAATAGCGCCACGTTCGCTCGACGCTGTCTCTATATAAGCCTCCACCTCCGAGTAGTGGCATGGGGGCCAGAGGGCATAGAGAGGCCTTAGGGTTATTCACCACGTTGTTCATAACCCGAGCCGCGCGGCCGGAATAACCGTCAATTCATCAGCAAGGCTGTATGTTTGACGTCAAGATATCATAGGCATCCATGATCATAGGACTCGTCGGTGCGGCAAAGAAGTCAGTAGCCTGAGACTTCGCCGCAAAGGATTGGTGGTAAGGACAATTCTCTCATATTTCAGCCAAACAACACTAAGTGCAACCAGACAAAATTGCCAAGGTAACACTTCTGAAAGCCTTCGACCTCACATTCACTGAACCAATTCACCATAATTGGATATAACATACGAAGAAGGGATGTCGCTTCATATAGAAGTCTCGTGATAGATTCAATTTTCTCAGTATACTAACTGATGATGAAGTGTGACTATCTGCCATACCCCAATATTATGTCAGTTTCCAGGATGCTGCTGTTACTTAGTGCTAACGAGCTGAACTAACGGAATCAGCCTATGAGAGTAAGCGATTGAAGCAATTCTATCAAGATCTTTACAATTAAAGTCTTCCTATTGCTAACTCTATAGCTTCTGATTGACAATACCATGTTTTGCTCGTTATTTAGAATGTCAGCAAAGGTGAGAAGACACCTAGGTATGGAGGGGCACATCAGATATTGTAAAGGAGAGCTCTACGGTCAGTTTTCACTTGGCCCCTCAATCGAAACCACCTAGGTAACCAACCGACCGGATAAATTTAGACCCTTCTGAAGTATTTCAATTAAAGAGTTGGCTAAGTATATACACAGCCGAAGGACTGAGTCTCAATTCTTCTAATCACCTGAGTGTCAGCTTGAGTTGCGCCTCCGCCTCACCTCAGCTAACCCCCCTGCGGCCCCCGAACTTGCGTTGGTGGCGCTACTCCTTTTATATCACCTAAGTATATATAGAGGACCACATTTCCCCCAAAATCAAAGCCAGTATCGTGATAAATTCACTTATCAGATTCGAACTAGTTGCTATCAGAGCACTTTTACATCTTTCAAAATGGTTATCAAGAAGCGCCAAATCCTCTGGGACTGGACCAACTCCGCTGGTGCGGGAAATCCAGGTGTCCCTGACAAGATCAACCAAGTACCCTTCGGAAACAGTAGCCCCGTCGCATCTGTCGTGAACTGGAATGCCTGGGTTCCCCCTGAGCTTAAGGATAGAGCCCCTTTCAGGCCCATGGTCCGTGTTCTCCAGAGTGCATCCGGCAACGATTGGGCTATGATCGAAAACACTAAATATCCGATTATCCTCTTCTTTAATGAGCCCGAGCGCGCTGGAATATCTCCGGAGCAGGCAAGGGATATCTGGAATAAGCAGATGTTGCCCCTGAGAAAGAACAAGGGGAAGAAGCTCGGTTCGCCGGCGGTTGCCTCTGTATTATACCCCTTTATTCAATTTTACATATAAACTTGGTCGGGCTAATAGAAAATAGGACGATAATGGTCGGAAGTGGATTGAGAAGTTCATGTCGCTTGTTGCGCATAATCCTCCTGACTTTCTCTGCTTGCACTACTACTCTAAGAATGGCGGCGATGCCATCAAGTATATCCAGGACATGCATAACAAGTGGCCCCAGCACAAAGTCGTAAGTACATCAATGTACCCAACATGAAGAACTGTTATGATTAATCGTCTAAAGATGGTTACCGAAATCGCTTGCATTGACCGTAACGCCCAAGCCGTCGTGAACTTCACCGTTCAAGTCTGCAACTGGATGGACGGACAAGACTGGGTTTTCGAGTACGGTCTCTTCGACTTCCAGCGCAAGGTCGCCGATAATTTCATCAGCCCCGCAGCCCAGCTTATGGATGCCAACGGTAACTTTACGGAACTAGGCAAGATGTACGTTCACCAGCAGCCCATGAAGGCGCCGGGTAAGGCCGAAGTCCACGCAGCGGAAATTGCAACCGTTGGACCTGTATCCCACGAACCCAGTGATGCAGTCTTCCACGCCGCTGAGGTTGCTTCAAACGGCGAATTCAGTGTGGCTGCAGCTCTGAGCCCTGATCAACAGAATGCTTTAAACATTCACAACAACAAGCGCAAGGCCAAGGGTCTTAAGCCCCTTATCTGGGACAACCAGCTTGCTAAGAATGCTGAGGCGTATGCCAAGCATCTGGCTCAGATTGGCAAGCTGGAGCATTCGAGTGGTGATCAACGCCCTAACCAGGGTGAGAATCTCGCAGCGTAAGTCATCTCCCACACACATTTAAGTATGCGTCCAATAGAAACGGGGAAAAGTCTAACTTGATCTATAGTGCGTCCGGTTCCAACACGCCCCTAGCTATGGCGGCAAACATGTGGCTCGACGAAGAGAAGAACTACCACGGCGAACCTATTGGACAAGGAAACTTTGGATCCTACGGTCATTATAGTAAGTCTTCACCCTCGGGGCTATGCTGTATCTAAACACATGTTAACTATACCTGCTTTAGCTCAATGCATGTGGAGGTCCACTACGAAGCTTGGGATGGCGTCGGCGAAGGATGCCAAAGGGAGTGTCTATATTGTTGGAAGATACTCGCCTCCTGGAAATGTCGTCGGCCAGAAGCCATACTGACCGATTGATTTCCGCTACTTTCTTATCTAGTTTGGGAGGGGATAAGGAGTCTTGGATGGCTTGGTTGGCTGGCTGGGTACAGGCTGGGAGTTTGTTTAGGCGTTACACAATCACACTCATTTGGTTTCGTTAGGTTAACCACGTAAGATATACCTAGGTATATTCCATTCATTGAATTCACCAATTACTTCCTCACTTGAGGATCAGTACATGAAGCGCTATGAGTTCTTGCATAGCCAAATTATATGTCCCTACCCGAGTCAATGCTTCGTTCTTACAGTCAACAAGTAACACTAACGAACTACGTAGGTACCGAGCTCAGACAATGGAACCAGCTTCTATATATAGCTACCGAGGCCTGTTAATTAGAGCAGTAGGATTTGAGTACCTAGGTAGGTTTACCGGTATTTGACGCAGCTCGCAGTAATCTAATTTCATATACCTTGATACGCGCCTGAGAACAGAAATCAGCTTAATCGATGTAATCAACTAAAATCCGAATTTTTTCGTATCACAGGTGTAAATATGCTTTGTCTCAATTGATTCTGCCGTTGTATTTATCATTAGAATATGATAAAGGGGCTACTATAACAATATCCATTATTTCCGCTTCTAGTACAGCATTTTATTTTTATGCGTCTTTAAGGTTGTTATTGATGACTCTCTCAACTAAGTTCACCATAAAGTAATAAGCTAGGTATGTGTCGCGGTATATATTCCTATGCAGCTGAACCGTCAGAATATTCGATAGTAAGGAATACCTAAGTCAACATGGTGCTACCAGGGGAGATGAACGTGCGGTCTGAGACCGTACAAAAGGCAAGGCAGTTACTAAGCACTTTTCGGAAGAAAAATGAGCAAAGATTTAAGTTTGAATATATTATTGGCGAAGGGTCCCATGGATTCACAACGAGATTTAAAGCCAGGATTATGGAGGTTGATGAATCTGGTCCACCATTATCAGTGCCCAAAATAGAGAGATTTGTGATGAAGAGATCCATCTTGGCGCATGAAGAACACCTAATCCAGCGAGAAATTGATGTTCTAGGGGTAGGTTTATTCGAAATTTTAGTCACCAGGTATCTGATTCTTTCTACAGGCACTCCAAGATTCGGAACACATTCAACAGCTTTACTGGATTAAAGGGGAACCAAGGGCCAGTTACATATCCTACGTAAAGGGACCATCATTGTTAACACACTGGGTCGAGAATGGTACACTTTTGGATATGATACAAGATAGGTTGCCTGAATGGAATGGACCCTTGCCTAATCGATTACTTTGGGGAGTTTTCTTCTGTTGTAAGCATTCCGTTCTAGGTCTAGTTGGAAAATCATGCTAAAATACTACTCTTAGTGGTTCGAATGCTAGTCGCGATGGCTTGGGACGGTGAGGAACGTCCGCCGCGAGATTCCTCAGGCCAACCCCTTCCAGAAACAGGCAGAGTTCATGGGGATTTTCAAAGTGGGAATAGTAAGTGTCTAAGCGCCCCGTATGCTACTTGGCATACAATTTATAGAGACGCCCTTACTCACATGATATAGTTTTGATAGGGGATTTTGACCCCGACGAACATTCCCTTTTCCCTGGACTCGTTCTCTTTGACTTCGGAAGTTCTAATGAGCTTAGTGATGGGTAAGATGCTTCCTGACCCGTTGGGATCTTTGTACTAAGTAACTCATAGTAAACCTCCGAGCACAGCATCCAAAACAAACATATTTAACGCCGGCAGGGTTATGATCGAATTAATAGGGGGTACTGTTAAATGTAGCGGAAAGATGAAAATAGATACGGAAGCAGGAGAAGAAACTATACAATCGTACGCACGAGACTTAGATGGTTTAAATTCGGTATATAAAGTTCCAACTGCTATTGCTAACCGCCAAAAACAGAAATTGGCCAACTTGGACCCGGATCTTAGGAGCCTTATTGCGCGATGTTTAGCGAATGACATTAAGAAGCGGCCAAATCTCGAAGATCTCTACGACGAAGTTGAAAGAAATGTTGAGGAAAAGCAGCAAAAGGACTATGCTGGCAAGGCATCTCACAAAAATGAATCTAACGGTGGGGTACGCAATGTCGCGAAAGAACTCATGGTGCTCCAAGATATTAAATCATCCCTATCAGCGTTACAAATAAATAAGTAGTTGGGTACCTGGACAGTATAGCATAGACACACCACTGTATTACTTAGCCACCCAATGAGTATTACGTATAAAATATAGAAGAAGTGGACATGTATACGATTTATGCGGACAATGTTATACTGTGCATAATTGACTTACCACATAAAGTTCAGTGGGAGATCGTTTCATGAAGATATAAGCAGAATAATTAGATAGACCTTACATAAAATGAAAAATTTATCCTTTTATGAAGGATTATTTAACCCTCCTAGGGGAAGCAGCGCAGCCTTTTGCCTACGTACCTAGGTAATTTACAGATAGTTTAATTGCCGAGGTGCTTCCCGCTGCGAAAGAACTACATACAATTGCAAGTATTTTTCCTAAATTGCTATAGTAAATGGATGTCAGCCCCAGGTGTAGATCACGTGAGTTCTTGCCATAAACTTTTTGGAGCCAGAACTAAGGGCTGTGTTTTCGGCGTTAGTATGTGTCAGTGGTTCAGGGCTCTAATATTATTATTGGTGTAGTGACGCAGCAGATCACTAACAAATACTAATGTCAATATTGCCCCCAATTTTTTTTGACCGCCATTTCCATTTTCCCAGGAAGAGCCTAAGCCTGAGTTCACATAAGCCAGCGTTACCAATAAGTCAATCAGGTCTTATGCGGATCAAATGACTTATTTAACACTTTTTACAAATTAACTTGGACCGAAGTGGATAATTTTTGATCCGGATCAGCTCCGGATTAATGTAATCCCGGATAATCCTAAAAATTTTAATATATGATTTTAAAATCTACTCTTCTTTATTTAACAAATCACTGCCACATTTCGGCGGCCAATGAGATCCTCAGAATCGCCCCGCAGTTCTCGACTTTTTCCTTTCGCGTTCTTTCTCACGACATTTTCTAATGATGCAATTGGTATCAGAGGGTCATGCAAAACGAGCTCTATTCAGCTATCCCAATTATTAGTTTTTTTATATGGTGGCGACGACGATTAATTGATTCTACAAAGAATTCATCGGACGTGCGCGGAGGTGTGGCTAACCAATCATAAGATAGCTAGCTGTGGCGTCTCTCTCTCTCTCCGCCCCTTAAAGGGCAGGTCAGTCAGCTAGTACCTATCTATTCTGATTTCTAAATCATAAGAGCCTTTATGATGAAGATTTCAGTTGACTCTGTATGGCTTTTCCTAACTCGCGAAGACCCTGAATTCGTTCTGTGTGGTCCGAGTTCGAGGACTGCAAGCCACCAGCTACTGCAAGACGGAGTTTGAACGCTTGCCTATCTTCGACGCTCTGGCAGAGTAGAGTTGTTAGTAGATTTAACCACTCTAAAGTTTGATGATCATTCCTTACTTCTTCAATGGTAAACTTAGTCACATATCGTATTACTGTGACTTCCTTTTTTTGGTCCAGTCTGACTACGCGACCGATCGCTTGGCTTTCTACGGATGGGTTCCACTGAGGCTCCAATAAGTGAAGTCGACTGGCGATCGACAGCTGGTTCAAACTAGGTTCTTCCGTTAGATCAAGTATAACCAAGTGCTGACTTTGAAGGAATATCTTACCCAGCCGCCCCAGTCCCTAAAGTCATCAAAAGAACTTTAACCGAAGGATTACGAAATTCGAATAGCATCCGCTGTCTTTGTGCTGTTGGAAGTGAACCATCGATTCGCCTATGGGATATGCCATGCTCCGTCAGAAGATCTGCGACAGAGTCAAGGCTCCTAATCCACGAGGAAAAAACAACACTGAACCAAATGTCAGTTCATGCAGAGTAAACCTGTAGGGTAAAGCCTCTTCCGAACCTTTTCTCCTCATCCTGCATTTTGATATTCTCCAAGAGGGCTTTCAATTTCGAAGAATATTTCCTGCGAATAGAAGCCGTTGGTCTAGGTTTATGCGTCTTCGGAAAGCGGTAACGCTCTAGCGATGCAGCGTTATCGTCGCGACCGGACCTTGAGTTCACCGAGCGCTTTTCTGCGACTTCATGTTCCAGTCGAGAGACGCATTGGGTGCAAATGAGCTCGGGGTTATCTATTGGAGAGCAACTCTCACTATCGAAAACCGTGCTGGAGCGAGATTCACAATAGATACACTCCGTGTCTATCTTCTGCTGGCGCGGGCCGGATGCACCGTTCAGCCCTTCCGATGTCGTTAAATTAGTGCCAATATCGAGACCTAAATTGCAGAAAATCCTCATCTTCAAGAGCGCCTTTAGTATGGGGTTTTTAGCGGAGCCTCGCACATTCTCGCAGCTAATAGCTTTGTCAATCGAACTCTTGCAGTCTAGAGCAAGGCCATTGTAAGTTTGCTGTTCTTCGGAAGACAGATCTATCCTGCAGGTAGTAAAATTAACACCAAGAAGCGAAAGAACCGATGTATTGCGCCTCAGACAGATAGAACCAAGCAATAATCTTAGTTTCTCAAAGTTAGGCTTCACCAAACCACTCGCTGTCTTCTTTCTGCCGATTATGTGCCGCCGGAACTCGGATGGATCTTGAAGGATAGGGACGCGCAAGAACCGAATTAACGAAGCTAAGTCTTCGAGGCGGTTTTGTATGGGTGTTCCGGTCATACACCACCTTATAACCGCATCAAGTTGCATGACAGCTTTGAACTGCTTCGTCGGCCAGTTCCGGATAAAATGTGCTACATACGGTTTAGCATTAGGGCCTCTCTGCTAATATACAGTACATACCTTCGTCTAGGACTAAACGATACCATTTGAAACTATAAAGAATCCCACCACCGCGCCGAAAATCAGCTACCAATGTTCCATATGTAGTTAAGACTATATTATATGGCATGTTTAATGAAGCGGGAAGGTAACGATTAGGCCCATGGTACTTGTAGTAACAAAATGCGCCTGGAATCACATGCCTAGGTAGATTTGTTAGACATTTACTTAGCTAGAGTAGGAAGTAACCTACTTCTCGATCTCTTCAATCCACCCATCAAGTATTACTAGGTCGATTAGAACTTTCTAACGTTTTAAAAGAACCTAGGTAGATGTAAGGATACATACGGGGGGAAGGTACTAATATCAATGTTGAATTTATTGCTTGGCTTTGGAAATTCCCAGGTTCAGTTGTAGACTGAATAGTCGCTGTTGGCGCCGACGCTATTGAAGCAATCATGGTGAGGGTCTTTCCAACCCCCATGGCATCGGCAAGAATACCACCAGGTGCATCGTCGGGCGCGTCGCTAGTCGAACCGGTAATTATATGACGGTAACTAACTAAATCGTAAATATAGAACAATAACAAAAGGACCTGATCGTCACATACAGTTGGATATCTTGGTCTAAGCCACTCAGTTTCCAGAGGCTTCGTAGATTGGCGGTTGCGGGACGTTCTCGCCGAAGGATGAAGTCCACTCCTTCTTTCTGGTGACTACAGGTTGTTTCTTAGCCCTGTACAGAATTTCATTTCCAAAAAACCAACCTTAAAAGAGGAGTCGATATACGTTGATCTATTTTAATTTGTGTGAGGTAATTATGCTGCGGGAGATGGTCGAGTACATAGTTCAGGTCGGTTAGTTGCTCGTTTTCCTCCAACGAGGATGGTGTATCGGGGGTCTCTTCCGACTCGTCAATGCCCTTGATAGCGGGCAAGATAGATCCATTGGAAAAAGATATCCCAGCAATGCTCAGGTATTGTGGATTTTCGTACGGGACACTATCTGGCAATGGCGTCGGATGTTGGAGGAAAAGTCGATATCGAGATAATTCTTTCGCGAGTTGTTCTGCAATAGCCCGAGGCCCAAATATGGAAAAATCAGCGGACGTGGTCGCGATCGGGCTGCTTATGGAAGGTGATTTGGTAGTCGTAGAGATTCGGTTATCGTGATAGGTCGGTTTTATACATCCACTAAAGTATATCTGTTTGATCGAAGTGAGCTTGCTAAGTGCAATGTGAGTCTTCTTGTTTATGGTACCGATAACGATCTCGAGCGAATTGACAATGTCGCATCGATCTTCCGAGAATACCAGTTTAACGGCGGAAATATCTTCGGTTTCCGAGCCACTCGGTATCGGTTTCCGACGGTTAACAACGGGAATCAACTGGACCTGTATGTCACACAACTGCGGTATTTAGTGGAGGCTCCGGACAGGGAACAGATACACATACCATTCCAAAGCATACTTCGTAAGAGGTAGTGTTCGAAGTTTGCCGGAGGTCTTCCACCGAGACGTTATTGAGTCCAATCCCAACTGTTGAACCAAGATTTGCCGACGACATCCCTTCGGCACCTTATAAATAGGTACCTAGGTACATGCTTGACCGCCACATTTCAGGGGTTACTCAGCCACATATCAATCCTCAATGTTTGTGCTTGACGCGCAATCAATCGAGACTTCAAAACAGCAACGACAATGGAGGGATATATACTACGATTGAATTTACTTGAAACTAGAAATACCTTTTGAATTGGGCGTTGTTCCCCTTTGCATTCTAATCAGTCATAATCACTGACAGCCTCGTTGTGTACAGCCCATAGCACAGCCACTCAGCTGCATAACAAATACAACCGTAGTATGCAGGCTTTTCGTTAGGCGAATTGAGAGGAGAGTCTTACCCTCAGCCCCAACAAGATGCTTTCAAAAAAACAAAAAAACAAAAAAAAAACACCCGAAACTCGACGGTTTCGTTGATTCCCCTATCCATGTAATGGTCAAACACCATCGCGATGAGTAGTGGGACCACTGTCAACACTTCGTCATCATCATGCGGGTTCCTCGCTGCATTAGACCGTTTTAAGAAGGCATCGGGGTTAACAAGGGCGGAAGAGGCCGACTTCCAGATGACGACTCTTGATGAGCTTAAGAGTTGTATACGGACCATCCAACAAGACCAGGAACAAAAAAGGAGAATGATGTATATGAGGCGGTTGGATCCGTACCTGCAGACAATGGAGCAATATGGGAAAGTGCTGGATGTTTTCGTGAACACCTCTGAAATCGTAGCTTTCATTTGGGTAAGTATAATAAATGGTTATCACATAGGTAAGATTACGATCGAGGAAGCTAATGGTGTGCTGTAGGGTCCTATGAAGTTCATTCTGCTCGTAAGTGGTCATTAACTCCTGAACAATGCATTTATAACTAAACTGATTTAATAGATTGTAATGACATATTCCGATGCTCTTCACTCTGTATTGGATACGTATCAAGATATTGGGGAACAAATACCTCTTCTCAAGGGTTATCAACAATTTTTTGCCTCAAATGCGCACATGAAGATTGTTCTCGTTCAAATTTACGAAGACATTCTTGAATTTCATAGAGAAACCATTAAATATCTCAAGCAGCGATGTGAGGATAACCAAGGCGTAATAATTTGGATATGTCGCTAATCAACTACAATTACTAGTGTGGAAACAGTTGTTTCAAGCAACTTGGAGGGGATTTACGGTGAAAATTCAACATTTGAAAGATAACTTGAGACGCCATAGGAGCCTCATCGAGAGTCATGCGACAATCGTCCAATTTGAAGAGATTCAAAGACTTCGCGATTGCGCCAAGCGCGAGTTTGAGGCTCACAGTAGAGCTGAGACTGATCGGCGTCGACAAAGAGTCGTCCAATGGCTTTCTGCTTTCAATGCGGAAGGCCTGCAGTGCAAGTATAGGGAAATGAGGTCAATTAGTGGAGATGCTGGTCGCTGGCTTATTACCGACTCACGGTTTCAGAAATGGCTCGATCCGCATCGATGCCAGTGGCCTTTACTATGGATCAACGGCATACCAGGTGCTGGTATGTTTTATGGGTTTCAATATACCGGAGTACCTCGCTGATTAATAATCTAGGCAAAACCATCCTAGCATCTGTTATCGTGGACGAAGTTCGTTGCACTTCTCAAGTATCAAACGCTTTCTTTTATTGCAAATACGGAGACCTCTCTCGAAATACGTTTGTTAGTGTTGCTAGGTCACTGCTGGTACAATTACTCGAGCAGAACAGTCACCTTCTACAGCCCCTTTACGAGAAGGCCTCGATAAGCGGTGAGGTTGAACTTACATCAAAGACTATGGCAAAGGATTTACTTTGCACAGCCTTGAATAGCTGCGGTACAACATACATTATTCTAGATGGCCTGGATGAATGTGGTCGCGAGAGCAGAAAAGAGATCACTACTTGGTTTGAATCAATCATCGATGATCTACCCCCAGCAGACGTAGGCACTATACGTTGCCTTTTCGTGAGTCAGGATGATGGAGTGGCGCGCAAAGACTTTGCACTGGTTCCTTCTATCAAGATCCAGCCCTCAGACAATAAAAGTGATCTGAGGAACTTCGCGGAAGCCTGGCACAAACGCCTGGAGGAAAGATTTGGCACGCTTCGAGGAAATGCACATATCACTAATATTATTTACGCAAGAGCTCAAGGTTAGATGTGTACCTCATTAACAGTTTGCCTAAGTACTAACAGGGCACAGGCATGTTTCTATTTGCAAAGCTGCTAGCTGAGCATTTCTATGGCCAATCGTCAAGAGAAAACTTGCTTCTTGAACTAGATCCAGCAGTTTTGCCCGTAGAACTAGACGATGCGTAAGTTGAAGTCTGCTATAGCGCTTCTCAGGTACCTTTCTCTAACCATGTTAATATATACTTAGCTATTCTCGAATATTACAGCGTATCACCGAAGGCAAATCACAAAATCTCATAGCAGAGATACATAGGATACTCGGTTGGGTTGTATGCGCCCCAAGACCGCTGAGATGGCGGGAGATTCAAGCCACCATATCTTTAGACCTCGAAAATCAGGAGGTCAACCACGAACGCCGGCTACTAGATACCCCCAAGGACCTTTTTGCTTCTCTCGTTGAACTTCAGCCCAACGATACTGTGGACTTAATACATAGTACAGCTCGAGCGTAAGTGGCCTAGACCCCTACCTCTACGACTAATCTAATGCTTAAAATTCATAGGTATCTCATAAGATCAAGTACAACTATCCCAGTGAATACTCATCTTTCGTTGGCATTAACGAGTGTTGGATTCCTTGGATTCCCAGAGATTGACATAAGTAGAACCGAGGAGGAACTTAAGGACGATATTACTGAAGGACGGCTCGCTTTTTACGACTACGCTTCGGCTTGCTGGACAATTCACCTTCAGACAGGAATTCGGCATGAAGAGGGTGGAAAAAAACTTACTCCACTCATCGAGACACTGGAGGCATTTATCGACCTACACTGGTCCAAGACCGCGAAACTTTTGGTAATCTCAAAAACGACCCACGAGGGTCTGAAGCCATTGTCTCAATCCGGATTATATACAAAAATCGCCCAAGCCGTAGGGTGGTCAAAAAAGCAACTAGGCGAAGGCGGGCGGGGACCTTCCGAAGAGGAGGCACTTGACTTACAGCGGATAACATCAAAGCTTAGAGCAGTACTAGAGAAATGCTACTCAACCCTATCGCAGCGCGAAAGAGAGGGACTGGAACAGTTCTACGGTCAGAAATGGTTCAAGTGCCCGAGAATCAACTGCTACTTTTACCACGAAGGATTCAACCGTGGTAACGAAAGAGACGATCACATGGCGAGACACGAGCGGCCCTTTATGTGTATCGTCGATGGTTGTCACATGGCGACTTTCGGATGTGTCACAGAGAGTGCCTTGAAAGCACATCTATTTGAATACCACGGTGTTGATCTTCTTGATGAAATGGAATTCCCTGAACCGAAGAAACCAACTACCAGTTTGTCTAAAAATGAAGCAACCTACAGTTGCTCCCTGTGTGCTAAGAAGTTCACTAGAGCTTTCAATTTAAGGTCTCACATGCGGACACATACAAACGAGAAGCCGTTCGTATGTTCAACATGCGACGAACGGTTCACTCGTAAGAATGATTGTGCCCGCCATGAACGTGGTCATGGGGAAAAGAAATTCAAATGCACGGGCCCGCTGGAAGATGGAACTTCCTGGGGCTGCAAAGCAGCATTTGGTCGTGCTGACAAGTTGGCAAGTCACCTTCGAAGCAAGAACGGGCAGAAATGCATTCGCCCTCTTATTATGCAGGAGTTGCAGAATGGGCGTCGGCCTTCGGATGGAAACGACTTTTTAATCGATCGTTTGGACCTCGACGCGGATAATTTGTTGTCGGCTGGCACTGGACTCCCGACTTTTGCCGAGTTCTTAGATCTCTGTGGGCTTAACAAGTCGATTATTGATCCTGATAAACACGAAGAGCCGGAAGATTCTAAGCATTGAACGTAGACCCTGACTAATACGTCATGATCAACTATTGGGCATTGATTTTCTATGATAGTTTAGCCCGAATCGTACAGTATGAAGCCGTGCTAAATGCACGCCATGCAAATACTCCTTCTTGTACCATTATAGCACTGTAATTTTGAGGTCTTAGAATAAATGAATGAGTACCTAGGTACCTATTACCTAAGTATTTTCCAGGTGTTATGGAATGGCATGCATATGAACCACGTGACGGCCCTTCGCAGAGATTTTGGTTTCAATATCCAGGGCTGTGTTTGTCAAGTTGCTAGGGATGTGGGTCCCGCTGGGTAGGGCAGGGCCTCTGGCATTGATTGGTGCAAAAGGAACCGGCGCTAAACCAAAATAGTAGACATGGTGGTTGCTGCCTCCATGCAGCAGATATCTCCGAGAGCAGAATAGCGTCAGTCCGAGTGCCGACCTTGCGACGAGTGCTGATAGTACGGACTTTTACTGTCCGAATAAAACTACCTAATGTGATAGGCCCAGAGGTGTCTTAGTAACACAGTATCCCACAGTATATGCCATACGGTCGGCACTTGGACTGATGCTATTCTGCACGGTCATGAATACCTAGGTACGTACCTAGCATGTCCGGTTACCCAATCTGAGCAGTTTACTGAGCTGTAAATTAAACTCTGGGTTGGCTAAGGCCCCCCAAAGGATGTTGGAACTTAGGTGTTAGATATGTCGGAAACGGAAGCTCGTCCTACGCCTTGTCATCCTTTCCGACACAAGATACGCCATGTTTAAAATGGTGCTAGTTTGAGGTCCATCTATCCTACAGAACAACCCGAGGTAGCTCCTATTACTATCTAGCATTCATACTCCTAATAGAATAACCGGCGTATCTCGGTGTAGATAGTACGCGCAGTTTCTTCCCATACTTCAACATACCGATAGTTAATAAAAGAATGAGCAGAATAATGATCGAACAGATCAGAAACACATTCCCAATACCGTTGTGATTGATCCATGGTGTAAACACAACGACGAAAATCGTCGCGAGAAGGTTTCGGATGAATATAACGCCAACCATACCGGAAGCTACAGTCTAGGGTTGTGGAAATAGTCAGCGAAAGAGCTCGACCTGGCGCGCGGCTAAGTTGGTGATCATACCTTTGTGTAAGAGTCAGTCATATATGCCAAAACCCCACTACTGATAGGCGCCGTTCCCATAGCAAGGATCAAAAGGCCTGCTGCAAGTATAGGCCAGTTTAATCCGTATTCCAACCCGTATCCGAAAATAAGAAGCCCGGCCGGCACGAAAGGCGTGAAGATCAGCACAATCCATAATCGCATCTCCGGCTCATAGATCCCCTTATTTCTTCGAGAAAGAAATAGGATAAGTCGGTCGCTCGTAGGCCCGATAATCAAAAGGCCGATAGTTGTTCCGATGAAGGATGGTAGACCGCCCATAAGCCCGATTTGCGCAGAGTTGAAATAATAGGGGGCGCCTGGCATATAAGTGGAGACCACCGTCACTGTGATTTGAAACGTGACGGTGACAATTCCGAAGAGTAAGGCGCAGTAGAAAACTGGTGGGATTGTGAATAAAATCAATAGGGGCTATTTTATGGGCATTGATTGTTAGCAATCGGCATTTCTAAGTGAATTTAGGTGCGTCGTCTCAATGCGAAGGTTCTCAGGGGTAGGTGAAAAGGGGGTAAGTGGGGCGTCAAACTCGAGACTCTAACCTGTATACTGAAATACGCATAGTCCCTCCAAGAACCCCCAGAATTCGACCATAAAGCAAGTCTCTGTAGGTAAGCCTTTCTGGATATTTTCGTAGTCGCCGAATCGGAATGCGCTCGATAAACCGAATCATCGGAACTCGAGATTTGACCCTTCTCGACACTTTCGACACTTCCTTCAGGGACACTATTCGATATGGCGTCTTGTTTATCGCCTGACTCTTTCGGCGGTTTTACGCCTCCCTGTCGGTTATTGTGTGCTGTAACTTCGGCGATGGGAATCGCATCGATATTTGGAGCCGCGAACATCGTCTCCTCGTAGAGAAAGACGAACAACACAAGACTAACCCCAATAAGAATCGACATCCACCACCAAACCCATCGCCATCCCTGACCCAGCGTAACATAGCCCGCAGCGACAGGTGAAAGGGAGCCTCCAATAAGTGTCGCCCAGACATATAAACTATTCATCATGCCCCTTTGGTGGATGAAAAAGACGTCCGCAACAGTCATCTGAACAATAACCTCCGCCAGCGATCCCAGAATGCAGTTGAGTACGTTAATCATCATCAAGTCCGCGACGGTCTGAATTTTCGCCGACCAGATGTTGATGCCGAGTTGTCCTGCAAGGCTCAATACGTACACCGGACGTCGGCCGAGCTTCAGAGCAAACGGGATGATTAATAGTGACCCAACGCATAGCGCTCCCGATCCGGCCGCATAGCTATCATTTAGTATATCGTAACTAAAGCCCAGTTCCTCATGCATCGGTTCCCAAGTCGGAGTTATCACATCGATTCTAGAGTTTAAGCATCAGCCAGGATCTTTTACCGACCCATGTATCTATCGGCATGGGGAGTATCGGGAGGTGCCGGTCTTACATGGCAAAAACTATGAAGGTATACCAAAGAACGAGGAAATAATTCAACGCTTTCTCCCAATTCTTCCAATTCTTCGAGACATTAGCAAGTTAGCATAGCTTATGACCTATTTGACGAACTGGTGACCTAACATACCAGTGGATCGTTGGGGTCATTAGTCGGCGCAGGGATTAATTGGATCACACTTTCATTCCGAAGGTTTGCGTTGAGATCTAAGGTACTTGCATGAGATCGTGGTATCCCATGGTCTTGGAAGTAACTGACCTTGAAGGAGAGCGGTTCCCGGCGGCCAAGCGGAATCGTCTCTCATCGTAGCTAGTGTAGGTGATTCTATATCTGATATTCGAACCGATTCCTGCACAACGTAAAAATAGACGTAATATATCAATAGTACTTGATCGTTCACTCTCGACGAGTTGCGCCCACACCCGAAACCATATATACCTCAAAAAGAAAAATTTTGACGACATTGGCGCGGAGAAGAAGCAGTCAGCAGTAAGCATATATGTAATAGTATGGCGATATTCTTATCTTAGCGGTTGTACTACCTAGAGTTGGTCGTAAACCACGATCTCCGAGACATAAGTTGTACAAGAGATAAGGGATGACGATCGGGAGGTCAAGTTGCAGTGCCGGAGGGGCCGATATACTATACTCCAATGATATCTCTAGGAACGTAACGAACCCCATATACTAATCGGTAAGTCGCCCGATTAGATACAGGGTTCCCTCAACTTTCTTCTATAGGTTGGTGTAACCCCGGAGGTATAAATCTTGTAATTGGCATTCCAATCCATGGGTTGGTGATAAGCTGTGAGTGGGTGCATTGTAAAGGGGGGCACGGTGCGCGGAACGGATAGCATCGTCGGCAACGTACGACGAACATCAGAAAACAACATCAAGTCTGAAACTCGACTCCACAAAAGCTCAATTATCGTAGCGCATTTCATATATATCTTTACTTCCGTGCATAATTGAATGAGCATTGCCGACCCTGTAGACGAACGCGGCTAAACGAGTTCGGTTATGTCGACAAATCATGTCATTGCCCTGAGAATAATCCCAGAATCATCTCCAACAAGAGAGTTGGAGGGGCAATGGAAGCCAAGACTGTGTCTTGATATTTTGTAGCATTCCGATGCTTAACTCCAATCTTCATTATTGAAAGTATTTTACTCACGCGACGAGATTGCTGGTAGAAGCACAGAATAACTTCTGGTCGTCAACCATATTACCTCATGGCAGAGAAAATAATATTGGTCAACGGCTGTTTCTTCACGCCGACAAGCGATTCAGAAGATGATCCTCGGTTCTGTGATTGCATGGTAATTGAGGACTCAAAAATCATCCATGTTGGGAAGGAGTCAGACGGCGCCGTGCATTCGGCGTGGCAGAAAGGCGCCGAGATCATAAACCTGGAAGATCGTGTTGTCGTTCCTGGATTTATCGATAGCCACGTTCACCTGTTTGATTTCGGCTTGTCTTTGCAAAAGCTAGACATATCGACATGCGAGTCCCTCGAACAGATTCGGCAAGCCGTTTCCACGTACGCTAAGCTTCATCCCGAGCTTCCGCGACTCCTCTGTAGAGGTTGGCGTCAACACACTACGGATGGATTAGCTCTCGCTAGCATGTTGGATGATATAGATCCTCGGCCTACATTCATCGAGGCATTAGATTGTCACTCCAGTTGGTGCAATACCGCCGCTTTAAATGAGCTTCCCATTGACAAGATCAAGAAAGCCTGTGGAGATAACGTTACTTGTGATTCCAACGGGAAGCCCACCGGCCTGCTCGCGGAAATTGCTCAATTTGGATTTGTAATGCCTCACATCGCGACCACGTACCCCAGCGAAGCGAAGCACACGGCTGTAAAGAAAGGCCTCGAAGCTTATACAAAAGCAGGCTACACAGGGGTCATTGATATGGCGATGGATGCCAACTCTTGGGCTGCGTTTGAACTGTACCGCGATACATATGGCCTCCCAATGCACATCAGTGCGCATTGGTTTATCCATTATGAAGAGGACGAAAAACTTCTACTTCAACATGTGGACGAGGCTATCGCAATGCACAACAAATACCATCCATCCAAGTCGCCCGATTTATGTGTGCTTGGGGTCAAGCTTATCTGCGATGGGGTGATAGATGGTTGTACAGCAGCTCTAAGCCACCCCTACAGTGAAGGGGAGAAACTCGTCGACCCTATATGGCCTAAGCACGCGATTGAGCTAGTCGTCAAGAAAGCCATAGATGCGGGCCTTCAATGCGCTATCCATGCCATCGGAGATGTCACTATAACTCATGCGATAGATGCGATCGCAAACGCAAAGTCTCCTAACGGGCGGCATCGAATCGAACATCTTGAACTCGCCTCGGAAGAGGACGCCAAGCGTCTCGGACAACTAGGCATCACCGCATCGATCCAGCCAGTCCACAGCGATCCCGTGATCTCGGGGGCCTTCCCCAAGCACTTGCAAGAATATTTGCAAAAACGTATTTTCCCATATCGTGAATTTCTCGATGGCGGAGCAAATGTGGCTATCGGAACAGATGCGCCGACGGCAAGGCACTATGCACTGCCCAATTTGTACAACGCCACTACGAGAAAATCTGCCTTGGAGCCTTCGCTACCCGTCAGCCCCAATGCACATAATGTGCTCACTTTATCGCAGGCTGTCACGGCAGCAACATATGGAGCAGCCTACTCGCGATTTGCGGAGACTTGGACTGGGTCGTTGAAACGAGGTCTGCGGGCGGATTTCGTGGTACTTGATACAGCGTGGACACTCGAATCCCTTTTGGAAGCAAAGGTGTATCAGACCTGGGCTGGAGGAAATAAGTTGTATCAGGCCAATTATAAATAGTGTAGTTGTAGTATGATAGATAGATGATGGTTGCATAGGTGAAGGACACGTGATCTACTTAGTCATTATAATTCCCTTTAAGTAGGTTACCTTCTTGCCTACTCAGGTAGATAGACCTTTCTTCCTTAGACACCAAAATATACATCGTCTCGCCCCCATTACTTTGCTTTACTTGTTATATTGTTTTCATTTACGTACGTACCTACCAACAATAGATGTATGATTCATCCTGTTTTCCTTCATTTTGTACCTGGTACCGTATGTCATGGCACGACTAATAGAGCCGTATTTAATGGCTGTTTAGCATGTGGTGTCCCGCAGTTACAGCGACTTAAACGATCGAAGTTGCGATCGTAGGGTGGAAGTTTGGTGCTGTAAAATATATGTACAACGCGAAGAGCTCGCTATTATTTGGGAGGGCTTTAGCGAATAACTCCCTGTAGGTATTTATAGCAGATAGGTTGCCCCCGCCGGTTCCACCGTTGTGAGAGCGCTGGAAGGAAGTTGTAAACACAGCAGGCTTCAGTGAATAGTCCCTTGTAGTTGTAGTGGCTGGACTGCCTGTCAAGCGTCGCGACCGTGCAATCATGCGGGGTAAACCCCACTACAATAGGGGCGAAAGTTCCCAAGGTTGTTATGATTATAACGCCCTATGCCCTGTTCTTATAGGCGTCGCGCATTATTGCCGTCGGGTTCATCCGAAGACCGAACAGACAACATAAAAATAAAATAATGAGTCGCTATACATACCTCTCAATCGGAATGTTTAAAGACGGAACGGGATTTCTCACGTTTAGAGAAAACTTATCGGACACTGCGTTGATTCCGTCGGTTTCCCTTTTTTCAGGCCTAGAAGATCATAAATCTTCCTCCCTGCTGGTTCATCCAACAAGACAATCCACATGAAAGACTTCAACACCTCTTGCATTTCCTTCCATGTCTTGACCTGACACTGGTCGGCGTATTCTTGCATAAGCTCTCTTAACCATGTGTCATCCGCAATATCGAATATCGAAACGGATCCTATTATTAGTAGCCAAAGCATTAACCGAGGAGAGATCCCATCCGTCTTATGAAGGTTAATAATGCAGTTCTTAAAAGTGGTAGCAAAACGATGATAGGGTGGTCGAATGTCTTGCCATTGTAAGAAGATATGATAAGAAAAGGTTAATAGGCCGTGTCGTATAGCTTCATCAATTGAATCGGAGGCGAAATCCATGTGAAGCAGGCGATACATGACCGCGGCCATTGTGCCGTCGATAATCTCCGGGCGGATTAGTCGTTCGGTCTGTGCTCCGAGGTCAACGAGGAGGCAGAACTTTCTCATTACTTGCCAAGCCATCAACAATTCGTTGTCCTCAATCGGAATTGACTCCGTGCCGCGCAATTTGTTGTCAACGACTGGAATCAACTTCTTGGGATACTCCGGTAGTAGTTCCGAAGGTTGTCTATAAAACGTCGGGGCTGAGCCGGTAAGTAATGCGATTCCTATATCGCATCTATGATAGGTCAGCATTTATTTCGCCGATAGGAAATTCTTGTCTTCATTTACCTCACTGCTTCCATCAATAACAATGTGCCTTTGAATACATCCAAGCCCCCTCTTAAGTTGATCATCTTAGAAAGACCCTCCATATGGTGTTTTGACGCTTCACAATTGCCATCGAAATGCGCGACGCTAGCCAGCTTCATAACTGCACTAATCGTAGAATTCGATACTTTAATTATGTCGTCATTCCCTAAAAGCCTCTCGCGAAGAAGTCTAAGTCCTTTCTGGAAGTGCATTATCGCAGCGGGGTTCGTGCTACTCTCCTGGCGGCGCAGCACTCTATCCACAAAACCCTGCACAGCGAACGCTGTGATATGGAGGGTTGTAGGGTCTAGTCCGAACAGATAACTCCATTTCTGGCTATCCTCCTGGAAACCAATAGCTGCTCTCAGCGGGAATATAATACCCGATGCGATAATCGAGACTGGGTATCATATCAAGTTAGCGATGATAAGCTGAAAAATAGAGTCACGAACATCTTGCCATATTTAGAACCATCGACTGTTCCGCCTGTTCGGGAAATTCGATGAAGTAGATATCCGACCCAATACGACCAGGTACCAACGGAGTATAGGTCTCAACAACATCCCGTAACTCTACTCGAGATCTCTGGGTACGGACTGCTATTGTTCCCCAGCCGGCGGCTCGTTTTTCATCCGCACGACGATTCACTTTCTTCGTCCTGCCCTGTCTCGCATGGCTTCGGATAAGTTTCCGAGTGGCTGAATCTGCCTTATCGACATTCGACGATACAATAAACGGCATTCCCTTCGCCGACGAAGCAGAAGGCTTCTTCAATTCGCCCGCGCGTGCCATTTCCAAAGTCTTGGCTTTTCTGGTTGTTTACCTGACATGGTAAAATCTGGATTCGGTGTGTGAAGTTAAAAGGGGATTTGAATTAGAAATGAAACGCTTAACACCGAAATATCCGGAAGGATGCTGCTTACGTACTCCACGATCGGCGTCGTTCCCGAACGCCAAGACAGATCTTGTTTGCCATTTTCGGGATCGTGCCGAAAAGCAACAGGGATCAGGAGATATAGCTTCATAGCTTAGGTCCGTTGGTATCAAGGTAGATATTAATAATAGGTCGGTTTGTAATGAAATCCTGGATGAACGCTCGTAGAAGTTTTTCTATAAGAAGTTTAGAATCCGATTGTAATCATGGCATATCTATTCCCTCTCGCAGACAAACATCACCTGTCGCAATGGCATCTCTACGAAAATCCGTCTTGATCACCGGCTGCACCGACGGCGGCATCGGTGCAGCCCTCGCTGAAGTATTCCACGAGAAAGGCTACCATGTCTTTGCAACCCTACGGAACCTATCTAAACTGCCCCGGACCCTCTCCGGTGCAGCCAATGTGACGCCCCTCAATCTCGACGTGACGTCTTCGGAGTCCATCGCCGCCGCCGTCGAGAGTGTCACCAAAGAAACCGACGGCCGACTCGATATTCTAGTCAACAATAGCGGCGTGAACTTCCCAATGCCAGCTCTAGACACTCCGATCGCTGAGGCCAAGGCACTCTTCGACATTAACTTTTGGGGGGCGCTTGCCATGCTCCAGGCCTTTGCACCTCTTTTGATCAAGGCCAAGGGCTGCCTCGTTAATAACGCGTCTGCGAACGCTATTTCTCCCATGGCGTTTCTGAGTAAGCGTCTACCCATCTGCTCCCTAGCACTTTGAGCTGTCATCCACTAACAATCCAGGTACCTACAATAGTTCCAAGGCCGCTCTGGCCACAGGTAGCGAGACGTGGCGGCACGAGCTTAAACCTCTTGGAGTTCGAACCTTAACCCTTATAACCTGTGCTGTGAGGACTCATAATCACCTCAAGACACCGCGACTCCAGGTCCCCGAAACTTCACACTATTATGCGATCCGGGACTTTATTCACAGCATCTTGGACGGTCGACTCCAGAATAATGCTATTACTGCGAGGCAATATGCAACCAAAGTAGTGCGAGAAATAGAAAAGGGGTCAACAGGAATGGTCTGGGTGGGTACGAGCGCCTCGTTGTTCCATTGGGTATGGTGGCTGTCGCCTAAGTCGATCTTTGTAAGTTTCCCATAATGTTGTATATACGATCCAGGACTAATGAATACCGTAGGACATGGTAATTGAAAGTGTTGTCCCCGCTCAGGGTGAGATGGCGAAAGTCTCGGGAAAGAAAAAGGCCTAGGTAGATCAGAAGCCACTGCACAATGATATCGTACCACATATAAGATGGAGAAACGGGGTTAGGCTGTTATCAAATGTGTTCATCTAGATTGCATCTCCTCTCATGGTAGATATAGTAGATATAGATCGGTATGGGGGTATTTATTACTGGATTGTGCTTTCTAGCAATCTGTCAATATTGTTAGGTTCTTATCTCTACCCCACCAAATTCATCAGTTGGCAATACTCTCAGACCGATTTCGACCTGTAGGTAGTGGCCTACGCAGCCCTTTTATGTCTTATAATGCTCTTTGGTTCTAAGCTCGGCGGCATCCAAGCAGTCTCCCGTCACAGCCGAGTCTCTAGGAATGAGTTTGACCTTAAAGTCTCTAGGAATCGCAACCAACGCCGACTTGATAGCGTTATAATCCACGTAATCGGTATTCGGGGGTTCCGTTTCGCTTGCGACGATCTTGTAGGACGAAATAATGCGTACAAGAGCAGAATACAGGAGTCGGGCTGCGATAAGCCGGCCAGAACAAGCCCGGGCTCCAGCTCCAAAACTTAAATGATTAAGGCCCGCAGATTCTCGCTCCGTTGGAGGGTCAAGGCTATTAAGCCACCTCTCTGGGTCGAACTTGCCGGCGTCGCTTCCAAAGTGATCGATGTCTAGGTACTATCATTAGATCCCACATAGACCTAAGGGCTTAACAAAGACACTACTAACCGTGATTGCCCGCTTGGGCATTGATCAAGACCATCGTCTTAGGGGGGATGATAGCACCATTCCACTCCACTTCCGTTACTGTTTTTCGTGGAAGGCTCATGGCACTCACAGTATAATAGCGGCCGCCTTCTTTGATGATAGCATTGATGTAAGGGATCTTCTCCTGGATGTAGCAATCCGTCCAAGCGTCGCGAACGTTCGGATAGTATCGCTTGATATCGTCATATGCGCGATCCTGCCAAAGTTGACCTTCTTTAGTCGATAATGACCCGATTATGGATATTAGCGTCCCAGGGATCGTCTCAAAACCACCTGAGACTAAAGATAGGCATATTGACGAAACTTCAACTCCTGTAAGCTTGGTTTCTTCGTCCTTCAAAATAGCGGCAGAAATGCAAGGCTTATCGGTTCCTTGCTTGATCATCGCTCGGACTTTATCCAAGAGAAGGTTCAAATATGCATCGCGCCGCTCACGCAATTCTTTGGAACGAGCATTTTTCTCATTATTAGGGAGGTACCTTAATATCGGAACATAATCTTGCAAATTTTCTGATGCGCTGCGCAAGAGCGAGATGGACGAGCCAACGTAGAGAATCTCACGGAGAAGTTCGTCATACACAGCATCCATACGGATACCATAGCACAGGGTCAATGTAGTATTCAGTGCATATCGTTGGATATACGGTCGCACACTGATCTCAAGTTCCCCATCGCGGCTATCCCTGTGGAGATCCCTGACGATGCAATAACTCTCCAGGTCAAACATCGGGTAATAACCTCTTAAGGCTGGTCTGCCGAGAGCTGTCCCAGCGGCTTTTCGCTTCCTTTTACAGCTCTCGTCCCAAGGCGAAGAGCCGATTGTGAAACCTTGGGTGCTGCTGATAACGCCATGGAATGTGTAAAGTTTCGGCCGGTCAATCAACGCGTTCTGGTGGCCCACTAACATTTTCCTGCAATCGTCAAATGAATTGACGACTACGGCGCGTGTGTTCCCCAGTTTGATCTGGAAGACGGAGTGGTTGTATTGGCGCCACCATTTTTCGCAGACGGTAGCGTGGTCTTCACGGAGTTTTAGAAGGTGTCCGAAAAAGGGGATCGCACCGGGAATTTCTGGTAACCCCTTGATATGAGGTATATCCGTGGAGAATGCAGCCTGTCTGAATAAGTATAACGTAGTACGATAGAAAGGAGATATTTACATTCCAAACCCAGTATAAAGCGATCCCGATTGCGATAGTGGCAGATACGTAAGCAGTGTTCTGATATCGGGTGAAGTGTCCTAACGCCAAAAGGTCGGTAATTGAGTGGTATGTAGCCGACATATTGATATAGTTATTGTGCCCATTCAGTCCCAGGACTATTCAGTAATTCAACATGTATACGGTATACCTAATCAAATGTAGATTCATTATTATCATGAGGGTGCATTTCGCCAACTCTACTGCTTCCAATGCTTCCTCGCTCGATATGTTAAGTGTTGGTGACCCGCGATCGGATCAACTCCGAAAGTGCGGCCATTGTTGGATGAGCCGATGAGGGGAATTGCGCTGTCATCTCCGCTGTAGAGATAGTTATCTGACTTAAAACAAAGGTTTCGATTGGTGATCATCTCCAAATTACAGTATCTTCATCGAATTGTTATCAATAGGTGATATCAGATTCTTGCATAGGACCAGTTAGATTTGATATAGCTAAGCCGTGGTTGGGTGTAATATGTTGGTAGTTGTTTGTTGTGACGGGAAGCGGATGGGTCCGAAAAAGATAGCAATCAATTGCGAAGGGGTAGAGGGGTTGGGGTAGATATCGGAACAATTCCGCCTATGATATGGTTTTTCTTTTCTTCCCCTATTCTTATCGGAGTTGCTCCGTCCCGTATTATCCCAACGTGATGTCCTAAATTTTGATGAACAAAGTTAATAGGATACCTGCATCTTTTAAGATTAATCTGAGTTGCACAGATGAGATTTAAGTTCATTAATTTCCTCGTAGCTGAGCATAAATCATATCATGTAGCGAAAGTCTAATCTACATGAAGGATTGATTGTGACACGCTAAAGACGTCATGGAACGAGGATCGTATCGTATCGGGTACAAGCCGCCGAGACCTTTATCAGCCGGTACAACTTGGCTGGAAGTACCAAAGTAGGTTACATCCGACCCCGCCGAGCCTCGTCTCGTAACAAGTTCTCATACAAACAATTATTTCCCATCTCTTCAAACTACACCTGTTGGTAAGAAATTGACAGTAGATGTCTGTCATCCCGCGTGATTGGCTGATTGTTGTTGACAGCATGGTGAAATGGTGGGATGAGATAATAAGAGAAGAGAACCAAATAAGGAAATGAGTGAGACGAAGATGGAGTCAACCAACAGTGGCCCAAATGCAACCCTGCGGCCCCAGTCCCAGCACCACCAGCAGCAGAGACAGAAACTCAACGAGCCGGCCGACTATCCTCGATGGAACTCCGAATTAATCGAGGCATTAAGAGCGAGGGACCTGCTTCCTTATGTCACTGCGAGTGTTTTGGAGCCTTCGGGTGACGAGGATTCCCCGGCACGCTTACGATGGAGGAAGAACCGGCTTACTGTCTTGCTCATGATGAAGCGCTCTCTAGCGCCTGAAATGAAGATCAGATTAACCGACGCCGGGTGGCTTTCCGTTCACAATAAAGATCCGAAGAAGATGTATGATATGATTCGCAAGGTTTCTCAGGAAGACCCGTATGAAAAAAGGGAAGCGAAGCCTATATCTCAACCTCTATCACCCTTGGAATCGAACGCTACTACGGATGATCTTGCGATGGAGATTGAATTGATAGAGCATGAGGATAGCGAGGAAGACTGGACTGCTATTGATCTACCATCGAAAGCACTACTACCCGAGTCTATCCAAGACCGCGTCCTACGTGTATGGAACGACCTTCGGGATTTAACCGCCTACTACGATATCGAAGGCTCGGCATCACGGAACGCGCGACTCGAAGTGTTCTTCCGAGACGAATTAGCCGAGCTCGAGAGACAACCCTTTGACTCATACTCCTCTCAGGATGATAGGGCTGATCACCTTTTACTACGCAACTATATGAAACGCGCCCGTCGTACCCTTGAGCTTGACAAGGTACGTGATGCAAAATTCGCGCCATTCATCGAGCCATTCGCCACGCCTATCATAGCTTGGTGTGAACAACGCCGACGCGTTGAACCCGTCAACCCTAAGAAACTTGCGACTAGTATCAACGCGACGCAGAAGCTCATTCTTCAAGCGCGCGACCATGTTACAAATAATGTTAGCAAGTATTCCAAAGCCACTGGCTACCGTGCCGCTCGGAGGGTTGCCGAGCTACGCGAAAAGCTCGCGGAAGCATACGGTTTCTACAAGGATTACGATCCCCTATTCGACTGGTGGGTAACGGAGCCGTACAAGAAAATAGACAAGGCGCTCGGCGACACAGTCGAATTCCTACGCGAAGTTCTAGTAGGTGTCAAACCAGGCGATGACGAGACTATTGTCGGAGAGCCTATCGGTCGTGATGGTCTCCTTACCGACCTCGAAGCCGAGATGATACCATATACGCCGGAAGAGCTTCTCCGAATTGCCGAAAAGGAGTATGCATGGTGCGAGTCGGAAATGATCAAAGCATCGCAAGAACTCGGCTTTAGCAGTAACTGGCGCGCTGCACTCGAGCACGTTAAGAACATGTACGAGCCACCGGGATCCTACCCCTCTTTCATTCGCTCCCTTATCAACGAAGGTGCCGCTTATGTCAAACGGCATGACCTCATAACCGTCCCGCGCGTCGCTGAGGAAGCTATCCGAATGACTATGATCGAAGCAGAGCGACAGAAAGTCTCCCCTTTCTTCCTCGGCGGACCCACAATGCAAATGTCATATCCAACACGCGCCATGCCGCACGACGCAAAACTCATGTCCCTACGCGGCAACAATCGACCGTTTAGCCGTGCGACCGCGTTTCATGAGATGATACCAGGACATCATTTACAAATCTTCATGGGCGAAAGACATCACCATTACCGCACGGCCCTATTTGATACACCGTTTTTTGTTGAGGGCTGGGCGCTATACTGGGAGATGGTGCTTTGGGAACGAGGCGACTTCTTTACGACGCCGGAGGATCGTGTAGGGTCCTTGTTTTGGCGCATGCATCGGTGCGCGCGTATTCTATTCTCCATGAAATTCCACCTGGGTCAGCTTGATGCGAGACAATGCGTTGATCTACTAGTTGGTAAGGTGGGCCATGAGCGCGCTACGGCTGAGGGCGAGGTTAGGAGGAGCCTTGGTGGTGAGTATTCGCCGTTGTACCAAGCGGGGTATATGTTAGGCGCGCTGCAACTCATGCGTCTTCGGAAGGAAGCTGTGGGTAAGGGACACGGACGCATACGCGAGAAAGAGTTCCATGACCGCATTTTGAGAGCAAATGTTATGCCGATTGAGATGTTACGAGCGCTGATACTGGATAAGGAGTTGAACAAGGACTTCAAGACTAAGTGGAGATTCTATGATGATAAACTATGAGGTGGAATCGGCGTGTAAGACTTGGAGTTTATGTAACTTTTATTGCTTTATCATTCACGAATGTCTAAGAAATTCCATTGCGGGCGCAATTAGGTAGTCCTGATCAGAGCCATTGCTTGTTGCCAAAATGAGACAAGAATGCGCCTCCATCCCCTTTCTCGATACTGGCGTTCTCCACAACCCTCAACACATTCTGTGCGGCAACGTCTGGGGATAACCCACCCTTGAAATGTGGTGCGTAACTCTGAAATCCTGCCATCATCACTTGCAATGCTTCGAGTTGCTTCTGGGTCACTGTAAATTCATTAGATGATTGCATTCGGAGCTTTCTTCGTGGGGTGTTCATACAAGCCGAGGGGTCAAAGTTACCCGTATCCACCACTCCCGGGCTAATACTAAGGAAAAGCACACCCTGCTTCTTGTACTGCGTGTTGTACTTGGCATTGATAATGTTCATCGCTCCTTTTGAAGCAGCGTACAGAGATCCAACTTGGATGTCGAACTGGTTGATGAAATCCAAGTCTGCGTGGCCGCTGGTTAGAGCAACGACCTTCTTGACCTTGCCCTTTAGGATGAGAGGGAGGAAGACGTTGTAAAGTTGTAGGTTGCCAATGACGTTGGTGTCCATGTACTTGCGTAGCGTGTCGGTTGCAACTTCGGGTTCTCTGGTTTATGTGTTAGTTATTGGGCTTGAGGGGGGAGATGGGGGCGCACATTTCTCCGATGGCGCTGAAGCCGTCGACGGTTGACATGAAAGCGGCATTAGCAATCAGGTAGTCGAGGCTACCACCGGTGATAGCAGAAGTCTCAGCGGCGGCAGTCTTTAGACTGTCATAGTTGGTCAGATCGCCAGCCAAGATGTGGATGTTGGAGCGGTCCGGCAACTCGGCCGAAACCTTTTCCTTGGCGCTGGCCGGGTCTCGAACAAGACCGATGACGGTGTTGCTAGGATCTTTCGATAGCTGGCGGAGGAATTCAAACTGTGGTAACCGTCAGACAGGGGACCCTTGAATCTATATTCATTCAGGTTGAGAACTTACTCCTAGTCCCTTAGAGACGCCGGTGACAACGTAGCTCGACATGATGAATTGATTGACTGATTGATTGTTGAATTGTAATGAACTTTGGTCTGATCTAGAAGATAATTCTAGAGAAATTCTCGTCTATTTATCTTCAATTCTTCCTAGTATTTGATGTCGTGCCCTTACGCCACAAAGACAATGAAATTATAAATCTAACAGCGCCGCAGCGGTCGGCGTCCGTTCGGACGGAGTTACAAAGCGAATCTCGGTCAGCTAACCGCCAACCGCATCCCTTGCGTCCTCCGCCCTTGCGCGCTCAGCCTTGATTTACAATGTATAAAACAATAGTCTTCGTCTTGGATGTAGATGTATTTAGTTACCTGTCTAGGTTGTAGGTACCCGAAATAGATTACCAGAGGCGGGCCGCGACCATCCCTTAGCTACACCGCCCGATAAATGAGTAGATCCCCAACGCCTTTTCCTCCTGGAATATCATTCCTATAACACCCCGCATATCCCTATTCCCATGAGAAACAATCGGTTGATGAAAATATCTACTTAGAAAAGGTAACCTTGATGACTTCGATATGGTTATTGTTCGTGTACGAGATGGTCAATGTCTGCCCACTTGCATCAAGATACGGATGCGCAACACCGGCATATACCAAACCACCATCAATTGGCGTCGCAGTATAGACCTTAACATCCGGCGTCCAGGGGCCTTCGAGAGCCGTCGCGGTCCGGAGCAGGACATCGGCACCAACGGGACCTGTATATATCATCAGCACCGAATCATCGGATCTATCCGATAAAAACTTACTCAAATGCACGAAAACATAACACCCCCAAAATTCGCTCCAGACAATCTGCCCTTGCCCTGTACTCCACATAACCGCGGTCTGCGCCTCGAACTGCGTCAACGGTTGTCCCGTCTTCCAACCTCCATTAGCTTCGCCCCACCAGTACTCATACTGACTCAAATCAAACGCATTAGATGCCTTGACCCGGGTCAGATACACATACTGCGCTTGCACGGAATCCGTAACAGACGTCGGCGCCCCGCCCCACGCGTACACATACTCCGACTTAGGATCCCGGAATGCGATTTTGTCGCCGTAATGCGGTGTATCGGAGGCTGACCACCAGTACCCAGTGTCCCCGAATCTTTGGGTTACCGTCGGCTCGCCGTTTACAAGCTCTACTTTCGCTACACCAGCTCCTTTGAGGCCATCATCGTTGGCGTTCTACTCTAATTAGTAAATCCACAAGCAAAATTTGAGAGGGCAAGGCACATACGACAAGATAAAACAAAGCCCCAACCCCATCCCCAGTCTCCACCAAACTAGTCCCCCCGAATCCATACATATTCGTCTCGCCCCAAGCCTCATTGTACGGGACAAACTGCAACTGATGCCCTACCGGCGTATCCCCATTAAGATGTAAATCCACCACCGTCAACGGATCATCCGTCATTAACGAAACCGAGTCCCGCACCATACCATGAAAACCATCGGTATCCTTCACTGGATCGGTAACTCCGGCGGCGCACCATAGAGTGTCACCGTACACCGCGTACCATTTCCCGCCGAGTTCGCCTGTGAATCCTAGATCCCGGTGGCTGCAGCTGTTGTTCGCGACTTGTTGTCCGAGATACGTGGTTGAGAATGAGGATTCCGTGATCGGGTTCGTGCCGACGGGTTGGGTGGGGTCCGTGTCATCGCGGCGCTGTTGGGGGGTGTTAGTCAAGATATTTCTACGATGATTCTGGTTGCCTGTTGTAAGTGCGAAAGCTGTGCTAACTAGTAGAGCAACGAGACGAAGTTGAAGGCGCAACATTACGGCTTCCTAAACTCGTATTTCTACGAGCGGCGACCACAATGAAGAAATGAATTGTGAGAAGGCACTGGCATCTCCATCGATATGATTTTTAGGAGAACCGAATAGTATAGTAAGTGGCTTGAGACACCTAGGCAATGGTGGATGAAGAGGTAAAGGAACAGCCGAATTGGGAAATAGAAGCGAGATGATAGGAGCAGCTAACAATTCCTCTCCATATAACCAAGTGACGTATGTCTCAAATCCATAGAAATTTGGGAATTTCATCTGAAAGTGGTAGGTATAAATGTTTCATTGTTTATAAGTGTCTCTTCTCTCGGTCTTATTCTGTTGTGCTGGTTCAATTGATGCTGGGTGGATGTTTGTTAAGAGGCTTTAGCTTCAGCTTGAGCATCTTCGCGTAAAATTACCCCTTGTTCGAGTATAAGATACTGCCTCTACTTATAAAAAAAATAGTATCTTTCAATTATAGGAAAGGGTTTTTCATACTTTATCTCGGTCGCTCATATCGGGCGGTAGATCATTGGTTGTCATTGACTTTTTAGGTGTTCTGGAAGTATAGCGGCAAGACCTGCCAATGGACAAGCAACATTCGAGGAGTCCCATGAAACGTTGTAACAGATACCTGGTTAGTTTCTGCTATGATAGGCAAGGTATGATATGTGAATGTTAGTCGGGAATTGAAAGTCAAAAAGATCCAAAAGATGTCAAATATTGTAGCTAGATATTTATGAACTTTGTAATATCTTTTCGAATCTTGCAGATTCATGATGCTTTTGAAGGCACTGAGCACTACGTAAGATGCAGCATTTTGTAAGTGGCGGAATTGACTGATTGTGATTGGTGAGTTAGCCTATAATCTGCACTTTTTGGGAAACTCCGTATCTAACAATATGGGCGATAGAAATCGATGCGGGGATTGCCCTGTAAGCAAGCTCGGAGCGTACTAGAAGAATGGAATAAATGCCGATGGGGAACCCTAGTTCCCGTTAAGCTGGCTGGTAAGTTACCCCCAATTTTAATCCTCCTATACCGGTATGGCGATAACGGTTTTAAGCGGTCTCTTGGTCTTCTTATCATGCCGGACAGGAGCAGATCTTAAGTGTCGGGCTCATTTAACAGTCATCGCCACGATATATCCTCTTTTTAGTAGACAAATCCCCTAATCTAAGAAAGCTGTGAGTTCGGGAAAATGGAGTATAAGCGACAACCCGAACAGATCTTAGGGCGGGTTAAGCCGCGCTTAATCATTCACGGCGGCGCCGGCAATATTACGCCGGACAAGTTAGGTCCCGAACAGTATAAAGAATATCGACATGCACTTCTCACTATAGTAAGCGATACTCATCACTCCCTTGCCGAGATGAAAAGAAACTCAGACCCCTAGGAATAGGTTTCGAAAGCGGACGTATATATGCGCATCCCGGTATCGTATGGCAGTCCTCATTCTTCTGCGCCTACATGGGCTTCTGCTCTCGATGTCGCAACATACGCCGTGACGCTTCTCGAGAATAACCCGCTGTTCAACTCTGGTCATGGCGCTGTTTTCACTCGCGATGGTATCAACGAATTGGAATCCTCCGTTATGGTATCGCGAGGCCATGCTAAGCGTGGCGTTGGCGTGACGGGATTGCGTAAGGTGAAGAATCCGATATTACTCGCTAAAGCAGTGCTCGAGCATGGCGATGAAGATTTGAGTAAGAAGGCCGCAGGTGGATTGTCGCAAGGAGACAACAGTGCGATGAGATCCGATGCATTGGATACCGACGGCCTCGACGTTCCTTCAGCGCAAGGCCACACGCTCATCCACGGCGAAACAGCCGAAACTCTTGCTAAAATGTACGGCCTCGAATTTGTAGATCCAAAGTATTTCTTCACCCAGAAACGGTGGGATGAACATATACGGACCTTGGAAAACGAGAAGACGGGAAACGGCTTAGCAACGTGGAGCGCCGAGGAATATCTACCTCAAGGTACGTGCGGCGCAGTTGCGCTCGATGCCGACGGAGTTATATGTGCGGCGACTAGTACGGGAGGTATTACGAACAAGTTAACGGGACGTATCGGCGATACACCAGTCGTCGGCGCTGGCTTCTGGGCGGAAGAATGGGCTGAAAAGAGTAGCTCGAATAGGGTGATTCTTGGTCCCGCGACCGATACGTGGCAAAACCTGGGGAGATATTTGAGTCTACCGGGGCCGGTTGTAGAGCTATCTTCGAGCCTGCGGAGTCTTGTTGCTGACTGCTTCCCGACCCCATTTATTTATTCTCCCGTCGCGCAAACATCGTCTCCTGCGAACAGTACCTCCACCGATCATGACATACGGCGAACACGCTCTATTGCTCTGTCGGGCACGGGCAACGGAGACTCTTTCCTCCGAACAACCGCAACTAGAACAGTTGGTTCGATCGCTCGATGGGGCGCATTGCCCGCGACAGATGCCTTGCGACTCGTTGCGGGCCGGGGTGGAGAATTGGAGAACAGCGCCGGTGATCGTTGGGGCAAAACAGGAGAAGGAGAAGGCGGCATGATCGGAATAGAAAGTGTGGTCTCGCATAATGCTACGGGCCAAGTAATTGGTACCCGTGGCGTAATATTGCAGGATTTTAATTGCGGCGGTATGTTTCGGGCGTGGATCGATGATAACGGAAATGCAGTAGCAAGAATATTCCACCACGAAAGCGAGTTAGGACGTTTAAATGGAACGGACGTATTCGAGGGTGAAGGCAAAGCGGAAGAAGTTTGGCGTTGGACTGCGGATAAAGTGTGAATGATATAATCGTTCAACTAGAGACCAGATCAGCCAGGTATCAAGTTTCAATACATCTAATAGATATCATGTGGTGTTAGTTAAGATCAGATGGTGTATTTAGGTGCGGATGCATCTGTCAGACAAGCCCATTGGGGAGAAATGGACCGGATAACCGCCTAGACATCCTAGCCCTGGCATAGCATCAATATACTCATTATTTTACACATCATTCCCCTGACCATCCGTGTTGGTATGCAAAGACCGCCTAAAAACCCATATAGTACATGGAACCGATCGAGAAGTATATCGGAGGGGAGTTGAGTGGTAATGTTCTTTTTTTCATATTCGTCATTATAGCGTCTAAGCCAGCGCCTTTTCTGAACTGGGCGGTGGCGGGGGCATCTGAATTGCAGTCAGTACCGAATAGTTCGACGATCCTGTATTGGGTCAGGAAGTGGTTGAGTCGAACCTCTAATTTTGTGCTTCCTGCAAGCATTCTTTGGAAACCAATTCCGACACCCTCAATAACGGCTAGCAGCACGGCACAACCGATAGCACCATTTCTTGCTGCCTTGTATCCTCCTCGAACGGCTAGAGCACCACCAGTGAAAAAACCCGCAACTAATGGATTTGTTAGCAAATCATTATGAGGCGACCTATGATACCGACATACTAATCGCATTATAAGGATCTTCCTTCTTTCGTATTCCCTTAACCGCACAATCGAATGTCGAGAAAAGACCACCCCATACACCTATTGAGGGGTTAGTTTCGAAGAGTGATCGATATGGCCCTCTTGAATAGGCACCTACCGAAGTTACCACCTAATACTGGTGCTCTTGCTTTTATGGCTGTGATAGCTCCTATTCTCCTCTCGCCCATTGGACTGTTTCGGAAACCTTTGATACCGTGCCATATTGTTCCACCGATTGCCTGACGGAAATTGATGTTAACTTTCGTATTCTACAATTGCATAGTACCAGGTTATCAGGACCAACGTACACCCATAGCAAATGCACCACCAAAGTCATTCAGAATGACCCAAGGGCAAGGGTCTCTTGTATGATCCATGTCGAGATTGTGACGAAATGGATGGAAGGGCTAGAAATCGGGATGCGGTCGCGGCTTATCTCGCTTGGTTGTGGTCGCGAACGATTCTAAGGAGAACTTCTAGGGCTACTATTAAGTTGTGAGTCCTACGGCAACGGGTATTGGACCGTGGTGGGTGGTAAGGCTGACTTTTCGTGAGGGTGTTAATTATTATGAAGCTTGAAGAATGACTTCAACATAGAAAATTGTTAATCCAACATGTGCACGGACCAGACGGAAGTTGAGATAAATCTTCTTCCGATAGTCGATAAGCGATAAAGAAGATAAGGAAGATAAGCGACAGCCGCTGTCTTGCCGCTGCAGCATTTGTACCCTGGTCCTTGCAAGTTCAAAATAGACTCTTTCTAGCGCGAATAGTCCGCTGATATTTCAGCTTTAGACGTTGTGTAACTATAAAGATTAATGACTTTTTGGAGTATTGGCTGTCGAGATAGAACCTAACCTTCAATTTATCTCATTGTACAATGCTGAACGTCCCTCTTCTCTATGGTCTGTAACATCCTATCAATATTTAGAGAATTGGCGGCCTGGGTGATAAAATTTCGAATTGAGTTATAAGCCGATATCGGAAGACAACAGGTATGATTCAACTCCAGATGTATCTGATCCGTATATGCAAAGTCCACTGATCTCTTCCATCTGCAGTGAGTTAAAAACCACGCAACTTGAGATGACGCGAACCAAGCTTTTGGATATTAATGGTCAACCTTCCCCAGACTTAAGCGATATTTTTTTTTTCTTCCTGCAGCCTTCCATGCTGATTCTTAGCTAAGCATATAAAAGTCGTCTAACTAACTGATAAAAAAAAAAGATAAAAATATCATAGCGAAGACATCAATTTCAGGGGTTAATATGACGTGTGAATCACACTAAAATTCATCATTATTTTCACGAGATGTTACCAGACATGCGGTCTAGCAAACACTGGGACCTTAAATGTCTCGTTTCGATAGGTATGTACATAGGTCTATGACCAGCAACCGTGTCTTAAAGTGATCTCTACCTCTTCTCTCTGACGGGATTCTCTTCCCATGAGACCTTGGTACTTGTATAACATATTGTAGCCAACACGGCTATTTTAACAAGATGATGGGACGGGAGATGAAAGTCCACTTTACCACGTCTCACGTATTGAAGACCATAGATCGCGCCATAGGGAGCCCGGACGTTCCAGTCTGCCCGACTACGCCTCCATTCTTAGTGTAGCCAGCCAGTCCAGCTCTGATAGCAACCAAATAAGTACTGATGCAAACCAGCCAATTGATCTTCCGAACATCCATAATAAGAAAAAAAAAATCCACTCACCGTAAGTCGGCTGTCGGGAGTCATTGTGCGTATTTAAAAGGACCCGGCCCGCTTTGACTTGACTGATTTGCTTCGTACGTGTCCTCTCGTGCATGTATGTTTCTCAGCTCTATGAATCGACTATTACAACTCCAACTTAAGACCAAGAGACTATAACCATGGCCGTCGGGCTAGGTGAGAGAACAAGAACAAGCAGTTGCCAACGCTGTCAGGAGATCGATGATGAAGAATCCAAAATTAAGGAGAGCAACGAAGCTCACAAGAAGCTTTATGTTGAAAATACACAGAATAACATAAGTAGTAAGTTGGGCCAATTTTTTTTATCACGAGATCAATGGATGGTGTTGAGTCACAATTAATAGGGGGTTACAGCATTGGGAGGTCTCCTTATAGGGCCTTATAGGGCAACACAGCATAACCCTATTTTATTCGAGAACCCCTGCCCCCCAATCCTGCTGAATCATCATTATGGTCACCCAAGCTCCATTTTACAGTTCTCGCGAAGATTTAAAGTTCTGTGATACATTTCCAGAGCTTCCAATCTAGGAGATATTCTAGGATGATTGACCAATCGCGCTGTCCTTGACAGGAACACTGTTGCATACAGATTTACTCTAAATTTCTAAGTTGGGGGGTTTAGTTGAACTATCTAGGAAATACCCCGGAGTCTTGCCCCACTTAGTACCCATTGGAATCCTGGGGCGGTAGTGGCGGGTGGTGGATGCCCCTGAGCTTGGAAGTCACCCCCTGAAGCAAGTCGCTGCAGGCGCTATCGGTTGAAGCTAGAGCTCCCCACATTCAATCGTTTTCCGTCAATCAGCACACCAACACGTCATTTCCAACACTATTCAATTCACCGATTTATCATACATCGCCAACTTTATTTCCCACACTTTCACTTTTACCACTACGTTTGAATAGGGAGAACACCGCTATCTACTTATATGATCTTACCCATTTATTGAACTCTCCCCTATGCTTTCACAGTGGCAATTAACTTGTGAATAGCGACGATGCCATCTGCAATGGCGGCTTCGGCCCCCTCTCCCATCCACGAAATTCCGCCTCACACGACACCTCAACTATACCACAATCTCAAACACGATAGCTCAGTTCTTGCCCTTGCTGTCGGAAACGATAGCATATACGCTGGGACTCAAAATGGAGAAATTGTTGTGTGGCTTTTGGGCACTTTTCAGAAAGTTCACCATATACAAGCCCACAAACGCAGTGTCATGTGCCTCTTTCTGTCCGAAGATGGCACCCTTCTCTTTTCTAGTGCTAGCGATCCGATCGTAAACGTATGGTGCCCTCGAACCATGACGCGACTTTACGAGATATACAGCACAAATGACTCTTTCGGGGACATCTTCTCCGTTTCTTACTCCTCCCAACACGAGACCGTTTATTATGGTGCCCAAAACACGTCGATCCAATGGGTCGGTCTAAAAGACCCAAACAGACGCGTTACACAAGATTCGCAAAACCATCCCGATCGAAGAAACCACCGATTTTTTGATTCTCGTGCTGTTGGTGGCACGAGCACACCGCGACCCACCGACGAACGATATGATCTAATACCTCGGTCCCATACAATGCTTGAGACAGATAAAAGAGCAAACAAAATGTTCGCTCACTACGGCTATGTATACTGTATGCTTATAACAAAGGCCACCACGGCCTATACCGAGCCGGACGAGGACGTTTTAATATCAGGCGGTGGAGATGGCACGATAAAAGTCTGGAAACTAGGTGGCCGAGAAATTGGCCCAGATGGATTCGAGAATGGTATTGAGGAGATCATTGCTCTTGGCGATCAAGATGCCATGTCTGTCATGTCACTTACCGTAGATGGATCATTCCTATACAGTGGGAAGCTAGATGGTATGATTGAGCTATGGGATCTTGATACAAAACAGAAGTTAAGGTCCATCAAAGCTCATAAGGGCGATGTTATGTCTCTTCAGATGGGCTGGGGGTATTTATGGAGTGCAAGTCGCTCCGGTACTGCTTGTGTGAGTGAATCCCATCCCCCTTATTGGCCCAATCTCTAACTTCGAAACAGAAACATAATACCGTCCACTATGGAGAATACCAACACGACTCTTCTCAGAACGTTAATCAGAAATACCAATGCTTAACGCAGTGGAAGGCTCATGATGGCAAGGTTTTGTCCTCGGCCATCACAACACAAAATCGCAATCAATTCTATATTACAGGGGCCAATGATAACAACGTCGCCGTATGGACGCTCAAGAATGAGGCATCAGCCGATCAACCGTCACACGAAGAACATGAAGATATGATGATAACATCATTACGCGAATTTGTATCCTTTAGGACGGTATCATCTCGGCCGGAGTACGCAGAGGATTGTCGCCGAGGCGCTAGTTTCCTTCGCACATTATTTAAGAAACTAGGAGGCGATGTAGATATGCTGAGTTGCGAAGATACGCTACATCATCCTGTGGTACTTGCTGAGTTTAGCGGCAAGTTGCAACCTGCCGAGAAACGAAAGAGGATCCTGTTCTACGGCCACTACGATGTTGTCGCGGCGGAAACTAAGAACGGAAAGTGGAGTAATGATCCTTTCCAATTGATCGGAACCAATGGCTATTTGTACGGCCGTGGTGTCAGCGACAATAAAGGTCCAATAATGGCTGCACTGTACGCAGTTACTGATCTCATGCAGGCCAAATCCCTAGACTCAGATGTCGTTTTCCTAATTGAAGGGCAGGAGGAATCGGGATCCCGCGGATTCAAGGAGACCGTGCGAAAGTACAAGGATCGTATCGGCAATATCGACTACATCTTATTAGCGAACAGTTACTGGTTGAATGACGATACTCCATGCTTAACGTATGGCTTACGAGGCGTTATGCATGCTACCGTCTGCGTTGAGTCGAAAAGCCCTGACCTACACTCCGGTGTCGATGGTTCCTATTTGGTCAATGAGCCCTTGTCAGATCTTATGATGCTTCTGTCCAAGCTCAAGGGCCCCCGGAATCGGATTATGCTTCCTGGCTTCTACGATGGCATACTTCCGCTTACTACTGAAGAAGAAGCCCGATACGACGATATCTTATCCGTCCTAATGGAACAAGGCCATGAAGACGAATCGGCGGAGACGCTGAAGGCAAGCCTTATGGCACGTTGGCGGGAGCCAAATCTTACACATCATAAAGTCAAAGTTTCCGGACCGGATGGTAGTTTAATCAGCAGTCATGCAAATGCTAAGATCAGTGTTCGACTCGTCCCTGGACAAGAGGTAGAAGAAGTTACTAGCTCCTTAACCTCTTTTCTCGAGAAAGAGTTCAGCAACCTAGAGTCGGACAATAAGCTGAGTATCCAAATTGACAACCAAGCGGAGCCTTGGTTGGGTGATCCCAGCAATTATATCTTTCGAACCTTGGAGGAAGCCCTGGTGCAAGCTTGGGCCCCCTTCTTCTCCGACAACACTGCCAATGGTGTCACCAACGGTATTACCAACGGAAACGGAACGAACGGCACTCACACCAACGGCGGGTCCAAGGTCCGAAAGCCCCTCTATATCCGAGAAGGCGGCTCAATTCCAGCGATCAGGTTCCTCGAGAAAGAATTTAATGCCCCGGCCGCTCATCTTCCATGCGGACAGTCTTCCGACTCGGCGCATTTAGATAATGAGAGACTAAGAGTCGTAAACCTTTTAAAGAGTCGGGAAATTTTTACACACGTGTTCAAGAAATTGTAACGACGATTATGTTGAAGAATGGTTTCATTTCCACATAGGGCGAAAAGCGCATTATTCACGCATGGATCAAGTATTAAGATAGGAGCGCGGAGTTCGCGGTACTTTATAGAAAATAGAAATTCAGATACCCTTTTCAATGTTTTTTTTTCGGAGGTTCCGATGGTTACACATTCTATCGGATAGATCCGATGGTGCCACCATACTACCTATCTAGATTATTTTCCACGGTTCTAACTTTACCCCCTATTCGATCCATTTTTTACCATCCTCCCATTCTGCAACCATACTTCCGCCCGGAATCCCTCATTCACCTTCCACGGCCCTCATTTAACCGTATAGTCGAGATCTACAACTATACACACTAACACGAGATGCAGGTCTCAACGGCGGAGCCGAAGCCGAAACTTAGATCTCACGCGAGCGTCCGAAAGTCAAGCATATAAGCGGTATTAACTGCCACCAACTCCGCCGACGCTCATGATCACGATATCGTCCGTGATACTCAAGTCCACCTTGATCCCGAGCTAACTGCGTCGAGTGTATCGAGTGCAATCTTTCCGGTATGGGCGCGGGATAAGATATAATGTTTTCGGAGGGGTATCTCATTGATCGACCGTCTACGCTGGAGTGCTGGTGCGGAGTTACGCAGCGGTCGCAACCTCGTCCGTCGGTTTGCGTTTGTGTGCTTCTGTATGAGTGGTGCCCTGTGCTCCACCGGTTCTGTGAGGATGGACGGCGGGCGGTGGGTGGTTGGTCGTATGTTGGGGTTCGCCATGCGGAGTGCTTGGGTTGGGATGCTTCGGGGCGGTGGCTTCTTGATGCGCGGGGAGTAGAGGTTTGTGAGCGAACGTCGTCGGTGGCGCTGAAGTATCCTTTATCTTCGCGTCGGCTAGCTTGGGAAGTGCGCGATGTAGTTCCTTTTTGCCGGTCCCGCGCGGATGTATGTTGTTGCCCTGTTGATTGTGGATGTTCGTTGCGGCCTAAGGTGGCAGTCGCCGACGATCTCCTGACTCGACTACTTTCCCTGAACTGCGAAGGCCTAGTATTGGTACCACCCGAAGTTGTCGGAGCAGATCTACCGCGTCTTGGTCCGTCGGGTCGGGTCCCAGTCTCGCGGCTTCGTGTATATCCGTCATCGTCGTCGTCGTCGAGAAGTTCTACTCGAACGGAATATGTCCGATGCCAATTCCGTGGTCTGTAATGGCGGTTGCTGGGTTCATAGGACGATGAAGACGGCATAACTATTCTTATTGGATCGGAAAAGATAGCTTGTAACTTTCACACATTTATAGGGTTAGTAGATTGGTGCTGGCATTTAATCTACGATCACTACCACCACACCCGCAGTTGCGTACCTCATATACCCAGGTAGTTTTGCCACAGACTTCCATTGATGTAAGGAACCGAGTAGAACAAAACCTTGACTTCCCGACACTGAGACATAAATCACTAACTACCAATTCTTTAGATTTCTTATTCCATTAGACCTTCTCCGGCCGTTACGCCCCCGTCTAATCAATTTTCCTCTGAAATTCTAGCCGCACTAATTTGGTACTTAGTAAACATTTTCAACACAAGTTACTTCATGAAGCTTACACTGCTGAACCAACTCGACAAGGACCCTCTCTTCCTTGACCTTATAAGGTCCTATAACCCTTAGCAGATCCTTCGCATAAGCTGCTGCGGTAATTGCTGCATATGGCTGCCAAACCTTAGTTTTATGGCTGTCTGAATAATCGCATATGCCGCGAATTACTAGACATGGGAAATTGTTCATCAAGCCCGCAGACTCCATTTCAAAACACAAAATATTATGCGTATCTCGTAGCATGTCTCGGAAGCTCGCAGACCTAATAACTTGGTTACCAGAGCCAATGAGCCCATAGTGAACAGAGGGGTGATTGTTTTTTCGGTCCTTCCGCTCAACAGTTAGAGGCGCGGTCGGGGTTTTCGTTTGGCCCAGTTGGTATGCCGGTAAGTCATTTTGACATTCATCGCTATATGTGCTCTGAAAGAGTTGGTCTTTGTTCCTTCCTGGGAACTCAGGATTTTCAAGTCTTTCAAGGTCTTTAGCCTTCTCAATTGCGTCTTCTATGTAACGTCGCATTTCCCCCCCATTGAAGGCTTGGTCTAATCTAAGTGTCTCTACACTTGTTAATAGGAAGTTTGGTGGCCTATTTAGGTGATACTTGATGTCGAGTTGATTAAGTCCCACCCGTTTCCCCATGTCAAATTGACATACACCGCCTAAAAAGAATCATGTTTAGGAGGGACAAGTTGTGTGTATATCCAAGACATAATACATACTATGGCTTCCCTCTGGTTTGCCAACCACGACATCCCCAAGACGAATATCAAGTCGTGGGTTCGTCCAGTTTGGAGGCTTGGGAACACCGCCACCGACACCGACTTATAGCCAAAACTGGATATTGGTGAATGTACGGGACATGTTCGTCACACAATGTGTTGCTGCACTTTCACCCTTTGAGGGCGGGAATGCAAGAACAATATTATGGCCACTTATTTCGCCTAGGATATAGCCATTGTCGTCGCCACGGGCAACAGCTATGCGTTCATGCTCATCATCAAGGAGTAATTTTGCGGCAGCGATCTCAGGCCCAACAATGGCGACCCAGCCAACGGTGTAGTTATCCTCAAACAACTTCCTAAAGGAAACATAATTAGTATAATGAAGCCCACCCGAGGCCTTTTTAACTACTTACTTCTTTTTACCTAGGTATACTCCATGGTTGACGCTTTCATTTTGTAAGAGCACACCGAAGATGAGGTAGAAGGGGGCGTTCTGTAGTTCATACAAAAGCCTCCAAACATGAACCTCCCATACCTAAATATTTAAATAGGGGGCTACCTCTCCGGCCAGTACTATTGAGATAGCCTTACAGTTCCAAGGTTGCTACCTCAAAAATCCTATGGCCCTGCCATGCTATCCCATGCACATGCTAATGCATATAAGCACAGGACGGTGTGGTATTGGCCGAATTAAACAGAGTATCATGCACCATGAAAGTGGAATTGGAGAGCTTTAATAGCTTGTATATGAGAAACTACTTTCTTATCAGTTCACCATACCAATCGAGCGTATTGAAGGTATCGCGGGGTCTTTAACGTCGCAGTAGCCTTGATTTATTGAACTTGTCCTAGAAAGGTGCGCAGACGTAGGTCTTTCGAATCGTACCATATAAATAACCAATTAAAAATGTTCAAGAATTTTCTAATTAGGATTTTATAAATTTAGATGTCTACAACGTTCTAGCCCGTGGTTTTGCGCAGTCCCCTGCCGTTGGCGCACATCGCCGCGCAAAACGCGATAAGCGCAAAGCCGGTTGAGGCGGCGAATGAGTACCGTAGTCCGTCATAGTAGACCATGCGTGCCTTGAGCTGAATATCTAGTGGAAGGTCGCGTAGAGTCTCGGCCGAGTGCCGGATTGAATCAATAACCTATTAAGTCAACATGGATCAGTATAGTTACCTAAATATGGGATGACTAGAAAAGTTGGATAGTAAAAAGGGTCGTACTCTCCATTTATCTGGTATATCGCCTAAGACAGACGGAAGTCGTATAGTGAGCGTGGTTTGGACAATGGCGGATGTAACGGACACGCCCCAGACAGTCCCGAGAGATCTGATGAGATAAACGGTAGACGAGGATACGGCATGGTCTAGGTGGTGTTAAGCTCAATCCGAAAGTAATCGGACGGTTCTATAATGGCTTACCAGCATGTTCGAAAGTCGCTAACGAGGTAAACAGAATACCAGGGTATATAATCCCCTGTCCTAAATTGGCGGGGAAGATGTAAACGTAATATTTCCAGTTAGCATCCACGAAATTCAGTGAGGTTACCAACGCATTTCCAAGGACCATAAAAATGGCCCCTATACGAATGAGAGTAATAAGTTTGCCCCATCGTGACATTACGATGCCGGCGATAAGACCACCGATCGGGGTTGCTAATGATGGGATGGCGAGTCTAGCCCCTGCGGTAGTAGCTGAATCGAGCAGCACTATCTGGAAGAATAGGGGTAGTAGGAAGAGGTACTTTGGGAAGAGATTAGTATCGTGGATATAGTATTTCTTGGAAACACTGACCGCATATGCGGAAATCCCAGCGCAGACGTTAGCCAATTGGATGAAAATGGGCAGACGACCTTTCAGCATGCGTAGAGGGATCACCGGTATCGCAGTGGTCTTAGCCTCGACTCGAAGGAATAGGCCGAACAGCAGAACACTTCCAACAAGGGACATTATAACCCATAGGCTACTCCAGGGCAATTCATTGCCCCCTAAGCTCAACCCAACTAGCTGAATCGATATTGCGACGACTAAAAGGAGAGAGCCCGAGAAGTCGACTATACGCCAAGTTTCCTTCAGATTCGAGATCCCTCCAAGGTTATCTCGCTGGTTTTTTATGACTATATAACCGAAAAAGAGTGCAATGACTGATACTGGTACTTGCTGCTCTCAATTAGTCCCGTAAGCCCCTGCACGATAGAATGCACCTACCAAGAGAAAGCACCAACGCCATCCGATAGTGTCGGCGATCGAGCCCCCAAATGAGGCACCACATATCGCACCGAAGCCGAAAATGCCGTTTTGCATGGCTTGATACATCCCACGTCTACGAAATGGTATCATATCCGAATTGACGATAGTGGCTAAGAATTGATTAAATATCGCGGCCTTTGAGTGAGGTCGTACACCTACCCATAGTCATAAGTCCCCCACCACCAAAGCCAGCCAGGGCTCTCGTACAGTTGAGTAGAACGATGTCGTTCGCAACACCACATCCCAGGCAGCCCAAGGCAAACGTGATAGTGGAAATAAAAAAGCAGATACGACGACCGAAAATATCGGATACACGGCCATATAGAGGTTGAAAAGCCGTACTTGTAATAAGATACGATGTTGTAAGCCAAGACGCAGTGTTGGTCGCATCGAATTCCGAACTAATTACGGCATACGTAGATGCTGTAATAGTCCCATCAAACCCATAAAGAAATACATTTGACATTATCGCCAACTCAATCCAAACAAAATGTCGAGGAGCTATCCAACCCTCTTCCTTTGGTGGGATTGAACCTATTAAGGGTTGACGTTCCCCATCGTCCGAGTCGTGATCAACCCCTGACGATTGAGAAAGTTCTCTATTCGCTTCTGGGTCGTCGAATTGATTCTCATTAAAAGTAGACATTTTAATTAATCGTAACTAGAAGGCGTATTAGAAGTATTGAGAGAAAACAATGGCGTGGGTCTTTGTACGCCTAATAGGATGCTAGATTTTACTGATTGTGTAATCTTGTGAATACCCTAGGGTTGACAGACACGACAGATTTATGGTACTTTGACATCAATATGATTCAAGTGGTACGGCCAGACTTGGGGATTCTGAACGGCCGAGAAGCTAAGACGCGGGTAAGGCTTTGCTCCCCGAACTCGGAATTTCGCTAGAGAAACCGGCCTATGACACATAGACACGGTTCCTTGCATATATACTACTCCCTAGTTGTTAATGATTTGTAGGCTAAAATGGTGTCATTGTGGATTCTCGCGCCGTTATTCGACTTAACTGCCTGTCTATGTCACATCTATCGTCGTAGTACATCCCAGTTGCAGGAACGGAACGGCGCTGGTTCGTCGATTCCTTTCTTGTAATCATCCTTGATTCGCCATATGTGCATTATGGCGCTTTTGCACAGATAATGTGCGACATAGGCACCACGGAGCCATATATGAACGCCATTACGCCTTCGACCGAAATTCGACAATTCGTTTCTCATGTCATACAACCTGATCTATCACTGAAGCTAAGAATCGGAAAAATTCTTCAAACAATTTTCAAGAAGGGCTATCTAGGGGTATTTTCTTAAGCAAAGGTTAATGTACCCTCCTTTAATATTGCAAGATGGAGTTGTTCTCTGACGCAGCCAGAATTTACCCTACTCGCATACCGCCATGAAGCTTGTTCTACTTTTAGGAGCGGCCTTGACATTACCACTTCCAACCGTCGCGGACTGGCAATTCAAGTCCCGTTCGGATTTAGCTCCGCCAAGGTTGAATATTACTATTCCGGCGACTAAGGACGTCGAACAAGGATATTTGTTTGTTGCCCCTTTCGCGGGGCTCCCAGATACACCTACGGAGCAGCATGGTCCTAGACAGGCTGGTCCATATATCTTCCGCGACAACGGAGACTTGATTTGGTCTGGTTATGGGATCTACAGCATTTGGTCCACCAACTTCCAAGCAGGTCGCTGGAAAGGCAAGGATATTATCTTCAGTTTTGAAGGAGACCACAATCCAGGTTATGGTCATGGACATGGCCACATTACTTTTATGGATAACCACTATGAGACAATTCGGGAACTCAGGGCTGGAAACCACAAGCTCGTCGATAAGCATGAGTTTCATATCATTAACGAGGAAACTGGTCTCATTCAGATCTACCAACCAGTTCCCCGTGATCTGACAGCCTGGGGTGGCAGCGCCGAGCAACAGTGGATTGTCAATGCCATAATTCAAGGTACTTAAAACTCGGACCTGCTATATAAAATAATCTAACTTGAGGTTAAGAACTCGATATTTCTACCGGAAAACTGTTATTCGAATGGTCAAGCCTTGATCACGTTTCCCCCGATGGCAAGTTTTGATCCCTGGAATCAAAGATAGCTATGTCTTTCTAACATAACGTAGAAGCGATCCTTCCGCTAAATCCTGGTCAAGCAGGCTCTGGTTTCAACAGCTCCGATGCTTGGGATTATTTCCATATCAACAGTGTTGATAAAGATTCCGATGGGAACTATCTGATATCTGCGCGTGATGCATGCAGCATCCACAAAATCAACGGCACTGACGGAAGCATCATCTGGAAGTTGGACGGAAAAGACAGCTCCTTTAAAGTGCCTAAGGAAGCCAAATTCTGTTTCCAACATCACGCTCGATACATCAGTCAGCAAGATAATGTAGAAGTGATCAGTCTTTACGACAACAGTGCGCATGGGACAGAACATAATGGAGGATCTGAAGTTCATACAGCACCAACAAGTAGTGGGAAGATCATAAAGGTAAATACTACGTCGTGGGAAGCCGAGCTTGTCCAAGCATTCTTCCCACCAGACGACCTTCTGTCTAAATCCCAAGGTTCTACGCAGACGCTCCCGAACGGGAATGTTCTCATAAACTGGGGGTCCTCGGGGGCAGTGACCGAATATCTTCCCAATGGAACACCGATATTCCACTCATATATGGACTCCGGCTACTTGGGCCACGGAGTCGAGAACTACCGCGCTTTCCGTTATAATTGGACCGGCATTCCAAATGAAGAACCTGCTATTGTAGCCCTTAAAGGCAAAGATGGCATAACTGCTTATGTAAGCTGGAATGGTGACACGGAGACCAAGACGTGGAGGTTTTACGCCTTGACCGACAACTACGGATCCAAATACTTCTTAGGGGAAGCGCAAAGAACGAGCTTTGAGACATCCCTCCGTATCCCGACCAAGAATATCATCGCAATATCTGCCGAGGCTATCGATGGTGACGGCAGATTGCTCCGGTACACGGGAGGGGCCGTTGTGGAGCAAGAAATAAAGCCTTCGGAGGTACCGGGAGGGGCCTCCCTTCCGGATGGGGCAATTACAAAGGCCGTAGTGAAGCCCAGTAGCCGCTGGGGGGACCACGGGATCCTAAAGTATTTCCGCCTTCGTATTGAGGAGCTGTGAGATACTACGCAGCGTTGCACTGCCTACCAAGGGACTCCAACTATCGGAGTGCCCATGTTGTTCCGCTCCGTTGACGATGCTTCGGGGGGTACTTGTGTCGATATCCTTTATTATCAACTCCTTTTACGAACAAACTAAATTATAAGATGGGAGACGTACCTAGGTGTAAAGGGACACGTCGTATTGTTGCCATCAAATAGCCGCTCGTTTAGGTAGAAGTGTGGTAGCAACTGACCTTAATACATTCATTGAGAAAATATGGAATTTTTCGTAACCGTCCCAAGGTTACCCTAAGAACTCAGGGGCTAAGACTTTTGATTCGTAACAACGTCGCGTAAGCCAACAAATGCTAGAAGGCCGATCTTGTCAGTCTGGATTTTCATCGTAGTCACATTATGCTGCCCGAATAAAAAAGGGCTGTCCACGTTACCTTTCTACACAAGCCGCTCTCATTTGACTTCTGATTTATGTTATAACCCTGGGGTAACACAACGGCCTAGGCCACAACCCTAACCCTTATCTCAACATGATGTAACCCTAGAATTCATAGAATGAGTGCGAACAAAAAAGCCCTTATGACTCAAGGAATAACATAATAACATGAGGGATTAATCTCGACAATGTACTACCATTACCTACTGCCAATTAGATTCTAGTACAAGCGAGGGTATTAATGAAGAGGGACCCATTCATGAAAGATATATTAAACATAGACCGCGTATGAGGTAGGTGTAAGGCAGCTCCCTTGATGAAACGAATTGCGTCAGATTTTACCTAATTAATTGCGACGGTTTTACAGAATTGTACAACATCGTGATGGTTTCCAGGTTTAAACCGGGTGTGAACCTTGGAAATCGTCCATGGTCGGATCTTCGATTACTCCGAAGCAGCAAAAGGCGGTGGACAAAGAGCTGGCCGAAGAGTAAGAACATATTCAGCAATAACACGCATCATCCTTTAATACGAAAACAGCGCTTCGCTTTGCGCCTACTTCTATTGGCGTATTAATTATTTTAGCGGCGCCAAGAGTGTATGTGCCTCTTATGCCGGTACAACTCATATTAAACAGATTAAACAGCCGACAAAGCAAGGGCGTTGTTACGAGGGGTTACCTAGGTATTGCTGGATTGATAATGGAATTTGACAGGCCTAGGCGGGTTATCGAGCGCTATCCCCTTAAGCGCCAGAAGGCTACAGGTATGTACGATACAGGCTGACTGGGTCCTATCTGATCATCTAACATAAAAGGGCCTAAAAGATCTACAATTACACAATTTCGATTATTTTCAATCATCAATACATCAGGATTGACATAAAAATATCTGGCTCGAAGAGTGGGTTTGTATAGTAACTTTCCCTTTGGAGACCTGTAGCTATCTGGCGCTTAAGGGGATAGGAAGCACTTGAGATATTGAGGCACTCGGAAATCACCACCAATCTTGGAAACCATTATAGACTCATTAACGCGTAAAAATTTTATAGCACATTATTAGAAAAAAGCTTTCTAGAAGTTTTCTAGAAACTCCGTCAGCATACAAATATCTAAAAATAGAATAGACCACGCTAGGTACCCAGGTATGTAGCTGGGTAGATACTCAGTTACCACGTTACATACCTACCTAGGTACCTACGACTTGACTCTACGCCCCCGCTCTAGTGGATTCGCCAATTATGCTAGGTATCTTGGCTAGCTAGAGCTAGGGGTTGAGATATGCCGAGATAGCCTATTGCAGCTTTTCATATAGGGCTAGACTGACGATCATTACCGTGTGGGGAGAGCTGTAATCCATGGGGCTGTTCGACGATCACTACACGACGTCTCGTGCATCTAAATAAATAACCCCAGATCTTGGAATACGAGCTTGAGCCTCATCTGCTTTGTTACATTCGCTACAGTTTACGGCAGAATCGGAGATTCCATGACATCGCATTATTCCGGTCATGTGACGGTCGAAAGACCACCACAAGACAGGCTACGTCAATACGAGTTTTACAATGAGGGTCTAAGTGGCTGAGGCCAATGCCCAACCGAGATGGAGTCAGCTCACGATAGGTAAGGAATACGAAAACTAATTTGGAGTCATGATATTGAAGCTGGAAGAATGTGTATAAAATGTTAGAGGTTCCCCCTCCAATATAGTCTTAACAACACACTATCATCATCATAATCATAATCATCTATCAACAACGATAAAGCAAATCATTCGCTCATCTATTCATCATTCAAATACTTAATCTTAATACTTAAGAATCAAAAATCATTCAAAATGAAGTTCGCCAGCGCCACCATTGCCACCGTCTTCGCTACCGTCGCCCTCGCGGCACCCACTCCGGCTGCTGAGGCTAAGTCCGCTGTCGCCGATGTTCCTCAATGGACCGTTGAAGGTCTTAAGCGGGTTTGCGATGACGCCGACACTAGCTGCACATGGACATTCAGCGTCGATACCCACCTAGCCGACCCAACCCCTTGCAGCTTCACGGTCAAGGGCAGCCCCGCCAGCCAAACCGACTCAGCTAACAATGTCTGTGGACCCTACACCATCGGCTCTGGCTGGAGCGACCAATTTGGCCCCGAAAACGGCTTCACCACCCTTAGCGTCGTCGATGTTGCTCAGAAGCTCATCATCTGGCCTTCTTATTCCGACGCCACTCTTGCTGGTGGCGCCGTCGCTGCCGACCTTTCTTACCCGCCTACTTCCATTGCGTAAATCCCTATACTATAAGGATGTCTAAGGAATACAATCAGGGAAGGATTCACGGACTAGACAAGCTACAGGCGTTTTGAGGAATTTTGGAGCAAATAACAAGGTCTTGTAATTATTAATCCGATAATAAACGATGCATCAAAGAGTTCTTTACCATACTTGTTATTCTCGCCCATCTAGACGTGACTTGATCTTCATATTTAAGCATGTAAGATATCCATGCAGTTGGTGATAATTTCGCCTTAAACTTCCATGACACATTTTCGACGACGGGATATTTAAGGTTATATATACTATTAATACTTAGCTAATCTCCATAAGTCCGCAGGAAATTTGCGTGTGTTTATAAATTACTCTCTCCTTTTCGGTAAGTCCTCCTTTGTCCTTTGTCGTCAGTTTTGTCAGTTGTCTAACATTGGGATATAGGGCAATTGACCTTCTTCACAAAGGACTACACTAGCTATATGACCAATTAAAATCCATTTTGGATTAACAGTACATAGAATCGAAAAATCTACATTGAAACAAAGAAGGAGGCTGTCAAAATGGGCGATGAAGATGATTTTTGGGTTGGCTACGACTGGCAGGGCAAACACGCCACCCCATTCGGCCAGGACGCTGTTTTGGCAGTTGCTAATGACGAACCGGATTTAGAAGACAGGCGTGAGGAAATACGGTATTACAATTATTTATTCCACAGATATCGCGAGGCAGGGGAATATCCGACGAAAAAGGACTCCCCATATTACCCCGAAGTAGAGCCCTATAAGATCCGCCGAGGAGAATGGTGGGGCCACCCATACCCAAGGGAAGGGAAACCAAACCCTAGGGAATATAATCCCAAGATACCATGGAAACAGGAGCCCTATTCGATATATAACCAGGCCACATTGGAGATTAACAACGAACCGAGCATGCGACTGTATGAGCACCAGTCGTTCGAGAAGTTACGGCGAAGATATAACGATACGAGATCATATTTCAGCATTCAGAGCGCCGAGAGAAGTGACGGGTCCCGATGGCTTATTGGAAAAGTCTTAGGCTTTAGCATCTATAGTCTAACCATCAGACTTGACTATTGGCCCCCTCCGGGCAAAGGAGGACATCGGAGTATGGTGGTAAAAGTTCCGGTGAAGACTACGATACCCAGTGTTACGAACGACGGAGAGGGTCCCTTCGAGTTTAGGTTAATGCGCAAAGAATTAAAAAATATAAAGGTAAGTAATTAACGTACCTAGGCACCTAATCATCATGCGCCACTAAGACCTGCTAACGTATTCGTAGCGTCTCCAGAAAGCGGCCCATATCATACAAGCCGTCGATCGAGCAGATGTCGGTATTCCACGCCAACGTTATATTCCGGATGACGACCCCGAGTTATACTATGATTCCAGTGATAACCTAAGCAGTGGAGACGAAAGTCCTGCCGACGAGCCTCCGCCGCCAACTGCCACTCGAAGGGAGCTCCTCGATCAAGGGGGTTATTACCCACAGAAGTGGCACAGGCAGTATGAAAAGTTCGACCAGAGGTCTCAAGATGACAAAAAGAGAAGAATATGGCTCGCTTCTAGGTTCGATCGCCCAGAACCTCCCAAGTCGCTTATAGGTGACGATCCATACGACGAGAATCGTCGTGATTATATACTCTTTGACTTTATGGAACACGGCGACTTGGCAACCCTCATTCATAGAATGCGCCTACTAAATGAACGGGCTCCCAATCGCGTTCTTTGGTCTTTCTTTCTCTGCAGTAAGTTAAAATCCTATATTTGAAACTGATTCAACTTTGCTAATGATACATTAGTGGTCAAATCTTGTATCGCCTTGCAGTAAGGAACCCCCAAACATCTCTTTCTCTTCTGCACTATTGAGAACGCAAGACTCGATAATATTTGATGCTTACTGGTCTTGCCAGCAAACTGCCCTTCGGATATAAGCTAATCTCATGTACTATTACAGATACCCTCCAAGAATCCATCATCCGAAAAAACGAGAGGTAATTGGCCCTGCTTTGGCCCAACTCGAAGCTAGATATGCACGCCTTGGCATCAATGAACCTGGAAACGCTGCAAAATTAGTCGGGAAGGACCTCTTCGAGGAACTTCCAAGGCCCTCTCGTAGGTGGGCTGGAGCACGCTACGTTCATTTTGACATTGAACCTAGGAACAGTAAGATATTATACGTTTTCTTCACCTTCACACAGAAGCTAACAGGGAAACTCTTTAGTACTCATTGGCGACGTGGATGTGAACGCCGAAGACGGCGAACATGCCATAATTCCCAGGTTGAAGGTGAGTTCCTGGTACGAAACAATACTACTTTCTTTCACGTGCTTACTATGGTGTTAGCTTGCAGATTTTCCGCTCATGAGGAAAATAAGACCGAACAAGGCAAAGTAAGTCAAATCACTATTCTTGACTACCTACCTGGTATCTAATTTGGGAATCAGCTAACTAAGGGGTGTGAATATAGCGATTTCTATACCGCCTCTCGTGTACATGGCAAAATGGGATTCCTCGCACCGGAACAATTTGGAGAAGACTGGGAGTTTGTGGACCTCACGCACCTTGCAGGTCCAGAGTTGTCTGAACAGCCGGTGGCCGGAAATTATGGGCCATGGACCAACTTATGGGGCATTGGAATGGTAAGACCTTAGAAGAAACGCATCAGCAAGCCTTGGAAACAGTCTAACATTTATCTATAGGTTATGTGGTGTCTTATAACGCAGCTCCGAGCACCCATGCCACCACAGAAAGGGCCAGAAGAGCCCGGCGACGAATATTTATCGCCCAACTATTGCCCATTGCTCTTCGACAACGAGGAGTTTGGATACGTGGACATAACACTTCGGAGACTAGTTAGGGAATGCCTAAGGCACAATCCTGAAGACAGACTTACGTTACCAGAGCTACTCCCCATAGTGGAGGAAGGAGCCCGGAAGACGTTCTACAAGGAAAGTGATAGGAGAATTACACACTGGGTCAAAAAACTGGTATGTACTGAAAAAGATCCCTACTTGAAAAGATGTATGACTAACTTTGTAGTAGTACGTTAAACGCCTTCCCCATTTCTCACCCTGGGAGAAAGGAGCATCCCTCTATGTAAGATATCGAGTTACTGACAAGTATATTTTAGAATATATAACGGCTCTACCTTAGGCCACCCACGAGATAAACCACCGCCCGTACCAGTGGCAGATTATACCAACGATGCTCTCCAAAATCGAAATCTAGATCCATGGCTGGCTGGCGGCGGACCGGGTCTAGGTGGCCCGGCTGGCTATTTCCCTCCGCACCCAGTCGATTGGGTTGATCCCGACCTCTCCGACAGCCCTCCTCCGAGCAGCTACGATGGCGATGGCGATGATAATGATGATGACGGTGGAGATGGCGGAGGCGGTGGGGGTGGGGGTGGAGGTGCCCCTGATGACGGTGGGGACGGTGGTGTCGGAGGCGGAGGCGGGAGCGGTAAAGATAAAGACAAAGAAAAAGCCACAGAAGGCGGGACTGGGGACAAATTGGTTACCGACGACTTTCATGATCCCGGAGAATGGCTCAACCAGTTCGGAGCGCCCATGCCTCCACCAGGCTCAGAGTCAACCTCGATAACGAATCCACCCTCGCCAGGGTCTATCGAACGGAGGAAAAGCCGACTTGCTAAGTGGCAAGGAGCCAGTTTACCACCACACCTACCACCGATACCGGCTTCACCACCGGGAGGACCATCGCAAGCAGGAACATCACAGGGAGGGGGGCCATCACTTACAATACAGGATCTAATTGCTGCTGCATCGGCGGAGGTACCCGTGGTAACTACACCACCTCCCAGACCAGCATCACCGATCGGGAACCAACCGCCCTCAGGTGGCGCGCCGATGGGATTTCCTGAACTACCGCCACTGGAAAGATTTTTCGACCCATGGGGAAGGGAAGTAGACCCATCACTGGCCCCGCATGCATTCCCTAGGAGACAATGGTGGGGTCCATGGGGACAGGACATGACGCCGTATGATAGTTGGGGGCGACGATTGCCTACATGGATAGATCCCTACGGAAGAGCCTTTTCACCACGAGTGGGGGAGTTACCGTTAAGAGCAACCTGGGTTGATCCATACGGACTAGCTCAAAACCAAAATCGAGACATAACTCGCCCGCGTGGACCATGGATTGATCCATGGGGCCGAACGGCAACACCACCTGCAGGTCAGGAGAATGCACAGATACAAGTGCAATGGGTGGACCCGTCCTGGTCAACAGTAGCTGCTCCTGAAGGGGATGGGATATCGCCAGCGACTTTCCTCGGCGCACCTCAGCCCCCCGTAACGTCACCAACTATAACAACAGCGGCGACGCAGACTACACCCGGAGATACCTCCCCACGCCCAACTGGGGCTGGAAGAGTCCGTCCATCAACGGCTGCTTGGAATGCCGCATCTAGAGCAATAGGAGACGCAGTGTCCAGAGCAACTAGGCCACCGCGCAGGCCTGAAGTATCCGATATAACAATAGCGGGTCCCCCATACTCGCGTATACCGCCAGCACCCACAGCACCTGCGGAAGGTAGTGCGTCCGGATCTGGAGTGAACCGACCGCGACCTAAGAGAAATATTTTCAGTAAGTAACATCCACAAGCCCACTTTAGTTTCATTGTCTTTGAGATAACCCGAGTCCTGTGAAGTAATAATTACTAATATTGAACGATACAGGCTTCCTCCCAGGGCGTAATGCCGGCCGTCGTCGTTAACTTACACGAATATGAAACTACGTTGCTTACAGGTAGGCATCTGAACACATAAAAGCTTACTTAAGATAGTTTATAGCATAATGTATATTAGTTTATGTAACATTTCGCAATTTCGATGCTTGTTTACCACATTCCTTCCTGATTACCTCGCCTTGCACTTATATATCCGCCTATGTGCCAGGTAATCGTTCTCATACGCCGATGGGTATCTCGATAAAAGGAAAGCACAAGGTAGCCTCCTTTGAATGTACTTCAGTCGGGTATCATTTAACCACCCATAATCCATTTCGCTATACGCCCAAACTTCCGCCCGCCCTACTTCATCCCTCATCAATCATAGCCTTCGTCTTTAATCGTCGGCGAAGGGATCGGCTTTGTAAGCCTTCCTAGCATCTTGAAATTGCTCTTCATATTGGGTCGCGAGCAACGAAGCAGCGAAAACGACCTCGTACTGCCAGTACCACATATCATGGTCCTCGAGCCAAATATCCAGGACCTCATTGGTTTCGGTTGGCGTGTACGTACCATCGGGGTTTCGTGAGAGGGTACGGAAAGTTAGATCAATAACTTGCTTAGGCGTAATATGGACGGGGAATTCATCTTGATCTTCTGACGCGTCGCTAAGTTCCTCGGGATCGACTTGTGCTTCCTGCTCTGCTTCGGAAGGTTGTTGTGGCTCGGGCGCCTGTCCCGCTCCTTCAGGTTCTGTTACCGTAAAATCGAATACCGAACTCTTGTCTGAGAGTGTGTCGTCGTCGTCGTCTTTGGGAGGAGCTTCTTCTTCTTCTTGCTGAGCCGGCTCCGGAAGCGTTGAAGACTGTCGTTCTAGGGGAATAGGAGGTTCATAAATGTTGAAATCCTCATCCTCGTCGTCCGCCCAGGAAAACGGTACACTTGGCGGCAACATTTCAAAGGTGGGAGAAGCCATATCTTCACTGCTAGGGCCGACGGGCTCACTCGGCTGAGTAAGATTCTCTGCGCCGGCTTGATTAGTTCTATCGTCGCCTACGAAGAACCCATTTTCGTCGTAACTCGCGATAGCGGCGTAGGAGAACTCACCAGAAACAATTCCCTCTGAACTCACGCCGATGGATTCGACATTCAGAGTCATGTCGTCGAGAAATTCCTCTACGCTCGAGTATTTTCCAACGATAATACAATCCATATCACTCGTCGTGATAACCTTTTCACTCACGAGACGTCGAAGGTATCTCTCGGTGATAGGCCTGACTCTCTTCATAATATCCTCGGTGTCTAAGTCGACGGTTGGCAGGGCAATATCAGACGTACTTATCGCCTCACGTAGTTCCACCACCGTAATCTTCAGATGGTCGAGGTAGTATTGCCGGGTTGTTTCGAATTTCCATTTTACGTCTTGGTCGTTTTGAGTGAAAAGGTGAATATCGTTGCGAATATTTCTCTGTATGTCTGCGTACTTCTTGACCCTTGCGCGTAGCTGCCAGACCAATACATTGACTCTAGAGACGAGGTGGTCCATCTTTGTTGTTGTTATACGAGTGTTCAATTTTTATTTGTGCTTGCTAATGTGATTGCTGAGTGGACGTTAGAATTTGTTTAATGGGGGGGGTAAGAAGTGAACTGCGCTCACGGGAGAATGGAATTTTGGATGGGAACTCTGTCGATCACAGAAGTAATAATTTTTTTGTTCTTGAATATGAGACGAAAGCTTTAGGAATTTTCTTCGCCAGGAAGAAGAAGGTTGTGCCCACTAACACCGTGTGCGCGGAGCACGAGTATGGCAACTAGTGCGGATGCGTTGCTCATATGCACTGGGGAAAGAACAACATGGTTTGTTAACTACAGAACAATGGTCTTGTTAATATTGTTGCGGAACAATGCTATTCAAGAAAATCAATGATTTGTGGCACTGAGCAACATATAGAGTACCGGACTCTTTATGTTATCTGACTTTGCCTTTGTACCATCTCACCAGTAGAACAACTTAGCTAGTGAAAGAATTCTATAGTGACTGTTCTGGATGATCTAAGGAAGCGTATTGTATGTTCTATTATTCTGCACTTCAGGTTTATATATGAAAAAATTCTTCAAATTCTCACACAATTCAACTCTCGGACGCTGTTAAGAAGTCAATATCAAGTCGAGCTAGTCAAAGTCCTATCTCTATAGATCTAAACTATTAAACCTAGAATCCCGGGTGAGATTTAATACGCAAGGTAAAAAGAAGTAAGCGCTTATATAGCAGGATAGCATCTCATGACCACGAGTGAAGATTCTATAATTCGGAATAGCTGCACTTTAAGAATAGGGGATAGGGGGTGGCTTGATGACTAATCCGCGCTGAAGCCGCCCGGGCGTCTGGATAACCGCACGGTCCACAACCAGCCTGTGCGTCGAATATGGAGCCACCTAGGGGCGTGTGTGTAGCCAGCCAGGTACCCGGATATCTGTGCTCATTTGTTCATTTATTTTGACTCACCCACGTACATAGGTATATATACATGCCTGTGTACCTTTCAAAGGTAACTGATGCAATTATGTAAATTCAGTGAGTTGGATAGAATTTATGTATATTTCCTTCGAATCATTCCTTAATCTTCCCCCTAAAAGGAGAAGTATCTAAGTAGAAAACTTGTTATCAGTGACGTTTCAGCTATCCCTTGCTCTTAGTGGACTAGACCCCCAGCCTAACAGACAAATTAGTGGGGCATTTATAGCGTGGTGACTCGCTAAAAAAGCTGGGCTGAATCAGATTCGCCAGCGGCTACCGTGAGACGTCACAGCTTGAAGAGGCAAGGATGCATGCTACACAACGCACCTTACCCCCCTAAATCTACCACGCGATAGGTGACAAGGGTACCCATAATACGTGTATGTAGGGGTTTAGCTTAGGTACTTATCTACCTAGATATTAGCTCTTTCCCTCATCTGGAATTGTACATATCGTTGTCATATCCGTCATCAACTTCATTCTTTCCTTCTAAAAAATATTATTATAATAATAACTCATAATAATCCGTAATCAATTCAAGTAAATACACTGGCCTGGGAAGATAGTCGAGGAAAACCGCGGTAGCGTGTGCGTGTATACGTATAGGCTTGAGTAGCATCGTCAGGCATCATGGCAGAAACAGCACCCCTCTCACCTAAAGAATCCATCCACCAAGCAGGCGGCGGACAACCGGGCGCCGAAGACCGCACAATCAAAGAGGTCAAATCCTCCACATTACAATACCTAGAACAAATCTACGCCGCACACGCCTCTCCCGCCGACAAACAATGGCACAAAGACTCCATCGTCGAGTTCTTGCATCATTCACAGGCCGACAAAGTAACGGAACCCTCATCCGCTGATGTCGCGGCGCGGGATTCTCTCGATTTCGCTGGGTTCTTGGGGTATATGACGTCGTCGGCAGCTAACGCATTAGCACCACCACCTGATCAGGATTTGTCCTGGCCGCTTGCTAGCTACTACATCTCTTCCAGCCACAACACTTACCTAACCGGTAACCAGCTAAACAGCGATTCCGATGCTAGTGCCTATCGAAATGTTTTGTTGCGCGGTTGTCGGTGTGTTGAAATCGACGTGTGGGACGGCGATGACTCCGATGTCGAATCTTCATCGGGTAGTTCCGATAGCGATGAGGATGAAGACGCCAAAGAGATTAAAGCTATTCGGAAGGCCAGTCGTAGGGAAAAACTTGCTTCTAAATTGCCGGGATCGCTGGCTAGTCGGTTCGAGAAGACATCTTTAGGCAAGAAGATTACGGGAAAGGGTGGCGCGGAAAAAGAACCCGCGGCCAAGAAAAAAGACGATGATTCCGCCTCGGGGAAAAGCATCCCGCTGAAGAAATCGCCAAGTCCGCAAGCAGGTGTTGTTGAACCTAGGGTCCTGCACGGTTACACACTCACAAAGGAAGTTTCATTCCGCGAAGTATGTGAGGCGATTCGCGAAAGCGCATTTGTGGTCACGGATTTACCTCTTATTGTCAGTTTGGAAGTTCATTGCTGCCAGCAGCAACAAGAAGCCATGGTCCGCATTATCAACGAGGCTTGGGCTGGGCTTTTACTACCCCATCCCGACGACGATGCCAAATTCCTTCCCGCCCCTGGCGATCTGCGCCGTAAGATCCTCGTTAAAGTTAAATACGCACCGCCAAACGCCGCTTTGACAAGCCCGGGCGGAGAATCCGCGGATCGGCTCCCTCCCGACGCCAGGGCCGACCCGAAATCCAAAACCACCACACAGCAAAAAGTTAAGAAGGCGTCAAAGATCATCCAAGCGCTCTCAGCGCTAGGCGTATACACACGTGGCGTATCATTCAAAAGCCTATCACAACCCGAAGCCAAGATGCCAACACACATCTTCTCCCTATCCGAAGGCGGCGTCGCCGAAGTCCACGAAAGCGAAGCAATGCGACTATTCGAACATAACCGTGACTATCTAATGCGTACCTACCCCTCCGGCATGCGCATCGGATCCTCCAACCTGGACCCCTTAGCTTTCTGGCGCAAGGGTATCCAAATCGTCGCGTTGAACTGGCAAAAATGGGATGAAGGAATGATGTTAAACGAAGGCATGTTCGCCGGCACCGGCGGTTTCGTATTAAAACCCGACGGGTACCGCGGGCGAAAACCTATCGTCGTCGAACCTACCAACGAAAACGGAGAAAAGAAGCCAAACGCAGAGAAGGAAATAGTCCCACTCCCCGCACCAACAACAATCCTCCACCAAACCCTCAACCTAAGCATCACCGTGTACGCCGCGCAAAACATACCCCTCCCCGAAGCCGATGACAAAGAAAGCGGTTTCAAGCCATACGTCAAAATCGAGTTACACACCGAGCCGCCAGCGCATCACTCTGTTACGCGGTCTGGTACGAATTCCTCGACTAGAGCGAAGGAGGGCGAGTACAAAGCGCGCACCAAGACCCAGAGGGGTAAACATCCCGATTTCAAATTCGAAGTGCTATCCGTGGCCAAGGATATCCCCGGCGTAGCGCCCGAACTCGCATTCGTGCGTTTCCTTATCAAAGATGATGAAATTGGACGCGATGATTTGGCCGCTTGGGCTTGTGTTCGATTGGATCGGCTACGCGCTGGATACCGATTTGTGCATTTATTAGATCGTGAGGGACGCGAGAGCGAAGGTGTTCTACTGGTCAAGGTTGATAAACATCTTGCCTAGGAGGCGTGTTGTGAATCGGCTTACGGCGAGTCAGAAGATGAGGGAAGATGGCATTTTAGGAGCGTAGACTGTGGTATTATGTAGATACGGGATATCTGAAATAGCGGGTAGTACGTCTAGGCATCAATCATAGCATGAGAAAGCAAGCGCGCATATAGCATGTAGTTACTTGGGTTTAAATTAGAAAAAAATTTTGTCGCGTACATTAATTGTTGCCGACTTTTTCTATGGTATCTAATAAAAGGAATTTGCCACCCCATGATGATTTCTGAACGCCTATATAATCCCCCACCAACTCCATCCTTTTCCGTCACCTAATTTGCGAATATTCACGAATTACCCAGGTCCGGCTCGATAGAGGTGTGGTTATCCGCCGTAGATATGAGGTTTATAGCAGCCCAATCGCCGTCGCCCTCCATGTTCGCCTGTGCTGCGCGAAACGCATGCAGCCTGGTCTCATACTCGTAAGCGGATATTGTCGACGCTTGTGAGCCTTGGAGGTTTAATCCAAAGTTATCACCACTGTTTTCCTCAGACTCTGAGCCTATACTCTGGTTCTCCTGGAACTCCTGGTAGTTGCCCTTGTTTTGTTGGAACTGGGGCTGAAATATTGCTTCGTCTTCCTCCCGGGCGGATTGTAGGTCACAGTATTGTTCCGGCGCCTCGGGGGTGATTTGTTCTACAATTGGAGACTCTTCGCTATTAAGTCCCTGTAGCTTGGGGGCGCTAGTGGATGGTATAGTGGACGGTATAGTGGGGCTAGAGGGAGGTTCAGGTTGAGACGATAATATTGGCGGAGTTCCAAGATCGTATCCCTCCCCCTTTTTTCTTCCTTCCTTTGCCTCATATTCCGCTGCTAAAATTTTATCGTGCTGATTAAGGCCACCACATAGATCCCCAAATAATTCTTCCATAGTAATACCGCTCTCCATCCAGTCTTCCGGGTCTACTGTGCATGGCCAAATATCGATGGGCCTGAAAGCCTCGATAAGATGTCTGAGTTCAGGTATGGAAGAATGTCGGGCATACGGAAATACAATTCGGTTTGGTAGCGCATCAGTGTCGAAGTTCTCATTGGTCGTTACTGGATTCTGCATAGTTTTTACCTTCTTAAAGATAGACCTGAAAATTTGGTAAATTTGAATGGATTCTTCCGCAGAGTCGTTTATTTCCATATCGAGACCAAGGTCCCTAGAGCCCAGCAGCGCCTTACTCAGTAAATGTCCGTCGCTTAAATGGGATCCGTCTGGTAACTGAAGGTTGGAGTTTACTCTGCGGTTGGTAAGCTTATGGTTGTAATACCTAAGGAGTCACTCTGGACTTACGTCTCCGTCAAGGCTCGAATGTCTTCGATGCCAATACTCAGTCGCTGTATTAGATCTTCACCCCCACCACCGATACCTACCTCATCCACATCTTGTCCGTCTCTAAGATGCGCAACGATAGGTTTGATCCATACAACAGGCTTGTTTTTTATGACAGCGCAGCCCGTTCCTTTTTCGCAACTATGAATGCGGACGTTTTCATCTAATGTTAAGCACCCTTCATGCTGATTGTTACCACAGGTGAACCCCGCGAGATAGGGAGCCTCCTTGGCCAAATGGGTTTGGGCCGCGAAGCGATTATCGGTAGATTTAGTTGCAAGAGATTTATATACCCCCATCTTGTACTTATCGACATGGATCTTGATTTCGGTTAGTAGCAATAATATGTGAAAAAAGGAAGATCCATCACCTTAGAATTGAGCGCTTTTGATAGAGCGATCCAAACGTCTTCATACCTATAATACGGTTAGAGAATAAATTTATGAAGAGCATGTTACCTTACCCGTAGGTCCATGCTTGTATATAAAAAATGGTGTCTTCTGGATAGTACCACACTTGCTCTAGAAGCAAGCGGAGTCCTTCCGCCTTTGTCTGTAAAGGGAAGCCGCCTAACATCGAAGTATCAAGGTAGATACGATTAAGCCTTTGCATCCCAGTCGTATATTCGATCATAGTAGGGTTTCTAACGATGGAATTAACCCACCAAGGCTCACTCCTAATGTCTCCTGTGTATAAGATTGCGGTTCCATCACCTTCAATGACTATAAACAAGATTAGTAAGCTTGTGGAACAATTATGTGTTGGCTTACTTACGGAACATAACAGCGCCAACACAGTGGTTAGCATCCAACAGAGTCACTCGAATAATTTTACCGGGTTCTAGTTCAAGCTCGGTAGGCGTATCGAGAGGAATGGGCTTTAACACTTTGGTAAGGTGCTTATATGTCTGGACCCGGGGATTCTCAAGTATGCCTTTGGCTAGATTCATGCGACAAGGATATTTTTCGAGGCGGAGCAGAATTTCCCTTGTGGCAGCTGAACAGTACACACTTCATCGCTATTGGTAAGCAAAATTGACAAGACAGTTCGCAGTACCAAGTTAACATACAAAGGGCTCCTGAGGACTTCAAGTCCTGTAAGATGATCACTATGAACATGACTCAGAAAGCAGGCCAGCGGAGGCCTATCATTAAACCCGCGAAAGTAATCAATTCTGATGTCAGGGAATTCATGGATGATACCGTTAAAAGTTGACATCTTGGCTTGCGTTTAAGTGGCAAAAGTATGAAAAAAGTTCGGAGAGATCGGAGAAAAACATTTTGATTGAAAATAATACCACAAACTTAATTTTTTAACTCGATGTCCAGTGTTTCACTCTATGCATCTCATTTCAACCTGAGGTATGAAATGAAGAAAGAGGCAACGATGATAGGTACCTGCCGAAATTCATGAGGGGCATTAATCATTAGCCCCAGCCCAGCAGCCCAGCTACTGTAGCTACTATATCCACTATCGGGGCTGAAAGTCCTCCAGGGCTAGTACCTTTACAGTACATTTAGTGGGGGGAAAAACCAGAAAGAGGTATTGGATGTACTAAACAGGTTCCAAGCAGCACAGCCTCAGTGGCTCAATTGCTAGAAAGTTTACTGCGTATTCCCCCTACAGAAACGACGTAATTATTTTTTCTCAACCTTCCACTTTCATCATTCAATTCCATCATCGTCAAATCTAGAAATGCGGGAATCCAGACACCATGCAGTTAAATCTATTCAACGAGTGGATCTATGGATATGATTGGTCATTGACCTTGATGAAAATAGACCGTATCCCAATTACGAAGGAAGGTATTCGTTCCAATTACATCTCTCAGATAAAAATCCTGAGATCGCGTCTGATGGTTGATTACCGGCCGGACAGCAACATGCGTAATACGGCGCGAAAAAATGCGGATACGGCGTATTTATTTCAACATCACCACTGACACCCTCCGTAGTAAATATTCAACATATAATGTGCGTTGATTTCCTAGAACAATACGGAATATCTCTGATCCACAGAACATATTTATCTCTCCGTTGATGAACATTGGTATTGAAAAACATTACCAATTACAACCACTTTCAACATGGCTCACCAAACAAGCCCAGGACAGCCAGAGGCTAAAGTCAAAATCAACCTTACGGGAACGGCGGAAACATTGATGGGACCTTTGATCGCAAGAGCCAGAGATGCCAGAATGCCTCAGCCCGTTCTTGGCGATATGTTCGCCGCTCAGATTCTAGATCAGCTCGACTACGATATCGAAAAGCACCAAATCGACGACCCAAAAGCTACTATGCACGCGGCGCGTGTCGTCTGTTTAGATAAATGGACTACCGAGTTCTTAGCCAACAACCCAGAGTGCACGGTCGTCTATCTAGCCTGCGGTCTTGATAGCCGCTTACAGCGTCTCCAACCAGATATGTCTAGGGTTCGCTGGGTTGATGTGGATTTCCTTGATGTCGTCCAGCTTCGGAGCTCGCTTATTCCTACTCCGGAGGGCGACTACAGTCTAATCGGCTCGGATGTGACTGAGGATGGATGGCTTGAGCAGATACCCGCTGATCGCCCAACGCTTGTTATCTGCCAGGGACTGCTCATGTACCTTGAGGAAGAGCCGGTGAAGCATTTAATTCAGCGACTTATCAACCACTTCAAGTCAGGTCAAATTTTGGTCGATTGTGTTAGCACCGTCATGCTTTCTCTACAGCACCAGGTAGAGACTCTAAATGCGACGGGGTCGACGTTCAAATGGGGTGTGGACGACCCGAAGACACTCGAATCGCTACACCCGCAGCTAAGAATGGTAGAATGTTTAGGCGCGGCAGAACTTGGCGGCTTCTCTCAGATGCCCCTGAGTACCCGATTGATGATGTCAACCTATTCATACCTCCCCTGGTTTCGATATCTCAGTTCCTATTCGAGATTCAATTTCTAGGGTCATGATTCTTTTGGGGATAATGATGTACTATTTATGGCATGAGTTTCTACTAGGGAGTTATTCTTGGTCAGATCTAGGAGATTTAAAGGAAGACGGGTTGTAACCCCCTCTAACATAGACACCAAAAAAGCAAGGATTGGGTAGGAGCGAAGGATTCCGATTTCGTATCCGTTTATACCGGCGTAACGGTAGATATCTAACTCAATGAATAGAAACTGCAGTGCGGTTTTCATCGTCTTCTCAATGATCTATATCTTTTCCCTATCAATCGATCTCTGCATCGCGCCAAGCACAACTTTAAGCAGCGCCTCCGGCGACAACTCCCCTATCCTTCCACTCCACGTAACCGTGTCCACCATATCCCGGATATCCAACGCATCGCTTAACACCTCATCCGCGTACTCCATACCTTGCCGCCCATCCTCCACATTCCCAACCTGAAAAAACTGCACCCCGACCTGCCACGCCGGCGCACCTAACTCATCAAGCGCTCGCGCGGTGCGTATCACGGTGTCGACGGGATTATCATGCGTTATACCCGCGGTAATAACAATTAAATTCAAAGGTCGTAGATGCCGTCCGTAGCACTTGACGTGGTATTTGTAAGTACTCACGTACTCGTCCAAGATACAACTTAATCGGTGATCGAGTTTGCATTTTCCGCTAGGTTTTGCGCTTTCAAATATACCGGCTATGTTGTCGCGCATACCAGGCACGCCGGTTGCTTGGCCTATGTGCTTGTAGCCTGACCGGAGCGCTTGTTGTCCGAGCGCGGCGTAGAAGAGGTACCCCCGTGGGTGGTGGTTGACGAAGTAGACGTCGACGCCGTCGCGGTCGCGCTCTGTGCATATTGGTGCGATTTGTGAGAGGAGGGATCGTACTTCGTTCCAGTATGGTAGCATATTTGCTGAGTCGTCGATTAGGAAGACTGTGTCGAAGTGCGAGAGGAAAGCATATGGGTCCTCGCAGGTGGTCAGATGCTCGCGGGTTAGAGTCGCTTGATGGGCTCCCCGGGTTGGTGTTAAGGCTGGGACTACGATTGATGCGGATGAGCCCGTCGACGGCGTTTCTGACCCATCAGGGGGGAATAAGCGTGCAGGTAGCGTGTCGAGAGGGTAGGGTGTTGGTCGTCTGTTACGATCCATGATGATTGATGTGATCCTTTCTACTAGGTTTCTATAGTGGTGAGTGCCTAGGTATGTCCCGATGAACTTAAGCTTACGATTTCAGAATGTTATATAAAAATTTGGTATTGTCGAGTCGAGTGATGGGTACACGGATTACCTTAGCCAGATCACACTCAAAAAATTCATCTGAACTATCAATTAATACTGGTAAGTTCTGAAAGAACCTAATGACTAGTGAAAGCGCTATGTTATTTATCATTTTGCTATCTGGACTGTGCCTAGGTACCAATTGTAACAGGTTGTGGAAGATGCGATGAAGTTTGTCGCTAGTCACCCTTTGACTACCTAGGTGGGCAACAATAGCCATCCAGATGAAAAAGACCATTATCATGGTGTTACCATCAGTAGTGGTTACCATGAACATATTTCCTTACAGCAAGCCAGTTTTCGGAAACATTTTGGCCATCTGGTGGTGGTGTCTGCGCCTTTTTCCTGTTCCAGGGTCGGGTTACAAGTGTATCCCCATCATTGGTCTGCCACCGTCTAGGCATAAAATTACACGTTAGCTATTGAGAACAACTCATCAGGTTGTCACCGACAGGCAAAATGAGATTTAAACCAGTTCCTCGTCGTAATTTCCCATCAATTCCCCATTCTCGCGGTTATTTCTAGAAATTCGACAATCGTTCCTTGTTCAAGACCCTTACGAACCTTTTATTGAATGATAAATGATCCGACAATGATGAACAAAAAACGAGTAGAGGTCGCGACAAAGGATACCACTATGATGAGTCCCAAAGCTCGGCATTTGCTTCTACATAAAACCACTTTATCAATTCTATCATTTTCTCTTCAATCTACAATACGAACTATTGTCTCAAGACAATTTGAAGATTGTCGCATATCGCACAAGATGCCAGTTCCATCCCTAAAAACAGTCTTTAAAACGGGGAGGATGACAAGGAACGAGCTTATAAAAATATCCAAGGGTATGGATACGGCGCTCAATTGCGTATCACATTTTGAAGGTCTTCAAGATAAAGGGGGTTATGGCTTCGGCCAGCAATTTCCCTACGAACTTTATAAGAATGGGCTCCAACAACGACTCGTAGCAATGTGCATGGCGCATACGCCGGGGGTACACGTGCTGGATTATGTCGGGTATGACTACTCAGCTGCTTATGTTGGGAGGGAGTTCGCCAGGTTCCTGCGCGTGCGTAATCAGGAGAGTGCCGTGGTTCTCAGGGTCTATGTGAAAGATCGAAGAGCTGCGCCGAAGATGATATTATTACAGCTCATCGGATCGCTGATTTGGAACATGATCAGTCTCGTGCCTAGTGAATTTGATGGCTCTGAATATTTGCGGAGTCGACTTTTTGAGGAGCTGATGAATTGCGGTCCTAATAGCTTCGATGCTGGATTGAGGATACTAGAAGCTCTGCCATTGCTGGAATTAAGTGGTAAAAAGATGGTCTGCATTGTTGACGGCTTAGATCTTGCGGAAGAGGCGAGAACTCTAGGTCAACTACAGAGCTTATTAGCCGTCTTTCGAGGTGTGATTGCGAAGAATCGTGGGAACATCTTGTATACAATTAACAGGCGAAGTAGAATAATTCGATAGAATAATGCATGCGAAAATATACTTACGATGTCGAAACTACAAGACTATGCATCATCTTGTGGCTAATGCGTGATACCCCATGTAAATACGAGCAAAAGCAACGCGCTTCGATCCGGTAGTTCGGATCCCTTCCCACTCCCCCTCACATGAGAGACTCCCATATCGTCATGTCATCATTGGTTTATCTACGTTGCCAAGCTCAAAGAAGACCTAGATGCGAATCAGCACAGCGTTCCTACTTGCCAAGGCAACAGGGGCAGACTCTCGACATTCCTAACAAGGGAAGGCTATAAGGGTAATTAAGCAGCTACCCTTCCCCACGGTAGCATCAAGGCGCTGTAATTTATCATTCGCAATTTGCGCGTGGATCGCGAGCGAGCTATGCCGAGCCTCCAGTTGATTATTCCAAGGGCCATGAAATGTATAAAGAGAGGATGGGGGTAGCCCCATTTCTATTTCGTCATTCTCGTTTATCACCTCTTTGTCTTAGGGAATCTTACCCGGTTCAATAACCACGCAGGTACCTGAGAAGTCGGTAACTGGAGCTCGAGATTTCCAATTGCCCTTTCATCATGGAGCTGACGACTTGGGTCCTCGTGGGCGCGACGCTGCTGCATTCAGCAGTTGCCATTCAACCCGCGCGACAACCACATCAACCAACCGGCAATGGCGAAAAGATTCTAACGTGGAATGAAACGATGGTGAACAACCAATTCAGCGCTAGTTCCACATCCGTGAATTGGCTATCCGGCGGAGAGGATGGACAATACATCTACGCTGGCGATGGCGGGGCTCTGATCCTAGAGAATTTCATCACGGGCGAGAGTTCGACTTTCGTCGCCGCGGACCTGCTTCCAAGTGGTGTGCATGAATATTGGATTCATCCGGATCTTTCTAAAGTGCTATTCTCGACGAATTATACAAAGCAGTACCGACATTCGTATTTCGCCGATTACTCGATTCTCGACGTGGTGTCCGGCGAGCTGACGCCGCTAGTAGAGGATCAAGTTGGCGACATCCAGTACGCTGAATTCGCGCCCGTGGGTGATGCGATTGCATTTGTTCGTGGCAACAATCTGTACTTAAATAAAAACGGTACTATCTCTCAAATTACGGATGACGGTTCCCCTGATCTTTTTAATGGAGTACCGGATTGGGTATACGAAGAAGAAATCTTCGGCGACCGCTCCGCGATTTGGTTCTCTCCTGACGGTGAGGTGCTCGCGTACTTGAGCTTCGACGAGACCGGTGTCGAGACTTTTACTGTGCAATATTTTACGGATAATTCCGATGAAGCGCCTGTTTACCCACGGGAATTGGAATTGAGATATCCTAAGGTCGGCACGACTAACCCGACCGTGAATATAACGCTTTTGAAGATCGAGAGCGAGGAGAAATTGACAGTACCGCTAGAGGATCTATCGGAGAATGACCTGATTATTGGTGAAGTTGCGTGGGTAACATCTGACCATAGCAGTGTTGTTTACCGCATCTTCAATCGCGTGCAGGACTTTTCGCAGCATGTCCGAGTTGATGTGGATGATGAGAATAATAAAGCTACTACCGAAATCATTCGCACGCGAAATGGAACTGATGGATGGTTAGACAATGATATCGGCATCAAGTTCGTCGGGCCTGTCAACGGTTCTGATGTTGATTATTATGTCGATGTTTCGGACGAGTCGGGCTGGCAGCATATTTATTTGTATGCTGTTGACGGGTCAAGCGCTATAGCCCTCACTGAAGGAGAGTGGGAAGTGACCGCTGTTCTTAAGGTTGACACTGAGCGGGAGCTGGTTTATTATACTTCTACTAAAGCCGACAGCACTGAACGCCACCTATATTCAGTGTCTTACTCCACGCTAGAATCGAAAGCTTTAGTGGATGATACCGTCCCTGCAGTCTGGAGCGCATCGTTTTCTTCAGGTGGTGGGTACTATATCCTGAGCTATTCAGGGCCCGATGTTGCCCTACCAGGAATTATACGCCGCTAATGATACCTCAACACCTCTTCGAACAATTACCTCAAATGAAGCACTTTGGAATAAGTTGCAAGACTATAACTTACCAAATCTTACCTATTTTACACTTGACCATCCCGACGGATACAGCTTAAACGTGTTAGAACGACTCCCACCAAACTTCGACCCTGCTAAGAAATACCCTGTCCTATTCACACCCTACGGCGGTCCCGGCTCGCAAGAGGTTCTAAAATCATTCGAATCAATAGGCTGGAACGCCTACATCGCATCCGACCCAGATCTAAATTACATTCAATACACCGTTGACAACCGCGGCACCGGTTTCAAAGGTCGAAAATTCCGCGCATTAGTCGCTTCCAACTTAGGTGAACTCGAAGCCGCCGACCAAATATGGGCAGCGCAAGAACTTGCCGGGAGGAATCCCTTCATCGACGCTGATAAAGTAGGGATCTTCGGGTGGTCGTTTGGCGGGTACTTGTCTGCTAAAGTGGTAGAAGCGAACTCCGGGGCGTTTACTCTAGGCCTTATAGTGGCCCCCGTTAGTGATTGGCGCTTTTATGATAGCATGTACACTGAGCGGTACATGAAAACGTCGCAAATAAATCCCGGTGGTTACAACAAGTCCGCTGTGAGGAAGACAGATGGTTTCAAGAATATTGCTGGTGGTTTCGCTATTCTACATGGCCTTGGTGATGATAATGTTCATTACCAGAATACGGCGGTGTTGTTGGACCTCTTGGTAAAAGCCGGTGTCCCACCTGCCAAGATGCAGTGGCGTGTTTTTACCGATAGCGACCATGGTATCTCCTATCATGGAGCATCGACATACTTGTATAAGTTGTTGACTGAGCTGCTTTATCGTGAGAAGGTAAGGGTGAGCGAGGGGTTGGTGCATCAATGGGCACGAAGGGCAAGGTCTTGGCTTGTTGGCGTTAAGTGAGGATTATTTAGCTAAAAACAAACTCAATCTATGTGAATTTCTACCTACAATTTTGGTATCTATTAGTTTGAGATTAATATGTTTTGGTATATTCAAGGTTTCCTAGAAGATCAATAAGGGATGGGGGATTTCTTAATACCTGGCTAAACGTAACACAGCCACTGAAACCTCTATGTTTCGAAAACAATATCAAACAATTAAACGGGAAACAATTACTTGATCAAAGTAGCGGGATTTGAAAAAAACCTTTTCTGATAGCCTACCTAGGCAGAGAACAATTCGAATCTTAATTGGCGGTCTCGCAATTACAATATGAGGCTCGGGCACCGTACAAGGTGGAGGGCAATTAAGCCAGTACCGTGGTTCACCACGGCGCAGTTTAGGGGTAAACCACCTATATAACGAAGGTCATCAGCACACCTCACAATAGTTACAAGGAAAAAAGCAGGTCGATATCAAAGTCAATCCATTATATAATATCTACCCAAATAATACCCATCACAAGCTCGACCCAGTCGCCCGTCACCAAGTACCTGCACGATGCACCGCCAATCCCTCACCGGAGCCCTCCTGCTCTTCGCCACACAAATCAGCGCCCTAGCCGCACCCGCAGCATCCATCGACACAGGGAACGCAAGCACCAGCGCTAAATGCTGGTATGGTAACGACTTCCCCGCAGAAACGAACTGGTTATCCTTCGACGCGCTCTTTGAGAAATGGCGGCCGGATCTGCAAGCCCAAGGTGACACCGAGCAAGAACTAAACACCATGAAAGACGCGCTGCAGAAGTACTCGCAACAAGGTGGTTTCGACCCGGCTCTTGCGATGGCGATGATGATCCAGGAATCCCATGGAAATACGTGTAGTTCGTGCGGCGATGGTGGGATTAGCTGTGGCTTGTTACAGGTGCATGGTGCGCCGAATAGTTGTGCGAATGGTGCGCACCCGTGCCCTGATGCCACGATTCAGAAGGGTATTGAGTGTGGAGCGGTGGGTTGTGACGGGGGTTACGGGAATAGTATTAAGAGCTGTGTTGCGAGCCAGGGACAACAGTGGGGTGCTGTGCTGCGGTGCTATAACAGCGGTAGCGTTACCGACCCGAATAACCTACGCGTCATAACGTACGGAAACCCGGTGTATGTTCAGAATGTAGCGAATATCCTGTTAGGTGCCGATTTTGCTGAGGTCGAGCAGTTGAGCGGATCGGGATGTGGATTTTAAACATGTTGAGGGCGTGATGGTGGTATTGAGGTTCAGTTCTATTGTATATATTCTGTTCTCGCACTCGTCTGAGTCGCTTAGTTTTGTCAATGGAGTTGTGCAGCAATTATTCAAATGCATTCTGAAGGGCGGTATTGGTCTTGTTTATCTTCGCCCATTCAAGACTCTTAATCCATAACCTTTCCTGTTTGACTTCATCGCGGCTCTCAGGCGAGCTCTCATCCTTCTCTAGTAATTCAAGATAGTATCTTTCGCCAGGGTGAACATGGTCAAGCGCAAGCTCGATAGCGTCGGCTGCAGACTCAGATGCTAAGCGCATCTGAGGATATTGATGCCTTGCCAAAGGTAACAATGGTTGAACGATGTATTGAACGAGAAGTCTCGTCGATGTTGCCACATTCCTGTCAAACAGGCGGGAGTCTACGAGACTTCCCGGGTTGTATGTTACGGCGGTAATTCTCTTGAGACTAGGGTCCTTTGAAAATTGTTAAATGGGCATGGTTCAAACGCAAGGTAATCGCATACCTTCTCAAGAAAGCGATTGAATGCATAAGTCCAGGCGGTGATGGCCAACTTAGAGTTGCCATATCTATGAAACCCGGCACCAGCTTTGTCAACATTCGCAACGGGCCTGACAAGTAGATTGAGATCCTCAGGAATCACCGGTGGAAATTTCTCTAGAATAGCTCGACCAGGGCTATGCGCCTCACTAGAAAACATCACGATACGGCCTCCATCTAGCGCAAAGTTATCGAGGAGCCGAAGTACTAATGCGACTTGAGAGATGTGATTGATCTGGAATGTTTTGTCGTAGCCATCCGATGTTGTCTCAGGATCGCCAACAAGATTCCAGTAGCATGCGTTGCATAGAATTGCCTTCAGAGGCGGAACTCGCTTCGCTATTATCTCATCGGAAAGCGTCGTCGCAAAATCATGTACCGAAGACAGGCTGGTAAGATCGAGTTTGCGAATTGATGCATCCACCTCAGGGTATCGTGATATTGTTTCCCGTAACTTTCGTGTAGTGGGATAGTTGTCGGAATCATCCCGAACAGTTAAAATCGCTGTGTATTTCGGATAGGTCCGAAATAAATATTCCACAGCGGGAATCGCTAGTGTTCCGTTGGCCCCTGTAATCAGAATCGCCCCAGCCATAACTTAGCGCTATCCCACTAATCCAGCGTAGAAATTTAGGGCATGTTTAGAGAGAGGGGAAAGACTATAGGGTGAATTTATAGCGTTTTATCTTTCGCAATTATCCATTCTATTTGATTTTCTGACGGAGTTGAGACATTATTACGCTCTATATCCACTATTCTACTCATAATCATCGATAAATAATTATAGAATATATCAGCCTATTAGAACATGATATTCACTCATCATACTACCTTCAGCATGGGTTGTTACGTGGATATTGGAAGAATAGTTTGAAGTAACCTCGTGTTATACCTGGGTAGGTGCCAATCGTGTATCTACAGCGACCGTCATGCCTAATAGGGACGAAACTCTGCTAGAAATAGGTATCTAGTCGGCTACCAACAGAAGATTTGACGCCATCCGACGCACCTATAAAATCCGGTGTGAATACCCCTGCTTCGTAAGTGATTAGCGGTCGCTGAAGGGATCAATGTGCTGAAAACACCGCTATAACGCCTATCTAATAGCCAATACCTACCCCAAATACTGCCTAAAGCCGGTACCCAGGTAGCCCACCATATCCATCATTGGGCTTTAAAATCACTGTAATTCTTCGATAGCCGAGATCCTAGCAACCTATACCCTACCTCGTGGAATATCCATTACCATGGTATGAGACGCTGAACTACTGCAGAAGTCCCGCATTCCCGTCCCGCTGTAAGGGATCCGACCCGCTTCCGTAGGTACAGTTCCGCTGTAGAACCCCTGCTGGATGGCGCCATCATCAGAAACGTGGCAGGTAAGAGACAGAAAAGGTAAATCTTTCCACCTTGTTCATATTCCATCTTCGCGCCGTGAAGTCCTTGCCTTGCTTTCTTGTCGCTAATGTGTCGAAATCTCCCGCGCGTTCTTCATACGATTGTTAAGAATTCGCTTACTACGTAGGGAGTTGACGGTTTTACCATCTCCCATTGAGGTGTTCAGTTCTTATGAGCATTAATACAGGCGACCTCTGATTTTCGAAGCATATCACGAAATCCTTCGCAGTCCTACGTCACAATCAGGTAGGCATCCATATAACTTAATGAACGTCTTATTATATGGCGAGATTAATCCAACCAAGTATTGCAATTCAATACCCTACATGCTGCGTTCACATTACGATTCCCGCTTCGTTCGCTTTGTCTTGTTCTGACAAATTTCCCGCCACCCCTCGTTTCTCCGTCGACTCTCTTCCTTCTTCGGTATCGTGTTGCGAACCCTCGACGACTTCCCCGCGAATCCCTTGATCCTTTTCTTGCTTCTCCTGTCGTCGCGTAAACCACATAACCACTGGTAGCCAAGCCGATAAAGCCAGCGACGCAGCGAGACCAGCACGATAACCCCGATAGAACCGAGGCGCTTCCACCGTTGGAACGAATACCTAATAATATCAGAATTAGTACCGGCGAGACGGGAATATGTGAATAATGATGGGACTCACCTGGTTCCACCAAGTACCTTGAGCCAAACCAATTGAATTCAGTGCACCAATGACGATAGCTCGCTCTTCCGCATCCCCAGTGCACACCCGATGCGTCCAGCTCACAATGACCGGGAATAGTGATTGGATAGTACCAGCGATATAGAATGCGAAGAAGTGAGCAGGCTTCCCCAGGTTCCACGCGACCAACATAGATTCTGACACAATCTGAGTCATACAGATCAATATCACCGACTCAACCTGAGACCCCCTCCAATCGTTATAGGTTCCCGACACCAACATGAAGACGATTGAAATAGCCGAGTATACGGTAGGTAGGTTATTAACGTCGGGTACCGAATACTTCTCCGCTTTGAGCCATAGCGCCATGGTCGATGTGGTTGGGGCTTGATAGACGAAGTACATGAGCGAGAACCATGTGCACTACATTAAGTCACATTAGACGTAGTCGGGGATTTGACCAGCTTATGACGTTACTTACCAAAATCCAGAAATGCCACCTCCCAAGGACGCGCTTGAAAAGGGATCGATCGAATCGCCCTAGCGGTTTGCGGTTATCGGCTTCGAGGCGCTTCATACACATCTGGCGTTCCGTTTCTGTCATCCACCAAGTGCTCTTCTCATATAATGGGTTGGGGATAATGATCAAGCCGATAATGACCATGGGGCAAGTTATCAAAAAGTCTATTGCGAAGAGACAAGTTAATACACTTCCCGAATTAGTCATCAAGATTAAGGGAGGGGGTATATCGTACCGATAATGAAGAGCCATCTCCACCCTCTGATACCCAGGTGGCCATCAATGGTTTGATAGATTCCAGCTTGGATATAACCCGAGAACATAGTGGCTGCAATCCCTGACGCGGTGAAGATACCGCTCCTCTTGTTGATTTCATGATTGCGGTACCATGTTCCAATCTATACTCAGTTAATTATATGTTTCTTCGACATGTGGGAGCTTGACTCCCCCCGAGGGTCTAAGGTATCTTAAGAAAACCCAAGAGAACGCGGGGTGTTCTTACTAAGAAAGTGTAAGTATTCGTGAAATTTTTGGTGAGTGTGATACATCCAACATACCCATGAAATGCAAACCCGGCCAACTAGCTGCCTCGACGAACCCGACGCAAAATCTAACGGCATAAATCTGTTGCGCAGTTTGGCATTTATAAATAAACAGCACAAAGAACGCCCATAAAAATTCGGCAGCCGGAAGATACCATCGTGGCGAAATTTTCGTTAACAAGATCTGCGATGGTATTTGGCCGACGATATATCCAATTTGAAACCAAGTGACCATCCAGTTAAGTTCGTTTCCATAAAGGCCCAGATCTTCTTTCATGCCCGAAACATAGGCATTATTAATATTGTTGCGATCGAGGTCCTTCGCGAAGAAGGTCAAGCAACAAAAGGTAAGAATGGCAAGATCGAGTTTCTGCACAAGTTTCTTTTCTTCTTTCGAAGTACCAGGTCGAGTCCAGAAGTAAAATTTTTCACTGGTCTTGGGTGCGATCAACGCGTCGTCCGGAGTTGTCTCGACTGCGCGCGGCTCCACTGTATCGTCCGGGGATTGATCTTGTCGGCCGACGCCTAGCTTCTTCTTCCAAAGGAAACCCATCGCAAATTACGTACGGAGAACAATAAGATGGGTCGACGATGGTATGATGAAGCCAGTTGGGTCCATCTAAGATGGGGATGGGAACCGATGGTGAAATACTAAACACCAGACGCGTTATCACATTATCTCACCTCATTATTATCACGGTAGACTGCCTAGACTACGACGTTGATAGGGTAGGTATCTAAGCGACCCCTATCTCAATTAGGGTCCCATAAGAACCAACTGCATATGGATCTAGACCACTAGCGTGAGGGGTTTCCAGGGGAATGGTTCCCCAGAACGCGGAGATAGGTCCTTACTATATCTTGGCGAGTTAGGTAATTATCATAGCGGCTTTTCCCCGAATTTGACAGGGGAGTAGGGGAGTTATCCGGGGGTGGGGAGGAACGGTGGACCGGGAGCGTCGGCTTGATGCGATGCTGCATATGCACACAGCTTATATCCGACTACAGTTAATGATCAATAGGTATATAGAAAACAGCTTAAGTTTAGGTGTACCATGGAATATCATGTAAAGAAGGATATGATGTTAGCCGTTAAGACCTACGCGGCCCGAAATACGGAATCATGGTGTCGACCGGTTTAACGAAGGAAAGCCCCATTATCATAGTGGGCGCTGGTGTGTTTGGATTATCAAGGTACCAAAGACCCTAATTTTACATGTTTCACTTGAAGGGGGGCTAAATAATTATTTTCAAGCGCTTTGCACCTTGCAAAAGCTGGGTATAAGAACATCACGGTTTTTGATAAACAACCATACGCAGACAATGCTTATTCTACAACGGATGGAGCCGATGCGGCATCTGCCGACTTTAATAAGGTCATGAGGATGAGCTACGGTGAAGAGATCGAGTACCAACGACTTGCATTTGACGGCATCAAGACTTGGGATGCATGGAATAAGGAGATCCAGTCATCAAGGCCGGAAGACCTACCCCGCGGTCTCAAACCGTCGGATCTTATATGGAACAATTGCGGATTCCTTCGGATGAGTATTGACGGGGAATTATCGCCGATCGAACGGGCGACACTCGCGAACTTGACTCGTGAAGGTTTACGTCAGACTCAATTCATAATTGGTGACCCCGAGGACGAGAAACGAGCTAGATCTCACTTTAGAAGTGGGGAATGGGAGAAGAAATCTGACCCGTTCGGACGAAGGAGACAGGGGAAGAAACTCGTTGGTGTTTTCGATTCTACTGCCGGGTTTGTCGAAGCGAGTAAGGCATGTACATGGGTGATGCACCTTTGCCGCAGAAGTGGCGTCCGGTTCATCCTGAGCGAGAAGGAAGGACAGGTCGCTTCATTCATCAAGAACAAGAGTGGCAAGACGACTGGTGTACGCACCGCGTCTTGTACCGAATATCAGGCCGAACTCGTGGTACTAGCAGGTAAGTCAACCATCCGATGTTGCTAAAAGGGGGGCATTAGTGCTGTGCACTGACAATAAAGCTACAGCTGGTGGTTGGACACCCTCCTTATTTCCAGCCGTATCATCGCTTCTTGAGACAACCGCTGGGAGTGTAGTATACTTCCAATTACCGCCGAAAGATCAAGCACCGGATCTTTGGGACAAGTTTTCTCCGGATAATTTTCCAGTGTTCGCTTATGGAGGATGGTCGAAGGGCCATGGTATTGGTGGCTTCCCACGAACGGAAGATGGAATCGTGAAGATTGGGTACCGCGGTACCAAGTATACCAACTATGAGGACGTTCGGGATCCCACCACTGGTAAAACGCACCGGATTAGCGTTCCAAAGACGAGATATTGGCCACAGTCTTATGATCCCGCTATCACTAAACAAGCGGTCGATGCTATTAAGGAGGTAGTAAAGGAAGCGATGCCTGAGCTTACAGCAATTGGAATCACTGGTTGCAGGAACTGCTGGTACATTGATAGTCTAGATAACGGATTCCTTGTCGACCGTGTGCCCAATGATGACGGTATGCTCATCTGCTCGGGAGGCTCCGGTCATGGGTTCAAATTCCTTCCAATTCTTGGCCGGGAAGTCGTTAAGATCATCGAGGACCCAACGGCTAAAAATACCTACGGCAAGTTATGGCAATGGAGAACTAAAGATGCTAGCGCAAAAAATGGATTAGAACAAGGGGAGACGGGTCCTAGAAACTGGAAAAGACAGATTATGGCAACGAAAGAAGACTGGCAATTTAGGGAGAGTTCTAAGCTCTAATCAATAAGCTGTGCTAAACGCTTTTTTTTCTTATCTCTTTAAAAAAAAAACCCTTATTTGCAGAGTAATTGCAGAGTGTTCGCCAGGCTTGCTGGTGACCCTTCGATCTACAGTATCTAGGTATCTAGTACTTCTTTGGGTACCTGTATTCTTTTAAGGTCCACTATCTTTTTTTTTTCCCTCTTTTTTCTCTTCTTTTTTCTCTTCTTTACCTACCTAGGTAGGTAGGTAATGTAACGTACGCTGGGCCCTCAGTCCAATGCACTATTTTCAACGACCTCGGAGTCAGTTTCATCAACTACATAGGCTCCATTAGTATTCTTGGCCTGAACGATTTATCCAGGTAACGTATCAACGTACTCGAGATCAGGCTGAAATTCTTTCCTAACTCATTGATATCATCCTCTTTAGAGTTGGCCGCTTTGGATTTTATGGAGGCACCATCCTCCTTATCTATTTCCGAAGTGTTGTGTTTTATATAGGCGCCGTAAATTTTCTGATACCAATCCAGATCGTATTTGAGCTCGTTCCACTCCCAATGACCAATGATCTCGTCTGTCGTGACTTGCCATAGACAAACATATTCGTCCTTGTAGTATTCCCCTTCCCGTCCGTAAGGATCCTCAATTTCATAGCGATTCATCTCCGCTGTAACGTCAAGAATGGGCAACCCTTTTCGAATACGGATATTTGGGTTTATAGCTGTTAACATAAAATCCTTGCGTCCCTTTTTGGACCACTTCTGAATTAACTCTTCGATTCGGGTCTCTGAGTTTGTAAATGATATATATGGCGTACCCTTGCTCCAGTTTCCATGATCAACATGAATGGACAAAGATTCTCGCCTTGATTGGCTACTGCCGAGGCACATATTTTGATCCCTTGCTATCATTCGCCCGTCTTCCTCTGGCCGGCTCCCTGAATTTCGATTCCAGACCCTTAACAAAGGTCCCCTAAAAGGGAGCTCGGAAGGTGCTTTCCACGAATGTCTATTTTCCTCGTCTCCAGACAACTGATCCCTGACGGTTTGCTGATTTAAAATAGGGTATTCCATAATGTATTGACCCCGCGTGGTAGTTATGGGTGGTTTGGGGTCCATTATTATGATAGAAAACCGCGGATGTAAGACAACTTCTTATATTCCTAGGCACTACTATTCGTACGACGTCACAGACAGAAGATTCTAGCTTTGTTACACATGCACAGAAACCCCGCTTCATGCCTGAGAAGGACCAAATATATCACAATTAGACCATCTGCATCATCGAGCACCTGCCATTTGCTGCCACGTAGGTACCTCATACCTATCATCTTGCTGTTTGCGTTTCTCGTTGGAGCTCGGTGAGATTAGGTTTAATGGGGGGAGGTGGGCGCATCGGGTATGGTGCAAGCTGGGTTAGAATTGCATATTACCATTGGTGTAGGATGAAATTTTAGAAAAGTCGGAAGCGGCCCAGACGGGGTGTTTGAAAGGCCTCAAGCGATTAACCTATTTTTACGGTCACGAAGAGTTATGAAAAACGCTTATCAATTTGCGTGAAAATGATGCCTATATGTTATAGGTGCCCCTAGGACTCGAGGTTTTGGGATCTGATAATAGCATCCCCAATGTCACACGCGGCCTACAGAACGGGCCGTTCCGCTTAGACCATAGGGTTTGAGTAGGTACTCATCCTTACATGTATAGATGGACCAGTAAGGTTTTACCCCTTTTTGCAGCCACACTGTAACGTAATGTGAAAATAACCTTATATTATCTGTAAGACTTGTGGTATGGCTTTTTATAAACGATAAGACGTGAATAGCTTCCATAGCTGAAAGTAACCCTTCCCTTAGCACAACTCTGAATTGAACTCAACCAGCCCAAGCTTCACATATTCACCCTTAAAAATCTAACGATGTCATTAACACCCTCGGGTTCGTTGATCCAATGCCCCCCCTCCTCGTATTGCTTCCACTCTATCGTTTCCATATGGGCACTTAGAGTATCTCGAAGATGTTCCCCGTTCCCAATGGGAACCACGTCATCATCTAAGGAATGAGCTAGGAAGACCGGGGTTTTTCCTGCTAGATGGTAGATCGGCATAATTGAAAGATACGCGGCGAAAGGAGGTATCCAGCTGGAGAGGCCGATTAATCCAGCAAATTGTGTGTTGCCATCTACGAAGAATGTCGAGATTGTGGTCGCGAAGCCTTGACTAATCCCTGCTAAGAAAATTTTATGCGTAGGTATTGATATGGCTTCTTCTCGGATGATATCGAGGATCTGGGCGATGCTGTCTCGTAGGCCGTCCTCTTGGAATTCCGGTCGTTCATGAGGGTTCTCAACAGACCACATATCGAACCATTGGGGCATTTTTTCGACGTCGAATCTTTCGGCACGCAGAAGTGGTGCTTGGGGAAATACCCATTTAATTGTAGGGAAGAGGTCTGGCAAGGTCATTGGCTGTCCTTCGGGCTGTGATGCTTCACTCTCGAAAAGTTCGCTTGAAAATTCTTCAGCGTAGCTGTCCCGACCGTGCAGCCATATAATTGTGTGTGTGTGGCTTTCTCGCGGGAGAACAATGGTAGAGGTCATTTTGGGGTTCTGGTTGTTTTCGTAGACTCCAATGAGACGATTTTACCGAAAGGTGTGAACGAAGTGTGAAAGTAGGTAGTTATTGTGTGGAGGTCGAGAGTGGTTGTTGTGTGATAGGAAGAAGAGGGGATTGGAAGAAAAGGACTGTGATGATGAGCGATGACTGATTGTTTATAGAAGTTATTTTGAATTGTGGTGAGAATTCAATAATTAAATAAAATAGTTAATAGTGCATTGTAAGGTTTAGGTACGGTCCGCTCTAAGAGGTAGCTTTATATCACTCGCTTTTTCAATTGAGCAGCTATGACTTTTTATATCTTTTTTTTTACTAGCTCCTCAGCTATGACTAGGTTGTCGTCCCCTTTTATATGGGGCATTAGCTGTAGGCTATAATTCCTCATCATTAGTGACAAAGGTAGGATGAAGAAAAGAGTTAGTTCTTCTGATGAAATGCCTTTGCTTATATGTCCCCGTTCCCTCGCGCTTGGAACCTTAGCTATGCACGTGTGATCTGAGGACGCCTGAGAAATTATAAAGAACTGAAGCTTTAGTCAACGGAGACGCCCGCACTGATGCTAGCCGTATTGCTACGTGACGTATGGTTTTATAGAAATTATTCCAAAGTCACGCTTATATCCTCTTTCACAGTACTCATGGATTCTCATCAGTTCCCCAGCCGCCACCACCTGGTGACTTGATAATGAACCTCTCGCCAGCCTGTAACTTTACAAGGCCACGAGGACCAAGGCTTACTAATCTCTCCTTCTCTCCCGTCTTCCTTATGATTAGATTCTCCCCGGGAGCGCCGTCTTCGCCGCCGTGAAGTCCGTAAGGCCGACTAACTCTTCGCTCGGATATCATGGAGAATGTGAGGGGTTCTCGACACTCGATAACTCGGACAACACCATTGCCACCATTATATTGACCCCGTCCCCCTGAACCTTGGCGAAGAGAAAATTCCTTTAGTATTATCGGGTAGCGCTTTTCCATAATCTCAACGTCTGAGATGCGAGTGTTCGTCATGTGGCAGTGAACGGCACTTGGGTTTTACATGTTAGTTTGGGAACCTGGATTTACTCCATGAATGGGGGCTATGCGGCTTACCTCGCGCCATTCCACCCAGGTCCTGCACCTGATCCACCGCAGATAGTCTCACCATATGCGAATTTGTAGCCGTCATTGGGATTTCTATCTCGACCTCCAAAGAATCCGACACTATTCATACACCCTTGGCTGGCAGCACACGCCTATTAGATGAATATTAGTTATTGATTATTTGGAAGAGAAGAGGTGAGAGTGCGTACGTCAAATGCCCTTAGGATAACGTCAACTACACGTTGACTCGTCTGGGTATTTCCGGCATACACCGCCGCTTGGTCGCTGGGGTTTAGAATGCTACCTTCAGGGTTGATAACTTGAATGGATGACAAGCAACCTTGGTTCAGGGGAATCTCTTCGTTGATTAGACATCGCAATGAATAAATGATCGCTGATAAACATATGCTCTTGGGCGCATTGTTGTTACCCACGACCTCGGGGCCAGTTCCCGTGAAGTCGAAAACCGCGCTTCCGTCGGGGTTGATTCGGATTTCAAGTTGAATGCGCGTTCCATTATCAAGACTATCAACGGCTCGTAGCGTGTTTCCGCTGAGGCGCTCCGATGTCTTTTGCAGGAATTTCCTTACTGCAACCTCGGCGTTCGCTTGGATGCGGTCCATGTAGAACTATCATATCGGTTAGACTCGGTTTCACCTCAATCATCCAACCGAGTAGCACTTGCCTGCACCACGTCGCGTCCGTATTCTTCAAAGAGCTTTTCTATAAGTTTCGAACCCTTGGCGTTTGCTGCGACTTGGGCCCGTAGATCTGAGAGGTTATCGTAAAGACTCGATGTGCCGACACAATTGGGGAATTGCCCAGGTTCATCGACTAGTATCTTCGTGATTCCCTTTTCATCAAACCTGCCATTTGACACAAGTTTGAACGAAACGATCCTTGCACCCTCCTGATATAGTTCGGTAGCATTGGCGTTACCCGAGATTCCTTGGAAGCCCCCTATGTCTCTGTGATGACCCCTGCTCGCAACGAAGAATATTATATCATCACCATTAGGATCAAAGACCGGAGTAATCACGGTGATATCTAGGATGTTTTATAAATATTGGGATTGCCTCAAAATGATGCGATATTTGGGGTTCTTACCTGGGAGATGCGTACCACCCGCAATGGGATGGTTCGAAACGAGGACGTCACCCGGCTTGAGTGTGCGACCGTATTTTTCGTGTTGGTACTTTACCGCGTACGCCATACTTCCGAGATGAACAGGAACGTCTAATAATGTTAAATATAGGTGCCGCGTTGAATGTATGTCAAAGGGTTACTTACGTGGTGCATTCGCTACTAGATCGCCGCTGGGACCAAAGATCGCACAAGAAAAGTCGAGCCTAGCGCACATTAGGAAGCAAATTAAACGTTGGGCTCGGAACGACGTACCTTTCCTTGATGTTGATACTCACTGCCGTCTTCTGCAGGGTCTTACCCATTTGTTCGGCAATAGACATGAAGCCTATCAGATCAATTAGCAATCCGCATACGAGTAGGCATGTTGGCGTGGGTTCCTACGGTGACCGAATATAGACAATTGGACCGGGTCCGGATCTGTTAAGGAAAGTGACTGAGTCAGGGGCGCTTGATTCTGTGAACCTATTCTCAGAATAACATGCTCGGATAGAATCGTAGCGGTCGAAAATGGCGTCACGACGATCGTTTGCGTATTGTCGATGATAATACCCGGCCCTTCAACATGGTCTCCTGGTTGAAGGTTCTTCAATAAATATATCGGAGTATCTGCCCATCCAACACTAGCGAAGTAAGTGCTCGTGACCTTCTCATGTGTTTTCTTCGATTTGACTGTCGTTTCGGTTAGTTCCTTGTAGACATTATGTGATTGGCGTTCGAATTCTTTCGCGATTCCTCGAACTCGGATATCGTCAACGATAATGTCGCGCGAAGGCAATAAAAAGGAGAACTCTTGCTGGTGGAGCTCCTCAAAGGCTCTCTTGAAGTCGCCATCTTGTGATAGGGACACCATCATCTGGGTGTCAGTACCTTCATATCGTAGGTTCAAAAATTGTTGAGTTTCAATATACTTAGTGGATGAAACACCTTGTTGAAGAAGACCTTGTATGGCGCGTTCCTTTAGATTTCCGAACTTTTGAGAAATTTCGGCTGCCGATGCTGGCTCTAGAACTAGGGAAGAGGGTTCTTGAACTTCCTCTACGAGATTGGCGAGGGCCATGCCATACGCCGATAAGATACTAGAGTACTTGTGAATAAGAACCGTGTTGATCCCCAAGTTCCGGGCGATCGATGCAGCGTGCTGTCCGCCTGCACCTCCGAATACTGCAAGCCGATGAGCTGATGTGTGATACCCCTTGCCCTCGGTAAGTGCTCGGATGGGTCGACACATAGCCTCATTAGCCACAGCTAGAAACCCTAATGCTACCTCCTCAGGCGATTTTTGTGTCGCTGATGCCGTATTGATGGAATTAGTAAGTTCAAGGAACTTAGTCTTCGTGACTTCATAGTCGAGTGGGAGGTTCTCATCGGGTCCGAATATAGCGGGGAAGTATTCTGGAAGAAGCCGACCGAGGAACAAGTTGGCGTCTGTCACGGTCAACGGTCCACCTTTACGATAGCATGCCGGACCTGGATGCGCCGAGGCACTCTCTGGGCCAACAGTGAAAAGCCCGTTTTTCCAACCGAGGATACTGCCACCGCCAGAAGCGACGGTGTTAATATCGAGCTGAGGTGACTGAATTGTGACGCCGGCAGTGGTAGTCTCGAATACATGACCGAGATCTCCAGCGTAACGACTGACGTCTGTTGATGTGCCTCCCATGTCAAAGCCGATAACTGGTGTGTTGTCGTCGGAATGCCAAGACGTTTTCGCATATCCAACGACACCTCCAGCAGGACCCGATAAAATGGCGCGCAGGCCGGAAAACCTTTCCACGTCAACAAGGCCGCCGTCGCTTTGCATGAACTGACATCTAGTGTTTTTTAAGTTGTCCATAAACCCATGTCTAAAGTTTGAGACGTATCTTTTGATTTCAGGGGTAAGATACGCGTCCGCCGTGGCACTCATTCCGCGCGATATTAGTTTTATCATCGGGATAAGACTTGCAGACGCAGAAATGCTCGTAAAGCCAATTTCTTTTGCTAGATCTTGTATAGCATTCTCATGGTCGGGGAAACTATAGCTATGTGCTAGACATATGCATATGCTCCTGTACCCCCTTTCAAAGAGCTCTTGAAGTGACCTTCTCGTACTCTGGATGTTCAACGGCTTGAGAATGCGAACGATATCACCACTTTGGCCAACTCTTAAAGCTGGGTCGAATTCAACATTAATACCTCCTTGGATAGGGTCCTTGGTTGAATCTTCCATAGTAACCCGCTCTTCGACCTCAACCACCTCTGAGTAAAGCACATCTGGCTTACTAATGGCAAGATCGAACAGCTTCGGCCTAGCTTGGTACCCAATCTCTAGAGCATCGCGGAAACCTTCGGTGATTAGAAGAGCTGAGCGTTCCCCCTTTCTTTCCAACAGAGCATTGGTTGCTACCGTTCTGGTAGAAGACTTAGCAGAAGTGTGATCATGTGGGTCTGGAATCACTTACGTCCCCATTCGGATAACGCCAATAGAGTCCGAACTAAGCTTAGCATCTCTTGGATGCGGGTGGCCTGTGAAAGCCTCAAGAATTCGCCGTATGCCTTCGGTGGGCGCATCTTCGTAATTTGCTGGGTCGACAGAGAGCAATTTGATCACTATGTCGCCTCCTGCGCCTGATTGAGGAATTCCGATACAATCCGTGAAAGTACCGCCGCGCTTCATTCACAAATTAGAACTTTCTCCACATACCCCTTATTGCAGCTCTTAAAGACTTACATCGATGAATATATCGATCTTGGATTCTGTCGTCGCATGCGGCATCGCGTAAACTTGTCGGGTCAGAATGAGTTGTCGTACTTCTCAAAACTCGAATTTCTCTCTCCCGTCGCCAGAATATATCGCATATTTCCTTGAGTAGTCTCTTGAATTTAGCTCAACATCTCCTATATGTCCCTTAGTGACGCTTTAGGCAATCGACGATGATCGGGTTTAGCCGACTTAGCGTCTCAATGAGATGGGGATGGCTAAACTACAATCAGCTTAGATCAGAGACGACGATAGGACCAACCCGATCGGCTATCGGCTAACTGCGACGGAAATAAGTCGATCCCACCAACCTCGCCGTTTGAATCCGATTCTCAACTTCTTCGGACAACGGCAGTATGCTATTATGAACTGGGTCGAAGGGTCCGGTACACGACCTAGCCATGGGGGATACTCTACCTCGTAGTCCGAACAGAGCATCATCAGCTAGGCTCAGCAGGAGCACCAATGCCTGTATTAGGTGCCGTAGGCGGAAGCAAAGGGTGAGTCAGCATCTCCTTACACGGGATTGGCGCTCGTAGACAAGCAGCCCAACTAATTTCTTTCTTTTCTTGGATTTCTCAGTGTGACCTTCGCTATCCAAAATGTTCAAGTTGCGAGGTTTCGCAGGTACCTTGCTTGACTTACGACAGCGAAAAACAAGCTGAGGTTCCACGTAACTACGTGTCTATCCTCGAAACGGAGGTCAGGCAATTGAAATCCGAACTTGAAGGGCTCCGCAGACAGAGTGTTTCATCGACAACCTCTGCCAGTCCAGCTCCGACTAATCAAAATGACCGTCAAACCGTCAGCTCACCCACTGACGTTCCAACGGTTCAGTCGGTCGCTTCCGATCCGCAGGAAGTTGTTAAATCAATGGGTTTGGTTGTGTTAGAGAGCAACAGCCAACCAAGATTCATGGGGACGAGCAGTGGTGTTACCTTCGCTAAAATGGTTCTTGCTTGTGTTAAATCTGATATTACAGTCCCAATATCACCAAGCCCGCCAAGGGGTTCCTCGCTGCGAGTGGCGGCGCCACCGCCTATCATATCCTCTTCACTGCCTCCACGCCACGCAGCTCAACATATTTCGGATGTGTACTTTCGCTACAGAACACCGCATGTACCCATCCTAACAAGGTCCAGGGTCGATGAGGCCTTGGGGCGTGTATACGGCGCGTTTGACTCGCATCATGCCGACTTTTCTGAAATCGCGGAAATGGACCTTTTTATTGCTTACATTGTCTTCGCTGTGGGACTTTGTAGTTTACCCCTAACAGGTGGGACCAGGCCTCCGCAGAGCGAGGGTTGTTTCAATTCCGCTCTTCGATGTATTGATAAGTTATTCTCGTACTCACCTAGCGATCTCGAGACCTTAACCGTGGTACTGCTCTTAGCCCAGTACATCGCTTTGAATCCCAGCAAAGGGAGCCTATGGCAATTGACTGGCATAGCACTACGTTTGTGTGTCGACTTAGGCTTGCATTGGGAGACCGAAGCTGTTTTGGCTCTACCTGAAGCGACCCTTAACGAAAGACGCCGACTTTTCTGGGCTACTTACCGCTTTGATCGCACACTGGTCATTACTCTTGGCAGGCCATTCGGTATTGCTGATCAGAGTACGAGCGTCGGGTTTCCAGACCCATATTCTATGGGTACAGCGGAGGCTCATTTCCAGCGTATGGCCAATCACATCGTTTCTCTGTACAAGCTCGAGTCGGAAATTAAACACGTTCTTTATCACCAGCTCCAGGGGGCGACACTAGCATACCCCCGAGCTAATTATTCGCTATGGTTTCGCGACGTTCAGCCACGGCTTTCTGCTTGGAGGGACGGAATACCTGAAATATCCAAAGCAGATCCCGATAGCATTTACTCACAGCAGTGCTGGTGGGATGCTAGGTGGCTGAATGCAGTGTTACTACTCCATCGGCCCAACCCTCTAGTTCCAAATCCTACGACCGAGTCGCTACAAACATGTTTCGATGCAGCTTGCCAAATGATTAAAGAGATCAAAACATTGCAAAGAGATGGAAGAATTTGTATCATTTGGCAATATGTCCATGGTCTTTTCCTTGCCGGTCTAACTATGATTTATTGTATTTGGGAGTCTCAGGATGTTCGGGATAAGGCGCGAGTCCTCGACATAATGACAACAGCACAAGATTGCGCAAGTACCCTCACAGCCCTAGCGGAACGTTTTCCCGATGCGAGCGGCTGCAGAGACGCCTTCGAATCTCTTTCGGCAGCAACTATGAAGTGGTTAGTAGCAAGAGAACAAGGCAATAGCAATCAGCCGATATTAGGAAACGAAATCAATGCCTTGAGACAGCACATACCTTTCTCCACAACTGCCTGGAGGGCCGACCAACCTACGAGCATCTTCCCCGACGAGCCGTTTGAATTCGCCGAATACCTCATCGCAGCATCACAATGGCCCGGCTCCAATATGGATGTAGGAACCGCATTCGGCATGCAAGACATATTTGATACATCGGGCGCGGAGTTCTGATAGGGTACATGGTATAAAATGCGAAAGTTCGCGTAGTCGAATGGCGTAACAGCGTTGATATGGGAATCTGCTGACTGAAATTAAAAATTGTAAGATATAGGTCTGACAGCTCGGGGCTATTGAGGGGGTTTTGGCTGACTCCAAGCCCTGCCGTCTATATTAGGCGCCCCAGCAGATAGGCAGGAATAGCTATGGATTTGGTATTCGCAGATCACTGCATAAAAGCCTACCTACCTACTATTAACATCACCATGAAGTTTCTACTGGTACGTCGAGGATTGTTGTTGTCTTCAACAGGTTATAACACTATCGACACCAAGGTAACAAAGGGAGTCTGCTTCGACATATTTGGTTGGGGGTTTGCACATAGTAGTTCGGTTAGGGGGTGGCTTCCTGGGTAGGGCCTAGCAATATTTTATCCAGACACTTTACCACATGTACTACGGCTCTAGGTACCTATCGCGTCCATATGAACGGGGCATGAGATAAGGTATGTGACGCTGTGTCGTTGCATTCCCCCTCCTTTATCCCCCCCCTCATTCGATGACTACCTAGGTACCTGAGGGGTCGGAATCTTCCTAGGTTGAGGTATATCATAAGGTGCTTCGCTTAATTGGTACCCAAGTACGCACAGGGCTGAATCAATCTAACCAATCGATATACTCATTACCATTATAAGTGCCGCGAAGATGCTTGATGTTCATGAGATCACAATAGCACAAGCCCAGGATGGCTTCCGGCACGGCAGCTTCTCTGCTAAAGAGCTTGCAGGTGCATTTCTCAATCGTATCGCAAAATGGGATAAAGCCGGCCTGCGAATCAATTCAACAATGGCTCTATCGAAAACGGCACTAGAAGAAGCCACCGCGCTTGATAATTACCTACAGGAAACCGGCCAATTGAGAGGAAAGCTCCATGGAATCCCTGTGTTAGTGAAGGATCAAGTACGTACCATTTCACAGAAGCAAGATGCCAAACTAACGCAAACGCTTTGCACAGGCCGATACAAAAGGCATGGTAACCACATACGGCTCAGCGGTGGCGAAAAACAATATCCCAGACGAAGACGCTTTTGTTGTTACTAAATTGAAGACAGCTGGCGCTGTGATCCTGGGTAAAACTACACTTGCGGAATGGGCTTCTGTTTGGTTCAGTTTGAATGGCGCAAATGACTACGAGTTCACAAAGAACCCATATAATCTCGGTCACGATGTTGGCGCATCATCGGGGGGATCCGGCGCGGCCGTAGCAGCAAATTTCACCATCTTAGCAGTAGGCGAAGACACTGGTGGTTCAATTAGGGTACCATCATCGTTTTGTAATATCGTCGGTCTTCGTCCCACCCCTGGGCTCATCTCTCGAACGGGATTCTGCCCGCTGATCAAAACACAAGACACGCCAGGTCCTATGGCACGGACCGTCACAGATTGCGCACTCATGCTAGACTGCATGGTAGGCTTCGATCCGAAAGACGAATTTACAGGTTTTGCAGCTACTGCAGCTGCCCTAGGACTACCTAAGGGGGGCAGTTACGCCACATTTCTGCATGGCGGAGTTAGCAAAATAAAACAAGCAAAGATAGGCATTGTGAGACAGAAGTTCGGTCCCGAATCAGATCCGCATTGCAGGGCAGTCAATACAGTCGTATTAAGGGCAATTGAAAAACTCCGGGATGCCGGCACGACCTTTGTTGATGTGCATATCGACAATCTTGATCACTACATGATTTACCCGCTCACATACCTCCAGAGATCACGCAGCGATATCAATAGCTTTCTAGCCACGAAGCCTCATCTTCCCCAAGATATCGCGGACATATTGCCAGAGGTGTCGGACAAACCCTACATAAACATGACGTGCGCGATCGCACATGGTCCTGTTGACCCTATGGACGATCCAACTTATCTTGACAAGATCCTCCAGAGGGACGAATTCAAGCGTAAGGTGGATTGCCTTATTGCGTCGCTTGGGCTCGATGCACTCACATTGCCGGATGTTCGGGTACCACCCCCACGATTCGAAGACGCTACAGACGGCAGGTTCATGAAAGATGGGCAGGAAGACTTCCCAACCAATACATTCCTCGCTAGCGTAACCCGACATCCAGCGATTTCGGTTCCAGCTGGTTTCACAGAAGATGGGCTGCCAATAGGTATTGAATTCGTCGGATTAGAGTACCAAGAACAACATTTACTGGAGCTAGCCTATGGTGTAGAAACCATTATAGGGGCTAGGAAATCCCCGCCTAATCCGCTGTAGATAGCGCCCCATAACGAAATTCACGAACTTGTCGAGTATCATTTTCCCTTTTCCTGTCAGATGCATTTGACAATCAGGTATAGGTGTCAAACTATTTTCGCAGCGTCGGTTGTTAAAACGTTCCCCTTTCTTTTTACCTGAGTTAGCACCCACCACGATCCAATCGTTAAGACAGTGAGGCCACCTCCTATGGCTATATACAGCCAGAACCAAACTGTTAAAACCGACTCTTTTCCACTAGCTTCCCAATTAAACACGCCCATCGAGAATATGGACTAACAGCCTTAGTATACGGACGTTCTTATTACATTGGTTGAGAGTGTACTTACCGCGACAGATGTCAACGGGAGATATACCATCGTTACCAGAGCTATTGTTCTCATCTGCGCATTTTCCTTCTTCGACTCGTTAGCTATCCTGGTATTAGTAAATGTTTGCTGCCTTCCAACGTGGTCCGATGCCTATTCATTACTTAGAATCAGTTTCATTCCGATAATTGAGCTGGCCAGCACGAAGTAGCGATCTCTCTTACCATTTGGGTAGTGAATTTCAAGCCATTCAATACCATAACGCAATCGTCGATCCCCTTATCGTATTCGCCCCCAATTTCAACGAGGCGCTCTCGAATCTGCATTTCAACATTCAACGAATTCCGGTACGCATATTGTCTCGCAATATTTTCTTTTTCGAACACTAATCCTCTGTGCCGTTTTCCTTTCTTTCTCGTGGGGACAAATGCATACTCAAGTTCACGGATGTGTTGACCCATATAGGAAAGCTGCCGCTTCACTATTTTAATCTCTTTCACGAGTCCTTCAGCAGCATCGTAGAGATCTAATAGATCGTCTGTGCTTTCGCCGTCCCTATTGAGAATAGTTTCAGGGTCCCGGGAGGTATTACTTAGTGCTTCTAAACCCTCTACGGACCGGCGGTTAACTTGCTGTACTCGCCGCATGATCCGGTCACGGTCTAGTTCCATCAAGATACCAGCAGTCAATACCGGGTGATAGATGGCATGGCCAGCTTTGGTTAGACGCTCCTCTATATTGGAAGATTGTTCGTCGTCGCACCCATAAAAGACGGACAAACTTATCCTTCTATCTCTCAAATAAGTTGAAGAGAGACCAATATGGTTTGAGCCTTCCGCGCTCGTACACGCCGAATATACTACAGTGATCTCCATTATTAATTGCTAGATATAGATCCTGTCAATGATAATAACTTACTGATGCTATTCCCATCTGGCTCTCCTTTAGAGCAGTACATGCGGGAGAAGTACGGAACTTCTCTTCGGATGGTTCGGACGATCGCGGGGTGAATTCGAAACAGATCGATGAGTTTTCCGAACCCCTTTTTTGAAACTGGGAGATGCGACGGCGACGAACATACTGGGTCATAGTCACGGCTAAAAATTCTGACACGAATCTGTCAGTTATTGATGATTTGAACGTGGGTAAAGGACAGACTAAACATGACGAATGCCCCAGGCTCACAGCCTCGATGTATTGAAGTTTCATTCTATCAATTGTTAGCGAAGTAGCATAGCGATTCGATGGTCTTGCCTCTTCGATCCATCTCTGCAGGCTCTCATCTAACTCTATTCTTTCGCACAAAAGTTTCTAATAGCAGTTAGCTCGTATTCACAGGGAAGAAGTCGAAAGGAACCATACGCCATCGGATGAAAGTTTCCTGATTATCTTAAATGGTCTGGGTTCATATTTGAAGTTATCAAAATGGTTGTCATCGAAAGACGCCTCGGGATATTGCCAGTCCATACTGCCGTAAGGCTATTTCGAAGTAATTGGTACCTTTCCTTAACTCCTTACTATAGAGGAAGATGTGGTTACTCGATACTAGATACCGTATCTATTAGAAAATTGCACATCAAAGTGTGAGGTCTTTTTTGCTTTAATGCTTCCCATCATATCCCGCAGAGCCTCATTATAGTTGTAATATATGTCCTCGGCAATTGTATAATTCGTTGGGCAGTAATGCATTGATTACATAGAGTTACGATTGACACTTGCTGGTTGGTCGACGATGTTGGGGTTTCCTCGCATGCGATTCTTCTGCTGCTGTAATCGCGGCCAAACCTCCAATCGTGAAGCGGTTTCGGATGGTGTGCTTAAAGCAAGCCACCAATGTATCCCCCCACAAGTGCGATAGACGAAAAGGTAAAGTTGCATATATGTAGACGACACGCTGACACCTCCCTGATGTGGCTTGTGATTGAGAGTATAGTTAATGAATAATGATTCTGGAGAACTCTAGAGAGAAAATACAACGGCGATTCAACCTTACTGTCTGCCTTGCACTTCTATGAATAGGTGGCTCAACATGTCTTCTGCTATCCACACGAGCAAACCCAAATACCCTTCACATTGGGTCCATTCAGTTCTCAGATGCACGTACAATGACGCCAAAGACATTAAACAGGGTCTAGACGAACTTCTTGGGGCCAATGAATATATCATCAAAGTATGTACTATCTGTGTGCGTTTCGACTATATATTAAAGTGTGATGTTGCTAACTATTCCAAGCATCGTAACGGCTACTGGGTTGTATGGGCACCAAGAAAACTAAGTGCTGTATGTAAACGTACCTATCGTTATGTGTTCCGTCCGGGTCCTAACTTGTTTGGCCTAGTCAGATGAATCCAAACTCGAGAGCAATGCACATCTGCACTACAGGTCGTAATATGCTAGAAGCCATCGTGCGGTACTTCAATTTAGGAGGAACCCATTATTATATACATTTATCATTAGGGAAATATCATGAACTATACAAGTTTCAGCCCTAGTTAAGCCGTCTAATTACCCCTCTTCAACTCCAACCACCGTGAGGTGGGATGTACCTAAGTGCCTGGCGTTCTAATGAATAACCAAAACCCCCTTTTGTCTATCTATCCATACCTAAAATACTTTCCTTTTTGAATCCATACTAAACCCCGATATCTTATCTCTCAGGGTCTATTGCACTCCATTGTTCGTCGGAAAATATCCTTTCTTTAGGTAACTGTCGTTTCTACACTTGGTTGAAAGTGCATCTAAGCTTTTCACAACCTCGGCCGCTGCTGGGCGCTTATCACGCTCAATGCACAACATCTTGTCCTCTATGAACGTGAGGAATTCGTAAAAGTACTGTGAGCATCTCGGATCGCGGCGAAGATTAGATATCCAACTCCGAACTCCTGGTTTCAGCTCCGCCCCGCTGCCATCGCCAATGGTGTGATAGAACTTGTCTTCGCTTACACCATGTAGTTTGGTGTCACTTTCCCCACGGCAGCTAGGGAATTCGGTTTCCACAGCTTGAGGCCCCGAGATGCAACAGGTCACGAACTCGAGGTACGTGCATCCTAGAGCCCAGATGTCCGATTTTCTGGAAACCTTTGCCCCTGCAATGTCAAACTCTGGCGCTTGGTATGTTAATGTTTTCTTTAATTTGCTCGCGGTCTGGACCGAGATAGAAACCGCCCTGTGAAACCTCATTAATCCGAAGTCGGAAAGCACCAGCCGCCATCCAGTGGGGCCCGGGTTCCCAGGTTTAGAGAACCAAAGGATATTACCAGCCTTAATATCGCCATGACGGCCATATATAGGATAGCCCTCATCCTTGTACTTGTCTTGGTCCTGGTGGAGCATAGAAAGTGCTTTTGCGATTCCGAGACACTGCTCTGCCATCCAACGTACCGTAGCATTATCGGGATTTGCCATGAATTGTGTTTTCCAAAGATGGCGTAGATCTCCGTTAGCCTTTGGAAATAGTAAGTAGTATTTCCCTGCATCGTCGTCCTTTTCAATTGTAGCTAGTAGTGGGATGAGATGCTTGTCAATACCATAGCTATACTTTCTGAGAGCGTCAACTTCTAGTTGGAATTCATTCGCATTCGGTGATTTCAGTCGTTTAAGCGCGAATGAATGTGAACCATCGCTATACTGTCAGTTTTTAGCACATGGATACTAAGAATCCCTTGCAATGAAACGTACTGGCTGATTTCGGAAATGATAATGCGAACGATGCATTTTCACTATGAAGACATCACCAAAACCTCCTCGCAACACCACCTCTTGAACATCGGGATCGAGCGACTTAATCTCCAGCTCAAGATGGCTTTTCTTCTCTGTTAAAGGTAATATATCGTTGGATTCTAATACATAATGAGGAATGACAGCGTCGGGCTGGTCGAAAAAGGGCGCGATGGCCCACCATTGACAAGTGTTGAACTGATTCAAGGTTAAGGACCTCCATTTATTATGATCTTGAAAGAGGGCCAGCAACCGATCGTCGTTAATTTTGGGACCGTTGGTATGCCTTGAAAAGGAAAACTTATCTCCGTTTCGTTTGACCGCTGGTAAAGGAAGATAACTATCATCAACTCCTTGGTCGACGAACCTCTTGATGCATCCAGCGTTCTCACACAATACGAGGATGGCAAATATTCTGAAGTATGAAATTCCACATTTGGGGGGATATGGAGCACATATCCTACTCAATAACTCGGGGACCTCGGACTGTGGGACCCCGTCATTTTGAAGAGCGATTTTCACGAGGTCCGGATTCCTGGCTAACTGGAGTTCATCAAAAGGTATAAAGCAGTGATTCTCGTTATTGGTATATGATACCCTAGCATTCCACAAAGCGTCATATAAAGATTCCGATGTTCCTAGAGACGGTTGATTCATGATAGTCCTGTTTGAAAGAATAACATTCTGCCGAAAGCCTTCGCCGCGATCGTGGCAGTGATGATGGCAACTTTTATATCCCTTTTCCGCAGCCACCTACGAGATAGCGCACTGTTAGAATACCGCATATATCTACGTAGTGTGAATTTGTGGAACATGGCGTACCTCGGCCGGTGGGTTTGATCCCATACTCTCCGCAGGTAGTAGAAAACGTTAAGGCTAGGGTATATAGCCTAGGTAACTGGAGTCTGTGGTTTTCAAGGGTGTTATGGTAACCAACTCTATTGATTGATAGGGTGCCTAGTCTGTGATATTGATTGATCGGGGATGTATTTATATTCATAAACTACTTATTTTTAGGACTCAAAAGAGGCAACCGACAGACTTTGGGGTCTTCTACCATCAATGCAAACCGAAGTAGGCAACAGCTATCCCAGTATTTGGCTACCTAATGCATCTCGAAGGAGGAATTGACAGTCCAGCTTCACAGCCTTCAGAGCCTTGCATTTTAAGTCTCACCTTTCTTCAATCCTAGCTACGAATCTCGGTGAGCTAGATAATAGAGTGGCCTTTTCTCGAGGCCGGATTCAGCCTTGCGAAGTAGGAGTTTACTATTAACGTAAACCATTTGGGCTGGCAAAATGCAACGGCTAGTAGGTACATCTAGCTAAAAAATGCCTCAAGACTTCTTCATTGTATCTATATTCCTCAGCAATGAACTAGCAAGAAACGTAGCTGAATTTCGAAATGACAGATGAGGACATTAATCATCTGTGCTACACACCACACACACACCATGGTGCCCCCAGTTAGTCTGCCCAATGCAATGCTGAGGTGAGAACTTGATATTCACACGGCGCTATGCGATAGAACGTGGGTATTTTGGGTTATGATAAACTTTTAAAAAAGCTCGCGCTTTGATCGTATTAGAACTCGAATAAAGTTCCATGAATCTAATGCCACGAGAAACATTAATAACGATGATAGGACCTTGGGAATTTGGTCTTAGACCAATAGATGCTGCCATAAAGCAAGCTGAAATCCAATGAACTCATGACAACATTACGGGTGTTACACAACATATATAGTGCATGGTCCATGCATATAAAATGCAAATATTAAGCCATATTCGACACTGCCTGCCTAACCTATTACCCGCCCACCACCTCGTGAAATTGGGGGCAGGGCAAACCACCCAAGCGCTCTACAAAGGCTTTCAATCTCAAGATTGAATAAATTTATTTAGTGTCATTTTCGCGTTGGTCTGTATCGGACGAATTAGATAAAACTAGAAATTCTAAGAACACGATGATATAAATTATTGGAAGCCTCACACCCAATTCTTGCCAACACTGACCTCACTCGAGGCGGATAATAAAACAAATCTTGTAGTACCCAGTATTACCCATCGAAAACTCGGAAGTGTTTTTCCTTTTACCATGTAGGTACAGAACTGCGCCGATGGAGCGGGGCGTCCCTAGCTTACTATAAGAGTGTACGATCCGCCCACCAACCTCTTGACTATCGACCCGATGTAGAGATCGATGGAAAATTTCATGCTTAGCATACCACTACACCTGAGCCCCTTTGAAATATTTACTTTATTCACCATACCTCACTATATCAAGTCGTAGCAATGGAACTTGTGCCGTCGCGATCGGGAAGAGAAGAGAATAGCTTCGGTATTAGAGAATCTGCATTTGGAGACGAGGACAACACGACGTGCACGGCATGCTTGATAGAATATAGAATCCCAGGGTATCTCGTGAACCCAGAGAATCTTGTCAGGGTCTTGCAAACCAATTTCGCTGACAATTATAAAGTCAAGGTAGAATCTCAGGTATGTCCAATTGCGTACACAGTGTTACTAACATGGTATAAAGCTTAGAAATGACAACTACTCAATATCCACTCCTCGAAGACTCACGCAGGTAAGGCCTGATGCAAACTCCAGAATAACTGAAGGAATCTAACAAATTAGATCGAGCTCGTCAGTTGCAACTGAATAGCGGCCGCTTGCTCACTGGCTATGCGGATGGGATTTGTAAACTAGTACACATTGAAAATATACCCGATGATAATAAGAACATCGTGAAGATGTTGCTAGGAATCGGAGGTATTGGGACATGTAACGAAGTCAACGACCCCTAAGACTGGTTTCATATTAATAGTTACGATTTAAAATAATAACGGCGTAGACATTCATCTCTCTACTCATCTATCAAATTACCTACCTAACAAGTACTAGGTGAGCATTTACGAATAGGAGTGAGAGTAAATACCTATAGAAGGGAGTAATGGGAGTTCTTTGAAAGAAACTACCTAGGTAGTCTATATTTTAGTTAGACATATTTTTATCTAGGTATCTACCTGCTACGAGGTAGGTAGCCATAAAATCTTAATGAAAGGCCCATTCAATACCATACTAAGGATATGGAATATCCGAATGCGCTTCGCGGAAATTTACAAGGATTTCAAGGTATATCTTTGTTGACAATGGCAATGACATGGCTAACTTCGATAGTTGATATCGAATAACTAACTGGGTATCGTTTGAGAGGGGAATCCAAACTCCAAGAATAGAAAATTCCATCGAAGGCACGTCGACTCGCCAGTTACCACATCCCTGCTTTGTGTTCGTCGGGCCAACGAATGAGCAATATCGCCAAGCAATCAATTATTTCAAGACAGCCACGATAATAGAGTCACAGGTCACCTTAGCGTACTCGGACAGCTTAAGTATCTTAAGCCCAGCTTGATCGAGAATGGAGGCCCACTCGGCCTGTGTCCGCTCACGGGCAGCGAAACACGTAAGCATAATAAGGTCGTGTCCAGCAACTCGCCAGGACGCTCCACGTTCTGGGACTACCATTTCATCGATCAATACTTTGGACTCTGATGTCATGCCGACTCTAACATTCCGTAGAATTTCGATAGCTTTATGGTCTGGGTAATCATGGAGAATGTTACGTAGGTAGTACCCACGAGCCCCTAGGATGTAGGTTAGCGTCCACCGTTATAGCCAATATCGTTGAAGAGTCTTGCCTTTCAAAGTTTGTGGTTCCCACATGCTCTGGGCCTGTGCTTCCATACCGTCCCAACCCGGGAGTGGGCTTTTTTTCACCTAATCAAGCATCCAATCAGTTAAGACTATTATTAAGACTATAGGCAGTTGCTTATGGCTCCATTGGCCACCGAACAAAGAGAAAGGCAAACCTACTCGTTCAACAACCTCCTCCTGCTCTTGAAGGATGATACGGCCAGGTATACCCGGATATCTCTTCTTGAGAGCAACACATTGGTGACCCATAGCTCCACCAATGTCGACAAATAGGGGGGTTGAATCAGTCGCGCCCTGAGCTAGTTCCTGCTCGAAGTCCAATACATCAAAAGGAGTACTGAGACCCAGTCGGTGGGTCCGCATCATCGTTAGAAACCCATCCATCTGTGCTGGGTGCTCCTCCATCCATTGCCAAAAGTTCTTGTCCGTATTCCGACCGATATTCCATGGGATATACTTGTTATCGGTAACATCGGCGTAGTTTGTCTCCTTCAAGAACTGTGGGAGGGCACCATACGCGGGGATAAAGACTTCCATGCTATAGAATCACATCAGCATTGCCTTTTTATTTAGCTATACCAAGGATGCGTACAATTGGCGAGGTGCACATTCGGCTATTGGAGTCGTCATGGCTCTTGTTATATTGGTGGCACCGTAAGCATCATCCCCTCGTTGGGAGATAAATCCGAAGGCTTGATAAAATCGCAGTAGCCGTTCTACTTCGGGTTAGTAGAGCCACTAGAATCATCGGTATAATAGTAATTCTGTGCAACACGTACTTAACAAAGCAGGGTCCATTTTTGTTTTTCCCGCAAGTTCCGCAATGGTGGCAGTGCCGTCCGTTTTAGAGAGGATGTCGAAGAGTTTCGTGTCAACTCCAATAAATGCCATTGCTAGTTGAAGGTGCTGTGTCGCTATGTTAGGCCGCTCCTAAAGAAACGTTTTTCAAGTGAATTTATTGGCTGGTGACTTACTCCATGAATAACCCTATAAACAGTGTCACCCGGAGTCTCCAAGGCCCAACTTAACCTCTTGGTTGCATCAAAAAGCCTCTGGCGGTCATCCTCTTTCAGCGATTCAGAGTTCTTTTGGACTTCATCTATCAACCCCTCGAGCCTTGTTGCTAGCGATGCGGCGTCAACTGAGATAGAACCCATGTTCGCTAGGTAGGTTGTGTGAAGCTTGTTGAATATTTGTTATATGAGTAGTGTAAGTTGCTATATATCTTCTGGGCCTATTATATGATGAAGATATTATATTCTGGGCTCCATACGGGAGGATTTTGCTTTGGTTAAATACCCATGGTTCAAGAGAATACCTGAGTACGTGACGGGATACGCTGCATGCTAGCTAGGTAGGCAAAGATATCTTGGGAGAATACGCCACTCGAATTGCAGTTTCCTTTTCCATACGCCGCTAGGAAAAGCTACAGCGTCTATCAATGGCCTAGCTCGACACTTCCAAGGTTGCGTCAACCTGAGCTAGGTATGCAGTCATGTTTGGGGCGTCCAAATCCACAAATCGGCATATCTCCTATTGATACCGTGTGATCATCCAAGACGTATAGTCCACGGACCTCTTATTCGTTTACGACGCAGTCGTATGCGGACATAACTGCATTAATAATGTGTTGTTATACGCATTATCTTGTAAATGCCGCTTCATATCTTGGGTCTTGTGGATCAGATCTACCAACATCCCACATGCACCCGGGGGCATCCATGATTCATTACCTAGGTATAATCTGGAATTGTTAGTATAAACACGGTAGTTCGAAGCGACATCATACCTAAATACGAGTGAATACGAATACTTGGCATGAGACATAACTACTAGGTATCCAACTAGAAGCCAAAGTGGTTGTTCAATGATAGATTTTATAATAGTCTTGACATACTATAGACAAGTAACTTTAAGTTACTAGTTAACCTATTGGCTAAACCAACGGAACATCTAACTCTTAACGAAACTGAGACATCAAGACTCAAATTAAGTTTCAAAATAGTTGTGTTACGTGAATTCTGTTGAAAGGCTATAGACTATTCATATGATTGATGACGCATTCCGAGGTTCGATGTAAACAGGACGGCAAGCTCCGTGAATATCGTAGTACGGGTTTACGTGAAGACAAACTGCCAGGGGGGTTGGTTTGAATTATGAGTGGTCAACGTATACGTTCCTTAGTCACCACTAGACTCGGACCTTCCAGTCTTGCTGTTAAGATACTCGTTTCTGTAACATTATTGTCACTCATTGCGTCCGATGTGGGTTCTTCTGGGAGGTAACATACCGCTTGTTAGCCCAGTCCATGGCGTAGTAGGCCACCAGGAACGGCGGGGCAAAGTACAAGACTTGCTTGCTGAACCGACGCCATGTGTTGAAAATGGCATCGTGCACCGCGCCGGCAAATATGTTCTGGCGATTCGCGCTGAGACTGTACGTGATAATGCGCTTCTGGGGTTGAATACAACCTGCGAGTTCGGTAAGTCAACGCCAAGGTGTCATTGAGGCGACTTTGTGTAGGTGTTCCACATGCAACTTACCCAAGTGGCCCCAAGTGTCTTTATTGAGATAGCTATAGAAGTCAGACCATCGTCAAGAGACCGGAATCCTCTAAATCAGGCTAGAGTAATCACTACTAATCAAATGTAAAGATTATGACCTGACTCTTCCGACTTACTGATTGTATTTGCCAATAGGAAGCTCGTCGCTTCGAAGAATCTGTGACGGATGCATCCCGCCGAGATGGATATAACTTCGGATGTTAGGGAATTGGTTCCAGTGTCAATTGAGTCGCGGAACGGCAATGTGAACACCGTGCTTCCGTTGCCAATAATCTCGTTGATCTGGTTCGAGCTGGATAAGAAGCTACGAAAGTGGATTGACGATGAAAGAATTGAAGGATTAGCAACGGAGCCGGGCAATCAATTCAGCCCATACTTAAGAGCACGGAGGAGCGCACTCATCGTCGGTCCGAGCAAGCCACGAGCCCGGTGGTGATCAGGTCGTTTGGTTAAGTCCTGCTAATATGCAGACTGCTTACATTGCGGGGAGGAGCTTGACCAATCCTAGTGCGTGTATATAAACAATACAGAGAGGTATACTTAATTCCTATTGGTGAAGTAGGATTACGTACTTGGGTATTTGTCATGGAGTGAGCCGTTGGCAATACCATGTTCGTAAGTCCGTTAATTTTGCATTGTCATATTATAATTAGCGGCTTGGATCGTCTGGCTTCGATATACGATCGTATTTATCCTCCTAAACCATAACTTTGGATTTGTCTACCTTCTGTTCCAAATTGAACTTGTTATGAGCTACTACCTGGGTAGAGAGCATAGCTGCAAGCTCGATCGCCAGATGCCACGCTTTAGCGACTCTTTCTTGGCTTGCGACCCGCCTATAGCGCCAGCCCCCTACTCATGTGGAGTGAAACCGGCAAGAATGGAGAAGGCAGTGGTATGGAAACCAGAAGTATTTTCCCATTTTCATGACACCTGGGTGTAGAAGGTATATGATGATATAAATCATGTCGCCGTTTAACTAGCAGGCGGTCCACATTAGCTCATGCGTGTGAGAAATTGACCCGTGTTTGCACCATCGATCTATGATCAAGCTGAAATTCCACTTCTGCTTGGATTCATAATAGGCATCTCGAGCCGTCGCTAAATCGCTAGTTCATCGCGCATTGATACAGTATGAACGCACGGCCACTCTCCATATCTTTTACTGTATGGAATATATTCTCCTTGTTGATTGGCTACTAGAGTCACACCCATGAAGAAAATTCAAAGAAAAGCAATCAAGTACCTACAGCTGTACCTCGAACATTGAAGCTGAGACAACTCGATGAGTCAAAGAAAAATAAAAGAAGCCCCTGATCGCCCAAGAATTTCATACTAGCAAAACCCAACACCATGGAACCAGATACTGCGGGATTCTTTGAGGAACCCAATGATTATTATCCTCCTTCGCCGCCACCGACGTCACAAGTCTACACGCTGCAATCAGGCCAAACAATCACGCTTCACCTAGTAGGCCACAGCCCGTTGGAGGCCCATCATCTATGGAATGGTAGCCGTATTATCTCAAAGTATTTTGAGACGCATGAGTCCGAAGTCCGAGGACGCACAGTATTCGAGCTCGGAGCCGGTGCGGGGCTTCCCAGCATCGTATGTGCCATCCTAGGAGCCCAGAAGGTTGTAGTGACGGACTTTCCCGATCCAGATCTCGTTGTCAATATGAAGAAAAATATTCTTGGCTGCGAACTCATTCCGACATCAGACGACAATCTCGAGAACTCTCCAATAGTCGCGGATGGCTACGTCTGGGGGGCCGATCCTACTCACTTACTTGCGCATCTTACATCCGTCGGGAGAGATAAATTCGATGTGCTTATCCTGGCCGATCTATTGTTTAGACACTCCGAACATGGCAATATGATTTCCTCAATTGAAGCCACAATGAGCCGAAAGAAAACCAGCATCGCCTTCGTCTGCTTTACAAGTTACCGCCCATGGCTACAACACAAGGATCTCGCGTTTTTCGATATCGCGCGAGAAAGAGGTTTCCTAGTCGAGAAAGTCCTAGAAGAGAAGATGGACAAGGCTATGTTTGAAAACGACCCAGGCGATGAGGAGGTTCGAAAGACGGTCACAGGCTTCACGTTGCGTTGGCCGGAGGAAAAGTGCACATAAGTCGCATCGCAGGCGAAGCCATTTTATTACTATTTTCTTCGTCAAGACCCCCATGAATCTCCCCAGACCATATCAAATGACCAAAGATGTAAGCGGTGTCTACATACAGGTATGACATAGCACTTGTGTCGATTCCCGCCCTGCTTTACTCGTCAATCCCCCACGTTTCGTACCTACAAATGATCGCGAAAGTCTTTAAAATGACGCCAGCCCCATCGCATATTCTTTACTATCGCGCGGCCCCCAACAACGTAAAGAGGATTTAACACTGTTGATCCTGCCGCGCTGAGCATAGAACTTAGATTAAGACCGCGATACTATCCGACTCGATTGGTCGCAGGATTGACCGTCAGCCGCTTGGCGCCACTGGCGTCTAGCACGTAAAAGTTCTTATCTTGACCTATCTTATTCCCATTCAGGATTTCCCGCCTCATTGGGGTTGCGCTGAGTGGATCGATGAAGAGGCAGTGCATGCAAGTGCTCATTGTCTAGCCCATCTGCCCATGCAGGTCTATGGTTTTATCATCGAACCAATCTCGTCCTTACATCACTCCACTAGAATCCGGGCTGTGCCTGTTGCCTTACATTGAGGTGATCGAATGAATTTGAGAGGTCAAGTTAGAAGATCCCCTCATGATTACTGTTTGCGACTGATGATAATATATTAAAAATCGTGCGCCAAGACATGTAAAAGAATAATAGATTTCTACAGAAGTGAAACTCATAGCGACCTTGGAAGCTATTCCAGAAATAGCTCTTAACTTGCCATAGTGATCAGCTAACATACATGAATATTGGCTGGGTTGCATACTGTGCGGACTGCGGTTGCAACAAGGCATAGCCCCATTTCGACAACCTAGGTACCGAGAAGAACAAAAATAAACAGGGCCCCTATGCTTACCTAGGTATTCATGTGATTGCTCCTTCATTTTGAAACATATTTTGGATTCATATATTCGCTTTCCCCGAGACGACATTGGCGTCTTCGGAGCGTACCGAACGAACGAAACACCCAGTGTGAATAGCCTCCACTTCTATTGATCGCTCATACCAGACTAGAATGGCATGGGAACGGTTAAAGTGGACATTGTCAAGATGGAGCTTATCGAGATGGCTCCTGTTCGCCAGGCTATTGCAGGTGTCGAGTACGCTGATAACCGCTGTCATGAATGGCTTCCTTCTAGTATACATTCATGTCAATCATCTCGGCCTAGCGATGAGCATGTTTTGCTTGGAAATGATGGTTCGTGATGACTGCTTATCCCCCGCAACGACGTCTCGTAAGACTTACCTGTTTCTAGGCATGTGTCGCACTTATCTATTCAGGTATTGTGCTGTTGATGCAGCACGGCGGTAGCCCGCGAAGGAGATTTAATACTGGGTTGATTGCGACTTTCGTCGCTGGCGACATAGTCTTCAACGGGATGATGCTTGCCATAATCACAGTTTTAGCTCATTCAGGGCTCCCTACAGATTGCCACGGACTGACAAGAACTGATAGTAATTAATACCTAGGCCCTTCATTGACTATCATCTAAAAACTAACCCGACGATAGTGGAAGACGGCGATGCACCTTTTGACGATCCATCAACCCCTGGGTTCGAAACAACCCGATTCGGCGACGTAGACCAGCACATAAAAGGACAACTTGACAAATACTGTCCTTTAGAACGAGGGTTCTATTTTATTGCTGCTGCGCTAGTGTACGATAACTGCAATCATCTCAAAGTGCATCTGCTGATAACGAATAGGTTCACTTACATGCTGACGGTGACCCTTGGCGTGCTACGAATCTTCGAACGGCGCTGGAGTCAAGGCAGAAAGGACACGCGGTTCGCCTCAATAGATGATATTCAACTTCATCATATACAGCCAAAGAGTCCTCCACCTCTGCCCCCCAGGGATATGGAGAATGCGGCACCACCAACTGAAGGAGTCCTCACACCGACTTCGAGGGTCAATCCGCCATTGCAGACTCAAGGGTTTGGATCATCCGAGAACGTAGGACTACACAGAGAACGCCCGATCTTCGCGACGACACCATCGCAGCCGTTCCCTATCTCTCCTGTCTCCCCTGCCTCACCAATGTCTCAAGTGTCCCCTATTTCTCCAACCACGCATCAACACAGATCCTTTATTGCTTCGACGGGCGTGCCGGGCACGTCTATGGGAGATGTAATGATGAACCACTCAACGGATCCAGCTGCAGAGGCAGCTATGATCACTGATGGATACCGACATCAACCACAACCTGGGATGTCATCCTTACCCCCCTACTCTCCTGGACAGTCTAGAGGGCAGTTCATGGACGGACACGGCAATGAGTCTAATGAGATGCGACTAAGCGAGTACGTTAAAGGCGAAACACGGGCGCAAAATATAAAGGACACTGGATTCGGTATATAGAGGGTAAATGCTGGGCATTTATGGATTCACGTTTGGTGGCATTATTAGAGATGCGATAATGGGCGGCTATCTGTCGAATTCCGATTCTTACGAGCGACGGCGTAGAGGTACGGTCTTATCCAATTTTCAACAAAAGTCTTTCCTTGCCTACAACACGCATACGTGTTTTAATTCACTACAATATGTATTAATATTTATAATTTCATAATGTCTACGGATCACCTACAGTGTTTTGGTATTCTAAGAAATACATAAATTTCACAAGGAATAAAGCTTACCCCTTTTACAAATGCACATAGTTATGCCTCTATGTTTCCATATCCACATCCTTGACTCCAAGGTCAAGAATCCCCACTCACTTACCCCAAAATCAAGGCGCCCGGAATCGTACCGAACCAGGCGCAACGTTGTATCATAGTGGAGTTCTAGTAGAACGGTTCGCACGGGTAACCCCGCAATAGAATGAGATCATCTCCACCACTGCTGCCATCCATTAGGTCTGTATGTATGTCTCTCTATTTTATATAGGTATGTTATCACAGGACTCCGGACTATTCGGACTTAGAAAGATCGACAACCTTGCCTCAAGGCGTCGGTCACGTAACATATTCCACCAATACATCTATAGTAAAACTCATTTATTTTTATCATCAGACAAGATCACAACTCCAAGACATTGTTTATTTACGTAACGCAAGCACCGACGGAGTAACTCTTCAGATATCGTAATTGTCAGACGAGCCCAGCCGAGACAAAGAGTTCATTTAAGGTTGAGCTACACGATCCCTTACATCCGGGAATACACACCGAAGTACACCCATACACCCATACCAAGACATCTGCATCTATATGCATGTTATATATCCCTTGGTACTCAAGGCGACGTTACGCAACTAAAAACAGGAGGTCACACTTCAAGCCACTTACCTACCTAAGCTCACTCATCTGTCTCGGTATCTCTCCAACAACCCATCCATCCACCAGGCCTGTCCACGATGCCCACCTCAACCCTACGCACACAGCTGGAAAAAGACGGCTTCGTCATCCTGCGCTCCATCCTATCCCCAGAACAACTCACATCCCTCCGCGGCGCAGCCCAGCGCACCGTCGATCTCGCACAAGCCGGGTCCTGGCGTCACGTGCGCACCGTCGGGAAGCAATTCCCGCCGTGGACCTGGGAAGCGGGCGTCGGGATATGGGGTGTGCAGCACCTACTCAACCCATCACTCCCCGATTCCCCTATCTTCACCGAAAGTTATTTCGGCGATGAAGTGCTGGGTGCCGCGAAAGAACTTCTAGGCCCGTGCTCAGATGATGAGCTAGTTATGGAATTGTATAATCTACTGGTTCGACCTACCGATGGGTCGAATTTCGAACTCCGCTGGCATCGCGATGATATAAGCGCCGATGCAAGTGCAGATGAAGAACTCAAACGTCTGCGCGAACCGGCTTGGCATGCGCAGTGGAATATGGCACTGTGCGATGGCGATGAGAGTTTAATCGTAGTTCCCGGATCGCATAAGCGCGCGCGCACCGAGCGCGAAAGAGCAGCTGATCCATTTGACCCTAATATGCCAGAGCAGTTAATCGTGCGTTTGGATGCGGGCGATGTGGTTTTTTATAACAATAATATTTTGCATCGCGGTCGCTATGATGGTAGTCGTGAACGTCTGAGCTTGCATGGGTCTGTGGGTCATGTAGCGGGGGGTAGGTTGAGGGCGAGGAATGTGTTGCAGCATGGTGTTGGGAATGTAAGTGTTGTGTTGAATTTCCTTTCATTCTTCGTAGAATTTTGGAAATATGCTGACTTGTGATATTGCAGTGGGTTGATAGTTGTGATTTTAGCAATCTAGGTGAACATCAAAAAGCCAGGGCAGAGGGCATGCGCGCGCGACTGGTCAAATTAGGGAGGGAGAGCGGTGATGTTGGATACTCGTTAACTGGTTGATATTTCAGACATAGCACATAAAAAGAATCATGAATGTATAAAATTTTTTAAAATCGCTGAATTGTATTCATAAACAGCTTTCGCCTAGTATATACATTGAAAAAATTATTTACTCAAGCAGTAAGAAGGATATACATCGAAAAGTACGCGATCCCGCCCAGACAATAGCCCCAATATATGATGCCAGGCCCCATGAATCCGTGATTGTTTTTAACACGACCCCACCAGCTACTTCTCATTGGTGAGACGCTTCTTCCCTCGTTGGAGGAATGACATTGCAGTTCGACCGATTTCTAAGAGGTCCGGAACAGAATGACGTTCGCGGGGAAGACGTTGACGTTGTCCTGCCACTTAGCAAGGCTCTTGCCATCTTGGTCGATCATGCTTAAGGAGCCGATCGTGTTCAACGCGTATACGTTGACGTTGCTGGTCGATCCCTCAAGGGAGACGATGCGCGCTTGGCAGTTCTCGCCTGCGTCGACGGTGGAGCAGGTCGTGCTGTATTGGTCGAAGAACGAGTAGTGACCCGCACCGTAGATGAAGATATCCGACGAGTCGACGATACGTAGACCCCATGCGTTAGCGCAGTTTCCTGAGACACCAGCGCAAGATGTCTTGAAGTCGGGGTCGGAGAGAGCGGTGACTACAGGGAAGGGCTCGGTAGCATCAGGTGTGGGCTGGTAGTACGGCGTCTCGGTCTGGAGCATGCTGGCGAAAATGTTCTTAGTGTTGACGAACTGGTAGTTGTACAAGTTGTTGTGCTCAACAGCAGTACCGACAAGCCAGAAGTTGCCAACAGTGGAGTCGATGAGAAGACCTCGGCCAGAGTAGACGGTGATTTGGGTGTTGTTAGAATCCTCAATATCGTGGTCCGCAGTCCATAGCCAAGTGTTCTCCATGTACAAGTTGGTTGCCTTCTCGGTGACGTGCATCTGCATGTACGCACCAATGCAGTTGGCGTCGACGGTGCTGGAGCCGGGGTTCTTGGGGCACTGGGCAACTTGGAAGTTGGAGCCCTGGAATCCACCAACTCTGGCGTGGACATCCCACATACCAGAAGGAGTACCAGCTGCCGAAGCCAAGTTCCACTCAATAAGAGTAGCACCCGGGGCGGGTCCTTGGGTTCCGACGACGAAGTCCGAGAACTCAACTTGACCTTGGTCACCAGAGTTGGCTCCGACTTGTAGCAAGGGCTTGGGGTTGCTCATGTCACTGAAAGCATCACCACTAGCTACAATAATAGGGTAACCTTCTCCGACGATCTTGGCCCCTGATGGGATGCTCAAGGTCGAGGTGACCTTGTAGATACCGTAGTCAAGGAAGAGAACCTTGTTGCCGGAAGCAGCGCTGTTGATAGCATCTTGAAGAGCTTTGGTATCATCAGTGGAAGCATCACCCTTGGCACCAGAGTCTCGGGCGCTGACAATATCGGATGCGGTAAGGTCCTCATATTGAGGCTTAGATCGAGAGTAATATCCGCTGTCAGTAGTAAGAGAAGCAGGTCTAGTGTTGGGAGTGATGGTGTCCTGGAGGGTGCTAGGACCATCAGGAGTGTATTGGTGGCCTTGACCCCATCCAGCAATAGTGGTAGAGCCTCCTTCGAGGATTGAGCCGCTCGGGCCCTGAACTGCGGTCGGGACATTCGAAAGACTCAAGTTCTCTAGGATGACGCTAGCACCAGTGTCGGGCTTTGAGCCAGTCTGGAAGGCGGTAGCAATACCGACGGGGGTATCCTTGAAAGCACTGTCGATGACTGTGATCGAACCAACGTTAAGCGCATCAGATCCACCAGCGGTAATGTTGATACCAGTCTGGCAGCTGTTGATCTGTAGTCCAATGTAGGTCCAGCCCCAGCTCCAGAGTTGAATGATAGCCGTTTGAGCGTTGTTGAAGACCAAGTTCCTCATGGTGTACTGCTGGTTACCCATGGAAGCACCAGTAGCGCCACCGTTGAAGGTCAGGTCACTCATGAAACCGCCAGAACCTATTGGAGTCAGTTATCTGCAAGACGTTAAGATGAAGCAGGATTGACTTTATAACTTACCGCTCTCAATGAACAAACCGACGTGGATAACGCTGGGGTCCGTAGGCATGTTGAACTCAATGTTAATAAGGCTAGTCGCTTGCGAAGTAGGCCAGTGGATACCAGTCGCAGCGGTAGCCGGTGCGATGCCGGTGGTATCGATGACGAAGTTGCGCATTTGACGGTAGAAGACATTTGTAGATATCCAGTTCAAGTTCTCAGTATAGTACGGGTTTCCATCAACCAAACCGAACCCCTTGAAGTCGGCGGTGCCCTTAAGCACCGGACGGTCGGTCGGGTCACCAACTAGCTGTGTGAAATAAGGAGGCACGATAGAAGAAGAAATCAGGTAGGTTCCGGACGGGAAGTAGACAACCGCCGGTGTCGTCGTGGTGGATGCCTAGGAAGGGTTGTTAGGCCATCTAACGTTCAGAGTAGAAGTTTGTTGTGATGCCGGGTATAACTTACACATCCCTGTAGACATCTGTTGTCAGGAGAGTTCATGGCCTTGGTGATCGCGTCAGTATCATCCGTGGTACCATCTCCTATATCGAACGTCAGTATTCGTGTAAGATCGAAGTAAGCCATAGCCGGAATAACGAACCCTTAGCACCAAAGTCCTTCACGTTACGGAACACCGTATATCCATCGCCAGCGAATGGGGCAACACCTTGGTCTATTTTGCAGTTAGATAGCCGTTATTCGGAATAATCCTCGGATGATCCTTACGCTTTACATCTTCGAGCCAGTAAGCATTTACACCAATGGTGAGGCTGATAACAGCCGTAAGGAACGTCTGGAACCGCATATTGAAGTAAAAAAAAATTTCGCGTGGTGATGGCACAGCCAGAATGCCTATACCCTAAAATTTCCCAACTTGGGACGGACGGGCAGGCAACTTATAACTTAGAGACCGGACAGGGTTTTACGTCGTCACAAGGCATAGACGACCACAGCTGGCCATGTCATCCATCGGTGATGAAGGGACAGGCATTAGCGCCGCGAGGTAACGTGCACCACCACCAAGGCCACCAAGCCGCTGAAGACATTAATTAGGCAGGATTGTTGTGGGAGGTGAGTAGTCAGAAGAGGTCAAGCACCCAGCCCCTGACCAACTAATAGCCCCATGTTGGAACCGAAGAACTGGATTGATTCGACCGAGAACGGGAGCTAAACGGCCAGGATGGTCAATGAGCAGAGGATCCAACCATTCAGATGGGGATTATTCAAAGTCCGTTAAACTCTACCAAGACATAACATTCCTGTACATTCCTGGAGGAAACGATCCAGCGAAGTAGCATTGTGGGGAGTTTCATAGGTTACAAACAGCCGAAAACTAGCCAGGTAGGTACCTAGGTATGGAAAGTCGATTTCAACTTAGTAGGAGATACTCCGGTGCTCTATCTACCTTACCGTGGCCACTGTGGAGACGGATGCACCGATGGTCATCCTTTCATTGCGGGAGCACCACGACTAGAGCATACCCCAGGGTCAGGTTGCGGCGCGGCTTAGTAGTCTCCTGCTCAAAATGGAATCGTCTTTTCAGGTACCAAGCAAGATGTGATAAGCAATAAACAAGGTTGCCAAATCTGACAGGAGATTGGATTGTAGTGGCCATCCTAAATTAGTTGGAGTGTTCCAGGTAGAGGCTGGTTGTTTCAAGCATGTGATGCTGGAGCCGCGAGACATTTTAAAGCCACATGTAAGTCATCCCATTGATTCCATTGGGGACTGGGGGCCGTAGGGGGCCATCTGACGCGGCTTCGCGCGATTGGAATCCACCTGTTTAGGCCTTAGAAACAATACTATACCTATATCGTAGGGGTGTGGGCTAAACGTCTTTTTTTTTCTTCGCATTGTTTTTCTTTTTTCTTTTTCTTCCTCACCATTACCTGAACGCTTGGGGTGCTTCTTCAACGCCCGGATGTAAGCTCGATCGGCAAGCAACCACAAAAGCAACCAACTCCATCCGAGCCCAATAACTCCGGTGGCTTTTCCCATGGACGCTGCGACCATCAAAATAAAAAGGAAATCTAAAGTTACTGCTGCGTTGCATTGCATCCGTGATCGGTAGTCTCTTTTCCCCTGGCGCTAAGCCTTTTCATCTAATCTTAGTGGTAGAGAACCATACGCTGAGAGTGAAGCATAGAAAAGTTGAAGACCTAAATGGATGGAATTCAGGGGACGGCCCGATTGGGTTTCGATCAATCTAAATATGTGGAAGGTGGTGAATCGGCCAAATCTGGGGAGCTCGGGGGTTTACCAAGAGAGCTGCCAGGGACTTGTCCAGGTGCTGACAGGGTGCCATCCTTGGAGATGTTTCAAAGGATGACTTGCAGGCTTAATGCGAATAACTTGATAGGCTACAGTAATCGGAAATGAGCTTGGACTGTGAAAGCGGCACTGTCTGTGCATTTCGTCTCGTCCGATCTAACCATGCCAATCTTTTCTTTTTTCCCCTGATCGTACTATTATCGATTTGATCAAAATCGTCAACACTTCCTATAATAGCATCAAAATATTAAGGCTCACATCTCGAAACGGTAGGTCAGCAGGGAGGTACGTAACTCACCAAGGTATGATCGACTTATCTTCTGTTCTCACGGACTGTACATAAGAAACCGCCGAGGCCACTTTTTTTCCCTTTTACTTGAATTTAAATCCAATCAAGTTTATGGGGCCTATGTTGTAAGTGGGTAAGCAGGCTTTTACTTAGAACAACTAGAGTCCACTGTCGCGGTCGACGAAGCACCCGTCCACGAATACTCCAAGGCTCTTCTGGCATACCTATTTGGCTGCGCTGCGTAAGCGCACGTTGACCTCAGATCGACCCAATTCAATGCAATGATCGCCCTCGGATTAAATGAGCCGATCTTCTCAATTCTTCCATCTATTTCCGATTACCCTAACCCATACGAGTCGATCATCCGCACGTCCTCTTTACTCCTCTTCTGAAGAAATAAAAAGAACATGAACGAGATGATATTGCTGCAAACGAAGCCTTCCCCTCTTCTAGAAGCTGGAGTCAAGCTCAAGCTTCATTTTCATCCACCTTAGGAGGCTTGGCGATAAGGCTTGAATTATCCGTCTTTCCCCCCCCCCCAAATCATCAAATCATCTGCCGATGTCTCCATCCGCTCCGTTGTCTTGATGCTCCGCTTCGACGTGTTTGTCTAACTCACCTATGTAGCAAACAAAAAAAAAAGTGAAGCCTTTTTCGAAATTAGAGGCGTATGGGGTATCCCACCGTTGAATTCGCGTCCTCTCCGCTCCTTATGTTTATCCCGCCTATAGAGTTGTTGCGATGTTATCATGAGATCTCATCAGGAGGCCTTCTGGTTCGCCCCGTTTGGAAGTGCCAAGACATGAATGGTGGCGAGAATACTTTTCAGCTTTCGATGACGGTGATGGCTTCAATTATGGGAACATGAAAATTTGACTGGTTCCCGGATTGGTTTTCCTCCACCATGCTAGTTCAATTTTGGGAGTCTGCTCTGTGATTACCCGTCCAAGCATAACGCTTTGGCGCCCTCCATCTACTAATTCCGCTGAGGGTCATTGCTGCGGTGGGACCTTGGCGCTACGATTCTTGGTCTGCAGTAATTTTTTGATGAAATCCGGGGTTCGCTAAGAAAGTTGGCTGTCACGGTATCTAAGAAAGTAATTGTATGGAGTCCCCGGAACCTATGAGTCCATCGGGAGAGAAGCGGTTATATTACAAGCAGGGGAAACGAAGAGTTAGAATTGGTCAAAGTTGAATTCCACAGCGTTGGTAAGAACTTAGTTAAGTAAAAGAGTCCGACAAATAGAGATGATGAAATTTTAAATTATGTAGGTTATACAGATTGTGTAGATTGTGTAGATTGTGCAGATTATTGAGGTACATAACGTAGATTATGACGGTATTATTCTAATATTTGAGGTCGTACTTAACACTTTCTTTTCTTCCCACTTCCTTTTTTTAGGCGATTGATTACCAAGGTTCCAAGGTTTGTTACACAGCCTAACATTTAGGTCACAGTCCGCTGGGGTTTATTGTTTATTAGAGAGGTGCTAGTACCCGGTACTCCGCATTCAACGCCTAATAATCCCACCTTTTTTTATCGGTGTCCCCAGTATACCCCCCCAGTACCCCAACTATTCAACTCCACACGTTCGGGTAATTTCTTTATTTCTTTTTTCTTCAACTGCAGAGAATACCGAACTCTTAAACCTACCTACCTAGGTATGCAAGCACGATTTTGAAGGATTTTTAAATGTATGTCATCTAATAGCCCTGTCATCATTCATATATAAAGTACATGTCATTTTTCCAAAACTGACATGTGAAACGGGTAGTTACCGAATGACAAATTTAGGCTCTCAGCTGTGTGTACGATAGCGTCAACAATTGATGCCTCAAGACCTCGTACTATCAAGTCATATCCTCTTCTATGTTGCATAGGAGTAGAAGGTGACCCGAATCCCTTCCAGGTCGTCTGGCTGTCTGGTCGTTCTACCTAGGTATCCACTAGGATCCATACCTCTCATCATCGCCAATCTTCCCCTCTTTGCTAGCCCGCCGGCAAAGCACATCTATGGCTAGGTCAGTCCTCGCTGATCATTACTATAAGGAGTTCTCATCTGAGAGAGATCACGCTATCCGACTGCCATCGCTCATCGCTCATCGATGTACCTATTGCATTGTAGATGTGGTTTTGAATTTCTTATGGAGGCGCTCTCAGCTTCAAGAAAAATGTCACCGTCTTACCGTCTTACCCATCTCACTTATCTACATCTGGCCATTCCAGCCGGGGGAGAAGGTACATATCCTTGAATGGCCCGTCCATAATAACACTACAAACGAGATTTACATACCGCGGGATTCAAGAAAGTGGCCGGATTTCGCTTAAGCTTTCTATCATCTTCTTTTCCAACCTTTTTTTTCTTTTCTTAATCCTGACATTATACCTTCCGTTCCCTACCCTTTCTTCGCTATTGCCCAATCCTCCATTCCAACGTTACCCAAAGCTTAGTACTGTCACTGGTAATCTGACAACCTGTTGGTGAAACCTTTTACGACTTACATGTATGTAGGTAGGTCGTCATAGCTCTTCATACCTTGGGTACATACCTAGCGACTATATAAGTATCCATCGAGTCGCACAATCTATTAATTATTTTTTTATATATAGCCACGATTGGCCCGTTTGGCTCTTTAGGTATGTCGTTTACCACCTAGGTATCTAGGCACATTATGCAGATACTTCTATACTTCTACTCATATTACCAATATTGTAACCTATTTGCAGTTAGGTTGTTTCTCATTTACGTATTTTCTTTGATGATTGGCTCCCCCCGCCCCCCACATTTTCCCACATACGGTAGAGCCAGCTTCTCCAATGCGGAGATGGTACCGAGGGTGCTATTGACAAAGTATGGGGTTACTGACAAGGACCCCGTCAACTGCGGGCTCTTATGCTTGTTTATGTCTGGGGGTGCTGGGGGCGGGGAATGCTTCTTAAAAAACCTAGCGCCGTTTTTGTCGACTTGCGTATTGGCTTTACATACATATGTACCCATTTCCCTTCGCATATACACGGGAAGTAATGTTTCTTTGTAACAATGGGTTGCAACTGGTTGTTTCTTGGGTGCCTACGTAGGTACAAACGAGGACCTACACAAGGTAACCCGCAGCAACACAGCAACAAAAGAAAAACGAGGGGTCAGTAAGAAGTAGGTACCCGGTCAAAAGCAAGTAATATCAATTCATTCTCCAACATCAAATCCCATCCTCCATCGGTTTGGTTACCAATCCCTGACATTAGATGGATAGATGGATAAGTTACCTATCTTACCTTAGCTACCTAGGTATGTACTCAGGTAGGTGCATAAAATAAAATAAAAAGGCTGTATACATATATGTAGAGATGAGTTAGGAAGGAAGGAAGAAGAACAATGTTTAGGTAGCTGCCAAATCCAACGTTTTCTAAATCGGCGCCACTTTTTTTTTTTTTTACTTCTTTCTTTCCCAAGTTCGGGTTTCACCCGCAAGGAAAGGGCAGCGGCAGCGGCAGGCCAGCAGGCTTGTTACTGTTGTATCTTTCAACCAAAACACTAACCTAACTTAACCTAACCTAACGGTTTCCCCATCTCCGCATCCTCCCCTTCCCCCCCCCTCCATCTCCATACCTTGACCTCCTCCTTCTCCTCCTCACTCCTCATCTTACACCATAAACAAATTGAATCGACCCCGAATTCAACCATCATCAATCTCATCGCCCTGTTCACCTTAATTTTTTCTCACCTCCGTGGATATTATTCATCCAATTCATCGATGATCCCCTTTAACCGAGTCAATCCCATCCAGGACATGTATCTCTACTACTTGGGCGGCAGAAGTTTCAATCTGATTCCCCAACCGTAGAATCTCACAATACACAGAATTACAATACATAACGATATACTTAGCCTTCTCCCGCATCTCCACACACGCTCCTTGTTTTTTATTCTCAGTGTTCTCCGCGTCAACAACATCAACCAATAAATCCGCTAGTAATTCCTCTCTCCGTACCGGTTAATTACTCCGGACTCGTTCGACTTCCAGTGAGAAACGTGTCAAATCATAGCCTTGCTTATTACCAGGCGTCGACGGGTTGGTTACCTCAGCCCTACTCCTTTTGTACAGTCGCCTACGGCCCTTTGGGTTCCCCTAAGGTTACGAGCTCTGTTGATCAACGACGCTGGCTGCCAACTTGGCGAGCGGTCGATCTCCTGGGGGACGAAGGAAGAGGACGAATGTGGTGGGAGCCCGTGTTACGTACCGAGTATACCCAAAAGTCGACTGATACTACTATACTACTACTATACTACTATTGCACTCATACCATACCTACCATACCATCACGTCCATGAATTCATCTATCAATCGTTCGCCCCGCAAGACGTTCATTCCTCTTTCCGGCATAACCTCCTGGCTCTGGACCTTCTACCCTTCCTCCTTACCCCCCACTCCCGAGTGCTGCGTGACTTGGTCTGCATTGCACCCATATTTCGGACAGGGACTTACCTTATACTAATTATTATTCACTCATTCATCCTAACCCCAAATGCAAGCCATGCCGTCCATAGAAGGCTCTGGTGTTACTGGTACTGCCGAAGAGAATGGGGAGGCCCGGCAGCAGAAACCCAAGACCCTGCCATGTAAGTTCTGCGAAAAGCGTTTTAGGTAAGACCACCATAAGTCATGTCCATCTATCTCCTCTGCCACTTTGTCTACTTCCGTTGGCAATTTATTTATTTACTTACATGGCAATCTCCTAATTAGGCGCGTGGAGCACGTTCAACGCCACGAGAGAACTCATACTAAAGAGAAGCCTTTCTCCTGCGGGTGGGCTCGTTGCGGAAAGACATTTGGACGTCGGTTAGTTAATTTGTCCTTTTTTTTCTTTCTTTTCGTGTTTCTCACCTTAAAATTTTCTGGCCCATTTATACGCAGGAGAATTTATGTGTGGTGGTTTCTACTTCGCCTTACCCACCAACTGTCCAACCATTCACCGTCTTTCCTGCGCGCTAAAGACCCCCGTCTTTCACCCCTCAGAGCCTGCTGCCGCGCATAGCACACATATCACACACACATCACACTTATGGACCTAACGCCTTTCTCCCCCTCCATATAATTTGTGATCAGCGGCTCTCTAACTTCCTCTTTCTCCCTACGATTCCCTGTGAATATGCTTATATGGACATCAGGGATCTCCTCGTCCGTCACGAGAAACTCGTCCACCTCAATGAAGGTTCTAATAAGGATGGTAACCGGCCCCGGAAGCCGTCCACGGCCGGCGCTGCCCAACCGCCGCTACCACCCGAGAGCCATGTCGACTCCGAAATGATGGGTGTGCCGCGGCCTCACCCCCAACATTATCATTCAGAATCCATGACCTCTTCCGTAGCGGTTCCTCCTCTTGCCCCTGATCCTCGCCATTCAGCCAGGGCTGCCGCCTGTAATCTTGACCTTCTGTCTGATGCTGCAACTCAGATCGCTTCTGCTAATGAGGTTAACTCAATGCAACCTATGATACCGGATCATCTCGGTCAATCAGGGGCTGGATTGACGCGCATCAAATCTTACGATGAAGGTATGCCGTATGCCGACCGTGGGCGGGAACCCGAGCCGGTCGCTATGTCTGTAGGGTTACCCAATCCAGCAGGACCGCCTGCCTTTGACGACTACAACCTCTTCCTTGACGAGTTTGCGACGTCGTCTCATTTCCTCCCACAAGCCTTTGAGGCAGATCAGGGTATGGGTATTTGGCCACGACATTTATCAGAGCTTCGTGCAGGTGGACTATCCAAACCATCGTCACAATTCCCCTCCCGCTTTCCATCGTTAGCGCCTGACCCGAGAGACCCTTCGGAGAGCGGCGCTAGAACGCACGACGGGTCCGGGGGGTCGCAACCCTTAAGAGTATCTGCTATGGACCATACCGTTATCAAAAATCGATTAGACGAATTTTCATCGGTGCTACCGAACGACTTCGTGTTCCCTTCCCGACATACCCTCACTCGGTTTTTGGAAGGATATGTGAGCGGTTTCCACGAACATCTACCGATCCTGCATCTCCCGACGATAACGGCTGCCGAATTAGCGCCGGAGTTGTTGCTAGCTATCTTAGCGGTAGGTGCGCAATATAGGTTTGAAAGCCATCGATCAAATGCGTTATGGTATGCAGCAAAAGCCGTAGCGCTCGAACAAATTCGACGACGCCATAGTCACGAAGTTCACGGTTTGCTTCCGACGCCGGCTGCGTATAGTCCGCATTCTACGCGGCCGTCGCCAAGTCATGGGTTTCGCCATTCATTTAGCTCGGTTCAACAGGAGCGCCCAATGACCCAAGATACACACCGAGAGCCTTAGTAAGAAATCCTAGTCCCATCCGAAGCGTAGGAGTTACTAATATTTGTGTTTCAAGTTCCCCGAATACTCCCCAATCTCGCATGGAAACCATTCAAGCGCTTTTATTACTTTTCGCTGTTGGTCTCTGGGGTGCAAAGGCGATTCTTCGCGAAGCTCTATCGTTCCAAAGCTTGTTGGCTCTTTTAGTACGCGAAGAAGGATTTTTGTCCGAATCTACACAAACAGCCGATTGGGAATCATGGGTGAGAATAGAAGGGGCCAACCGCACAAAACTCGTCACGTATTGTTTCTTTAATATGTGCAGTATTGCTTATAATATGCCGCCTCTATTACTCACATCAGAACTCAACCTAATTCTTCCACACTCTGCGAAATTATGGAGAGCCGAGACGGCCTGGCAATGGCAGGAGGCTCGTCAATCTTTTCCAAGTATGGACATATCTATTCAAGATGCATTCTCGAGGTTATTTAGTCGACCGCCGCAAGGCCCTCCTGCATATATGTCGTCTCTTGGCAATTACGTCCTCATTCATGCCATACTACAACATATTTTTCTCTTAAAGCAGACCTCGTTTAACTCGGTATCAATCTTTGGAGGACTACGACACGACGATGTTGAAGATTGTTTCCAAGCTTTGCGAGTATGGCAGATGAGCTTTGAACAGCATCAAGCGCGAGTAACTGAAGGCAGTCACCAGAACGGCTCAGATGCATTTCCTGGAGGTCCGGTTGCTTACAACTCAACTGCACTCTGGAGATTGGCTTCGATACGATTGTACACCGACTTAAGTCCCAGTAGAACTCTGGAGACAAGGGATGCAAACCAGATTGCCCAATCGTTCCACGATGCGCCTTATCTCGTTCGCAGTGGGCGGCTAAACCGAGCCGTCTTCCAAGCTATACACGCGTTGTCGCTGTTAGTTAAAGTAGGCGTTAATTACGTTGCGAGAAGGAAGTCATCGGAATGGAGCATGCAACACTCACGTAAGTTGTCGTATTATACGAACAAAAACGGGTTGAAAATATATCATCTAACTTTTGCGCAGTATGCAACCTGGAATGCGCTATCCTCCTTTCGAAATGGCTTATGACTCTTGCTTCGATCGGGCCGACAGGTGCTCCTCCCGAGCCGGACGAACGAAACCTTCTCGAGATGTTACGTCATATGTTGGACGAGACGGAGTTCGCAGTACCGATCGACCCGTCGCTTTCGGGGGGTGCAGGACATGGACCATCGAGTATGGACATGGCTGCAAATGACGGGACGAAGCTTCGACAACTGGCCGTGGCCGTAATACGACTCTGGGCCGAAACATTCAAGGGTTCGCATATTTTCGATATCGTGAAAGTGATCGGTGCTGGATTGGAAGGTTATGCGGATTTGCTAGAGAAACCGCGAGATAGAACACCGCTAGGTCGATTGGCGCCGAGTTCAGGACTAGGTTGATTTAGTCACGACGAACCCGATTAACGAAGCTGGTTGTCGATACCAAGTCGAATATAGCTAAGATTCATATCGATCGCCTATGTCCAGGCGTCGACGCGAAGCCAACTAGTTAATATTGGCACCTGCTCGACTTTTCAACTCAAATCATCATAATACTAAGGATAGTTGGTCTGCTTCTGAGAAGAAAATACATGATCGTTGGTATGCATTCCGCTATGGCGTCGCACATTGCAAGCACCGAAAACGCGACCGATATATACACGAGGGTTTACTGGGGGTACGATAGAAGAACGATATAGGGATTCCTACGAGGATGTGTCGTAGAGGTGGTGTTATGAAAGGAAGGACATGTTCCGACCATTAATAACATACCGAGAAGTTAATATATCTGCGGGGATATAATCGACGGGGGTGTTGCAGTGAGGTAGCAGGAAATAAAAGCGATCCATGGATCGCTGCCAAGTGATGAATATCAGCAATTCCAGTTGTGGTACCTGGACAAGCTAGCATCTATCTACTTTGTAGTGCCTACCTAGGTAGGTACTCAGCTACTTAGCAGGCGTATACCTTGCTAGATAAAATCAGGTATCAAAAATGAAGTCCAATGAAACCATTTAACATCAATGCTACTAAGAATTTCTTATCGTATCGGTGATACAAATGAAGCCTTAGGACTTTAGATAGCGACGATCGCGATCAAAGAGGTGTACGTACCATTTTCAATAACCCGTTTTCGGCATAAGGCATCACGTGATAACGTGTATGGTGTCGTCATCCCCGCGATCCTTCTCAACGCGTCATCTACTTTGTCTCAATTCAACTTCTTCATTCATGCCACACTTTTGAGATAAGAAACCTAATTTGATATCGCGAAAGTAAATAAAGGAAAGAAAGACGTAATTGATTCCGAAAATGCCGCCTAGGAAACGCACGGCGGCTGAGGCTGTTTCTACGCCGGAAAGTGGCGGGCGCCGCAGATCTGGGCGTATTAGTGCGGGTGCGACGAGGAGTACGTATTTTGAGGGCGTGGAGGAGGAGGATGGGGTAGAGAGTAAGAGGCCTAGGAAGGCGGTTAAGGTGCAGGCGAAGGCGAATTCGAAAGTGAAAAGAGGCAAGGCTAAGAAAGAGGAGTCGATTGATGAACTGCAGCAGTATGAGGATGAAGACGAAGAGGAGGAGGAGGAGAGGGTGGCTCGTGGGCTTAGTGATGATGGTGAAAATGATGCTTTTGATGGGGATAAATATGAGGAGGAGGAGGAGGAGGAGGAGGAGGAGGAGGATGGGGGGAGTGAGGCGTTGCCGTCATCGCCGTCGCCGCCACCGTCTGCGAAGAGGGGCAGGGGAAGGCCGAAGAAAAGTGAGTCGGTGAATACGACACCGATTACGAAGAAAGTGGACGCGAAAGCGAAGACTCCGGGGACGGCTAAGGGTTTGGCGAAGACTCAGGCGAATGCTAAGACTAAAGCGAAAGCGAAGGATGAGTCGGAAGATCCTGATGTGGAAGAAGATGATGACGATGACGACGACGACGAAGAGGATCGCATTACCTTTATTCCTGGTATGTACTCCCGGTTTTCATATGGGAGGATAGTGTGCTAACGTTGGTAATTGCAGCTGTCAAGATGAGGGAAACTGGCGGCGTCGCATACGAAGACACGAAGATCCATAAAAACACGTTACTCTTCCTAGGTGATCTTAAGAAGAACAATAAGAGGAGTTGGCTAAAAGGTAAGTGTCCCAAAACTCATGACGACGATTCCTTTCTAACGTGATTAGCGAACGACGCGGAGTACAGAAGGGCCCTTAAGGATTGGGAGTCATTCGTAGAGACCATAACTGAGAAAATCGTCGAAGTGGACGACACGATCCCAGAACTACCGATTAAAGACGTTATCTTCCGTATATACCGCGATATTCGATTTAGCAAAGACCCGACTCCGTATAAGGTAAGTCCACCTCCAACCTCTACTCCGGTTACCGAGTAACAGAAACCGACTCTAATACCGAATAGCCCCACTTCTCCGCCGCGTGGTCGCGAACCGGCCGCAAGGGCCCGTATGCCTGCTACTACATCCACATCGAGCCGAACGGATGTATGGTTGGCGGTGGCCTATGGCACCCAGATAACACGGCGTTAGCCCGTATGCGCGCCAGCTTCGACGAGCGACCTCATCGTATCCGACGCATCCTGACGAACCCCATGTTTGCGAAGACGTTCCTTCCCGCTGCTAAATCCGGTGGCGAGAAGGCTGTTCTGAAGGCGTTTGTCGCGAAGAATCAGGGGAATGCTTTGAAGACTAAACCAAAGGTGCGTTATTTCTTATGGATGGATGGATGGATGGCGTGTTCTGACTGAAGTAGGGCTTCCACCCCGATCATAGGGATATCGAGCTCCTGAAGCTGCGCAACTATACCGTCGGCACGAAGATCGATGATGCGGATCTCCTTGCTGAAGACGCGCAGGATAGAATTATGGAGATCATTTCTGCTATGGTTGATTTTGTAAGTACATCAACTACTACTTTCCCGACTTGGTGGTATGGGCTAACAGGGGTGATCCTGAAGGTCTCGTATATAAATAGCGTCGTCATGCCGGATCCTAACGTTGATGATGATTCTAGCGATGAAAATGGTGAGGATGCTGGCGAAGAAAACGGAGAGCAAGAGGAAGAGGATGGTGAGAGTGATGGCATTTAGGTTGACGGTCAGCGATGTTTCTATTGATGAGCTCGTGGGCAGCGTCGGTTTAGTTCATCCCTAGCTTGTTATCATCGAGGCTTATTGGCCTCTTGTATTATATTACGCCAGATCTTACTCTGGCACCTGGATCCCCAGGATGGATAGGCGAACGGTTGGTAGCGTATATCGGGTCAGGGACAACGAAATGTTCTTACAACATGCCTCTTTTCGGTGATACTATTCCATACCGGGTATTCTTGCGGAAGTCAAACTATTCTTCTACAACGTATCCTCCCTATGTACACCGTCGCCACCATATCTCCTTCATTCAATCCATTCAATCTAACATCCCCGTCGACAAGCTAGGCGGAAGATCTTCATCCTTCGTACCCCACTCACTCTCAGTGCTCCCCAACACAAATTCCAACGTCCCACCTTTCAAGAAAAATTCATGTGTAATCCAACTCTTATTATACGGCTCGCCGTTAAGCTTCGCGCTTTGGATATATATGTTCTTGTACCTCGGCGCGTCAAAACCCCCAATATTCCGCAACGTTGCTGGCTTACCCGACGGCGTCTGCAAACTCACTTCTCGGAAGAAAGGTGCAGTTAGCAGATATACATCTTGACCAGCAACCGGGTAGAACCCCATAAACGCGAATGTCGTAAATGCGCCCATAGCGCAGTCATCGTTGCCAGGTATACCGTTGATACTTTCGTTAAACTGTCCCGGTATATACTGGTGTACCCAGTAACTACTGCGCCCCGGACGGCCCGCGTAATGGAATTGGAACGTCGGTAAGAAGTTGGGTTCGTTGCCCATGTAGTTAATGCCCGACGAGTGGAAATAATCGAGCCTCTCAACGAAAGTCTCGCGTCCGCCTAACGCAGACACAAGCTCGGCCATATCTTGCGGCACATAGAATGTGTATAACCAGGGGCTGCCTTCGTATGTCTCGTACTGCGTGTCGAAATAGCAGACATGCTGCTGATAAGCGGGGCTGCAAAGGCGCGTGTTCTGATAGCGCCAAGTACCATTTTGGAACCGTGGCTGTAAAAACCCTTTGAACTGAGTCTTCTGCACGTTCCCCTCTTCATCCCGATACCGATCTTCCTGCTCCGGATTAAATAGATTTCGCCAGTTTCGGGCACGCTGCAAGTACTTCGCCTCATCGGCCTTACGACCGAGCCCGCGAGCCATCAACGCGATTGCAAAATCGTCGTATGCGTACTCGACCGTGCGTGAAATACCCCGCGTCATGGGTCCTGTGCCATTGCGGTCCGTGTCATCATAAGGCACGTACCCTAGTTCATGCCAGGAAACTAAGTTACCGCGTCCTGATGTAGACCAGTCCATAGGTTCGACCTCGGCGTCAGATACCACGGCTTCATACCCCAGGTTCCAATTAATACCGTCGGTTAAGTTTTTGATGAAGGCGTCGGCGAGGACTACGTCTGCGTTGGATCCGCCTTGTGTGTAACCCTTACTGAAACTCATACGGCAGTCTGGGAGTTTTCCTTCGTTCTTGTACGTATCGATAAGTGAGCGCACCATTCGGGTTTGTACTGCAGGATCCACGATAGTAAGTAGGGGATGTTGCGCTCGGAAGGAGTCCCATATGCAATAAAAGGAATCATAATACGGTTCGCTAGAATTCCAGAGCTGGTTTTCACCTGTGTAATCTTGAGGTGAAATCAACGCGCGATAAAATCCCGACCAGAAGGTTGTCACGAATTCAGGACTCATGCCATAAGTATCCGGCTTGATTACCGAGAGTTTCTCTTTCCATGCCTTCTCACTGGCTTTGACCACGTCCTCAAAAGCGAAGTCCGGGATTTCAGTTTCCGCATTACGGCATGCCTGCTCAATAGATATGAAGGAGAGTCCGACTCGAGCCATGATCTGATTTTTCTCCGGGCGCGCAAAATGGATCCAACCACCAGCTGACCCGGCCGGTATGAAATAGTCGCTTCCCATAAAACCCATCACATTAGTCTCGTTTGTCACGTTGGTTTGTATGAAGACGCCACTCTGCCGAATCTCAGCGCCCCTAAAGTCAGCACAGGCATGTGCCTTATACACCCCCGTACCGAAGGATGGGTTAAATGAGCCGTTCCCTGTTATCCTGCCCGCGATCGGGTCTACCACGACGTCGCCTCCAGTTCGAGTGGTACCAAGGTCGGTCAAGTCTAAAAGAACCAGGGGGTTATTGGGGACCATGGCATTGTGAGATAATACTTGGTCATCTTTAGAGAAGCTGAACCTGTAGAGCGTGGCGTGCCCTGTTGCCGTCATCTCGGCGTATACCGAATTGTTAAGGCCGATGGCAAAATAGCCGGGCCGCGCTGTCGCGGAACCATCAATTCTAGGGACGGCTCGGCCTATGGCGGTGAACTTGCACTGTGAGTAATCATCTTCGGGGCATCCGGGATGTACGAATAGAGGGAAGTTTCCCAATGAAGGGCTCTGTCACTAGTTAGATCTTCTCATCCTGGGCACTGTGTTTCTCACTCACTCCTCCGGTACCTTGTGACACGTTAGTAAGACAGATGAGATAGGTGGCTTGGCTATCGTTACCTGAATCGTGTAAATGAGAGAAACCCTGGATCTCCGAATCGTCCGAGACAAAACCGGCTGCTATCTCCGCGCGGTTACTCGCATCGGCCACAGCTTTTGCCATACCTGAGAGGTCATTTAATATCTCAAGTACTCCCGGGCGCATAAGTAATTGAGTAACGCACCATACGGTAAAGTCGCGCCGGGAAATACATGGCCTGTAAAGATCTTAGTGAATTCTCTCAGTCAAATGGGTGTTTAGCACCCACCTCCGTTCGTCGTGCCGATAAGAGGATCGATATGCCGCAGGATGTCGTCGCTAGATCTCCCAGATGAGCTTTTGCCGGCGTGTAACAACCGAGTTGGAGAATTGAACCTAGAAGAAGGGAGCAAAGCCCAGACCAGCAGTGCTGTGACGGGGATGACGAAGAGAAAACGCCGCCATCGTGGGAAGCCGTTGATAAACGGTGTCATGACGATGCGAGAAATCGAGTTCACGTATCGACTAAGTATGGCAGTGCGAATGCAGGAGCCATTGACACCGGGCGCGGCCGTCAATCCCCCACGAGCTTATGCAGGCGTCAGCGGCGTGGCCTCAATTGGTTTTTTTTCTCGTATTTCGATTTGCTTTTTCTTGCTCTTTTCTGCTGGTCTCTTACCTGGGGCTTGCTCTGAAGTTTCTGGATTCATTCATCAAGAAAATCGAGCAAGATAATAAAATAAATAATAATTAATTTCATCGGCCTAATTATTCATAGCTCAGCTTCTTCCCTTGTTAGGCGTTCCGGTTGTTTCTGACCCGTATGTGGTCGATCGTCTAGAATCCGAAATGGAGGGTCCCAATCTTGCATGCTTGGCAATTAGGGGAATTCGGCTGAATTGTATTTAGCTAAAGCTCCTCCACAAGGGTTGCATCGGCAACTGAGCTTTTCGTACAGGCGACGAGGGATCCATTGGCTCTCACTGTAAGCTGGAAAATGTGCTGTCTAGACTGATCGCATGGTGACATCGACGTTAACATTGGCCATTTTTAGGTGTTAGACGTTTCCAATAAAGGAGCTCCCTCTTCCGATTTAGTTCGCCTAGGAAGCTTGGAAGTTGATTGTTGACAGTGTAAGAACAGAAAACACACTGAGCGTTTTAAAGACGATCTGTTGTTTTTGAATCTCACATAACCCCAGTTTATTAATACACGACACATTTAAACTGAAGTTATAGTCTTAGCGAGGTCTTTTAAGTTTCAATTTCTTACTTCAGAATGAATTCTAAATCGCGAGATTTTATCATTCGTCGCCGTATCTACCTAGGTACCGCCCTTTTTATGCTCTTTTTATTTCGCCTTTCTGGTAGGAATATGGATTCATTCGCAACTTTAATAATGATAGGTTATAGAAAGCGGCAACAGCGGATCCTTTATGCATCTAGTACTTATACAGCATTGAAACTAGCGAGACCATAGGCCAAATACTGCATTTTATGGCAGTAAAGATACAGTCGCTTACCATTTTCGGATGACAATGTCCGTGGCTGAGCCGTACTCATGCCTCTCAAAACATGTGGTTTTTCTCCCTGCGAAGCAATTTCATAGGCTGCCTTACCATCTCAAGGCAGTTAGATGTGATAAGGCAGATTGGTGGGCAATATTAAAAACTACTCTGCCGCTTGCTTATCCGCCTGCTATACGGTCCCTAGCATGTAACAATACCAAGGTACCTCGCTGCTAATGTCGGATCCGTTGAGCATCGCGATGGCGGTAGCTGGGCTTCTTCAGCTATCTGTCAAAGTCTATACGTCAGTATCGGGGTTCATAACGAGAGTAAAAAATGCACCACAGGCCGCGTACGATCTCGCTACTACCTACCCTCTCTGAAATGCGATTCACCCTCACATCAGTATCGGAGCTAGTCGATTCTTTCATGGGGTTGTCTATGAGGCGGCGGGCGATGGTCCAACTAGATCATCTCATTATATGTTTGACGCAATCAGTAGTAACTTTTTCCGAACTCGAAAAGTTCGTTAGCAATTCGCTCGGAAGAGTGGGCATGTCGCGATGGGACAATTGGCTTTTTGCTAGCCGAGGGGAGAAGCTGGGGCGATTCAATACCAGGATACAACAACAGAAGACATGCATCAGTCTGGTCTTGAACATTCTGCAATGGTGAGTGCTGCCATCCTCATTGCCATAGAAATATGGATTGACCGAATAGATAGCGAGTCCGATATCGACGCCCGGGAATCCGGCGATACCCTGCAGGGAATGATAGAAAAGCTTTTAGACGAAAATAAGTTCCTACAGGACAAGATAGAGCGGCTCGGTGGCATCGTACGCGACACCGTTGAATCTGTAAAGTATTCTACCCGCATCGAAAATTCAAGTAACATTTTTACTATTACGGAAGGTGAAGAGAATGAAACATCGACTATTAAAAGAACACCATCCGTATACACCACGAAAGTATCGTCGAGTCCAACTAACGACGGAACTATGGAATTGGCTCAGGATATCCAGTCTTGCGCTAAGACCACCATGAGGCCGTTCGAAGTCGACCTGGTTAAATCTTTCGTCTATTTAAGGGCACTAGGCGACGAATGCGATATCTCCTTTACTACCGGCCAGCCGAATAGCGCGCTTTGGAGTTTGCTCTCGGGGCTCAGCTTAAGCAGGGTATCTAACATATCGGTCATTGGACTGCCAGTCTCCGCACAGGATATCTGGAACAGTTCGTGGTATAAAACAAACCTACCGCCCCGGCAGTTAAAGGTGGACACATATAAAATCGCCGTCCTCGGGTATATTAATGTTGGGAAGTCAGCATTGACAAGGAGAGTAAGCTTCTTTTTCATCCCACCGCCATGAATAGCTTGCTAACACGGCCGTGGATAGTTTTGCTTCGACTTTTTCAATGATGGACTTGAATCCAGTGTGAAAGACTCAGTTTCCCTACACACTGTGCTAGATGGCACACCCATCCGTATTGACATCGTTGACACTCCAGGGGTAGGCTTGGATGATTCTCGTGCTGACTACACAATCAAGGCAGCCGAGGGCATGATTGTGGCATACTCTACTATAGATTTTGGTTCCTTTTTTTCTGTTCGTCCCATAGTAAATCGAGCTACTAGCGCTAAAAGTGACCAGTGGAATTCAGGGATAGCAGCTGCTATTGTCGGTACTAAGACGGATCTAGCGGCCGCTCGTTCCGTTCCTCGAGCATCGGGCGCTTCCGCAGCCAAAGAACTGAGTCTGCCATATTTCGAGTGCTCAGCAAAGACGGGCGAAAACGTACAAGAAGCATTTCTCGAAGTAGCCAGGGACATTAGGGACAGGCGATCTAGGAGAATTCAAGAGCTTGAAAAGTTGTATTATAGCACCCAAGGAGTGACCGGACTCCCCCTAGGAAAAAAGCCGATTAGGGACTTAGACCTAGGTACCGCTAAAGAGCGTGTTGTAACAGACTCCCAACATACCTAGGTACCTAGGTAGACAATGAAAACCAAGAAAAAAAACAAAGTCGAAGACCATCATGTCTACACGTACGATGTAATTGTAGAGAATAGAAATCGCGAAAATACCTAGGTAAATAAACAATTCTTCGAAAATGATTATTGGAGTCCCAGAGCATATACGCAAAACAAGACATGGAAAACACAAAAAGTAATGCAACTCCGGGGAATTGAACCCCGATCTCGAGCTTGGAAGGCTCGAATGCTGACCATTACACCAAAGTTGCTGACCTCCTAGGAATTGAAATTTTGCCAGCTAATATAGCTTTATATATCTATGTACGCCAATCCAATCAGAGGTGCTTCTGGGACTTAAAGGCGGGCCAGAATATCCCCCGCTGATTTAAAGGGGAAAAGGAGGCGGGGTATGGTGGGGCTACACCTGGTTGGTGATATCCAACCCGATATTCTTTTGTAACTTGACAAACACGTTGTGTCTTATCTTGAAAAGTTTCAACTCACTGGGAAACTAATAGAGTGGCCTAATCTCAGTGATGTGGGTTTGGTCATTTCTACTTATCTGACGCTCGCAACTTAAATCTCCCTTTACATGACCATCAATTCCTCCTCTGGGGTTATCCAACTTTACGTCTTAGCCGAGCCGTAATAATGTAAGGTCAAGGGACTGTCCTCAAGCACTATATGGTAACTTTAAGGGTTGTTTTTCGCTCGCATCATTTCTCTTTGTCTTTCGCGGGCGTTGCGAATGCGATAGTCGTTCAGGTAAGTCGAAGTCTGCTATATGAGTTCTATCATATTCTAGTCGTTAGGTCGGGTCGCTCAGGATTGCATATGCCGATTCGAGCCACTCTACCGTTAGTAAAAAAAAAGTTGATTCATAATAATAAAAGGCTTAAACAAACTTCCTGCAACTCTTCTGCCGCACGAGGGTTCTCGGGGTTCTTGTCCGAGTGTTTAACCCTTGCGAGCTTATTGTAGGCAATCTTGATGGTTCGTGCATGCGAGGTTTTCTTAACTCCGAGCACGGCGTATGAGTTGCGAGCCATGATTGATGGATGAAGCTATACTCGGGTAACGACCATTTCAACTTGCAAGGACTATTTAGTTTTACAAGTTAAGGTACGAGGCAAGAATGGTTCTAATTTGTTTTTGACATTGTGGAACGTCGCTTAGGCATCTTTCCGTGGTGCCTGCAAGATTCCGTGTTTACGGCCATACGGAAGCCCATACCAAGCGGGCAAGATCATGAAAACGTGTTAATACTACCTACCTAGGTAGACTTGGTAGGTTCTAGATCGAATGCTAGGGTCCACCAAATTTCCTTAAATGCCCATGGTGCGTAGCATATGTAGGTGAGAATATGGAAAGAAATGATAATGATATAAGAGTTCAACTAATAAATTTGGGGTACAATGTTATTTCAAACGTCAAGTCAGCGTATCCTCCTCTGTGTTACGAAATTACAAAGTCCGTGGGGAAAGTCCGCCTAAGAATCCCCAGGTAACTTCGTAATAATCAGATTCCGTGTCTCAACACTTTCCCGTGGAGGCGCTTGAGGGGTTGCCATCGGGTTCTCCACAGATACGTGTGGGCAATCTGAGACCAATATTAGCAAGAACAAACAGCGTCTCGGAGTTGACTATAGCTTAATCACATCTAGCATTAGATCCCGAATGACTATCGAAAGTCATGAATAGGAAGAGCTCGTTGGATCTTTGGTTAGGTAACCAGTACCATCGTTGCTGCTCATTATGCTTCAAGTAGTAAATCTCTTGACTCCAGTTTGGATATATTCTATCCGTTGCAACAAGATCATCGACATCGATAGAGGTATAGTCGCACATCGCAAGAGGGCGGTCCTCACACACCGCCAAGGTCGAGCGCCAAGTACTATAGACAAACATCAATGAACAACCCAGACCAGTTAATGACGCGAACGCTTACTTAATCAATCTAAAACGGTAACCGGGCTGGAAGAAAGTCTGCATTTGCTCCTCGTTGAGGATGCTTTTTAGAAGCCGGGGTACAGTGTCAAGAGAAATATCTAACTCAGGTGAGAACACGCCACTTAAGTCTCATGTGAACCACAAACCAACTGCGGCTAATCAGCTGTCTAATTCATTACAAAGATATAGGGGTCTCACCATGTGCTCCTACGGCAGCTTGCTCTACGAGGAGTGGATCTTTTGGATCATAATTCTCAAGTGTCATTGGCGCGTTCTTTCGTATCTTTGGAGTTCCGATTAGCATTAAGAAGTTCAGGCCATAGGCTAACGTACTTTACAGTCATAACAATGAACAAATTCAGCTTTGAACATAGAACGTAACAAATCTTCGCCCTCCTTGCGATACTTTCTGATCAGGTTAGTGTCCATACCAAGACTCGAAATGAATTCGGAGTCATGTTCAATATAGCAAAATCCACTTCTTTCTAGACTAATATCGGCATTGTCTCGCATGCTATATGCGGTCACTGGTTTTGTGTCCCACTCAACATTAGTGGTTCTAATCTCGTCAAGTTCAACATCGATAGACGCCGAAGGATGAAGGAAGAAGGGTTTCTCTTCTCCGTGGGCTGGTAGATCAGCAATGAAATCAATTGTGGTCTGAATACTCGCTCCAGCCGAAGTCATCTTGCCGTCAGAATTTAAACGCTGAAACAATGATTCTGAAGAAGGCAAAGTCGAACTTCAGAGGATATGCCCATGACATAGATATCCATGAAATTCTCATGCTAACCTTCGAGCAGTCAGCTACACTCGTCCGAGTGCTCCGAAGGATTACGATGTGTCGTATAACAACACTACCAAGTTACCCACGGACGCGGAAGCACATAACACCCGCATGAACACCGGTCTGCAAAGCCCCCCGCCTAACCTGATTGGCCCCATTATCGACGCACGAGATACGGCGCAACGCAATCTCACCCAACAAGCATATGGTTGGAGTATTTGCGAGTTCATCACCGGTCTAGAGAAACATCAATAACACTCTCTTTTAGGCAGTATCTATTCGGTCACAGAGCCTCAACAGGCCAAAAAAAACTAGTAGTTAGTCGGTCACCTATGTACGTACGTCACCTTGAGCTTGCACGAGTTACATCCCTAGCTTATATATTAGGGTGCAGTTCCAACAACGATTGATTGTTCACCAACAAATGTGTGACTGCGTATCAAATCCTAGCAATCTTAAATCTTGCCCTATACCGTGTTGGAGACGGTCTCATGACCACCTAGGTAAATTTGAGCCTCAAGCAACCTCTCATTGCATCACCAGGCTATCTTCGGCATATCCTCCGGTTATTCCGGCGTCACAACATCATCCAGACAGATTCTCAACCCACATTGTTCCAAAGTACTCAGGGTTGAACCAACACACAACCAAGGACGGCGACAGTTTGTTTTACATTTACTTAGTCATTTTCACCCGTTCAATTATTATATGTCCTTATCTTGCAGTACGCCCACATTGGAAAAGTGCGGCCTGCCGAGCATTCACCTTTTTCAGTTCATGAATGTTTCTTATATAATATACCTTACGGGATGTACTTACAGCTTAATTACAGAGTTCTGTTCGTATACCTCTGGTTCCCATTTGGCCTTGTCACGCTTCATCTCGTCTTGATATCATATTCCTTTAGTACTAGACAAAGCAATATTCTCTATATCTAATTAGTTTTCTAACGTGCGGCTAAATACTACCATATTATTTCATATACCTAAGGAAGCCGCGTCACGTCGGGCTTTGACACGAAGTCGACTCTTTCACGCTTTGACCTCGAGGGTTATCAGCAGGCAACCTGGGCTAGATCATCTGAGGGGAACATGTGATAGAACTGAAATAACAGCATAGAGTCATAGTGTCACGATGGATCCCGCAGGGTTTTCATGAAAGCAAATGCATGCAAGCTAACAAGTGTAGCTTTCTGGCCTATTGATTTGCTATATCGCAACTATATCCAATCCATGTTGGTTATCATTTACGCCCATCCCGCATGATGGTGCAGTGGTTAAAGTTGCAAGAATCACATTGCTCTTTTTTTTTTCTTAGAACGCCGCGGGGCTTTCTTTTCATTATCCCGAGTGGGTGCCATTCTGCGATGAATACCGGTTAATACATGCGCAGTCTACCCCAACTCATTCTAACAGGCACCGCGGAGCCATGCTATGGCCATTCAGAGATTCTCGGTGTTGTTCGTTGTCATTAGAAAACGATATGCGTGGTAAGCGCGAGATTGAAGGTCGAAGATATCTACTATCATTACAGATCGGTTAGACGAGTGCTAATCAATATAAATAGCGAGCCCTTTCCCTACATATTTCCTTCCCTCATCTGAGACCATAACCACCAATCTACCATCATTATTCGCTTGTCCTATTTAACCCTAACCTTGTTTTCTTCCAACAATGTCGGGAAGTCCTCTGCGAATCAGTGACCAGGAGGTCCTAAACTTGCTTCAGCTTGATCGCGATATCGATATGCGTACTGTCATGAATCGCTCTGGATACCCCCCTATTCAATACAAACCACAGGGATGGCGTGCACAGAGCCATCTTGCCTTCCCGCCTTCCCAAGACGCAGAGACTCAGGGGCTTGAATCTGCCAGGCGTCTAGTCCGTGGAGGCAAGATCTACATCGCCGGTACCGGAGGAGGATGAAGATGGAGATAGTTAAACTCGATGTTAATACGTATGTTATAATTCATTTAGCCTGGCTTCCGCTAACGTGTTGAATCAAAGGAGCAATGGTGTGAAGATCGTATGCCTATTGAGGTTTCCTGAGAGTTATGAGTTAAGGCAGTGGATACCAAATATTTGTCGACAAATCACGCTCTTTACCAGTTAAATCAGAATAACATTCGTTTACATACACTATGTTTTTGAATCAAATGCCTAACATGCCTTCATTTTGCAAAGATGAAGCAACTTATGTAAACCGCCTTGACGTAGTATATATACTAATAGATATCATCTCCGATGATGCCATTGAAGGCCTTTCTTACTATGCTCTGGTAAGTGTTTTTGCGCCTATGCGAAGGCGCTGGCGACGGACCGAGAAGCAGAGAATGGAAGTTAGGTGACTAAGAGTATCTTTCATCCTCGCCTAGAACAATTTTAGGGCGCTCATTTTCGACAAACTACAGTCAACACAATCCTGTATGCCTACCTACCTAGGTACTCTTATTCACTACTATTACAATCCGAATTATACACTTGTTTAAACTTGAATTCGACCTTGTTGTTTGACGAAATCAACTCTTTAATGTTTGTCTAGTCACTGCCACATTGCACCCAACATTTTAACAGCTGATAGGATCCTTGGAATCGCCCCGCACTTCCCGACTTTTTCTTCTTACATTCTTTTTTACTAAATGTTTCGATGATGCAATCAAAATTAGAAGATCATGCAAACCGAGCTCTATTCAATCTATTCAACCATACTGATAATTAATAATTAATATTTTTATATGATTTTAGTCAAAATTAATTGATTTTATAAATAATTCGTCGGACGTGCGCTGAGGTGTGGCTAGCTAATTAGAGCTATAGCTAACTGTAGCGTACCTCTACCCCTACTCTTCTCTCCTCCACCCTGTAAGGCGGATCGTAGGTAGTTGCCAATGTATTTCAAACCCTTCTAAACAGATTGGTAGCAATGGTCAACTTATCACTATTATAACAACTTATCCGCAAAGCTATCCCTTAACAACCCAGATCGATATCCTAAAACTTATCCGTTGAGTTTCTTCATAAAAGCCCCAAGACCTTCATTTCGGGATGCTCTTTAAAACACCTGGCTATCTAATTATCAACTCATCTACGCCAGCGGGCAAAATCTGCTTCATCTAGGATATATTGGCTGTAAGGTAATCTGGCATATCTGCCATATGACTTGATATGTACCCAGGTAGGCAAATAAAGTATCGGCAGGGCTCTGCACTACTGTCAGAACCTAGTAAACCTAACAATAAGTCCTCTCATTTTCCTATTGTTAGATAGGGTCGAATATGTTATCCTAGCTACTCTAAAGTTGGCCAGACAGGAAATTTACACTCATAACGACAAATGGCTGAGACGATACTTTTCAGAAACCCATTGTGTTTTTGTCTAGATTCTCGAATCTCACTAATCACCCACATTGGAAGATCTTGTGATCCGAAACACAACATACAAATGATAAGCAGTAGTTGGCAGGAATATACTTGGGTGGTTACCATCTTAATTTGTGGTGATACTAAGTTACATTGCTCCATCACCCTCAAAATACCATTCAACAAGTTAGCATGCAAAATTTACCGCCCTACGGAAATTACGTAGGTGGCTGACCTACCAATCGAGTAGCCCCGACGAGCATACTATGAAAATTCAGGCATGGGTCTTAATTATGCTAGGAAATCAGGTCATCTTCTCAAGATATATTATCATTCTACGGGCGTTACAATAACACATTGTTTTACGGGTTGCAAAACTACTCTGTAGAAAAATTCGGTTAATACCCTAGGTACCCAGGATCCAGTACCTATGCCTAGGGCAATTTATTCCACGGGCGGTTCGCCTTATAGGCCATGTATTTAGGTATCATTCGTGCCTTTTCTCTTGTTTGGGTATATTTTTAGTGGTTACCTACCTCGGTAGCAATTCACGTTGCGAGTTCGCATATCCTAAACTCATATCAGTAAGCAAGTTCGGCCCTGGAGATAGGTCGCAAAAGATTTTCACCCTCCTCATAACGATTTCTCGCTAGGTTGGTGCTCATTCCAAAACCCAGAGCGCATTTTAGAGTTATAATAAACGTAATACCCTACGTCCTTCCTAGATTGATATCGGCTCCATATCGTGTATGATAATATTATATACCTAGGTATTTGGAAACCGATCCCGGGACTCGTAGTTTCCACAATGTGACTTAGATTGGTTACAAGAAATCATGAAAAATAAAGGTGTGTTGCACAACGCAAATGTAGTGACGTAGCCTGCAGGAGTACATGGCACCTTTTTCTTCTTTTGAGTAAGCCGGCGTAGGTCTCGTTGGTGTTACCTAGATATATACCTAATACATAGAGGTCACTTTGAACTTCTGACGCGGGGCCGCAAAATAAACAAATAATAATTCATCTTCGGTGTTATTTACAACAGTCGGCTTTGTCCGCAGAGCCGCAACCTTATAATTTCCAATGACGCTCAATCTTAGTACCTTCACATTAGGCGCCGTACTTACCCAGGTAGGTACCCGATGATATCGACACTCCCATGATCCAATACAATGCTTTACTTTCGCCGGTCTTTTGAGACATAATACTAGCGCTCTAACTGGCCTATTTTGGCGCAAATCTTGCCCTTATACGTGGTATATAGGTAGGATATCTAGGACTTAGGTGTGTACTTAGTTACATTAAGGGGGGATAGAAATGCAATACAACCCCATGTTGACTTCAATGCGCCGGATAGGCGGGCGTACGCTGAAATGTATAGCACACGAGCTATTAGGGGGGGTTCTAGTACATAATTCTACGCCCCTAAGGTCACCATGCACAGTACTCGTAAGCACCTACCTAGGTAGGTACTTCAGTACACACGACCATTATTACTACTTTGAATTAAGTACAGAGAGAAGCAAAATTTAGCTTCATTTCATCTATTCTATGTCCTTGCCCCAAAGGGACGCCTACATCGGAGAGCGGCAATCCACTGAAGCAGGCAGGCAGGTCAAGAGAAGAGCACGCCGAGATAGGTACGATTGGGTGGGTGGCAACGGAGTTTACTTACCGAAAAATTATGGCGGGAACAGCGGGAAGTAGAAAGAATTTCCCATCATCTATGTCCGCCGAGTCCAGCCATTGATTTAATTAACCCGAATTAATATCGGCGTGAGTGAAGTACCTAATCAAGCCGCTCTACAAACCCCTTTCCAGTCACATCAACCCTACATTCAATAGGTAATAATAACCCCGGTGCGGTACAGCAGATAGCTTGGCCAAATGACGGTACGTAGCAACTTACCCTAGGAGGTAACTCCAGGCTGCAGGCGGGAAAAAAATTAATCATCTGTCCAGCGAAGCATGCCATACCGTCTCACAGTAATCTTCTATGTTTTACATTTGCATATTCCCTTATACACATAAAGAAAGTCGGCGTTTTCGTTGCGAAAGAGCTAGAAGGGTAGTAAGCGCAAAATTCCACTTATATGAAATACAATTCCATTACAATGTAGGTCCCTGTTCACATCGATACCGTCCTTCGCGCAATCCCCACGAGGATTCAGAGAATATACAAGACCATAGATTAAGCAATATTCTCACCACAACGAATCTAAAGATAAGAGACACTTTAGGGCCATAATTGTCAGTCTAAATTCAAATAAACTCCTTCTCCTTTTCTCCGTGCTATAATTCGCAAACCCTTAACTTGCGGTCCCCGGCGGGGAGAATCATACGCGCTACTTCTCGAGAAGCATCTACAATACGATACAGTTATTTGTGGCTACAGGATAAACACGAGGACCAAGAGCGAATTTTCATATTCCGCAAACGCTGAGACTCAATGCCAATATCGAACTGGATAAGTGGTTTAATCACCCCCGTATAGTTTCGAATTTAGGTATATACGGTGGGGATATTGTATGACTATCCAAATACTTATCTAACCTAGGTAGGTATGGAAGTTATTTATTAATAAAGCAGACTATACCTAGGTAAACATGACGCCGCCACCATTGAGCTACTTTGGCCTTATATGTGCTGCTTTGCTTATTCTCGACCGCCATAAAATAAACACTAAGCTCCAAACAAAATAGTTGTCTAATTGATTCTTGGGGATCTGTGCCGCAGAGGTATGGATTGCTCATAAGGTTGAGAGCCACGCGCCTGAGTATATCCTTAACGAGTGCTGCGATCAGAATGCTCTTTATACAACATATCATCTCGGCGCTCGTAGGGGGTTAGTTTTATACCTATCTAATTAACTTAAGGCCTTTAACATGCTTCATCTCGCCGAATATCTCGGGGTCCCTTAGAGTATTGTTCGGTTCCAATATCTCCTGGGGAGTATTTGTAAAACGCGGCTGAGAACGTTGATGCAGTATTTCTTGATTGCCGTCAAAGATCACCGCTGCTGTATTTGATGAGAATGCTGTGTCTAAGGAAGGAATATCTGTATATCTACTTACAAGAAGGACCAACTTCCGGTCCAGACAGAATCCGAGACTCTGACTGCGTCAGCAAATACCTAGATATTCTAAGCAGCTATTCGAACCCTCAATAGAAACATTACACACCTGAATTCCCAGGGACCCAGGAGTTGAGAAACGCTTTCACACACGCCGCCGACGTCGCTGCGGCGTACCTCCGCCACTTCTCATTCTTATGGCTATCCGCGTAATCACACGCGCCCTTAATGACCACACAGGGATAGTTATCCCACACGCCAGCGCCTTCCATTTCAAAGCCGATCACATTTTCTTCTTGAGTAAGGATATCACGGTCTCGTCCCGACATCAGGACCGTGTCGCCTGATGCAATCAAACCAAAATGCTCGACTACTTGATGGTTGGTGTTGAGACGCACGCGCGGTATCAATTTTTCCCCATCACAGCCACACTCTTTGCATGATTTCCCATCAATTCGATGGCAATACTCAGCCTGGAACAGCCTATCCTCCTCGATACCTGGATACTCGGCTTCAAGTTCAGGAACACCTTGGAATTGAGCCAAGCACTCAGCTATGTTATTCCGAAGCTTTTTCCGACCACGAATGCCTTGTATTTTGTTCACAATGCTCCGTAGTTCAGTGTTAGGCCGGCCTAGCGAGTCCAAGATTTTCTTTTTGGACTTGAATCCCTCGGGCATCCGATGTCCCAAGTCGTATTGGACTACCCCAGTACTGATGATTACATCACCAAGAATTATCTCATCTCCCTCTGACGTTTTGGGGGAGCATCCACAAGTGCCAGCGACAAGAACCAGCTCAATCTTGGGGAAGCTGAGCCGAAGGTTGACGGCGACCGACGCTGCGCTCGCCTTCCCCATGCTCGGCATGTGTGCAACTACAACATTATGTCTTCCAATAACACCGGTAGAATAAGCGTTGGGATCGCCGTATGCCTTGTCGTACAGTAGGCCGTGGTCTTCCCAGTAAATGCCGAAGGCTGCTATGATAGCATCAGCTTCGATAGGGAGAGCACAAACAATCGCGATATGAAAGCCGTTACGAGATGTTGGACTACATGACAGAATACTATCCGTCGATATAGCGAGGGTACGATGAGGATTCATGATAAGCTGCTCAGACATGGCGCATCAAATATTGCTCTGGTTTGCAGAAGATGCGGTATGTTAACAGCATATATATACCCTTCTTAATGTTACTGATGCATATCTCCTCTTGTCCTAGGTACTTAAGTACCTACTTCGATAGGTACATAATATTCTGAAGCCAGTGTCTGGGCTTGGCCCTTGACGTTTGGTCCACGGTAATATACCTTGTATTGGTATTGTCGGTCGATGCGGTCCTCTTTTAGGGGAACGGAAGGGGGCGGAGTTAGCTTGTCCCTTCGTAAAGGAACTCCCGCTCATTGTCTTATTTTGGTTCCAGGCTAACGGCTAGATCAAGTATGGGTAGCAAGAATCTTCTTCATAGGACATACTATTTTCGTCAAACCCCACAGGGTACCTAGGTACGCGAAGTTACGAAATAACGACATTTAAACCAACATTAACAGAAGGCTTACATCTGATAATGAGAGTACCATGATTGCTCTGCCTGATGCTTGGTGGGCCCAGCCGGTGGCCCTTTATTCGGAACGGCACTTCCAGACCTACCTAGTACCCTCGCATCATTCAGTTACTTAAATCCTTGATAGGTGGTAAGATGACGATAAACGATATTATGAGACCCCTATCTTACGTATTTCCAAAGATAACCTTCACAATAACACCCGCCGCGAAGTTATTCATATAGTCATTAGTTAATCCGTCTAGGTATCTACCAAGGTAGGTACACATGGCGGTGATCGAAGCAGAAGATACCGGTTCCTCCGCAGTTGTATTCTACTTGCTCAGGATATCACATATTTATCAAAATACACCGATTCGCAGTACCTGGATTTATATCTTTCGGACCCACAACGTTGACGTACGACAACCCAGGGCCTACCCTGCTAACATTGTAACGCGGATGAGAAATTGAATCGAGCCCATCGTCCATCTTCTTCCCCGCCTCCTACACACACACATTAGGTACCAACCCCGAGACAAAGCCATGCGGCTCCCCATTGATAGGAACCTGAAAACTACAAACAGATGCCAGCCGATCTTCCTTTATCGGTCCGCAATCCGCATACTTCTATAACAAGATATACATTCAATTTCGGCAGAGCACACTCATGGAATGCAGCAGGCTCTAGAGCAGCAGAATTAAGGGCATGTCTCATAAGCCATGCCTTACGACTTACATAATGAGTGGAAGGAATTTTGGAGAGAATTTCTGCACAAGTTGTCGATTGCCCAAGTATATGCAATTTTGACGTATTATGGGAGCTTTACGACGATAAATCGCTTAGACAGCAATGGTCAGAGAGGATTATCGAAATTAAAAACAAGGATCATGGCGTGGTTGGGAATTTATTTTATTCTATTTTATCTTTTTATTTATTTATTTATTTATTTTTTTTCCCCGACCGAATTTCGCAATCGCCGTAGTGGATCTAGTACTTATCAGGGTCCTCATGTCAGGTACTCGTCTTTAAACTTTGGGTCTAGATCAATGCCTAGGTGATAATGCTATTGATCCTCTACCCCTCTCCCCTGCCCCTTAATACCGCATAGGGTATAAGTGGCTGCTAGTCTCGTAACGTAATGAACGAATACTTCCAAACTCCTCAGATGATAGGCACGATGCAACATCAAAACATGTTGGGAATTTTAAAACGAATCAAAGACGCAGCTAGCAATGAGATAGCAAAAGAGCAACCGGAAGTTTAAATTACCCAAAACCAGACACGGGCGCAAAAAGGATTCCAGGAAGAGACTGCAACTAGAAGGTCGCCCAAAAATTCACGGGTACCAACGGTCATACCCACCTATACCTCTTCCCCAACTTCATGTAGCGTTAGCAGATCGCCTTCCCCAATGCCTACCTAGGTACCTAATCGGAATCTTAGGCCATGTTGCCCACTGAGCCCCCTCCTTGCCTACTACCTAGATATTACGGTGGTAGGAAAATATACTGGCATTGATTACCTTAGGTAGGTAGGTATATACGAGAAACTTCACCTTGTGCCTTACAGGTGCTACATTTCAATTAACAAAAGAATCCCTATTTAATAAGATATGCGTAACTGAATTAACTCTCCTACTCTAGGGAAAAGTATTATTATCCTTCTATTTTATTACAGTATAAAACTTATAAAATATATATGGCAAGATTTCTCATAATGAATGTTGATAAAATAAGAGTTATCAATAAACACATTATCATATAGTCTTTGCTCTCCAGTTACATATGTATTTAAGATACGAACGTACCTATCTAGGAACCTAGGTATACATCTATACTCATTCTTGGATGCTACATGTCTTACATATGACGTAAGGTTAGGTAGGTAAGTACCCCTAAGTAGGTACCTAATGTATTTACTTGAAGAGAAATTTAGATCTTTTCTTCTTTCTTCTTCGTTTCCTCTCTTTCCTTGTGTCTCGTATAGTCTTGTTACTATCTCCGCACCCCGTACAGAATTATCCTGGCTGAATTATGATAAGGCCAACTATATTGGGGGATTAATAATTATATTATTGCGTAAAAGGAGCGCAAATAACTGCTACAGAAACTACCATACATCACTAGCCCCCTCACCCTAATAACTCTTTTGTTTTTATGTTTTACGCCTAAGCTCTTGTTGAAGATAATATGAAGATCCCTCAATACTTTCTCATGGTGCGTTGTTCCATAGGTATAGTTAGACTACTGACATTGATGAAAAGCTACAAACCAAAGGTAAGCATAGGAACAACCGTAGCAATAAAAATTAAAACTAAAAGACAATGCTAATTGTTTAAATAGTAGAACCTTTATAGAATAATGACTATGACTTAGGCGGTAAATGTGATGAAGCTTTCGAGGGGCTTGTGAAGAGGTTTGGGAAAATGGGGGTTGTGGTTTGAAGCAAGCATCGCAAACCTGCCAATATTGAATGTTAACTATTCATAATGCCTTTAATCCTTCGTTTTTCATATATTTCAGACTCTCTCGTACTTGTCTGGGACGACCCTAGTGTTACTATCTTCAATAGACAATAGCGTCGGAAGTATAGCCATGCGAAGCGTTGCACCATGAAAGATCTCAGGGACCTATATCGCAGTAGAGGAGGGTCTGGACCTAAGACAAGAGGGCAAAAGAAAGATCTATTTATCTATGCGAAAACTCCTATAGCGTCAACTGACGTATTCCTCGTGTCGGTAGTCTTGCTGTATGGGGTGATACGCCATAGTGGTCGGAAGAACCCCCTATTGCTATGGAGAAGAGCCTGGGCTTGAGACATGGAAATCAAGGAGCTGTTAGGGTAAAGGGGCCAGCCGCACACGCGTACCAAGATCCCTGTAGTAGTTATTTACACTCTCTGCGCAACAGAGTTAGTTCCTCCCGTATACGGTTGGCTCTGTGGCACATAATCATCGAAATCGTGTATGATTACTCGTGATTAACTATTATTGCAACTCAGTCTACACAAACATATTCAACGCGTGTTAATAAACCACACATTCTTTCGAAATTTAGTTTTGTTGTTTTGCAGTGAACCTACCTAGGTATCCATGTGCTTAGTGTCAGGAACATATAGCACACAAGTGTGCATTACCTAATTAGGATTAGCGTAGAGACAATTAGATATACAAGGAGGTGCTTCGCACCTCCTGAAAAGGAGATAGGCCAGCGTTAATAGACCTTTCGAACCACCAGCTACGTTGCTACTGCTACGCAGCAGCCTACCAGCTACCCCGAAGCAGCCACTCTACGATTGATCAACCTCACGGGTCTCTTTCTTCTGACACTTAGGTAGTTCGAATGAACCCCCGACCTCACCACCCTTTAAAGAGTCTCCGGCGGTTTAGTAACATTGGTCAGCTTATCGCTATAACATTTATTCGTAAGTTATCCTTTAATAATCCAGGTCAACGTTTTTAAGGCTTACCCGTTGAGCTTCTTCATCAAAGCGCCGAGACCTTCATGAGAATAATCCTTCTCATTCCACATGTCCTTATGGTAGACCACTTTCTCGTTAGGCTCCGCGCCCTCGAGCTTCAAGCTTACAAGGCTATCTGCAGTCTTAGATGCATGTATACCGATGAAGGTATACCTATGCTTCTGCTTCCAGACAAGCTCATGTTCTGTCGAAGATGTGACCTCCGTCCCTAGTGACTCTAACTTACTGAAAAGCTTCGGGAGTCCGTACCACTGACCTGCTATTTTGTATCTGGACACAATCAACTTTTCGGCCATGATATAGACATTCCCCTCACACGTACCTGGTATCGCAGTAACTAAAGGGGTCGTCATAAACGGCCTTCTCGGCGTAGACCTTCATGTCTTCTTCCGACGCGCTTCCACAGTACAGATTGAGTATCTTTTGCTGGATCATATTGCGGGACTCTGAGATAGGAATAGAATTTTCCGGGTGGGGAGTGTAATCAACCTCCCCATTTACATTGCGAGGCCTCTCAGGATGGGCCTCCGCGCCTCGTTGGTCAGGGTGCGGTGACGTAGATGAAGGCATTTCGTGAGCACGGTGACTATTGGGATAAGGGAAGATGAAATAACATTAGGATGACTCTTTCGGGAAAGTGCAATAGTTGGTTATTAATTCGTAAAAGCAAATCTAATCATGATATTATTAGTAGTGATGACATCATGACTGTAAGGACGCCAGCGACCGCCCGAAGCTCGACTCGCCACATATGAAAGGTGAAGAGAGACGAACTCAATTATACGGTTCAGGACTCAGACTAATATACTTGGAGTACATATTTGACTAAGCTTATTTATATTTACGACCAAAGATTCGAATGAGCCAATTAATATTCGTTAAAATGACCTCGCTTCATGTAATAAGCATTGGCCACATGGCATTGCGATGCGATATTCTCAATGCTATGTATCAACAGTTATAAAACTTTTGAATTACCAGTTTGATAAATGTTCATACCTAAACATTTACTGAGGTACTTAGTTCTAGCAGTATAAGTCCAGGTTTGGAAGGAGGTAGGACGTGATGGGATCAGCATGTCATGTGTTATTTATGCAGAGCAAAGCGACGCACCGAATCACCTATACGAGCAGGCCAATAGAGCAACCCGAATCTAAACTTGTCGACCGAAAACTGAATGTAGGATATAGTCAATTATTTTTGTAGCCCCTGGAATGCAGAGTTAATTCTTTGTAGATGAGTTGTTCTGAGTAGGATTAGGGGAACTCTGGTAAATATCGATGACATTGGGTAGATCGGTAAGAATATTGACGCCGTTGATGTCACCAATTAATCTGACTAAAACCAATCAAGGGTTTATTCATTGAGCATGCCCTTCTAATCAATTAATTGTTTGGTGTCCCTCTCTCAGCCGCATATATACCGGTATCGCCAGAAGGAGCCGAAAAGGGTATTTCTAATTATAGTCACCAGTCTGTCTAAGTAACGCTGAGTAGATTGTGGCTTAACGGGGGTAACTTGAGACCAAGACCCTGTAATTAGGTGTAACCATGTCTTGATGCTCCTTCTGAATTAGGACATCCTTAACTCATCAGCAACCCCTATATGGATTCATATAAATAAGGCCGAGATGTCGCGCTCATTGTGGTTTGGATTTAGAAACTACAAGCCGAACGCCAACAGCTGTAGATCAAGATTCGAAGACGACTTACTAGCTCACCATCCCGCAAAATGTCTGTCAAAAGCCTCCTCGGACTTTCCATGTTTCTTGGCGCATCTGTCGCTAGAGATGTACCCTCTAACATCAAAAACTTCTACAACAACATTAGGAGCCAAGGCCAATGTGGCTCAGCGCTAGCCTCGGGTTTCTACAGCGAGTACAACGACGACAACTGTAAGCGACGAACAGCTTCGGTATTGTATTCTTGGATGCGAAGCTAATAACTTATATAGCCTTCAGTTACTGTGGTGACCACTTATCGGACTCCAAGGTCATCTACATCACGGGAAGCAATGGTCAATTCGCTAACATGGACATCGACTGCGACGGAACGCAGGGGAGCGCTGCTGATGACGGCCGTTGTGGAAACTCGGGCGACACTCAGTCAATTACGTCCTTCGCCGACACTGTGAAGGGATACGGTAAGGGCGTTAACGACCTGGACGCGAACATCCACCCCTACGTTGTATTCGGTAACGTCGGATCCAAGCAGGGCTTCACCGAGTTCGACCCACAGGCGCACGGCATCAAGCCGTTGAGTATCATGGCTGTCGTGTGCGGCGACAAGCTGGTAAGTGATCCTGGCATCTGTTCGCAAAATAGTGATTAGCTAACCGGAGCTAGATCTACGGAGTCTGGGGTGACGAGAACGGCGACGATGGTGAGAAGTCCGTTGTGGGAGAGGCCTCAATCTCCTTGGCCACTGCTTGCTACGGAAAGTCCGTCAACGGCAACAGCGGCCACGATGAGAACGATGTTCTGTACCTTGCTTTCACTGGCGACGACGCCGTTCCCGGTAAGGATGGTGCTAAGTGGAACGCGAAGAACTACGATGAATTCGAGTCCAGTATCCAGAGCCTCGGTGATAAGCTCATCCAACGCATCCAGGCTTAAAGGAGAAGAGTCTCGGATGATAAAGGAAAAGATCACGCAGGGATGGATTCGGATTGAGAACGCAAGGAATCTTTCTCTTTGTATATAGGATAACTCCGAATATATTCATGAATGTGTCAAGTCCGATTGAATTTGGCTATGGTCATAGAACTAAATAGAAATGTTATTCTCGGACTGTGAAACACGCCACTTACGCCTCTCGCTAAATTGAAACTCCGAGGATGTCTTCAAATCACAATGAGGTGGCATCTATGTAAAGAATGATGGCTATCATGACCCAATTCTGAGTAATCATTACTTTTCTCTAAATGAAGACAACGATGAATTAACTATGATTATAAGGTGTTGATGTTCATGCTTGATTTCGCAGTCTGAGTGAAAAGAATCCAACGCGTTACGACCCGGATGCATGCTGCCAAGTCCTTTTGACAAAACAACCACACAAGCTGAGGGATCTGCAAGCATAACTTGTATAATTAATATGCAAATTAATTCAACAAAATTCCTATGAGCATGTCTGTCCCCGCATGGCGCGCTCTCAGCTCCAACACAAACAAATAACCCTGTCCGCCTGTCTCCCCGAAATGAAGCAACATGTCAGTGCTTTTTCAGTGGTGATGGAACATTGCTTACTGCCTAAGGTCTAGTGGATACTACTGAAGCACAGAAAGGTTATAATATTGTGTTCTTGGAATCCGAGGCCCTACGTTCCCCATGTTTACTGCTACGATTCACAGACTTTTTACCCCGACTGACCACGAGCCTCAAGGGCGGGGAAGAGTCTGATCGGTAAAGCTGTATGTATTAGGAAGCTCCTAAAGGTAGGATTCGAGCTTAAGAGGTAGAAACTGGGGTCGACCCATGTCTATGGTCCTACTGTCCTACCAATGAGTGCTGTGCCCCAGGTCTAGGGAATCGAATAATCGCTGGACAAGCAGTGTGAATTACGATGAGTTTACCGGCGCGGCGGCATTCCCCTTGACCTTCCCCGCATTCTCTTTGACCTATCTCGGCTTTATTACCATGAATCACTGCAATGAAGGCTTACCAAAAAAACGTCATATGCTCATTTGTACCCGGGGCAGATGCAAGGGTGATAAACATGGCCAGTCGCGGAGAACTCAGCAAGCTGCGTGACAGGGCTTGCTTGGCGTCGATCTGCGGTCTAGAAAGCACGACCTGAAGAAACAAAGAGTAGATCGCATTGATGGGTTCAAATATTACTGGGCGCCTGGCCTCTTTTCATTTTAGGAAGTCCTAGACTCACCTCTACACCTTTTCATGTCCTTGTTCACTCGTCATTGGGCATCCATCGGAGGCTCGTAGAATTAGGTGCAATGGCTCGTCCACTTCTGCTGCTCAGCTTCCTTTCTAGTTTTGTTTATATAGCATCAGCGCAATGTCCGGACTACGATGATTATGCTAAAACAACCCATGAACCTTTTTCAAAAGGAAAGTATGAGCTCTCGTATCAAAGGCCGGCGCCAGAATGTCGGAAGTTCAATCTTTCCGAAGTCGAGGAGTCCATCCAGGAAATGGAGGGATTGGTGACAGATCCTGATCTTTTCCGCTTATTTCAGAATTCTTTCCCGAACACATTGGACACCACAGTAACTTGGAAAGGTTTCGCCGCCGATGATTCAACAGAAGAGGTATTTCCATCAATTCTAGAGGTGTGATACTTATTGAAGTCATGTTGACCCCTCTCAAGCTCACTTTTATCACGACTGGAGACATTGTAGCCATGTGGCTTCGTGACAGTGCGAATCAGATGCGCAGTTACAAGTCACTCCTAAAAGCCGATGACTCTACGGACTCATTAGCATCGTTATTCCGCGGCGCCATCAATTTACAGGCGCGGTACATTCTCCGAAATCCGCACTGTAATGCTTTTCAAGCACCCACGGAGTCCGGACTTCCACCGGAGAGCAATGGCTATGGAGACACAGATCAAGTGAAGCCACCGTACAATACAAGCTTCGTTTTCGAGTGCAAGTACGAACTAGACTCAATTTCAGCATTCTTACAATTATCCTACGATTATTACAACAAGACCGAGGATTCCGACTTCTTCGGCAAGTTTCAATGGATTAATGCGATTAAGACAGTTCTCAACACCACTCAGGCTTTACTTATAGGGACTTACGCTGACGATGGGTCCGTCAATGAGTCGCCGTATACTTTCCAACGAGAAAGCACCAGCGCAACAGAGACGCTTACGAATTCAGGCGCCGGCAACCCCGTAAAAGGCGGAACGGGATTGGTCCGCAGTGCATTCCGTCCATCCGACGACTCAACCATCTACCAATTGTTCATCCCGGCCAACATGCAATTCTCGAGCTACCTCGGGAAATGCGCCAAGATCATGGAGGCGCACGACGGGGAGCTAGCGCAGCAGATGAGCGACTTCGCATCCAGCGTGCGGGACGGCATCGAGACTTACGGAAAAGTGCAACACGCCGTTTTAGGCGAGATATACGCGTACGAAGTCGACGGGTTCGGATCGAGCAACCTTATGGACGACGCCAACGTCCCGAGCTTACTGAGCGCACCTATACTGGACTACCTAGACGCCTCGGACGAGACATATCAGAACACGCGCAAGTTTGTGCTTTCGACGTGGAACCCGTATTATATGCACGGGCCTGTGCTGAATGGGTAAGTTTTGTTGTTTGAACGGGGCCCCACGGGCCTTATATATGAAACCACGATTGCAGAAAACAAAAGTGAGAAAAGATAAAAATAATAAATGCTAACCCGTGTGTGCGTGTGCTCCAGTACCGGTGGTCCACATGTCGGACCCGGAAAAGCGTGGCCGATGTCAATCATCACGTCACTCTTGACTTCGGACAACGACGACGAGATCGTCGCGGGGTTGCAGGCGTTGGTTTCGTCCACCGATAGGCTGGGTTTGATTCACGAATCTGTAGATACGTTCAACGCATCCACATGGACTCGGGAGTGGTTCTCTTGGGCCAATGGGCTTTTTGGCGAAATGCTGCTGGGACTGAAGGATAGAAAACCTCATTTACTCGGGACAAGCTTCCAGTAGACAGATAGGCTGGGTAGATATGTGAGTTCTAGAACTGTATATACTACTGTATGTATGTAGGTATGTATATGCGAGCTACCTAGTCATTAGAGATGTCATTTATATTTAATCGACACGTCACCCCGTAAAACGGCCAGGTGGTAGTGGTGGTAGTGGTGGCGGCCGCTTTCACTTAGATCTGCTGACCGGATCTAACATCATAGGAGCATTTTCGTGCTTCACGACATGCTGCAATATGCTACTCTTATAGCGAGTGAGGTGGCCCAATTGCATTTGATCCGAGCTTGCCGTAAAGAATTGCAACCGCAGGCTTCTTCGCGTAATAACCAAGGGTTTCCTAACGCAGGAACAATCTACAGGCAATGTATGGAGTTTTCACCTAGTATGTAGGGGACCTTATTAAGGGTATTATTATATGACTGACCTAAGCTGATCAGATGAACCGGTGTAAATGTTACCTACTGATACCGTCCAACAAGGTAAGCGAATACTCATCTGTGAGTGGATTAGACCTAGGTAACTATTAAGTAATTCAAGGCACAGTTATCAAGGGGCCAGAATTACTTCCCCTTTGATGAAGGTCTCATTATTGTCTCGGTAGCAGTTAGCTTCGGTAGACGTATAAGTAAAGTAAGGGTAGGGTGTATCGACATAGCTAGACCCAAGCTAAGTACCAATCATAAGAGACTTTGTCCACTTGGAGAGAGCTTGAAATCCTGCGGCAGGTGACCGACCAATGACCTGATAGGTACAGGAACAAGTCCCCGTTTCTTGTGTCCTGGTTCTGCCGGTTGTGGGGTATAGGGGGCTGCAGCAGTGATGCCGGCGTGCGTTGGCCGTGTGCCTGTGGCCTCCCTAAGCTGCAGCTAATCATCTAATCATGGATGACAACAGCTAGAGAATGAACACCTACAGTAGGTTACGCCCTGCCAGGCACCTTGGAGGGTAGCTAAGAGAGAACGACCAACGTAGGTCCCAGCCAGCCACACCTTTTTTACCTGGCACCTACGTAGTAATAGTTAATCAATCGCTCGATCCATAACAGATTATGGTTGCTGCAAACTTCCGTCGTCCAGGCGTTGTGGTACTCCCTTTCTTTTTTTTATTTTTTAATAGCTTTTTCTTTTTTTGTTTTTCTTTGCATTGTTTGGTCTTTGATAGTAATATATTAATAGATTGTAATATGGAGTTGAATTAAATTCATTAATAAAATGACATGCATAAGTAAATAGATAAATAGGATTGTTTGCGAGCTTCTCGTGCACGTTTTTTGTTAAAGATTCTTTTAGTTAGTAGGGAGGTCTTAGTCTTGAATCTTAGACCTTACAACAATTGAAGCTTTGACGCTAGTACAGAATAAGAGAACAAAGTATATTCGTACTGTACGTGACGGGTAGTAGCTACGTACAATCTGCATCTAAAATCCATTTGAAGCACAAAAACGGTTAGCATAATCGTCATAGCCGGCCAATCACGCGACACTATCTTGTAGTCTTGGCTTACTTTTGTCTAGTCCACCTTAGTCTTATCAGGCGGTCGGCTCATCATCCTATGTTTTTTTTCCTCTCGCTATCTTTTTTACTGTTGCTTCGGAAGTACACCAAGTACTTGTTCACTCACTCATATTCTTTACGGTCCGGACCGATGACGGATGGCCACAAGGTTCCCCTATGAGGTTTTGGGATAGATAGATAGATCACGAGGAGTGACCCGTCTGACTTATTATTCCGGCATTATCTCTTGATTCCTCTCCTTCTTTACTTTCTAAGGTGCTTGTGGTTTTACGTCTGTGTTATTTTTTTTATCTTTTTTATCCTTTCTTTTCTTTTTTAATTTTTGCGACTAATCACAACATACTCACGCAAGTGACGCCAACTCCGATCGGTTTGGAGGAAAGGAAATTTAGAACTTTCCTACCTACACCAAACTGAACTAAACTAAAATTAACTAAACCTTGACCTTGACCTTGAAAACGAAAAACGTCCCGATCTACTTCCGTCTTTTTAACTTTCTTGTCTAACGTCTCACACAATTCGACACTTTGACATCAATCTACATCTTCCTCTTTCTCTTTCTCCCATATACAATATACAAATACATATACATATACGCACACACCAACGCATTTAAACATCTAGGCGCATTTACTCGATTATATACCTACACACATACTACTCACTACCTATTACCATACTACCTACCACCGCCTATCGTCTATTACCTTCCTAGGCTACTACTTAACCATTCAACATGGCACATTCTGCCTAGCTTGCCTAGCTCTTCCCCCCCAATTCCCATTACCATTCCCACTCCCATCCACATCCACATCCACATCCACATCCACATCCTTATCCCCCATTCACCCTACCCTGCAGCCAACCCGCATCTAGTCTAGCAGAGCCGCCCGCCACGTTCTTCTGCCGGCTACCTACCATACAATTCGACTCATTCGACACCGGGCACACTGACAATAAAACCATACAACTCGCCGTATCATAATCGTCGTCTTATTTGTTCTGCACTGTTCTATAATTGTACCTTGTCCTTGTTTCTATGTATGTCTGCCTACGTGTTTCGACGACTCATCTAGACTAAATCCAACCTTCCATCTTTGCATCTGGTTGGCTCTTTTATTTTCATCCTTCCTATAAACCTGTGTATACCATAATCTGCCTACCTTGTCTGCCTATCCGCCCCAATTTCGACGTTACGAACAATGGATGCCAAAGTGCGGTGGCATCGAACTCCCATCTCCATCTAATCCAGTTGGATCCTCGTAAAAGACGCCCCGGCACACTGGCGACATCGTCGACATTGCGCTCTGTGGCACGATCTATCCGAGATCGCACACCGAGGTTGCGCATCGCCCGATCCAACTAACGAATCAATCATTCTATCCGCCGCCCTCTATCTACCTTCACTTTCCGTCAGGCTACCCGTAGCCTGACCCATACCGACCTCAAAATGCATCAAACTCCCCGCATTCCGCCTCGTACAGCCTCCCCCGCCTTGTCAGCTCAGACAAATCCCACACGAACTAACAACCAGAGAGATCCAACAAGCCCTGCCACTCGATCGCCGCCTAGGCCAAGCTCTGCAGTTCAAGATGGGGCTGCGATAGGAGCTGGTGGAGGAAACCGTGGTGATGGACCTAGTCGAGATTCCGTCAAGAAGCTGGATCAGATCATTCAGGTTGGTTCTCTACCTCCAATATTGCTGGCGAATGTTGAAGCTCACAAATAACCCAAATTTAGAATATCTATTCAAAAGCCGGTACCGTCATTCTGCAGACGCGAATACAAGTAACTCCTGTTCTTGTGGGTAGGACCCAGGAAAGAAAGATTAGTAGATGGGTAAGTCATCCTAAATAATCCTGTTCTACGATAAGTTCTTCCGTCTTACAATATTTCATCTATAGTTCTCGCTAGATACCGACGATATCGACGATTTCCGAGACGAATTTCGCGTATGGAAACAATGTGGTGGACTCGAGAATCGCCCGCCTCCCCTAATTATCGAAACCTTCCTCGATGCTTCTCGATTGAAAACCGGTCAAAGCCTTGTCATTCTGGACGAAAATGGAAAGAGGTGGGATGTTCTTGAGGCCTTGAACTCTTCCGACCAGTCTAGTGATAGCAGTTCTGGCCGTCAAGGAAGACCCGTTACGCAAGTTGTATTGGAACGATGGCGCGTCGAGTTGAAGGGAACACCGCCCGACGAACTGGTCGACTTTGGCACACTCCTCCCTACGGTATACAAGAAGGCCATAGTTCTGATGCGATCCATATACACAACGACGGGCATATTACCTGCCTGGAAACTTGCTAGAAATTCCAAGACGAAGGGCAGTCATCCCGCATTAACGGTTCGTTGTCGGGTCTTTTCAGGAGAGTCCCCAACTTACGGCTCGGATACCCTAAGGATACCATTATTCGACGGCAAGGAGAATCCTGCCTCGGATTATGTATTTGGAAACCTCGAAGTCCCCGTTGGGCGATTCCAGATTTCGGTGTCTTACCGCAACCACTGCAATTTCCAAGTTGTTGAGACTGAATCTCTATTGAGCTCTCGCATCGGTATGGCCATCTCTGATGATATGTTCAAGCCGTCATTACCTCATCGTGGTCATGGACGCCGCGATTCTTACGCTCCCGAAGTAGGGTCGCTCCCATACCACCGACATACACATGATATCACCGAAAATCAGCAGCGATACGGCAGCCTATCTACATTCCACGGCGAAGGACCAATAGGCACAAGCCCTATATCTGCCTTAAAGGCAGTGAAAGCTCCTGGCTCCGACACCAGTTCACCGCCTGATTCTAGACCTGCGAGTGTTGAGGTTCCCCAACATACCCTCCCTATTGCTGGCCATGCCCGACGACCATCCCTTAGAGGAATAGATACAGGTCGTCGTCCTTCCGTATCTTTCCAATCGTCTCCCTTTAAGCAAGGCTCTCTTTCCCAATCGCCAGTGACCCGAGTTCAAGATCATGATATCCCATCATCGCCTCAATCTCTCAATCGAACGTCGAATCTAAATACACATGTCCGAAACCGCTCTTCATTAACGGCTGGAATGCCGGCTTCTTTGCGAGGAGCACCGCCTCCCGCTGCGGACAATTCTATCGCTAGTTCACCGAGGCCATCCGCTTCTAATCGATTTAGTAGTAGCTTCACACACCGTCGCAGCCGGCCGTCTCTCAGCAGTGCTAGCAGAGGTGACGATGACCAGAACAGCAGTGGCAAGCAAAGCTTATCGTCGTCAGTCGCCCAGCCAGGCTCTGGCTTGTTGAATGAGATTGGCGCGGGCGGTAGCTCGGGATCTTTCCAAACCGATGATGATAACATTCAGGATTTCTTAAAGATGATTGAGAGTAAGAAGACGCTACAAAGTTTCGAGGCGTCTAGGAAGGCCGAATCGGCGACGAGGAAAACAGCAGCTCAACTCTCCAAATTCCAACTCATGCGCGAATCAAATAATGCTCTCACTGAATCCATGAATTCATCTATGCATCTACACCGCTCATCCAGCTCCTCAAGCCGACAGTTGGCTAACGTGCCAGGCATGTCAACGTCGACATCTCCTGGGAAACCGTTGTCGCCTCACACACCTCACACGCCGGCAATCCCATCTCGCTTAAGTGAAAACTCAAGCGTCGATTACGCACCGACTGCGAGGATTGCGTCGCGATCGCGAAACGTTGAAGGTCTAGCCGAAGAACCATCGGTCAGCACTCAAGCCACTCATGAGGGTACCACTGCAATTGACATTCCCACATCACCTCGACCCTATCCTCACGCAAGACGATCTAGTTCTGTGGCTCATCAAAATCGCGCACTAGTTCATGATGACGACGTCGACGCTCATCGTAGTGTTAGCCTTGGAGTGGAGGAGCGCGAGCCTCCTAGTCTTAGTGTTCTACTAGGAATGGGCGCTGCTGAAGCAGATGGTGCTGTGGACGCCCCTGGTCTACAGTCTCCCGCGGATATCAGAGCGACTAGTCCTGCGGATCTACTCGGTCAGGAATCAGAATCTGTTGAACGCGAAGTTCGACCTCCAGGCGGACTTTACAGCACATTCTCCAGTTCGCCTTACAGCAGACGTTATGGCAATAGCATTGGACGAGGGATTACGCCGCCCCAATCTGGAAGCGGCAGTCTGGCCGGGTCGAGTGGTAGATTTGGTAGAGGCTATTCCCGTGGAGGCGCAACCGGCTTAGGTGTCACTGGTACCGCGGCGGATGAAGCCGATGATGAGCCGCTCCTTTTCGACATGTCGGAAATCACTCGTGAGCAATCACGTCGCAGCTTGGAAGAAGGTAGAGGTGGTGGAAGCATAGGGTCTACCGGCGATAGGGGAGGCTACGAAACTAGTCACAGGAGTCGTCGTTGGTAACGACCTCGCTCTTTTACCCCAGTCGTTATAACCCAGTATAGGTTCGCATTTCCATGGTTGACATAGACCATTACGCAAATTCATATTAAATCGCAAGCCCATGGTGTAAGAGATGGTGAATATTCAGGGAGATCAGCATGGAGTTTCCATTCTACAAAACGCACACGAACACGTATCCACCCAAAGATCTACTTTTACACTTACAGAATGCCATTGTTATTTTCTTTTTTTTCTTGGATGATCAGGAAGTTTCGGAAGGGAGTTTTAACGGCATTTATTTGGGCGGGCATGATTACCCCTTGATGACGGCCGGAGTCTAGAGCAGGCTTTTTGAGGATTATTATCATGACGTGCTCGAGGAAGACCGTCCGGCGTTTTCATCTTTTTCCTGGGAAAGGGGTTTAAGAGGGGAGGGCTTCGTCGCAGAAATGGTTGGTTGGTTCTCTGCAACGTGAATGTTGCCTTCATTCGGTCTGAAGTCTAGGATTGCGGATATGAGAAATGCTATAAGTCTACCTATCTAGATGTAGTAGGTAGTGAGTGGTCTAGGGATAAGGACCCGTCTTTCGGAAAGCATCCCGTAGATGGAATAGAAAGCATATAGCGAGCCGTATGAGACGAGATGACTTTTCGAACAATTTTATTTTCGGAGAGTCTTATTTCGGCGGGGTGACGGATGGATATATGGATGTATGGATGTGTGTATATTAGAGGATGGGGTATTTAAGAGCCAAATCGAAGTACATATAAGGTATATATAATTATTTATACCTACTACTTATACATATCTAGATGTGAATGTGTAATGCATGTCACTATATTACTTGCGTGTGGATACATGTGCCTTTGTTTCTGTGGGTAGGGTCTTTTTGACATTTGACAATTGACAGCTGGGTCATTTAAACCAATACATTTTTCATCCACACGATTTAATAAATAGGGTCCTAGAATAATTTGTATCTGGTTCTATGCTGCGAGGCTATCTTGCGATTAAATCATGTTTTAATTAACCAACATACGTTCGATATTGCGATTTGCCTTCTACTCCGCCTTGTAGGCTTGGGGCGTTATTTAATATGTTGAGCGAGCGAATATTGAGGCGCAGTCTAGTCTCTTGTCAATATTGATAGAAAATTGAAAAGTATTCCAAGTATTTCAGCGTCATCGGATTGCGTGTTGCTTTTAATAAAAAAGGTGGATGCGGTACCTCGTTAGGGTGATAAAGCGAAAGCGGTCGTTCATGGGCGGGGAACTCTCGAATTTACACCCCTGTTCTAGGCTGCTAGGCTGTTAGACAGACCTAGCATTGCCCCGAGGCTGGGGAGCTAGAACGCTAAGTTGGGTACATTGTGTACCTAGTTCCGACCAACTAGGGGAGCACGCAGCTGGGCACAGGCCAACGTCATCAATCCCACTACTAAAGTACAATACGTAGGTGCTCTCCTCTAGGCTGCAAGCTATCCCATCTGTGATTGTACCTCTCCACCATTGCCCATTACCACTACCACCATACGTTATCACTTACCCCATCAATTAATTATTCTTTAAACTACAACCTTTACATCTACAACTACCACTACAACCACTACACCACCCATAATCATTCGTTTGTATTATTCGCCTCTCACGACAACGACGAAATACGTAACATAATACTACCGAAGCAAAGAGGAAATCAAAGTCTGCTTTAATATCGTCAAATTAGCATTCGGAGATCTTACGGATTGTCTAATTTCTCCCCGTCACGCTGCCCAGCATGTTTCGGGGAACAGCCATCGGGCCTTATGACGAACTAATCGGTATGTAACCTCCCTTTAATGAAAAAATATGTGGTCGCAGACTAATGTAGTTACGATGAATAGCCAAGGCGACAGACGAGAACCTCACTTCCGAAGATTGGGGAGCTATCATCGAAGTCTGCGACAAAGTTACCAGCGACCCGAATGGCCCTAATCAAGCTGTTCAGAGCCTGATAAAGCGACTGGCGCATCGCAACGCTAATGTTCAGCTGTACACTCTGGAGGTATATCGAGACCATTCATAACATAATTATATGTATTTCTTTGGACCTAGAGCTAACCGTAGCCTCATTCGCTAGTTGGCAAATGCTCTCTCCCAGAACTGCGGCAAGGGCATGCACCGCGAACTCGCCAGTCGCGCCTTTACAGAGGCTCTACTAAAACTAGCCAACGACCGTAACACACACCAACAGGTCAAAGTGAAGATCCTAGAGAGGATGAAGGAGTGGTCCGATATGTTCAACCAGGATGCCGATCTGGGTATTATGTACGACGCCTACTACCGACTCAAGCAGACGAACCCGACACTGCAACCACCCTCCGCCCCACAGAAGACCGGTCTCACCGACGTAGATCGCCAGAAGGAGGAGGATGAACTACAGATGGCGTTAAAGTTATCCTTGCAAGAAGAGGAAAAGAAAAAGGTCGTTACTCAGCCTAGTTCGTCTGTTGCTGGCCCGAGTGTGGGAGCAGGACCCAGTGCGGCGGCTAGTCAGCCTGAAGCAATACCCTCGCATCCGACCGGTACAACCGCCGCTACGGTATCGCGAGTTCGCGCCCTTTACGATTTTATACCCTCCGAGCCTGGCGAGTTAGAATTCAAGAAAGGCGATATCATCGCTGTTCTCGAGTCGGTGTACAAGGATTGGTGGCGGGGTTCGTTGAAGGGCAGAACGGGTATCTTCCCGCTGAACTACGTCGAGAAACTTGCGGATCCGACACCTGATGAGCTTCAACGTGAGGCGCAGATGGAAGCTGAGGTGTTCGCTGAGATTAAGAACGTAGAGAAGCTCTTGACATTGTTGAGCACATCGAATGCTTCGCCAAGGGAGGAGGATAACGAGGAAATTTCGGTATGTTCTCAAATAGCGCTTGAGTGTGTACTTGGTTACTAATAGCTACAGAAATTATACCACCAAACGCTTGCGATCCGACCCAAGTTAATCAAGTTAATCGAGAAGTACTCTCAGAAGAAAGAAGACTTCACGCAATTGAATGAGAAATTCATCAAGGCTAGAAGAGACTACGAATCGCTATTAGAATCTTCGATGTCCCACCCACCTCAGCCGAACTACCACCAATACGCACCAAGACCGCTCATGACCCCTGGATATGGTGTTCCGGGAGGCCCAGGCCCCGGCCCGGGTCCTGGTTTTGCTCCCCAGGGACCACCCCCTGTCCAACAAGAGCCTCAACGATTCTATACACCTGCGCCCCAAGGACCACCTCAGCAAGGTAGGTGAAACATGAGAGCCTTCAAACGAACTAGACTTACATATACTCAGAACAGAATCAATACCATCAACCTACATCCCCGCCTCCTAACTTCCAACGACCAACCCCGGCACCCGCTCCGTTCTATTTGCAGGGTGCGGAAGTTCCCGCCCAAGCGAGTCAACCACCGCCCCAGCAATATCCGCCGAGAGACCAGCAGCCGTCGCGGATAGCCGTCGGAAAGCAACCCGCTCCACTTCAGACCTCGTCTCCACCACCACAAGCCTACCAGGCGTACTCCCAAGCTCCGCCTCAAGCAGGACAGCGACCTCAGAGCACTTACGGTAACCCGCAAGAGCTAGCCACATCTGCATACGACTCCCCAGTCGCAACCACGGGGAACATCGGTCGATCCGATACCTATACTTCATCCGTGTACTCCCAAGAGGACCCGTACGCCTCCAGCCCGACAAACCTCGGTCCCTCCGCACCCCCCGTACCCGTCCCTTCCGCTCCGTCTGCCGCTGCGCAAGGCGTTCCGACCCCTCTAGCGATCGCTTCGCAGCCCCATCCCTCCGCGCCGGCCCCATCGGTTCCACCTGCGCAACCGCAATACTCAGCGTATAATCCCCAACAGCAGCCGCAACGACAAGATTCCTTCGATGCTCCGCCTCCGCCCCAACCAACAGGCGCGGCACCCCCGATCCCTCAGCCGAGTCATGTGATGACACCCCCGCCGTTACATCCAGGTGGCCCGGCGTTTGATGCGAGACAGTCGTTGCCGAGTCAAGCTGTGGGGCAGGGACAGCAACACCCGCAGTATAAGGCGTATGTACCGCCTGGTGTGAATGTGGGCGAGCCGAGTGCGCCGCAGGATTTTTATCGGCAGGGTGCTGCTTATTAGAGGATGATAAAGCGAGGTAACTCAGGCGAAAAGGGGAAGGGAAGAAAAGTGCCTAAGTGACGCGGAAGCGAGAGCGAAGTAAAGTGGCGTGCGATTTAAGGATATATTCATACGTTCAAGGGGGCTCCTATTTGGTCGTGGCGGCATTCCAGCTTAGTCGTTGGCACATTGCATTGGGCCGTATTGGTTGCGTGGGATGAAAGAGAAGCAGAAGTTGATTCCCGGTGCAGACCTGAATCTACCAGAGGAAGAAGTGAAGAGGAAGTAGGTGGTAGACACGTATGTAATTGAATGGGGAGAGATACAATATCAATGTGAATTTTGAAAATTATTAAGATATTCGAAGGCGGTTCGACGTGATATTGTAATTATGGTTGACCAATTTGGTGAGGCTATACGATGAGGACAAGTACATAAGTACGTACATATGACATCTTCAGTGACACTCTTACAGCTTGTAGAGATGCATTTTTCTTCTAATATATATAATAACTGCATTTACGGTCAGGCTTGGCTTTGATAGATGTTTTTTTATTTGAATCCCTAGGCGCCGTGGATATTATCATAGGAAAATCAAACCGAGCTAAAATGTTATTACTAACGCCAATAAACCTAGCCTCTATATGTCGCTTCATATCAGACTTCTATTTTATACTCATGAGGAATTATATTGAAAATGTAGTTTGAAATATTATTTTACTATCGAACACGATCGAACTTTACGACATAACGCATGCAGTGTGGCTCATACAGTATCTGTGAGACCCTAGGTATATTTTTTCAGCTTCGCATAGCCCCGCAAGCTCATCCTGTCCAGCCAAAAAGCAATTCCATTCAAAAAATTCCCACCTTTTTATATATAGGGAGATCCGCGCAATGCGACTCTTACACACTACACGCCTCGAGCTGGAAGAGTTCCACGGTAGTCAAATTCCTGTGTATGCGATTCTAAGCCATACCTGGGTCGACGGCGAAGAAATCAGTTTCCAAGAATTCACCGATCTGCATTCGTCAAAAACGACTAAATCCGGGTTTCAGAAGATTAGAGGGGCTTGTGAAGTTGCGAAAAGGGATGGGTTTGAGTGGATTTGGATCGATACGAATTGTATCGATAAATCGAGCTCGGCGGAATTAACCGAGGCGATTAATTCTATGTATAATTGGTACTGTGATTCGAGTGTTTGTTATGCTTATTTGGCTGATGTGGGGGATACTGGGTGTTTGAGGAAGGGGTTGAAGAGGAAATATGATGATGACCCTTTGCGGTTGTTTAGGCAGAGTAAGTGGTTCCGTCGTGGGTGGACGCTGCAGGAGTTAATTGGTCCCCGATGTTTGGTGTTTTACGATGCGTCGTGGCGTCGTATTGGGGATCGTGCTGGACTCGCGGATGAGATATCGGCGCTTACGGGGATTGATGCTTCGCTGCTACGGCGGGAGAAAGAAACAAGTCTCGGCGCGGTGAGTGTTGCGAAGAGAATGTCGTGGGCGGCGCGAAGGCTAACTACGCGCGCGGAGGACGTGGCGTATTGCTTGCTTGGTTTGTTCGATGTGAATATGCCGTTATTATATGGCGAAGGCAGCGCAAAGGCGTTCATACGATTACAAGAGGAGATTATAAGGACTACTAACGATCATACTGTTTTCTGCTGGAGTAGAAGCAGTGGACATGTGCCCGAAGAATGGACTAGTATGCTGGCCCCGTCACCCGCTGCGTTCCGTGACGCGGGTGAATATGTCACAATTGATGCCTGGGAAGCTCCGATGCCGTATTCGATGACGAATTTAGGGTTGTCGATATACCTTCCCGTCGTTTATACATTAACACAATTGTTCGTTGTTCTCGATGCCGGACTTCTAAATAAACATCCGGATATGAGGGCTTGTATCGCGATGCAACGAACGAACCAGAGACGATCAGGTTCGAATATCTTAGATAGGAGCCGGTTCCTTGAGAGCCCAGCTATTCTATCAAAAGATGCGACGGACACAAGGGAGAGGTATAACCTGTTTATCAGGTCCCGACACACGCCGCAACCAGGAAGTCCGTACAACTCATACGGGCTTCCTGTGTTCAAGCACGGTATCTTATTATTCGTTGACCCAACAGCATCTCGTCTCCTATCAACAGGCAAACGGGGGGCGCCACTCGGGGCTGTTGGTTACGATATTGAGACGTATCCACATGGAATATTTGACGAATACACGGCTCTATTACGACTACCAGCTTTCGAAGGTGGTAGCTCGCTTTTAACATCTGGACTGTTACGAATATGCTTCAAGTCTCCCCAAGAAACCGACTTCTACTTGTTCTTCGCTGTAATAACGACATTCGGCGGGAGGGAAGTTTGGTATTGTGGCGTGTATTCCACGGAAGATTTCCGGTTTATCAGACTTGCTATTCAGGAGAACACCGAGGAGGGTGGTGCACCGATACAAGAGGAGGAACTTATACATAGCTATTTGCGCAGCGAGGCTTGGGAGAAGCGCTGTAAACGGTTAACAGCTCACACCTTAGATGAATCGCTCTTTGTCTCTATCGGAGGCACGATGGCCCTAGAACCCGGAACCGATATCAGGGCCGCTATGCTGTCCGACAAGTCCGAATCCCCTTATTCGATCCCCGTGAGCGCAACGGATATTAGTGGTATTGTTGATGAGACGGACGATGATGACTACGTGGGCAGCGAAGAAGAGATCGAAGACTGGGACTCATCCAACGAGGAAGAGCAAGAGGGCGACAGCGACGTAGTTACGGATAAGGATGTGAGTAGGATACCTAGATGGGACACTCAGAGCTCGGCCGAGAGTTCTCAAGCTCTGTCATCTGCATCATAATCGCATGAACTTTCACCGCTGCTCCAGCCCCTTTCTTCCCTGAATGTGGAGTCTGAGAGACCTCGTGTTCTCAGGTCCGTTGAGTTTGACGTTAGCCGCGTTTCTCTAGTGCAACTTTTTCTCTCGATCCGGCAGTCTTTTCCGTGGAATGAGGCTCGATCCCGATCTTGAGAGATCGTCTTATTAAAATGCCCTACGAATTATGTAATTCTTTTATAATATGATACCTCCATTGCTACCCTTCGTGTAGATACACGTCTTCCGTTTGAACCCGCCCATCGTAAATCCGCGGGACTTCAATTGTGTCAAACAGACGGAGGAACGCCTAGATACTTGGAAAGAGTAGCACGATCGGCGTCGAAAGCATAAACTCACTCCTATTGACAACCAAATTGTTTACTTGCCAAAACATATCGCAAGATATGTACCATAAACGATGTTCGCCGGGAAATTTACAGCGTCGAACCCAGCCACGATGAACTAGACGACTATACCACCCCCTTGAAAGGTAACGTCCCATCAGTACGAACGGACAAATTGAAGTCCGTAAAGAAACTCCACGATATTCGATCCCACAATAATGTCTAAGCCGACGTCATATACTGCCCATAGCCCTCTAATTCTCGGGGTCTAATGTCCAAGCGCTCGTGTCTTTAGTCTTCATCTCCCCATAGTTTCAAGAAAACATTTTCGACTAGGAGGTACCTATACCCTTGGACAAATATAGTCCTATTAGCAATCGGATTACCATTTCTAAGATCAACATATTCGATCAGGCCATCATATTTCACATCTCGCCAGTAGATAGGCCGTGAGACCCGACCCTCAGGATTATAAAACCTGGGGACAGGGCGTCCAAGTGGAGGCCGCTAAGCCGGCAATTGTACCGTCAGGGTCCTGCTGTCAACACGAAGCGACTAATTACTAGTTAAAAAAAAAACATGGGCAACGAAATCAAGCATAACCTCATAAGGCAACGTTTCAGCACGCACCGAACCAATCAACATAATAATATTATCCTCATTTACCCTATCCGGACCACGTTTCATACTCTTCCTGGTCTAGCACCAGCTCGTATTTTCCCCATAAGAGATAAACCGGGAACGCGGTAAAAGGGAAAACTTCGCTTAAACCGGTAATGATCGCGGCGGTCTTGGCTCCATAGAAGCTTCATCGCTAACATTGCGGCTTCATGCGATGACGTCGATCGCGGACATGGGAGCTAGTATAGCTTGTTTCCTATCACGATGTCCTCAATTCGAGGGATGTCGGAAGAGTATAAAGAATCGTGAATCCGTCACTACCTTCGATTTGGAGTTTTCTTTTCCTCACCAGTCGACTCGGCATTTCATTCGCTATACACTCTTCGCGCCAACCTCCCAAGAACTTCAAACCCGCCAGTTATAGACACCTTTCGCTAAACTCCTAAAACAATAAACAAGATGCGTTTCACCGCCACCGCCGCCCTCGCCCTCTTCGGTGCCAGCGCTCTTGCTGCGCCGTCGGCCATGCACGCCGCCCGCCAGGACAACGGGGAGGATGTCTCCAGTAGGTCACATTCACTCATAATTAACCCTCGAGGCGGAATAACTAACACGTTTCTAAGTCACCGAATTCGCCGTTCACAAGGCCGGTGTCACCGGCGCTTCAACCGGTACCGTCGACGGCGTCGGCTTCAAGCTAAGCGGCGAAAACGCCACGAACCTCGACTGCTCGGCCACCGCGTCGCAAGTCTCGGGTCTACCCACCGATATCATCACCTGCGGCGACTCTAAGTACCGCTTCGAGCTCCTCGAGGGACCTGACTCGTCCACTTTCAGCCTGAAGGTGCACCATGAGCTCGGTCAGGCGTAAGTTCCTTCCTCTCTTTAAATATAACAGCAGGACTAATTTTTGGAATAGTGTTGGTTTCTCCGGCCACGCCGACGTTCCCACCTACTGTCACTCCGGCGGTCTTGACAACCAGGTCTGCAGCCAAGTCAAGGACCCCCTTACCATCCACATCGACAGCCTCCCGCACTAAGCGCATGTCGCATTGGCCTATCGAGGTTAGCAATGTCTGCGGACATTAGCCTTCCGACAGAAATCTTCGGGTGTTCGTCCGATCTGTAAATATCTACTTCGACATAGCGAGCGTATGATTCAAATACATCTTGTTTTTAGTAAATATTGTGCCCCTGAACGCTAGTCATTCGCAGCCCAATGTGATATTGTTTCGTGACCCATTGCCATGGATGGATCTCTGTCAAGTATCGTACTTCACGGGTTTTATCTGGAGAAATAGTTGTTAACTTTGCTTGATGGGTATCCTAAGGTACACTATAATGTATTTAGATGAGTAATATGTATGTTTAAATCCGGTTATATACTGTATGGCCAACCAAAAATCTTGGTTCTCGGCCTTTGGCATTGATTTCCTCATGATCCCCGTATCGATTCGGTTCCGTAGCGATCGGCCGCGATCGGCTTCGTTGAGTACCTCGTGTAACCGTTACTACATGCCGTTGGTTGCTCAACCAACTCGCATAAGCTTACATAATTAGTAGTATGTCCTATAAGTAGATGCCAATGACTTCGGCGTTGTTAAAATCGCCGTAAATCGTCAGTCGTTGCCTAACCATTGATTAGATTGTCGTTATTGTTTATCCGAATAATTAACCATCAATCTTATCATGGGGAATCATCCGATATTTTCAAGCATCGTTCAAATAGGTCGACTGTCTCTTGAACTAGTCCCACCTTCTCGCCTAGCTCAATCGACCGATAATACCAAGGTTGGTCAATCTGCTGTGGGAAATTATTAATTGCCTCGGCTCTGTCGCGGAAGACCTTCCAGCGGCTCTCAAAATCGCCGCCCATCTGCTCAGCCGCTCCCATCGCACCAATTCTTTGGCAATAACTTTCGACTGCTGACATCGCATCCAACGTCTGAATATGCGTGGGTCCATAATTCTCTTGCGACAACTTCAGAAGTTCGTGCCCCACTGCTAGTGCTTCGGCCTGCGTCCCGTTTCGCTGTTTTATTTCGAACATTAACCATGCCGCTTTGCAGCGAATATCAACGTAAGCACTAGGCGGTTGTGCGTCGAGCCAAGCCAATATTTCTTTGGTAGTAACCTCCGCTTTTTTGAGCCGCCGTTTTGACAAATATGACAGGGCTAATCTAAATTTACTCTCTTGAAGTAAAAATACTGCTGCTTCTTTCGGGATCGATTTTCCGGTGACCATGCCCTGGATAACGGTTTCGAGAAGGTTGTAAGAAAGCAGGCCGGCGCAATGTAATTGGATAAAGACAAATGCACCCTGCACATCGTTCGTAGTGCTCGTTTCCGTCGAGTTGACATGCCGTCCCCACATGTCCAAGTACGACTCGAATATAGCCCCAGCATGTTCTTTTATTCCATTTATACCTGTGAGTAAAACCCGCGACCATAACTGATTGAATGGATGTCCTGGCGGCAGCATCAGAGACGTCAGCTTGGAGGCATAGTCTATGAAAGCATCGCCAAGCTTGTTGTTCTGACTAGCAAGAACCATTGCACACTTATATGTGGCCAACCAGAACATGGAATCCGGCTTCTGTAATTGTTGCTTGTACTGGTCAAAACACATGCCTAACAACGAAAATCCTTCTTTTATCCTACCATGTCGTATCAACCCTTGCGACGAAGCAACGTAATGTTGCCAGGTAAAGGCACCATTCATCTCAGCACGGTCGCCTTCTGACTGCATCTGCCACATACCACTATCGAAAGCGCCATTCATAAAATTGTGGAGGATTTGCATACATTCGTGTGGGACCCTTAATTCGGTGGGTTCTTCAATGCGAGGGGAGATCGATATGGCCGAGTCGGTTGCTTCCGGTGATGGTGAGGGCGAGGGCGTCCGACAAATAACTTGAACTACCCTCGAAGAACCTGACGCCTCGCCACCATCGCCCTTTTCGGCGTGCATAATCTTCTTCGAGACAAGGGGTGCTGCGCGGTAACGGTACCGTTGGAGCCTGTCGGGGTCGATTCGTCTGCCCCTGATATACGCTACAGTTGGTTTTCCTGCTGCTGCTCGGGCAGTTTGTTGTCGAAATATCTCGACAGCTTCCTCGGCTTTGATTTTCTTCTCGATACCCCATTTTTGAAACCGCGCCTTGTACATTCTCACACTTGCAAGTGAGTTAGATGACGGGCCAAAGGCCCTATTGAAAACGAAGCCATTTGGTACCGAATCATACTCACGTGGCATAAAATTGGTATTTGTCTTGCATTATTTGTATGATTTCTTTCAACGTCTTATTTTCATCCCGGTCTAAAACATGTTAGGTTAATTAGCATACTTGGAAGAGGTGAGCCACCAAAATTCATGCCGTAATGTCCCTTCATTTTGTTTGAGGACAATAATAACGGCGAAAAATATAGGGCAAAGTAATAAGTAGAATAGAGCGATTTAACATACTAAGGAAAGAGTTAGCATTCACTCTATGAAGTAGGAACTACCTAGCAAAGATAGGAAATAGGAGAAAAATAGTAGAAAGGTATTTCTTCTCACATACCAAAGAGTCGTAATGTATTCTCTTCGGGTTGCCCAATCCTCGGCAGTGGCCCAGCTGTTATGGCCGGGCGGATTGGGGGTCGCCATTGCGATACGAAAAATAGTTAATTAATTCAAAATTGGAAAAAAAGAATGTCAACTCGACATTGAGTGATTGATTAATCGGTTGTAAGCCGTGGCATAGTGGCACCAGGGCCAATCGAAACGAATTAAAGCGAAAAGAACGGAGAAGACCGAAGTTGTTAAACGATTTATAATGTATAATGTATAATGGTACTACCGCGAACCATAGAAATGTCGATATAACCACATCTTGTTGGAATGACGATCCGATCAAGTAGGTGATACAACTTCGTTGAGGATCTCGTGGATCTATCTGTAAGGCTGGCTAATTTGTTCTATTTCGAGTTACGATTGAAAATAAGAGATATTCCTATAGGGTCTAGGACGCGTAGGTAAGTAATTGTAGGAATTAGTCTAAGGCGTATTGGTATTGGTATTGGTGGGGAATGGGCGCCGAGGAATTAGTAAGGTATACGTAGGAAAATATACGTAGTAGCGAACAGACCGACGGCCGATGAACATGGGATAGGAGGGATATGTGGACTGCAGCCCTGTCTCGGGTCGTTCACCTAACTCAGCCTGTATGGATCAATTTCCTGGACTAGCTGGGTCTTGATGCATCGGGATCGGACAGATAAAACATCTAAACGCCGAAAGACCCGGGAGCCCCTTGAAAATGATTAAGTAAGTGCCTTAGTAACTGCCTCTTCGACTCCTATACTCCTATAAAGAGTTATACCTGGACATGTAGACATGTATAAAAACTATCGTATTTAATGATCGACAGGGAGATCGAAGATTGTAAGATTGAACTTATTGGACAGGCTTATGTGGCGTGCGGCGTAGCACAGAAGTGTCACGCGAGAACCAGATTCCGGCATTCGGTTGCATTTCGTTGGTGATGGTGGAACGAATGGAATCTTTCTGTTGAGGTTGATGATTGGAAGAAGGGGAAGAAGGTGAAGATGGCTAGCATGGATCTTGAAATTTAGACGAAGGCACAGCAGCACTAAAACTGTATTAATTAATGAAACTAATACACTGTATACTCATGCGGGGTAACGGAAACACAGTCAAATTTATGCAACCCAACTGTATGGCTAGCTAGAGGGGTACCTTTTGATTAAGTAATCATTGGTGGCTTGTGAGATGGCTGCCTGAAAGATAAGACGCCTGATAGAATTCGTTGGCCCGGCAAATTATGTCATCGAACGAAAAGGTAAACAACAACTTCCAAAGTTACAACATCTTGGGCAAACCTACAAACGTCTAGCCTAAACAAATAATCCCGAGTCAATAGGCATATAATAAATACATTGCAAGAAAATAGAATTGCCTATGGATATTCTTCTATACCCGTCCATATTACCTTTCTGAAATTACCCCCTCAATAAACTCTAGCTTTTTCATGAGGTTTGTTTACCGTTTGTTCACTCTTCGTTTGCTCCTCGATACAAGGCTTCATTAATACTTACGCCTAAGTAAGAAAGCCAGGCGAGAAATTCCAATTTCGGCCTAGAAACGACTTAAAATCGGCCGAGAAACCAGATCTCGAGCATCACAAAATGGTCAAGGAGCAAGCGCCGCCTAAGGCGCCTTTGCGTCCCTTAGGCTCGAACGAAACAAACGGCAATTCCCAAATACAGCCCAGTCAACCAGAAGAAAAACCACAAAGACCATCAAGCTCAACCGCGGGTAGTTTTACCTCTGTGAACCCCGCCTCCACTACAGCCCCAGCCCCGATACCTGCTATTAAATCTCGAGTATTCTCTGGAAACATGGATGATAAATACGCGAACCTTTTCATCCAACCCAAGAACCGTCCCGAACACCACCGACCTCAACGCATCGCAGGCCCGTTACAGCCTTCTTTTAAGGACAAGAAACCTCCACCGCCTGCCATGTTTAACGCCATTCCTGGTCCGGAAGGATCGGCTAGTAACCCGATCTCCGTCCCAGATGGCCGTCCCGTCTCGATCTATAGCCAGCCTGGTGTCTTCTCCACACACGTCGATCCCAAGAAAGCTGCTGCCGATATCAAAGCCTTGCTCGAAGGCTCTATAGAAGATGAAGAGGACAAGGCAGTAAAGGAAGAGGAAGGCGAAGACAAATCACATGTAGAAGGACTCGCTGTTCGACTTCTACCACATCAAGTCGAGGGTGTGGAATGGATGAGAGGTCGTGAACTTGGTCCTGTCAAGAAGGGGAAGGTGCCCAAGGGTGGTCTTCTCGCTGACGACATGGGTCTAGGAAAGACTCTTCAATCTATTGCACTTATTTTGACCAACCAGAAGCCTAAAGATAAACACGAAGGTGTAGAAAAGACTACATTGGTTGTTGCACCTTTGGCCCTCATCCGCCAATGGGAAGCCGAATTGAAGGAGAAAGTCACTGAATCACACAAAATGAAGGTACTCGTACACCATGGACCGCAACGTACTAAACGATTTGAGGATCTTCGCCGATACGATGTAGTCATTACCACCTACCAGATCCTTGTGTCCGAATTCGGCCACACCACGGCGTCTGTAAAAGCTGGTTGTTTTGGCCTACACTGGTATCGCGTTATCCTAGATGAGGCCCATACAATCAAGAACAGAAATGCCAAGGCCACAAAAGCATGCTGCGAACTTCGAAGTGTGTATCGTTGGTGTCTCTCCGGTACACCAATGCAGAACAATTTGGATGAACTACAAAGTTTAGTCAAGTTCCTCAGAATCAGACCGTACGATGATCTTCGGGAGTGGAAGGATCACTTCGACTTGCCTATGAAGAACGGTAAGGGCGAAGTTGCTATACGTCGTCTTCATGGTCTGCTACAGTGTTTCATGAAGCGACGAACCAAGGATATCCTTAAGGAAGCCGGAGCTCTCAACGCCGGTGGCAAGGAAACCAAAGATGGCGAAAAGAGCGGGGCCCAAAGCTTCAAGGTCACTGAACGAAAGGTTGTGACCGTTGCGGCTGAGTTCACGCCAGCGGAGAGACGGTTCTACGACAGATTGGAGAAGCGAACGGATAAGAGTATCGAGGAAATGATGAAGAGCAAGCTCAACTATGCTAGCGCTTTGGTACTTCTATTGCGTTTGAGACAAGCTTGCGACCACCCGAAACTAGTCGAAGGCAAGCTTGAGAAAGACAAGGATGCTCTATCCGAAGAAACCAAACCAAAGAAGAACGATGCCGATGTCGACGCTCTTGCGGATCTCCTCGGTGGACTAGACGTAGAGGCTAAGCATTGCGATATTTGCGGCTGGGAGTTAGACCGCGAAAGTCGACAGCCTGGTTCAGATAAATGCAAGGCTTGCTACGAAGATCTAGAGTACTTCAAGCACCACGAGGAAGGAGGAGACCTAAAAGCTCCGAAGATGAGAACGAAAAAGAAGAAGAGCAAGGTCAAGCAAGTTGTCCGCGAAAAAGTAAAGACCGAAGTCGCTAAACAGCGAAAGCCTAGAAACCGTCGCGCAATCCTCGATAGTGATGACGAGGAGGAGGAAGGCGATTGGATTGTCTCCAGCGATGAGCAAGGATCATTACGGTTGGGTAAAGCCGGTGGCACGGACGACGAAAACGCCGAGGGTGAAGGTGACACGATCAACACGGAAGATTCCGAAGACGAGGAGACACAAGACGGCAGTCAATTGAACAGTTTTATTGTTAATGACGGCAATGATACTAAGCCTGAAGATCTTCAACGGGCCTTGGATGAATCGGATTCCGAGGATGATGATATTGAGTCAATTTCAGCGATTCAGTCTAAACTAAGCAAAACCAAACTTGAAGATAGCGAGGAAGACGATGACGATGATGAGGGTGATGAAAATGATGATGGCAAAAGTAGTAAGGACGATGAGGAGGATGGGGAAGATGAGGATGCAGATTCGGAATCGCAATCCGAGTCTGAAGACGACGATACTGGTATTTCCGAATCCGAACTTATCTCAGATTCCGAAGAGGAAGTCGCATACTCCCGATCCCGCCGCGAGAAGGAAAAGACACCCCACGTCCTCGCGTCCGCCAAGATCCGACAACTGATCTCACTCCTACACAAGGAAGTCCACGACCACAAATTCATCGTGTTCTCTCAATTCACTAGTATGCTCGACCTAGTTGAACCCTTCTTCCGCAAGGAAGGCATTAAATACACGCGCTACGATGGAAGCATGAAAAATGACGCGCGTGAAGCCGCTCTCGATGGCTTACGAAAAGATTCGCGCGTGCGCGTCCTTCTCTGCTCCCTGCGATGCGGTGCGCTCGGTCTAAATCTCACGGCTGCCAGCCGCGTTATCATCCTCGAACCTTTCTGGAACCCATTCGTCGAGGAACAAGCCATCGACCGTGTTCACCGACTCACACAAACCGTAGACGTGATCGTGTATAAACTTACAGTAGCAAACAGCGTCGAGGAGCGAATCCTAGAACTTCAACAAAAGAAACGACTGCTTGCGCAGGCGGCTATTGAAGGTGGTGCTAGGAAGGAAGCGCTTAAGCTCGGTCTCAAGGAGATGATGGATTTGTTTGGACACGTGGGACGTGGAGGCCGAGGCGGTGGTGCAGGAGACGAGAGTTTTAACGAGGATGTGGCGCGCAATGATGTTAATGCTACCCTGGCTGGTATGCGCAGCAAGAATTCTCATGGGAGTCGGGGGAGTGGGAATGAGAGTTCGATTTATGGACGTCGTTGGTAAGAACTCATTCCTGGATACCTAATTAAGTAGGTACACAGGAAATGAGGACTTGGAGGGTATGCGGCGTTGCGGATTCAGGTGTTGTCGTTACCGTTCCTTGGTTGGTTCATGATTGATGGATGGATGGATTAGGTAACGCAATGGATAGATGGAGTAATGAAGTGCGTTATGAAATAATTATGGTAATGATTCGGATGGCTTCCACAGTGTGTTTTCGCTTCGCTTCGCACGAAGTTGATGATATAATGTTACTAGAAAAATACTAGAGTGTATATGTACTCATCTGATGTCTCTCGAGCGTACATAGAGGCGATGTTCACGTTCAAAATTACACCGCGGACAGCTTCACGTTCTACATTATCGTTATTTATCTAGCGAAATGTTCGCCGTGAACACTGTATGCCAGCCAGCCAATTTAACAAGCCCCGAAGCGGTCTACGCCGAGAAACACGCCTGTACGCCCAAAGTTTTTGGTGCCTATTGCCTAGTACATATCAACCATGCCCATTTCCGTGTCACCCATAGTCTTGCCATTAGCCCCGGCCCCCTCCAACTCCACGGTGAACAGGAGCATCCGCATCTGCCCGCGAGGAAGACTCGTCGAGGTAGAACCTCAATACGTGGTCAGGTATAGCGAGGTGAGTAGTTTGTTCAAATTCCTGTAGGCTTGTAAGACGGAGTAACATCTCAAGAAGAGAGAGCGATGTTTGAATGGCGCCGAAGGGAGATCGTTCAATTAGCTCTTCGTCGAATTTTCCGATATCCGGAATAAGCGCTTCGGAACTCCGGGAGGACGGTCGCGAAGAAGACGCAAGACTCATCCGATTGAGTTGTACGACTAAATTCGAATCGACGGAAGGACGCGGTTTTAATCGGCGTTGAAGGCCGTCATTTAATGATCCTCCATCCTTGTCCTTTGCATCGTCGTCTTCTACAGTGTGATCATCTTCGTCACTAGCGTCCGTATCGTTATCATCGTCTATTTCAAATACTTCGAGAGCTATCCATTCCGGGTCTAAGTCTTGTGGAAATCTCCAAAGATTAGGATTTCTCGGTTGTGAGTTTTCTGATTTCGGTATAATCTCCTGGGCAGCTTCACTTTCTCGTCGGAGTTGATAATTAATCTCATCCTGAGGGTCGCCGTTCAATGTATCGTCGGAAATAATACTGTCGTCTGCATCTTGAATCAATTTTGCCGGTGCTATTTGCTCTGTATCACCTAGCATTTCCCTATTTGGGGGTACAGCATTAGCGTCTCTTTTCAGTAGAAGCACGGGATTGCTCGAGGCGCCATCCTCGTTATTAATATTCAAAATCCTCCCAACATCAGCATAAAACATTTTTGATACTTGATGCACTGGGATGGCCTCTCGAATACCCGCAAGGGCAAGCCCGTCATAAGAACCTGGTTGCGCATCGTTATGTTCAAATGTATGGACTCGTCCGTCATCTAGGTCCTCCACAATTTGAAGCTGATAAGCGTAATTCACGGGCGATGCGGTGTTACCACCATTACTAAGTCCGGGAAGATCATGGTTGAGTGGTACGCGACGAAGCCGAACTCGGGCCTTGTGTATCACTTCTTGCCATATTGGTTTTCGTTGGCCATCTTCTACACCGTAAGGCTCACCCGAATTCGCGTGGGCACGAAATAGCATATAAAGAGACAGCGTGAAGTCCGGGCCAATTTGCATCGGCTTACCGGGATCGAGGATGTATTGAGTGTCTCCGACATTCACAAGCATGCTGGCCTGCAGCAAACGGGATGGCGAAAATCCTGACTGCTGAGTCTGTATGCCCCCTATTGCGGACACCCAAAGGTTGATAAGAGGTATAGAGTCGTCAATGTCAAGGATTAGCTGCTTGACGTCCGTGATTATGCTTTTGATCTCCAGATGCCGCAGAGGAGCAGCCGCAGAGGAGCTCTTAGCCCCCCTAATTTTTTGTGACTCATCTGCCAAGGCAGCGATTTCGAGGCGTTTTCCAAGGGAATCAACATTGTCTCGTAGCTCCTGCGCTGTTCGTACCACAGCCTCCAGCGCCGAGTTTCCTCTCGCATAACGGAATTCGATTGACTCTAGAATTGGAGAGATGAGCTATTCGAGGTTAGCTATGACTATTAAATATGACACCAAATCAGGGGCCTTGCCGGCGAATGGCCTACATTCAATTAATTTAATTAAGCAAGACTTACCTCGATCTTGCGAGCCAACCGACGTTGCAGGTGACTTAATTCAATCCGTAGAGGATCATCTTCAACATCCTGCGTAATAAATGATTAGCTTGGGTAGTCATTGTGTGGTGTTCATACCGTATTGCTGGTAAATAAATGCGATACAAATTAACAAATTAGAGGATAATTACTAATTACACACCTTGAGCAATCTTGACCCTTGCTGAATGACATAGGTCGAAGTCAGGGCAAGACAGGATCGGATGGCATAGCTAGTAGCATGATAGGATAATTTGGATAGAAATGCATCCATGACAATGTAAAGGTGTTGTTATTATCTGTTTGCTCTCACTACAACCTCGAAGAATAAAAAGCATGGGAAAATAGTCTCGATTACCCCCATGAAGGGCAATCAGAATGGATGCCCAACTTATAAAAATCGGTCAAGCCGCACAGTTAAAAAAGTAGAAGAACAAAGGTAAATCCACTTTGTTGAATTTTGGAATTGGAGTAGACAAATACATTTAAGCTACTTGTTCGGTAGACTTTACACTTTCAAGATTTAGAAAAGGGAGAAGTTCATTGTTGTTTCCTGAGTGTGAATGAGCACACCGCGTTCCTACCAAACGTTATACACCGGCGTACATATGTAACAAACAGAGTAGTAAACAGCCTTTAAGTATATACAGCCATCTAGTTGCATAATAGTCTCTGCCTATAAACGCATGTTTAAGGCACCCATACTGGATTACTTCATATCGTACCAAAGGATCGATTTAACTCCGTCATTGGCGGGGCAAAACTTCTCACCCCGCTAAACTTGCAGTCAAGGTTCTCTTTCCCTTCACCTTTTTTAACCTTTGCCGCAAATTCAACAGTCAAGGTCCGATCTATTATCAGGTCAAAGTTGGGCAGGACCTTCTTGATACCTTCCATAAATTAGACCCTACTCACCTGATCTAAGATTATCTTAGTCGTTCACTTACTTTTTTTTCTTGCTAGAAATTCAGCTAGCCTTGTCCCGCAAACAACCTATCCACTCACCTTTCAACTACCCCACGTAAATCAGAAAATTCCCGGTCGCACAATTACGAACTTCTTAACCTCAATCTTTAGACCTTCAACAACTTCTTTCTCCCACTAAAATTCTTCATCATATCGGTCACCTGTCGAGATTCGTATAAATCAAATATACCACCACAACTCCCGACGTTTTCAAAGAGTAACCCGAAAACATGGCTGATCTCAACTCTTGGGAAGATGACCCCGCCGCGCAGGATGACAACCTGTCAAGGCAAACTCAGCAGATGAACCTCAACAACCAACCACAGAATCCCGCCGCAGCAACGTTCCGACCCGGCGCTGCTTCTTTCCAACCCACCGCACAAACCTTCCAGCCAGGTCAAGGCTACGGTGGTGGTGGTGGTTACGTGCCTAACTACCAGCAGGGTTACTACGGAGGCCAGAATTATTACCCTCAATATGGCGGGGCCCAAGGCGGCTACGGTCAATACGGTGGTGGGGGTGGCCAAGGATACGGAAATGTCTACGGGCAAGGTGGATATAACCAGGGATACGGTATTACCTATTGCTACAAGGGAATCGCTATATACTAACGGTATCAGGCCAACAACAATCGTATGCGCAGTATCAACAGCAACAACAACAATCCCAATCCCAACAGAAGCCCAAACAGCAAAACCAACAACAGCAAGCTGTACCGACTATCGCCAAGCGAGGCGACCAAAACTCTCCTGCCGCCGCGCCCGCTGCCGACGCGCCTAAGCCTGTCGCCAAACAAGAGGGAGGTACTAAGGTCTTAAGCATAGGTGGGGACCCACCAAAGCCTAAGACCGCTAAGGTCCTGTCTATCGGCGTTCCAGCACCACCGAAAGATGAACCCAAGGCAGAAAAGGCTGAGAAGGAAGCATCCGCCGATGCTGGTACCAAGGTGACGGCCGCCAAGGCCATAGAGAAGACCGGCGAGACTACTAAGTCAACCAAAGGCTCTAGTGGAAAGACATCACCGACACCTTCTTCCGGTCGCTCGAGTCCTTCGAGGGCAGCCAAGGCCGCGGCTCGCGACGCCGAAGCAGTTGCGAACCAACAAGTTGCAGACGTCGATGATGAGACCCTCAAGGAAATCTACGGAAAAGAACATATCAACATTATCTTCATTGGTCACGTTGATGCTGGCAAGTCGACGCTTGGTGGCTCTATCCTGTACGCAACTGGTATGGTTGATGAGCGTACGATGGACAAGTACAAGAAGGAGGCGAAAGATTTGGGCCGAGAGACGTGGTATTTGTCATGGGCTCTTGATTTGACTAAGGAGGAACGATCCAAGGGAAAGACTGTCGAGGTTGGAAGAGGATACTTCGAAACCGAAAAGCGGAAATACAGTATTCTAGACGCTCCTGGCCACAAGACTTACGTTCCCAGTATGATCGGAGGTGCCTCTCAAGCGGATATCGGTATTCTTGTTATCAGTGCACGAAAGGGAGAGTACGAAACTGGATTCGAGAAAGGTGGCCAAACCCGCGAGCACGCTATGCTTGCCAAGACACAGGGTGTGAACAAGCTTGTTGTTGTGATCAACAAGATGGACGACCCCACCGTCAATTGGTCCGAAGAGAGATATAAGGAATGTACCACGAGGCTGGCGCAGTTCCTTAAGGGTACTGGGTACAATCTGAAGACTGATGTTTTCTTCATGCCCATCGCCGCTCAACAGACGATGGGTATCAAAGATCGTATCCCATCAGGACTATGCCCATGGTACGATGGTCCTTCCCTTCTCGAATACCTCGACAACATGCAAGCGCTTGAACGAAAGGTCAACGCCCCGTTCATGATGGCCATTAGCGGAAAGTACCGAGATATGGGTACAATGGTTGAAGGAAAGATTGAAGCCGGTGTTTGCAAGAAGGGCATGAGTTTAATTATGATGCCCAACAAAGAGAAGGTCGATATTGCAGCTCTCTACGGTGAAACGGAAGAGGAAATCCAAGTCGCTCAATGTGGTGACCAGGTCCGAATACGGCTTCGAGGCATTGAAGAAGATGATATTTCGGCAGGTTTCGTGCTTTGCTCGCCAAAGCGTCTGGTCCACAACGTTTCGGCTTTTGAGGCGCAGATCAGGATTCTCGAACTGAAAAGCATTCTGACCGCTGGCTTCAACTGCGTTTTGCACGTCCACTCCGCTGTCGAAGAAGTCACATTTTCGGCATTACTACACAAACTAGAAAAGGGCACAGGCAGAAAGAGCAGGAATCCTCCGACCCACGCAAAGAGGGGTGATAGCATCATCGCGAGGATGGAAGTCATCGGCGGTGCTGGTTCGGTGTGTATTGAGAAGTTCGAGGATTACCCTCAAATGGGTCGTTTCACTCTGAGAGATCAAGTATGTTTTTCACTCAAATTTCACTTGTTTCAAACACTAACTAACATGTTTTAGGGACAAACGATTGCTATCGGAAAGATCACCAAGCTCATCACGAACGAGTCAGGTTAGAGACCTAGAGTCGCTGTGGATGACAACTAAGTGATAACTGCTATTTGGTTCACCAATCATAGAAGAGGTGGGAGAAAGGCTATCCTAGGAAAAATACAAGGCGCTTGCCGCGTGATATTTTATTCACGATGCCTTTTATACATGAGCGAGTAGTTTAGATCTGGTAGCAGGATATGGACCTGCGTGTATAGACCTGACCGTACTCAATTAAAAACCATTCTCTCTCCTACTTAGGCGACGTCTCATTACCTCTTTTATGTGACCTATAGCCGAGCCAAAGCTTGGTATTGAAAATGTGTGAAGTACTAAGAATTCGATTAGTGCGGACTCTCTAGAGTAAACTGTGACTCCATGGAAACCCATAGGCTTCAGGTAGAGATCGCTTCTCGCTTTAGATTCTGTCTCACATCCCAGCCACTTTATTAAATAGCGCCATGATATCATAGTACCTTACGGCACTTTCACACTAGCTGAAAACCATGATCAAGATGAGGCTAGACAAGATCAAAAATATTTGATGTAATATTTTAGGACCCTTTATTTACCTAGCCCTGCACAGGAAGTGGTAGAATCTTGTGTTAGCTTATCGAGAGATGCTTCCGTCTCTACATCTACCCTGAGGTCGGGCAAAAATGCCAAAATGTACTTGATCAGGTACCAATATCAGCGGGATCGTGAGGCGAAATGGGTGGTCAGCACTTAAACCAATCGTCTTCGTCGGCGATGCTACGGGAGATCGGTGCATTTTGCGCCTTGGGTATCGTTGAAGATCTACACTAGGTATAAATACGGGCGACAGTAATGATACGGTAGATGATGCATATCATATGAGGCGAAACGGTGACATTCGTGATTACCTGCTTAGTACTCTATCTTATTTGGTAATGGGTAGCATCACGTCTTACGTACAGCACAGCGAGATAATGTTCGTCAGCTAGTTGCTGATTCATAACCCGCACGTGCTTCGCTGGATATCGCCAAATAGTTACTAAGATTGGTCCGAGTAGCACAGACCCATAGATCGAATCGAAGCAGAAGCGACAATCTCGGATTTCCTGTTTTCGCGTCCTGCTTCTGTTGCTGCTTCGCCTCGTATGCAACTGCACTGCGGGCCGATGACCTGCTTCCATCGTGCATGTCTAGTCCTCGTGAGAGATATGCAGCTTCGACTCTTTCTGTCCTGGACTCGATGTCGTGCATGGTGACGCCGTCGTTATGCGAACACCTGGGAATGATACCCCATAGGACCCGCGGACGCATGGGGTGTATTCCCGGGTTATGTTATACCGGCGTTGTGTTGCTTGTGGAGCGTTAGGCACAGATGAAGGGGGCTGGGAGAAATACTCGTGATGGTATGACTAAGTCCCGACTATGGGCTATGACTAAGGCATCAATACTTATACTAGCGTCCACGGCAGAGACGAGGAAGGGTGTGAGAAGAGAAAAGGCTATCTTGAGAATATACATGTTTCGGCTTGAATGGCACATTTGAATTCCGTTGGCGCATTCTTTGAATCTAGAATCGTATTCCGTATTATTGTAACATGAGAAAGGATCGTTGAGATCCAATGATATGTCTAGAAGACTTGTCAAATATCTAAATCGGCATTTGGCAGAGTATCTATGGTACGTGAAATCCCACGTTATGCTCGTGATAAGTCACACCGCAAAATCCACAAGCCGGGATCATTCTAATCGGAATGGGTAATGGCACAATGTACCCCCCTTTCACAGCTTACTCTGGGGTTTGGCTAGTGAAAGTTTCGACGTTAGCGTTTCCTCTGCTTCTTTCTCTATCCTCTTCAGCAGGGCGCCACAGGTCGGGATATCATGGATGAGACCAATAACTTGTCCGGCAGTCCAGACCTATCATCAAATCAGCTAACAATCGCGACCAGGGGGGGGCAAGAAAAGAAAGTAGGCAGACAAATGGGGATCGTGCGACGTACACCAAATTCAGGGTCTCCATTTATGAAGACTTCTCGACCTCGTTTCCCGCTTACATAAGGGGCGATCTCGGAAAATTCGCCAGTCTGGCTCTCCTTTTCGATCTTGACGACCTGGTCCGTGACCTGGTTGCGGTAAAGCCGGGTGGTGTTGGTCCACCTCCGCATTACCAAGGCGGTGTCCGTTTCTTGGGCCTTGACGATCTGTTCCTTGATCTTCTGGTGGATGGGGGCCTCGACTGTGCACATGAAACGCGTACCCATGTTGATGCCTTCTGCGCCGAGACACAGCGCGGCCGCTAGGCCCTGACCATCGGCGAAGCCCCCTGACGCAATGAAAGGCACCTTCAGCGTTTGACGTGCCTTGCTGAGCAAGATAAAGTTGGTAATGTCTGACTCGCCCACGTGTCTATGCACCCACGATGCGTGTTTCAGCTATGCGCCTATTGAATTTCGGTATTAGGATATCTTACTCACCCTGCACATTCAAACCCGTCTATGGAGAGAAAATCGACACCGAGCTTGATGGCGCTCTGTGCATGCTTAATGGTGGTACACTTATGGAGAATGGTGATGCCAGCGGCTTTCAGCTGGGAGATGACTGGTCCGGGGCTGTTGCCAGCGGTCTCGACGATCTTGATGCCTTCATCGATGACGACCTGAGCGAAGGCGGCATAGTTTGGTGGTACCAGAGCAGGCAACAGGGTAATGTTAACGCCGAAGGGGTTCTTGGTCATACTTCTACACCGCCGAATCTCAGTTCTCAGATCTTCGGGTGTCGGCTGGGTGAGGGCTGTGAGTATACCCAACCCTCCGGCGTTGGACACGGCAGCAGCCAGCTCAGCATATCCTATATGCTGCATCCCACCCTGAACGACGGGGATTTTGATGCCCAGGCGGCGCGTCAGCTCGGTGTCGAAAGGCATCCTGGCTTTCGGATTGGTTGCCTCGTCGTCGTGTTATTTGTTAATCACCTTATTTTCTTACTTGGAATGCAACGAAAATAACCGGATCGGAAATTATTACGACAGACAACCGAAAATAAGAACAAGAATTATATTGGCAATATTACAACGATAGAATGCAAAGATGAAGTTGATTAAAGTTATAGTATAGTGAGATTACAAGTGAGATGGAGCGTGATCACAAAGGGGATGGGATGGAAGATGGAAGATGGAAGATGCCGAGGTTCAGATTTGTTCCTAGGCCCACGCGGGATTGGCGTCATTTGACCATCTGTTACCTCACTGAAGCCACCGGAGTTTTGTTACCTCCCTACGCCGTACCTGCCCTGTAGCTTCTTCCCCAGTTGTTACTAGCTAGGTACTTAAGTCCACCTAGGCCAGAACAGGGAAAGGAAAATATTGGAAATGTTACACAGCGCATGTATAGTGCACGTGCAAAGTCTAGCATGTCGGCGGAATCCGGGGTTATCACTGACCGAGAAACATGCCCAATGCACCATGGACTTACTTAGGCTTATCTAATTACAGTTGGAATTCCCAGTCCAGTCCAGTCCAGCGAATCTAAAATCCAAGCTACGACCAAACAAACCCAAGACTGAACTTCAAACAACAAACTAGAACAATTATCACTATGATCGTCAAATATATCACAATCTTAGAAAGTTTGATACAAGGATAATAAGTTGGATATCTATCACTAATTGGATCTCATCATTTTGATGATTGCCAACATTCTTTATACAATTCCATATGATCACTACACGTCCCTGCTCATCTCCTCGTTTGTGTATACTGTGACACCTTCGATCTAGGTACAGACCTGACTCGTCAGCTGTCAATTTCGAAGACGATGTATGCGATGAGAAGCGGATTGTTAATGATCGGTTGGCGGGCGGTAACGGGAACTTCTCATCGATGCTGTGTTACGGTGCGTCTGTCCTACCGGTGTGACGTTGCGATTATCTACCAGAAGTCTTAGCCAGGGTCATTCGTTGCCTTACTATATTTCGCTATTGATTGACCTAGCCTTCCCGAGCGGACGGGATAAACCGAAATTCAGGCTTCAATACGAATGCCAGCGCCAACGCCAACCCCCCCTGAGGTCTATGGCCCCGAGGCTGCCTGGGTATTGGAGTAGGACGCTTTAATCTGAAGCTAACCATTCTTGACATATGTTGCATCATGCCGACGGGAAGTCGTCTTTCGCAACATGACTCAAGAAGTAAAGATAACTGACACCTCTGGTTCCAAGTTTATACGCCTGTAACGGTACTAAACACCAATGACCAGGGCTTGAAATTGCAAGAGGAGGAAAAGAATGTTCGTGGGCCGCCGCGCTGTCCTTCGTCGAAGATGATCATCACGTAAAATATCATTAATGAGAAATCAGAGATCTAGGCCCCTTATCAGTGCCGTCATGATTACAATTCTTTAATCTACCCCAGCCTGTCTCGATCTTTGTCACCGGTCTCACAAGCAAACCCTACGCTGTTTCACTTTACAACGGCAAGGGACTAAGGATCCCGTTTGTTCATCATTTTCGAAGCAAAATACCTCGACAATAATGTACCTTCAAATGTCGGCTCAACATTGTATCTTACATTCAAGGAGTCGTATAGCCTATATTTTCGCTATACATGTCCTGTTTAATATCTTTTTCAAACGGAAGCCAACGGGAAGTATCCGTCTACTCACACCGCACACCCTTGCAACAACGCCCTAATAATATTTTTTCATGGGCTAAAGTGGATGTGCTGAATGGATCTTCACAGGGGTGTTCCGCCCTCCACATTAACTCCTACGGGATCTACTGAGTACTTCTACAGCCCCCTGCTAAAAATGTAGGCCAAATCATTTTTCGTCTTCATCTAGAAGTACATGCTGCGTAAAATTCAAGCGCCAGGTCGTTACACGTTTCTTTCTCTGCCTCCCGACGATCCATCCTGACGGAACTGTCACTAATCAGGGTTTACACTCATAACCCACATTATGCGCCATCCGACCAGCTTACAAACCAACAGTCAAACACGGTTGCCTGTTTGACGGGCGGACACTCGCAGCATAACTCACATAGGTGCGCAGGGCTGACACATGGCAGAAGCTCTAAGAACATACGTTTGCCTTACCTATTGCTAACATAGATGGCGGCATCATGTGAGCAACCATGCTAATTATTACTGGCATTTAGAAGTCATCCGTTGATGTGCATCCTGCGCCGTCTTCCACTATCGGAACATGCATATTGAGAACCGGCTTTGTCTAGGCAATGGATAGCGATCTCGTCGTGGACTTGGGATAGCTAACTCGTAACAGGATTTGCGCCTCGGATTCGTAGCTAGCCGAGGAACTGAAGAAGCAAGAAGCGTATCTCTATCTGAACTAAAGCGTTCCACCCTATGGCTTGTCATCTTACCACTACCCATATTCGAATTTCAAGCTAGTCGGCTATACGTAAATGTGGGGTGCACTTTGTACCGTGTGCCTGGTCGAAAAAAATAAGATGGCCAAGTTGAGGATATTTGTTTCAACAATAAAAAGTAATGCTTGGATAGATAAACAGCTCATTTTCGACCGCTGCCGCTTTATCTTACTCTCTAGGTAACCTATATCATAACTTAACCCCTATAAGCGTCGGTTAAGAATTATTGACTGGAGACAAATGTCATTGAGCTCAATTCATTCCTAACTACTTCCACCTGTTCGGGTAGTTACTCATTGCTCCGGATTTAATTCCCTTTCCCCAAGCTGGACTTCTCTAACGAAATTATGTGTATATCGCCGTTGTCTTTATGCCGCTAGCCGTACCTCGATCAATTCTGTTTGGTCTATCCAATCGCAATCCGACGACCCGATCAATTGGGTCGAAATTTTGTTGCGAGGCACCCCTGACGGCTCCCCTGTCAAGGAGAAAAAGCAAACAACAACACAGCAAGCAAGAAAAGAAAGATTACGGTTGTAATTGCTGCGTTAGAAAAGGTAGTGCATCGAATTAGGCAGAAAACATCCTGTGCCTAATAAAAGCGCCCTTCTTTTATCCTGCGAATACCTACATGCTGTTGGCCTCAATTTTCACCTGGATAGGACTCAGACGTTGAGTCGGGCTGTGTTCCAATGGTACGAAGTACGCCCTCGAGACTCGGGGAATTTTTTTATTTATTATTGACCACAGCTGCCAGGATGCCACAACGGCGGTAGGTGTCCGTCGTGGCGCGGCTCAACCGCTTCGTTGGGTCTGAATTGTCACGCAACAATCAAAGTCTTCCTAATACCTGGTCAGTCAAATAGCCTTCTTCTTCTGCCCCGAGCCTATTTCTCATAACACAAAGCTCAGCGGGCTACATATGTCATCTCATTGGACATAGGCCCTGCTCAGCTCGGTCTCGGGTCAAAATGGTAGATGGCTAGAAAGCTCTGTCAGCCACCAGCTCACTTCGCTGTCATACAGCCGCGTAATAAGCGCATACAGGCTCCGTTACAATTTTGATTACCCTTCGGCAGCGCAGTGCGACTTTATTTATTAAAATATCTCCATACTGGGGTAGTAGGGTAGGACAATACCAATTGTCACTACGCCAAGTTTGACAGCAACATATGAGCTATCTTCCTTGCCTCTCTTTTCTCTACCCTGTCCCCATGCGCTTGTTGCTCGCATGCTCGCGAGGGCTTCGCAGGAAGAGCTGTCACAAGCTGTACTCACCCAAAGCCCCACCTAGGAATCGAATTTGTGCGTGCAATGGTACGGTAATTCTTGACTTTTCTTTTTCCGTCTACCTCGTTTCAAAACTGCTTTTCTCATGTGTATGGAGCCATGCAGGTTATCATCAGCCCGCATGTACGTCCCATGTATTGTATGCACATACACCCGGTCTCCTTTTTATCAAGAATGACTCTACCATGGATATCTGATTTTCATGGACTGCTCGGTACGGAGTGGGTCGTCAATGTTTTATCACATTGTCCACACAAGATTCTCATATTTTTTTTTATTTTATTTCATTTTTTATTTTTATTTTTACCCGTCTCATATCCTATGGGTTATTTTTTTCCTTCTTCCCACATTCGGGGATAATAAGTCATCTTGCCTAGAACAAACAACAGCGCACACGGTACTTCATAAGGTACTTCATATGTACACACACCTCTTAGCTTCTTCCCATCCCACGAGCCGTGGAGTAGGAGGTGAAGATGGTTCGGAAGAAAAGGAGAGCCAAACCAATCCTTTAACCAACCCACCTCAGTAATAATGTTTGCTTGCTTTGGAAGTTTCCTATCTACCTAGTCCCATTGGCCCTAGTAAGCAGTTGGTTATAATCGAGTAGGAGCCGGTATACATAATTGTAACTCATAACACGGCAACGGGAATTGTCGTTCACCTATATTTTTCCTACTCCTACCTACTTTATCCTTCTCCTTCCACTACTTTTGCGCGCGCCTCCCTAAAACTAGACCTATCGCCTACCCACCACGTACACATACACGATGCATGATGCCGCTTTGCCTGCCGAATAATTTCCCTTTCACAGCCGTATTGCATTGTTGCGCAAACAGCTAGAAGAGCACCGAACTAATCCCTTCCTGCCACATCATCCGTCGCCTCATCACAGCACAAGTCGCGGTTAGAATTTCACCTACCATTCTCCTTGCCTTGATGCCTACGCGTATACGTAGATAGTATCTTTCGTCCATGCTGCTGGCCGTGTGTCTCTCCCTTCCTAATCGAGAAAAAAAGCGAGGACAACGATTCTACCTCGAATATATAAGGTATTTACATAGCCCGACCTTCCACCCGGTTCTTGAGCGCTAGTTTTATTGTCTCATCTGTACCATCAACCTCAACTCTCAACCTTGGTCGTCTTACTCCATTGTCGCCGAAGAAACATATTCTTATTTTAGTTCGAGGTGCTAGCTTTCTTCATTACCTTACACATACACGAGACCGTCTATCCAAACATCACCATCATCATGCCGTCCTCTCAACAACAGACTTCGAGCACGCCATGGCAAGACCGGCTGGCAGGTGGGATAATAAAACTTCACATGGAGCTAGTAGAGGTATAACTAACTTTCACAACTAGAGGTGTGCCGTGAATATCAAATCCAAGCTCCTCACTTCCAAATCGTTTCTGATCGACGAGGTGAGCCGCATAGCTTCTTTCTTGTCATTCCTATTTAGTCAGTTGGTTACATTGCTAACCAATGTTCCTCTTAATTGTGCTTAGGTGGCCGTACTGCCTGGTCTAGTATAGTTACCGTATACGGCAAACGAATCGAGGCGCGTTACTGGTATGACGGAAGAAACATCACCAACGCCAGAGAGGATGCCGCGGAGGCGGCTTTAAACTGGCTCTCAACCCAAGCGAACCTATCCACGAACTGGTAAATCAGCTCTTTCCCGGCTAAACATAGCGACCACGTATTTTATTCGGATTCATGGCCTTAAAAGTCGTCGACCGGCATACGTAACGCCTTTTCCCGATCTCCTTCCGCATTTGCGCGATTGATTCACTTCAATACCCCCTATTTCCCCCGACGACCGTGTTTTCGCGACTATGCCCTCCTCGCTTTGCACTTTGCACTTTTGAACTTCCTGTTCTGTACGGTACTAGCAAATCGGAGTTTCGGAAAGGATCTGGCAGCCCCACGGCAAAGGAGACATCGCAAAGGATAAAAAACAAAAATTAACAACGAAACATAAAAAATAAAAGAAAGGGAGAAGGGGGGGTGCAGCAGAGGAAGAGCAATTACATCAGCATTCTATGGATACGGCGCACATTCCTGCTTCCTTGATTGGTTTCCAATGGACAGACAGTTTTGGGGATTTGGTTATTTCGGTCCACCACGCGCATTTTCAGGTAGCGAAGACATGTTTATCACTACGACGGAAGAGGGAGATCATCACCAGGAAGGGAACTCAAAAAGCAGGGGTTTGTTATTCAGGGAGGACCAAGGCGCAGGACAGACATTGTTATTGTGGTTGCCTTCGCCATTTTTGCCGTTTCATAGATACGAGTTTCGCGAGAGGGATTTTATGTGTGTTGGCTTCCTTTATTTATTTTTTCATGCTTGTCTTCAACTTTACTTACTCTTTTTCTTCGCGACAATTTTTTTTGGTTTTGATTTCTCTTCAAGGTGGAACTTATGAGAATAATCACAGGACTCGGAATAAGGAAAAAAGAAGCAAAAGAAATAGGACTTGTGAAACAAACAAAATCCGATAAACACATGGCTCGATCGATTTTTTTTTATTATCCGACGCGTGGACCTCTACATACTACCTCTTGGGAAGTACCAGGGTAGCATGGGGATTTTTGTTGGGCTGAGCAACTAAGACATGCGTATGTAGAAGAAATGGAGAGCAATGGAGGGGGGTGGAGGAGATGGGGAAAGGGAAAAAAAGAACCAAAAAAGCGACATTATTACCAAGCCTAGAAAGGAAAGGACGAGAAAGTGAGTTAGGGAAGGAAAATTTAGACGGGATGCGATATCGCAGTTTTGGGTCGGAGGGAATATAATGAATGATGTCGATCTCCTACGGTTCTTTTTTGTTTTGATTCTCCTTTTTATTTTCTTCCCATGCCATCGTGTCGTTGCTTTTCCATTATTCTTCTTTAATGGAACAGAGCAGGACAAATACCCGAAATACCACATTCTCCCAAATGACGTGATGCCACACATCCTCTTTTTTTATTATTTTCCTTCTCGAAACATTTTGGCTCAAGGATAGGGGAGTTAATGAGTTGTAGTATAGGTATAGTACCTAGGGTATTGGTGTGGTATGCGTTGCGTGGTGTATGTGAATGTTCCTGCTTACTGTAGCATGCGTATGCATGCACTCCTGAAATTCGTCTGATAGATAGAACCCAAATACGCGATGCAACACCAGCCAGGGACAGCGGAGGGGGGGCGTAAGCTCAGCTACCTTAGTGGATGGCGCGCTAGTAGTATCTTCATCGAGTATCGTATGTGCGAGCCGGTGGCCGGAAGGATTCGCGTGGTGGTAAGCACACGCATGTATACCATGTATTATCTATAGGTACGTAGGTAGGTACTTGTATGGCTATAGGTTAGGTAGGTATAAATGAATGGGGTACAATGGACTTTTCGATGAGTTTCGACTGCAGATTGCCATGGTCAGCTTATACGGAATGCCAGCTGGGTCTCTACAAACCTCCCGGTTTCAAGGTAGGTCAGGCGTACATACATACCTACCTACATAAAACTCCATTACGCCATCGCAGATCTGGCCCTAAGCCCAACACGGCCCAAGTAAGCTTATGTGGACGTAGCCTCACGAACCGAACACCCCCCTCCTATACCTAGCTACCTACATACTCCTCCCCACGTAATGTACGTAGTTTTAATAGCTACCTAGTAGGTCTAGGCAGTGAATGAGTGAGTAGTGGAGTTACACAATACCTTACCCCTAGGACTTACTTACTCCATGCCCTCCATATCGCCTCTATACCTCCTCCCATAGGCGGCAGCTACTTACTTTATGCTGATCCCATGATCGCACGACGACTTTTTAGCGCCGCCGACGACGGCATGCTTCTTCATCGAGGTGGTATCCGACGGATGCGTGACACTGAGACACCAAAAAGAAGTGAGCTTAGAGGCGCGGAGGCGGTGCAGCGTAGCTTCTGAATGGAGAGAGGGTTCATAGTCATTCCGAGGTTAGTTATGTCTTATATATAGTCCCAAACTTGGGCGAATTGGGTTTTAAGAATGAGTTCTTTCGCTTTTTCGCTTGCTCGCGCTCTCACGTAATAAGACACACGCCTCCTCCTCTTGTCCTTGAATTTTCCTTTATGAGACCCAACAAGAAGTGAAGAAATGCGGGCTCGGGGTATCGAGTATATTACTGGAGCCCCATTTTGGAGAATCCTACGAAAAAGTTGGAGTTGGTTTCTACAGGTCGTTCGTTCGTTCGTGTATGTATGTAGGTATGTACTTTTGAACATATCCACATACCCTACCGTACTTGCCCATACAAATACAACATAATAGGTCATGAAGGTTAGGTAGGATCTGAGCTAGGTGGACACTGGTGGGGTTTCTTCGCGGATATGTAGCCCTGTTACAATCCGCCCGCTCATCACCCGCGTGGGGGAAAGATGGGGGATCAGGATCTGGGAGTGGGTGTGACGGTACCAGGGATTATTAATCGGTAATAGAATAGTATTAGACTGAGACTAAAAAGAATATTTAACAAGAAAAATTAAGAAATAATAAGTAATGAGAGGAATAAGAAAAGATAATATGAATAATAAAAATCAAGTTTAAGACGAAGTGTAGATAATAAAAACCGATGTCAAACTTGGGAGCCCCACAAATCTTGATATCCCCTGAGACATGTTACCGAAATAGGAAATAATAAACGTGGCTTGTTCACTTCGTGGCTTTTTTGGATCTCGATTATCTAACTGACCTGTGGCTGTAACCTGGTTCGCCAAGATCTCGGACACTTTAATAATGAAAATGCAGGTGGTCTATGCTTTTTCGGATTAACTACGGGTAAAGGAATTCGATTAATCAATCGCCGAACTTTATCAGATAACAACTTTTTTTACTAAAACGTCACCGACGATTCGACGAACATCACACGAGAGGACGACGAGGACGAGGCATTGAAAACTGGGACGGGACATACGGTTGATGCATATACCCGCACGGCCAGCATTGTCATCATGTCTTGCAAAGTAACCCCCTGGGGGGCTGCAGCTGTCGTCCGAAACCTCAGCATACGCACGCGACGACCACACACACAAGCTCTACGAGCAGCACGTCCCGAAATACGACCTATAAAACAAACCACCCCCTTCTTAATAACAAGAAGAGGACTCGCAGATGACACAACTACGAGACAACCACCGTCCGATCCATCATCTGCTTTACCACCCTCGCTATCCTTCGAACAACCACTATCAGTAACGCCTCCACCGGAACCAACGACCGAGACGAGCGAATATGTACCTCAACCGCCCGAGGTCTTTGCACCCAACTTTTTAAACGCCGAGGCTTTGGATGCACTAGAGAAGGCTGCGGCGGGTCGAGATTTATATGACGATGGTAGCGATGGTTTACTATTCGATGTGCCCGGGCGCCTCGGCAAGCACGAGAAATTGCAAGATCGATACCACCCCGTCGTCGATCAGGTCACCAAGCTACTCATGAAGGATGGAAAACTTAGCAAAGCGCAGAGGGTACGTCTACCCGCCTCCCCCTCTCATATACCGGGTGAAAACTCCACCCTTGTCTTCGCATAAGACGAGAAAGAGATACAAACTATTACAACGAACAACAAGCTAACATATTCTTTCTATAGCACACGAGTCTAATCCTCAACTACCTGCGCACAGCCCCAACCCCCAAAATCTCCCCCCTACGCCCCCTCCTCCCCGGCTCCCCCCCAGCCTCTCAACTGCCGCTAAACCCACTCCTCTACCTAACCCTCGCAATCGACTCCGTCGCCCCCCTAATCCGAATCCGCAGCATCAAGGGCGCGGCCGGAGGTGGTATGGCGCTCGACGTTCCCGAGCCGATGCCCGTACGCACAAGACGTCGACACGCAGTAATGTGGATCCTAGATGCCGTTCGCAAGAAGCGATCCATGGGATCCGGGCGCGCGCAATTCGCAACGCGGTTCGCGCAGGAACTTGTCGCGGTTGTCGAGGGTAAGTCGGGAGTCTGGGCAAGACGGGATTTAGTACATAAGCAGGGTACCGCGACGCGGGCGAATTTGAATCATCATGCTTTGAGGAAGAGGAAATAGGTGATTGGTATCTTCAGATAGGAAGCTATGCTAAAATAGGAGATTCGAGATGGTCATTGGTTTTTATTTCAAAACCCGGAATCCGAGAGAAGCTCACATATCAAAAATGTACCTACGTATGTACAATATATATACTCAAACAAAATTATATGTATAAAAATCCTGTGAATATGGGTATCATAATGAAAAAGTTGACAAGGCAATTTCAACAATATTATTTTCGCAAAGGCGGTTGAAGCGCCATTCATATTTCTTCTCTGTTTACTGAACTAAATGGTGTCGTCGATAGACACCCTATCTGCCATCCCGCCGTTTTCATCCCGTGTCATTTCATACCCCTCCCCCACCTCTCGTAAATTGTAACTCACCATCATTTCTCATCGGATCTTGTGATAAAAGGTAGACATTCAACATCCCCCCACCAAGTAACTCCTTTTCATTCCAACCCTACTTAAACCCCAACTCCCTCCTAGGCGTTAAAGTCGGCGTCCCCTGTACCAACACACCGGGCTTTCTATTCGGAGTCGTCGGCATCGCGCCCTCAACAGGCGGAGTATCCGTCCTAGGCACACCCGCTTTCGCTGGTGGTTTAAAATTCGATGCTACACCTTTAGCATAGATCTCCTGGAGCATCTGCTCGAGTACACCCGCCTCATCGAATTCTTGGTATTTCCTATACAACTTCAACGCCGTTCTCGCATCCTCGATGGAGTCGTGGGTGCTTTGCTGGATATCTTCTTTTAATAGTGTATGCGCGAGGAACTGTAGACTGAGTTTTCGGAGTCGTTCTTTGATAAAGAATAGGTCGCTTGTATCGATGACTTGTGCTTTCGGGACGTGGATGTTGATGACGCGGAAATCTTGCTTAAGACCGTGACCCAGGAATTTGCATCCTAGGTTAAGTAGAATCCAAATTTTCTTGTATGCGATTTTTAGCGGGACAAGGTTGTGGCCCCGCTGCTGCGCTACGTTTATGTCTAAGTCTTCGGGGGTAATACCGGAGTACGAGGTTAAGTAATCGACGACCTTCTCCTTGATAGTGATGTAGTCGTCAATAAAGGGTACTCCCTCGTCCATGCCGCCACCTCGTACTATCGAGGTCCTGGCCAGGGCGTGCACAGTTGGTCGGATGATCTTGGAGTCACCGTCCGAATGCATCTCCACTTCTGGCTGAGAGATCTTGACAAATTCTGTGTCTATGGCGACAATTGTATTTGGTCCGGCCGGCTCACTTTGCCGATCTAGAGTCTTGTACGTTTTGTCCGCACGGTCGGCTCTGAAAAATTGTGAGAAAGTGCAATTTTGGGTTTTTGGGGAGTACACTAACTGAAGATCTAGGTAAAGTAGTCGAGAGTCTAGGTTTTGTTTCCAACTAGAATCTAGCTGGTTATTTGCGGTTTTGATTTGATATGTGATGACGGACGGTGTCTTCCAGGATGTATTGAAAGTCAAAGCTTCTTGGGATGGAACAGGCTTGACATAAAAGTCATTAAAAATATACCACTGGCTTTGACCAGGGGCTGTGGGCGCGGAATGTGCGACTAAATTAATGCATTAGTGTATCACTCCCATATCCAGTTGAAGTTGCAAATCTTACTATTTGCCATGGCTACAAGGTGGGATCTTTGTTGTTGGCCACCTTCGATACTGACTGCAAGACCGGTTAAAGAATAAACTGTAATATTGTGAATTCCTCGTTGTAAATGTAATTTTAGGTCTTCTCCTTCGAAGCAGAAAAATTGGCCATTGTCTACTATGACGCCTATTTCTTCCGGCAGCCAACCGGGAGTAGCCCAAAGTCGTCGGTGATCATTATTGTTGATTGCGGTCGTAAGCATCAAGACGCTGGGTATTCGATGTATCGTCTTTCGAGTTGCTAACGTCTGGTATCTATGACAATTATTACACCAACCCTTGTTGGTAGTTTCCCTCTCCACGCTCATCTTCAGTACTTGAGAGAACGTGGGGCCCCGCACTCTCGGGTTCCTATGGCCGGATTTCTAATTCGATGAGCTTTTGTCATATCTTGCACGGGGATTGACTTACATTTTGCGGATACATCAACTCATTAACCATAGTATGGTCGGGTTTCGTAGTTTCACTTCTGCAATTCATGCATCTTATAGAACTTGTTGCAGAAGTTTGGAATAACTACCCGAGTGTCAACTGAATAAATCTATACTTGGATGATAAATGGACCTACCTCTTCAAATGCGCCGGGACGATGCGCTTCAGAATTATATGATTGTGGATTTTGCGCCATCAGGGAATAATTCTGAGTCATCTGTCTCAGTAAGAATCTAGTTAATTGCTGCATCATAATAGTACGAGACGCATGAGGTTCCTCCTCGAGTAGACCCAACTTCCCGGCTAATAAATCTAATCAGTGGATCGTTCATAGAATACTGAATGATCGCTCACCTTCAGGATGATAACTGAGTGTCTTAGTGAAGTTAGACGCTTGGCATGCCTCTCCTTCCGCTTTATAGAGCATATCGAAGAGGAAACCGAGCTCGCAGAGGAGACATAACTCATCAACGCAAGCAGTCGCCGCATGCTGGAGGGCGATGTTTCGAATCAAAGGGGTATAGTGCATCACTTGTAATAGTGCATTCGCATATGCGTTAACAATATGGTTCTGTAATCCTGAGTATTGCGTTTTGTTGAAATAACTGGATTTCCACTATCAGATTTGTACCCGCAAAAATTTCGCATCGACTCACCCAAAATCAAAATCGTCGATTCCGAACTTGCTATACTTAATCTCAATATTCTGATATAAATCGGGGACTTCGATCTTATGGCTTTCCAGCTTGGTATCTTGTAGAACCTGTGGTATCTCAGGGACGACTTCCTCAGGTGCTGGTGTTCCTGCAGGAGATTTTGCCGCTTCTCTCGCTTTTTCGCTCAGGAATTTAGGTGGCTTCAGTGAGCTTTGGGCGTTCTCGGTATTTCGCGTATCCTCAACTTGATTCCTTCGTAATGGGCGAGTATTTTTCCCGAAGTGACCCCAATCTCTCTCTTGTAGGGTTGCTAGGAATTGCGGGTCGATTTTGACGGGAGGCGCACCGACTTCTGTCACCATATTGCTTGGCCATGCTGATAGCAATACTTCTCTATAGTACGGCATACCAACACTGCTCAGCGGTCTAGTATCCATTAGCAGACATTTTTCACATTCGTTTTATTTCACTCACGTATCTGGTGACTCGAAATCGACCCGAGGTTCCGTCCCGGAATCAGCAGTCTCTATCGGAGTAGGGAACTCGGCGAAATGGATCTTATTCGGCGAGCCCCAAAGATGAATGAAACAATCGCCATCCGCAAGGGCAACAGCCTCACCCGAAGAAGCAATTTCTATCATGGAAAAGTAGGACAGACTATTTGCCTGGCGCACATTACTAGTGTTAGGGTTCATGAGATCAACTACATGCATCTGTCCGATCTGCGACATAACAATACTAGTAGTAGACATTCGAGGATGCATTCGGACATAAGCAGCGCCAGCCGGAAATGGGATAGGAGACATGGAAACCATGTTCTTCAGATCGAAGACGTTGACGAATGGGTCCGGCATGTAATTACCCCCGTGCCTAATCGAGTACCCGCAGGTTACTATGAAGTCATGCTGTGCATCCATATCGTTGATGGCGGCGGTATGAGCATTCCAAACTTTGATAACTTGAAAGCTAAGGGAATCGATGATATGGACGGCGCCGGTCGATGTAGCGGCGCATATATATCGGCTCCTCCTCATAATCGTATACTTAAATTCGGTCGATATCTAAGAGTCGGCTGTTAGCCGTACGGTTTTTATTCGCAGCGATCGGCTTCGCATACGTGTTTCGTGATTTCGCCCTTAATGGTGTCTATAACAAACATCCTATCCTGTTCGCCAGCAACTAATATTTCGGCGGTACCTTTCGACGTGAAGCTCATACATCGTAGTTCTTGCATTTCGTCGTGCCTATACCATACACAGTAAGCATATATACGTAGTCCATCCTCCTTTGAACGAAGCGAAATTCGCACCTAATCGACCACAGAGGCGGTCCTCTCCTCGAAGCCATATGTACGCCGCGGGATCCGAGGGCAATAACGCCCTTGTCGTTAAATAGGATCTGTCGGACGGGTCCATCTTGCGAAGTATGAGATTTAAAAGATGTATACGGCTGTAGTTTTGTACCATAGAACGAAGACACCCGGCCATATTCGTTCCCGGTCCATAGCAGTTCTTGGCTTGTGTCGAAGGCTAGAACGGTGACGGGTGTGGGCATAGCCCGGAGACCGGGTGGGGGGAATGGTATGCGCGCAACCTATGGATCAGGAAGAGGGTCAGCCTTGTTCTTCTACCGAGTATTCATCGCGACATGTTAAGTGGATGTCCTCGTAGGTATGTTGACATCTCGTAATTGAAATTAAGGATAGTAGGGAAGCTTGCCTCGTCCCAATCTCCGTCCATCTTGACGGGTTTGTCATCGTCGGACTAATAACATTAGAGAGTGTAGTTAGCTTCCCATAGGTTGAAAAGCACTTGATCGCGTCGCGCCTCTACGTATATAAAATAAGAGACGGGAATTGAAAGTGGGATGAATTGTTGCTTTATCCCACTTCGTTTGTCAGATTTAGGTCGTATCAGTTATCTAATACCGTATATAGGACTAGATTTGGAGGTATGTATTTAATCATACTTATTCACCAATCAATATTCTAAGCCGTGATAGTTGCATGTTAAACAAACCTACCCCGCGGCCATCATCAACTCTATTGATTTCTTCGACTATCAAACTTTTAACTATCACAATTTAAAGATACACCATTGATTTGTTGTCATATCCTAATTTTTATTTACTAGGAAGAGATAATATCTAAGTCCGATTGTAATCCATCAACAGACGATACTCTCGACTAAGAGTCATCGTTCATAGCGCGCGATCGCTAGGTATCCTTATCTTTCCTTCCTACTTCATTCAGTCTGTGTATACTCTCATTTCACCCCGACCTCTTCTTTTTGTTTAAACGCTGGACCATCTTATGTCTCATCCATCTTATCCGGTGTATGCGAGAGACCGGCTAAGGAAATCCTTCATTCATACGACAGATGGCGTCGTTCCCTAGAAAAAAAAATATGCCAAACAAATGCTCGACTCCTAACTCATGAGATAAGGCCAAAAAAATATTAAAGATGGCAAAGGAAAGATTAATGCCGTGAAGCGCCTCGCTTTTTAAACAATTGGTCCCGCAGCCTTAACATCATCAGTAGCTTCCGATTCGTACTTCTTGAAATTCTCGATGAACAATCCACCGAGCTTCTTAACTTCTTCTTGGAAGCTTTCCGTACCCGCAGTCCAAGCGGTCTTGGGGTTTAGTAGCTCCGCGGGAACACCAGGGCATGACGTGGGAACCTGAAGATTGAAGACATCATAAGTCTCGTACCCGGCCTTAGCCAGCTCACCGGAGTGGATCGCGTCAAGGATGGCACGAGTGTACTTGAGTGGGCAACGCTTGCCACCGTGGACGTAGCCAGCACCAACCCAACCAGTGTTCAAGAGCCAGGCATTGGCTGAGTGCTTTTCTATCTTGTCCGCTAGCATCTTTGCGTATCTCATGGGGTGGAGAGCAAGGAAGGGCTGGGCGAAGCAAGATGAGAAGGTGGCTTGGGGTTCCGTTACACCATCTTCGGTACCAGCCATCTTGGATGTGTAACCGGAAATGAAGTGGAACATGGTCTGAGCGCTGTTAAGCTTCGATATCGGCGGTAGTACACCACGAGCATCACAAGTCAACAGGACAATGTTGCTGGGGTGGTTTTCTGACAGGCAAGGGATCTTCGCGTTGCTGATATACTCAATTGGGTACGCACTATGGATTCTGTCAGTCATATTTCCCACAATTGCGCCCGAGTAATATCAACTTACCATCGCGTGTTTTCTGTGAGGGTGGCATCGTCATAGTCGACTTCTCGGGTTTCCTGGTCGAAAACGACGTTCTCAAGAACAGAGCCGAAGCGGATAGCACCAAAAATATCCGGCTCTTTCTCCGCCGAGAGACCAATGCACTTGGCGTAACAGCCACCCTCGATGTTGAAGACACCTCGGTCACTCCAGCAGTGCTCGTCATCACCAATTAGAGCTCGGTTAGGGTCGGCAGACAGGGTAGTCTTGCCGGTACCAGATAAGCCGAAGAAAAGCGTAACGTCTCCATTCTTGCCTTCGTTCGCCGACGAGTGAAGAGTAAGCACATTGTGTATTATGGGCATCTCATAGAATAGTACTGTGAAGACACCTTTCTTCATCTCACCAGCATACTCAGTACCAAGGATGACCATCTCCTTCTCTGCAAAGTTAATGGCGACTGAAGTTCCAGAGGTCATTCCTTCGGTGTACCGGTTGGCAGGGAAACTTCCGGCATTGTAGATTGTGTAATCCGGGTGGAAGTGCTCTAGCTCCTCTCGTGGAGGGCGGATAAGCATGTTTCGCATGAACAAAGCATGGTAGGCACGGGCACAGATGACTCGGACGCGGATTCGGTATTTCTCATCCCAACCGGCGTAACCATCGATGACATAAATTCGCGTTCGGGTGTTTAGGTAATCTACTGCACGTTCGCGGTTGATTTTCCAGACCTAGCAAACATCGTATTAGTCATCGTATAAGCCATCGCGTAAATGTCAATGGATTAGAAGGACATAAAGGTGAATTCAGCACGTGAAATATTTGGTGGGGCTAGAAATGCAAAATCTCCCCGGCTTTGTGGAAGGCGGGGTGCAGGCCATTGCCGGATTGGACCGAACTGCCCAGGGTGTTCGCGCCTTAGATGACGCCAATGACAAGGGATGACAGGGGTTCTTTTCAGCAAACGGTCTAGGCCATATGCCATATGACATCCCAAGAAAGATGCGTGATTCAGGAATGAAGTCTAGGCAATTGGGGTAACAACTAGTAAAATAGGATATGATGGTTTTGGAAAATCAGATAGGGCACTAGTGACGTAAAAAGGCTGTCATAGTCAATTCGAGTAGAGTGTGAGAATGACGATGGTTGCAAGAGGAGACATTGAGAACAGGAGATGTATCTGGCGATGATGCTCAAATGTAAAAGTTGTAGGTATGACGATGAATTTCTTACCTCAGGTGCCATTGGCTTGTTAACAGGGCCCCACCTGCAAGAGCAGAGTTAGTTTTCATCATCCAGAATTATTATCGAGATTGCGATGAATTAGGAATTCTTACCAGACATCCTTTTCTGATGACGGTTCCCTAACGATTCTCTTATCTGAGGGTGATCGGCCAGTCTTGGCTCCAGAATAGGCTGTTAATGCGCCGCTCGAAGCTATGGCTGAACCCATCTCATAGACCTTTTAAGTCTATTAGCATATGTTGAAAAGTGGTCGCGTGACCCATCCTAAGGAGGTCAACCTACCAGAGCATCTTCGTATAGGGCGGCAACTGAAGGGTTAGGGATCTATAGAATCAGTTAGGAAATGCTCATATTATCTGGGCGATTGGTATGATTGCCACTCACAATGGCGACTCTGTCATAGTCGATGTGTGCCTTCTCATGCAGCTCCTCCTCTGCGTCGGGTGTTAGCAGGGTCCATAGCAAACCGACAACGGCTCATAACCGAGGATTTTAGTTTGTATGTCTCGTGTCGTACCTAGTTCTGTGTGCTCCCTTTCATGGTGGGGTCTACAAACAATGAACGTTAGCTATATGCCCAGTTCCTTGTTAGATAGTAAAAGGGGTAGGTAGGTACTCACTCTACACCACCAGGGTGGAGGGCGGTCTTGTTGACTTTGTTGTTGGGAATCACTGGGGGTACCGTCGTTAGCTATCTAGCGCTAAAGACTTGTAACACACTCTCTTCCTCGTGACGGACTTACTTTTGCTGTGTTGAAGAAGAGAGTGGGAGTGACCGCTGGTAAGTTGCTGAGACTTAGGACCTTTCACTGTGGGATCAGTGTAAGGAGAAGCGGTTCTGAGAACTGGGTCGTTCATGGTTCTTAAGGTTGACGAATTTCGGGAAGCTTTACGATCAAAGGAGCTAAAGGGATAGTTCCAGCCGAAGACAAACGGGGAATATCGATATCGAATTTGATTAAATGGGGTAGTTAACGATACACCGGCAATGCATGTAGACTTAAGGTAACTTTTCGGCCTGCTAGTCATGGAGCGGACCCGAGGATATATAGGAAAGATGGAAGCAGTGGAGAAGGCGAAGTTTGATCGAGACATTCCACTGGCCAGTCACAACTGTTGTCATCGATTAGGCACTGAGGCACGAATTCAAACCGGAGCCAGCCGCCCTGCATCATCGGGAAAGGCGAGCTGAGCCGGGGGCTCTCTTTGTTTTTCCTGTCTCGGTACCTTGACAAGGATTCTGTGGCGTAAAGAATCGTCAAAGATCTTGGTTTGTTTCGTTAGTGTGAGTGTGTAAGTAGTAAAGGGGGTTCGGTTGCCGGTTAGAAAATAATCCTGATCCACAATTAGGTATGTGTGTGGTGGAGGTGTAGGAGTAGTAGTACTAGTACGTACAGTACTAGATACGGAGAAGCGATAGAAATTGGTGTGGTGGTGTCATATGCAATTGAGTTTGGTCCTATTCCGTTTTTTTCCTCAGCCTCCCCAACCCAATACAATCAATGCAATGATCTGCACCTATCAATATTCGACCAGGATTATAGGCTGTCGGCCTAGATTTTAACCATCGTTTTCGTCTCATGTACGTATTGATGTACGTAAATACTTTTGGAGATCTACATATCTATTACGGCAACACACGTATATTTCGCCTTCATGATCTAAGTATCTGAGATGTTCTGGATGTTATAGATGATTCCAGAAAATTATCTTGTCCAAATTACTGTTACATGTTGTAAAAAGCACATGCACGAAAAAGAAAAGTACATATGTAGAAGAAAAAGATTGAATCAGGGGAAATGGAAGTCGGAGAAAACGGGTACATGTCGTACACCATGGCGGGGTAAGTACCAGATACGTACTTCCCCGTCTTTTTATCAGCCCCACGGAGAGATACTATACTTGTAAGGATAGACCCGGTACGGGGGATCGGGGCTAGGATACCTTTTCAAGAACCTCGGGAATCACTTTTATACGATAACTTGAATGGGATCGTGACCCGGCTGTAACTTCTAGGCGGCCTCATCGACATCAGCTTCAGGCAGGTTAATTAGAAAAATTAGTAGTATCGAATCGAAAAGGCAAGTTACCCCGGATTTTCAGATTTTCACCTGTTAGTAATAGTAACCTCGAATTGGCAAGACACTCAAGTATAAGTTCCGAAGGTATTAGGTATATCGATCGGTATATCAAGAGAAACACATGTCGATATCTTTTCACCGCTGCAATCAATGTAGCTACCCGTACCTATGAACATCGGCAGACCGAATGTCTCAACCACCAGTTCCTCAACATTCCGAGATTTTCCCCTTGATGATATTACCTTCCTAAACGCCCGTATCAAACGTGCAAATTTTCAGTGTAACCATCTTTGAGAGGCTGGAACTTTTTCGAACAACCCTTCTGATAACGAGTAGTCGTTGGTTAATGGCTAACGGCCCCTGCATGTGTACATGAACGGCGATCCGAATCTTTCCATCCGTTCAACCTTGCATGGAGATCATTCGGTACTTGGGTAAGGTCTTTTTTTCTTCGAGCCGCCAAGATCCACGATGCAGCCAGACGACCGGACGCGGCTCGAGATACACTGCGCAATCGCCCTTGCATCGCATATCTGCAACCACCATGCGATTGATTCAGTTCGGGAATATGATACATATCTTTGCCCCCGTTGGGTAGTTTTTTTGGTTCTGTAAGCTTACCGAAGTTCATCCCGCCATTGGGTTAGCTAATTAGCAATCGTTCCGACATCGCCCGTCTTCGTAAAAATACTGGTAATTCTAAACGAAGAATCATCGTGATAACAACTGCAGGGCCAAGGGCTGATAAGATCCTATGAGGGTCCAGATCAACTAAGTTACGTAAACCGTGGTGCATCCAAGCCACGGTGGGGCGACGGAATCACGATACCTTCACATCCACAAGTAGGCTGTGTAACGTCATGGATAGTGCCTAAGGCTACAAAAGCTGATGATTCCGGAAATATTCGGAATATCATGTGAAAGTTTTCACACATTTAATGAGGCGACTCGTTCAAGGTAATTGTCCAATTAACGTTCTTCAAGTCCAACGTCACCAAAAATCGGAGGTTTAGTCGATATCAAATACTCCAATCAGCATCAAGACGTTAATGATTGCATTTAATGAGGTCATCCCAAGACCCAACGAACGCTAAGGATTGTTAGCGTTGATAACGATAATCCTAATTCGTTTTGTTGCAGTAGTAAAACACAATCGGGCGGAACCGGGTTGATGATAACATAATCTTTAAAATTCTTCTGTGGTCTAGACTTTCCCGACATAGGAGTGGAACTCCGCTCGGCCGGAAGGTGGCCCACCGATTCACGGATCCGGTCCGACCCGCGGGTTCCAAACGTCATTTCGAACCGAACTGCTCCGATCCTTGATTTGTTATATGATATTATTCAATCCGCGCCGTAATTATCTCCCGCCGGTATAGGTGCAGTCAGCTTGAATTGAGGTTGTACGAATGCTGAAGTAATCAAACCATACATCATAATCGATTGATGTGGGTGAGTATCTTATTCGATATTAGCGGCAGGAGAAATTGGGTAAGGGAAGTTTCTAAAGTTCGGGAAATAGGTACCTAGGTACGTAACATTTTTTCCCCTAGAAATATTATTCCGTGAGCGAATGGATATTTCATGATCGCGCCACATATTATTGCCCATTTTTGGAGTATCATCAAAGGAGGCGGTGAGCTTTGCCCATGACCTAGGCGCGAATGAACCATACGCACTAGTTACGGTGGATAGTAGGAGCTGTAGCTCTTCTTATAATGACGATAGCCTCTACCTACGTAGGTACCACTATCCGAAGCTGGGATGATGGATCCATATTCCCCTTAGGACTTGGTCGCAGTCAAAGTCGATGGTCGAAGGCGAACCTTGCTAGCACCTTTCTGGAATTGGAGATTGGATAGGAACCATTCCGACGCAATCTAAGGGCTGATTTCTAGGAGTCGACGAACAACGAAGAATTTCTGCCTCTAATTAATACCTAGGTAGAGCCGAAGATTTCTGGTCCTTCGACGTGATATCAATTCAGCTCAGTAGGACTTCGTCTTGTTATAGCTCTAAGCTATTAACTAAGCGAGTGCGAAAACATTTCGCTTAAGTATCTGACAAATCGGGTATGTCGGATGTCCGCCGCGATTTGATTACAAGGCATATTTATAAGGTTGATATTCAACAAAATTGACTTTATAAGAAATGATGTCGTAATCTAGGGCTGAAATATTTTGATTGCTTTACCTGAGTTACGCCCTGTCGGGTAGATGATGCGATAGCGAGCTGTGAATATTAAACCGCGCAAGCTCAGCCCTACGACGGCTTCGGTTTCGCATTCGACTCAGCAGGGATTTTTTGTAAGCAGCGGGAGAACACCCATACGCTAGTATTCTTTCAGTGTAGCGTTTATGCTTACTCATGCGTATTGGCGAATCAGCGACAGCAGAGCGGAGTATGAGCTGAAAAGACCTCTTATTTATTAGTAACTTCGGTATCGTATATCCGAACATCACGGCACAGCCGCTTCCATAGCTTAGGTTTCCTCATAACTCGTCGACAATTCAAGCTTTTTCCCCCGGCTCCTTCGAAGTGTAATTTCAATGCTCAATGGTTACGCGTATTATAGGACTGAGTATTCATAGAAAATAGCGGAAGGGAGAATCAGTATAAAATGTCTTCAGTAATCTGCTCGTCGTTGGGTTTCATTCCCTCCAGACTCATTCGCAGCCTGACTACTTCGGATACCTGAACCTTTGGTATAGAGTCAAAAAAGTCTTCAAAATGCAGCTTTCTAAGTCTCTTCTCCTCTTCGCAGCTCAAGGCGGCCTCGTTCTAGGCCAGTCCAACAGCACCAACAGCTCGAGCAGTGTACCATGGTATCCCCTCAGCACCGACGACCACTTCTCCTTCGTGCTGTTCGAAATGTTGTCTTTGTCCAACGGCGGTGGTGCGGCGACCGGTGAGGTAATGCGTGCCGCCTCTCAAATCGAAGCTGGAAACACCGACAGTTTCTATAACGAGATCAAGTTCCTCGCCGACTCAATCCATGACATCGCAGCATCCATTAACGAGACCAAGTTCCCCGTGTCTGCGCGTGAGGCCTATTTTCGATCTGCTTCTTACTATAGGTTATCTGTGTTCTACTTGACCGCCAACCAGACCGATCCCAGGCTTTACGATGTATGGGATCTCGCTCGTGCCGACTTCGACAAGGCGATTTCCCTAACAGAAGTGCGAGGTGAGAGGTTGACTCTCAAGGGACCTGGATTTGATATTCCTGTTATTTTCTGGAAGTCGCCTAAGGCATGCAATGGCCCTGTCCCCACTCTCCTGCTTGGCTCTGGATACGATGCACCTCAAGAGGACTCATACCACGCACTTGGTCGCGAAACGCTCGAACGTGGTTGGAACTTCGTCACTTACGAGGGCCCGGGACAGCCGACTGTTCGCCGTGATCAGGGTCTTGGTTTCATCCCGAATTGGTGGGATGTCGTGACTCCAGTCATGGACTACCTCGAGACAAGGCCGGAGGTAGATGCGAAGCGTATCGCTCTTGGAGGCATGTCTTTCGGTGGAATTCTAGCACCTCTTACCGCAACCCGTGAACACCGAATGGCCGCTGTGCTAGCTATCGATGGTCTAAGCAACATCCAAACAACAGCGGCGAAGACGTTCCCCGCAGTTGCAATCCAGCTTTTCAAGAGCGGCAATCAAACAGCTTTCGATGCGTACATGAACGCGGCACGCGTGAGCCCGCAAGCTCCTACCCTTTTCAAATGGTTTATTGGCCAAGGTCTATGGACCTTCGATACTGAGAGCCCTTATGATTGGTTCAAGAGACTCGGTGACATCAACCTCGACGGCGACAAACTTAAGAATGTCACTTGCCCCGTTTTCGTTGGTAAAGGTGAAAATGACGCATTGGCTGGTGGTCAGGAGCAACAAGTGGTCGAGGCTTTGGGCAGCAAGGCGTACCTTTATGAGTTCAAGACTGCCCTTGGCGCCGGCGAGCATTGTCAACTAGGGGCCGAGCCCCAGCTTGCGCAGGCTAGTCTTGACTGGCTTGCAGAAGTGTTTGAAGGTGTAGCTTAATAACTTTCTGAATTGTGCAGGCCTATACCCATATAGGTACACACTTTTGTGTAAATAGGATTACTAATCCAAAGGGAAAATGTAATATCATTACCTTCATTGGGCGGCCTCCCAAGTTGCTCGTGGGATTTTCCCGGCAATTCGAGCGTTGTAGCTCTTACAATGGATATAAAAGGGATGCATTGAATAATAGAATAAATTTCTGAAATGGTATACTGTTAATTGACAGAAAATTCTTTTTTTTTTTTTTTGTTTCTTTTGCGCCCTCGTTTTGTTATGTAATTTCCCAGCAGGAGGCCTCAGTCCCTGAGCTGTATGACAGTTGTGACAATTGGGGGGATGGCGGTACACCAACTCGGTCCAAGACCCATGCCATGTCTTGCGCCCATTCCAAAGCCAAGGCGGGATGCGTCATCACTAATAAGTCTGCGATCTCCGATGCAAGTTGCACACCCATTGGTTTCGCCCACCAAATATCCAAGTTCACTTCTTGCAAAGTCACTGTCCAGTACATTATAATGAGCAAAGCGAAGGGTTCCGCTTTGGTGACCATTGCGACGAAGGGTTTACCAGCTAGCACAGGAAATGCAGTAGCGAATCCTGATAATAGACCTCTCGCTTCCTCAGCGAGAGAGGCCTCTAATGCTTGTATAGCTAATTCATATATCTCATGATTGCTCACTACGACATCCCCATGCTTCTGTGTCTCGATGTCGCTACTCGAGTTTGATGTAGGTTTGTTCAGTTGGTCGTTTAATGAGCGTAGTCTGGCTAAGGCAGCTTTGCAATCTGCATCTATGAGATCTTTCGATGCGCCAATTCGAGATATGAAAGCTCGCAAAGGGAATATGCTGTTCAGAAGCCATGGCATCGCCATCATTCCAATGTTGGCGCTACCACCGACCAAGTCGCAGGCCAATTTTAGAAGATCAAGAGCGTTGGCGCAACGCTGGGGTATCGATAGGTGGACTGAAACCGCTATGGCTGAGAACATATATAGGACGTCGCAATTGTCGGCATTCAAGCTCCCAAGGTGTTTCCGAAATGAAATACTGCCTCTGTTGTAGTATTCCAATCCAGCGTTGATGTATTTCATCGCGTCTGTTTTGTTGCTAAGGGTGTTTGCTATGTGCAGAGACGAGATAGACATAAGACAATTTAACATAAAGTCGTAGTTGAGCGATGATCGTGGTAATATGTCCCGTAAATATATGATATCTTCGCCTTGACTGCAGAAAGCTTTGTATGTTTTCGTTGACCATTGGTGCATCAATTCGAGCTCCAGTAACCTGGACGGGCCTCCATAAGCTGCACATAATGATCCGACGTCGCCCTGCGGCCGTTCCATAAAAAGGGGGTTTGTTGTCGCACTTCCATCTTTTGATCGTAATGTCAGAGAATTGTTATCGTTGGTTCCATCGGTCTTGGGTTTGTTGTAGACACACTTTGCTTTTCGAAGGGTGCAGTTGTTGCAAGGGGGACCCGACTCGTCGCATTTGGTATGCCATTTCTTGCAATTTTGGCACCCGTTGCGCGATTTCTTGTGTGACCTTCGTTTCTGCATGGCATCAATCGTAGGGGATTGAAGAGGAATAATCTATAGCAAGCGTGCACGGATTATCTAGATGTTCACGTCATCAAGTAGTCTTTAATCTTTATACCAACAATGACCCCCTCGACTGCGGCTATGCTTATATTCTGACGAAATTAGGGCTGAGCTCCATTGGGCTGCAGTAGCATCGAGGAATTGTTCTAGTCTTTGCTGCGCCATAATCATACCAGCCAAGCTGAGTGTAGCATGGCTCAGCTACTAGACCAGTTACCCCTGAAAGGAGAGAATCCTCGATATTCATTGGTCTAAAACACGAGCAATAGCGCTAAGAAGCATCCAAGAATGCCCTAAACTAGTTTCAGTCCTGTCGATCGTCTAAACTTCTAAGCATTATATCGAGTCCGGAGTGTCCCACGTGTAAATCAATCATCTTTCAATATCTTGGCTCTCAGCACTATTTACATAAGATTGGTTCCAATTGACCAAATGCCGGCGATTAACAAGGACATACGACTTATGAAAGCTTTAAAGATGCTTGGCACGGTAGTCCTTATGTTCCCATAATCCTAGTTCTTCCGATAGTCTACCAGGTCTACTGGTGAAGGATGGCTCTTGGTGATCTAAACGCTATTGTCGAGCCAGGATTCCCAGTTATTTAGTGGTGTAACCATGATGGATATAATAAGTACAAAACAAGACTAGTTCGCTTGATTAAGGTGGAGGACCCTGCTATCACATTATATGTTGGGGGATCTGCGATTTATACTGGGCATCGGTGTTAATCTCTGGGGACCTTACGCCTCTGAGCTCATAGGGCACCATGATGGCGCTCAAAGTGCCCATAGAAATCGTTATACAGCCAATTGGCACCTGTATACTTAGTGGTCGGATCTAATATTATGCGCCACGGCAATTATTTCAAGAAGTCTCTCTCCGGATACAGACAACGAAACTTTAGGCCATACCCTTCTTAGTCCAATTGATCTTGATATTCAAACACGTTGAGGACCGACAAATCTCATCCTTATTTAACATGAGGTCCAAGTCTGTTACTACTTGTTCAGGGAGGAAGAACTTAATGCGTCTGGAAATAGCCTCGCTTAACACTACGATATAAGGAAAAGTGTTATGGCTCAACGGAATCGTCACAAGCCAACGGTGCTTAATCTGTTAGATACCCTGTTCTCAGGAACCACCACAACGTTGTTATCCATCCCCATTAGGGATGTACTCATATGATATCCTTTTGTTTTACCAGCCTTATAAGGCTTTACAATACGGTCACCCCGGATTCCGCCTTATGGTACTCACCTTCGACCTAATTTGGACTCTATTGGGAGCGGATGGGCGGCATGGATCAGTGTCAATCCGCATTACGCAATGTTTGTAGGTATGCCCCATGTGCCGCCAACGTGCAATTCGGAACGCAATTCCGCGTCTATCGGTAACATAGCCACTATATATTTTCATCCGAACACGACTTGGTGGATAGCGCATTCTTTTGAATTGAAACTCGAGATGATGCACCATTTTTCGCTAACAGAGTAGTTATGGTTATTTAGTATAAACATTTTTTCGTCTTTTCGGAATGTTTATCTATCTAGGTACTCAAGCAGGTGGCTTGGAGAGTCTATTTGTTTCTCGGGTACCTAATATGCGGATGAAATATAGTAGAGCGGCTAGAGCCGTTCCGCAATAGTAGACGATCTATCTTCATAGCGCAGGATCGACAAACAAGGCTATCTTTTCAGCTTCTAGAATCTCCAACAAGTCTACTTCGACGGACTTATGGGTCATGTTGGTGTTATAAATTTGAAGTTGGTGTTGTCAACCCATCTCAACAAAATTGCAATTACTTCCCTGACCTTCAGACTATTGCCCACATATCAAATAGACGAGTTGAGCACGATGGATGCTATCCTTGAACAACTACGTGCTTTGGCACTGCAAGCTGATGATGCAGGTCGCCATAAGGTGCTGGATTTCATGCGCGACTTGCGACTACAGCTCGAGACCCCGCACGACACCCTGTCGCGCTTCTCCGGCATGGTAAGAAGAGGCCATTCCCGATAGCTTGCTCAGTACTCACCTCTGGATTAGCACCTAGAAATAACGGTGGCTCGGATGGGAGAGGATCTCGACATATTCAAACACCTGGCTGAGAGCGAACAGCCTCTAAACATCGAAGCTTTAGCGACAAAGACAGGAGCTGCGCATTCGTTACTGGGTAAGTCATAGGCGCCTAATGAATAAACGGGTTTAATCCGAGTACGATAATTTGCTAATGAATCATAGGTCATATTCTTCGGTACCTCGCGTCGGTAGGTATGATCCATGAAACGGGACCAGGCACCTTCACAGCCAATGGTGTCACCAGGACGCTGGCACAGCCCGGATATCGTGGTGGTATTTACCACTTCTTCGATAACATCGGTCCCATATTCCAAGCCTTCCCGGCTTTTCTAGCCGAAACTAAGTACCAAGACATCAACGACCCCACGAAGACACCATTTCAAAAGGCGTTTGCGACGGATCGTCCGGCTTTCCAATGGCTGCCTAGTCAACCCGAGCGCTTTGCACATATACAACAGGTCATGACGGTCCAAGGTGCCCATGGCGCACCGTGGTTCTCAATATTTCCTTTCGAAAAAGAAATCGATTCGTTTTCTGGATCTCCGGTCCTCGTTGACGTGGGTGGAGGTTTCGGCCATCAATGCACCGCATTACTTACCGCATTACCCCAACTCCGCGACAAGCTCATTTTACAGGATCTGCCGCAGACTCTCGAGCTCTTACAATCGCACCCTGATGGAATTGAGGTTACGCCTCATAACTTCTTCGAGCCGCAACCGGTGAAGGACGCGCGTTTCTATTACTTGCGTACCGTGTTACACGATTACCCCGATGACAAATGTATCGCCATTTTGAAGCATTTGGTAGATGCTTTTGGGCCGGATTCGCACATTTTGATTGATGAGATGGTACTTCCCACCGCGGGTGTGCCTTGGGAAGCAACTACTATTGACCTGACCATGATGGCATGCCTTGGAGCTCGCGAGCGTACTGTTGCGGAGTGGCATACCTTGCTTGATGCTGCGGGTCTGCGGGTCGAACGCATCGACACCTATTCGCCCCGCCGTCGGGACTCGATTATTCAAGCTGTTCCAAAGTAATTCGAAGTCGGTTTGAAAAGCGATTACCTTTATGTAAGTAGGCCTATATTTTAAACCTGAAAGAAATTTATATATAAGAAAAAAAGTATCGACAATCTTGAATGAAACGTCGCAAATGATAAAAAGCCGCCTATCCCCCGCCAAAACTTCCCGTGTCTCTTATGTTAGCCTGCGGCTGGTAAATACTGGTACACTAACCATGATACACGTCCTCCAGTATTTACTGGTCCCAGCATAATGTGCTTGTTATGGATTGTTGAAAATCTTTATACACCTTAATATTTCCCTTCTCGTTCTCTGATTTCATTCAAAAAGGATGTGCCTCATAGGCTTTATCAGCTTCCACTACGGAATCATAGCCATATAACCATGGCTGCACCGAAGGACATGTCCTGATTTTGAGTCAGATCTGATAGTTGAGGGGGGTGGTTTTACACTCACCAACGGCTAGGGAAATGCGGTGTCGGCTCCTTGTCTATACATGCTTGGAATATAGCATCCCTTTTTTCTTGTTCGGGGCCATCGGGCAAATGAAACGAGTCCCTCTTGAAGACGTGTCAGTCACAGTTATGCAAAGGATGAGATAATATCCCGCTCACCTGTCCTAGTGCTTCTTTTGCTATTGCTTCCCCTCTAGCCTTTCGCAGCTGTTGGTACATCTCAAGTGCTGGGCGTAGCTTATCACGGCTCGTGACATATTTGAGTAGCCGGCCAAGAACAGCGCCGTCTTCCAAAGAGGAGTTTGCACCCTGCGCAAGATACGGAAGCATTGGGTGGCATGCATCGCCGCTAATGAAGTATAGTCAGTTATCATGACCAGGCAGATGGTGGTCAGGGGTGACTTACGCCATTAGAAATGTGCCCTCATCGTTTACCCAGGCGTCTAAGGGGGAGACTATATCGCGAACGTAATATTAGTTACGTACCCATAGCCAAATGGAAGGAAAGTGCAATTACTGTGCATTAATCGCCATTTATCTACTTGGTTCACGCATGCTAATAATTTATTAAGGCTGTCGTAAGCATCAGGTAAGTTCATGTTATGACAAGTTAGCGTGGGGAGAGCTCACTCACATCGGGTCCCATGATTCGAAAAGCTTTCGCATCTCATCTACGTTGGCGGCCTGCCGGCTTACATCTTCGGGTAAATCGTCAGGCCGTAGGAGAACCAGGTTATAGGTGCGGCCTTGTCGGAGTGAATAACCCACGACGTGCGACTCCGGGCCGATCCAAAAGTTGACGGCGGGTTTGGCGACGAGCTCCTCTAGTTCCGGATCCTTGATGTTTTCAAGGTTGAGGATGATTCGGTACGCAAGATCTCCGGTCGGCTGTGGCGTCAATTGCTTTCGCAATAAGGAACTTCTCGTGCGCGACCATAAACCGTCGGCGCCGAGAATAAGATCACCCTGCACCGTCTGACCATCTGATGTCGTAACTGTAGCGCGTTGGAAATCTATGTTCTGGACGTCAGCGCCCAGACGAAACTCTACCCCTAAGGACGTCGCGCGTCGAACCAGTGCTTCCTGCAGGTCAGCACGGTGAACATCCCAAAAAGGAGCTCCATATCGCTCTAAGATCTTCTTTTGAAAGTGATCTTCGTATGCTAGCAAACGAGTACCGTCATATCGTCTAACTGCAAGGTAAGACGGTACTGCAGCCTTGGGGCTCAATTCTTCGAAAATTCCCCAGTGATGAAATAGACGAGTTGCATTGGGGGTAACTTGTAACCCAGCGCCGACTTCTTCCAATTTAGGTACTTTTTCTAACACGGTGACGCGATGACCCTCTAACCGAGTGCTAATTGCGGCGGCCAGTCCAGCCAAACCTGCGCCAACGACGATTAGGTGTAATTGGAAGCCAGGAAGCCTATCGCTATCTCGAGTCCCATTAGTGGCCATTTATTATATTCCCAAGCGAATTGCACTTTTCTTTGCTTTTGACCGAATTAGTGAGGATGTCTCATTATTATAGATATTGTATATTATACATTTCCCGTTATGGGGAATTAAAATGCCTAAGTAGTTCCTAATGAGGGGATAAGCGGCGCCACAGCATCACTAAGAGGAGGTTGGAAAGGAGAATGACCACTCACGGTTAATACTTCGGTATGTGAAGCCGAGTTGCGTGTAACCAGATCGACTCCGTACATATAATCTGATAATTGCATACAAGCTATTAGTCGTATAAGAGGATCTTTTTCGGTGTCTCTATAAGCTTAAATAGAACCTGGCGAATCAAATGTATCGATGGGTTTCTTAAAGGGAACATATACACATGCACACGGTGTATAATACGGAGTTATAGTAGTTGCGATAACTTTGCAGCTGTCTTCCCGGACCTTTGCCCCTGTCAAGTAAATGTTAGTAATAAGGGCTTACCCTCGTATGCAAGTGTATGCTGTGAGGTTTATCATCGGACTTCGGCAAGCACACCAGACGCATGCCTCTAAAGCTTCCTCGTCTGCTGCTCTGTGAGGCCTACTTCAACTCGTCTCAACTATCCTATCGGAAGATACCCAACCGTGTTCATCGTTGTGGCGCAACGCCCACTACTTCATGACTTACAATGTGCGTACCCGTTGTTTCCTAGTCCCAGATTTGAGGCAGGACCAATCGTATTTAAGATATGTGTCGCTACCGATGTGTGGCGTAATACTATGCGAGAAAGGCTATAGAACTGTCATAGTGATACGATGTTGGTAATCGAAAATCGTTACGTGCAACTATACCGAATCTTGAACCCCAATTAGGGCAGGCCGGCTGCATACCTAGGCCTGCGAAGATGACGTGCTGCTAGTTTCTATATGAAACGGTTTAGAAATGACAACATCTTACCTTGGTAAGTAGGTAGTAGTGCATTGCTTCCTTCCAAGGGAATATAATTCTTGAAGTATCAAGGTGCTTATGTTTAATTCGGCTCACCTAAATTAATAAGAGTGTCATACATGCAGGCGGGTCCATTTGCGTTAAGATCTTCCTATTCGCGCAGGTGTCATCCGTCCCGTGAACTAGGATTGGCGACAGGGTTCGCTTAATAGGAGTGGGTTCGTCTGTCTTAATATCACGTGAAAGGATTAGAACTTTGATGATATTTCTTCTAAGTTGACGCTATAGTTAGGACGTAGATAGGTTAAGCCTGGCGCATTTCCAACCTGTATACCGAGTTGTAAGTGCCGGTTAAAAAAAGGTATGCTACGTTTGGGAGGGAGGGACACTGTTAGGTACCTAGGTAAGATTTTAATAGCATGAACGACAATCGAAAACGCAGCATATCAACCCTATAGGGATAACCTAGGTATCATTAAGCTTCTGGGTCAGCAATGGACCGATCCGTCTTGGCTACAGCCTATAGGCGAATTCGGAGCTGCTGTGGATGAATATCTCCTTGGGGGTTCGCTAGACGATCCTTTGCCTACCTAGGTTACCCATCGTCAAGCATCTAGAGATGTTCGACGATAGCGCTTAGTAATTCTCCATATAATCTGTCTAAGTTGAGAAAGTTCAGGGGTATTGATATTTTTACATGGGTTGGGGAGGTTTTCTAGGCCTCGATGAACTGACTAGGGTTGGCGGACTGAACCGAACTTGACTTATTGTTGGACTACATGGTATGGGGGTGGGGGTCCCGTTTGAATTTGACCAGGTCTGGTTTACACATGCTTCAACAGAGACAAAGTACTATCGGTTGCTCAGTCCTTATGCAATCACACGGAGTTTTTGCTTACCTGGGTAGTTACTGAATAGGGCGTTAGGCTTTACTTGCTTAAGAAATAGAATGAGCTGGTAAGATATTATCTTTAGAGACGTTCTGGGTCGTCTTCTGCGGCAAAGTTTCCCCTATAAGACTACGATGGAGGGGCTGCCAGAATTCGAAGCTCACCCTTTAGCTTCCTTCAACTTAGCGAACCATTATTCATTGTCACCATGGCTTCCATAGAGAATCTAGCTTCGTCCATTACGGAGGAAGTCTCCAAACTATCGTCTCTGCTTAAAGAAGCGGGAGTTCCGCCCCCAACGCTTGACGAAGCTGGTTTCCGCGACTTCGGACGAGAAGAAGACACCCCCGCAGGCAATTCCCTCCGTGAGGCACGCAGCAAAATACTTGATGCTGCCCAGGACCTCATTCGGTTGGTAAAGGGGCCAATCGAGCAGGTTTTGACTTTAACTTGGGCCGTCAGTAATATCCCATTTCAATTACCCCTAAATCCCCCCTTCCCTCCCCCCTCCTCTAAGGATATGATTCATATTTTAACCTTTTCTTGTAGGCTGCCGACACCAAAAATCTCGACTTAATCACCCGGCTGAAGATCCCTCAACATGTTCCACTCGAATCATCTATCTCAATACAAAAACTTGCCGCCACCGTCCAAGTTCCGGAGCCACTCTTGGCGCGCGCGCTACGGTATGCCATTGGGAATGGCATTTTTGTCGAAGAAACACCAAATGTCATCAAACATTCTGCGGCATCGGCGGCACTAGCAAGTGACTCGCACTTAGCAGATATAACAATTTTTGGCACGGAATTTCTCAGCAATGTCTTGATGAAGATTCCAGACGCGGTGTTACTTAAACGTGATGACCCGGAACATGCCGTCGACACCGCATTCAATATCGCGTATCGAACGGATGAGTCGATATTTGAATATCTTCATAAACACGAGGAACTGTCTAAAAAGTATCATGTGTATCTGGAGGGGAGGGTCAACACACCTCTCTGGTCAGTTGATCGCCTCCGTGAGGCTTGGCCGTGGGCCTCCAAGGGGAAGGTTACGGTAGTCGATGTAAGCACCTCGTTACTCATCCAGTCGCCTTTTATTTTGCCCATCCTTGCCACCGCCTCGTTGCCTCAGCCACTCAGACTAATATGTTTTAGGTTGGTGGATCAGTCGGTCACACAGTTCAAGCGCTCGCACCGCTAATGCCTGATGCGACGTTTATCGTTCAGGACAACAATCTCCCTGCCTTAGACATGGGACGGCAAGCTATCGCTAGTGACCCTTCTCTTCGGTCACGCATTAGTTTCGCCGAGTACAACTTCTTCAAGCCCCAGACCATAGAAGCCGATATCTATATCTACCGACACATTTTGCACGACTGGGATGACGAGAATGCGGTGAAGATTCTTTCATCTTTGCTTCCGGCACTCAAACCCAGGGCACGAGTTCTCATCAGTGAAGGGATCATCCCTAATCCACCTGCAAAGAGGCTGAACACGTTGACCGACAAGATGGTTCGGTAAGTTACACCATCTGTCATCTGCCACATTTTTAGACGAGGCTTCTTCGTCTTTGGAACAATTGGACTGAATGCTAACACATCGGGTTTTCATAGAATCGAAGATATGTTCATGCTCGGCGTACACGACGCGAAGGAACGAACTGTTGCCGACTTCGAGACTTTATTTCAAAAAGCCTCACCGTCGGCTTTTCGGTTGGTGGGTGTCACATCGGGTGCGCAAGCCGGGGCCTTCAATTCGTTGCTGGAATTCGAATTTCTGGGGCTAGCCAACTGAAATAGATGACGCCGTCGCACCATTGATATTGGAAGAACACTTTAGGCTATTGTATGGAATGATATGAATAATGAAATAACAATTTTCTTTTCTTGTAACTCTGGCGAGGGGATATAATGCACTGACCACCCACTTTGACTCAGCTATAAGAGGGGAAAAGGGGCAAAATAAGAAAAAGGGGTTCACACCCGGCCTCATTTCTTGGACCTACCTAGGTAAATGTCCCAACACATTCATTGATAAAGCAAAAAATATAGAATTCATTTGAGAAATCGAATAAATACTATGTCAAACAGTAACTACTAAGTATTAAGTGAATAGTAAGTTTCTAAAGGAGACCAATCTTTTACCTTCTGTCCTGACAATTTTTAGATTGTGCGTATGGCGCCTCTCCGATCTAATTTCGATCCAAAAAGCAAAACCATGAGACGTCTCATGCTTTTTCTGCTCGCACAGCCTGCCTAAATTTTTTCGCGGATTTTACTTCTTTCCTACCGATTTCTTAGGGATTTTCCACTTATGAATGAATATGAGATAAGTCATAAGAGCCACAACTGTGTAATTGAAAAGGGTGAAGCCAATGAAGATACCAACATTCCTAGCGCGGTTATTATAATCGAAATCGTATTGCTTAACCTAGCGGTAGACGTCCTATTAGCTTCTAGCACTATAAACGTCTGAGCTGACACTGGAGAACGAGGACTTACATATTCATCTCCATTGGCAAATGGGCAGTAGGCACAGCTTCCTGTTGCACCACCATCCACTAGGTAGCCCTGAGACAGCGACGAATTGAAGAAGGACGCGGCATATTCTGCACAAGTCTGGTTATCCGGCACGTTGAAGACGGAGATCTCCGATTCAGTACATCTAATTTCCAGTCCGTGCATGGCGTTAGTGGCGATCCCCTCTACGAAATAAAAAAGTGGTGACACATTGTAGAACCAACGCCAGCCTCTCGGCGTAAGCGGTGGCGGCGATAGGGGACCATTGAATGTGTTTACCATAAGCCACACAAAGCCAGTGGCGATTTGAGCTGCCCCAATGGTCGGAAATACGGAAGAAATTAGCTGGGAGACACTGGCGACGAAAATATGGTATAGCTCGTACATGAGAAACGCATAGCCAGCGCGCTCAGACGAGTAGAAGAATCCAGCCATGTAGTACCACAGCAGCCAGTATAGCAGACCGCCTACCATGGTAAATGGAATTTCGACGAGGAATGCGCTCACGACGAAGACAGACCAGTGGTAGACGCGAGATTCCTTCTCGCGCGCGAGGAACTGGTCGCGGAAGGTGATGAAGCGGGGCTCGATTTGCAGGGTAAGTACTGGCCCCGTGATAATACCGACGAAGATGGAGAACATGTGATTGCGAGAGTCGGTCATGCTGTTTGACAGTTGCAAGAAACTTAGACCATTAATCAGACCCATCCAGACGTTCAGTTGCATCTTGCCGATCACGTAGTCGGGATCTCGCCAATAGTTAAGAAACGCCCGACCGAGAACTACTCGTAGTTGTTCGGGAATCGAGGCGGCATATACCATTCCCTCATGGCCATCCTGTCTATCTTCCTTTTCCGAACTCGAAGCTCCTCCTGATACGATTTCATTTAGACGCTTTTGAGTAGCCTGGTATTCGGGTGACTGCAACCACGTCGACGCCCAGTCCACCGAAGCATTCGCCGTGAGATCGAGAACATAATCCGCCGGATTCTGCGTTTCTTTGCACGAGCGCGTGTACCGACCGAAATAATCAACCAAAGTTCGACATTTCGGACCCATTGGACCAAAATACGCAGTCTTTCCACCTGGAATCAGTAAAAGAAGACTGTCAAACTGTTCAACGAGTTCGAACGACGGTTGGTGGATTGTGCACAAGATTGTCTGCCCCGCATCTGCCAACTTTCGCATCAGGGATATAATGGAGAAAGCAGAATCACCGTCCAAGCCGGATGTGGGCTCGTCTAGGAACAGCAGGATATCCGGCTTTGCCGCGAGCTCAACACCGATGCTGACCCGCTTGCGTTTCTCGAGACTGAGTCCTGCCCCCGGGGTACCGATTAGAGCGTTTGCTACATCGCCCATCTCGAGCATGGAGATAACCGTTTCTACACAATCGTACTTTTCGGAGATTGGGACTGAGGCCGGCTGACGAAGTCGCGCAGTAAGTCGTAATGCTTCCCGAACGGTAGATGTGCTGAGATGCACGTCTTGCTGTTGGACGAAGCCAGAGCGTCGGTTCGTTGATTGAGGGAGTGGATCGCTGTCAAGGTAAAGCCCACCAGTCACAACCCCAATGGAAACTCGTTGCGCGAGGGTGTCCAAAAGTGTGGTCTTAATGCCGAACATCAATTAGTTCCTAGTTCAATACCGTATCAGTGGAGTCGCACGCACCTTTCCTGCTCCTGACATACCCATTAGAGCAGTCATGGTTCCGGGCACAAGCCATCCTAGATAATGATTAGATACGCTACAATTGTTTGATCTCGTTAATGTAGGTAAGTCTTACCGGACACATTGCTTAGAAGTCGGCGGTGTTCCCCTTTAACCTGTATATCTAAGCACAAGTCTTTCCATGCAAAATGTCTTTGTGAAGACTTCATGGTTCCATGACTTGTGCTATGGACCTCTTGTGGTACAATCTCGTTATTGTCCATATCATTAACTGGTGGCTTCTCTTCATCGGATCCTGAAGAGGTGTCCTCAGAGCTCTTATGCGGAATATCGGTGCTATAGAAAATGGTTGAGAGACGACCGGCAGGTGTCTTAAACCTCTCCATTCCAATCCTTCATACAATTAGTACTCAATACATCTGAGAAGGGGTCGAATTGGAAGACATACGTGACGCAGATGGCAAAGAAACCGAAAAATGCAGCGTTTATCCCGACATTTCGCCATAGATCTGAACGGAAGAAAGTGTATACGACTTCAAGATACCTCTGTCCGGAAAGAACCAAGTCCCCGGGGGTTGAACTCTGCACAGCGCAAACTTGAAACGCGGTATCGTTATAACTTGCTCCCCGAGGTACGGTATCTTGCTCGCTACATTGGTATCCGCTCGACACGAACTCATTGAGCATGAGAGATTCAAATCCGTAGTACATGGGCTGCAACTATTAGTAAGTATATTGCTTCAAAAAAGGGGCAGGGTAAAATCATACACTTAGGTATCGTAACCACCCTAGCCATACTTTCATCCCCGGGGGATTGATATAAAAGCCCGTGTATATAATTAACGAATTCATTAAAATTCCTACCGGAAGAACGGCTCGTGTCGGGGTGGTAGTGAAAACGGCGATTGTGCGAAACATCACTCCCATACCTATAAGGGCGACATATAGAGTCAGAAACCAGATGAAGAATGGACCAGCTTCCTGTTTGAGATTGACCATCCAATAGATTGGCAAGCTGTAAAGGATGAATATAGCTTTCCAGGGAATATCGGCGAGGATCTGTCCTAGAGCATACGCCCCTGGTCGATAAAAACACAGGGCCCTCTGCTTAAGAAGGATGGGCCGTTGCGCGAACGTGTTGCCAAATTCCGCCGTAGCCTGAAGACACATAATAAGGACGCAGAAGAATATTGCCGACGACCGGGTATAAATTCCTTGAGTAACTGCTTGTTGGTCTCGAAAAAGTGTCCCCAGCATCAACGCCTGGACTATCGTTCCCGCAGCTTCTGCAACCCAGGTACTACGATCTGTGAAATGGATGCGATAATGTCGAATCGTGCATTCGTAGATTTGCCGATAAAATGGTAGCTGGAAACCGGAGATCCCGTTTAAGGGCGATGTCTCCTGGCTTGGTGCTACCGGAGGCTCACTCTCAAAATACTTGCTCTCTCGAAATCGCCGTTCGAAGTCCGTCGAGCTGAGCGGAACCGGTCGCCCGTCGTGGTCAGGCCGGACATGACGAGACTTGGGATCCCCAGACATGGATGTCAAGAAGTCCGTCAACGATGTTTGGGGTGAGCACTCGAATCCAAGGTCCTGGAAATATTGTTTGGATTCGTTCGTAGGTCCAAAATATGCTACGCGACCCGCACTTAACACTAGCACCTTATCGAAACAGTTGGCGATTGCGTCGCTGGCTTGGTATAGTGATGTGATGGTGCAGCATTGACTCTGGATGGTATATTCTCTGAGCATTCGGGCTACTCGCAGTGCGGTTGACGAGTCGAGGCCTCGAGTCGGATTATCAAAGCACATCACACTAAAGAATTATACAGGTCAGCTAATCTGATACCATAAATAATACGGGTGGGATGAATACCTTGCTCGCGTACAGAACGCTTCCGCAATAGTCACTCGGTGTCGTTGACCTCCGCTAACACCGCGAATGTAATCGTTTCCCACCGGAACATTGGCTACGTGCGCCAGATCGAACAGTTTGAGAAGCGTCTGGACGTCTTCGTTAAGCCGCTGGGCACGGTTCGGTATGTCGACTGGCGTCCGCGCATTGAGGGCGAAGCGGAGAGTTGTGCCTACGGACAGACTATGAAAATGAATATCGTCCTCGCCTACACATTGTAAGGTATATGGTTAGAAGCGTGCTTTAACAATATACTGAAAGACTCAATTAAGTGTTGTTCCTTACTGGCATACGCCACTTCTCCCGGGTGGCGTGACTTCATCTCTACCGCGTCCAGGCCGTTATATAGGACCTCTCCGCCTACCGCCTCATATTCTTCCCGCATGTTCGCCAAGGTTTTGAGGAACGTCGTACACCCACTTCCAGGCTTCCCAATAATGATTAGAGTCTCCCCGCCACGAAGGATGCCGGACATGGGATGTATGAGAGTACGTGATGGCTGTGGCCGATTCGAAAGATACAGCGCCGGGTTGAACTTTTGAGCGAAGGCCATTAAACCTGTTGGGACTGTTGGCGCTTTTTGGTGCTATGCTGGGGGTTAACTGAATGTTCTTGGACGACTGGTAGTGTTTGAATTTTACTGGGAAGAACTTCACTTACGCCAATTCCGGCTCCTCGAACCGACAGATTTCGAAGCACCACATCATATCTATATTTTTCTGCCTTATTGTCACCCACGAAAGAGCTGACTAGTTGACGAATCTCGTCTTCGTCGTCGATAACGTCCCCGTTAATTGCAAGCTCGCCCTTGGGAGAAGCATCCGACATCATGGCGACCACCTTGTACTCAACGTAGAGTTAGCTCAGGGGGAGAATTCCTATGGTGTCACATAACACCCTGTCTTTAAATAAGGCACCTGATAGCGAGTATTCTTATAAGATATTATCGTTCTCTTTTCACCCTGACACTTGGTGGTTAAATGAGCTGATCGGGTCGACCGGCCCCTATTACAAATGAGACATTAGGTATATGGGGTTATCTATTCCCCCATGAATACATGGAAATATTTTTTCCTAACGTAGAAACCGTCAATATCATTACCTATAATTACATCGTTTGCCTTGCTAATCGAGTCGGGTCTTTCTACGACGACTCTGTAAAAGGGCAAAGGAATACTTTCCTAATGGGGTAATTTGGTTTTCGCTTTACCCAGTTTGGCTATTCCGAGACCCATGTAAAAAGAGGAAGCTAACCGGAAGGGGCATTAGTCTCATGGATTCTGAATATGCTTCCCCTTTTGAGCCCGGAATGATTGAGTAGAGATAGGAAGAGCGAAAGTGGCCATCCCTCGTAATATGAGGACGTTTTAGAGACAGAAGATGAGAAACAAAAAAAACACAGAGCGTCGATTCTAAGGTTTATGGGTCCCCAAATTCTACACAACTTATTAGCCATGTTGTAAGGGGCTGGTGTGGTGGGGGTCTTGTTCGCGTGGTGTTTATAGTACTGTAAATTTTACTCCCATGGTATCTGGTCATCGTATGTGGAAAGCCAATGGTTACAATATATATTGACTTAGGGCCTTTGAATTCTATCTGTATATCATGACTTCTAAGCTAAGATATCGCTTTATGAGACCCAAATAGAACAGCCAATTGTAGTTGATTCTATGGGAGAGGGAAACCATCGTTGTCAAATGGAAGATTGGGGAAATCCGCTAAAACACCAGTAATTCCGTCACTGTAGGCGGTCCACATATCAGGGTCAGTAGATTCTATCCAAGACCACAGCGCATCGCTATTGGACTGCGAGAAATCGATAGGAGTATTTGGAGTTTCGGGTACGTCAGTGGCTTTCTCTACATTTGGAGGTGCTACTCGGTTTCCATCGGGCTTTAGCATCTGGACTAGACTGTCTACTTTGGCGCAGAGGCTACGCGTTACCGCTGCGGCGCGGACCGCTACCATATTCCGCGCATCTGCTGCGGTGAATATTTCGAGGGCTAGCTGAGTATGGTAGCGGGCGGTCGGAGCGTACGTGCAAAACGGGTGTGCTATGACAAAACCAATCAATGTGAGGAGAGAATTCCACACCCATTGATAGACTTCGCTGCACCCGTAGAGGACGTCTGTAGTAGACATAATGCGATGTGATAAGTCAACCGAGGCTAGAGCGTGCTTTAGAGCGGTTGTCGCGTGGGCGTTCGCTTGGGGGATGGTCTGTGGGTATAGTAGCCCGTTTGGGAAGGCTATAAATGGTCGATGCAATCCAATAATCTCGTCATAATAGTGCAGCTCTAATAAGACATCGTGTAGTACATGTGATGGACTCGCGTTACCGGCGAGAAGAATCCATTCATGTGGCCCTCTATCGTCTACATGAAGCGGGCGCTTAATAGCTGGGCATAATTGCTCATCCCGCCACTCTTGTAGCCAGTGAACTTCCGCAGAAAGGGCAGATGCGCGCGATTTAACCTGTGTGGCGCGGTCCTCGTTTGGCTGAGTTGGGTGTCGAGAAAGGGCTTCCGCAATGGATAGTGAAGCTTTGGTGAGAGAAATCGCCCGAGTATGGTAAGCGAATCCAACAGTAGAAGGGAGTGGGCAACTTGTCTCAGCGAGCTGTACCCCAATAGGACGACCCAATAGTCGCGCGCATCGATAATTAAGGTGAACTATGGTCCACCAAATGCGGTGGGCTAGATTGACATCGGTGTCTGAATCGTGTACGCCATGATGGAGATTGAGGGCTTGGGCAATACGCAGAGCTAAGCCAATCATATTATATGCGGGTTGGTGTTCGCCGGCGTTGAGCAGGTACATGGTCATGAGTATGTAACACTGCAGACAATTTAACGTCGGCTCCGCAAATGCGGTATATTGATTCGTAGCAGCTACACATCGTCTGAAGTAGGCGAGAGAAGGATCCTCTTGCTCCCGCCTTAGGCCTAGTAGCCGTTGGTTCAATCCCGAGTTATCGAGGAAATTCAAGCACACTGCGATTACGCCGTCAATTAATGGCGAACTCTGCATCTCGGATCCGTCAGAAGTCCATAATGTTTGAAAGAGTGCATCCACCTGAGCACGATCGAGGATCGGAGCAAGAGAATGACATCGCATCCAATAAATTCCTAGCAATTGCTCGACCTGTGACTTTGACAGTACGGTCGTAGAACCTCTGCTCGCGTTCAGTAATAATTGTCCATCAGGTGATGGGTAAGGCGGTGGTGAGTCATCTATGGTGTCGGATGATAGTTGAGAGATAGCAGAGCAAATAGCATTAATTTTGGACATAAACCCAACAGTGGAGTCCAGATTATCAGGCTTAGATGGAGGGGGAATTGGCGAAGAGACTGGAGCGCAGGGGACAATGGTTTCCTCTTGGGCGGGCGAGGAATTACTCTGTGACACTTGAGGGCTTTCTAGCGGCCGGTGGCTTGGGGGTGATACCACACATTCTATCTTGTTAGCTACGCATCGCGAGCACGGTGATTCAGCGTCACATCGTACCCGATGCCGGCGGCAGTAGTTACAGGCCCGGGGCACTTTCGATCTCTTAGGTTTGCGCTGCGATGAGTAATCGCCGGGAGTGGATGATGATGCGAAAGTGTAGAACATGATGAGATGACAAAAAGAATTTCCTAGACCTTCAATAATGCGGTTGAATATTGTCCCGCGTACAAGACGTAGGTGGCTTGCACTTCATTGGGTATTGTGAACAAATCGACTTGTTTCGAGAATTTTAAACATGGGAGTATAAGATATATGATTCCGATTCGTTTATGCTTTGATAATCGGTTGGGTAAAAAGAGAAGATGTCGTCGATTAGAAATATGTGTTGATGGGATGTACTTTCTTGATCATCTTATTAATACACTTGAAGCCTTTAGGGTGTACCCATCGGGCTTGGCTGCGCTATTTACAACTAACTAAATAGGCGCACGTACCTACTGTATCCATTTTGTGACATACACGGTCTGTCGTAGGTCTGAGAAGTCTGCTCTTGACATGATCGCAGCCTTCACTTCACTTCCTTACATTCCATAAAGCAAGCCCTATATACGAAATAGCACATAAGCGTCTTGCTCTTTTTTATTTCATATATTTAAATTGAACAGGGTATCATATCTAAGCCTCATAACACAGAAATTATTGACCAATGCCACTCTCACTACCTCCGAATCTCAGGCCATTCAACCGATCGTCAATCATCAAGTATCGCGTTATTGATGTGTTTTGCATCTAATTATAATGACTCAAAATCCACAAGTTCTTTATTAGTCCATCCCCTAGACTTATCAGCTAAAAGCCTCATCTTTGATCAGTTTTAACGCGCCTGTCTTGCTGGCCGGCTCGTAATATTGACTGTTCTGAAGTGGGGCTGTCGCCGCCTACAACGGGTTATACGCGCATTCCGCTACACTCTTCAAAACGAATCCGGAAGCATTCAAAAGTATTGTTATTCACCTCCACTAAATTTTGAAAGCCTCTAGATTCAACTGGGTATGAAATTGATTTAGGGAGTAACTCTTATTATACGCTTGGCTCGAAACTCCAGTCCTCGGTAAATTGGCTATACTTAACATTGGGATTTCCTTTAAAGATATCCTCATACTTCTCGATCCTGGTCAATGGATTTTGGGCTTGTTTCGAATACTCCTGTATTTGCTTCTTGACGACCGGATCACTCCACATTTTCGCCATCCACTTCAAGCCATCTTCACTTATCCCCGTCAAAGGAAGCTGATAGCTACGGAAGCGCTACACCGAGACGTCAGTAATACGAAAACACCTGAATTTATATCGTGGGGAACTCACCCATAGAACAGGCCAGAAGAAGGTATCGGCGATGCTGAACTTCCCGAATAAAAACCCGCCGTCCTCCTCACCTAGCTCTTGTAGCCTCTTCTTCGTATCAGCCCGGGCCTTACTCCAAATTTCAACCATACTCCTAGCTTCCTTGGCTCCGGCGTCGGTGAGAGGTACCTGACCGGTATACTTTCCGAAGAAGTTAGTATGGTATGTGTTACGCAATTCGCTGAAACCGGAATGCATTTTCGCTACTGCCGCTCTGGCCAACGCCCTCAACTTAGGGTCCTTCGGCCATAAATTAAGCTCTGGATTTTGCTCTGCGAGAAACTCGCATATAGCGAGGGAGTCGGAGATTATGAAGTCCTCATCTTCCGGGTCCGGCTGCAGTGCCGGGAGTAGACCCCCTACGAAGCGGGACGGCGGTGCGGCGGCCGGGTTGTTCAACCCGTACATCCGAACATCACAAGGGATTTGGAAGTACGAAATGAGAAGTTCCACGCGAGATCCCCAGCCTGTTAAGGATAGTTAGTGCATTAGGTTTATCCGTGATGGTGAGTTCTTATGAGGACCACGTACTGGAGTATCGAGTGAAATACACATAAAGGGTATTGCCCTGGTTTAGCTTTCCGTCCGCCATCGTATGCATGAGTTTATGATGAGATAAGACGGCTGGCGGGATGATACATGATTATTGATATATAATTTCATACTTGTATGTAATTGGTGGGTATCGTGAAGAGTCAATTTCAAGTTATCCCCGGCCGATTGCGGATGCCGCTAATTTCTCATTGACTCACGAAAAAACCCCACCATCTCACGCTACGACGGTGAAGCTAAGCGAATATCTACCTATACATACCTAGGTAGCTTACTGCCTTTCCCAATATACAGGGATAGGACCGACTATATCCGGCTCGTCCTTCCACCTCTGCGTCGTATCAACGTCCGTCTTGAAGATTTCGGGCCGCTTATAATGGCCTGCTCCATCCACATACGCCTTCACTAGATCTAACTGCGATAGATCGATCTCAGCGACGATGATTTTATCCTGACTAGCTGTATACGGGCCAGCCACAAATGTGCAGAACGGATGGATGATGACAGTCCAACCTCCACCAGCCTTGACTTTGTCCTGCGGTCCTAAGTTCTTCTCCATCCACTCTAGACATGTCTCATCGACGTAGCTACTAGGACATAGAACGAACACCTGCGCTGTTAAAGCATGCGTTTTCATCAATGCCTCGATCTGCGAGGTCGCCGAGTCCTCGAACCCTTCAAGAATATCGAGAGCCGGCCAACAACCAACGTGGATGTGTTGCCCTTGGTCGATAAGAGCTTGCCTCGCTCCGTTTATGGTATGCTCCCAACAAGCTAACCCACCAATACGATATCCAGTTCCCTTAGGCTCGTACGTCTTGAGCGTGTAACCCGACCCTTGACCCCACACAAGCCGTTCTGCCCACGTGGGTTGCACTTTGCGGTGGACGCCGAGGATCGTGCCGTCCGCATCAATAGTCACGATGCTGTTGAATAGAGTGTTCCCTCCACGCATGCGCTCAGAAATGCCTAAAACAACGACCATCTTATATACGTGGCATGCTCCTTGTATTGGGTCCAAGTCGTCAGGTACTACAACGCTTTCCGCTGCGTACTGAGTCACAGTAGCAGCGTTCGGCGCATAGCAGTTCGTGAAATAGGGGAATCCGGGTACGAACACCTCAGGAAAAGCGAGAAGCTCGATTGAATCGCCTGCCGCCTGGGAAATCAGATCGATTACTTTTCGTATGCTTTCCTCCTTGTTCATGTACACAGGTGCTGCATGTACTACGCCTGCCTTGACTTTCTTGTTTAGCATTTTGGAAGGGTTCTAGTAGACTGATCGATATCAAGACTATGTATGGCTTATTATACGAAAAATCGCCAGTGATGTGAAATCGAGCTTATATCGTAGACTCTGACGTAACCTAGTCAAGAAATTCAATGGGGAGGGCTTTTTTACATTGTCGAATTGATGATGCTATTGGTTACAGTCGAGGGCGGGGTATCTGCACTCGCGACGCGTATTATAGGTCGCTTCTTACTTATGGATGCTTCATTTATGTGGTTACGCTTAATGCGACATCAAGGGGTAGGTCCAAGATAGGAGTATACTAGGTAGATGGAGCTTAGGTTTTCTCCCCTGCCCCCTTTTTTATCGAACGTACCTGGGTACCCAGGTGAACATGTTCAATGCGACTTATTGTTGTCAATGTTTAACTATTACAAATGCGTATATCATTCTGAAGCTCTACCGTTATGATGGAAATTCCCTCCATTCGTTTTATTAATAGTAATAAATCAACATCAATTTGTGTGACATGTACCAAGGTGGGTATCGTCGTATTTGCTGCCTAAGGTTATTGCGAAATCAAGGCCTCACTTACACTCGGTTCCACACGCGTATTTTCTATTCTATAGTAATACGGGATGGCCCATTACTTTCCTCCTCATCTTCAAGGACAATTTTTTCCAATTGCGGAAATAACGCTACTTGCAGGATTCACTTTCGTAATTCCTCGTAAGCTTATGTGTACCTAGGTACATTGCATATAGGTATCGGCTAGGGAGCGATGGCATTTTAAGCCATTTTTCACCCTTCTCTATTCTTGTAGAATTCCTACTTCAAGTCCCAATACTAATAATCCACCATACAGAAGAACCATGAGGTGGTCTATCCTTCCACTTACCGCTCTGTTCATTGGGTGTTGTCGTGCCGAAGACGTCGAATACGACGCAAGTAGGTAGCCCTACGGCAGTATAGAGGAAATTACTGATTCGTGTCATCGCAGTTATTATCGGCGGAGGGGTAGCTGGGTTGGTGCTAGCTGACAGACTATCAGAGAACCCTGACTTTTCTGTTTTACTCCTTGAAGCTGGATTAGACCCCGGTGACGATTCGCTGGTTAGTACGCCAGCTTTTGCTGGGCAATTATGGCCAAGTAAATATTCGTGGAATTTCACCGAGGTTCCGCAACCATCACTCGGCGGCATTAAACCACAGTTACACCTCGGTCATGTTTTCGGTGGTGGATCCGCCATCAATTTCATGGCTTACTGCCGGGGAGCTCGATCTGTCTTTGATGAATGGGCTGAGATATCGGGTATCGAGCAACTTGGCTGGGATACTATCGTCGACTATTTCCGAGAAAGCACCAATCTATTCGCGCCTAATCCATTACCATATGATCAACCTATCAACAAGTCTGTGTACAGCAACGAAGGCCGCGTATTTGTCAGTTATGATAGACCAGATAGACTGTCAACGCTGGAACCGTATTTCTGGGACGCTTTCCTGAACAATTCCCAATCACCTAGCAAGCCGGCAGATTTAACCGATGGAACAGGTATTGGGCTCGTAAAAGGTGGTCCTCATTCTGTTAGGAACTCAAATGGAACCCGATCCTACGCTTGGCCTTCATACGGCTTCAGAGCTGTTGGAAGGTCCAATGCTAAAATCCTTTCAAATTCTCGAGTCATCAAAATCAACTTTGATACGACGGATCCAGAGATCCCTAAGGCCGTCGGCGTTGATTACGTTTCCGGTTCTGACACTTCTGCCATTACAACCAGAGGTAAGGAGATAATCGTGAGCGGCGGAGCCATTAACACACCAAGGCTATTGCTTCTTTCTGGCGTTGGTCCTAAAGAACACCTTAACGATATCAACATCCAGGTAGTGAAGGACGTCCCCGAGATTGGATCGAATGTACGCGATCACCATATGGCCGTGAACGTATTCAAGGTCCCCACCGACATTATTACGGGAGCTTCACTAGCAAATCAGACAATACTTGCTGAGGCTCAATCTCAATATACCAGCACTGGTGGTGGACCATTATCCGAGCCTGGGCCGCAGTCATCCACGTTTCTCACCGAGCGCGTCCCTGATGACATCTTGAAAAGCTTCGGGGTGAATATATCCTATCACCAAAACCTACCTGCAGACCGGCCTTTTCTATCATATCAATATGCGGCGTTGTCGTTTCTCCCGCAATTCGCAGACCTCAATGTCGCGACGGCATTTGTTGCGCTGGTCCAACCCGAAGGATCTGGCACCGTACGGCTGAATTCGTCAAATTGGCAAGATGATCCCATCATTAATACCAGCTACTTCGGTTCCAATGCTGATTTAGCTATTGCCCAATACGGATATGAACGTCTGCTCAATATCACTCGCTCTGCAGCTTTCGCTCGTATCAATATTGGCGAAGTCTTCCCTGGTCCTAACCTAACAACCATCGAGGCATTCCAGCAGGGTGCCCAAACGTATCACCATAGCATCGGGTCGGTTTCTCTCGGGAAGGTTCTAGATTCGGAGTTTCGTGTGAAGGGGATTGACGGGCTTCGGGTGGTTGATAGTAGTGCGATACCTGTGATCACAACCTGCCACACACAGAGCTCCGTGTACGCATTAGCGGAGGTGGCGGCTAAGATTCTGACATCATGAATTGAAAATATCTTAGATAGCTACAACTGGTACAACTATGGAGCTATATAGGCTGCCGTTGACGAAATATGAGCGATGCTATGTCGGTGAATCAAAGCCAAATGTTGTTGTAGGAGGAAGGACTGTGTTTTAGGGCCTAGCATGGCTCTGTAGGTATTACCCCTCACAGTAAGGGCACTATTAAGCACTGTCGTTGGTGGTGACAGCCACGAACTAAGGCAGCCATATAAACTGTACTCAGTACCTAAGTACGTAATTCTCACTAAATACAGCATCCCTTACACCCACTCAGCGTACGACATTAGGCAACAGGATTCTAATTTAGTGGCCACCGTAGCTTATTTCACAGCTGTAATTCAATACAGAATCACCATGATAATTATTTCAATTCACAATGCGTGATCACTCCCCGGTTCCTAGCCCAACTATGATAAAGGTTCCCTATTCCTTTTAACAGATTAGGGTCCAATTTACGCTGGAATAAAGGCAACCTTAACACCATTCTTATTCGACGGTCCGACTCTCATCACAGCCGTATACGGTTCATCGTCCCTAGCTTCGATGGCCTTGAAGTTCTGTAGGATGCGAAATACCGCGTAGCTGCACTCCGTGTCTACCATAACGTGCGCAGGGCAAATCCGTGGGCCGCCGCCAAACGGCACGAAATTCCACATCGGGCGCGCTGTCTCCCACCGTTCAGGGCGGAATTCTTCCGCATCAGGACCCCAAAGATCAGGATCTCGGTGCATGAGGAAGCGATTGCAGTGCATGATGTCCCCCTTGCCACAGAAAATGGGGTCCTTACCGCTGGGACCCCCACCAGTTGGGAGGGTCGTGTCTCTAACACACGCGCGCACGGTCTGGAGACTAACTGGGTAAAGTCGGTGGGCTGTATTTAATTAGCAACTATGCGACATATTCTTGCTCGTAAGATTTGTGCTTACTCTCATTGACGACATATCTCAGATAATTTAGCGACCTCAAGCCCGAAAATGTCACTGGCTTGTCTCCGTAGTCAAGAATTTCTTTTCGCAGCTTCTTTACCACTTCTGGGTGTCTTGCTAGAGCGAAGATAGTATTACTCATGAGTATGGAGGTTGTTTCGTTGGAAGGGATCCAAACGCCTGTCAATTGCGTACGAAGTTCGAGAGGGTCGGGCACATGGCGAGCGATTGTCCAGAGGAAATCGTCTCGAGGCTTCCCATTTTCGTATGTTGCCGACTTCCCGGTATCCTTTTCAACCTGGAGCTGTCTGTATGCTTCTTCAATGTACGCGTCTAGGAAACCGTGGATCCTCTTGCATGCTGCGAAAAACTCCTTATCCCGGTGGAGGAACACGAACGAACTCAGCTGGAGACGTAGCCGAAGCCCGCGCATAACGGTAACCATGTCTCTGTATGGCCAATCCTGGTCGGGGTTGTCGAGCGAGTTTACGGTTCGGCCGAATAGAAAATCCGTCGATGTGTCAAGCAACTGGGGAGATGAATCATCAGCTCACTCGCATAACCATCACGATAAGATACTCTACTCACCCATCGCCTGAATAAGGGCTGCATGTCTACCATCGACCCATCCGTAGGAATCTTGCTAATCAGACGGTCTACGTGTGTCCTAAGGCGGTCGAGGTTGGAAAATCCCTCGCGGTCAAAGTAAGGCTTGACCAAGTCGCGCGAGTATTGCCATTTGGGTCCATCAGAAGAGCTAACACCGCGGCCCTGAAAAGGCGTGATGGCACCGTTGCCAACTCGAATCGGCTCAACGGCGAAAGCGTCACGATGGGATGTAGACAAAGCCTTCATATTCTCGGGCTCAGAGCTGTAGACCATGCGGTTGCCCATGAAGATGGCCGTCCAGCTCTTCGAGCCACGCGCTGCATACGTCTCGCGGTTGAACTCGAGAAACCGATTCTCAGCTAGCGCTTGAAACATGGCGTAGACATAGTCTAGGCCCATGATGCGGTCCCAATTGGGATATCGCTCGAGCGGCGCGCACCCGAGCTCTGCGCGCTTACGTTCATATATGCGGTAATTAATGTATGAATTTCCTACGAAGTATAAAATGATAAAAAAAGGGAGGTAAACGGAGATGGGGTATGATTCGAGCGCCATGATCCCAGAGTGGAATACACAATATGATCTTGGTTCTAACAGAAAAAAAGCGAGCTGAGCTTCTTGGAGGGCTGACTGCGTGAACCGCCCGGTATATTAAAATAAGAAACCTGATATGGCTTCGCCTGTAGCCAACTACGTACGGAACTTGCGGCACCTACCTAGATATTTTCTCATTTTACGGGGGAATAGGCGCATATCCATCTGATAGTCAATTCTCCGGCTTTTGACGATAGCTGCCCCATGCCGCGTTTCTTGAAACATTTCGCACTTTCAATAACCCCTATGGGTTTATCCATATGCCTTAACACCGGGGTCCATTCTAGGACGGACTAAAATTGCCACGATTTAAATGTCGGCATATGCCGCAACTATTGGCGAATCCGATATTGCGAGTCTGCGTCAGACATGCGCCTCGGGATCGGGATGGCTACGGTGTATGATTTCCGTATCTGGTCTCAATTCCCCGAAGACTCGCGTCTGAGGCGTCAGTCGGATGAGTACCGACATACTCAACGTACGACTACTAACTTCGTCATAATTTTCATAATTTTCATTACATGCAGTTCTGTGAATGACTTCGTAAAGAAGTAAACCTGTGGGAGTCTCACGCCAACTGGTGTCTCATTTCTATTCTTCCTGGGCAACCTGATTTTTCTCCTTGGCTTGATCTCTCACCCTAAGAATAATCGCATCCAGGACATCTCACGCTCTGTCTATTTTATTGTCTACTACATCATGGTCAAAACAATGGCTGTTACGATTCAAACGTTATTTTCCCCAACAGCTGGTGCCACGGCTTGTTTGGTGCTGGCCCTCCTTTACTGTGTACGTCGGGTGCTGCTTCCAAAGCCAATTCCAGGAATACCATACAATAAAGCCAGCGCTGGAAGAATTCTTGGAGATGTTCCGGATGTAAGATACTGTAACTTTGATAAGAAATGGGTTTCCAAGCTAAAAAAGAATTATTAGGTTCTCGCATGGAAGGCGGAAACGATGGAGATATGGAGTTATGTTCGAAAGCTCGCTATCGAACTAGACTCCCCTGTGATCCAGATGTTCATGCGTCCTTATGCGAAGCCTTGGGTCATTGTCAACGATTTTCGCGAGGCTATGGACATTCAGACGTATCGAAATACCGACTTCGACCGTGCTCATTTCCTAGGCGATATTTTCAAACCTTTGCTCCCAGGAAATCATGTTTGGATGCCAACGGGTGACCAATTCCGAGCAAATCGCCAACTTATCCGAGATACCATGTCTCCGTTCTTCCTTTACCAAGTCGCTGGTCCCGGTATTCACTCTGCCACGCAGGGACTTCTTAGGCTGTGGCGTGAGCGGGCACGCTTGGCTCAAGGACATGCATTCGAGGCAGACAACGACATCTTCAGGGCCACTGTTGACGTCATTCTCACAGCTACCTTCGGATTTGAGATCGGGGCCGTCGTGTCGCAAGCAGATATTCTTTCTAAAACAGATAGTATCAACCTCTCTGTTGACATGGACAAGCCTGCAATCTTTCCGGCAATTAGGGATCCCGACGAATTTACATCAATACGTACTCTGGTAGACAGCGTCGAAATCGCCATGAACTCTCCCGTGCCGAGATTTTCGCTTTCCTTTGCCCTGAAATTCCATCCTTCCTTAAGAAAGGCAAGAGCGTACAAGGACAGGATGATTGACGAACGATTGAAAATGGCGTGGGAGAAATTCGCCGAGGGCGCGGATCGGGATGACCGAGTCAAATGTGCGGTCGACCTTTTGGTGCAGCGTGAAGTGCAGATGGCGAATAAAGAGAAGCGTGCCATCCAATACGATACATTAGCAATCCGAGATGAGCTTTTCGGCTTCCTACAGGCGGGCCATGAGACAGGGTCTACTACGCTGTGCTGGGCGGTCAAGTACTTGACAGCGAATCAAAATGTGCAGCAAAAACTCCGTGCAGCGCTAAAATCAGCCCATACGCGAGCCGTGGGGGCAGGGGATATGCCGTCTGCCGAAGAGATCGCCAAAGCAAACGTGCCGTATTTGGACGCATTTATCGAAGAGACGCATCGGTGTGGCACGACTAGTTCAGCCGTTGTGCGAGTAGCAATCAGGGATACCACAATCCTAGGACATAAGGTTCCCAAAGGAAGTGACATCTTCCTCCTCAATAACGGACCCAGCTTCCAAACGCGACCGTTTGACATTGACGAGTCATCGCGTACAGCAACCAGCCGCGAGGCCAAAGACAAGTACGGAGTCTGGAATCCATCTACCATCCAAAAATTCTGGCCTGAAAGATGGCTCGTTGAGGAGAAAGCAGGTAGTGGTGAGATCCGGTTTGATCCTTACGCCGGGCCTGTGATGGCTTTTGGGACGGGCTTGCGTGGATGTTTTGGTAAGTGCAAAAATTGCTAATACATATTGTGAGGTTTTTTTCTAACTTATTTATTTCATGTCACAACAGGTACTAAGCTCGCTTCTCTCGAATTGAAAATCATTATTACGCTCATCGTGTGGTGCTTTGAACTGCAAGAAACGCCTACTTCGTTGTCGGGATTCGGGGCCCATGACAAGAATACTCGTAGGCCGCAACAGGTATATCTTAAGTTGAAGGAGGTTGGTATTTGAGAGGTTTCATAGGTTCCATACTTAGAGGTTGTCTAAGACATCTGTGCCTCCATAGTCAAGAGAATGATTTTGCTTTTCTTTACCCTGTTCAGGGTGCCTAAGTACTTAAGTACTTAAGTCCCGGACTAATGCCCACCTAATCACTATCACAATCGACAATGAAAAAGTGATGACCTAGGTACCGAAGTACCTAATCCAGGGGGGTACCTAATACATCGGATATCCAAGCCGAATTTACCTAGGTAGATTGAAGATTGTTTGTAGATACCTAGACCAGGGTGCTATGCCTGCAGCAAAGTGGGTACCCATACAAGTACTTGGCTCTACCTACTTCCAAACAAAGTCTTTTCAAAGACTCTCGCTGTATGTTCCCAGATCCTTTCTGGCCAACCGTGTTGTCTATATTTATCTAACATACGATTTTTCCCGGCCGTTTCGCTATTGTGGTCAATACGCCATGCGCCTGGAGTATATCTTTCGCTTGTCAAGTAAAATACTTGACGCTCAGCGCACTGCTCGGACGAAAATCCAAACAAGGATGCTAGTATGCCAGTAAGACTACGCAGAAGTAGCAAGAATATCACCCACAATATTCCGGAAGATGGCGGTGCTTCAAGCCTAGCAAAGTTATCAGTTTTAACCCAGCCAGGATACGTATGTAAGAAGACCATCTTTGGATTTTGCTTTGCAAGGTAATCGAAGCTCAGACTTGTCATGGTGGAAGAGTGGCCAACAACAGCCAGTGAAGACCAGTGTTTCTCCAAGCCAATGTCGTCATCTCGCATTTGTTTTTCCTTGCCGCCGTTCAATACGCTTAGGATCCTCGGCTGCGATGATCGGCGGAGAAGAGGCAGTAAGTTATGTATCAATCTCATCCTAGCATAGTAGGACATAGCAAAGCATATCTCAAGGCCTTCTTTAGTGTCTGAGCTAATTAGAAAGGAGGCCTTCATTCGTGTTGCACAAAGGATTTCGGGAGGCGTAAACACACATTCCGGCCCATTTATTGGGATCAAGCCTGGACTCATGAACAGATAATCCACCGCGCGTTCTTGATTGGCAATCTTCTTGCAGACAGTATCGACATCAGCAAGCAATGAAACTTGGGCTTGGAGGAACACAATTCGGCAAGATCTATTGAGACTGTAGAGTCTGGCCTGTTGAGCGGCAAAACGCTTCGCCGACCTTCCTATGATGTAAATAGTTGGCGATGATAGGACGCATGTTAAGCGTTCGAGAGTGCTAGCCCCGATGCCACTAGTAGCGCCCGCAAAAACGCAGACTCGTCCCGGATCATTCCTTTGTCTGTTAGAGAAGCGAGTATTGGCCTCGCGAATAGTAATGTGGGAAACCATGGGTTGTTGATTGGACTAGTAAATATGATGCGATACGATGCTAAGAATTGCGGACTCGCGCTGAGATCTCGCGATTTCGAAATGTACTGGCTGATGCTTAAGTACCGGGATCAATATCGGGATTAGGCGATTAGGGCGCGAGCGCGGCTCCGTGCGAGGCGGGTAAAAATGGGTACTGTTTCCCAAAACGGCAAAAAATGTCCGGAGCGAAAGTCAATACCGGGGTACTCCAGAAAGTTAGTTGCGAAAGAGTGGGGTAGGTAGTGGGAAGACCCAGTGTTTTAGGGTTGGAATATCTAGGTACAACACGTGGAATGTAAGCATAAAATGAACTTAGAAGCTTATTCCGAGATGGTCGAGTATCTATATGTACCTAAGTACCTAGGTAAGTGAGGGTCGGTGTCATGCAAGTACCTTAATAGAATGAAACGATCCTTTATGGATGCAAATGAGTTTTAGTCGCGAGGTATTGAACATTTAAATAGGATTGTTACACAATAAGGGCGAAAGAGCGCGACCCCAATAAATTCATCGACACTAATTCCGATAAAACCGGGGAAAGGACGAAAATGCAATCAACAATCTTGAATCAAAACAATTTCCTATTAATATATGCCGAGATATACGCAATTTTTATTCATTTAAATTTTCTTTAAATGAGCCGCAACTGCCTTCATTTCTAACCGCTATCTTAACAGTAATAATTATCACCACCACCACCATAGAAACAGAGCGAGAACGAGAACGAGACCATTCGCCGACATCATCATCCCCAGTCATGGCGCCTCGGGGGGTTAATCCTGACGGGAACTTTAGCGCCGCGGAAAAGGTTAACGGTAGCGGTCTTCCTTCTGCCGTAAAAACCAATCCACCACCTGACGGGGGCTTCGGTGCCTGGCTGCAGGTTTTTGCTAGCTGGGTTCTGATTTTTAATGCTTGGGGTACGTAGATGTGGTATGAGCGTATTTGTATATGGCGTGAGAATGCTGACAGCTGAGAATAGGTATCTCGATCACGTTTGGTGATTACCAGGCATACTACGAATCCGGCCGACTGTTCCAACAGACTTCATCCAATATTTCCTGGATTGGATCTATCCAAGCTTTTCTCATATTTGGCGTTGGCGCAGTAGCTGGCCCTTTCTATGACCGGGGTTACTTACGACTCATCTTATTGGTTGGCAGCTTTCTTGTGGTCTTCGGCCATATGATGCTGTCACTCTGCCATGAGTATTGGCAGGTATTACTCGCCCAAGGCTTCGCCGTTGGAATTGGAGGTGGTTGCTTATTTGTGCCTTCCCTTGCCGTCATGCAACCTTATTTCAGTAAGAATTTAGGGTTGGCTCTTGGCATCGCTGCTACTGGAAGTTCTCTAGGCGGCGTCATTTACCCTGTTATTTTCATTAATCTCATCGACAAGGTTGGCTTTGGCTGGACTACGCGTGTCATTGGCTTTGTTTCACTTGCTACCCTAATTATTCCCCTATCTTTCTCCAAGATGCGTATCAAACCTGCAGGAGTCCGTAGCATCATCGACAAGACAGCATTTACCGACGGTCCGTACTTGCTTTGTATCCTTGCCTGCCTCCTCGGATACATCGGTTGCTATACCGCTTTCTACTATATTGCCTACTTTGGCGAGGCTCGAAACTGGATGGGTTCAAGCTTAGCTCTGTATCTCGTCCCTATTTTGAACGCCTCGTCCGCCTTCGGTCGAGCGGTACCGAACTGGCTTACAGATAAATTGGGCCCTACGAACGTCGTCATGCCCGGTAAGTTGCTTGGCCTATGACTTGCATATGTTCTAACTTTTGTTTGTCTAGGTGCCCTCTTGACAGGAGTTCTGCTACTCTGCCTCTTGGCGGTGCATAATTCCGCAGGACTTATTGTCATCGCCGCGTTCTTAGGTTTTACAACCGGGGTATTCATCGCCACCCCCCCAGTTCTTTTTATCTCCTTGACTAAGGATAAGTCCAAAGTTGGAACTCGAGTGGGTATGGCCTTTGCCATAGTCGGTCTTGGTGTGCTAGCGGGAGGACCCGGCGGTGGTGGGATTTTGCAGCGCAACCCGGACAATTTAGATTGGACTTCCACGTGGATATATGCGGGTGTATGTACGCTTGCCTCGGGTCTTACGTTCGCCGTGTTGAAATTTTGGCGCGGCGGTCCGAACCCTTTGGCCAAAGTCTAACTAGTACCTAGATTGTCCTTGCATTAGAACACAGACCCATAATGATACCTAGGTAGATATTCTTATTCCTGACAATTTTAGAAATGTACGTACCTGTCGGACTCTATTATTCCTGCTTGTAAATTTTCATCTGCATGATTTCGCTTAACATTAACGATTGGTTCCCGGAACATTTCATAGTTACACATACTTACACAATACTGAGAGATTCTGTTTGGCGTGGTCGGAGTTGCTGGCCACCAATAGACGCTGGAGGCATTGGCGCCATCGAAGGATTCGTGGAGAACTTAAACTTATATCTGTTTCCCGTATGATCCTTCATTGCGTGAGTTCTGGTCTGACACGATAGTAAGCATCTTACAGCAGTGAATTGGGTGGAAATCTCGCAATTAGGAGTCAGTTGAAAACTATCTTGAAGTTAACGTCTCATAAACGCAACTTGTATACAATTAGGAATAGGGATGAGCACTAAGCACACTTACACCGCATTTCCGGGAATGGTTTCATCAACAAATAAAACCTCATCCCGTTTATGGTTTGTTCATGGTAGTATAATTCAGTTATTAATTCCTTTTGCTTGGTGGGTCTATTGGACAAGTAGATAGAACGATGTTTCTATGAGACAACTCCCCCCTTTCGTTCCCGTCTTTCTTTGCAAACATGGTAATAGAATTTTAACTAACCGTGGTAACTGTAACCTTGTTTTACTAGGATCATAAATCGGTAAGGTAGCCTATCATTGACTCCGAGTGACACATTAATCGACAGGTTAGGATTCGGCGAGTATTTCTCAGCTCTGCATTGTAAGACTACCAATCTGGTATGATCTTAATTGGCAGTGACTCTTGACCCAAATCTGTTGTTGGTGACGTGACGAATCCCCTCCCCCTAACCCATACCTGAGTATACATGTAACTTTTTTTGCTCCCCTTTTCTTTTCAGATATTGTTGCTGTGTGTAGGTACCTAGGTATGCAGATGCCTTTTATTTTCGTGGCTTGCATTCGGAATTAGGTGATACGTATGTCGTTCCGACTCGTGTTATTCCCTCACAGGGTGATGGCTCACATACACCCAATTAATATATATAGCTACCGATTGTTTAATATATCAAGTGATACCTTAAATAAAGCACAACTACTACCAAGTCGCTTAATACCAACTGTGCGGGCAATCTGATAATCCGCAATGAATGTATCTGAACTCGAATCATGCACAAAACTGGGCGAACCTGTACGCAACAAGCGGCGGCCGGCATTGGCTTGCTTGCACTGTCGCAAGAGGAAAATAAAGTAGGGCCTTTCAGATCACATTGGGTAACAGACTCAGTACTAACCAAAAACTGACGCAGGTGTGACCGTCAGACGCCCTGTTTATCGTGCACAAAGGCAAACGAAACCTGTATCTACGTCTATGACAGCAGACGCACACCCACTACCGCCCCATTCGATGCTTCTGAAATTCAAGTATCTGTTTTCGAACAAACACCAAGGCGAGAGCTTATTCGTGCCATGGCGAGCCCCAAGTCCCCCGCGAAATATGACCCTTCGGTGGAAGAGTCCAGTGGCGGCACCTCCGGTTCACCGAGTATTTCTGCTTCTAGTAAATACTCTCTGCCACTCCAGGCATCTGAATCGGCTTCTGTATTCCCGATGGAACCTGGGCTGGATCCCACAACAATATTGGAAGACATTATAGTACCAAGTATCTCTCCGGCCCCTTATACATATCCTATCCCCTTAACGAATACACCCGTGTCTGGTGTATTCTATAAAAGTAGATACTATGGGGAGAGCCATTGGCTCAACTTCCTTCACCTCGTAAGTCTATCTCAAAAATCCGGTGTCACCTAGGTCAATTCTCATCACTTCCAGTCCCCCGAAGTGTGTTCGGCGATCCAGACCCACGAGAGCAGGTATAATGAACCAGACCACATAACCTTTGCGAAATGCAAATCGTTGAGTAGGAATATAAAAGCGAATGAGATTCTTGTGGCCCATACTCTCATTTCCATCGGCTCGGTCCGAGATCTGGTGCCCACTAAAACCGCTTCCACGCGTCTAGTGCAGGCGTATATTCGGACATTCCAAACGGTCTTCGGGATATTGCATATTCCTTCATTTAACGAAGAATATAAGGTCTTTTGGGACGATTCTACATACAACAACGAGGTATTCGACATAACACTTCTTCTCGTCATGTATATTGGTTCTACCTTCTGTCCGAGTGAGACTGGTGTCACCCATTCGATGATTGATCGGTGGGTTCCGTATATCTTGTCGCGGTTAAGTACGTCTCAAGCCAGAATAGGATCTGACTTCGACAACCTCCGCATACACACATTACTACTACTAGCTCGCCAGACAAGGCGGTTCAGTTGTAATGTACCGTGGCTATCTAGCGGATTCTTACTTCGAATGGCCATGCAGATGGGCCTCCATATTGATCCCGAAAACCAACCAATACCTGTCGTGCTGTGTTCAGAGGTGGAACCGCGTCGACGACTATGGGCTGCAATTATAGAACTGGAGGTGCAATCTAGCTTGGACTACGGCCATATCCCGTGTATCAACAGTGGGGATTATGACTGCCTGCCTCCATCAAACATTGACGACTCAACCTTTGCTGGAAACACAACAGCTGGCATGCCCCAACCGTTAAACTTGTTGACCCAGACGTCTTTCCAGATATTATTGATGATGACGATGCCTATCCGGTTGAAAATAGTCAAGTTTGTCAATGATTTCCGAGCCGAGAAGTCGTTTGAAAAGGCCTTGGGCCTCGGCTCAGAGATTTCGGCTACGTCGGACAAATGCTTCGCCATCATAGAGGATTATCGCATGAGCAGCCGACCTCCCACGGTATTCCAAACTAAGATGTTTGAACTCTTGGTAAAACGATTTTTCATGGCTCTTCATCATCCATTTGCGACGAGGTCGAATTATGGTACGCACTACCATTTTTCGCGCAAGCTATGCCTTGACACATCAGTTGCTCTATTATCAGGGGCTGTAGAGTCGACCAACGATCACTTCTACCACATCTCTTTATATGGGACAGGTTTATATTGCAACACATATACCCAAGCTGCACTCTACTTGGGCAGTGAGCTCGTGAATACTTGTCAAATGCAAGACGATTGGTTATTTACAGCTGCGACACATGACGAAATGCGAAAGGCCATCGATAGGTACCTCGAATTGAGACTCGCACGACTTAAGGCTTGCGATAGGGGTTTTAAATATTATGTGTTTGTGTCATGTCTCCTAGCCCAGGCTGAGGCGAAGCAGATGGGCAGATCCGAAGAGCTGGAGGTACAAATGGCCTTGAAAAGGAGTCTCGAGATGTGTTATTCGACGCTTCAGACACATACCCACAGCCATGAGATCATCGATTGGGAAATGCTGGACGTGCACGCCAGTTTCGTTCAAACAGACGAGTTATCAGAAATTCCTCCATGGGATAATGTATTAGGTATATAGGCGCCCTGCCTTTGAATACCGATAGTTAGAGAATGAATAGACAAAAATAACATCCTTCATTGAACAAATTACCTGCCTAATTCCTTATACTGTATCTGTGATCTTATTTAAAGCCGAGCGGCTCGGTATACAGTCTCATTAAGCCGAAAACGCGAGCCGAGCACTAACACAGTGCATCTACTGTCCAGAATGCGGTTTATGTATAGGTACCTGAGTACCTAGGTATATAAACCATTTTACCGCCCAGTATATCAAGTGCTTCTCTGAGTACCTAGGTAAGCCAGTACTATTCCACATGTTTTAATTATGTTAGACAGCCTGTGGATGAATTAAAAATACATATACCAACGAGGCAAGGTAACGTTTGGGTAATTATATCGTCTATCTTTGGCTGAGGAGGTTCGAGCGGCTAGCTGGGCGAGTTATCCACTCTTCCCTGATTTTAGGTGATAATGACGAGGGTGGCGTGGCGTCGTAGAGTACCGTTCCGTTCTCTCACCCTACAACTACAAGTGGTTAAAATCTCCGACTAGAGAATTGCTCGACATTCTAATTCAATCAGGGATCTTGATATATTCACTTACAACCTTAGATGGCTTAAATTCCCCGTAATCCATTGGCGTCATTCTAGAAGTGCGGGAATATACTTCCTAAACGGGAATTTCGAACGCGTACATCGCATTCCCGTTCACCCCGACCGTCGGCTACTAGCTCCAGGCCCTCGAGGTCTGTAAAACACACCGGGCTCGGGTCAGCATGCGAAAAATCCAAAGGGCAATCATTGTCCTGAAGTCCGTCTCGTTCCGTGTTTCACAAAATCCTTATACTCCGTGTGAACATTCGCAGATCGATGCTTTTGCTGTAGGGTCTGGTTTCGTCGTGATGGCGCGCTTCAAAGGCAACTACCTAGATACCGGAGGCTGGTCAAGTAGACTGCTGCCCTTGTTGCAGCTCTATGGATATACTCTTACTTCATGTTATAATGGTGAGACTGGTATCAAGTAAGCCTTGGTCTCTACCACTTGAGAGACTAAGTTCTTCTTGAAGCATAGTACGTGGCTAGGAATTTTCCTTGCTTGCTGTACTAGTTAACTCCCAAGTATTCAATCATTCTTATTTCTGTAATATACTCGCTGGAATCTTCTCATACGTTTAGCCTCTGTAACAATACGATGCAACATGAGTCCTGAACCAATAGCTATTGTGGGATCTGCTTGCAGATTTCCAGGCTCTGCGAGTTCGCCATCTAAGCTTTGGGACCTGCTGGAGGAACCGAGAGATTTGGTCAAGGAGTTCCCCCCTGAGAGACTCAATTTTTCTAACTTCTTCAACGGTGGTGGGAAACGGCATGGCTATACGGACGTTAACAAAAAGTCATATCTACTCGATGAAGATTGTCGTCTCTTCGATGCGGCCTTTTTTCGCATCAATCCCAAAGAAGCTACCGGAATGGACCCACAACAACGCATTCTGCTGGAGACAGTCTTCGAAGCTCTCGAAGCTGCAGGACAGCCGTTAGATACGGTAGAAGGCTCCTCGACTGGTGTGTATGTCGGTGTTATGACTTCGGATTTCAACGACATTCAGATGCGCGACCCGGAGACGTTACCAACATACACGGCGACTAGTCTTGCTCGGAGCATTTTATCGAATAGGATTTCGTACTTTTTCGATTTAAAGGGGCCATCTATTACCCTTGATACGGCGTGCTCAAGTTCACTAGTAGCGCTACACCAGGCGGTCGAATGTCTCAGGAATGGCGGGGCTTCTCAAGCTATTGTAGCGGGAACCACGCTGCTTCTTGATCCGGGGATGTACATCGCAGAATCCAAGTTGCACATGCTTTCGCCTGATTCACGTTCTCGGATGTGGGATAAGGGCGCGAATGGATACGCTCGAGGAGAAGGTTGTGCTGCTGTACTCCTAAAGCCGCTTAGCAAGGCAATCCAGGACGGCGATGATATCGAATGCATTATTAGGGAGACGGGCGTGAATTCTGACGGTCGAACAAACGGCATAACAATGCCAAGCTCATCAGCACAAGCTGCTCTTATCCGGAAAACATATGAAAGAGCGGGTCTAGATCCCGTCGTGGACCGGTGCCAGTACTTCGAATGCCATGGAACAGGTACCTTGGCTGGCGACCCCATCGAAGCCCGCGCCATTCAAGAGGCATTTTTCCCGGGTTCGTCAAGGCCTCAGGCTGGTGATCCGCTTTATTGCGGTTCAATCAAAACCGTTATAGGTCATTTGGAGGGGTGTGCTGGACTGGCAGGAGTCCTCAAAGCGGCACTGGCACTGAAACACAAAACTATACCACCGAATATGCATTTCCGAGAATTAAATCCCGCCATCGAACCATTCTACGCAAATCTTAATGTTCCTACTTCAAAGATACCTTGGCCAGAAACCAACGGGCAGCCGTTGCGTGCCAGTGTCAATAGCTTCGGATTTGGAGGGACAAATGCCCACGCCATTCTGGAGAGATATGAACCGCCAGAGGCCAAAGAAGGCGAGAGGGCCGTTCTTGGGCCTTTCGTATTTTCTGCGAAGTCTCGCTCAGCCTTGCTTGGTAGGCTCAGGGAAGCTTCAACATACATCAAGCAAAATCCAAGCCTGGATTTAGACGCCCTAAGCTATACGCTTCGCTCGAAGCGATCCGCGTTTCCAGTACGGATAGCTTTCCCCTCATCCAGTCTTGAAAGGCTTTTGGATGGCATTGGCACCCAAATTGTTCTCGCGGGGGATTCTCTAGATTCGTTAGGTGTGCAAGCACTTACCACAAATCCCGATAAGCCATTTACAATCCTCGGTGTTTTTACCGGTCAAGTACGCTCGTCCCTGATTTCGTCGCGTAACGAACTCTAGAAAATTGCTAATTGTTTATTAGGGGGCGCAATGGGCCACTATGGGTCGAGAGCTAATTACTCATTCCCAATTATTCCGCCAGTCGCTTAAGAGAACTGAAGAAGCACTGGGAACAATCCCTGAAGCCCCTGAGTGGTCGATACTGGAGGAATTGATGGCGGAAGATGACAGGTCACGCATTTCCGAAGCTCAATTTTCACAACCTTTGTGTACGGCCATCCAAATCGCACTTGTTGATCTTTTACATGCATGCAATGTCAGATTCGACGCGGTTGTCGGTCACTCATCCGGCGAAATAGGGGCGGCTTATGCGGTCGGCCTTTTAAATGTGAGGGACGCTATTGCAATCGCGTACTATAGGGGTTTCGTTGCCCACCTGGCAAAGGGGCCAACGGGTCAGAAAGGTGGTATGATGGCCGCTGGTATGTCGTTGGAGGCTGCCACCGCATTCTGCTCCGAACCGATATTTTCTGACCGTATCGGAGTCGCTGCTAGTAATTCTCCTTCGAGTGTTACCCTATCGGGTGATCTAGATGCCATACACGAAGCCAAAGAAAAACTAGACGGTGACAAGGTTTTCGCGAGGCTTCTAAAAGTTGACACTGCCTACCACTCACACCACATGTTGCATAGCGCGGACACATACGCGCGATATCTCGACCGACTGAATATCCAGATCCAAACGCGGCAAGGAGATTGCTCATGGCATTCGAGCGTACTAGAAAACGGCCAAGATATGCTTCGAGAGCCAAAACTCACGTCTACGTTGAAGGGTCAATACTGGATTGATAATATGGTGAAGCCGGTCCTGTTCTCCCAGGCAGTCGAATTGTCGGTGTTAGGCGATCGATCGCCCAACTTGGCACTGGAGGTTGGTGCGCACGCAGCATTGAAAGGCCCGGCAAACCAAACAATTAAGTCGTCGACTGGCTCAGTACTACCTTATATCGGCTGCTTAGCCCGCGCAGAGAATGATGTCGAGTCTATGTCTCGTGTAATCGGGTTCTTATGGAGCCGCTTAGGCCCATCATATGTATCTTTTGATGGCTGGCGAATGGCTTTTGGGTTACCAGCACAACGTAAGATTCTCAAAGGCTTGCCTACTTACTCGTGGGACCATCACGAAGTTTATTGGCAAGAATCGCGTCTCTCCCACAACTATCGCTTAGGAACACACAGTACGCATGACCTTCTCGGTCGACTTCGTGAAGATCTGCCTTCTGAAATGACTTGGCGGAACGTCATCGACCTAGAAGATCTTCCTTGGATTCGAGGCCATACTTTCCAGGGCCAAGTCATATTCCCTGGCGCTGGGTATGTGAGTTTAGCGGCCCAAGCAGCCCGCCATTTCGTTCGAGAAGATACGATCAGCATGATCGAGATTCGGGATATGAATATTGCTAGGGCTGTGATAGTGGATGAAGGCAGTGCAGGGGTGGAAATGGTGTTTACCATTCGCAGTAAGGACAACCAGAGCAGACACGACCATGGCTCCATATTGGAAGCTGAGTTCGTGTGTCATAGCTGTGATGACGGGCGCAGCCTTATGAAAGTTTGCGACGGACACTTGCTTCTGCATTTAGGACTTGGTCAGAACATGCCTCTAAGTCCTGCATCTCACATCGAACTCCCATATCTTGATATCGACAGATTCTATCAAACCATGTCTCGACTTGATATCGTCTATGATGGCGTTTTCCGCACTTTGCGTTCTATGAATAGAGCTCTAGGTCATTCTAAAGCGACTGCCACTTGGGAAAAAAGAGATCTGAACGAACAATACATACTACACCCTGCTGTATTGGATGTCGCCTTCCAAGCGGGTTGTGCCTCATTCATATCTGTCGCGGAAAAGGCTTTAGGAAGCACTTATCTCCCTGCCGGGATCAAGCGTATCCTCATTGACCCTAGTCAGGGGTATCAGGGAGAAGCGGGAGAAATAAGCATCGAGATTGAAAGTCATCTCGCCAATTCCACGAACAAGCTTCGCGAAGTAGACATTAATATGTGCAACAGGCTTACCGGCGTCACCGGTGTTCAGATAGATGGTTTGGTGTTAAAGGCGATTGCAGAACCTCAACCCTCAGACGATCGCAAACTCTTCGCTAAGACTATTTGGGATATTGATGCTGCTTACGGCGTACCCAGCCCACCACCACGCAGCATCACAAAGGAAGAATTGGAGTACATCGATGCCGTCGAGCGCACGGCACTGTTCTTCTTACAGAGAATAGCGCGTGATACGAAGCCTGAAGAGATCGAAAATTTCAAATGGTACCACCATCAGCTTCTGCGCGCTGTTCCAAAGTTCGTAGAGCCTATCCGCCAAGGGCGCCACGCAGTTCTAAGGAAAGAATGGCTCAATGACGATCGTGAAATAATCGACCAATTTGCGCGTCGCTACCCTGATAGCGTAGACATTGCTCTTCTCACAGCAGTAGGCGAGGGCCTGCCAAGTGTTCTCCGCGGTGAAACGGGTATGCTAGAGCACATGCTGAAGGACAACTTGCTTGGTCGACTATACATGGAAGGCCGTGGTTTTAGTATCTGCAACGACTATGTCGCTGACTTCGTGGGCAAGATTGTCCACAAGTACCCGAGAAGCAACCTTTTTGAAGTTGGTGCCGGTACAGGTGGGACGACGCGAACCGTTTTAGATACCATCGGGGAGGCTTACTCGACTTATACATACACTGATATCTCGGCCGGATTCTTCGAGAAAGCCGCCGAAAAGTTCGCTGATCACGCCCACAAGATGAACTTCAAGACATTTAATGCCGAGACCCGGGCTGCTGAACAAGGGTTCGCTGAAGGTTCCTACGACGTAGTGATCGCAGCCAACGTTTTGCACGCCACCCGTGACCTTGCGCAAACGATGCGACACGTTCGATCATTACTACGCCCTGGCGGCTATCTCGTCGCAGTTGAAGTAACCGGCACAATGCTTCGCGAACCGGGCCTGATGGGCGGTCTAGAAGGCTGGTGGCTGGGTACTGACGATGGCCGCTTCCCCTGCCCCGGTGTCTCTGCGAAGGAATGGCACAATGTCCTTCAAGAAACTGGCTTCTCCGGTGTTGATTCCGTCATGTACGACATGCCCGACACGGCGCGACATAACTGTTCGGTGTTTGTGACACAGGCGACGGATGACGACTTTAAGACCCTGCAAGACCCGTTATCATCTTTGGACCTTGTTCCCGAAGCCCCTGTTATCATTGTGGGCGGTCAGACGCTAGCGGCCTCAAAGTTTGCCGGGCGAATAGAAAGAATATTGCGAAGATGGGTTTCTCAAGTAATCAGGTATACCACACTTGATGATTTAAATCCATCTGAAGTTACACCAGATACCTGTGTCATATCCCTCACAGACCTGGACAAGGCGATGTTCTCCGAGCCGATAAAGTCTACCAATCTTGAAAACTTACAAGAATTATTGGGAAATGCACGAAACACACTCTGGATTACTTCGGGTCGCCTTGCGGAAGATCCATACTCGAATATGATGATAGGGATAGGTCGCGCATTATCTTTCGAGCTGCCACATGTGCATATTCAATCCCTGGATTTCGATGTCGAATCTTCCTGGGATGCAGAGGTTGTCGCTCAATATCTTCTCCGTATGGCACTCCTTTCTTCGGACAAGTACCTGGACCATAACATGCTTTGGGCCCAGGAACCGGAGGTTGCGATGCAAGGAGATACAACATTGATTCCACGCGTGGTTCAGGACGACGCGGCTGACGAAGGTCTCAATGCACAGCGGCGTCAGATTATTCGGCCGATAGACTCTTCGGAGAGAGTACAGGCCTTGCATTCTGGATCTCGCTTAAACCTCATCAAGAACGATGTTCAGTCTACTGGAAAGCCAGACAATTATGTCGAACTAGACGTTACATATTCCGTAGCGCTTCATGAAGGCCACCGGGAATCTGCTTGTTTCTTAAGCGTCGGGGCCGTGGCAAACGGAGAATTAGCCTATACTCTCTCCGAAAAAGACTGCTCGACTGTTTCTAGGCCTAGACACGAAGTCTTAAAACTGTCTCTGGCCAATTTTGACGTAACCACTCCAGTCTTTCTTGGCTCTACCCTAATTGCTGCTCATGTACTCGCTGATAGCCCAACGAACGGTACTCTGTTAGTCCACGAGCCGACAGATGGTATCGCGGAGGCAATAGAAAATGTCGCGAAGGCAACCAATCGTCAGGTACTATTTGCTTCATCTTCCAGAACGGAGAAAGAGGGTCGCAGATGGGTCCACATTCATCCTCACGCCCAAGCGCGCACAGTTCGCCGGCTGATACCAAAGGATACGACGATGGTATTCACTTTCACCGACGTGTCGATAGATAATATACTTCCTTGTCTTCCGAAAAGATGCAAAATTCGGAAGTTCAATGCGGGTTCGTTGTTAAGTCAGCATACGGCTCTATCAGCGGAGTTTGAATTGAAACCAAGAATCCATAGTGAACCCTTGGTTATCAACGTAAGCGATATAACGGAAGCGTCCAGAGAACTGGGACCTCATCGGCGACTTTCTGTTGTCTTGGATTGGAAACGAGCTGGCCCTGTCAACGCGATAATACCACCCCTTGAATCAAGTGGGATTTTCTCCCCGGATAAGACCTACTTCATGGTTGGATTAGCTGGGGAACTAGGGCAATCTTTATGTCGCTTCATGGTCAGCTGTGGCGCCCGTCATATGGTGCTATCCAGTCGGAACCCCGTCGTTAATGCAGATTGGTTGAGAGACATGGCTTTAGATGGAGCTGACGTGCAAATTGTCAAAATGGACGTCTCCGATCGTGAACAAGTCCGCGAGACAGTATCTATGCTCCGTAGAACGATGCCTGAGATTGGAGGCGTCGCTAACGGCGCGCTCGTCCTCGAAGATACGTTTTTCATCAATGCGACGGCTGACAACGTGCGAAACCAGCTCAAACCCAAGGTGGACGGCACTGCATACCTTGACGAAGAATTTGCCAGTGATGACTTGGAGTTCTTTATGGCATTCTCTTCTCTAGGAAGTGTATATGGAAATGCTGGCCAGTCCATTTATCATGCTGCCAACATGTTCATGACAAGCTTAGTAGAAAAGCGGCGACGACGAGGCCAAGCAGCATCTGTCATCAATATTGGCATGATTGTTGATGTCGGGTACGTCGCGAGAAGCAAAAGGGATGGCAGCAATGTTGAAGAGCACCTCCGATCTCAATTCTACACACCTTTGGCAGAGGCTGAATTTCACCATCTGTTTCTCCAAGGTGTGGTTTCTGGCCGTCCTGGATCCACCCACGCTGATGTGACGATGGGAATTCAACCCTTTATTGACGGCCCGGACGTTACTACAAGGCCGCATTGGTATACGAACCCTCGCTTCTCGCATATGATTTTCTCGCGCGTGTCATCCGATGGAGCATCACAGTCGACATCATCGGAGCAACAGCTACGGCAGAAGCTTGAGAGTGTACAGACTGTTGCGGAAGCCGCAGAAGCGTATTATGAGCTTTTTTGCCGAAAAATCGAGTCCATGATGAAAATCCCTTGGGCGTCGATCAATATTAAAGCACCCCTGTCTGATCTGGGGCTGGATTCTTTACTTGGAGTGGAGATACGAACCTGGTTGATTCAGAACATGCACACTGATGTTCCGCTGCTTAAAATTCTAGGTTCCGATTCAATTTTCTCGATTTGTGCGATTGCTGCTCAGAATCTTATCCAACGCAAAGGGCTGGCAAGCGAAGCCGAGGTAATAGTCGGTAGCCGAACCGCACCCAAGGTTGAATTAAGCGTCCCTGAGGAAGAAAGCGCAAGTTTCAATTCTGGCTCACCTGTGTTTGTCATAAGTGATTCCCAAGGTTCCAGTACCCCCAACACACAACACTCTAGCAAGGGTACACCATCTCTTTCTCAGTCGAGTCAGAGTTCGCCCGAAATCCAGGATACTCCTCTATCTTCAGCCTCATCTGTGTCTGAACTTCCCCTAGCATCAGAACCCCAAGACGATAAACCACAATCAATTATAGACTTCAAGCAAACTGGGCGCGTTTCATTCGCTCAGGCAAGTTTACACTTCCTCCAAAACTTCTTGGATGATCCCACGACCTTCAATGTTACAGCCCACTATGCGATCAATGGACTGCTCAATGTCACTAGGTTCAAGCGAGCTTTGGAAAAGACCCTTAATCGACATGAAGCCTACCGAACTTGTTTCTTCACTGAGCCCGGAAGCCTTGAATTCAAGCAAGGCGTTACCCTCAATAGTGAAACAAAGCGTTACACCCACGTAAACTCCAAACCTACTGCGGAGCATATATTCCAAGCTTACATGAGGTGGAATTGGGCGTTAGAAGCAGGGCATACCTTCCATGCTACACTAATAACTCATTCACCCGAATCGCATTCTCTTGTCATTGGATGCCATCATATCATAATGGATGGTAGCAGCTGGCACATCTTCCTGAGGGATTTGGACCGTGCCTATCAAATGAGCCCCTTAAGACCAGTTACAACATCCTATTTGGATTTCGCACGCCTGCAGAATGAATCGCTCGCTGATGGTCAACTCGATAAACATATTTCGTATTGGTCGCAACAATTGGATTCGATCCCAGGCGTGCTACCACTCTTACCTTTCGCAAAGACTAAGAGTAGGAAGTCAAGGGGCACGTACGGTAACCACACCGTCCACACAAACCTCGACGCCGTTACGGTGCAGCATATCAGAACGGCGAGCCAGGAATGCCGATCAACTCCAATGCAGTTTTATCTCGCCGTATTGCAAGCACTTCTTGCCCGTTTCCTGGAACTTGACGATATCTGCATCGGTTTGACTGATGCCGGTCGCGGAGAGGACGGAAGCTGTGCGGAGACCGTTGGTCATTTCACTAATCTATTGCCGATGCGGTTCCAAGTGAACAGAGAACACACATTCGAGGAACTTGTGCGAAGCACAGCTAAAACCGTTCTGAATGGATTCAACCACAATCAGGTCCCGATCGAAGTAATTTTGGAAAGGCTTGGCGTCGAGCGATCGTCCGTCTACCCGCCCCTATTCCAAGTTACGTTCAACCATCGCATCGGCGACCTACTGCATGGAAGTTTAGGCAACTGCAAGCTGGAGCTGGTCAAATATGTTGATTCTAAGAACCCTTATGACCTCTCATTTAACGTCACTCAAGCCGCAGATGGTGGCAATTTCATCGAACTGTCGTCAAATGACGATTTGTATTCGAGGGAAGCCACCCAGTCGATCTTAGACGCATATGTCCACCTACTGGAGAGCTTCTCGCTCGACCATTCTACCAAAATACAAGATTGCCGGCCATTTACAGACATTCAAGTCGAGAAAGCCCTGGATATTGGCCGAGGACCAAGGATGATGCCAAGGAGATGGCCTGAGACAGTGACCGAAAGATTTCGTGATGTTTGCTTGACCTCTCCAGACTCAGTTGCCATCAAAGACGACAAGGAATCTCTGGCATATATCCAACTCTCTCATCGTGTCAACGGGGTTGTCGCGGCTTTGAAGAATTCCGGCGCGGGTCACGGGAGTCGCATTGCAGTGCTCTGTGAACCGAGCGTCGACACATATGCAGCTATGCTAGCAATTCTACATCTCGGTGCTGTCTACGTGCCTTTGGACGTAAGCTTACCGGCTGCGAGGCATCATGCTATGATTGACACATGCAAACCTCAGCTGATAATTTGTCATCCCGCGACTTCAGTCGCGGCAGCGGATGCCAGCTCTAACTATGGCCTAGCAATGCTTAACTTATCCGACGTGACACCTATAGCGAGCGAGGTACCCTCTTCAGCAAACGCGACAATAGACAGCTTCCTACTGTTCACTAGTGGTTCAACAGGCACACCCAAGGGCATACGACTTTCTCAAGCCGGCATTCTGAACTACGCAGCATCAAAGAGCGCAAGACTCGGTCTAGAAAGGACCACAGTATTACAGCAAAGCTCTACCGGCTTCGACATGGCTATCGCTCAGGCATTCAATGCGTTCGCCAACGCGGGGACATTGGTTGTCGCCCCCGCAAAAGCCCGCGGAGACCCTATCATGATTGCTCAACTGATGTTGCGCGAGTCCGTTGAATTGACTATTTGCACACCCTCTGAATACGCCATGCTCGCTACTTACGCAGCCGAAATCCTAGGGCAGTGTAAGTCATGGAGGTACGCCTGCTCCGGGGGAGAGGCAGTGACGGATAGGCTTCTTTCCGAACTTCGCCGTCTCGAGCTACCCGAACTTGTATTGACTGACTGTTACGGTCCGACGGAAATATCGTGCGCGGCAACGTTCCAGACAATACCTCTGCAGCCGGACTCAGAGGACAATAGCGCGCCGGGAACAGTTGGTAAGGCTATTCCAAACGTTTCTATCTACATCGTCGGAAACGGTGGTGAAGCGTTGCCAATTGGGTTCCCAGGAGAGATATGTGTTGGGGGGCATGGTGTCGCGAAAGGCTATCTCGACGAGAAACTTAGCTCGGAAAAATTCGTTACTGATCCATTTGCGACACCAGAAGACCAAGCGCGAGGATGGCGCGTCATGTACAAGACCGGCGACAAGGGCTGTCTCCAGGAAGATGGTTCTGTCGTATTCTTAGGTCGAATGGATGGCGATACCCTGGTCAAACTCCGTGGCTTACGGATTGAGCTGAATGAAGTGGCGAACGTTATCCTCCAAACGGCACAAGGTTCCTTAGCCGATGCAGTAGTTACTGTTCGGGGCGAGCCCGGATTTCTTGTCGCCCATGTTGTTTTCGCACGGCGGGAGCAGCCTTTAGAACAGGCCGAACTTGAGAAAATCTGCGCTGACCTACCTCTACCAAGATACATGATCCCTTCGATGATCATACCACTTGATCGTCTATCATTCACGCCCAATGGTAAAGTCGACAGGAAGGCCCTCTGTGCTCTCCCATTACCCGCAAGGAACATCAACTCGGGCTCGAAAACCCCTCTAACCGTGCCTGAGGGTGAACTTAGGCTTATCTGGAGAGACATCCTTGGCCAAGCAGCCGGAGCAGCTGATATTGGTGCGGATACTGACTTCTTCACCGTAGGTGGAAGTTCTTTGCTATTAGCTCGGCTGCAAAACGCCTTGAAAGAGAGGATGGGTGTGCAAATGCCGCTCCAGGATCTCTACCAAGCCAGCACGCTCAGGCGAATGGCCAAATTGACAAGTAACCAAAGAAGTCAACTCGTCGAGGAGGCAATCGATTGGGACGCGGAAACTTCGATTCCCGACTATGTACTGGAGGCCGCACAAACACATATTTCCCCTCGACCCCGCCAGAACAAACGCAGCGTCGTGCTTACCGGTGCGACAGGCTTCATAGGTTCTGAGGTCCTCCGACACCTAATCAAGGACGATAATGTCTCTGAAATCCACTGCATCGCCGTGGCACCAGATGCGAAACACAAAGTGCTGCTAGACGACAAGGTCATCATTTACGAAGGCAGCCTCCTCAGCCCTAGGTTAGGGCTCACGCGGAGAGAACAGGATGAATTACAAGCCAAGACGGATCAGATTATCCACGCGGGAGCGCAAGGCCATTGCTTGAACAACTACTCATCTGTGCGACACGCTAATGTCATCTCAACCCAATTCCTCACAGCGCTGGCCCTCCCCCGTCGCGTCCCGCTACACTTCATCTCATCGGCGCGCGTGATCCTACAATCGGGCCAATTCGCAATCCCACCTGTTTCCGTTGCGCAATATCCGCCGCCAACAGACGGGTCGCAAGGTTTCACATCATCAAAATGGGCTAGTGAACGGTTCCTCGAAGCGGTGGCGCGCGCTACGGGTTTACCCGTCGCCATTCACCGCCCGTGTTCAGTCATCGGGGATCGTGCTCCGCACGACGACGCCATGAACTCCGTTGTTCGCTTCTCGTTACTAAGCCGCAAGGTTCCTGACGTCCCACACGCGGAGGGTTTCTTCGACTTCAAGGATGCGGTCGCGTTAGCAGGTGAGATCGCAAACGGCCCAATTGCGTCAGCGGCACCGAAAGACCCCGCCGTCTCGTTCAGACACCATAGTAGCGGAGTGAAAGTACCGTTTGGTCAACTCGCTAGACACATGGAATCTTTGTATGGTGGGACGTTCGAGACAGTTAGTATGGATGAGTGGCTCCAAGTGGCAGAGGGTCTGGGTATTGAGGATTTAATTGTGAGTTATTTGAAAGCGAATGTGGCTGGCGGGTCGAAGTTGGAATTCCCGTACTTGGGCATGGAATGAATGATATGATAAAAATGAGTTAACGTATATAAGTCTTTGGATCCTTGGATAAAGTAAATGCTTGGGTTTAACTTCGGATTTGGGGCTGTTCAAACACTGGCTCTTATTCCTATGTACCTGTCGCTTCTGTTGTAGGCGCCAGACTCATTATAATGACAGCAAATCTCAGCACGCTACTCACTCCTGAGGTCCCTACGGCGCCCGCCGAAACGCTGGCAAATTGCATTATATCACTATAACTACAGGGAGCTATGCACTAAGGATCCCTATAATAACAAGGCTACAATAGATTTATAACACTCCCGAGTTCATCTCGAATACATTGGAACTTTATAACACCACCACCTATAGGACATTTCAACACATCACTAAAACCCTTCCAGGGCTATAATTACAGCACTCATAACACCCACAACACACTACCTCATACCCCTACTTTATAGACAGCACCTACCTAGGTACATAGGTAAGCATCTTAATATCATATGGCTTTTTTATATGAACCGCAAATATGCTAAAGCACAGTAATAGTCAGGTCATGCAACAAATTTCTGGGAAACCCATTTGAGGTTGTAAAGCAACGGATCGGCCCCAGATAGTATTGCCGTAATTGGGTACCTAGGTACGAAAGGAAAATCTTCAGCTCAGATGATGAGCCTCGAGACGGGCAGTGTATGCAGGCTCTGCTACGCCATGTCACCAAGTCTCCTAAGCCTATCACAGTCGTATTCAGGCAGTAAATTTTCTTTCCGTCACTTCTTATGTTTTTCTTTCCTCTTCCCTCTTTTCTCTTTTCCCTTAGTAAAACCTTCTCCGCAACGCACCCAGGTACGGTCCGACAACTACCTCTCAGCGAAATGTCGGACCCTTTATCCATTTCAGGAAGTGCGGCCGGGCTCATCTCACTGGGTCTCGTGTCCACAAAGATTCTATACAAATTTTACGAAGATTATAGGGACCGAAAAGACAACCTAACGAATATCGTTGGCAACCTCGAAAAGCTCGAAGCGATTCTCGAATTCCTAAAACGTACCACCAAGGATTCGGACATCGTTAGTCACGACGAAGAGTCGCGTCGATTAATCGAGTCATGTGTCCAAGACTGCAAGCAGCATATGAAAAAGCTTCACGAGGAATCACAAAAATTTGGGAGCAAGCCGAAGAACGATCTACCGGTAGCCCAACCGACGGGAAAGAACTTCGTAGGGCGTCGGCGACGATTCGGTGGAGCTGTTCAAGTAGTCTTCCGTCGTATTGAGTACCCCTTCGCGAAGAGCATCTAAGAGACCCTCAATGGGTGCATTAACGACGCGATCCAACGACTAGCACTGGCGCAGAACATACTTATCCAGAGAGATACCCATTACACGAGAGGGGTAGTTGACAACAGCGAACTCCGTGATTGGCTTAAAGCTCCCAACGTCAGCGACAATTTGAATTGGGCACTTGAAAGAAGCACAGATGGCACAGGGGATTGGTTCGTGGATAGCGACGAGTTCTCTACTTGGTTTGCCAACCAACACTCGCTCCTATGGCTCAAGGGCTTTTCAGGGTGTGGTAAAACATTCCTATGTTCCACAGCCATCGATCACTTGTTACGCCATCGCGAATCGAGGCAGAAGATTGGCGTCGCATTCTTTTTCTTCACATTTAATGATCAAAGTAAACAGGACGCTTCTGCCATGCTCCGAGCTCTAGTCTTACAACTATCGAGCCAACTTGGCAGCTTTCAGCATATCAAAAAGTTACACGATAAATATGGCGATTCCGTCCCATCGAATCAGGACCTCGAGACTTGCCTTCACGAATTGGTGGCCAGTTTTGATAACGTCTATATAATATTGGATGCACTTGATGAATGTCCGAAAGAGCGGCATCGTAGGATCATGCTTGAAAGCGTCACCCGCATCTACGCCCGATCAGGGGACAGGCTGCATATGCTCGTTACGAGCCTCGAAGAAACTGATATTTCCGGTGCTCTTGGTGGCATCATTGACGTGCAAACTCTCCGAGTATACAATTCAACCAATAGAGATATTGCCAATCACATCTCCAAAATGCTCCGCAGGTCATCATTGAAGAAGTGGGAGAATCATCGTCCACGGATAGAATATGAACTCACCAACCAATCTAACGGGAGGTAAGTTAACACTTCCAAGTTCCGCAGTACCAAGCGTCATTAACTAACACTTGATGGTGTAGCTTTCGATTAGTAGCATGCCAATTGGAGGAATTGGAGAAGTCTGCACCAACCTTGGAAGCGTTAGAACGGTTGCTTACATCACTGCCGAAAGACTTGGACGAAGCATATAGACGACTGCTTACGAAAATAAACGAGCCGGACAGGGAATACGCTCAGCAAATGCTGACGTTCCTTTGCTACGCGGAGATACCATTGACGGTACCCGAACTCGTAGACGCTATGGCCGTGAAATATGTGACGCCGATGGTTTTCGACCCCAAGCGAAAGTTGCCGGGTACATCAGCATCAATCCGAGAGCTTTGTCCAGTGCTAGTTGACGCCGAAGAGCGCTGTTTTGGGCCGCCTATCGCGCGAATAGCTCACTCTTCTGTCAAGAGGTTTCTTGAATCCGAACGGATAAGAGAATATGATGATGTCAAGGAGTTCGCGCTGATCAGTAGCTATGCCCACACTCGGATAGTTAGAACCTGCTTGGTGTTCCTAGAAACCCCGAGACCCGAAAGCCATTTGTATGACAATCCAATTACAAGATATGCCGTAGTATATTGGAAAGACCATATGAGAGAGGGAAGGAAAACATCAGAGCTTCGAGCTCAGATTTTGCAGCTGCTTCAAAATGATACAGCATTCAATCATATGGCAAAAAGTAATATTTTCCGGCACACCTTGTTCGGAGTCGTCACAAAACATCGTTCTGCGCTCTTTCGCGCTTCGTTCCTTGGCATTACTCCAATTGTAGAGGAACTTTTGCGGGAGGTTAGTTCCTTTAATGATGAGTATGGTGCTGCGATAAAAGCCGCGTCGGTTTCTGGACATCGAAATATTGTTCAATTATTGATCGAAAAGGGTCCAGAATCCGCAGACAGCAAAGCCCTGGAAAAGGTGCTAGACGACACGGCAAAACATGGCGCACTAGACGTTGCTAAATATATTCTCAGCTAGAATCCCAATTTAGACGTGTCCACTGCGTTCCGAAGGGCGTGCCGTTGGGGCTCTTCGGGATTGGTCGGATTCTTCCTTAAATGCAAGAACGTTGACATCAATGCATATGGAAAATGGGAAGGAACTCCTTTGATGTTAGCATTGAATTGCGGGCATGATGATGTTAGCCGACTACTCCTATTGGAACCGTCAATCGATATAAACTTACGAACTAAAAATGGGAGGACCGCGTTACATATTGCAACAAAAAAGAATCTGAAAGAAATGGTTGGATTACTTCTTACTAAGGCTGCCAATATTGATGCGCGAGATAATGAGGGTAATACCGCGCTTATGATGGCTCTTGGTCGGGGCCTCAGCGAAATGGCTGGGCTACTCATTAGAAACGGAGCGAATGCCAGGATTCGGAATCGACATGGAAAACAAGCATTGCATGTCGCAGCACAAGCAGGTCTCATTGATATCTTCCAGTTGCTTTTTAATAATGTTGTTAAGGTCGATGAACATAACTACTATGAAGTTATATTCCTTGATGCATGCCGGGGTGGCCGGGAAGATATTGTTCGGTTGCTTACATCTAGAAATATCGATTTCGGAACGAAGACTACGGAGGGCGAGACCGCACTACATTTAGCATCCAAAAGCCGGAACAAATGCTTACTCTCGGTACTACTCAGCAAGGGTATTGATATCAACGCACAGGATAATCATGGCACCACCGCGCTTCATTTGGCGTCGCAACATATATCGGGATATATTTATGTGGGTCTCAGTGGACTAGAAAGCCACGATTCTAATGAAAGCATTGTTCGTTTCCTTCTAGATGAGGGCGCCGATGCTACTATCCGGGACGAAGATGGGAGGACTGCACTGTGGCATGCCTGTGATCTTCCGGTCGAGTATGGGGGCTATGATGTTGCCAAACTGTTGCTCGACAGACAGGCCGATGTCATCAATGTGCAATGCAATAATGGCAACACCCCACTCCATAAAGCCTGCGAATACTACGGGCATGTTGTCCGATTATTTTTAGAAAGAGGTGCTGATATCGAAATTAAAAATGGAGAGGGCAAAACAGCAATTTGGATCGCTGTTGAAGGTTACTCGAGTGAAGCCGTCTCACTACTTTTAGAGGCGGGCGCTAGTACTGATATTCGAGACGAGCGCGGCGGAACGTTACTTCACATTGCGTGCTCCGGATGGAACGGGAAAAGACTTCAGCTCTTGTTAGAAAAAGGTATCGGTATTGATATTCAAGACAGACTAGGCCAAACTGCACTTATTTTAGCAGCCTTCCAGGGTAGGGAGAAACATATTCAGTTACTCTTAGAGAAGGGTGCTGATGTTAATATCCAAGATTGCTTAGGCAATACCGCACTTCACAAAGCATCCAAAGAAGGTTATGACGCGATTGTCAGGATGCTTATTGTTGAGAAGGGTGCAAAAATACCACCCATCGACGTACTCTGAACGTCTAAAGATAAATAACAAGACGACTGTTAATTCTGCGGCGCGTCACATAGCGAGTCGCGAAGGTCATTGATTGGGATGGAGAACTGAGAGTTGTAGTGCCAAAAGTACGCGTAGTTCTGGGAAAGGGCCTCGAGACGTGCTTACTCAATGCCCTAAATGCATGCAGGTGGTTATGAAGTTACTGATTGGGAAACGCTGGGCAAACATATCGTCTTCATCTCAATAGACGACCTACTAGAATTTCATTCGCAGCATGGCTGTGTGGTCAGCCTTCCACGCGACACGCCAATGTCCGCCCAAGCCAACCCCTTAGGACATCTCGCTGGGTGTCAGTACTATTTCGGCCAATTTACTATACAAAGAGGCATGTGTGATGGGGAGTTTGAAACGGTTAATACGGACGAGTAGGCATCGGGGATTTGATCTTGAGTTATTTGAGTATGGATAAAGTGTTTTGGTTGGGCTTGAGATTAAAGAATTTCTATATGTCACAGGTTAACGTGTCGTACGGCGGACAATGACGCGAAATATAGCGCTAGACTCGCTATAAATACGGCGGATTTAGCGAACTACTTGGTGCCTTTGAAGGAGAATCAACTAACATCCCACTAAATATAACTACCTAGGTAGGGATTCGTTTGACCACACAAAACTGAGTACTTTCCACTTGTCTTATGTCGAGATTTTTTTCCTGTTCAAGAGGCTGTTAACCTATGTAATCAAAAAATCGCGACCTTCCCACGAGAGGTCCTAACTGCTAATCCGAGTGCGTCCCCTCTTTCCAGGCTGCTGGTCGACGACATAGTAATTCGTGCATGGATTGATATTTGATAGCTTATATGCCCTATCACCTACAATTAATGGGGGAATTATTCGCCTCGATGAATCATACTAGATTTACCTAGGTACCTAGGTAGGGTGAGTGTTGACGATACCACTAGATTACAGCGTACTACTCCCTGTAGTAATAGGACGGGAGGGTTATTGATCTTCCCAATATCCTGGACCACTGTAATTATAAGGGGGCATGCGCTAAAATATGCTATAACTATAGGGCAGCTAGAGCGTATCTTTCGCTGTAATCATGATCGCTACGTCCGCCTATGTTGGTTTCTAGGCATCAGAAACGCACTATATTGAAGTTACTTATAGCGAAACATCTACAAATTCCATCCGCGCAACCATTTTTCCAATAACTCCCTATCCAAATCAGGAATATCCACCCAAGAAATACTCTTCCCATAGCTAGTAGCAACAGCCATCGGCCCAGTCCCATCACCAAACGCCTCATAATAGTCCAACAATTTCAAAGCCGGCATTTTCGCCACATCATCAGCCGTCGGGTCCGCGATAGCGCGGAGTTTCTTCACCCACTCGCGCATCGGGACCACATCCTTAATACCCATAGTCTCGCGCGCGATATCGACGAGTAAGCCCCAAGGTTGCGGTTTGGAGGGATAGATATTGAAGACCCGCGCATCTTTACTAAACTGTTCGAAGATGAATCTCCGTAGCATAGCAGCGATGGTGTCGACAGGTACCCAGTCCACGGGAGCTACATTCTGGGGGATGCAGTTAAGTGTCTTTGATGTTTTGAGTAGGGCTGAAATCCATGGTTGATCTGCCCACACGCCGGTCGAGGCATTGCTCGGGCCGCCAACTTGGCAAACACGGACGATTGAAACGTGAGTGCCATTTTTTCGGTTCGCCGCCGTCAGGATCCTCTCAGCAGCTTGCTTTGATTGCGCGTAGCCATTGTTTAGCGCAGCCAAGGGGTCTTCCACGGGGATTTCGGGCGCTTCATTGTCGCCCATATTTCCCACCGAGGATATCGAGCTGATAAATACGATATGTAAGTTTCGCTTGCTAAGGAGTGAAATATCAACTAAGTCATTCGTGGCACGTAGAAACGGGCTGAATGAGTGAATCGCAAGGTCGAAGTCAAGCCTCCATGAGTTATACACCACAACATCGACTTCTTCAACGATCAAGTCGTATTGATCCGGACTAAGCCCCAAATTCGGCTTTCCAAGCTCGACTTTCATATATGCTAGCCTGCTTAGGTCGATATTTTTATTGAGCTCGCGGAGAGCTGCCTCTTGTCTTTGTTGTGCATTGCTAGAACGATCGAGGCAGTATACTCGGGCGACTAGAGGTTCTTCAAGGAGAGCCAAAAGAAGACGCGAGCCCAAGTACCCCGTGGAGCCTATTATGGCGACATTGAATGTATCCGTCTCGATACCTTCCGGTATCCGTCCCTCTGGCAGTGCTTCCACGTAACGTGCTACCGTTTCGTCGACTGCGCGAGCCCTCGCGAGGGAAGAATCTTGTTGCGGTATTTTATCCTCATTGAGAAAAGCCGCTACTATGCGGGACAGACCGTCGAGAGTTGAATTGCGGAAAATTGTTCGTGGCGTTATCCATGAGACTGATCTCGAAGTCTGCTCCTGTAGATTGCGTCTCAGATTGGACGTAATTTCTAGAGTCTGGACTGAGTCTAAGCCGTAGTGGAAGAAATCTTCTGTCTCGCTTATTTCGGGCGCATGGGCGAATGACGCGGCGAGAAGAGTCCTAACGAAATCTACCACAACAGGTAGCTCATATACGGGCTTGAGGGTCGGTTTGAGGTTCACAGTAACAGTCTTCGTTTGAGATACTGCTTTTAAGTATAATTCCTCAATCTCATCCTTATAGGCCTGCTCTATGAATTTGCGTACTATGGTGCCTTTGCCAGTTCTAGCGAATGGCTTGTCCGGCACAGAACATATAACATTGCCTCTCGGGATACGGCCCTGACCAGGTACCAAAGAGTTGGATTTTTCAATGAGTGGCCATATTTCTTCAAGCAATTGAGCCCGTTCAGCTTCATCGAGAGCATTGATTGGTTCCACAATTAGCGATGCTTCCGTTCGACCATTAGCGACTATCATCGCACCCTGAAGGGAAGGATGACCTTGAACCTCGGCCTCGAGTGGAAGGGGGTTGAACTTTTCGCCATTAGCTAATACGATTATATCATCACGACGTCCGTAGTATTTGAATAATCGAGGTTTATTCGGATCGGGATGTTGTATGAATAAGTCCTTGGTGGGGTATTCAGTAACACCAGGCAAATTGTGGTGGATCGCACAGGAATCCTTGTTACTCTCGTCGGCGAATATTATCAGCTCGTATGTGCCTTCTGTGGGGTCATAAAGCCGCATCTCATGCTTATAGTGCGGGTTGAACTCATGCCATGCCCAGTCTTCTCGGTCTAAGAATAGCTCTGGTATCTGAAAGGTTTCCGTCGATCCAAATGGTGAAATCAGCCGGACCACGTGCGCAAGACGGTTTCCAACAGCGTCGCTAGAGGGAGCGCCAGCAAAAGCAAGAAACTCCAAGTCCTTGAAGAAGTCTATTCCATTAGGTTCTTTTAAAAGCTGCTCAATCACGGCGGGCACAAGGAACATTGCACGCAGCTTTTGCTGTCGCATCATATCTTTCAGGAGGGCTCCATCTGGAACTAGGTGGGGCGGACCTAATACGGGAGCAGCATTCATGAAGACAGCGTATACTTCACTTAAGTTAGTAAGACTCTCGTATTGTCATACTGTTCTTGGGAAACTTACTGTTATGGGTGAGGAATCCCCCGAGCTACGTCGATTTCGTCCATTAGTCTTTGCACTTCTGCTGAAATGAAGGGCTGATTAAGGTGAGGCCTTACATGAAAATATGGAAACACACTGTATACTCTTGCTTCGCCGTCAAAGTTCCAGATTGTGGTATCCCTTTTGGTTCGGCCGGGGACATCCGGTAAGTTGGTTTCATTATCAAGCGTTGCGAACGAGGCGTGGGTCATTGTAACCGGCTTGGGGAGCCCTGCTTTTATTAGCCTCTCTTTCTGAGTTCATGATATTCGTCTTACCGGTAGACCCCGAAGAGTGTAATACAAGTATTGGATCATTCTTAGCTTCGTCGAACCCCTTTCTATATGGATAGTGCTCAGGGGTACTATTGATCATCTCATCAAACGAAGGGATCACCTTAAAGTGAATTGACGGCTGCAGTCCTTGCAAAGGCTTCACTATAGGTGTAACCTCGGATGTGTGTAGTAACTTCGTGCTCTCGGTCTGATTCATCAATGACAGATTCACCGATGGTGGATTACGGGGCGAGGGAAGCAGAATCTGCACCGATAGTAAGTAAAGGGGCTTAACTAGAGCCGGTGAGTCCGACGAACTTTATATCCGGACTTCACTGCTGCTTCAAACATGACGGCACCGCGGAGATCAGGTACGCCAATGTAGCTGATAGTCTCGAATCGATCGCTGCGACCAAACCTATCCTCAATCCACCTAGCCATAAAGTTGACGGCCCTGGCGAAATCTGCCATGGTGATATCGCGGAAGCCATCGGAGATATCGGCTGTCTTCGGGATAACGGCATAGACTTTATTCGGATCCGACTGTGCAAGTTCATCGAGAACTGCTGGCAATAGCCTACGACCATAGTTCGGTCTCCCTTTTACACCCATGGTTGGTATGTATTGCAATGTAAGTTCAACGGGATAGAAGATAAAGCAACAAGTTTAAATACAAGAAGATGGCGAGTCCCTCATGTAAGAAATATAATCACGTTGGTGATACAACCGATGAAAATATAGGTTTTCCGAGGTTATTATCAAAGTAGAAAGATGTTGCGCTCGTTTATTAACCTATAAGATGGGGTTAGAATAGATATTTTAGATAGCAAGGGAGAGTAATCAATCTGGGGGTGGGTTGGGCTCCTGGTATAGGCTACCCCAGACATCTCTCCACCACAAAGGGGGCTAGTACGTATACAGTAGTATCGCAGTGCTTAGAGGCGTTCACTTGAAAACCAAGCGATTAGTAACTACTAAAGAGTCTCATTTATCGCATTTTCCATAAGTAGTAAGTTAAAAAGGATTAATTGTTTAAAGTAATAGAAGTATGGCGAGATGGTGTCAGCCATTATAAACCGTTACACCGGGAGGTTACTTCGGGTTTTCTCTAACAAACTCAAGTCTGTATAGAGCAGACTTTACTTGATAAAAGGTATAAAAAAACAACTCATGTGGATATAACCGTGGATTATTGTGAGTTTCTATGAGTTTGACCGATGATTCCGAGGAATTCACCCTATCATTCGAAATTAGTATATGTGCTGTGCCTTTCTATCTCCATCACCTCTCGTACTTAGAACAAATGAAAGCGTAATGAAACAGTGGCTCTTGAAGAACCATGTTCTGGCGCATATTTAACATGTTTGATTAGTGTAGACTTTGGAGGTTGGCATACAAGTTATGGATTCTGACTATAGTCGTTTTCTTCCCTGTGAGGCTATGGCGTATTATTAATGGATCAGAGCGACGTTATGTGTTCCCAAGGTTATGAGTTCAAACTAAAAGTTGAGAAATCTTACAAAACCATGGTTACGTAATACAACTATGGCGGGATGTTTGATTAGTAATAAAGTACATAAGCACACTTTATCCACTTAGAGTGGGTTATGTAAGCAAGCCACCGCCAGGATTTCGACTGCCTAATCCCGTCGTACAAATCCTCAACACTTCAAAATCATCCCATTTACATTTTCATTCTTCATCAGCCCACAGTAATTTCGAATAAACCTATCAATATATGGATGCTTTTAAGTTACTGCATCATTTCTCACATTTCATTGTATCATATAAATCAAACTTCTCATCATTTTGAATAGACTTGTAGGATTCAGATAGCTCGCGCTCGACAGTTGCAGGGCTTTCAAACGCGATAATAATAATTATACCGCTAGATCAGCAGCTTCTTGGCTCGAGACAAGGCATCCAATGCACTAAATGTTCTGCCTGGTCGCGCACTAGTTACACTAATAGTACTACAATTAGACCTACTAGGCTGCACTGCCTTCTACCTATTCATCTACCCACGTTACCTGGGTATATGTGAGTAAAGTATTTAAATAACCCACCCCCCCTCTCAATGATTTCAGCTTTTGTGAATGTTTCTTCCTTCTTCATAATTCCTCAGCTACTTTTTTTCTACTGATAGATTGGGCACCTTAAACCTATACACGTTTCACGATCGTCCTTCCTCTTTTCACTCAACATGGCGTCGTCCAATGGTAGCGTCTTCTCAGAGACGCTTCAGGAAATCACGAACACCAAGTTGGAGGAGTTGTCTAAACGACGATCGGACTTCGAAACCACCAAATCCAATATTCTCTCCATGCTAGAAGCTGAAAAGGAACCCACTCAACGTTTATACATCCTGAGTCAAGGCGTCAAGGCATGCTACGCTCTGAAGCTTGGCAAGTTCAAGAAGGTCCCCAATGTTATCGCCCGGTGGCAGCAAAGCTCCGAGCTGGAGGTTGAGTTGAAGAACCTAGACCGCTTCTTAGCCCAAGCCAAATATGATCCATCTCTCTCTCTTAGCATGCTGAAGAAATGGGAAGAATCCCTCCTACGCCACCTTGATACACAGTCATTGAAGTATGAATATGCATCTCTCTACGCTCAGCTAGTTACTGAGTGGTTATCAACAACGGGTGCTAAGGAGGATGAAGTCGATGTAGCCATGACGGAAGGCTTCGAAGATGTCGCTAAAGCGATGAAGCTCGATTCTCGGCAACAATGGGAGCGCACTGTTTTCGAGCCTGCCCAAGTTGATGTAGCCCGTCTTCAATCATACCTCGACCAGCTTTTCGGTGTGGGGAGTATGGATTCGCCAGCCAAATTGAAGGCGTTAAACCATTTCAGACAAAAAGTCGCAACCTTCGAAAACGAAATGGCAGCCCCCAACCAATTTAACCCAAGGACTTTGAGATGGGTTGCCGATGGCCTCCTGTCGTCTGGTCTTCTCTCGGATGAGAAACGCGAAGTGCTAAGGGACTTCAAAAATAACACCATTATCTTGAGTGAGATATCCGACGTTTTAAACATGAGAATTACGTCGTTGAGCTCGTGGTCGTGGGGATCAGCTGTGCCTTTGGAGCAGCGACGACAAATCAGTGGTACATATAACGTGCTTATGCACGAAGACCTCCTACAAGCACTATTTTTACAATACATTGGCATCAAGTGGTCCGTTTTCCTCAAGGAGGCCTTCCTAAAGTTTCGGGGGACTACCGGGGCCTGGGAGTCCGGTTGGAAGAAGATGCCTAACATTGACGCGGAGCGGCGAAAGTACTATCTGGCCGGTGCGGAAAGGGATCGGAAAAATAGTGTTCAATTCGTCAGGGATAGGACTTATCGTAAGCATTATTTCATGGCCCATTTGATGGATCATGAGTCGCAGAGGAACGAGATCGCCGAAGGTGAGGAAGAAGCTCAATACCACGCGATACCACCACCACCACCACCTGCTCTAGCAGTACCAGCAACAGCGCAACAAATGCAGCAGCAATCGTTGATGCAACAGCAAGCGGTAATGCAGCAGCGACAGGCACAGGCATCAGCATCCCGAATGAGACAGGCCCCAGCGCCTTCAGCTCGGCGTGCCCCAATAGCAGGCGGACCTACGGCGGGAGCAGCGCTTTTTGGAAGTGTTAGTAATAACCCAAACCTTTTCCCAAATCGTTCAGTTTACGACCCGCTAGATGACGACGACGGAGATATAGAAAATGATGAAGATTCCGACAACAAGCGACCAATTCAGTCAAAGCAAAGACTATTACGTCTCTTATCAACCGAGATCGCCGTCAATACCAAGCTGTATGGTGAGATGACTGCTTTCCACTCCATGTTTGAAAGGTGGAATACTCTACTTCCCCACGAGACTATTTTGACAGTCTTGTCGTTTTTCGGTGTCTCGAAAGCGTGGCTCAGCTTCTTCAAAAAGTTCCTCACGGCGCCTCTGAAATTCCTTGATGATGATCCCTCCGTACCCGCACGCAATCGCTCTCGTGGCACACCTGCATCCCATGTTCTTAGTGATGTTTTCGGTGAGTCGATTCTATTCTGCCTCGACTTCTCCGTGAACCAATCTACTGCCGGTGCCGCGCTCTTCCGTATGCAAGATGATTTCTGGTTTTGGTCGCGAGACCATTCAGCAGCTGTCACAGCATGGAAATCTGTCACCGAATTTGTCAATGCTACCGGTACATACATCGACTCTACCAAAACTGGCACCTTGCGCATCTCACGGGATCCGGACGTTTCGCTTGAAATCGACAGGTCTCTTCCCCAAGGCGAAATTCGCTGGGGTTTCCTCAGGCTCAACCCACAGACCGGGAAATTTGAAATTGACCAGACAATGGTAAATAAGCACATCATTGATCTGCGCAAGCAACTTCAAGACAAACAGAACAGCGTGATATCATTCATTCAGGCCTGGAACACATATGCAGCGACATTCTTTACATCTAACTTTGGTAAGGCGGCGAATTGTTTTGGACAAGATCACGTTGCACAAATGCTTGCAACCCATGAACGAATCCAGCGCGAGGTGTTCTCGTCCTCGTCTTCTTTAGCGTCTAGCAGTGGAAACCAAAAGGGTGCGACAAACATTGTCGATTTCCTCAAGAATGTCATGGAGGAACGGTTCGGCGTATCGAACATCCCCGATGCCTACCTCTTCTTCCCCATGGAGCTGGGAGGGCTTGATTTGAAGAGCCCCTTTGTATCTATCCTGCAGGTTCACGATACCGTGTTGAAAGACCCCTCCAAGGAGCTAGATAAATTCTTCGAAGCCGAGAAGGACACGTATAATGTCCGCAAGCATGCATTCGAGAGAAACTCCCTCGGCCGAGCGAACCAACCCGGTTTTCAGTGGAAGCCCGAAAACCCGGCGGACCAGGAGAATTTTATGAGTTTCGCCGAGTACGTGCGCTACCGTGAAGATATCGGCTACAATTTCGATAACGACCTCTTTTCGGTGTATAAGAAGCTACTGGAGTTGCCAGTAGAGGACGGGATTCAAACCGCCGACGCCCGAGTCACTAGCGGTATAAACGCGCTTGCGCAACAAGATAATCTGAGGAGTATCACGGCGAATTGGAACTCTATGGAGCCGTATTGGAAATGGATTGCGCAACTCTATGGGCCCGAGGCGATGGATCGTTTTGACGGCTTGAATATCGTTGAGCCGGGACTGTTGCCGATGGGTATGGTGAGTATCTTCCGTGAGAAGAGGGTTCAATGGCAGGCTTAGGAGCTGAGGGAAATGGATGCGTAGCATTACACTAGGATTATGATAAGGAACGGGAGCTATTACGCCTAGTCATTGAACTTGAATGGGTTTATCTACACTCATCTACTCAACCAAGATAGTCCGTAGATTCAGATAGATTAACATTAACATTATGTTATCACTTTAGTTTAGATACCTATTAATTCAGCGAGAAGGCCGTTGAGTGAAACCAGATATACCATCACAATTATACCTACTGAATGCCTACTGTCCTCGGTACATCGAAGAATCAACCGCCGATAATGAAAGACACAACCAATACGTTTCTTCCTCTTCACCCCTTTCCGCATTCTCGTCCAAGTTAATCTCTTTCCTCTTTCCTCTTTTCTCCTTCTGATCCTCCCTCTTGTCCTTCCATCCCGTCGCCTAGGTCAAATTCTTCGATCGTCTCTAACTGCTTCATTCGGCATTGTTGTGGTACCTTCAAGCCTAGGAACAATTTCATGGCAACCATCGCAGCTAGCTTTGGCTCCATTCGAGGCGGTCCTGAAGTAATAAGCCAGATCCGATGATGATCAAGGTAATCTGGTATTTGAATTGTTTCGTCACCTGGTTCTCCCTTAACGAGACAGTTACATACGGTATCGTATCCCATATTCGCATGATGAAAAGTAAATAGGGTTCCTTCCACTAACACGTAATAAAGGCCGTAGCATCCAGTATGTGTGTTCCCGATGATGAGTTGCGGGTCTTCGTTGAACGACTCATGATCGTCCCCTTGGTCAAACACGTATTCCCTGATCTCGTCTTCTAGTTCTTCCGAGATCCTGCGCGATCGCCGGGGTGGTTTCCGTGGAGCGAAGCGCATCCTGTATAAAGGCCACCCCTATTTACAATAGTATTGATCGATGATTTAATCCAGATTAAGTTAGAGCGGATTTTTAGATCAGTTGGATATAGCAAGTACAAGATCTCAGGCAGGGAGATATACAACAAATTTCATTGGCTATAGATGAAGAACAAAGAAACTATTAAGGAACAATGAAGATTATTGTCGATGCACCAGATAGAGCGTAGTAAGTTCCTTTAGGCGGATTAACATTATTACTTTTTATGAGACAACCCTCACGCTTAGAGATAACAAGATGCCACTATCACAGTCTGCCTAAGTGGGAGAAATAGCTGCACTGATGATGGGCACTTGGATAGTTACGAAACAACCCAATGATAATTGAACAATAGCTTTGGGTGGGAACAATTGTTGAGTTCATAGCGAAGATGGCCTAGCACAAAAGCCAGCGATTCCCGCTGCTTTTCTTCTTTCCCGTCCCAGCTCAAGGTATACAGTAGGTACAATACCCAGTAAGTTGACCGATCAAGTAAGAAGTGAGCATCACTGTAGCTCCGTCTATCCACCACTCAACGGATAGTAACTTACCTAGGTACCTATACTAGGAAGACTTGACGGTCATTTACACATTTGAGAGCTCCAAGTAGGTTGCAACCCTTAAACAAACCTCGGAAACCCCCACTAAGGTCGCCTTCCGCAACTACACAATGTGGTACAACTTTGACCGACCCATGCCGAGCCCAGGCTCAAGTGGCGCGCATACGCCCACTCTATTACCGTTTGAGACGGAAGATCCACTGAGCCAGTGGGTTCTCCGGGGTGCTCGAGCTCCATGGCAAGATGAGAGTCCATTAGTCTCCATTTACACCATAGGCTACGACACTGATCACGCGGAAGATAGTGACTCCGATGACAGCGACTTTAGCTTTGGTGGCTATAGCGTATATAACTATAGTGATTATAACGACAGCGAACCAAAGCTATTCCCAATGGAGGGCGACTTCAAGGAACCGGATCCTGAGCCCGCTCCTCCTGAGTTCCAAGATCCGTTCCAAGGAGATTGCCTGATCTACACCCCTCAAGAACCCCCCGAGTACCCAAGTTTAGACGCGCCGCCGCCTCGAAAACGGTTCGTGAATAAGCTTGAGGCTATTCCGGAGGATGATGTGCTTGGAGTGTGTGATTTCATCGAGGATTCCGCATCGGAAAGTTCCGGTACGAATATTTCTGATCTATCTCTTCAACGGACTGTGCAAGTAGTTTACCGTTCCGGATTTGACGGTTCAGGTACCGCATGTACTATTTACACAGTTGGTTCTTCTATTACCGAGGAAGAGGAAGTCACTGACGGCCCCGAGCGCAGGACGATCTGTTCTATGTGCGGAGGTCTCGGCCGGAAGCTCCAACGAGCTAAGCAAAAGCTTGCTCGGGGCCTCGAGAAGGTCTCTCCCAAGAAAGTTCTTGGTCGGGCTCAGAGTATTAAGAATAAAATACGCCGGAAAGAGGCGTAGTTATCTTGATCATGTTTCTTTTGTTTTGGTAAACGACGGTATGAGTCGGTGGAAGAAGGATATTGAAACAGGTCATTGTTTATGCCTAACCCTTAGTCATGGCTATATATTCCCTTTGTTCGGCTACTTCGTAATAGGAGTATTGTTTATAGCTTCAATTAAATTATTATTCTCGAATGAACTGTGTTTTCGCAATGGTTTATGAGGTTTATGTAATCCACGATCAAATAGGGGGCGGGGAAAATAGAGATGAGGTAATCAAGTGTATTATGTAATGTGCAGCTAAGCAACAAAAGAGAGTCAGCTGTTACGCCGTCACGTAGTATGATGCCTTAATACATGACGTAGTCCGCTTGCTTGAACCCCCACCATTGCCTAAGAAACAGCTAGCTATAGCACTCGCCTCTGCTATAGGTACGCATTTATAGGCAGTATACCGTAGCGATTGAAACTTCAAACTCCTCCACTACCTTCCAAGTAACTGTTCTAAGCGCTCCATTAGTGAAGTATTGACGACAGACCTGCTATTCAAATGAATGCTTAACCTCGCCCCAATCCGTCTCCTTAATACTACATCCATTCGCAAAATGTCAACCACGCCCAAAGACATCACAATAATAGGCGGCGGTATCATTGGATGCTGCACCGCTTACTTCCTCACCCGACACCCCTCATACTCACCAGAAACGCATCGCATAACCCTCCTCGAGGCCTCATCGAGCAATTCCGGCGGGCGCACCGCAGACAGCATCCAAGACCCAGCAACACTAGCCGACCCCGCGACCGCATCCAAAAAGAATCCCGCCCACGAAGGAATCGCAGGTGGCGCAAGTGGAAAGGCGGGCGGTTTACTCGCGCTATGGGCATTTCCACAAAATATCGTCCCATTGAGTTTTAAATTACACGATGAATTAGCGAAAGAACATGGTGGCGATAAGAGATGGGGATATAGACGGTGTTATGCGAGCCAGATCGATTGTCGCGCACGTTTACCACCGGGATTTAGTGGTGATGCGACGGGTGGGAAAGATCCCGTTAGCTCTGGCGCGGAACAGGGCTCGAAAGGATTGCATAAGGATCACAAGAAAGATGCTAAGGCGTTGCGAAAGCTAGGCGCTCCTGAGGACTTGGATTGGCTGGATACGGATGAGGCCTTGGCTGCGTACGAGGGAATGGGTACTCCGAAGGATACCGCGCAAGTCCATCCTGAGCTGTTCGCGCGAAGTATGGCTCAATTGGCCGAAGATAAGGGTGTTAAGATTGTGACAGGCGCAAGGGTTACAAACATCAACAAGACAGCAAATGGCGCAAGCGTGGAGAGTGTGACATATATAAAAGACGGCAAGGAAGAAACCCTACCCACAACAGATTGTGTAGTAGCCGCCGGACCATGGACGCGACGCCTCCTACCTAACATCCGTGTCAATGCAACTCGCGCGCATAGTGTTGTTATCAAGACACCGAAATCCGTATCCGCATATGCGCTTTTCACATCAATCATGCTTCCGCCCGGTTTTCCGACCCCGACGTTCAAGGATTCTAAGGGAACACCTTCGGCGCATCGGCCGCTTAGAGGCCAACAGATCGTCGAGCCTGAGATATACGCGCGACCCGATGGCACGGCGTATGCATGCGGGCCAACCGACGATACCGTCGAGTTGCCGTTGACGACTGCAGAGGTTGAAGTTGATGTTGCGCGATGCGAGGATATCATACATCAAATCGGCGGGATCAGCGATGAGTTGGGTAAAGATGGTGAGGTGCTTGCAAAGCAGGCTTGTTACCTACCCCAAGGAGGACCGTGGATAGGAGAAGTTGGAAGTACGAAAGGGCTTGTAGTGGCGGCAGGACATACGTGCTGGGGCATACAGAATGCGCCTGCGACGGGGAAGTTGGTGAGCGAGATTATACTTGATGGAAGGCCGAAGAGCGCGAGATTGGGCGGATGTGATCCCTCGCTGTCATTATGACCGGATTGGATGGGTGCGCTATGAGATAGGACGGCGTAGAGATCATACATAAGTGCTTAGAGGGATTGTAGATATAACTGAGCCTCTATCTTCAAGAGTTTATAAAACATTCCCCTGATCAAGGGTATACATATACTTATTCCACTTTATTCTTTTCATTGTTTTCTACACCATCTTAGCGATTAGAGCGTGATTTGAAAGTCTAGATGCATCGTAGATCTAAGTGGATCACCGTATACTATTACTCTAAGTCGCTCAATCCTAGCACGCCCTATTAGTCAATCGCACTCCGCTTCGGCTCCGTAGTCCGATATATACCTGGAGTACCATCAACTATTCCGACCCCTTTATCAACTTCCACGATAACTACGCATCATTTATAGCCTAAATTATAATATCGTCATAGCGGACTGAGAATCTCCCAATTCACAATGGCCTCAGCATCCGCCACAAACACTCCACTGCCAGATTTGCGCATAGGATGGATCGGCCTAGGTAGTATGGGCGGCGCAATGGCTAAGAACATCCACAAATACCTCTTATCTCAAGGGCGTCAACCAATACGCTTCTTCAACCGAACAGCTTCACGTGGTGATGCGCTCGAGGCCATCGGAGGTATCCGATGTAAGGATGTAACACAAGTCGCCCGCGAAAGCGATGTGATTTTCATATCTGTGAGTCATCCCCATACCCCCAAAATCCAATCCGCCTTTCTAACCATATAAACAGGCTAGCGATGATAAAGCCGTAAAGTCAATAGTATACCAGATTCTAGATTTAGGGGATGTAGCAGACAAGATCGTGGTTGATACTACTACTATTCATCCCGATACTACTAAGGAGCTTGCTGCGAAGCTAAGTAATAAGGGTGCTGGGTTCGCTGCTACGCCTGTTTTCGGCGCGACGCCGGTGGCGGAGGAAGGGCGGTTGCTAGTTGCGTTTGGAGGTTCGACGGCTGTGTATGAGAAGGTGGCGCCTTTCCTTAAGGATGTTATTGCACGGGAAGTTTTGGTTGTGGGTGAGAAGCCGGAGAAGGCGAGTTTATTGAAGACTACGGGGTGCGTTACTACCTACTTACCAAGTCCCCCTATTTTGGAGACGCATTGCCCTACCAATTAAGCTTAAAAGGGGCCAAGGTGACATTCACTAAAGCCTAACTACAGAAACTTCTTAATGGCCGGCCTTATGGAGCTCATAGCCGAAGGCCACGTCTTCGCCGAGAAAACCGGACTCGGTTCCGCGGCTCTGGAACGGCTTCTAGAACTAAACTTCGGGCCCGTCGCATACTCCGACTCGGTACGCATGACGACCGGCGTGTACGCGCCTGGTAGAGACCAAGCGCCGTGGTCGGATCTCGATCTAGGGCTCAAAGATGTTGGGCATGGAATTGACTGTGCTGGGCGCACGGGCGTTGAGTTGAAGGTCGCTAATGTGGCATTTGAGAATATGAAAAGGGCGAAGGAATATTCGGACAAGAATGGTGGGAGGAAGTTAGATTCGTCGTCGTTGTATGGCATTGTAAGAGAGCAGGCGGGTTTGGATTTTCGAACGGAAGTTGTGCAAAAGAGAGACGAGGAAAAATAATTTCGGAGTACATCCGAAATACTCTTTTGCTTGTGGTCCTATGTGTCGGATGTATGCCGACGCCATATTACTAGTCGTATAGAAGAATTCCATTTTTCGGAGGTGTTCCGATGCTATTTCACCACAAGATGTAGAAGATTGGAGACGGCGCATGGGTACCTATGTATATGAATTAAAAGACGAATTTCATATTTATTTAATCCTTCCTAATATTCTCTTTAAATAGCGACACTATACCAGTGGTTCCAACCACTCGTGAGAGCAGTTCTACAGAAAGGACGCTATTGTCCTACACGAGGGTTAGGGTTGATGCAAAGTTGGGGTTGGGGTTAAAGGTAACGCCGAGGTTAAGGGTTAGGGGTAGGGTAAACTCGTTTGTGTCGTTAGAGCACTACCGCTTCTAGGACGGCCAAAGAGGACAATTCAATTGGATTTCGAAAAACTCCAATACTTTTCTAGGATACACTATGATTGGTTTTTGGATTTTTGTCCTTTCACAAATCAGCTCTCGCATCTTCACCAGCCCAAGCTCGGCGGATCAACTCCCTTATAGGCCCCCTTTCAATAGGCCGAGGGTTCCAATAAGGGTTGCTCACGGCTATATCCGCTGCTTTGTCGATGTCGCTTTCCTTCATCCCCAAGGCTTTCAACCCCCTTTCGACTTTCAACTTCTGCAGGAGAATATTCAATCCTCTTGTCGCATCTCCTTCGCTTTCTGGCAATGCCTCAGCCAATGCCTTCATCGCCTGGGGAACATTCGGGGCATTATATGAAAGCGCATGAGGTAGGACTATAGTATGAGTATCAGAGTGCGGAAGGTTAAAGCTGCCTCCTAGAGTATGACAAAGCTTATGGTGAATTGACATCCCGACGCTGCCGAGACAAGTTCCACATAGCCATGCACCATAGAGTGCGGATGACCGTGCTTCCTGCGAAGATGGGTCTGAGACCAAAGTAGGAAGAGAATTTGCGAGAGCTTTCACTCCCTCTTGAGCGAAAAGATTAATGATGGGATTTGTATTGCGAGCGTATAATGCTTCAACAGCATGCGCAATAGCATTAACACCACTAGTAGCTGAAAGCCCAACCGGAAGGGTCATGGTAAGGTCAACATCATAGACGACAGCACTCGGCAATATCTTCGGATCGGACTTTGTCGTCTTTCTCCCTGCATCTGTCTCGCCCACAATTGGTGTCACCTCGCTACCAGCGTATGTTGTGGGGATTGTCAAGTGGAAGAGATCGGTTCGAATGCTTAATGCTTTGCCCAACCCGACGGTGCTTCCGCCGCCAATGGAGACAATGGAGTCGGCCCCAGAGGATTTGACTTGCTCGAGTGCCTTTTCCGTTACCTCTACAGGAGTATGCATTGTCGCCTCGGTGAATACACCGGCGACGACATCTCCTAGAACGCTTTCGAGTAAATCGATATGTCCGACTTGCTGTGGTGTGCTAAGGAGAAACGGCTTAGACACTTTTGCTCTCGCGAGCTCATCCGGTACCTTTTTTATAGTACCACTTCCGAAAACAATTCGGGCAGGATTTCCGTTGTATTCGAAGCTGTCCATATTGAGGTAAAACTGTTCCGTTCAGATATGGTATTTCTTAGAATAGTTCTTTACTATGATTGATGGTATTTCGACAACTACAATAATCGGGGTAGATATCCTACTTATCCGATTTGATTTGTATTGGGCCCTTACTTACCGTAGCGGGCAAACGGATTCCCTCAACTGTAGAGAATATCGACCGGTAATAAGTGCCGACGCCACTTGATGCAATGGCTTTGTTCGTTAGAGGGCCGTTCCCCGCATCGGAGAGCGAAGGGATCTCGCACGAAAATAAGCTACTCGTCATCATATAACCGAAAGAATTCGAGTCATCTGGAAAGAAGAAAAGAAACAGAAAAATTAGATCTAGTGACAATGGAATGTCTTGGACTAGATACATTTTCTCAGTGATATCAACCACTATGATAGCATCATGGTAGTGATATGAATTCCAATACTCGGAAACCTAAGATGCGCAATTACAGCCATAAGATCGAATATTCTCTAGTAGAAACTTGATGAATAAAGCAATTCAGGAAAATGATCAACTCCTGAGAAATAAATGCCAGTATAACATGTCAGAGTAGTATTTAAAGTAACCGAATCAATATGGCATCTCATAGATCATCTCTTGATACAGATTAATTGATTTGGGGACGCGAAAAGGTGAAACAATTTAGAGCTGAAAACCTGGAGTTAAAGCACCAAAGCTTGCTAAATTGTGAGGAAATAGAACCCTGTTATTGGCTACTTCACTGGGCTTAGCGCCGGAACGACCCAGCCACCCCACAAATGTTAGGTCGGATCACCCCAATCATTTAAGCTTAGGATCCGTCGCTCGGGCAACTCAATTGCAGCTTAGCATCTGTAAACAATTCTTTCCAAGTTTTGTGTGCTGCGCCTTTCTAGTTGGGTCCTCTTGCCAATTGAACCTTACCGTACATACACTTTCAACGTTTTTCCTACATTCCTCGGAAGTCGATACCACCGTTTAACTTTCACATTAGCCAAAATTTTAATCTCGAGACATTTTTGAAGCGATCGATAATCGAAATACCACAATCGCGCCGGCACCGGGTTCATTAATATTTTTCACCGGTCATCGCACACAATTACTCTCAACTTTTACACGAGAATAGGGGAGGATGCCCGCGGCCATAGATGGCCCGACAGTTGCTCTGTCGTGTATGTTCCCAAGGCCCAATTCACAAATACGGCGTGGAATACAGAATACTAATTTATAAAACCAGTCGCCAACAACTTCTGGGGCAAAGATGACGCCGGTGTAGGTCCATTGCTCGATCGCATGGCCTCTGCGAAGCAGACCAGCGACGAGCTCAGATCTTTTTATAGCGGTAAGCACCTCAATTGACATTTATATTCCCAAGCATAAGCTAACAATTGTACTACAACAGCTCGCTCCTCCATCGAAGACGAATACGCACGCAAACTCATGTCGCTATGCCGAAAGCCGCTAGGTACTCACGAGATGGGAAGCCTAAGATTGTCTCTAGATACCGTACGAGGAGAAATCGAGTCGATGGCCAAACAACATGCAAACATAGCTGCCCAAATGAAAACCGAATTGGAAGAGCCGTTAGCTGCTTTCGCTGGAGGGATGAAAGAAAGGCGGAAGATCGTCCAAAATACGGTGGAAAAATTGCTCAAGATCAAAATACAACAAACCAATCAGGTCAACAAGGTGAGTAGTGTAATCATTTTCTAACCATACTAGTGCAAGTTCTGACACTATTGCTGCTAGACTCGTGACCGTTATGAGAACGATTGCTTGAAAATTAAGGGCTATCTTGCCCAAGGTCACATGGTCATGGGCCAGGAGGAACGAAAAAACAAGGCCAGATTAGAAAAGACACAGATCAGCCTCGCTACATCCAACACGGAATATGAAAATGCAGTGAAGGTGCTCGAAGAAACAACCGCCAGGTGGAACAGAGAATGGAAGGCCGCCGCCGATAAGTTCCAAGACCTAGAGGAGGAGAGATTGGATTTCACAAAGAGTAGCTTATGGACATTTGCCAATATCGCCTCGACTGTTTGTGTTAGCGATGACGCATCATGCGAGAAGATCCGCCTGTCTCTTGAGAATATGGACGTCGAGAAGGATATCATCAACTTCATCAGTGAAAGGGGCACTGGTCAAGAAATTCCCGACCCGCCCAAGTATATCAACTTCTGCCGTGGTGATGTAGAAGACCATCATTCTGAGGTTTCAGACGATGAGAATTATTCGGTGGCACAATTCCCACGAAGTATCAATCCTGCTTTCCGTACCTCCTCACCGCAGCCATCGACCTTCGAGTCGCATCACGACCCTAATTCAGCTCTCGCTAGAGACCTAGCGCATCAGGAACCACCCGCCCCTGCTGCCAGAGAGCCGGCGATAGCCTCACAAAAGACATCAGGCGCAGTTGTCTCCCAACAAGACCAACGGCAAAGAGGTGCTATACAGCAACAGCAGCAGCAGCAGCAATACCCGAGGAGTATCAATCCCGGATTCCGTGCTCCTTCACCTCAGCCATCCACCTACGAATCTCATCATGATCCCAATTCTGCCCTTGCCCGGGACCTTCAACGTCGCGACCTTGATCCTCCTGCTCCTCGAGATTTACGTCGCAACGACACGAATCCCCCATATTCTCGAGAACTGCAACGCAGTGAACCTAATTCCTCATACTCTAGAGATTTACAACGCATTGAGATTAATCCAGCTTATTCTCGTGATCTCACCCCCCGCGACTTACAGCCTCGAGATTTAACACCCCGCGAACTTCAAACCCGGGACCTACAGCCACGGGAACTCCAAACTCGCGATTTACAACCTCGAGAATTACAAACTCGGGATATACAGGCTCGAGATTTACAGCGTCACGAGCCAGAACTCTCTCTCACTAGAGACCTGCAGCGCCACGACCCTAGCCCACTCACCCCGCGGGATATGGCTCGTAGCGAACCTCCCATTTCCAGCAAAGAGCCAATTGGTTTACCACAGAAAGCCTCAGGATCTGTAGTAGCCCCACAAGAACGACGACAAGGAAGCACCAGTACACAGCAGTACGACGCCTCTCAATTTGCAGCGGTTCCACACGACCCATATCCTATGGACGGGATGACTATGCTGTGTCGTACAGACGGTATGAACTCTGCAACCAGCTCCAACCTGTCAGCACGGCCATCAAGCCGTGATGATAACAGCGAATATTCGAACCCGACGTCGTTCTCTAGTCAAGAACCACCGAGCGGCAAGGTATCACCTATAAAACAGGAGCCAGTAGTAGTAGCGCAGCCAGAAAAGCGCATGATGAAGAAAAAGAGCGGCTTCTTCCAGAACCATAGTCCATTCCGTAGGAAGAGTGTTAAGGACATACAACAGCCGCAACAGTCATCGAATCGAAACACCTGGGGCCCTGTGGCTACCACGTCTTCCCAGAGCACTCCTATTTCTCGACGTCCCCAAGTTTATCAACCCCCAGAGCCTCAAACCGTAATTCCAGACAGGATAGAAAAGACAGCTAGCCCTGAGCCTATCGAGGCCAATGCAAGTCTAGCCCTGAATATTGGGCAAAATGTGTTTCCTGTGGCCAATACAGATAAGCGCAAGAAGGCTGCTGCTGCTGAGAGTGAGCCTGCTCCTCGGGAGCAAGATCCTATTGCCGCAGCTCTTGCGGAACTCAAGGGTGTTGGTGTTGGTGGTAATAAGCAAGCTGTAGGAAGGATTTCAGCAGATCACTATCATGGCATTGCTACGCCTCAGCCGGACCGACCTGCACCAGAGAGGACCATACCCGATCGAACTGCGCCCGACCGATCTCCTGCCATGTCCCGATCCGTCCCTGTCCCTAGAGCGAGCACTGATGCGGCTGCAGGTATGAGAGGAACACCGCCACCGTCGTATGATCAACAAGTGCAGAGGCTGGGAGTCCCTCCTCCAGCTGTTACTTCCAAGGCAATGCAAGAGGCATCGCGGAAGTATGTGGAACAGACGAGAGACATTTTTAGTGCAAGACGTCCGGGATCTGGTGTCTACAGCCATTCTTTTAACAGCAGTACCTCTTCTCGACCTGCGACCAGAGGCAACGAGATGCCCCGCGCAGCATCACCAGCAGCCCCGCGCAGCGCTTCCCCACAACCGCAGGCTAGAACCCACCAAGAAACGCGGCAAAGCCAAAGCTACCGCTCAGCGTCACCAAACCCTTACAGCAGCAGCCAGACACGTAACTCACCAGCGGCTTCACCAAGTTCATATGGCGGTAGTCGACAACGGGAGTCTCCAGCGGCATCGCCGAGTTCTTATGGTGCCTCGCGCAACTCGCCGCAGGCGACTATGTCTGTTAAACGTGGCTCGGAGTCAGGATATTACGGACACAATTCTCCCAATAACTCGATAAGAGCGACATCCCCATCGCCATACAGAGGCGATTACAGCCGACCAACTAGTAGGGCCGGAGAAATGGCTATGCAGCTTGCCCCAGTCAACGGAGAAGGATCTGTCTACGGATCGATGCGTGGAAGAGGTAATGGAAGACCTGATACAAGTTCCAGTTCACGAGCCATGACTTTCTATGATGGACGAGACCCTGTAGCAGAGACTTCAAGACAACGAAGTAAAAGTGTTGCGGATCCGAGCAGACAGTACACACCGGATGGCCGTGCTATTCTACATTATGGTAAGCCTTATTCCCAAGTATCGACTACGATATTTAGTATAGAAACTAACATTCTTACAGCTCGAGCACTATACATGTACCAAGCAGCAATTCCCGAAGAGTTAGGGTTCGCCAAAGGCGATACTCTAGCTGTTCTTCGACACCAGGACGATGGATGGTGGGAGGCCGAGATTCACTCGGGACAAGGCGTTGGCAGAGGTGGGCTGGTGCCTAGTAATTATCTGCAACCTTGTTAAAATTCATCATAAGGGGGGTCATTGGTTTTGCTCTTGCTCTTGGTTGACGAGACAAAGATTCATACGACTCATGAAAGTTAATACTGCTTCAGATGTTTCGGTGGGATATGTGAATAGGCATGTCGCGGGGAGGTGATGGACAACATATGGTGTCTTATAAGCAGGCAGGCGAGCAGGTATATGGGTGCTTTTTTACTTCTTTTTTTATGAGTTCTTGGTCATTTCTTCTTGCTAAAGCAGGCTTGCACCTTGCATGTGTTCAGGAGAGCATTCTGTGTAAGTCATTATTCTTTGCCAATTTCAAGGCAGGGCAATCATTCAAGGATTGGGGAGTTTTAACGAGATTGCATTTTAATATATATACCACATAAACCAGTCCTGTTCGTTCGATTTATTGCGATATGTCATGAATTTTGAGATTGAACCATTGTGTAGAAATAAGGAAAAGATAAGATGAAGAACCTCAAATTTGAAAAGTTCCTCGACAATGAACTTCGTAGGCTTAGTCAGCAGCGCCATGACGTCGATGGTCCCCCGAGGGGCTGGCACGGAAGCGGCACGTCGGTCGCCAAGAACTCCGTCGCTAGTAACAGAAACCAAAACATCGTCACATGCTTTCCACCTATTCTACCCAGGGCATCTTCTAACTTTCCTTTTGCAACTAACACTACTGCTGCTACTGCTGCTTCTTTAGCTTCTTCGTCTTTTAGTGCTTCATCTGAAGAACGACATTCTGATCGACCGAGAGGTTTGGCGCCCAAGGGCGCTTCTGCCTCGCGAGGGAAAATGGTGAGTTATACCTGTATGAACATACAATTTATCTGGGGCTAATATCATCATGAAATAGCAATACGTAAAAGGCTCCTATAGAGCTGCGACATCGCCAGCAGCTCAGAGAACGTATTTGAGCGCTGCATTATTTGGGGCCGCATCCTTGGCGCTATTGTGCATCGCTGCTTTGGCTTATCCCATCTTCTACTACAATTACGTGCCTAAGAAGCTTATATCGATCCCGGTGCATTTACAATATGAGTAAGGGCTTTTTTATCTTTTTAATTGTTACTTCATAATTGGCGATATTAGTTAATATGTGATCCCGTACATAGCTCCGGTATTAATCCATATGGCGTCGCATCACTTTCCTCGAGCCTCATGCTCGAGCAGGCTTACGACGTATCGATAGAACTCACAGTGCCGCGGTCTCCCTCGAATCTCCAAAAGGGAAACTTCATGGTCGCTCTATTCGCGATGAAATCCGTGCCGGATAATCGCGCGTTCGCATTTTCTTTCTCAGCTGCGACCGAGGACCCTTACGCCCACCTAAAGGAAGATAATGTCGTTTTTATGAGTCGTCGGCCTACGTTGATCCCGTACGAAGACCCGCTCGTAAGTACAGCATCACGCGTCATGTTTTTGCTATATCACATATTCTACCCCGGAGCTTCGGAGCAGACGACACTCACGATTCCGATGGGCGAGTTAGTCGAATTCAGAAATGTATTGCCGCTTAGTATCCTACTCGATGTGCAGGCCGGGCAGACGCTTCAGGTATATTCGGCTACAGTCACGCTTGTCGCTCGTTTAACGGGGATTCGTTGGGCGATGTACAATCACCGGATTATCTCATTTGTCGTGTGTACGACTGTCTTCTGGATTGCGGAGATGATATTCACGGGGCTGGCATGGTTAATATTAAGCCACTTCATGAGTCGAAAACCTGATGGAGCCGGAGAAATTGGGCAGGATATTGTTGCTGGTGGTCCTTGGATGGGTCCACCTCCTAAGGGTATGCCACATGATGAAACGGGGGATTCGGATAGTGATGGAGATTCAGAAGTTAAGAAAGAGGAAGACGACGACGACGATGATGTGGAAGTCAAAGAAGAGACCCCGGAGCGAGAGACCTTGGTGGATCAGCCGGCGGACGATGAGGAAGATGGTGATGATGTCTGGAGAGAGTCAGGTGCTGGGACAAGTTACAGTCACGAGAAGGAGGGAAGTCTGCGTAGACGATCGTCACGAGGAGGAAAGTCTTGATTGATTGATGGCATGGGATACTCGGACGTAGAGTAGATGTTCTTGGTCACCCATTTATTCTATTTAATATGAAGTTATTTCACCATTATTTCGATCCGGAATATTCTGCCCAAGTAATTATCTTTGAAAAGTACAGATCTAGTTACATATAAAATATGTACGTAGGGAGTCTCGTGCCATCGAAGTGCATGTAATAGATATTGTACCTGTGAATTTCAACCAATTGGAAAGCCGGGGTGGGATTTCATGTACAGTACCTAGGTACCTAGATACCTTTCCGTCGCCTTTAAACCTTGATAGCAGTTGAACAGCGTAGCAACCTTTGACGTGTTCAGGTGACGAGGGGGTTCCAAAACGGCGGCTCGACCAATTAAAATGATTCAGTGTCCCCCGCCATGGAGCATGGTTGACAACCGAACCAGGACTCGACTGGGTCTTTGACTTTCTTTCGTTACAACATCTTTCTCTCGACTTTTTTCACCACCGACAAAAAGACGTGCAATGCCAACTTACATAAAAAAAAGGACAATAGGTCGCATTATCACTGATTCCACTGATTGAAATTCGCATACACTCAAATATTATTTATAAAAAAGAGTGTTGTTCACATACGATAACTAACAAGAAGTGTATTTAATCGTGCACAATTCGTAACAAGCGAGTGCAAGAGGGAGAGTCTTCAACGCACGCAAATCCCACCGCCAAAGAGCATTTGAACCCGGTACGGTACGATATTCGTGGTGTACATACACAGTACGGTACCTACATTACAATACCACACATTAAGGCCCGGTTTGCACGGCATACTCTTACTCGCTCGACTTAAGTAACTCGTGACTTGGATCAGGCTTGATTCAAACACCAAAAGAAGAAATTCAATACAATAAAAATTCCCCATACGCCCAAGACAATTCCTACTGGCTCTGCGATTCGAGACCCAAATGCCTGCGGGACATATGCAGCATTGGGGCTGATGATTCTTACAGTACAGTGTTTTTTTAGTACCTAGGTAGCTAGTGAGAGGACCTGGAAATTCACCTACACTACCTACCTACCTAAACCAGGACTACCTAGCACACCGCCGAGGGAGGAAGTGTGCAAATTGCCTTCTTTTATTTTATCATTATTATTTTTATTTTTTTACTGCCCAAGCTAGCTAGGACCTACCTAGAACCTTACCTCTTCTCTATCTTCCATTCATTTCCTCGCCTTACACTACATTCATTACTTACCTCGTTGCCACGAATTATTCCCCATTTCGAGACGATCCCACCTACAACCGAAACTCGAACGGGGCCAAGTTTCCACAGTATCAATACTTAGTGAAGCTTGGTTTCTTAACAAACAGCTACTGGAACTTTTCCCTCCCCAACATAGCTCGAGTTAACTCTCCACCGCCTCCCGGAATTTCTTCCCTTTGCACGCGATAAAGAAAAAAAACGAGTCGACCGCTTCTTCACCATACCTACAATTCTCTCTATTATCACGCCTAATTCTCACTCACGATGCCCTGCTTTAAGGGCATCGCAGTTAGCATTCATGCGAACTCTGCCCCACTCCCGGAATACGGTCTGCAGAAGCAATCTCGTCTCTCTCGCATCAGCACCTACATACCTGTTCCGCAACCTCAGCTAAACCCGGAGACATCTAAACATGAAGCAGCCAAATTCGCAATCTCAATCACCTTACTGACGCCCAATCACCCGATTCCCTACACGACTCCGAAACCAACCGCTGCGAATCCCCACCCGAGACCCCTCTACGCGGGGCCTCTTCCGTCGTCGACTTCTGATCCCTCCAAGCATGCCAACACCGTAACCCCGTATATCCCTATGACAAATTCCGAAAACGAAACTATCGCTGCATATATCTATTTTGACGGACGAGCTAAAGAGGAGGTCGCTACTCTATTACGGCCAGGAGAAGAAACCTGGGTTAACAGCCGTTGGGTACAAGTTCCTGACAGTGAAGGCGGTGGCTTAGCCGAGCGAGAATTCCTGTTCCGCGAGGTCGGTTTAGAAAGATGGCTCAACGGATTAGACCTTAAAGGCCACGATGCCGCAGAAAAGGTTGAGAAACGAAGACAGAAGTTCGAGAGACGTCACCGCCGGCATAGATCTACGCCCCACGGTGGTGAAATGGAAGCGGAGAAGACTACAAAGACTCGAGATACTCTAGCCTACGGTGCGGACGACCAATCCCCTCTAGGAAGCCCCGACGACTCGGGTGACGATTCTATGTCTGATGACGACGAACCTCCTGAAGCTACCGGTCAAATTAAAGTGGCTATGTTCCGAGTGATTGCCTCTGGAGAAATTAAGAAGGGAGAGTATTCACCTCAGTTCGATGCCCACGACGATGATGACGAAAGTGATGCCGAAAACAAGGGGGGTAGCAATGGGGCTATCGATGCGGACGTCGAGCACACCACTAGTTTTGCTAAGCCGAAGACTCTGGATCCGAAGACTATCAGTACTCAGACAGTGACTGGGATCGACGGTCCCGACAAACCATATGCGGTTTTCACCTTCTTCTACCGTGGCCAACGTAAGTAACTTTTTTGGATGTGATTTGTAGTTAGATGCTGACATTAAAACAGGCCAACTTACTAAGATGGGATTGTTCCCCGGCGCCAAAAACGACCAAAAAGCACCGGGTGCTAAGAGACGATCTACTCAACTAGATTTCTCTGGCCTCGGCCCATTGAAATCTACTGGTACCGTTGGATTCTCCGCTTTTAGAGATCAAGGGGCCGAAAAAGCCAAGAGACGCAAGGCTCGGAGGAAGAGCAGCAGCGCAAACAACGGCAACCTTATGGACGAAGATAGTGATGACGATGATGATAACGATGTTGATCCCCTTACCAAGATGCAGGAGAATGACGACAAGGACGTCAAGACCCATCTGGCACCAGAAGATGCCAAGGTAACCGGGGAATTACAAGCTGGTATTGACCGGATTCGCGTAAGTTTTGTCAGCCTCATAAATACTACAATTATGCTAACAATTGCATTACAGCTCAAGCGACAGCATTCAACGGAACCCGATGCTTCCGGTGCATCAAGCTCGAGAGTATCACCTGGTGCAGGCGCTAACGCTGGGGAATCCACACCCACGGAATCGTCATCAAGCAATCAAGCCGTTCCTAATTCGGTAGCAAACCTACTTTCTCAAGCTTTCAACGGAGATACGACTATTGGAAGTCCCTTAAAGAAGCAACGAGCAGACGATGAGACGCCAGACCGTTCTATAGGCTTCCCGTCTGCCTTAGGCGATGTATTAGGTAGAGCTACAGCGGACCAACAGAAGAAGGAAGCACAATCTTCGGCCCCAGTCGAGGATGAGGTACTGTAGTTCGGCTATCACTTCCTGGCGGGGACAGGGCTATAGGGTATCAACCCCGATAGCATCGGCTACGAAATGGATGCTACCTAGTTGTTTCGGGTATTTACGAAGCACTGAAGAAATGAGTAATGACAGCTTGCAGGGGAGCAGGCGAGCCAAAGGGGGGATTATTTTGGAGTAGGAAAAACGAAGGGTATTGAGATTTTGCCGACTCATGTAGCAGTGTGTTGTTTGTTCACGGAACATACCGACATTTTGCTAGCAGCGTATACGAAAAGCCACCGCACCACTCAGCCAGATACCAATAACGATAGTATCCTGAGGCGAATATACCCGATGATCACGTACGTATGACAAGGTCTCACAGGAAAAAGGAGGCTTCCACTTGGCCGGACCATTTCGATTAGATTTTGTTGGCTAGGTGGCGATGGTACGCACGTTTGGTCATGGGTGGTTGACTACTTACATGGTGCTTTTAAAATTAAACACTTTGGTGATGGTGGTGGTAGAGGCGGTAGATGATGACAATGGCGGGCTATGTGGATAGGTGGATTCGTTTCTATGTGCGATTCGTTTATAGAGAAAATACCCGAACAACAATACTAAATAAACAGACAACAATAAAAGAGTTGAGCCAGCAACTGCGAGGTTGTAGGGGCTTTCTATTTTAATGATGGGATGATGATTTTGTGGTTGTGTTTTAGTGTGTATGTTGTAGTTGATGGTTTGGATGAAGACTTGTGTTGCCGGGAAGGGACGATATTCGTCTCTTCCTTGGCTAAGTGTCTAGCTACATAATGTATGAATATCTATCACATAGAAATATCCTATTTATCTCCCTTTTTCCTGCTCAAATAAGTACCAATATGCTGGAGGAAGTGAGGCTCCCCCAACCTCCCCTATTACGTCTATTACGCCGCATACAGTGCACTGCGGGGTTCGCCCAAGCCACTAATTACTACCTAGAAGTGCACTAAGATCCTTCTAAGCCGCCTATCTCTCCCTGGTATGATGCCGCATTAAAATGTAAATCAAACGTCTCATTCATATTTATACTCGTAGATATCAAAATTATATTTTGGGGGGCTCGCAATCCCACGGACAACTCAAAGGAGCATACCTTGATTAGTCGTATCTGTCCTGCCTGTCCGCTGATATGAGGCTCCCGCTTGAGCGCGGGGCGGCTTTGCTTGTCCTACCCACGGCTTTTGCGCTCGACCAACCTGCAAATTTTGGACGGAGAGAGGAACAGAGAGTCCTATCTGCAGGAAATGGAGTAAGTGGCGGTGGTAAAGGGAGAAATTACCCGTTGGGTGATAAGTTTAAGGAATTCGCGGAAGCATCGCTCGAGCGCTGGCGTGTACCAGGCGTGGCGGTGGGCGTTGTTGATGGGGTAGATATTTGGACTGAGGTGAGTTGTTCTTGGAGATTTTGTTGAATTCTTGTTTTGAGTTGGTTGTTGACTATCTGAGGTGCTCTGTATTTGATATAAAAGAGGGATCTACAACTTTATGGACTTTGTGATAAAGAGAAGAGTTCATGGCGAAATCATTATTTGATTGGTTTCAGTTATTTGAGAGTGATCAAATTTGTGGTTAGGGGTTGGGATATGAGTTATCAAGTATACCATATCATATTGTGTTAAGGGAATGAGGCGCATAAAGATTCCACTTTAGATATCAATCATAAATCCAACACAGAGCTAACATAACACATAGGGCTACGGCATCGGCACCTTCCCCTCAAAGCCCGTAACACCATCAACACTCTTTTACACCGGAAGCACAACCAAAGCCTTCACAGCCGCCACCGTATCCCTCCTAATCGCCTCCGGAAACTTCACCCCCGAAGGATCCCCACTCTCCTGGCAAACCCCCATCTCACACCTAATCCGAGACGACTTCGTCCTCCCCCCAGGCAACGAATGGGCACAGACCCATCTCACACTCGAAGACGCACTATCCCACCGCACCGGTTTCCCGCGGCACGATAAAGCACTAGGCCAATACTACGGACCCGATCACCATCGGGGTACCGTGCGCGATGTAGTACGCAGTTTTAGATACTTGCCACCTGTTACGGAACCTAGGACTCGGTGGCGGTATTGCAATCTCATGTACATGGTCGTGTCGCACGTTGTGCAGACGTTGACCGGGCAGTGGTTGGGGGATACGATGCGTGAGCGTATTTGGGAGCCGTTGGGGATGGTGGGGACGTATTTTAGTGTGGAGGAAGCGTTGGATAATGGGGAGGATGTTGCTGCGGGGTATTATTGGGATTATTCGAATTTTGAGAATGGGAGTGTGGAAGGGAAGGGGAAGGGGTTTGTTGAGGTTCCGAAAGAAAGCTTGTATCTCGCTAGTGGTGCTGGTGGGATTGTTAGTAATGTACAGGATTACACGCGTTGGATACAGTGTTTGATACGGGGAGATCGGACCAGTCGTAATGAGAGCGTGGAGAATGGATGTGAGGTTTTACCGAAGGAGGCGCATTTGGAGTTGAAGTTACCGCGTATTGTTATGGCGCATGAGAATCAGTTGATGTATGACTCTTCGCTGGCTTATGCGTTGGGTTGGGAGGTTGGTACGTATAAGGGGCATCGAATCTTCACGCATAGTGGAGGTATGGAGGCGTATGGTGCTGAGGTGTACTTTCTCCCGGATCTGGAGTATGGTGTCGTGACGCTTGGGAATACGGCGCAGACGAGTAATTTTGTAGGATGGGATATCTCGTGGAAGCTTATTGATAATAAGCTGGATATTCCGGAGGAAGAGAGGTTCGAATATACTGAGCAGTAAGTTTCCTATGAGAGGCTCCATCATCCTGGGCCTTTTCGGGCTTTATTGGTACTAACAATTACGAATAGGGTCAATGAAATCTTAAAGAGCCAGCTCAAGTTACCCGAGACAGCGGTAGATGACTTATACCCGGATCGAGCAGATCCCCCGCTTCCTCGAGCACTCCCACTCGAGGACTACGTCGGTGTTTATTATCACCCGGCCTACCAGAACGTCACACTCGAGCTGATTGGTAAGGATGAAGTCTCTGGGAGTTGGCCAAGGATAGGAGGAAAGAAGAGTGAACTCAAGGCCATTCGCGATAACATGGAGTGGCAGATGACATTTGAATTCGGACATGTGTCGGGCGAATACTGGGTGGTTATCGTGGATTCTTTGTATGTGGCCAATGGGCTTGCTAGGCAACTAGCTCGTGCTGAGTTTGAGGTTGGGGCAAAGGGTAAGGTCGAGAAGTTGAAGATGGAGTTCTTTGAAAATGGGAGTGAAGGTGCAATTGTGTTCGATAAAATAGCATGATACGATAGAGATTCGGTTCATATTTAGCACATAGAAAGGAAATTAAAGTACACCGCACTTAAAAGTAGAACGATATCCAATATTAATATATCTAAAGCTACACTATCATTCAATTCCTCAGTAACAGGCTCAAGATCTACGCCACATATACGCGATGACATCAGAGGCCTTCGCAACGCATGTGTACACCCGCGATCTTCATCAACAGAATCGGGAATCTAAAATGAATTAGCAATGCTATACCGAGCCAAGAATTGCAAGATATTTGAATGGGTTTAATTGAGTCAGACTGTTGAGCTTGATGATGATTGAATCCACATGATGGTTCAGTTGGCTGTTCTTAGAAGTGTTTGGTCATCATTAAAGATGGAGAAAGGAAATGTAATTAGAAAATAAATAACTTACACTTGCTGCCGATACCCGAATACGTTCAAAAACTCCGGGTATTAACGATTGATGTCGCGGTAAGTGGCATAAAGGTCTCGGGAAGAAACAGATTGATGGTTTGTCCAGGACAAAGAAATTTATTTTCAGTGACGAAAATAAATAGGTGGAGGTCGGGGATGCCAAGCCGAGTAACCCGACTGCCCGACAAGAACGAAGTTTTCCCGGTTTCGGTCACGTGGCGAATCATAGTAGGGGGGACCCACTTGATTAGTACAATTCACTTTGCTCTAAGTCGCTCAACCGACTTCACCGAATTGAACCTTCGCAGCCAGCACCTTCAAACGAAACTACTACGAGGAACGATCCCAATCTCCACTCCACCTCGGACAACCTACGATCTACATCATCTGCCCGACCATACCCCCCTCTTTCGGCAACCTACGATCGATTGATTTAGGGAAGAACAACCAAACATAAGAGGAAGGGAAAAAAGAGTAATAGGGAGGTCTAGATAAAAGACAACTCCCCTCATCAAACCTCAATTCCTACAACCAACCAACCCCAAACCGATACCATGCCCGCCGTCCGACCAAACGCTGCCGTGCGGGCTACGCGCGCCCTACAGAAGCAACAATCATCCACACCAATCCGAACTTTCTCAGCGACATCTCGAGCGCCCGCTTCCCACGGTCCGCAATACGACCCCCCGACCGGTTGGTTGTTCGGCGTCAAGCCCGGCGAGAAGTACCAGAAGGAAGGCTGGGAGGGCCCATTCATCTACGGTTTCTGCGGTAGCATTCTCGTAGCTGCTATCGCTTACGGATTCAAGCCTGATACCTCGTGAGTGCTTTTTATGTTTAGATGTGGGATGGGGAAGAGGGGCGAATGCGTGGGTGGATTGAGTGGAATACAGTACTCGTGTTTTCTATTGGGTGGCGGATTGAGTCACCACACGACATTCCCTATCGATCACCATGTTTTCTCAATTTTATAAGTATTTAGCTAACCACTTCATTTCTAGTATACAAACGTGGGCTCTAGAAGAAGCGCGACGAAGGTTAGAGGCCGAAGGTATTCTCGAAGACCCCGAGAAGAAATAGTGATGATGGATAGATAAACCTTCACACCTACACAACCATAGAGAATGATCCACAGGAATGGAATTCTGGTACAAATAACAGGATCGAGATTTGTCACCTTGTACATGAAACACATCCCCGGCTTTCCTTGCTTTTTATTTTACACTTCCGTCCATCTTGGCGGAGGGATCAGCTTCGATTAGAGAAACCCCATCATCATAGACGGATCGCCTCCAAGCTGGTGAGGCGGCTTAACTACTACCTACATACAAGCTGCAATTGAATTTTGTGTACCACGCGTTATGATACCCTTCCCATTGGGATGTTATCGGTCTTTATTGGGAAGTCTCAAATTGTCATGTTCGATATATGTTCAAAATCAATGATTTTTTGATGGTCTAGGTAAGTACGCCGCCACGCCATTTCTAACTACAATACGCCATCTATGTGAACCACGGTGGCTTGAAAATGCTAAACCTCCTGCCTCTATTTCACCCCAGTATTCCCCTTATAAGCAAAGGTGACTCCATTCATGTTCTTCGTCTCCGTACTGTCTTGCCTCAATCCAGTCCTTCATCTTGGAAGCAATCTCACCCGACTCCTCGTTCTCGCTCAATCCGCAATCTACCAATTGGCCCTTCCAGCTAATCTTGCGGACGGGGCTCACAATGGCGGCAGTGCCCGCGCCGAAAACCTCAATCAATCGGCCCTCAAGCGAGGCGTCATACAATTGTTGCATAGTAATCTTGCGCTCCGAAATCAACCAGCCCTCAGGCGCCAACTTCTCGCGCGCCAGACTCAACACCGAGTCTCGTGTTACACCCTCAAGAATAGTACCATCAAGGGGCGCAGTAATAAGTTCCTTCTGACCCGTCTCTTTATCCTTGATAGCGACAAACAAGTTCATGGCACCGACCTCAGTGACATACTCTTCAGGTCCGAATAACCAGAGGTTTTGCTGGAAACCACGCTTCGCGGCTTCGATCTGTGGGACGATGCATGGCGCGTAGTTGGCGCCGAGTTTCTTGTCGCCGACACCGCCGGGCCATGCGCGCACGGCTAGGTTGGTGGCTTCGAGCGAGATTGCTTTGAAGCCGGTGGGGTAGTATGGGCCTACCGGGGATGCGATTACGAAAAGTAGGGCGGAACCCGGGGGTCCTAGGCCCAGGGTTCGCTGGGTGCCGATGAGAGTTGGGCGGAGGTATAATGAGTATCCCTTTTGGCTAGGAATAAAGCGTTCCTCGAGCTTGGCGAATTTGGAGAGTAACTCGATCATTGCCGTGGATGAGAAGGTGGGGAGTGCGATGCGGGCCGCGGATTTGTTGAGACGTTCCATGTTCTTGTCGGGGCGGAAAAGACGGATTTGCCCTTGTGAATCCCGGTATGCTTTCATGCCTTCGAAACATTCGAAGGCGTAGTGGAATACGCAGGTTGCGGGGTCGAGGGAGAGGTTTTGGTATGGCTGTATTTGAGGCGCGAGCCAGCCGTCGGATTGGGTCCATTCGATGGTTATCATATGGTCTAAGAACAAGGGAGGTTAGGTTATGTAGTGAAGTTTAGGTATAGAATCATAAGCGAACCTGTGAATTCCCTTCCGAAGATAAGCTGTGAGGGGTCCTTGGGTGTCTTCGGCGATTGTGTCTTGGTAATAGCCAACTTCGTGGGGTCTATGTCTATGGGTTTCGCAGACGAAGCCGCCTCGGGCTGAATGCTATACCATCTTTGTGTCTGCTGTAGCGCATATGATGAACGAGCAGCAATGGGTGCTCGGAGAGCTCTCCCGCATCTTGGGAGTAGTTGACGAAGCATGTTGTATGATATGCTACTCTCTAGTTACGAATGGAGTCGGTGTACACAACACAGAAAAGAAGGCAAGAAAATGAAGGAGAGTGAGAGGGGAGATGGTCTAATATGCCTTCTTCGATTGAAAACCAGTTGTTACTTTCTTTGACTCAATTTCCTACCAAAGAGAAGGGACGGGGCCGGGCAATGACCTGATTAATAAAACGGCCCCAATTCGCCTTTGTAGCGTCAGTTACAAGCTAAGCTGGGAGATCTATCTATTATTACCGACCGCGAACTCGACTCAATTTCCGACTTAGAGGAGAAAAAAAGTGCGGATCCCGACTGGATGGACAAGCGATCTCGGAGGGCGCTAAATCCCATGTAAGATAGTGGATATAAGGGAGCTCCGTACCTGCACCGAATCAACGGATAACCAATCGTAAGCTAGCGTAGTATCCTTTCATGTATGACGGACAATGGTGCTAAACCTAATCTAACCCTTGCCACGTTTATGTAAGCTAAAGAAGTTGGAGAGCCTGGAACAGTCGTGGCTTTATAGCTAGCTGTCTCCGTTGCACCGCCACGTGGATAAGAGGGAGGAACAACGAACAAGGGTCCCCTGAATGTCAGGCAAGAGCTTCCCAGCTTGGCGCGTTGCGTTGATTTCCACATGCAGATAGATAATACTTAAATCATTAAATCTTAAAAGAAGCGAAACTTGTTCCAAAAAAGAACACCTCGTGCCTACTTCGACCCGTACGTCATTTTACGAAGCGCGTTAATTACGATACCCCTTTTTTCGCAACGGTGGAAGATAAGGTAGACGTTGAGTCTATCCGTCTTATTATCATACTATCATCGGATACGTTGCCGATTAGCCCGAACGAGACCTACCCGCCGCCTAGTTACCCGAGATTCAAACTCAACACATAATAAAGGAAGAGGAAGTTAGAGTACAAGCAGAACAACGAAGAACAACGAAATCGCAAGACACATGTCTCTCTTTTTATAACAACACTACGATATGAGGGTCGCTAGCTGTCGCATAATACTTCGTCGCCAATCATGTTCTCCTCGCTGAAGAGCTTTTCCTCCAACATCAACTCCAACTACTCCGTCTCGCAGACTATAACATCCACAGCTGGTCCGTGGAAGATATACGATGCGAAGAAGAAGTCGACTGGGAAGACATATTCTGTGTTTGTCTTTGAGAGAAAGTCGTTAGAGTCGCATGGTAAGAAAATCTTGGGATATTGGACGGGATAATTGGGCGCATAGGGGAATATGGTAGCAAATACTGATTATATGGTGCAGGCGGCTCCTTAGGTCGATCAGGCGCAGCAGCCTTCAAGCGCTCCGTAGACGAGGTGACGGAACGTTTAAAGAAAGAGGCCTCCTCTCTTGCCAGACTGCGACACCCAAGCATCCTAGAACTTGTCGAACCCGTTGAAGAAACTAGATCAGGTCTACAGTTCGTTACCGAACCCGTAACTACGTCACTAGCGAGTCTATTACAAGAGAAAGATGACCAAGAGAGAGCAGGTGGGGTCGGAGGTCGCTCCAGTCGATATGTTACAGAAGACTCCGACGGTACTAGACGCAGACGGGAACTAGAGATCGATGAGCTTGAGATTCAGAAGGGTTTGCTTCAGATTAGCAAGGCTCTAGAATTCCTCCATGAGAACGCCGGTCTCGTCCATGCGAATTTAACTCCAGACGCTGTGCTGATCAATTCTAAGGTGGGTCTAGACTATTTCCATTGATATCAGGTCCCCTTTTCAACGTACTTATGGAGTTAATTGCTAAAACAAATACAGTCCGATTGGAAAGTTAGTGGTCTCTCTTTCTGTAGTCCGCCGGAGAACTCGACAAAAGCAACATCAGTTCAACCTATTAGTCTTTCCGAAGTTCTCAATCTAGACCCCCGGTTACCTCGCCATGTACAAATCAATCTTGATTTTACTTCACCAGACTTCGTCCTGGATAATAATCTCACATCTTCTGCCGACATGTTCTCACTCGGACTTTTATGTGTTGCCTTATATAACTCACCTCATCGATCACCTATAGAAAGTAGTGGTAGCATCTCGGCTTATAAAAGGTTGTTTACGTCATCTTCGACTGTGCCGTCTTCTGGGAATGGATTTCTATCGAAGAGGCCACTGCCAAGAGATCTATCGGCGCACGTACTACCACGACTAATTACACGACGTCCTGCGCAGCGCATGACGGCTCGAGAGTTCCAGGAGAGCGAATACTTTGACAATATCTTGGTGTCGACAATTCGATTTTTGGATGCTTTCCCAGCCAAGACCCCTAATGAAAAGGCTCAGTTTATGAGGGGTCTTAACAAGGTCTTACCGTCCTTCCCGAAGTCGGTTATGGAAAAGAAAGTCCTACCGGCATTGCTAGAAGAGCTCAAAGACAAAGATCTTCTGTCGCTCATCCTTCAGAATGTCTTCAAGATTATGGATCTGTTACCATCGTCGAGACGAGCGTTTTCGGAGAAGATACGACCGAGAATTAAGGAGATTTTCGTTGTGAATGCCAAGCAGACGCAAGAGAAGGATCCAGCCAGGGATGCCGGTTTAATGGTTGTTTTGGAAAATACGAGTCAGATAGCTGAAAACTCATCTGGCAAGGAGTTCAAAGATGGTGAGTTTATGGTTTTATACCCGCCTCACCCACCGCGTCTCACGGATTTCGCTGCTTCATACAATTACATAGACTAACGACCCTGTTCAGATGTGTTACCGATCATTTTGGCAGCTATTGAGTCGCCGACGCCCTCACTCGTCGATGCCGCTTTGCGCGGCCTACCGGTCGTTTTGCCGGTTCTAGACTTCAGCACTATCAAGAACGAATTGTTCCCAGTCATCGCTGCCGTCTTTAGCAAAACAAGCAGCTTAGCCATAAAGGTTCGCGGCTGTCGAGCTTTTGTCATACTTTGTGGCGGCTCGAATGAGTATTCCTCAGCCGATGACGGACTTGACGGCTTGGGACCTGAGAAGAAAAAGACTTCGTCGTCGAGTGCTCTAGACAAGTACACCATGCAAGAGAAAATTATCCCACTTATAAAAGCCATCAAAACCAAAGAGCCGGCAGTTATGATGGCCGCCTTAGATGTTCTACGAGTTGTAGGCGATAATGCCGACGCCGACTTTGTAGCCATGGATATCCTACCCATCCTCTGGAGTATGAGTCTAGGTCCTTTGTTAGACCTCAAGCAATTCCAATCATTTATGGGATTAATCAAATCACTCTCCAAGAAAGTCGAGGAAGAACAAATGAAGAAATTACAAGAACTTTCGGTCGTGAATGGAGGAGCGAGGGCTGCGACTCCTAATGACGATTTCATAGGATTTGGGGGTGTTACTGGGACGACATTTGATTCCACAAACGGTGCTACAGAAGATGATTTCGAGCGGCTCGTCAAGGGGAAAGTCACCCGAACCTCGAGCGATCCAATGGACGCAAATTGGGATGTGGCGCCAGCATCAGCCGCTGCCTCAACAGTCACCTCGCCGCCGATTAAATCACCCCAATTTTCTTGGTCAACGCCAAGCCCTACCGCTACTACTATTGCTCCTCGACCCGGTCAATTTGGTGCTACCCAAGCCCAACCCACTTTCAGAACAGTCACGCCGGATCTCGCTCAGTTCGGAACATTAACCCCTTCATCTACGCAATACTCCCAACCTCTACAACCCTCAACAGGAAATACTACCAATGCGCCAACTATACCGCAAAACTCATCCGCGGTCAATTGGTCCACTACCACTGCGGCAACGGCCAATCCATGGGCTTCCAGTTCATCTACCCCGATGTCACCGCCGGCCCCATCATTCGGTGCAGTGACATCAGGGATGTCAAATATGAATCTTGGTCAATCAAGACCAACTATGAGCCAATCATCTTCCTTTTCTCTCCCTCCACCACCATCTAGGGGAAGTGGCACACCAACAGGATTCAGCTTACCTCCGCCACCAGGAGCTCAAAGACAGAGTTCAACGTCGCCATTCGGTCAGCCATCCAGTGGTTTTGGTGCCACATCTCACCAACCAACTGGAAGCATGGGCAGCATGATGAATTCAGGAATGGGGAGCATGAATAGGAGTATGAACAGCATGAACAGCATGAGTAGCATGAGTAGCATGATGGGCGGTATGAACACTATGACACCAAGCCAACCTGCGCCACAGCCACAACAACAGCAACAGCAACCCCAGAGGTCGGGCTTGGATAAGTATGAGAGTTTGCTGTAGGGAGATCATGTAGAAATTCTAATGTCATAATATTGGTGTCGATAGGCATGTGTTACGTTCGATATTAAAGAATCATCTAGGCAATTTACGTTCCCAAATATGGGCTCCCCGAAATGTTGACACGCGGGTACCTAAATGGTTCGTCCCTCCAAAGGATACCTTAATTTACATCTCTATTTCATCAACGCGGTAGCCCAGCGCCCTAGGATTTTATGCCGCCACTTACGACGCACTCTGATGTGATCAAGTCTTGATTGGTTACTGTAGATGTGTGGCGCAGATATGCATATTCACAGCCCGTATTGTGCCACTCTATGCGCAGATGAGATGTTTTTATATACAGCTCTAGTAATTTCTCTAGGTCCATTACACTTGTTCAAAACTTGGAGCTGTAAGTTGAATGGACCGCGATTGAGAAGAATCCCTATCGGCAAATATCCGCCGCCGCATCCCGTTTTACTGTACTACAAATATGGACTTTTTACCGCGGCCTGCCGATTCTAGAACCTCTCATCTCGCTGTACCCTTCCTCGACATTATACCATACAAATTCTGGCATGTGGCAGGATTTAGTATCAGTGGAGTTATTCCAGGCGCGCATGAGATCAAAATCTCCAGTTTCATCCCTAGCTATAACCAGTCAATATTCGGACTCACTCGTGATCGCAGCGCTCTGGACTGCGCAAGATTAGTCCAGTCGTGGCTTTACTTTGGGCTTATCCAGGAATGTGTGGGAGCAGAGCCGTCTATCGATCCATCAAAATTCACCTACGTAACCTATGACAACAAAAGGCTCGTCACATCAACCAAACTTACGAATTTAATCAGTGAAATTACGGACCCATATTCATACACACGAATGAAACAAAAGCCTCACAGAGATTCCATTTGTAGCTCGGCCAGATCCTACATTGCTCAGATCTCAAGTATTCCCTGTGCAACGCAAGATCCTCTCCCAGTAGCACTTCTCTCCGCTAGCGTGCTCCTCAGCTCGTTGGATGGCAATTACCCACCTTATTACGTCGATCATGATTGCCACTACTTAGAGCAAGATTTTCCCCAGACGCAGCTGTTGGCAAGGCACATGAGCTCATTGGGATGGTGCCCGCGCCATATTAGTCGGATATGCGCGACACAGCCTCCTCATATAGCTTACTTTATTTCTCTACTCCGCCGATGGGAACGTCCTAGAACTAGCCATTCCCATTACTCGGAGAAACGTTGTGTGGCGAGCAATATTAACGAAGAAACGTACGAGACGGTCCATACAACACGAGATTGTAGGTGCTCTATGATAGGCGTGGATGAATCGGATCTCGAGCGCATTATTCGACAAGGCAATATCCCAATCGTCAGTGTTGGAATAGACCAAGAAAATAATGACATCACACTAAATCTACGAGCCGCCACGGCACCGAATCAATATGCAGCCATTTCTCACGTTTGGGCTGATGGGATCGGTAATCCGCAATCGAATTCGCTCCCTCGGTGCCAGATTGAAAGACTTTTTAGGCAGATTTTCGCGTTACCCAGGGTTGGTAGTAGGGGATCTTTATTCTATGAGCAATCTAGCAATAATGGATCCAAAGCTGACTGGGCTCGAACCATCCTCAGCAGTTTGCAGCATACATCGAGATCTTTCTGGATCGATACACTATGCATTCCAACAGGCGAATCGAGAAAGGACCTCCGTCTCGATGCTATCAATAAAATGGCCGCCGTCTACGCCGGCGCGAGCCACGTGCTAATCCTATATTACGAACTACAACAGCTCCGACTTAGAGCTCGACCGCTCATGGATTCTATGGGCTACATCATTTCCTGTAACTGGAGCTCAAGAAGCTGGACGCATCAAGAAGGCTCATTAAGCAACGTGTGCTATTTCCAGTTCGCAGACGGCACCTTCAATCCAGTATCAGCTCACACACTTACACCTACTAGGCTACACGCTATGTATCGCAACGTTCTTAAAATTTCCAAATCCATATCTGCGAAACCAGATTATGAAGACCATTCACCACTGGACCCAGTCCCAGAACAGTTTCAGAGAGACCTCAAGCGTTCCCTTACCCAACTCCTATCCTCGTACGAGCCTAAGAGACGGGGAAGAGTGCGCTTCTCGGAAGAAAGCTACTATGAAGCTCTAGTAGGCACATGGAACACTCTAATCCACCGGAATCCCACGAAAGCAGACGAGTTGTACCTAATTCTCTGCAACTTAGTGGACTTCAATTCTTACCTCGTAATGAAGCTCAATTCGAACGCCATTCTCTCCAGCTGTCCCACAATCCCCCTTTCATTCGTATTCAATCGTGGGCCTCGGTATCGGGAGACTGAACACCATCCAGATAGATGGCTACCCGTCGCTGTGAGCGGGGACTATCTCAGTCTCAAGCCATCACTAACTGTCCATGACCGCTCCTTACAAACCGATTCAGGAGACCTCCAGCCCATGCTCCTTTTACCGCTAATTAGATTAGACGGCACCCATTCCATTATCACGAAGGGAAATGTGTTTATATGCAATATAGAGGCGCACAGATGCAGTGGTGATAGATTCCAAGTCGATGGAGGTAGCCATTTTGCAATGTGTATACTCCTTGAAAAAGATATCAACAAGTTCTACGGGAAGATTCGAGGTGCTTGCGTCCACATAACCCGGAGGAAATGTGGTCGCGCTGGCGAAGTCAATTTCTCGGAGCAGATCTCCGTCATCTACGACTATCCTATCACTGCTACACAGCTATTTCGGCCAGAGTTAGAGGTCAACAGCAACAGAAAGGTGTATCTAGATAGAATGGTCAAGGAATACGATCTAGAAATCGAACGGGGTAAGCCCCATCCCCCACTGAACTCTCGTATCCATATGGATCTAACAAGTTGCAGGACCCTCCCCTTACCAATACGCCCTTGCGCGACGCATAATTCCTAGCCCGGTCAACCGCCCCATCAGATGGCTACCGTTCTACATTCTGTATGTTGTGTGGATTGTCTGCGTCATTCCTGCCACCTATATACTCTCACCGGTCCACGGCTTCGATCCACGTATCGATCTAATCATTCTATACACGGCATTCATTTCTACTCCTCTTGGGGAAGCATTGTTTATATATACCATCACACAGCTGCCTCATAGCCCATCCAACATTGCATCTATACTACTGATGTGCGTTAAGTATATTACACCTGCCATATATCCGATTTGGTGCACTATTTTGGAAAGATCGGTTTACAAGAGTTGGGTCGCTAGTTTTGGTGAAGATTGGGATAAGGAACAACAGTCAATACTGGAAGAAGGGCGGAAAAACCGGGTGCTCCAGCTATACAAGAATTTGCAAGCTCGTGATGATAACCGAAGGAGAGAAGCAGTCTAAGAATGGCGGGATACACATATATTTGGTTTGATTCATGATTATTCACTTCATATTAAGAAAACAATAACGAGTTATGTCACTTTACTAGGTCTCGTCAAGGATATGGAGTTACGGATGGGAGAAAACACATCCTTGGGTCTTGTGGACTTAGAAGTTACAAACAGACAAAACAAAGAGATTCAATTATGAAGACAAAATATAAGCATCACTGAGATAATTCACAATGTCGTCAGTACCTACCTAGGTAAGTAGTCATATAACCAATTAAGCACGGGCGACATCTAGATACACCCTCCTATTAATAAAACAGATAACAGCCTGGTTAGACCTAGGTATAGAAGAATATATCTAGGTAGTTAGCCACCTTTTCTACGTTGTGAATTCGCCTCCAATGAAGAAAATAAAATTACCTAAGACCTCGACTGACTGATCGCAAGAGCCCATCGGGCGATGACACGTGGCTACGCTATAGTAAAAATGGCATGAGACTAGCTGGTTGGCCTATGGATGAACGATAGGTCATGTTTCAATAATCGAATCATCAAGGGGGAATGGTTTCACTGCTTCGCTCTACCGCCGACAAACTATCACGCCACTTATATCATTGGGCGAAGGGAAGAGTAATTAGATGAACAATTGCGAGACAACTCTGGGGTCAATAAAATAGCCAAAATGGGTAGGGTCGTACAACAGTCATGATAAGTTATTGCATGAATTGCGGGCGGTTTTCACGGTGTATGATAATGCATTTTATGATTATTTGTTTTATTTTAGACAATAGATGTAGCTACTATAAGCACCAAGTAACTAATTGACTAATCGACCATCTGATATTAGGATCCTGTTTTGCCGTCGTCCAAAAAAACACAGCCCTTCTCACTGACGAACGGCCTGTATCAGAATCATTGGCAAAAAAAAATCATATCCTCTTTCTTTCGTTCAACCATGCGCGACTCATCATCCTTGCATCGCCTCGAGTATGGTGAATTCAACGGCGTCGAGCACGGAGAAGAAAAAAACTGTTACTATCTCTCGAAACTCTTGAGACGACGTTGGTGCAACTTTCGGAGGTAGCAAACCCTCTTGTAAATCCTCCGGGGGCAATTAAAGTAACGAGAAACCTTTCAAAACACATAGTCCTAGTCGAGTAATTTCCCAAACGCCTTGCTGTGAAATAAACAAATGTCCCCCTGTAATACGCCATCCTGGGATTTTGAAAGGTGAATAATAACGCCAGCGAACATCAGGGAGGGAATTGCTATGTGGTGTGGTGGGTGAGTAAATCATCTTGTGTTGGGTAGAGTGGGTGAGGGGTGGATTATAGCTCTGGGCTTTGTGGTGTCTTCGGGTCGATAACGGTGAAGACATGACGGCTCTTGTACCCGTCTTCCAATTTGATATCTACCATTTGGTCTGGCGACACCATTTTATGATTGAGATCCCATCCAGCGCGACGGCATAGTTCGGCGACAACTACATCGCAGTCCCCAAGAAGGTCGATGTCGAAGTTGATGTGACTGACTGGCGTGCGCGAAATATAGATTTGTGGGATGTGAGGTGGAAGGAAGGGAACGACCTCGGAGACAGGTGCGACTTTGAGGGACGTGCCGATTACGATGACTAGATCGACGAGGTCACGATCGTGCTTTTCTAATCGTTGACTAAACTCGTCGGGTAGTTCCTCGCCAAAGAAAGTGATGTCGGGTTTCATAACACCTGCCGCAGGAATATCGTACTGGTCGTCATCATCGTCGTCGTCATCGGAGCTTCGACGTTTGCTCTTCTTACCTGTGTTCTTATTGTAGGAGCGCTTGCGCTTCATAGCGCCGTTGCCGCGGAGTGCAGCGATGCACTTGACACATCGAGGGATCCTTCCAGCCTTGATTTCACCAAAGAGGGTATCACCTTGTACTTTGTGGCCACACTTCTGACATGTGGCAGTGGCGAATGAACCATGGCACTGCACCAGCTTCTCAGGTTTAATACCCGCATTCGCCTCGATATTATCGATGTTCTGCGAGTAATTCGTGAGAAGTTTGCCCATATCCTGAAGTTTGGCGATGAAAGCGTGAGTTGGTGAGTATAGGCCCTTCGTGTCGGGGAGAATATCCTTGGCGATAGAGTAGAAGATAGTGGGATCATCGCGGAAGACGTCTATGTTAAAGACTTCCTGCGGGTCGCTGATTCCAATATCTAATTTCTCAAGTTGCGAATAAAGACCGGTCTCCTTGGAACGGAAGTCAGGTATGCCAAGCGAGGTGGAGATTCCAGCTCCGGTGAGTACGACGATGTTGCGAGACTGCTTAAGAAGAGTGACGGCATCGTCAATTGTATTGTACTTGGGGAGCTTAGCGCGCTTAGCCAATTCACGGGTCATAGCCAAGGTGAGTAAGCTGAAGTAGTTATCATCAGGCAGCCCCTCAAGAAAAGCGGGCGGGCGAATTCCGAAGGCAGTCAGGAGCTTCTTAGCTGTGATGGCACCTGAGTCAACAGTGAGTCGACAAAACTCTTGGGGGCCAATCGTGCGAAGTTGCTGACGATAACGTGCAGCTTGCTCAGGAGTAACGGCATCAACTGCGAAATATAATTAGTATTGTAAAATTAATGATTAATAATTAAAATAAGAATGAATTAGAAGTAATAGAAAAGTGATATAGGGGAAGTTACCATCGTTGAAAAATCTATCCTCGGTAATGTCATCGATGACATCCTCAAATAGTGAGTCCGTCTCCCAGGAATCCTCGACCTCGTTAAGGCGCTCTTCAAGTCCGTTATAAGCATGGCCGTGCGACTTCACATTAAGATGACCAACTTGTTGATCATCTGTTACCTCAACTCTGACTTGAGAGACGTCAGGTTCTCCCTTACGCGGCCTTCCAACAGGTCGTTTGCCTTTCATCGTCGCGGTTGATATTGCAACAACTGATGAAACGGGAACAGGAGACAAGAGTCTCGAAAGTAGGAATGGTTTATGGGTGAATCAAATGGACGAATCGGAGTGGTGCTGTGGCCCAATAAAAGAAAGTAATGTATCAAGCGGACCCAATCGGTCAACTAAATTAATAGATCAGCAAGGAATTTGCGCGCGGTTGAATAGGGTGTGGGTTTCTTGATTCTTGATAAAATCTTGGTTCGTGTGTGATGGAAAAATAATTATTAGGGGAAGACGATGATGGGTAAGAGACGAGAAAAAAGGAAACAAATAGAAAAGGTCGAAACCTTTTTTTGCGGGAAATATGATTGAGAAACTACCTAACCTACCTAGTCAAGAGTTGTGCTAGGATCGATGGTCAACGCGTTTGCCTTGTGTATGTGTTGAATTTTTTTGGTATTAATTTTTTGGGCTTGGGCTGCGCCGGAAGGAATTAGAACAGGCAATAGGAATAAATAAATAAAATAAAGTAGCCTACCCGGATTTTTAAAAACAACACGTAACGGCGAAGTATGGTATAGGAGTTTATTAGGAATAACAAGAGGGGGAAAAAAACGAATACGAGTCAAGTTTGGGTATTAGTTGAATGATGAAGAGTTTAGGAGGTACGTATATAAAAAAGGTAACAAGAAGAAGAAGAGAAAAAAAAGATAAGTAATCTTGCCGACGACGCGCAGGGTAAGGGAGGGAAAGAAAAAAAAGATGAGTTTGAAACCTTGACGATGATAAGTCTGGACTAAGCGAGATTCCTGATAAGCTACGAAATCAACGTGCCACGCTCATGGATTATAAGAGCATACAAGACGGGGAAGTAAGTAACAAGTATCTAAAAGGTATAAGGTAAAAGGGGAGGAAGCGCTATCCTTCCTTAATTATCATTTCTCTCCCCCTTTATTTGGCCACCGTATATATATATATATACCTACCTAGGTACATATGTAGGTATATACTTAGGTAATTTCCTTAAAATGGCTGGCCTATCCGGTGTGGTTCGTTCTGTCGCGCGAATCCTCTCGGTTTTTACCAATGTTTGCTTACCAAGTTCCAGACCATCATCTTGACAACTTCAACTGCTATCAATCACGTCCAATTAATATTGTTTAAGTGGGCAAATATGTTCCCGTCCCATGAAGCTACGTAGGTACTCCTAATTTCGAGAAATTTGTTAGCCCAATCCTAGTTTATTTAAAACATATGCGCCGGATTCATCCGACCAATTCCTAATTATCTTTTTAATGCAGCTGAATAAACTATATATAAATGGGTTCTCGATTTCTTTTGGGGAGAAAAGCCTGAGGTGTGCCAAGATTCTGGACTCCCTAGAGCTCCCGCAACTCCGAACAGTTTATATGTACATACTGATTAAGTAACCCAGAACTCCTACTTATTATAATCGATATTATTCAACCCGACTCAAATCCTTACTATCAAAGGGTTAGTATTATAGAGCCTTTCAAGTATTTCCTATTCCCGTCTTACACCCCAGAGGTAGATGATTCCGGTCCTCAACACGTAACCGAAATACCCCGCGGCGAAGCGTCACAGCGCAGTAAATCAACTATACATCTGCCTACATAAGTACTTATTAGGTAGCTAGTTACCACTAGGATATTTCACATGTTTTATACATCCCTTCTCTAAAAGAGTCATTCCTAACAATGTAATAATTGGTCACAGTTAGGATGTCGCTTACGGAAAAACCGAAGTTCTACACTCGGTTTCCTATTTAGGAAATCGTTCAATGTATCATTTCTGGACGTCCACTTTTCTATGACCATTATCCTTATGAAGGTACATAATACCATCACATATGTTACCTACACAATTGACAGTTGATTATATGGTCCATGTTACCGTAGTAGAAAGTAATCGCGATCATGTAGTTCTGGGTTATAAAATATCCATCAAGGGATAGTGTTGCAGTTACTAGGTACCTATGTACTTAGCCAGTGATTGATTTGTGTCCTCAGGACAATTGTCGTTATAAACCAGGCAGCCGAAGCGAAAGAAACTACAACGATAAGCAGGCTCAAATAAACAACAGTATTCATATTAACTTGACTAAAAAGGACCCCAAATGTAGTTATTATATTAAGTTCAAAGAATGTCCTAAAGCAGCCCATCCATCACAAATCTTACGCTGTCCTACCATCGTGTAACTTTTCGCTCTAGGAAGATTCGATCAATTCCTCTAGCAGTTATATGCCGAAATATTTACTCTCATACAATGAACTCAACAGCCTCATGCGTCCCGACGTTTAGAAGAGTGGCAAACCCAGAGAAAATCCCCGTTGTTTCATCAAGGAACCGGGTATCAGGAAAATGTCACGCCTACTCTCACATAGGTCAAAACATATATTACCGAGCTTCAGACCTCGATACCACTCGTAATTCGCCACGTGGGCGCCACTTTGATCCCGGTTCCGATCCAGCCGTGTTCCAGAATGGCACGCTCGACCAAGGCCAAGTAATTATTATTGCGGAGTGAGAACTTCGCAACTTCACACAAGGAGTCAAGCTCATAGGGGCGCGAAGGAACCTTCAAGGATAGCAAGCCGTCCGGGCGCCCCGCGCATAATCGCCACCATGGGCATTACTCATACGGACGGGAAGACGGGATAAATGTTAGACCCCAATGTAAATCTAATCCATCATAGCATTGTGGCTTCCTCCCGGTGAATGGACAAACTTGTTTTCCGGGGCGGTATCGCATTTCGATGAAACCTTTCTGGACGCCACAAAAGGACTCCCCCGTTCCCCTCGCTGAGACTCGTAGAACGGGGGCCACGATTAGCAACATACGTCTCAGGCGAGAAAATAAACGGAGAAATACTCCCGGCGCGAGAGGCATAATACTAAGATCAAGAGAAAAGACATAAAAATGACTTGTGAATGAAGAGGGGTAATTTCGTATAGCTCGGGGTGGAAAATATCGATGGAGCAAGCCCGGACATACATTATATGGTAAAGTAAATGGGTGTGTAACACAGCAGCGAAAGATCCTCCCGTGTACCTAATCACGAAGTCGAAGGCCGCAATGTCCATTTTCTCAAGGTCAATGGCGAGGTCAAGAACTTCAATGAAGTTGGAGTTAAACCCCCTGTAAACCCCCTTTCCTCAACAAGCCCAACCATTCCAACCGTTAATTTTACCAAAGTACAAACTAGAACATCAGGTACATAGCCCTAACAAGTACCCCTATCACCAAAGCAGTCTGCCTACATAGGTACCTACCTACTCTAGATCATCAGTTACACAACATATCACACCCCCAAAACAGCAACGAACGCCCTACCACCCCCGAGAGCCTTCCCCGGACAACGTGAAGCCTTCTAAGTATAGCACATCCATGACACAATTATTGACTCGGAGATAAGCAACTCCAAGCGGTAGCCTGCAGGACCAGACTGCTTCCCACCAACCACATTGAGTCACTATAACGACGCATAGTGATTGACGCTGTGCGACGATACCTCGCACACATTCCTGCATATCAATTGATACATATAGCACCCTCTTGGATATATGGACGCCGCATCTGCAGGGAAAATTAAATATGTCTCAATACTTTCCCCATCCTTCGGCGAAGTTGGAAAATGTGACCCGTCGAGTTACCTAGTTGCCTGCCTGATAAGTTATGTGAACTTAGGCTTGGGTAGGCAGACCTCGGGACATATAGGTAGGCAGGCGCTGTTGAATTTTCATGGATTATGCCTCATAATCAAGTGAGCACACTCCTACGAAATGGAATCGCGTCACAATAACTTAGAATATGATAGCTCAAATAACTCATATCCTCATTTTTCTTGTGTAACTCAGGTAACATGCTTTACCATATGAGTATGAATATTATTATTATCTGTTTCCCTAGTGAGAACTTATAAGGGGCATCATGGCCAAGTATGAGTAGAGCATGTCATCCATCATATGCTACGAATCAGACCTATATATGCGTAAATTACCCCTCCAAACCTGCGTGAAAAGAGCTTTTAGGTGATATACGCATTCCAAGTTATGTTAGATAATAAGTTCACGTCAATTTAGTTAGTAACTCCTTTGTATCCCAGCTCCTAACATCGTGTGCCCCATCGCCTAGAACTAACATCACATAAAACTCATCACATCACCAATTTAACAATACCAATAAAGCCAATTTCACGTTTGCACGCTTTTCACATTGTACATTGCTTGGCCTATCTATCTCCTTTCTTCTGTTTCTGTTGTTCTCCCATCTCCATCCCTTATCACCAACACAACACACTCGCGGCCTCCACCTACTGCTACAAAAAGAAAATTTCGGGGGGTTCTATGCCCATGCGCCAGTGAGAGTCTATAAACTTTTTTGGTGGAATTCGCACAATCCATAATGACCTAGAAGCCTCCTTCGTATCACAAATGTGGTGGTATCGAGCGCGAAGGATGCTTGCTGAAACACAAAACTCAAGAACAACGCCTTTCCTAACACCGTTTACCCTGAGACGAAGCCGTCACTCTAATTATCTTAATAGTAATAATAATAATATCCCTCACTCGCACACCTTAGGATCCCGACGGACGCGAACCCTGAATTACGAAGCATGTATCTTCCCTAGGAGGAACGTTCTTGAAGCTGGTACTTCGCCGTAACCATACTTCGTATTAGAGTCTCGGGGAGAACTTTGCAAGCACTCTTCCCGGAAAGTCCAGCTAGGATAATTCGTGTAACAGAAGGAGCAAATCGATCTACCAATAATAATTGATGGTATTTTGGTTTCGAGAAGATGTAGATTAAGGGTATGATACAGGTCTTCGAATGCTTTGCTCGTTCTTGTGCGTGAATCTCGTTGCCTCCGCGTACGTTGACAAATCGAGGCAGTCGAATTTGTCGGATCCTGACGAGAAAAAAAACTATTTACACCGCCTAAGAAATAGATTTCTGTTTTTGAGGTGGTTGAGGGACGCTAAGCCTGGGCACAGTGGAAGGGCCGGGGTCTTCGATAGACATTGGTTCCTCTGTTAATACGGGTGCTGGCTCTAATTCAGTATTTTCGCGGGTGGAAAGTGGCGAAGGTGTCGGTCGAGGAGGCTGTGTGAAATCGCGTTCTCCAGTTCTTTCTATAGGAGACCATCCAGCTGCTACACTGCCAGCAATAATGCCTGCCATAACTGTGGGGGCTCCTAAGGCAGAGTTTGACCGTGACCTCATAGACCTTGAACGTTTTCGGGAATCGGGTGTTGGTGCTGGTGATGGAGAGCTAAAGCTATCTTCGCGCGTTGGGGTTTGCGGTGCTCTCATCGAGTTAGATCGGGAGTGGGAGGGACTTCTTGTCTTGGAGATGAAGGTTTCACGAGGATGTTGTACGGCGAATTTCAAGTTGTTTAGACGGCCACCCTTTAGCTTCTTGAGGAATGCAAGTTCGTCCCTAACATCAGCGAGAACCTCTGGATAAGCATTGAAGCGTTCCTCATCCGAGATAGTTAACCCGGGAATACCGCGCTTCTTCTTGAGAGTGTCGGGGATACATTTTCTAATCAATTCGTCTGGGATAAGACGAATGACCATACCCACCGGAATGGAAATAACACCGAGAACAATCGCGCATGCCCATTGGCCGGAAGTTTGTGGCGGAGACTGAGGGGCAATGCTGAAAGGGGTTCCACCAACGAAGATGATCAGGACCTGAGCGCCGGATACCGCAAGATTGATGATTATGAAATACCAATTTTGGAACAGACCTTCAAAGATGTTGAATTGGTTATCCAAACGACGGTTACTACCCTGCCGTTAGCTTGGCTCTTAAAACATTAAATAGAATTCAATTGTACTCACTTCCATTGGTTGAAGATCTGCATCCATACGAAGGTATTGAAAACAAGTGTATTGCGTCGCTCGCTTTCCTCGGCTATACCAATGGAGTCGGCGGCGTAGTAAAGAACGAATGTGATGGCCAATTGATAAATCGCCTGGCCGAGAATCATCTTCCACATCGTTATCGAGACAATACTGGAACCCCTCGGTTCTGGTTTCCGGTCTAAGCAACTGTCCTGAGGAGGGTCGGTGGCAAGGGCGAGCGCCGCAAGTGTGTCCATGATCAAGTTAACCCATAGAAGCTGCACTGCTGTTAATACGGAGCCTTCATCGCTACTGGATACGGCCGTGACGAAAGTCAGCACGACAGCGGTGACGTTGACTGTAAGTTGGAATTGGAGGAAACGCTTGACAGCATCGTTGACCGCTCGGCCCCATTTCAGAGCCTTGACAATACTGTTGAAGTTGTCGTCCATAAGAATAATCGCGGACGCCTCCTTGGCCACTTCCGTACCAGCAATACCCATTGAGAATCCGACGTCAGCCAATTTCAGAGCAGGTGCATCGTTTGTACCATCACCAGTAACAGCAACAGTTTCACCCATATCTTTGAGACGACGGACGAGAACGCGTTTGTCGTCGGGGCTAGAACGTGCGAGTACACGAAGTTGTGGAATAATCTCGTTTTGTTCGCGCTTGCTGAGGTTTCGGAATTTCGGACCTTCCATTACCAAGCCACCTGAATCCAATATTCCACACTCTTTCGCGATAGCTTGCGCCGTAAGTTGATTGTCACCGGTAACCATACGAACTATAACACCGGCCCTTTGACATTGCTTAACTGCTTCGGGTACTCCATCACGGAGAGGGTCCTGAATACCAACCATACCAACGAAAGTCATATTCTTAAAAATGTCCTCGAAAACAACCTCATTTTGGTCGCCTTCGGCTCGCTTGGCGTTTCGCGGGGGCCACCTCTCAAAATCGCGGTAGACAAGGCCAATAGTTCTTAAAGATCGGGATGCGTAATCTTCGATAAGAGCCTTAATGGTTTCCACGTCATCGAGAGTGACAGGGGCGCTTGATGAATCTTGTGTGGGAGATCGAAGTATCGATGAACATTTCTTAAGCATAATTTCGGAAGCTCCTTTGACGTATAATCGAGCGGCGCCATTTTCCAGTTGAACCACGATACCCATACATTTTCGGCTAGAGTCGAATGGAATAAGCTGCACTGTTTTTGCATTGGATCGTTCCTCACTAACAGGCCCCATACCGAGATAGGCCTTAGCATATTCGAGTAATGCGGTCTCGGTCTTTGATCCAATAAAAGTCTTTACACCATCAACTTCACCTTCGAATGCCGTAGAGTTAAGAGCGATAGATTTGAGCAAAATTTCTTGGGTTCCTTTGCTGAGAGAGCTCGCGAATTCTTTCTCCGAGGGCTCTTGAGGAGCAATGCCTTCACCTTTCTCAGATGCTCCACTTCCGAAACGATGAGTTGTGCCAATCGTCGCCGCAACCACGGTCATTTTGTTTTGAGTCAGGGTACCAGTCTTGTCTGAGCAGATTGTCGTTGCGTTTCCCATTACTTCACAGGCCTTCAAGTGACGAACCAAATTGTTATCCTTGATCATACGGTTGGTAGCAAAAGCTAGCGCCAGTGTAACAGCAAGGGGTAAACCCTCAGGTACTGCGACAACGATGATTGTAACCACGACAATGAAGATGTTGATGAACTGCTGGCCTTTTTGCGAGGGTGACAACTCCCAATTCGAGGGAAGGCGAACCAAGAACATGATGAAAAGCACAATAAATAGGAGTAATCCGGCGGCACCTCCAAGTTTCGCAATGTATTCGGCAATAACGTTGAGCTTAGACTGTAGAGGCGTTATCTCGGGGTCTTCGTTTAGAGACATCATCGTCCTGCCGTAACTCGAGTGGATACCGGTAGATGTAGCGAGGAAAGTCCCTACACCTTCCATAACCCTACCTCCAGACTGGATAAAAGGATCTAATTTTTTCGTGTCTTCGCCATTTTCGATCGCAGCAAATACGTCGTCTCCCGGTCGTTTACGGATAATATCCGATTCACCCGTCGCTTGCGATTCATCACACTTCACGTTAAAACCTTGGATGAGAATGCCATCAACAGGGATGAGGTCGCCAGGTTCTAGATGGACGACATCGCCCGCCAAAAGGTCGTAAACGGATACCTCGACTGTTTTCCCCGCACGGATTACTTTTACTAGTCGGTCTTGTTTCTTCCTGTTCAGTTTCGCGAATTGCCTTTCCTTTTGCCAATCATTCAAGGACCCGACCAATACCACAATAACAATAGCCGCAATGATGGCCACGCCTTCGATCCATTCGACGGATTGCCCGTCCGAGTTATCGCCACCGAATGTTTGATATAGACCAACGGCAAGTGAGACTATAGCGGCTACAGTAAGTAGTATTAGGACCTTGTCATTATAAGTAATCCATACTAGTTGTAAAAAGCTCTTGCCCTTCTTCTCGGGAATTCGGTTGTCTCCGTAAACTCGTTTCCTATCGAAGAATTGCTCCTCATATCCATGATGTCGAGTAGCATCCGAATGAGCGACCGGCGTTTGTGGACTTTCCAACCCTTCAGTAATCAGTTTCGTGTCACGGTTTATCGCATCGTCGAAGGAGATTTTTCCTTCTAGATGTTTTTCGTCTGGACTTAACCCCGTATTTCGATTCGTGCGGAGTCCCTTTTCTATTCCGGTAAGGCCTCCTAGTTGATAGAAGGCAGACAGACTCTTGGGATTTAACATCTTGGTAAGTTGACCAGGACTATACGCGAAGGGATTATCTTCCACCTCGAAATCCGCCTCCCTGCCTTTATCCGGCTTCAAGGCGTTCTCATCCTTCATTATTTTTCCGTTGTCGAATGAAGGCTTTGAGGCAGCGCTCTTCTCTCCTGGCCATAATGTAGTTCCTGTCATAGTGTCACCCTGAGAAGAGCTAATCGACCGCGATCCATCTTCGCTGTCAACTGAATTTTGTCTCGAACGGTGGTGATCTGGCACTGATAGAAAAGCCTGGCCCTTCTCATTACCCCTCGAAGTAACCGGGCTGGAAACATTATGCGGGCTGGTCGGCCGGCTATCCCTAGTACTATCAAATGAATGGGCAGATCTCGTTTCTCCTCTAGAGTTGCCGGCAGTTTTATCAGATGTCCAACTGGTTGTTAATGCCGTCGGGCTTACCGACTCATCATGAGGGGACACAGGCGAAGGTTGATGAGCGGTAGTAGTAGGTTCGGTGTCATTTGTTGTGTTGATTGTGATTGTAGGGCTAGATTTTATGACATTAGATCAGAACGATTTATAAATTTAGGGGTAGGTGCTCAGCGATAATTCATCCCGTGGTGTATACTTACGCTCTTGCTCGGCGCGGGGTGTCCCCAGAACCATCCTTATTAGGGTCGGCCATGGCTCGTATGGCAACTGAAGAAATTATTTACAAGATACTAAAGACGGATCATAACACCTAGTCCAAAGGAATAAGCAAGACTTAGGCCCACAGCCTTGTAGAGGCAGGCTCGGAGAGTAGTAAAGGCAGAAAGGCTTGCGTGCCAAAATCGGCCATCGACAGTAGGCAATAATATTGGCGAGGCAGAAACAAGTGTAAATGAGTAATGGACAATTGATGCCTCGAATTGATAGGAGGGATCGTAAATTGGAATTATCGAAGCTCGAGACTAATTCCCCAACAATGTTTTCGTGGAGTCCGAGGCGCAGTGTTCGTCGTATACAATCGTATTCTTGTTTATTTCTGACACCTTCGGCGTGTCTATGACCGAGCGCTGGACCAAAGCAACAATTCCCAGGATCAATATTTGGGGGGACGAATAGGCGTCACGTATCCAGACCGATTTGTGTTTTCAAGATGGCCTTCGGAATCCGGTCGGTAGCGGTCAGGGATCGGCGGCCACGAGCTGAAGAATTATCGAAAGGGTCTTCAGAAAAGGTCGATATGGTCGAGGGGGGGAAAAATCCGGTGGACCGGGTGCTTGGACACGGACGTCTCGTAAGAATGATACAGGGTCTGTAACTGATACGACGACAGTAAGGGAGTAAAAGCTATCGTATGTTTTGGGAAGGTCCCGTAAGGCCCAATGGAGACAAGCAAATGATGGATGTTCCTGGTAGGTGCTTTTTGGGGAAGCAATTAGAAATGCTAGATACCAATGCACGCAAAGAAATGCGAAGGGGGCTGTGCAAAATAGTGGCCTCCTCCTACGTATTAGAGTTGTCTAGATGCTCGAAGAAGTGGCCAAAAGGCAAATCGTTGACGATAAGAAAACGTAATTGTACCGGATCGAGCTTGTAGAGGTCAGTGGGATCCTATCCTGAGTAAGGTATCTGAGCTGGGTAGATAGGATATGAATATCAAAAGTATGCGCAGTCGACCAGAGATGTGGTATGTGTATGTGTTTTGTTTGTTAGACCGTCCCCAGCAACCCACGGTACTGTACCTAAGGTAAGCTGCAGATGGGTCGGAGAATAGAAATTAACAAACTCACAAATACACAAATACACACACACACACACACACAAAAAAAAAGAACTCTACCAAATGGCAAAGGACCTCGTCAAGATCTTAACAATCCGACATGACGGTTAAAGGAGTGAATGGAAAGTTGGATAAGAGGTGAAAAGAGAGAAAGAAGGAAACAAGATCAAAGTTGGAATTGTTGCGAATTAGCCAATAAGATTTCTGCTGATTGGTGCCAGATACCTCTCAAAATCAGGGGTGCACGTTAAAAACGCGTGTACCCATGTACCCAAGCACCTATGTACCTAGGTAATTAGTGGAAAGTTAATCGCCATTCAGGGTCAAACCATACCCCAACCTAACTACCAAGAGAAAGTCACTAACCTATAATAGTAGCTAGCTAGTGAGCTGTATTATCCTTTTCGGGTCTGTTGTGTTTGACCTATATGTACACTTGCTTTTCCTGCTGTGCGACCAAAATAGATAGGTACAATAAAGTGCATATGCGGATGCCTACATCTTTCCTCAGGTAACCTTTAGTTACACATCAATTATTACAATACCTCTACACACACATATAAACCTGCTTCGCATTTTTTTCAATTGTTACTTGGCACTACAAAATTTGAACCACATGGTCCTTGGTAAATTACAACAGACAAGAAAAAGATATGGGACCCTAGATGGAAACTTGATCGTCCTTCTGATAGCCTGTACGATATGGTAAGGGTACATACGTATGCGAAGTATGCCCCGGACGGCCACATATTACTTGACAAGGAATGAGCCGTGAGATGTCGGGCGAATTGGAGGCGTTTTTTAATAGGGTGGGTATTGCCAAGAGAGGCTGTGCAAACGCCATGAAATGATTAGACTCCGACTCTCAAGCTATTTAGCGGCCCTAGGTACTTAAAATCGATGATCGAGATGGAGATCCATTTTGTTCTCAGTTTATGGAGAAAATCCATTAAATATTGGCCTCGGGAGATGTTCAGTTAATAGTCTAAGCTCTTTTAGAAAGGTTTAAGCTAGTTGAGTCTAATTCCTCAGCTTTCAGCTAAAGACTTGATTGTGTAACAGACTATATAATTCTTTAAAGAAAAAGATAGGAGGTGGCGGTATACCTAAGGTATCAAGGAGGCGTCATATATATTATGTATATGATCACTGAAAGGTTAATAATTATTTATTAAAAGCCCCTCATTTCTTTTATCTACTATATAACTCATGTACCTCACCTTTCTTTTTTAATCGTGTGAGCAGTATTCTCCTTAAATTCTTCTTATTTATATGCCTAAACTAGATCAGCTACGGACTATACCTTGGGTATGCATCGGTATCTAACATTGGTTAGGCTTCATACGATACCCAACTTACCAAGGTACCCTCACTTAGGTTAGGGCATAGTAGTCATACTTGGCAATATGCCTCATCTGTTTAGCCAAGATGCCTAAGAACTCACTCCTCAGGAACAACATATGTATTCCCCACGGATGATATAATCTACAACCCATATTATCGTCATTGATAGCCCATTCTACTCCAATGGAACTCATACCGAGTCAGCAACCGAACGACTTCCTCGGCATATACAGACTTTTTAACAATACTCCAAGAAAGTCAGCCTTGCTGTCTTACATAATCAAGTATTATACGCAGCAATTGCCTATCAAGATTGAGCACCGCATACTAACTACATAAATCCGGACCACATGGGAGCATTGGGAATCATCCTTATTGGGGAAATGCATTCCATAATGGCTATTATCGCTTACTTAGTAGTAGATGTTACATTGGGTATGGATGCCTCATTTGATGATAGGTAAGAAGGAATAGGTAGGATGCAGGTGCAGTCAGCCATACACAGCAGGCTCTTACTCACCTCCTTTTCCTTAACTCCGTATAGATCCCCCGTCCAGCATATAAACCAATCCTCTACTCGAAAGCCTCAAGTTTACCTAGGTAATGTTGGTCATGAAAGTCACAGGAGTCCACTACCAACGAAACAGCATTAACAATATTAACAACGCAATTATATATAATATACATTATATTAATGCTTCCTACGGGTACTAACCCATACCGACGCCCGAATTTCGCATGTGAAAAATATGGAGATCGGCGGAAACCCATCTCCATTTTGGCGACGCGTTCCGCAAGTCCGCGCCCAAAGCTTTGATTGCGTATTATCATAGCTTTCAATGCTAATGGGCAATAAGATACAATGCGGTATTATTATTACCAAAGCCCTTCTAACCATGATATTCCGAAACCCTATCACCTATCAGAAAGCAGTAATATCTCCGGTATCAACTTCATCACATACGAGACTACGTCAAAGCAGATGTCCCAGCATTCGAAAGATAAGATGAGAAAAAAAACTAAAAAAAAACTCATATTTTCATTAATCCTTTGCTACACAATGGCAAGCACTTTTGTGGAAAATGTAGCAGACTAGTAAGCACCTACGTCAGATCCTCGATGGATTGCGAGTTACCGAAACCATGGGTGTCTTCTACCGAACGTTGATCTAACCCATCGGTCCCTTTAAAATGAGCTGAATAAAAATCCCTAAGACGCGTGGTTGCGGCTCAGCTCAAGTGAAGACCGCCAAACTTCTCTCTACTCCTATATAACGCACATTTCAGCGCAGTAAGACTCGGTAAAGAAGCGTCACAACTGTCAAAATTGCCTCCACGAGACCTTCAACTTTTTATCAACCCATTACAATGCCATAATCGGCAATACACGTCAATAATCATAAGGCCGGGACCCATTATACGTTTCAGAGCATCGTTGGAACATACATCTGCACTCAAGAGGCACAGCAATTAACATACATAGTACACAGTGACCCGCCAAGACTGGGGTTCCTCATATCGTGGTTACATCGTTTAGTCCGTCTCTAGTGGCCATGGTTGGTACCTACATGAGAATATGGCCCCCATCTCTTCTTAACTTCAGACTTCCAAAGGGGGGTGGGAAGAAAAAAGAAACTCCACCATGAATCGTGTGTCAACACAACATTTCATCTAGTAGAGACATGACACAAAACAAAACGCATCCGAATAGATACCGCGTGGCTGTGTCTAGTCTAAGTACTTACTGTTGTGCACATTATAGTAGCACCTCGTACAAGATAATAATAAGATAAAGTACCAAAGTATCACCCGTTTCGGCCTCGAATCTCCTTGGTTTCTGACCATAATATCGGGCTCAAAGGCCGCTTTTCGCCATTCAATTAGAACCCGAGGAGGCCACGGAGATAGCTAGTATCTAGCGAAAGTGTGTAGTCACATCCGTGTGGCAGTGCTCGATAGTTCCAAGCCAAAGAATTCCATCCGAAGTCTTGTCCTCATATAAAACATGGTAGACCTCATTTTATTAGTTTCTTGTCCATTGTCATCCATTGTAACTTAGAAGTAGATAGGCTTTTGATAGTGGGCGGGCCAAGCAAGATATCAAGACGCTACGGTCTCCGCTTAAACGAGCACGTCACAGACTTCTAACCCTATTAGAAAGGTAAGCAGTTATGTTATATCAATGATCCATCAGCCAAGATACCGAGAGTTCAGTAATTATACGCTTATATTCGCGCAAGTTTGGGTAGGCCAAGTGCAAAGAAACACGCCGACAAACTTTGATACATCTTGGGCCCTTGGCCTTACCACTTCATAATAGTCGGCGGCCTCATTACAATACTTGTCGTAATCAAGTTTGTTAATTCGCCCCTTGTAGAGGAGGCGAAGCTGAAATAGCGGACATTTTGGCGATGATTCTTGTATTTTGCCATCCAAGGATACTCTACACGAGAGCCGTGCCTAACCTTGATTCCCAGTTTTCCAAGATAGGAATAAGTCGTCCGCAACGGATACCTAACACACTCAGACATGTGTGACAATACGTGTGTATACCTCTCTGGATAGCAGATCTGTGAAGTATTAGTTAGCAAAAAGCATTATTCAAGAGCTCACGATAGGATAGCCTCCCGTCACCCCACAGGAGCTCTAGACCTACCATCGTCGATACTCTTACAGATCACCCAGCATAGCCACAACGATGGAATTGGTCACCCCTCTAAATAGGCACTCCATGTGCTCATATCCCCTCTCTTGTACTACCTCTATCGTGTCGAACAACATAAATCGGAAGACTTATAGCGAGACAACAAGATCTGCAAGTTCCACTACAGCCCAATTGTCGTGCTTGCATGGCCATCCCCTCTCATAGGCTGACGCCGATCTTACCACTATCTCAAAGAAAGCCTTACGCTCAAAGAAAGTTACGCCAATTACCAAAGTAGACTTATTAATTGGAGTAGTACCTAGGTAAGGGAGGGCACTCCTTGTAATATCTCACTGCCCAAAGGCCCCCCCCCCTTACCCCTTTTCTAATTATCATTCGACTTCAAGTCGGTGTAGAGGGTCACTCACCCTGCCCCTATACTAAAGCATTCACAAGAGTTGAACCGACGACAATATGTGTTTTCTACCTTCAAACTCAACTCTAGCACCCTCCGGTCTCGTCTCATCACCTCCCCAAATCAACCTGCCTCACAAGCACCAACCGCTCCTCCTCTTCTTGACTCTCCCCTTTCTCCCCCCTACTCTCTTGCTTAACACCCCCAAAGAAACCCCCAACGGCCGTCCTCAGCACCTCCTCCCACAATCCCCCAACCAACTCCCTAAGCTCCTCCCCCGTCTGTTTAAAATCCGGAAACGCATTAACCTCCAGCAACCACGTATGCCCGGTCCCATCGACCAAGAAATCCAACCCAAAGATCTCAAACGCATTCGTCAGCGGGCGGAAATGCATCGGCATAGCACGAGGTGCAGCTTCGAACGCGTCCCCCGTAATATCGCATATCTGTTTGAAAATACCTTCTTTCGTATCCTTCGACAGCGGCAGATCCCAGAACTGGCGAACTGTGCCCTCGGAGACTGAGCGCTGGAGACAGGTATTAGTGAGGTGTGCTTCGAGGTCGATAGCTGTCGTTTCTGTATTCGTGTCCATGTTCGTAGAAGTAGATGTAGCAGTAGCCCCAGGCGCAACATACGCCTTCCCAGCAAAAAGCGCCAACATATGCCTATACACATAAACATCCAAGCTCCCAACACACGCAACGTACGCACGAATGTGGAACTTGCGCCCATCGCCCGGTAGGAGCAGCGGTGGATGAATATACGGCTGCGCCACGAAGTGACGAAGATGCGACGTCGTAATACCATTCCCATTATTCCCTTGCTCTTCATCATCGCCAGCCCCCTTCCCCTCATCCTCACTATCCGGTTCATCCTCCTCCCACCCATCGAAAATGCCTTGTAACTCCTCTAGCGAGCTAAAGAGCCTGATCCCCTGCCCTCTATCACTCATACCCGGCTTCAAGATCCACCATTCCCTCTCCGCCTCCCCCTTCTCTTCATTCCTTTCAAGACTTGCCCTTAGATCAAACGCCTCGACCAGTGCATCATCTAGAAACTCCGCGTAGTCTAACTCAAAAGCCTCACTCCTCTTAACATGTTTCGCAAGCGCTGAGTCCGGTCTCTTCGCAGCCCACAGCTCGGCCGTCGCCGCAAGGTAGTGTTTCCGAATAAGTGCCTTCCTTAGCATATAGCTATTCGCCAGACACGTAGTCCTATGCGCGTCTATATACTCCCAATCAATCGCCTCATACGGCGTAATCTGCAGGACCCTACTAGTTCCATTCTTCGGTAGTAAATCCTTAAGCAATATCGGTTCGCCTGGAGTGGCAGATTCGGGTATCGAGAGGAGGGTATAAGCTTCGGGTGGAAAGAGCTTTTGGAGAGCATCTAGGATAAGGGGTTGGACATAGGCATCCTCGTATGCGATCAGGGCGTAAAAGTGCTGTTTAGGCCGGTATATCAAAGTCGACGTAGACATTGTCAATGTTGGAGAATTTGGCACATCCCTGAAGAAAAAGAAGAATGAGAAACCATGACTTGATTATGTATACACATCATATGTAGGCATTCGACATACGCAGAACACTAGTGAGTATTCTTCGATGTATCTCACCTATCTCTTATGTTCTGGCTAGAAGATCAAGACGTTTTGTCTATCTGACGGACCAGTTATATGGCCATGCAATGCTCCATCTGTTCTATGATGCTGCCATCCCCGTCTAAAACCAAATGCAACGCAATGCAATAGACTCAACTCACAAGTTCAACTCCTTTCCATGCAAATGCGTTGCCGCGTTATAGAAATTTGCCTTCATCGGTGTTACACTGCAGTATTGATTAGTTCCCAGGATATAGACAGGGTCGTCACGCATATAGGGGGTGGCGGCTGGACTTACCTCGAGAAACCTTCCTTGACCGCCCATCCATCGTTCCCTGGCGGTGAATCTTCAACGCTCTTATAGACGTCGGTGAACTTAGGGGCCCACTTGAAATGTCTGTGGGGATATCGCGTCTGACCAGCGTCGGCAGCGTCACCATTCGCTTTTGAGTCAAGACCATTAGATCCACTGGCCTCCTGACTCTCGCGTATTCTTACTTCCTCCTCATCTTCATCACCGATGCTTCCCTCGACCTCTTCGAAACAGGCGCCATTATCGCCCCAGTAATTCTGCAACATCTCGGTCCACAACGTTTTCCTTTCTTCAACACCTTCGATGAGCGGTACATTAACCGAGTATAGGTCGATGCTCTTGTCTGTCGGCCATTGGGCGTAAAGCTTCTCGATAATGCGCACGCTGTGTCGACTAGCGGCGTCAATGATGGTAGGGTCGTGGTTGCGGTTAAAGAAGGCATAGCTTAACGCAATGGACTTCTTCCTGCATACCGCAGCCTCCAAGGCACCGCCCAATGTGCCTGAGCTCAGCGCAAATACAGCCGTCGTATTGCGGCCGTAATTAGGGCCCGAGACAACGAGGTCTACTGGGCCTTTTTCGTGAAAGAAATGATGTATGCCGATCTGAGCGCAACTAGCAGGCGTTCCATCTACGAGTATCCATTCCTCCTCATTATTGTTTTTATTCGGTCGTGTATATGTGGCCCCTTGGGCTTGGGAGGCAGCGCTGGGAGAAGGGTCAAAGGTTGCGGATGGTTTGTAGTAGAGCGGTTTTACGGTCTGCCCGATCATATGGGCTTTCCCAATCCAGGAGCGCTGGGTATGTGGTAGACATACTGAGACTATATGTCCGTTTTTCTGAAGCTCGCGAACTAGACTATGGACGTAGGGCGAGGAAGTTGGGGACGGCGGGCCATCATCGTTCGTCACTAAGATGTGCATCGTAGGCTAGTGTTGTAGTAGTAGTAGTAGTAATCTTGGGTAGAATTTTTGAGGTCAATTAGTGCTATGAAGACTACAGACAGCCGTAACAAGAATCCAAATCCTCCAAGGCTAGAGAAAGATCGATATTGCACATGAAAGAATAAGTAGAGAGGTGTTAAAGGAGTGTTGGTGTGGAATGGTAGGTTGTATAAGTGTATAATGTGGGTGCCGGAATTGTGTAAGTAAAATAAATAAATTTACCCTCTAGATAGGCGGGGGCGGGGCAGGCCAGGTACCTGGGATTGGGGAATTGGATTGCACCTTCGTTTGTCGACAATAATTCCATACTATCGGCGGATATGACGTGATTCCGGATCCTCTGGCACAACTTCCATGTTTCTTTCCCACTAAGACTAAGTAGGTTTGATTTGTAGTAGGGAAGCTGCTTTGACTACATCAGGAAGAAAAGAAAGGGAAAGACCGCTGGAGCTTAGATTGTGACAAGATACCGCATCTATGTTACCTGCCTTTTTACCTGAGTGTTATACGTAATCCCTGCTGACCGATATCTCGGTCTCTGTGCAACCGCACCTCGGGAGTTTGTGAAGCTCCAACTCCTGATAGCAAACTCTATGATTCCGTATTAACCCGTTCGAGTATAGAACAACGAAACTATAGGACCAAATAAACCATGAGGAAGGCATTCCGAACTTCATATCCCAGTCATAGAGCTTTCTATTATTTAAACGAGTAACTGATACCCTCCTTGCAGCGTAGGGAACTACTCCGGTGTAACACATCAAGTAAAAGTGACTTGTTCGTATCACTATATTTCGATACCGTTTTCAAGAGTATTTTACGACCTGCTGATCACGATTGCGTGCATATCAACCTCGCAAGGGAATCCCTTCTACGCGCCGGACATATACTACCTCTAGCAACTTGGTATAAATCTACAAAGATACTTCTGGTCATCAAGTACTTATTCATATCACCTTACATTTATCAAATACAACACGAAAAACCAACAAGATGCATTATAGAGTGAATTCATTCTGAGGCAAGCTATACTACTTATCCGTGAGCCAGTGCCCTGTAACTATTAACCAGGGACGAAAGACTCCTGGATTAAAACCATATGTAGACACCGAATAGCCCTAGCGCCCTATCTTTGGGCCCATTTCCGACAATGCCGATTGGGAGAATAAGAGAACGCCCAACACCTCCATGGATGGTAGAAACCAAGTTTTACTTTTTCCGGATGCCATTCCAAATGGCCTGCTTTGCTGTGCTCCTCCAGTTACACCAAATCACAAAGGGAACTACTCCTAGATGCCGTAAATGCCGGGATCGGATCGAATAGCAAGTGAAACGGACTACGCACGCTGGCGCTTCGCAACCTCGCTCGGTCTAACTAGCTCGTCGCCCTCTCGCTTTTGGCCTTGCGGGCCAGCTCGACTCTTAGAGCGACGCCAGCCATCGAATGGACTGCGCGGCTTAGTTGCCTTCATGGGTGATTCTGTGGCACGTAGCTTTGTGCTTGCGCGTGTCGCTCGGACTGTCGAGGGAGGGGAGACGGGCGCGAATCGGGGGGCGACGGGTGTCTCTGGCTTCTTGCCGGCTGCAGCGTTGGGAGTTGCAGGTTCTTCAGCGGAAGCGAGTTCCTCCTCCTCGGCGGCATCAACTAGTACATGATCTTCGATGTCCGTAACGGCTTCCTCATCCTCATCAATTACTTGGGTAGCTGCCTTGCCCTTCTGGTTGGCCGGGAAGAGCAAGCGAGGCTTGATAGAGGAGCGGGTCAACGGTCGGGGTCTCTCGGGGCTCTTAGCACTGCTCGACTCTGCGGTGATATCTTCCTCTTCCTCTCCATCCTCGCTTGAAAACTTGCGGAAAATCTTCTTTCCTCGGCTGTAGGATTGAATTGTTAGCAAATGATTGACCAACATGAGATGATATTTAAAATGGGATAATAACTTACAAGACATAAATGATTCCATCCTTGCGCTCAAGTGCTTCATCGACAGTCTGTCGACCTTCACCAGGAATAGAGACCTGCTTGGCACGAATTCGCTTCGAAGTCTCACTGTCTGCGGAAGAGGGAAGGTTGTTGTAGAAGGGGTTCTGTTCGCGATCAACTTCGGGGACGCGATCGCGCGAATCGGTGAATATCTCAATGGGCTCCTCAATCTCTTCGGCAGTGAAGCTGTTCAAGGTAATGCCGCTGTACTTCTTGGTTTTTCTCTTCTTGGGATTGACAATGATATCGGCGTCGGCGTCGACATCAGAAAAGAGGTTGCGCGCGACCGCACGGACCTTGGCCTTGGACTTCTCATCCGGTTGCTTCTGGGGTGTCTTGGCAGGGGTAGGAAGCATCATAGAGGATATGTTTTGGGAAGTCGCGTTGGCCTTGGGCTTCTGGCGCGAAGAACCATTGCCAATTGAATCGCCAGCGTTGGAACTTCCGAAGGTTAAGGCGCCATTTGCGCGACGAACTGAATCCATGGCCGGTTGACGTTTCTTCTGGGGAGATGCGTTGGGAGTATCAAAAGGATCGGAGGGGACTCGAGCGGTTACGCGATTGTGACGTTGTGTTGAGGCGCGAGGGGAAGGTGTACGGTGTTGCGATCGTTGTGCTGAGATGCGAGCGGATTTACGGGGAGTTGAATAAGGGTCCCAGGAATCGGTGTAACCGTGCTTAGGAGTGCCTGGGGTTCGGACTCGACCCGGTGGTGAGGGAGTTGAGACGGCGAAAGACGCCATTGTTTGCTTAGGTAAGAGGGAAGTTGCGGCCTGACCTTTGTATGATTGGTGTTTAGGCGGGTTGTTGCGACCGTGAGTTCAATAATTAAATCCAACCTCGAACCTTCCTCAAAAACTCGTCGAAGCGATGCAACACTTGGTGCTTCTTCCAAATCCCAATTGTCCTACGTTTGACTCAAATATACGAGCTCGATATTGATTTGAGTGTCGATGACAGAAAGAAACTAGAGGTCCGAATGGTAATTGTGATTGAATTGAGGGACCCCGTTTGTTCTCCTTTATTTCCACCCTCTCGTGTCTCTCGATTTGCGCACTCCTTGAATACGGATTGAAGAGAATTATAAAAAAGTAAAGAAAAGAAAAACGAATATGAAATTGTTGTTGAATGTTTTTGTTTGGGTAGCAATAAGTTTGTCGTCTCGCGTGGCAACCAGCGAAGTAAATTGAACAAGTCGCAGGTAATGAATGTAGAGAACAAACAAAATGCGGTGGCTCAAGCCGGGCGAAACGACGAAGAGTTGTTAATGTTAAAGTTGTAGTGGAATTTTGACCAAGTTGGGAATCGGGGTGGCAGAATGTGAAAGTAAAAAGTGGCTGGGCTTGCTGGGCTACTGAACTTTGGGGGGTTGCTCCAACTATCCCAACTTAAACAAGCCTATCAGCGTGGAACGTGCGGCGGTCGCCAAAGTAAATTATGACATTCCTTGTTCATTCTACCTAGGTAACCCTTGCAACCCTGTTTTTAATTGCTACGGGGTACTTTATTGAACGAATAAAATTGTGTGCTAGGGGAAGTACTCCGCACAGTTCCACACGGTACTACGGGGACAAGACAAGTACCCACCTTAAACTCTACTTCCAATGTCTTTAATTGGGTAGATACAATAGAACGCGTGATGCGTCGCTTCTACGCGTCGTACCCACACGTAATTGGATTAAATGATAGAAACCCTATCGATAATATTGATAATAGACGCAATTCAAATCCAATTGGGCAATTTGGCGGCCAGCACAGCGTCATCCCCACACACGAAAACACTGCTATTTGCTGTATGACAACGCATGTCAACAAAAGAAAAGAGCGAGAGCCTTTAAATACCAACGATACTTTACCTAAGTACCTTTTTTGAGTTATGACACGCATTGTATAGGAGATACTGCATAACAATTTAACATTACGTCACTAATCGGAACACTGAAAATAATTGAGTTTATCAACCCCCTGGATCGGTACCTACAGAGATACTTATAGCTACCCCGCCAATCATCGCATCACAAAGTTAGACCCCTCAGTACCTATCTAAGTATTGGTCTTCGTCATACAAAAGATTGTTTCTACTTCCCTTCTTCCCCACGTCACAATGTCCGGCCATCAAGACGATTCCGATCACGAAGACCTCTTCGCCTCACCATCCAAAAAATCTACTACCCCCAGAGACCAACCAGTACGATCCACAACTCCATCAAATCCCCCGCCCAATCGCTACGATGACCCAGAAGAACTGCGCGAAGCCAATCTCCGACGAGAACTCGAAGGCGTGCGAAACATCAACGAGTTGATCGAGGGGGTAGTCGGGACCTTGGAACGAGCAAAGGGCAACATGCATGTACGTCATTTATTCCCACATCCCTAAATCACCACATCTCCATCCCTCACGAACAACGTCACTAACCAACCAATCCCTAAGACCGTCTCCGCAACCGTAACAACAGCCTCAACCCTGTTAAACACCTGGACACGCATCCTCTCGCAAACCGAGCACAACCAACGTCTCCTCCTAAACCCCAACTGGAAAGGCGCATCCCAAGACCTCGCCGACGTCGAAGCCGAAACCTTAGCCAAGCAACGCGAAGCCGAACAACGCGCCGCGGATACCGAACGCCGTCGCGCGGAAGCCAGACGCCGCGCTGAGGAGGAAGCGCGACAGCGCGAGGCCGCGGCTAATGCTACGAGCTCGACGCGTGGGGCTAGTGCTAGGGGGAGGTTGAGGAGTAGTGGAAGTGTGAGGGGGAGGGCTGGACGTGGGACTACGGGAGCGGGGAGAGGGTCGTATGGGGGTAGTACGACGACGAGTAGACCTAGCTCGGCTGCGGATACGAGTACGGCGAGTGGAAGGGGAACTTCGGGGATTGGGAGGGGGTTTTTGAGGGGGAAGTCGAGAGGACCGAGGGGGTATTAGGGATGAAGATTTGTCGAATGATGAGATGAACACGACTAGATGATTGGGAGCTTGATGATTCGAGCCATTGCTATTATCTATACACAACGATAAATGGCACATATCCCGATGCCCACCCCGGAGCCTGTAGGCCAGATAACTACCTGATAGGTATACATAGACGCCAAATGACATCAATTACTATGCACCCACCTCCCGTTTCCAATTATACAAATGTTACCATTTTATTCCATATATTATACACCTACTTTTTCTTAAAGAAATCACTCATCTTCTTCATCCCCACCGTATTAACCTTCTTCAAATCCCTCACGCCTCTACTCTCACCTGCCTTCTTCCGCTTCTCCTCTTCCTCCTTCCGTCGTTTCTTTTCCTCCCGGTGCGCCAGCTCCTCGTCGTCAAGCGCCCGCTTGCGCGAGTAATCCGTCATGTTACGCGCTGCGGCCGCTTCTTGTCGCAGTTTGTTGAGTTCGGCTAGATACTCGTCTAGAGGTGTAGAATCAACTAGTGGCGCCTTTTCTTCTTGTTCCTTTTGTGATGTAAGTTTTGCGAGGAGTTGTGCCGCTTGCGAAGGTGCGACATAGCACGAACATATGAAGTTGAAGGCGGTGCGCAGACGTTGGAGTTTTATGACTTCTTCGGAGGCATGGAGGGAGGGCATGAGTTCTGCGGCGGCGGTGATGGTAGTCGTAGATTCTTCGATAGTGACTGAGGTTGCGGCTGTGGATGCTTCTGACGCGGTACTAGTGCTGGTTTCTGTGGAAGACGTGGATGACTGACTATCCGTGGACTCGAGTTTGGGGGTTGACACCTCTGAGGTGGGTGCTGAGGTTTCGCTTTGTGCTTGCGTTTCCGTTTGCTGCGTAACTGACGTTATGACGGTGTTCTCCCTCTTCACACCTACGACCGGAGCCTCTAGGGCCTTAGTCACAAATTTCTCCTCCATACTTTTCGGCAAAGACTGTTCGCTCATATTTTGCGCCTTGGCTAATATTTCCGCTAGGAGTTTGTCCTGGCTGAAGCGAAACATCGTTTCATTGCCCCCATCAGCTGTGTCGCACATAGCAGCCATCCGCGATTCTAATAGCTCTCGAACGTTACCCCATCGCAATATCTCAGATAAATGTGGCGAAGATTCTTTTATGGAGTCAAAGTGATCGTCGCTGGATACGAACATTCGTTTTCCACCTTTAGTACTGACGGATTGGTTCGCGAATGCGGGTAATAGGAGAAATATAGGATCGATGGGTGTAGCAACGTATAGGTCGGCGCCCTTTGTAATATAAGCGCCAAGTTCAGCGCCATCCTCGCTCTTCTTCTCTTCGACTTTGCCCGTGTCGCTACATTCTATCAACCAACTTCTCGGTGTAGATTTTGGCGCAGCGATCCTTGTGAACTCGTAGATGCCTGTCTCGGGACATACCAGATATCTTGTTGGCTTTGCATATCTCGGATTTAGTAAAGAGACTATTTTCGCTTCTTTTGTAGCCTTAGAAGGGAGTATGAAGAGTTTCGGTGGATTTGAGGACTCTGCAGGTAATATGAATTTCGACTTGGTATTTGAGGTCGTCGTCGGTTTGGATTCTGGTGTTGCAGCAGATGCGCTTGCTTTGGATCTCGTGGTTCTCGCCATGCTGTATGAGAGCTATGGTTTCGCCAGAACTTCAGTAATTTGACTTGAAATAGTAACAACAGTGTATAAGAGGCCTATAGTTGACTAATTGATGTTTTTATTAACAATTAAAGGTTGCATAGGTGCATGTAGAGACTAAAGGGTACTTAGGTACTAATGACCCCTGTCGACGCGTCTTAATATAAATTAATCGCGTTTCACTAAAGGGGAAAGCGCGTCCCCACTTCGCCAATCATACGCCGGTATTTGCATCCGCCCATGTAAATCATCACTTATCGATAAATATAAGGTACTTCTATACTTCTATACATGTACCCTCTGATGTACTCTTGTGATACATGATCCCTCCGTCTACAACCATTCGTGATACCAATCAATCCTACACTTTTGCCAGAGTCTATTGGTTTTTTGGCAGTTTGAAAACAAGCCGATTGCATAGTAAGAAATTCCATGTTATTATTGGCGCCTCAAACCCGACAGAACAACACATACAAGACAATCAACCTATTCCCACCCCGGAAGATCGCCCTACCACCTATGTTCTATATTTGCCGCATGATATAATACATACATTAGCCAGCAAGGCATCGGACCCCTGCAGGTTTCCATTGGAGGGGACCGAAGTACCACCCGAATAAACACGACGGATGGGAACTTCAGGACCGCAGCCATGATGTCCGCTAGTATGTAACACTTCACTTACCATCGACATCAACCAACTTAACGAAAAATGGCAGGGTCCGGCGCAGACCCCGAGACACAATGGCCACCACGATCTCCCCACGACGTCCTTCTCAGCACACCCAAGGGACGCGAACGCTTGCGACGCATGGCCGAACGAGCATCACCCTCGCCGTCTCCATCCAAGCGAAACCGAATGACACCCGCGCTGGCTTCCCGATCTAGTAACTCCCGTCGCTATGACGTAGAAGAAGACGATATGGAGTTAGACGAGGACGACGATGATGAAGATGAGGAAATGTTGCAGTTGAAACTACAAGCGATCCAGGCAAAACTGAAGCTGAAAAAACTACAAAGCGCTAAAGCGAAGAAGGCACTTGGAGGAGACAGGACCCCGCCGCGATCGGAATCCGCACCTATACCCGATATTCCAATATCTAATCGAGCTCGTTCCGGAGCAGATTCGTTGCGTTCAGGCCCGTCATTTCGACCGCAGTCACAGGCAGAGGTACAAGTTCCAGCATCTCCAGTGCGAAGGGTGCAACCGCCGCAAGCCGATACCTCTCCTAGTAGGATACGTCTCGGCATCGACAAGGGGATCAGAGCAAAAGACGTCTCATTAAAAAGAGCACCAAGCGTAAGAAAGACCACAGAAACCCAGAATAACTCACAAGGAGGATATCTTCGACGAGCGCATACACCCTCTCATAGCACATCCGAACAACCCCCTAAACAAGAGCGACCCATGACTTTCAGCGAGAGACTAGCCGCAGCCAGGACCGAAGAAATAAGTCGACAGGAAAAGCGAGAACGAATAAAACAATCTAGGAGCAACGCCTTCGAACTCGACAGACAGGAAATGGAACATTTCAAGACCACCGCCAAGGAAATCCCCGACGTACCTATCCAACCCGAACAATACAGCCGCGAAGACGTCATAGCCGGCGGGCAGATTAAACGTAGCGACACGGCATCACTATCGAAATCGCAAATTGACCCAACCTCACGCCAGGAAAAGAAAGTCGTCCCCTCCGAAGTCCCCGAAGAAGACGCATCGGCTTTCGAACCGTATTCCAGCACACACCTCTCAAAGCGCGTAATCCCGCACTCGGTTCTAACGCGGAATCTCTCGGGCAAGAAAACCTATGTTATTAAGGACTTACTAAAACACGTCAAGGCGCCGGATTTCGAGCTCCCCGACGTCGAGCAGGATATCGTCGTTTTCGGGATCTTAGCCTCGAAATCGGAACCGCGGTCGCATAAAACGGGTAACAGCAACCTAAAGGAACAATCACAGACCGACCCGAGTAGGGGGAAGTACATGGTATTGCAGCTCGTGGACTTACAATGGGAACTCGAGTTGTTCTTGTTTAATTCGGGTTTTGACCGGTTCTGGAAGTTGACTCCTGGAACGCTACTCGCGGTGCTTAATCCAACGGTCATGCCACCGCCCCCTGGACGGACTGATACGGGGCGTTTTAGTTTGGTGATTAATAGTGGTGAAGATACTATACTGGAAGTAGGCACAGCCCGGGATCTCGGGTACTGCAAGTCGGTCAAGAAGGATGGCGAGTTGTGTAATGGTTGGGTGAATAAGAAACGAACCGAGTTCTGCGAGTTCCACATGAACCTAGGTCTTGCGAAACACCGGCAGGCGCGCCAGGATGTGAATGCATTTGATACAGGACTCGGGCCTAAAAAGGATAGGGCGAGGGGTGGAGGAGGTGGGGGTAGGAATTCATATCGGGGGAATAGTTGGGAAGAACGAGATGGTAAGGATGGAAAGAATAAGAGTAAGGGGAGTGGTTTCGATAGGGCGACGCAAAGTCAATGGTTCATATCGAAACCTAGCGCGGCGAGTATGCTCGATAACGAGGTCTTGGGCGGGCGTGTTACGAATACACTTGAACGCGGCGAGGCGCTAAGACGACGTCTTGCGACCGAGGAGAAGGAACGCGATATCATGAAACAACTCGGCCGCGTGGGTTCCGGCGCGGGAAAGGAGTACATGAAAAAGGGCGGCAGTGGTAGCAAAGCCCTAGGCTCGGGTTCAACCCAAGCCACCGACGACTCAAGACCCGATGTCGACGCCAAAGCCTTAGGTCTAATCCGGGATAGGGGTCAGGAACCTAGAATGCGGTTGAGCCCTGTTAAGCGCAAACGTGGCGTTGATAGCGCGTTGTCTTTTACTTCTACATCTTCTACTACTTCTACTACGACGGCATCTGCTACTCGTACGGCGCTGGGTTGGGGTGGCAATCTTAAGGATAAACTAGCGCGCATGAAAGAAGGCGAGAGATTGGCGCCGCCGGCTATTTCTACGAACGTAGGTGATAGCAGTACCGCGGGAGACGAAGGCAATAGTAGTGTCGGCGCAGGCGGTAGCGTGGCGAGGTCCCCGGCGCGCAAGAAGACGCGGTTCGTAACAGAAAAAGGGATTCGCGAAGCCGGGCGCGAGAGTCTGGGTGGGGAACTAGCTTCGGCTAATGACCGCAGCGATGACCCTGCTTCAGATTCCCGGCCAAGCTCAATCACGAGGGATAGGAGAGGAAGAATGGTCGTCCTGGATGACGATGACGATGAATTAGAAATTCTTCGGTAGTAAAGTGGAGAAAGAAAGAGCAAATACCCTTGTAATTCCTTTTATCCTGTTGCATATAGCATAGGCGTGTTGTGGTGCTGGTGCCGGTGGGGAAAAAAAGAGATATCATATCAGTAAGGCCAACCCAAGATCGGAGTCTGCAAAGGCAGCGTGGCGTACGTGTAGGGTTACGGATCGGATACCTAGGATTAAAAGATAGGATGGATCGATTAGGTAGTTTAGTCACTTTAGTATAGGATGACTCAAATCAGAAGAATATTTCGAAATACATATTTGAGAGTCAAGTATAAGATAAATATTAGTATTCTAAGCAGCGCTGTATCAAGGATAGCCTCGGAAATAGATATACCACTATATCTGACTTGCCGTATAACACGCTCTATGAGCGCGAATAGACCAGCAACTATGGTCTATTCCATCGACATACCGGCAGCCACCGTATGATTGACGAACGCACGGTGGGTTGGAATCTATCCAACTGTATGCCAACTGCTATTAGTCCTAGAACATCATCTACTAAACACTGATGTTATTTACTTTACTACCTATCCTAGTTAAAATATGTATTCTTGAATCCAGGTAACTCGGATCATGTCTAGACAGCACTAGACAATCCAAAATCTTTTTTTAATACTAAGCCTATGTCGAATCAAAACCTACAGGATTCGGAATGACATCGTAGAAGAGGCAAGGATCGCTATGGGGATAGAATGAATAAGAGGAAAGAAGGACAAAATAAGTAAACCACACCAGTGTGCGATCTACAAATCTGCTCTTTTTTTCGCTCCTTTTTGTTTAACACTTTTTACGGTTCGTCGCCAACTTAGGAAGTATCCCTCGCCCCAATTCCAATTCGCACCACCTTGAACAAAAAGGAAATGTGGAATGAAGTGGAAATGAAAAACGATAGAATCGCACACTCCTTCGTAGCGAGAAAGTAGATACTTCTACTATCACTTTGTTACCTCATCCTCAGCCTCTTCAACCGCTTGGACTTCGTCTCCCGTCGGCTTTTTTTCGATTGTCTCTTCTAAGATAGACTCGCCAGCCGTATTAGTAGCTAGCGTTTTAGTTTCTTCTTCCGTCTTGGAGTCGCTCTTTGTTTCGCTTGGCTCGGATTCAGCTGGTTTGCTTTCTACCTTATCGTCCACTTTGGATTCCGACTTCTCCTCTGGTTGAGGCTCAGACTTGTCTTGTTCTAACGAGACTTGTGGTTCAGCTTCCCTAGGTTCCTCCTTAGCTACCTCAATAGACTTAGTCTCCGGTTCTAGTAATGTCACGGGTCCAGGACCGTCAACTGTCATGGTGCCCTCCTCATCTATGCTAAATAAAGTGCGAGTCATGGAAAAGCTTAGAACGGGATGGCCATTGGACGTAGGCGGAGGGCCGGATTCCACACCACTTGGGCTCGCGGCCTTAGTAGGAGCCCGTCGTTGAGGGCCTCGCGCGCGGCCTTTCCTCGCATCAGACAATGGTGCCTTCTCCTTCTCTTCAGCGGGCTCTTGTGTGGGTGGTTCTTCCTTTTTAGGGGCTTGGGGACCTAATCTTAAACGGTTGTTAAGATCCGACATGAACCCTGCTTGCAAAGCAGCTATCTTCCCTCCAGCTGGCCTAGCGGGCACTGCGGGTTTCGGCTTCGCCGCCGGCTCAGGACCCTTAGTCTCTGCAGCCGGCTTCGAAGGACGAACGGGAATTTGGGGCTTTGGGCGATCAGGAACAGTGGGCTTTAAAGTTGAATCATCACCCGATCCTTGCTTCTTAGGGCGCGCTAGTATCGATGGCTTCTGAGGGGCTTGCTCAGTAATTGACTTGGTCGCCTCATCCGCCTGTGATTCTTCAGTGGCCTCAGGAGTGGAAACGGTAGCAGTGAATTGTAGGGAATCGGGCGTGTCCTCCCAGACGTCTCGGCTTGGGAACCTTTGAGTCGCTAAATTGCTAGGTCTACTGTGGGTATCCTTGGCTAGATGCGGTTGGCTTCCAATCCATGACGGGGGCTTTTGTTGACGGTACAAAAAGCTGTCTGGAGTGAGAGCTTCCTTTTCGGCAAGTTCCTCTTGTCTTCTTGCAAAAGCTTGAGCAGGAGTTTCGCCATCTCGTGGAGGTACATCTAAAGCTGCAGCTTGTTCTTTCTGGCGAGCTTCCAATAACTCCGGTGTCGAGACTTCCGCAGTAGAATGCACGCTGTTAGGAGCATCCTCCCAGATATCCCGACTAGGGAATCTTTGGCGTTGTTCCTTCAACTTCTCGGCCTGAGTCATGGGTTTCTTGCCGGCTTTCTCGTCTTCGGGGAACAGTGGTTCATATTCCTCCACGTCTTCCAGCGGGGTTGAATGCAATTCAGGCGGTGGAGGACTGTATACGCTTGCAGGTCTACTAGTGGGGCGGCTCTTAGGTTCCTCCATTTCGTAGGCGCTGCCGTGTCGCTCCGGTGGAGGTTCCACGGCAGGCTGCATTTGGTAGGGAGATGGGTCTTTGGCCACCTCATCAGGAGCTAGGATTGGCTGATTGCGCACTTCTTCGGCACCCTCGCCTTCCGCAGACTTCTCGTCACCAAATTTGACGTATCCTTTGCGTCGATTTGGCTCGTCTACGTGGATTACGTTGTCACCGTTAATAGTATCAGCGTGGTCAGTAGCTACTTCATTGCCTGAGAAATTAGGCTTCAAGGGCGAAATGATGTTGGCATCTTCTTGGGCGGCTGGTGGTTGAGGGGACGAGATACGTGACGTATACTCATCAGCTGCTTGGTAGCCAACCTGTTCGCTGGGAGTCCCGACAAATTCAGTTGAAGTACCTATCAAGATTGGTTAGAAACACTCCAAAGTTTGCTGGCAGTTTGCGTTACCAAAACCAGCACCACGGCTGGCTGTATCTCGAACGATCTTATTTAGATCCTCGCTACTCATTGAGTAGTCGTGTACACGGTCGTGAAGATGATTGTAGCGCTCCTTCTGTAGGGCATCAGGATGTTTCTCGTAGTAGGCCTTCTCGAGTTTGTCGGTAGACGCAACGCCATGTCCATGGAGACCGTAGACATCGGACGGAAGATCGCCAAACCCGCTTCGAGAACTCGTCTTCCTAGTATGGTTTCGAATAGGTTTCGTTCCATCGGTGCTGGCCGTTCTAGGAGCTGGGGTAGGCGAGGGTGCTTGAACATCACCAGCATTGGCTAACATAGGAACTCGTTGGCCAATCTCGGGAATGCCTTGTCCATCTTCTGTAAACGTTTCGCTTTGATGCGAAAGCTGACTCGTAGTACTCGCCTTCTTCTTAAGGCTGCGAGGTGGGTAACCTTGGTCTTCGTAGGAAGGACGTCCAATGCCAAAAGCGGCGGCTCTGTCAGAATCGGTCCGTGTAACTTGAGCAACTCGCTGCTTGGCGCTCTGGGCGGGCATGGTTGGCTTCGGCGCATGCAGTTTGATGTCCTCGCCGACGGTGCGAGTTTGTTCGGGCGAAGTAGACGACCTACGGCTCGCCTGTGGGGACGTACCCAACTCTTCGATAACAGCAGCATACTCACGACCTTCTTCGCCCGGGTTAGGCATCTCGACACTAACAGGACGTTCTAGCTCTTCGCCAAGGTGGGTGTGATTTTGTCGAGTTGTCTTAGCGGTGAAGGGGCTCTCGTTGAGAGGCGAAGGAGCGAAGCGGTCCGGGTTTGGAGAGACGGATCGATTGAAACGACGATTGATGGGGCGAGGAGGAATCGCGGGCGCGGAGGAGCCATTGTCTCTTTCTTGACTCCTCGCAGGACGAGGAGGGATTGCTGGTGTGGATTGCATGGTGGCAGCAGACATTTCGAACAAAGCAGAAAAAGCAGTCGTTGTTAGCTAATAAAATGCTTGAAACAAATACGATCTGTAGGCGGTCGACAAGAAAATGACCTATAGAAATGTACACATTAGTAAAGGGACAAAATGGCAATTGAAGCTATTGACTCGATTGCAATGACTAGGAAAGTTGAACAAGATAAATTGAGCAATGACTGTGTTCGGCATGTGATTAAGTTGAGGTAGTCCCATGTGCGAGTATATATCATCTTATGCTAGAAGGCGTCATAGCTTATGTATACGTACCGCATAAATGCCAGTGAGCTTAAGATATAACCGTGCAGGTCTAGCAAACTTATGGCAAAGCAAGAGAGACCTGGGGATAGTCGTATAAGTTGATTTGAGGATTCTCGAAGTGGATCGTGATGATCAGATACGCAATTGGCCAAGACCAAGTCTTACACTTGTCTAGTTGTCCATGTGTTAGATCTAGTCCCCTGTTATATCATGCGGTGAAGAGATAAAACAGATAGGAAGAATATGCTAGTGATAAGCTAGATAGATAATAGAATAGGTAGAGGTAGTGAGACGGTTTGGCTTGGCTTGGCTAAGAGGGAATAAGGCAGATATAAATGTCTCGATAGAGTGTGAGGTTATTATTAGGCAACGGAAACGGACCCGACGACAAGAGCCACGTTCCTCCTGTCAGAGTGCCATTGAGTGTGCAAGTCTAGCCTTTTCTCGTCGCAGGAGACGAGAAAATATAGGGAAATAAGTTGCTAATTACACCGCCCCTTGCTTTAGGAGGGAACCATTTGGCAATACAACAAGTACCGCTCGATTCAATGCATAAGAAGGGGTAGGAAAGAGGAGGGAAGTAAAAGCCAGCGAACGGCCTAGCTAAGGAAATAGACGATGTTCCAATGAGATGGAGGGGTTGCTCCAAGAAAGCTTCTGCGTCGGGGCACTTACACGTTCGAGGGTTGATTGGTTGAAATGACGATGTATATAAGACACGGACAGGTCAGCAGCCTTAGCTCGATCTCGATTGGCGACGATGCCGAGTGCTTGGTATAGCTATATTGGTTGTTTCTTTGGGATGGTTAGGTAGGTAAGGTATATAGAAAGGCAATTGGCCTCTTATTCAATAAGAGTTTTTAATATTAAAAGGAAGAAAATGAGACAAGATAAATTTTCGAGCAATAAAATCTCTGATCGATACAGAATACTGATGATGTAAATGGTCGGCCCGGTTTAGCCGTAATGGGAATTGCGGAATTGCAACAAATGGTTACAATTGCGCAAGCAACACAGTTAGTGCTTCGTAAACAAAGGGGTGGCCTTATTATTTTTATGCCTTCGATATGTTACCAGGTATTGTATCGTGGTATCGTATTGGATCGAATCGTATGGTATCGTTTAGCGTAATTCTTATGGCTTTGGTTGTAGGGGTTTGGGTTGATTTATGGAGATCTAGATTCTGTAACTAAAAATCACAATGATGAAACTGAGAGGGACTCGGATGACTTAAATACTTCATGTAGGTACAGTAGCTACTTCCCACACTGGAGGTTTTTAACTTTGGTTTCCGTTTTTACAGGATCGTACCTGAAGCCGTTGGCGATGTCATGGAATAATCTTGATTTCTATTAGCTACCAATAACTTTACCAGACAGGGATGTCAGGTGTTTGAAAAAATCGATGCACTCCCCCCCATCTCAAGTACCCCGCATGTACTTTATTTCCACTAGGTCATGAGTCTTTGCCGGCGTCACAACCTATAGCAATGAGGGGTACACTTGGAGTACAATCATTTTGAATGCTATCTGTCCCCTAATTCATACATATGTATTGTAGGCGGTCTGCAAGTTGATACTGACCAATCGCAGTGTTCTAATATGTCAATAGCTCGGAGCTCTTTAGCGGGGGAAAGACATATGTACCACCCCTCAATGCATTATTTTCTTCACTAGCGCCTCCATCGACGCAAGCATCTTAGATGCAGGTGACCTATACTGGTAAAAGAAACGGGAACCTACATGTATCTACTAAAAATTGTACAATACCATGAACTCTGAATATGTAAATGATCCTCAATCAGTATTATTATTATTATTGGAATACCTATGGGATAACAATACCTCTCGATTGAGTCGTACGATTATGTTTAACAAATGTTAATGGTAGGGAGGTATGGGTACCTATGAATAGTTGTATGGGGTTATTGTTACGGTACTATACCGTAATGTAGAACACAACTCCAGCAAGTCATCGTTGGCCTCAACAATCATCAGAGGAAGTTACCACATCGACCCCACCCTAAACTCTTAATCATCCCAGAATCCGTAATAGCTCTTGAACGGACAATCAGCTGATTATGCATAGTGCGTCAGAATTTTTACGGTGAATCGAAGCGGCAAGACTACTGCTCTATGGGGTATAGTTTCTCTGAAAATACTCCAAAACTACTAGATATGTACCTAAGCTTTTACCTTACAGAAGGCACCTAGATACCTTATGTAGGTAGATAAAGATCTTGAATTCATTCCTTCAATACGAGTACTTAGGTATCCTTTCATAAACTCGAGGCGTTTCATTTCCTTTGTACATAATAACTAACAGCCGCAAATACATCACTTAAATTCTTTATATAAACCCGCATAAAACAGGTATTATCTATCATAAGCGAATGACGATTTATACCATGCCTTTTTATGAAATAGAAGTTTCTACAGTAGACCGGGAAATAATACGCACACCTAAAAATCTCTTGCCTCCTCATAATGGATTCCTCGACTTTCCCAACTCACGTACTTCTCGGCTCTCTTCGATCGACGAGACAAGCTGATGCTGAAGAGTTCGTGAATGATTCCCTCCCCGCCAAGGACACAGCGTATTCCTCATGTAAGAAACGACGTCGCAGTGAAGTATCAGAGCCCGATTTCACACTTGTAGAAATGCCTCGCCTTACTACCCCCCAATCGACTGAATACCGAAGTTCACGACAGGTTCAGGAAGCCACCTCTCATCGCCCGAACTCTTCTTTCCAAGATTCCGATCAGTCCCACGAAGATCCCTCTCCAAACCCTGAAAAACTTCCCTCCGAGCTTTATAATAAAGCGCATCTAGCTTGGTGGCTTGAGTACCTGGACCCATCTCAATCACCTAACTATTCTTCTGATTCTTCGAAGGCCGATCGAAGCGCTTCCTTTGACTTGGACTCAGTAGATATGGCTCCGAGTGGGCAACATAGCATAACATCGTCTGCAACTCGTGGGGATCGGGTAGGTTCACCAGGCTATCGATCCACGGTCTTGAATGAACTTGGTATCTACAATATACCTATAGGCTTTTCTAATACTCCGAAATGGGCTCGTAAATGCCACGACTACTTCAAAATACCCGTAACACTCACTGCAGAAGCTCACGAGGCGATGAGGGAGAATTATCTCGCACTAATCAAGGTGCTCACTGAGAATACTACACTTAATAAGAGTGACCCTAGTTGGCATCTCTTCAGTTATACGGGTATATTGCCGCAGAGCGACACGCGGCAGGCGAATCAAGGCCAGCCCAGTGGAGAATAGGCGGGTCAAGAGGAATCGGATGAAGAAGATATCATACCTTTCATTCCGCGGCCCCTATTCCATCATTGTACGAACGTACCGTTTTCTACTACAAACGGCCATATACCCAAGGACCCGGAGCGAAAGTACATCAAAATGGTCACGCCCAAGCCTGACCTTACCGTGGGGTATTCATATGACAAGATCACTCCAATTAGAAACATTGCCTGGCTCTATCATCGAAAGCAAGACTTCGTCATCAATAATGCTCAGATATATTTCCCTTATTTCTTAGTTGAAGTAAAGACCCCAAAAGGCGACGTGACAGAGGCGTTGAACCGGTTGATGGGCGATGGCGCAACTTGTCTTCGCCTAAGCTCGCAGGTGCTCCCTAGAACTATGAACTTCGTCTTCGGTACAGTTGCCACTCCCCAATGGATACAACTTTATTCCATATGGCAGGACAAGAGTGGACAAATCTATGTTGAATTGATAGAGGATTTCTCCCTAAGTAAAGTCGAAACGTATTCGAACTGTCGGGACGCTATCCGAAAGATACACGAATGGGCAGCACAAGTCCGGCTTCCGGCCATTTTCGAAGGTCTTTACCAGATGGTGAAGGCCGAGGAAGAAAAGGTACAAAATAGAAACGAAGAATATTAAATTGATGAATAAAAATAGTGAGTTTACCTAAATAAGTATTATTTTAAAACAAAAAAAAAAATATACATTAAAAAACCACCCATTTTTTAGGTACATATACCAACCATGGTCACGCCTTTACATTTTCCCCGTTTCGTGGGTTGTGAACTCGTATGCATTATGTAAAATGCAAGGGACGGTAGTCTTTCCAACACATATCGTAGCTAAGCTAAGTTGTACCTGGTGATGAATAAAAACAATCAACTAATAATTGGGACGAAATAGTCAGTATCTCGATAGGATAGACTATCCAATTGAAGAAAGTAGAAGCGACGTCAGCACCTAAAGGGAGTCGTCGTAACAAGCTAGGTATGGAGCAATATACCTAGGTAGGGTGATGTATATATGTGCATTAGTAGAAATGACGGCATACAACATATTTCCCCACGGTCTTGGCCAGCTTTTTACGTACCAACGAGAGTCAGGTCCCTGACCTATCTAAAATAGTAACACCCGGGAGAAGAATCTAGACTTTGAGGTTGAATAGCTAGGTAGAAAACCTTCCCATCTTCCAGACGTCCCGAAATGGACCTAAAACCTAACCGAGAGCGCGGAACTCTTCGGTTGAGTTTCAGTTTGATACCTAAACGGTTCACGCTGTATATTGATGTAAGTGTATATTGCAGTGTGTAGCTTATTTTCGTCACATAAGCAAAAAACCTCATCTCACTGGGCCCTATCAGTGGCAATGAAGATTCTAGATATTTGAGATCAAATCGCCTCTTAATATTTCATATGAATTCATAAGCTTCGTAGATCGTCAGCGAAAAATCGACTGGTGGGGGTCATGTGGGGAGTCTCAGCCTGGCAAAGAGAACCATGACGCTTTAGATATAGTCTAGATCTCTCTTTAGATAATATAGTCAATCATTCACTCATAAATGACGGAAGATTAACAGCTCTCCGATATATTACTAGGATCGTATAGGTCTCTAAAAGTTGTCAGGTTAGGGGCCCAGTACCTAGGCAGTTACCAATGGAATGGATATTCAGGGTCTAGGGAAATGGACCATTGGCAATTTAGCAACCAGGTACGTGGCTTATACACTTAGATAAGCAGAGTGCCATTTAGAGCTTCGTCATCGGGGCCAAACAAAAGTAGACATCACAGTAACAGGAGAAGCTCAAAAATATCTGTTTGGTTCAAAGTACCAGCACCAGACTGGGGTATCTCTTCCATTCTGGATGCAGTAACGTGTCAAGAAAACAAGAACATTCCGCAGCCATCTTGCTCGCATCGTATTCCGTGACGCCGTTTCCCTAAAGATCAAAAAAGCACAACCTAACGCAGAAACCTCCCTTTTTCCTCAGCATACGAGAGAAAACAGCACCAAGACCCAGAAGCCACACATACACTCCCTCCACAGACGCAGGGCATAACTCCTTTTCGGCACTCTGATGTTCGTCAATCATGTTGGCTATAGCCTTTTCCCTTGACTATTCCTACAGGAGCTAAGGATTCTCGCACGGTCCTCAAGGCTCGATGTTAGTAGTCCGTTTGTATCGCGACCCGATCATACGATCATCTGCGCTACACCCGCACCACCCAGCGTCTTGCTTCCGACGAAGGCTTGGCCCTTGATACCTGCAGCAGCGTAGCAAAGAGCCGTGAAAGTCAGGACGACGGCAGCTGCAATCAAAGAGCTAGCAGTAATAATAATGCTGAGCCATTGAATGAGGGCCATGACACCGTAAGTACCGGCACGCATGTAGTTCGTCGAGACCCTACGGATCGCAGCGTCGAAGGCAGCCGAAGTAGGGCAGATTCGGAGCAATAGAGGGACTTCGATGAAGAGGATGATGAAGCAGGAGACCCTTTAGAAGTACGTATTAGCTTTCGGCTGCTCATCCCTATTTTCGTTCTAATGTTTGGTGGGTATGAACTTACAGAGCAAGGATGGCAAAGATGATGAGCAGGACATGGCTGAAGAGGTTAAAGAGGTTTGCGATACCCAGCGCAAAGCAAAGGATCATAGACAGAATTCCGAGCCTAGTTGCGAGCATAGTTAGCTATCAAAATTCAACCTATCCATCCATCATTAAAATCCGAATACACAACTCGAAGGCCTCCAGCACCGGCTTCGGGAACGAGGGAGTAGTTCGGCAGAATCAAGCAACCAGCATGGTAACGGCTTGTCGCACAGTTCGATGAGGTCGATCGTATTGTGGATGATAGGAAGTAAGGATAATGCGTAGGCTTACCATTGTCCGTAGATACCTAGTTGTACAATTGTCAATGCCCATTCTATGTAACAAGGCTGATACACCAGCCTCATGAATAATTAAGTAACTTACTGAAGTTCCTTGTCGCGAACTCGTCCTTGAGCGACATCTTGAAGATTATTGGTATTTAGCGATGAACAATCGAGTTTGTATGCGATGTAAAGAATATCTGGCTGCCTTAGCAGGAAAATAAACGGCGCTGACGACGACTGGATAAACCGGGTCGGACAGATCGGGATGGGTTTGCGATTAAGGGCGGAAGGTGGATTTATCGATCGTTTCGTTTGGTCGTAAAAAAGAGAAGTATTTCGTGGTAGCGTTTCGTGATGTAGGAAAGCAATGTGTTCTGGTATTGTTTGTGTTTATTATTGGGAAGTAGAACAGTGAGTCGAGGTTCGGCGAAACAAAGGTTGTTAGACGATGAAATGTTTTTGAGAGGTTGAAGAACTGATGACGGCTGACTGTGTCTCTAAGTTAAGTCTGTGTGTATTGTACCTTCCTCTCGTATTGTACAGATGTACAAGATTAATCCTGAACCAATTAAAGAGCTAGGGTGGACCTAACCATTTCCCGTACAACAAATTTGATTGGCCAGGAACAAACCTAGTGTTGCTATTTCTTGTTATTCGCGTGGCAGCTTCCTACACCAAGAAATTCGCTGCCTGCCCAGCGGCTGCTGCGGCGCAACCAAGTCATTCCTTACGTAAACCAGCGCAACAGGTAAAGGAAAACGTAAGGTCCGTGCGTAAGCCGCAATTGGCAACGTCACCCTCCTCAGCCAAGAAGGGGCTGTGTCAAATGAACATCTACTTTTATTAACTTCATCTGCACTACATCTATATGGATACCTAACATAGGCATCACTATTTTATCTGTTTCTAGCCGTGATTCGTAAGGTTAAGGGAATATTATCAAATATATTAGGCAACCCTCATAGTACCTCGAATCTAGTAGCGGAATAAATGCCGTGTCAACGTTGAGATTTGCTACGTCGTATATCGAAATCGAAATCTTAATAACTTCATTTCCTAGCAAGTTCTTAGGCATCCAGCCGAGAATATTATCGCAGCCTTAAAATTTACGATTTAAAAATTATCAGTCGGCGCCTAGACGCGAAATATTGCTTGACGGCGGGAGGGGATATGGGATGGTAATTCAATACGGGCCATATGGGTCATCTTACTTTGAGAGCGCCAGACTTGTATAGAGCTATAAAACCTCAGTGGTTTAATATTACCCTTATCACGATACCCCTAAGCGCAATGTAATGTGTTGAAATACCTTTGCTAATATCTGTTATGATAGTGTACCATAATTACGCCATTGCGTATGCGGATTCAGGATTCTCTACAAGTCAATCCACGGGCAATTTTATGTGAATACGGCAGATGCCAAACGCGTCGCGTGCCTGCCCTGGCCCATGCATTTGAAAGTTTGTTGAAGCTTGGTTCAATTCAAGTTGACACGGTGACGCGGGTCCTCCAATAAAAAAACACAGTTTGGAAGGCATATATGGTCTAATAGTTGTCTGCTCTTTCGACCTAGCAGTCACCGAACTGCCAGAAAGCCATGTGTTAGTATGGTGGTTCGGTACGGCAGGTCAGTAAAATCTTAACAAGTGTTCGGGTTTTCGTAGGTCGAGGTTCGAACCGGGACGCCGGCTCCCTCGACTGAGCTTTTTGTCATTTTTTTTTTCATATGTTGTATTTTTATTATGGCCTCGTCTACTTAATAATTTTATCAGTTTATTTTTCGGCACCGAATAACTTCAGATTTTCCTTTTGCTCTCTCATTCACCCCCGCCCTACCCCCCCAGCGGAAAGACGCGTATTCGAGGACAGCACCATAATATCTGGTGAAGAACAAAAGGCACTCGCCCGCAAATAAATTCTCCACGTGTCTTAGATGGTCAGCTCTTATCCTATGTTGTTCAATAGGGCTCCCTTTATCCCAAATGTCTCCATCTCACCAACAGACAATAGACCTTTGTTTATACCACTCCTCTCTTGTCAACTGTGGCTCGAAGTCGCGAGGCGGGGGCTTTCTAGGTAAAACTCTCATTAGTTTGAGCTTGGCACAGAACAACTTCCTCGCGATTTCCAAATCTTCATGTCCACTCGTCGTGAATTATATTCAGTTACCCAAGCACAGCGCTAGAAGACAAGAATGATCGAAAGGCTCTCAGTAAAGTAAAAAAGAAGGAAGCCCAGCTGTCAACACTGGTCTTATTGCTTTTAGTAGGAAGCATAAAACCATAAATCTCTAATTGCTATGCCATGTATTTTGGAACGAGTTCATGACTATGTACTCAGTACTTGCATATATGCTTTGATACATACGAGGCTATTCAGGGCCTCGCTTAGGTAAGGGGTCATTTTGAAGCCATTCACCAATCTAATTGCGGGGACCCTTGTCGATGTCACGTTATGATGGAGAGATCAAAAATCCTATACCCATAGATATTAATTGAATGAAGCTTACCTCGGATTTAAATTTTTAATTTTATAGAGAAAATTGATATTTTCCAAAAAAAAAATAGATCAGAGGCATTCCGTGTATCATCGTCGCCTCTTCAACAAGCCACTATTTTGAGTTATTGAATAGGTAAGTAGTTTTTATTTCCTTAAAAGATTATGAAGCCACGACATAAGGAAGAAACAACTTGGAAGTCAAATATAGCGTACTTTTAACGTACATGAGAAAGCTGTCTCATTATAACTTAATAATATGCCTACCTGGAAGGGAGCCCACGGGGCAAATAAGGGGCGTGGTTCTACTTGCCCCTTATTTGCCACCAAGAGCATATAAAATTATAGACGTTTGTAATACGTTAAACTGACATGAAATTACAGAAAACACTTCTCATCATGAGCTTATAACCCAGCTCAACTCACTAGAGTTCAAATTCATGTTCAAACAAATACAAGACAGACAATGAGAAACAAAATGGCCCTCACAGACCTATCGCCGGAGCAGTGGCCCCTCTCCGCTAGCGCCACAACTCTCATCGGCGCCGCCACTCTCTACTTCATCCTATACCACATCTCCTCGCGCAAACTCGACCCACGCGAGCCTCCCATCCTAGCGCCATCCATCCCCATAATCGGGCACATCCTGGGCATGGCGCTCTGGGGCGGCGCCTACATAAAAAACATCGGTATCCGACGGCGTGACCTCCCCATCTTCACCCTCCCCGTCCCCGGATCCCGGATCTACGTCGTAGCCGACCCACCGCTAGCCGCCGCCGTACAGCGCGCATCCAAAATCCTCTCCTTCACCCCTATAGTCCCAGAAGTCACGCAGCGGGTGCTCGGCCTGGACCCCGCGACCATGGAAATCACGCGACAGAACCTAGACCCCGGGCCGGGGGATGAACGCGGTTTTCTGGCGGATATCCAGGATATGGTTTATCAATGGCTAGGCCCAGGTGATTACCTCGCAGAGTTAACGCTGGATGCAGCGCGTGAGATGCGCGATGACATCGCCGCTTTTGCTTCTTCTTTACCCCCGACCCCCACTCCCACCGCCCCCACCGAATCCACGGATATGCTCGCCTGGGTACGCCACCTCGTCAGCACATCTACCGCGCGCTACCTCTACGGGCCCCAGAATCCAATTGCTCTCAACCCGTCCCTCGAAACCGCATTCTGGGATTTCGATCACGGACTCGGCTCGTTATTGATGAGTATCGCGCCGTCTATAACCGCGCGACGCGCGTATCTCGGCCGCGAGCGGCTGTCTGCTGCGTTATTGACGTATCTACAAGAAGATCTACACACGAAGAGTGGGTCTAAGATTGTCCGCGAAAGAGTCGCTATTGCGCAGCGACACGGATGGACACTACCCGCGATCGCGCGAGAGGAGTTGTCGTTTCTGTTTGCGGGGATTGTGAATGCGACGACGTCGACGTTTTGGATTTTATTGCATTTATACGCGGATCCGAAGTTACTCGCGGATGTGCGACGGGAGGTAGAAGCTGTCCTAATTAAAGGGGAAGGGAAGGGGAATAAGAAGACGTTGCGTATGAACGACCTTCGGGATTCTTGTCCTGTTCTTGTGGCTGTGTACCGCGAGTGTCTGCGTCTTGGCTCTGATACGTACTCGACGCGATTGGTTAAGGAAGACTTCCTACTAGCAGATACGTACTTCTTAAAGAAAAACTCGGTAGTACAGATCGCGGGCGGTGTGATCCATGCCGATGCGCGCATTTGGGGGAACGATGTTGAGGAGTTTAATCCCGGGCGATTCCTCACGGAAAAGCCGCAACAACAAGGAGAAGAGAAAACCAAACAGAAGAATACTTTCCACCCCGCCGCTTTTCGGGCCTTTGGTGGTGGTAAGACGTTGTGTCCCGGACGCCACTTTGCTATGAATGAGATCCTGGCTTTTGTTGCTCTGGTTATACTACAGTTCGACATGAAGCCTGCGCGTGGAGACCGCATCGAGGTACCTTCGAAAAACGACGGAGTTCTGCCTGTGCATATTTTAGAACCGATGCGTCCCATTGAGGTGTTGATCACGAAACGCGAGGATGGGTTTGCAAGGGGTGGTTTGGATGTTGAGTTTGTTGTGTGATGGTAGAATTGCTTAATGGTTAGGTATTATAAATAGTATATGAGAGATGGATGACTAGACGTTTATATGGTGATAACAGCGGTTAGTATATATGGGTTACGCTGGAGATATTTTGACCGGGGTTGATGCCGCATTGGCAAGAGGCTTAATACGCGGGGTATGTCTATACTCAATCCCTTGAGGGGATAAGCTTCTATATATACATTTTATCATTCTTACCTCGGATATATATAATCTTTTTTATCTTTGGATGCGGTCAACCTGAGTGAATAACGCGACTAATCGAAAGCACTACGGGGAATTTCACGTATGTCGTGGTATTATAATTTAGGCGTCTGTCTATTTGAAAATTGTAGAAGATGGTCTATACATCGCTATGCCGTTAATCACGACTATCTTGGCTCTTGCCCAACCACATTCATGCCCACCATTCACCTTATCATCGATCCGAACGACGTCGTCCATCCAATCAATCAAACCTCATACGATGATCCTTGAAGCCACTCATCGAGGCGATGTCTCCTTCTCCACTCCGCGAACTTGGGACGATTGCGCTCCGCCGCGCCCCCGAAAAGCTGCCTATGCATTATGGGCACCCGCTGCGAAAGCGTATAGTCCTCTAACGCAAAACCCAAACCCGTCTCTATAAATGCGACGCTCTCTGTCTTCCGTGAGTATACCAAATCCTTGGCAGGTTGTGTCGTGGTAACTATTGGCCGCCGCGTGCGCTCACTTTTCGTAGTGATCTCAACAAGACTCCCTGAAAGTCCCACAAACAAGGTGGGCGAGTCGTCTGATGGTGATGCGAGCGAATATACCGGCGAGGTATCGCTGGTCGGAGAGTACGATGTTGGAAGCCACATGTTGAAGTTTGGTCTGGAGAAGTCTTGTCGTGAGAGAGCGTGCCAGCGGCAACGTCGGCCAGAAATATGGTCGCATGTAGCGCGATTATCCGAGAAATATGGCTTGAGTACGGGAACTGGGGGTCGAGGCGTTGGATAAGGTGCATCGTTGCCACAGGGAAGACCCTCGGTATGATAGTATCCCTTAGGCCAACGGTAGTCGAAAACTTTGAGTACTGGGGAATACGCGCTTCCCGCAACGAACCTTTCTAGGCCATGGGAAAGAAGGGCGTTGATTGGGGTTGAGAGATCGAAATTGTCCTGGAAGATCCTATCGGTTGGTGAAGGCGAGCGAAGGTCCTGAAGGCGAATGGTTCCATCGGCCCACGAACTCAGCACGGAATTTCCGCCACCGCTGGCAACCGATCGAGTATCCACCGGCAGGATTGATCGGATTGTTTCAAACTTATACTCATCAACACCATTGGTCTGGCTGCTAGACTTGGCCGCGTAAGATATTTCAATGCCCGTTGGTGTATTTTTCAGATACTGAAGCGGGTTATAACCTTTATTCAGGCCTACCGCCAAAGTGTCTTCGTTCACGAATTTGACGGTTCGGATAAATTCGAACGTTCCAGGCCCTCCTCTATCGTCTTTCAATGATAAAGCTTCGTCGGCCCATACATATGGCGAACTCCCTTCTTCAGAATTATTTATGGCGGGGTCATTATGAACGGTTTGTCTGTCCTTAACAAGAGGGTACATCAGGATACTCTGTTTAGTTGCTGCCGCGAGCACCCCTTGTTTATAGTTAACATCGAGGGATTGAATATCAGTCTGGCGTATAGCCTCGTTATTGGGTTGGTCGGGTCTATTAGAGCCTTTGAAGCTTAGTAGTGTATTGCCAAAATCGTCAGTACCCATAGAAAGAAGGTGAAGCTGACCGCTTGCCCTGCCTACTAATACTTGGGGTTCATCTCCTTGGCCGTATTTGCATTTATCGCCCTTCAATATGGATACCGATGTGACATCATCTCTGCCGGAATGGTACCCGGATGCAGCACCCCGACCGCAAAGCCATTCGTCGGTAGGCGGCTTAGGTCCCCGATTATGTCGTAGCAAGCCAAACACATCTTCTCCGGCACCCCAAAATATGATATCTTGAGCGTCATTGCCTTTGTGTTGATGATAAGCGTCGACTAAGATATTGCTGGGAATCGACTGCCAGGTAGATAGTGGGTCGGGACCCCAAGTGCGATGTTTGGATGGAGGCTTGAGGACGTCGATGGCAAGAGCGCGTCTGTCCCAGTCTCTCGACTGCGTAGTCAAGGAGCGAGCACGTGCCCTCCACTCATCTGTGGATGAGACTTCGGATAATTTGAAGGTGTTAAAACGTGATGTAATGAATATACGCCATCCGCTCTCCGAAATAAGGCGATGTAAGCCCTTACATGTTGCACCTAAATGAGCTACACTCCCTGCCGTATCTAGGTAGGTTAATATGATGTAGAGAATGTCGGTTGGTAAGGACGTGAGACTTGGGACATCATCTGAAATTCTGAGTGACCCAATGGATTCCATTATTTCAATGTGTATCTTTTAGTAAGAAGTATCATAGGTTAAGAAGGTATGTAGAAGATTGAGATGCGTTTTAAGATGTATAATATTTCTTTTTCTTATACGAAATTAAAGAAGTCGGAAGTCGGTGACTATGACGTAGGTCCGTGGCAATTATTAAACAGTAAAATTTGATATATGATCGTACGTAAGCTGTCCATAATTCTAGGTTAGGTCAATGATAAAATAATAAATTTCGAATAAAATGATCTAGTATAATTGGTAACATGTTTGTTATTTTATAATGTTGAGGCATCAGAAAGTTGAGAGGAAGGAAAATCGATGCGGATATTCGTTCAGTGGGTCGAAGTTAAAAAGCGCTAAAAAGTACACTAAATTTGTGTGTCATTCTTGCTATAACAGCTGTAGCCAATACTTATCCCGACATTGTATAACATTATTCCATCATCGTCATAAGTCCAAATAAGAGTCACAATTCATTTAAATTAGATAATTACTGGTCTGAATAATTAAATAATTCATTTCCATATCCTGTTTATTTTTGTGATTAATATTCATGTTGGCTTAGGCATCTTAAAATACCCATAGCTGTGTCATCGAGTCCTAACCCCTTAGGTAGGCAACAACCGCTAGAAAAGGACCCCTAATTTCCTGAATACCTAGGGGATACGGCTGATAACCTTCATTGGGATTTTAGCGAAGGAAGCGAAAACTCAAAGACTTGGTTGTTTATCACGATAACTCTTATAGAGAGATACTGGGAATAGCTTCACATATTGCATTAAGCAATGCCGGCTCAAGTGAGGAGGGGCTTTGATAATGATGCTCGTTGGAGATATCAACTTCAACTTGTTCGTAAACGGGCCTCAGACTAGGACTTGAAATTTGAAGGATGGATATGTGATTTACTCAAGCCTTTGAGATATATATTTTAATTCTCATCATATCAATCCTCATATTTGAGTATATACCTTCCTTTTGAAATGGTTGAAGTGTGATATTATCTTCTATTATGGCTACACTCAACACCCCTGATTTGTATACTTCAACTATACTCATCCTAATATTAGCATTCCTATACCAATATGTGCTCTACTCTGCCCTAATATCACCACTTTCCAGAATTCCAAAGGCCCACTGGTCGTGTTCTATATCACCAGTTTGGATTCTATGGAACCGATTCAACCACCGCGAAAACCGCACATTACATGCAGCTCATAAGCGGTTCGGGCCGGTTGTACGCATAGGTCCTAACGAGCTGAGCGTCAACAGCGCCGATGGCGTTAAAACCATCTACCAGGGCGGTTTCGATAAGCATCAGTGGTACTCACTCTTCAATAACTATGGGTATTCGTCTCTACTTGTTACGGTAGATCACTGGCACTAATATACAGGATAGAGTCTCATGCATGTTCTCATCCCTGGAGTCCAAACAGCACTCACAGAGGAAGCGTATGGTTTCACACGTATACTCAAAATCATATCTACACGCCTCCCCAGCTCTCGCAGCACAGGCCGACGTCATTATAAATGAACGGCTAATGCCGCAGCTGGAGGCGTCTGCATCTATGAACTCCGCCGGACATCCGCACGCGATCGACGTACATTCATTCTTCTGTGCTACCGCTAGTATGTGGCGTTGAGTCTTGTCATTTCCCCTCTTTTGGCTTGCCCGAGGGATTTTATCTTATTTTCCATTTCCGGAGTTACTGTTGCTGCTCGGAAGCCCTTCTATAACTACCGTGTTATATTTACAGACCGCCGAATTCTAACCCCTTACTCGTAGTGGACTTTATATCATCATACACTTTCGGCCTCCCTCGCAGTGCCGACTTCCTCCGGCGCTCATCCTACCGCGCGCACTGGCTAGTTCTCTACGCCACGCGTGAGGGAAACGGTTTCTTCGCACAAGAACTCCCCAAACTATCCCGTGTCCTATCTCTCATCGGTATCGATCTAATCCCCTCATGGGTCACAGCCGCAAACCACGAGCTCGAAGCCTGGTGTAAGGAACATAGCGATGCTGCTATCCGCTTCCTAGAAAACGAGGAAACAAAAGGCTCCGTGCTGGACACCGCGGGTGATCCAGTCGTCATACGCGCTCTCCTCGCAGGCCTCGATAAAGAAGCTACAACATCGCATGAACCCATCCCACCCCCGCAACGTGACTTAATAATTGCATCCGAAATCATAGACCACGTCCTAGCCGGCCAAGAAACAACCGGCGTCGCACTGACATATCTCACATACCACCTGTCCCGCTCCCTCCCATTACAAGAAACACTACGCCGGGAACTTCTAACCCTATCCCCTAATCTAAAACTCAACAACGGCAGAATAAACACATATTCCGACCCCAAACACCTCGATTCCCTCCCAGTCCTTAACGCAGTTATAACAGAAACAATCCGACGATACACTCCAGCCGGCGGACCCGAGCCACGCGTTACACCCACCCAATCATGCCGCATCGGGCCCTACAAAGTCCCCGGCGGTGTACGGGTATCCGCTTCACCGTATAATATACACCGCGACGAAGTCGTGTTTCCGGACCCCGAGACGTGGGATCACACGCGATGGCTTCGGGGACGACATGATGGCAACGACAACAAGGAGGAGAGGGAGAGGGATGTATACCGAAACTTTTGGGGATTTTCGAGTGGTGGGAGAATGTGTCTAGGATCGAATTTTGCTATGCATGGTAGGCTCTAGGTCTCTTTTCCATACCGTCTACCCCTTCGCTTGACGTGCAAATTTATAAGTGGGCATTTCATTAATGGATATGGTAACAGAAATGAAACTCGTGATCGCCGCCATCTACTCTAACTACACTAGTCATATTATCAATGACGAGGGAGTTGAGCAGACCGATGCGTATACGGGGCGCCCGAAAAGTAACTCATTATACTTGCGCTTTGAGAGGATTATGGAAGATTAAAGAGGAACTAGTAGTTCGTTGGCGAATAATAATATGTATAGATAACAATTTGAAGAGTATATATCAGATAAACATAGTATTCACCAATACCTACAAATTCATTGACAAGGGTTTGTCATTTATATGAAATGTGATAATTCATGTATGATGATTCAGCGTGGTAGTATGACTTATCGAAAAAACCGATTCACAACTGGCATTAAATAAAACAATTAGTTTTGGGTATTAGCAGATTTTATGCTACCTACTTAGTGAACTATGCTACATAAGTCAAATGCTCCGTGGTGCCACCCTTACGACAAAAAGTCGTTCCAAACACAGCCTTTGCTCACTGGGCTATTCCATCGAGCCTCCCAATTTTCATGCTGAACGAAGTATCTACTATAGGTACCTTCCTCATCCCAAGCAAATTTGGGCGTACTAATTCACTCGCGTGTTGTTTACCCGGGTCCACTCATCGAGGTTTCTATATTTTCCCCTCCTTTTTCATTAGCTAGCTATGACCGTTGAGTAGTGAGACCAAGCCAGATCCCGGGAGTGCTTTAGAAGCACATCTTCCGTCATGGGTAGGTGCAATATTCTTTCATGCTCCATCTGGTTTACAGCGTTAGTAATGGATAAGGCGATAAAAAATTGAAGGGGTGACTAACCTCTCCTTTGGTAGCCATATTGGTTACCACCTTCGCTACCTCTGCCGCCATATCCGTCAAAGCGGCATATTCCTTGATACCAGCTTCCGGTGCATTGCCATGCATAGCTGGTAGCCCTTCGAGTAGAGCGTTAACTAGAATGGAGGGTGGGTGCTCAGATCGTCGTTGGCAGCCCATTAGTTGGAGGAATGCCTTGTAAATTTCGCCTCCGACATTCCAATCGGGAACTTGTGAGTGGTGACCCTCGAATTGTTGGAGAAGGTCCGCTAGTGCGTCATATTCGCGCTCTATTATGGTTATGGGAGCGACCTCCTTAGTGAAGGTACGATGAGCATCGGCCCACGATTCTGCACGGAGCAGGCACTGGACTTCAGCAGCTGAATCTTTCTTGACACTCCGCATAAACAATGCCTTTGAATGCCAAATCCATTGCTTTGGAACATTGTAATCAGTCACAAGTTTTCTGAAGCTGCTTGACTCTTCGTTACCGATCAAGCCGGCGTGCCTGCAGAGATGATCCTGGATGGCCTTGGATCGTGCATCGGGATCGGAAAGATGTAGGAGGACGAAGATTGCCTCTAACCAACTCCCTTCATTTATCAGCTGGGCTGCGAACGAGACAGTGGCAGCATCAGCCTTTTCAATAGCATTCTTTCCGAACGAAACACGTCCAGTCGAGGTCAACGCCTGTCCCAATTGCCAAGATAGACGGTAATCGAGGGGAGAAAGTTGGGAATTTTCTGGTCGTAGTATCGCTTCCAAATCCACCTGATTGTCTGAGTATAGACATAGCAAGCCCCAAAGCAGATCCTGTCTCTGCTCCTGATCCGGGTCGTTCCAAATACTCTTGATACCTTGTTCAATAAACCAAGTAGTAGGTGGCAATTCCCTATCTTGCTCTACGTCTTCTCGGTATTTCTCTACTGCGTCTGCAATGCTGTCCTCTGTAGAAATCGCATACCAGAGCCTTAGACCGAAAGCTTGCTGCCAATTGAGACCAAACTTTTTGGAGATGAGGAATGACTCAGTACGGTTCTCCAGTGCTCCTTTGGTACCCTCACATGCACAAACGTTACCGCTGAGCATTTCATAGAGTGCACGAATAGGTCGCGAGAATTCGGAAAGCACATTCGCTTCTTGCCATTCTTTCATCTGCTCCTTTATATCCTTCTTGACCGCATCATTAGTGCCGATAAGGGAAATGAGGGTAGCAAGACGGAAATTTTTGCCATCAAGGAGGTGTTTGCAAGCTTCAGCGACTCGATGGCCGGATAAGGAAACCAATGCCTTCTCCTCGCTCGATCCTGCCATGGCAGCCATCCTGCTAGTCTGATCTTCTACCGTGCGTTCCCAAAACCTGGATAATCCTTCTCGGCGTAGTTTCTCAGAGGCGTCAGTATTATTTTGAAGGTCCGCGGGGATCTTGACGTTATCGAAGAGGACGCTGGCAAGCTCCCAAACAAGCCTTTCGTGTTCTTCGGCTGTGTTCTTTGCATTGCCTCCAACTGCGAAATCTTTTAGGCTCGTCTTGGGATGTAATCTGATAGCAGGCACACCATCGATAAGTTGAACTTGTGTTAACTTGGTGTGAGCATCAATAGCTCTGGCTGACATCTGAATTTTCATGTTAGGTACATTTTGGTATGCTTGGATTTTCGCACATACCTCATTTGTGAATTTTGCGATCCTAACGTCCTGGGATTCAGACACAATGCCACCCTTGAGCACCGTCATTAACCCATTCTTTTCAGTGATACGACCGGATCTTCCGAATGCTGTGCTACTTGGTGTAGCGGAGAAGACAAGAGTACCATTCGGTCCCCATGTAGGTCGCATGGTATCATGCCATATTCGGTCTTTATCGTCCATATTACTCTCATCAAGGTGTTTAGTCTGTCGTTTGTATGGCCACTATATGAACACAACTTAGTACATTGGGGTCCCTAGCAAATACGTAAGTAGAGTCTGCTACTAACCTTAACACCCTTAGGTCGTACCGATGCCTGGAAAGTCTCAGCCGGGGCTTTGGCTTTCTCAAACAATGAGTTCATCAAGTCGATACTTGTTGCAAAGCCGCGGCCATCTGGTACAATGCGTTTCTTCAAAGGGGACGCTTCTTGTGCAACCTCACTAACCGTACGGTGACGATCAGCCTCATTGATGGTTCTCAAAAGCGCTCGATCTCGTTTCTGAGGACTGATTGTCTTACTGAGCATATCCATCCAATCGTCTCCAGAAGAAACCTGAACTTTCATCGGTGTTGCCGAGCCCTTGATCGCACGCATTCGGGCTCTCATAATACCAGCGGGAGTTTCCTGCACTGCATCGAATTGAGAACCGTCGAACGAGTTGTCATCTTGCTCCGCGGCGAGATGGTGTCCGGGGGAAGCACTCGCATCTTCCTGTGTCTCGGACATCTCATATTCATCATCCATTTCCTCTTGATCCATAGGGATTAGAGCTTGGGATGTAGAACCCACGGAGCGATCAGCTAAAAAAGACTGTCGAGATTGGGTAACTTCTGCCATTTCCGGTTCCTCATTCGCATAAAAATCATCCTCTGCGTCGAAAGCGCCGGGAGGAGCTGGGCGACTTCGTCTACCATCGTATACAATACTACTCTCAGAACCGGCGTCTTCCGCGCTAACGGAAGATGTTGGGGAAACAGTCCTGTTCGGCGCATAGATTAACACCGCCTCGGAAGGCCTTGGCTCGGCATCTTCCTCCTCGTCTGATTCATCGAGGCCATAGGTGGTAAAATGCTCGACAGAGAATGTCCACTCGCCTGTCTCCGCGTTGTAATTCTCAAGTTTCGTATCGGGGATTCTCTTAAGACGTTCAATGTGCTTCGTTAGCGAGGTTGGCTTTCCCTTTCTTGAGGCGCGAGGCCAAGAATTCTCGAGGTTGATTATAGCAGGTACATTCAAACCTTTACCAACCGGCGGTTTCTTCGCCGCATTGGGATAAACGGTTGCGGTTCGCGGCTCCAGGATAACGATACTGTGGAAGATATTATCGATATCAACTAAGTTCAAATCGACAGGAACCTTGAACTTTACGTAGCCTACATTGTCGCGGCCAACAGTGAAACCGGATACCTTCTGACGCTGAACTCTGTTCATCTCCTGGATTTCCTCTTTAGTCGGGGACATCCAATAATTGCCAGGTTCCCCGTCACCCGCTGCGGTTGCAGGGCTCTGGGTTTGCGGTGATGCAGTTTCTTCCTCGTGCACGACTGCCAACTCGTTACCCTTCACTTGTTCCATTTCAGGCGCGGCACTTGACTTAGAGCCATTGACCCCATTAGTGTTCTTAGGTCGAATGTAGCCTAGTTGCTCTGCGCTTGGGGTCGAAGTAGCTGAGCCGTTCACGGCTTCACTGTCCTCAGTGGCATCAACGTTACTGGTATCAAAGCTAACTCGTTTAGTTAGCTTTCGAGAGCTGTTTGGTGTCTCGGGCGTGGGCTTGTCTTTGGTAGGTGTCGAGAACAAGTCACTACGCAAGTCTCTGTTAATAACCAATTTCTTGACGCTGTTGTTACCGTATAGTCTCGACCCGGAGCTAGCGGAAAATGCGCCCGGAGCTAGAATACTATCTTCGATATTGAAGTTGCGACGAAGGTTACTCGTCGAAACACTTTTAGCGAGGGAATTGCCAAGACTACGTGATAAACTACCACCCAATAAGCTCTGCGACATCGTGCCTGGGGTACTAGCCACGCTTGAGGGACTGTTTGGAGTGCCGTATGTGCTATAAGAAAAGCCGTACCCACGCTTTTGCGGTGTCACAAAACGAGGGGCCGAAGAGGCGTTGAGCTTGTAATACGGAAGAATTGATGGCTTTCGGGCTTGTTTTCTACCCGTTGGGGTTGCAAGAGGACCAGGGTCGGCGATCTCGCTACTTCCAAGGTTGGAAAATAGGGATCCATAGGCATTAGGATCATTGATGCTGGCGGTCAGAGAAGGTGCACCCTGGCTGGCCTGTGAGTTTCCAAATAGGGAACTGTTCATGTTGTTTTGTGGTTGTTGCTGTGCACCTGGTACTCCAAAGAGGGACGAACCCTGCTGATTGTTCTGGTTCCCGAAAATACCACCACCAGTTTGTTGTGTAGTACTTCCGAATAGGGAGGGCTTCTGTTGATTTTGACCGCCAAGACCTCCGAATAAGCTGCTGCCTTGTTGGGGTTGCTGCTGATTTTGGTTATTTTGACCTAAGCCACCAAAGAGACCACCTCCAGTATTTGTATTCTGGGGCGTGGCTGCATTGGCAAACAATCCCGTGCCTGTGCCAGTAGCAGGCTTATTGCCAAATAGACCGCCGCCCTGGTTATTGTTTGGTTGGCCAAAAGAATTGTTGGCAGTGGTCGAATTAGCAAAGATACCACCGCTAGTTCCACCAGTATTATTGGAAGCCCCGAAAAGACTTGTACCTGCCGGTTTCTGTTGGTTGTTACCAAAAAGAGAGGTTCCCGTCTGTTGTTGGTTCTGGTTTCCGAAGGCACCGCCGGTACTACCCCCAAACGAGCCACCGGTATTTTGCTGATTTGTATTAGCGAATAAACCACCGCCGCTGTTACCAGCATTTTGAGCGGTATTATTGCCACCAAAGAGACCACCACCAGTATTACCACCGGTACCAAAAGCCCCACCTCCGGTGTTGTTGCCAAAGCCACCGCTTGTGGCATTGTTATTCGTGTTACCGAAACTAAAGCCAGACTTTTGTTGGTTATTGGCGCCGCCAAATAATCCGCTCCCGGTGTTCGTATTGTTGTTAGTAGCCCCGAACCCCGTGCCAGTGTTTCCTGTATTGCCAAAACCAGTGCTTCCAGAGCCGAATAGACCGCCTGTCTGCGCCGGCTGAGTTGTGGGAGTGCTGTTGAACAAGCCACCGGTTGTCGCAGGCTTGCTTCCAAATAGTCCACCAGAATTATTATTTGCACCAAATCCGGCGGTATTGGTGTTATTCTGCCCGAAGGTGCTAGATGTACCGGTACCTCCGAAAAGACCGCCTGTGCCAGCGGTATTTGTGGGTGTGCTCGTGCTGCCGAATGCGTTCGATGTCTGTTGGTTACCAAAGCCACCGAACCCAGAACCGACACCAAATGTTCCAGTACCGGATGTGCCACCGAAGCGACGGCCAGCTACGTAATCAGCAAGTCTTAACTCCTCGGCAGACCACTTTTTGTAGGGATCCTGAAATAGAATGTTCTGATAAGAGTTTTGCGCACTGGAGGTATTATTCTCCTTTTCCACAAAGGGCGAGAAGCTTGTGATATTGGCTGTACCGGGAGGATCCCCTACTGGACCACCTAAAGCTGTACTAGCAGGTGTGTTCGATGTACCGCCGAATGCACCAAAGCCAGTTGATGTGTTGGTGTTATTGGTTGCATTTCCACCGAAAAGTCCACTACCTGAGGTGCCTGTGTTCGTCGCTCCGAAGGCAGGTTTGTTGTTGGCGCTGTTTCCGAAGATAGAACCGCCAGTACTGCCGCCGAAAGGGGTGGATGTCGAGGCATTATTACCAGCCCCGAAGCCGCCGAAGCCGCCGCCGCCACCAGTAGTCGAAGTAGTAGAACCACCGAACAAGCCACTGCCTGTACTCGTAGCTGTACCGCCGAAGGTAGGTTTCGCGCCGAAGGCACCCGTGTTGCTTGTCGAGCCGAACGCACCACCTAGAAATATGTCACGTTAGCTAGCTAGTCCGAGCAAGATATAGAAGGCAGTATAGAAAATGATGAGACAGTTCGGTAGCAAGACGGCACTCACCGGTGTTTCCACCGAAGCCGGATGATGTGTTGCCAGAGCCAAATAGGCCACTACCACCACCACCACCGGCGGTATTATTAGGGGTACCAAAACCGCCAGTGTTACTATTGTTTGCGCCAAAGCCTTTGGAAAGCATACCCGGTTAGTTGGGTGCTGGGTCTATATAGGGGTATACGGGCTAAAGAGTAGGGAAAAGAAACATCAATGCATACCTGTGTTGGCTGTGTTGCTGGCACCAAATCCACCGAAACCGGTAGAAGTGCTGTTATTATTGCCGCCGAAACCACTACCACTACCGCCGAAGCCACCGAAGCCCGACATGATAGTAGCGCTGTAAATGAGGCGAACGTCCTTAGGTCAGCTCGAGGTACGCGGCCGGTAAAGATGACGACGAGGAAAGAGCGCGTTTGACGCGTAGATTAGAGTATGTAAGGAGTGTGACGATATTAAGTAGAGGAAGACATGGAATGTGTGACGGACAGTCGGTCGTCGAGGGTGACGGTCGATTAGAATGACGAGAGGAAGATAATAGTCGTGTAATAATAGTAGAGAGCAGGCGATGAGATGCGCGGGAAGAAGAAAAAAAAGTATCGCAAAACAAGGGTTCGACCTTTTTTTTTTTTCTGCGATCCGCGCTGCTGGGGCCAGGAAGGCGGATGGGGAAAAAAGAGGATTTAACGTACGTGAAGACCTCAATTCAGATGGAAAATGGAGGAATACAGATGTGAAAAAGGGTGGCAAAGATCGTGATAGAATGGGAAATGGTCAATGGTGGAAATACCTACGAGCGCGAGTAGGATATCCGGACCAAGGATAGAAACAAAAGTGAGATTGTAGAAGATGCCGTAGTAGTGACGGGTTAGCTTTTTGGGTGGAAAAGTAATAAGGTAGAGAGAATTGACACGGTTGGGTTGACTGGGACTGGGGACAGGGAGGAGACCGGACCACCTAGGTTCTTGCTTGCTAGAGAAATTCGACTGGTCGTAATTGCGTTGTGAGAATGCAAAGAGTGGGTCGGTACTAGTTTGCTGCACGGGACCTGCCTGTTGCCTTAGAATTATGACTCTATGTATGGTGTACATAATTACATGATTACATAATCGCATACAACATGAGCATTTGCACTTTACCAGAAGCAGAGGAAGAATTCCATTCAACTTAAACCATAACATCAAAATAACAAAGAAACTTGGACATGTGCATGCCATAACTCATGACAACGTAGAATGCATCCACGGAAATAATCTATTGTCTGATTTTTCACACCAGTGTCTGTCTGTCTGTCTATCTGCCTGCAGTCAAAATTGAACATTACCATTTTTACAAAAAGGAGCTTGGGCCATATATATATTACGTAACCTTGCAGAGCTATATATGTACCCAAGTATCAAATTTATCGATCCACAGCCAATTATGAAGCACAGTTTGGAAATGATCATAGCCACTCCTTTTACTTGAACATGAATAATACCAAATTTGTCAATTTGATTAATTTCCAACAGTATAATTGTATAATTCTAGATGAATATACATATGATATTAGAACCTATGTCAGAATTCTTTTTATTTTTATTCGTTGTAAGATGTATAAGAAACCCGTATTTTTATTGATCTCATAATAGTATCGTGACGGTGAAGCTCGAAGCTCCTCAGTATGTACATCGGATACCTAGGCGATAGGCGCTATTCCGTAGAAGTACGGCGCATCGTAGCTGCTAAGCCCGGAAGGGATTATTACATTTTTAGTGGGACATAGCTTAGACTTGTACCTATTTAGGTACCGCAGCAAGCCTAAGGAAGTACCTATCAAGCGCGTCTACGTGTATCCCATTTTCATTTTCGTGAACCGCGCCCAACCCCCTGACTTTTTAGTACCTCTTACCGGCTTCCCATGCAAGAAGAAGAAAAAAAAAACATCGCGAGGAGGTCGACCTACCTACATGCAAGTATACACAACGGAAAAAGGGAACGTTGGGAAAAAAAGAGAGGGTACAATAATAAATAATAATTCATTCGTCTTAATTAATACGGCCAGTATAATCCATTGAACCCGACAAATCATTACCTCGAATTCGAAGTTATACATCCTATAATTCGTTACATTATCGCGCGGCTCTTCTCTACTCTTTTTTTTCCCTTCTCCAACCGTGCGCATACCGCCTCTTATCCCCAGGTCACCTACCTACCTATTTCTCCAAGCTCTTATCCCTAGCTGGAGCTTCGCGACTACTTCATATATACTACGCGCAAATCGCGATTTCGCGTCGGTGAAGGTATACCGAGCTTACACACTAATTGCTCGTTTGGATATCGTGTTTCTTGTCGACGCAAGCCTCAATTCCCAATCGCATACAATTGCATACGAACCACAGCTCGCCTGGCCGACAGAAGCTCTAATACCTCGAAGCGCCAATTCCTACCTAATTATAATCGCCATTCAAACGAATAAACCAACCTATTCGACCTTGCCAACACGACTTAGAAACTGTCGCGTAAGAAAAAGAGCCATCCCCCAAGAGCCGCGCGCTCAAGGTATCACACACAACCAGGAGGAGAGCATGAACAACTACGCCAGCAGCGCCATGAACGACTACAACGCATCAGCGCGGCCGGGCTCCGCAAGACCAGGCTCGCGCTGGGCACCACCAGTGCGCAACCCGGAAACCGCAGAACCATGGGATCAAATCAGCGACGAACACCGGAACGAAATTAACGATTGCGTGAGTACAACCAGGACTACATATACATACATATATGAGAGGAAGGGAAAAAACCAAAAACTAACTAACACGTCCACGAAATAGTTCCACCTCTTCGACATGAACAAAGACGACCACCTCGACTTCAGCGAATTCCGCTACGCCCTCCAAGCCCTGGGCTTCTCGAACCTATCCCGCGCCGACCTAATCGCCTCCTTCAAAAGCGCCGCGCGTCCACGCGCAGGCTGGACACCTCTCCCATCCCTGCCCAACCAACCCCCGCCCCAACCAACACCCGGCGTAGTCGATCTCCGCCTCTCGCGCGAAGCTTTCCAAGCCCTAGCCGCCAGACACGTAGCCTCCAGAGACCCGCGCGAAGAGCTTCTAAAGACATTCTCGCTATTCGATCGCGGAGCTAAGGGTTTAGTAACCGTCGATGATTTACGCGCCGTTGTCAAAGAACTCGGCGAGGACGTACCGGATAACGAGCTCCGCGGTATGATTGAGCAATTCGATGTCGAAGGGAAGGGAGGCGTGAGCCGTGAGGAGTTTCTAGGGATTTTCCTGGATAGGTGACCACGTATAACCGCAACGGCATTGTGAAGGCAATGTGAAAACAACCAGCTCCGCGGTGTGTTTAAGCGGCAAGTGAGATAGAGTATGTCTACCTCGCTTCGCTTCGCTGGCCTCGGGGAGGAGATGGAAGGAAGTAGGGGAGTATAACTACTCCGATCCCTTCCATCTGTCCTATACTCGAGCCCGAGGGATGAAGAAAGGGGATGCAGAGGAGAAGAATAAGTAAAGCGGCAAGCCGAGAAGTAGCCGTTCGAGACAAGACATAAGGCGATGAGACAGTTAAATCACGCTAGAGCATGCAAGCAAAACAGCATGCCGCGTGGAGAGAAGCAGAAGCAGACGAGTAGCGTGGACAGAAATGGAACCCTCTAAAATACCAACAATAGGTTCCATTTAATTCACATCACTACACCATTAGGGGATTACAACACGTCAGAGAACCCGTGTCGGAATGGCAGGTGGCAGGTAATAGGTGGCGGTGATAAGGGGTTGGAGTTGTATATACCCACAAGGCTTTGCGTACCGGAGTATGGACAGTTGCACTTTTACAGCTTGGTTTTTTTAGTTTACACGCACAGGGTCTGTTCAGCATTCGATTGACAGGTTCGAAAACAAAAAATTGGGAGGAAAAACCACATGGAGGCGTTTAGGGAAAGGCAGGTGAACATATGGATATACATGGGATATGTATACATATACACGTCCAGCCATAAGCAAGGCACAATAGGATCAATATTCCAAGACAAAAGAAAGAAAAACATCACAATAATGCAAACCTCAACTTCAAAAAGGATATGGTGATAAATGCATTAGAAAAGGAGGGCCATCCGTCCATCATTTTTCTATTAATGATTCGTTTGGACAACTATGGACCCTTACTATCCCCTCCGTACGAAAATCCGTTCCAATCCCTCCGAGAAGAATACAACGCGAGTCAGCAAGAGGGAATTGCGTCATAAAGACCCAAAAACAAATAAATCCTCTTCTAAGTTTTTTGCTGATCAAATATGGACCCTCAAGCAGCCGACTCTATCTAACATTATAGCGTGTCGGTCGAGAGGGCCCCCCAAGAACGCTAAAGAAGAAATCTGGACCAGGATGGGTATCGCCCAACTCTGAGAATGCATGCATTGCGAGATGCCAATGAAGAGCGCGCGATCTGGACCGCTAGTATCTTCACAAAAGAAATAGTCTAGAACTGGATGAGGTCTTGCCCCTGGTTGTTGTTGCCCTGTTGCGGTCGTGCTGCGAACGGGTTGCTTCCTGCACCATATCCATTCATGCCCACTGGTCCTGTAGCTGCAGGCATTTGTGGGGCGCCATAGGATACCGACGGCATACCGGTGAATTGCTGTCGCAGGAATGGGTTGTTGCCCGTAGCATCCGCAGTAAGCTTGTTCGCGTTCGCGCCCGCTGAGTTGACAAAGGTACCCGGTGCCGTATGTTGAGCAGGGATACGAAGGTCACCAGTATTTCCGAAAGTATCCATACCATCGCCACTAGCAAGGAGGTTATTAAGTCTTTGTTCGTGTTCGCTAAGTTGCTTCTGGGGCTGCTGAGGTTGGCTGAAAGATGGCTGAGACTGAAACGAGGGCTGAGGTTGAGGTGGAGGAGTAAACGTTTGAAGGGACTTCTGTTCGGGAAGGGCCTGTAAACTGCTAAGAGTAGGCATTGTCGGGGCCTTGGTCGGTTGAGGTCGTCCAAACCCGGTAGCGAAGGGGTTGTTGGAACCAGTAGGTGTCGGCTTAAGCGCAGACTGGCCTTGGTTGCCGTTAGACGCCCAGGGGTTGTTGCTACCAGGCTGGACGGCTGGCTCCGGAGACGCAGTGGGCTGAGGTTGGAACTGTGGCTGCTGACCATAGGGGTTGTATCCGGTAGGCTGCATTTGAAATTGCTGCTGCTGCTGGGGAGGCTGAAGGCTGTTGTTCTGTTGTTGGCCATAGGGATCAAACATGCCAGTCGGCTGAGGTTGAGCGAACCCGTTGTTGAACCCATTCGAGTAGCCATTGTTCGCCGGGAATCCAGTATACGCATTGTTCATATACCCGGTTGGCTGGGGTTGCATCATTTGGTTCTGATCGATAGGGTTTCCAAGCCAATCAACATTGCTGCCCTGTTGATAACCCATATTCATGCCGGTAGGCTGGGGTGCGTTGCTCGGCGCGGGATCGTCGTCGAAAAGCGAACTAGCGTTATTGTCCTCTAGCTCTCGTCTCCTTCGCTCTTCCTCCTCTTTGCTAAGCTTGATGGCCTTAGCTAGATCATCGTCATCGTCCTCGACTCCCTGGCGGCTCTCGCGTTTCCTTCGGTCCTCTTCCTCTTGGAACTTGCTAGCTTCTATCGCTAGTTTATACTCGGCATCGTCTTCTTCATCGCTTCGTCTCGGACGCTGGCGTCGCTGCGCTGGGACTGTAGGTCCATCTGACATGAATTCTTCGATACCAGTAACACGAGATTTCCACGTCTTTCGGTCGCTACGTTCGGCACGTAGTCGTTCTTCGTCCAGGATTAAAGCTGTCAATTCCTTCGCCGCAACTCGGACTATGCGCGTATCAGTAACGATCCCAGTTCTACCACATCAAAGCCACTCACCATTTTGACCAACATCTCGGCCCTCCTCATCGATGTAGACAAACTCGCGCAGGGTCTTGACGATGAATATGTTCTTACGCGCCCAAGTGACAATTAATTCGGACCCCTCGTGTAAACAATAATCCAATACTTTCAAAGCTTTCAAGACGTGTCTCCAATTCTTTCCTTTGTCATTTAGGCGCTTATCGAGCATATCGACAATATCGTAGAACTCGGTCGACCTAGAGAATCAGTCAGGATTATACAGCCCAGGCTAATTAAGTGGCGGATTATGAACTATGAGCGTACGAGTTGTAGGTTAATTGAGCGATCTCGCTCATCTGGGTTCCGGTCGGGCCCCATGGGTCATTACTTGTCGCTGTGAAAAAGGAGGTTAGATACAAAAATATCGGTCGTAGGTAGTCGGCGACGTAGTAGATTATCACGAACCTTCGCGCACTTTGACCTGGACACTAGAATAGCCCTTGGTGACATTTTTCACACTTCTCATAACCTTAGACATCTTGGCGGTATTGTCGGGATGAAAGAGAGGTAGAGGTGGAGACGCGGATGATTACTCCAGCAAGAGGAGCGAGCGATGTAAGGAGGTATTGATTGTTCGTTAGGTGTTGTAGTAAGATGGGACGATCGCAAAGGTGGTCAGTAGGAAATTAGGAGAGTCGGGCGCAATGAAAGCGCAATCCAACCGGTGGATTATCTCTCGGTACGGTGATCGTAGAATTAGCGTGCGCGCAAACTCGACGACGAGGGAGAGAACCGCGATAGCCCCGATTTGTTTAAATTCCAACCCGCAATTCGGAATGAGGCAGTGACAAAGCACAAGCACAGGCGCAGTGCACAAAGTAAAGGGCGGGCCCTCCGATGGTAAACGGTGCTTAGAAGGTTGCTATTTAGACGGAGGGATGGGTATAAGGAAGAGGGAGGCGACAGGTGGAATAAAGTCAAGTAGGATGATCAGTTAGAGTTGTTTTAATTGATGAATGAACTTGACTTGATGAAGTTTGGGGGAGGGGAGCCCAAAGCTGCAGCAGTAAATGCAGTTTACTGCTCGTACACGTTGTACCTTATGGATCCCAAGAGTCGAAAAAAGACGGACGCAGGCGCAGCGTTCGGGCCTTGGCACCACTGAGGAACAGTGCCTAGGTGCAAGAACAGGGGACGTAACAAGCGTAGCGGATACTTGTTTGCCTGCCTTGTACCGTAAGTTATAAGTGACGCACCGCACCGCCCTTAGTTGGGTGATGCACTTGGACTACCTTACCCTAAAGCCTACTAAGATTGTAGGAGGTAAATTAGGTATCGTCAGATGGCTAAGAAGGACCCTGAGTAGTAGGTATAGGTACCTAACGTAAGGCAACCTAACAAATATATTTATTAATGATCTGTCAGACGAGAAAAGAAAGAAAGAAGGAATAATAAATAAACTAATGAATGAACACACGAATAATGATACCTTAATTAATAAAAAATAAGAAGAGGGAAAATGACAATTGTGTAAGAATTATCTTAATTCTCAACTCTCTAGAATTGTTCTTTTGTAATTGGTAAAGGGGGAAAAATTGAAATATGATAGCTGGAAATTCAAGGTTGTCACCAAAAAAAGAGACTTTAATGGTCAGTGCTTGTTAAGCGGGATAATGGGACAGTGGGATCGCTCAAAATGCTTGGCTTCGTTCGTCCACCTGCTCCGTGCTACATTCCTCGGTACGTACCGCTTTTCGCTTTTCGGGTGGCCATTGTGACGCGGCAAAAAATTAAGAAGCGTCCCCATGAGCCCCATAGACGTGCCCAGCTCTTTAGTTGGTCGGTGTTATGTACCCTCTGAGCACGTAGCCCTCCTAGGCAATGTAGGTACCTATTAGCTGCTGCTGCAGTTCTCCCGTTCTACATTCTACGTAGTACAATACAACCCTTAAGTACCCATCCTGCATTGTTACTATATGTAGGTACAAAGTTAGGTGGTACTGTACAAAAAAGAGAGGTAACCTTCGCATGCAGGCAGTCACCCCATTCATTGAGTCGGGGATGACGTATCAAGTGGAGTCATTCAATCTTCAATTGAACCCTCCAAGGTTCATCTTATGCAACACCTATGCACAACATCTTTATACATAAAGTATAACTCGTTGCTTACTGGTGAATACTATTAAAATATGTGTCTGGGTAGTATTTTGAGCGCAATAGTTATATATCCACGGATATTATTTAGCCTCGGCCAGGAGATCCTTTGAGGGGATTGGTAGGCAGTGTACGGATTAGCGTAAGTGCGCATGGATGTGTTGCCGTTTGGTATTTGTTTGTGACGAAGAGTTCTTAATGCGCTGTTAACTGATTCAGGGGAATGAGTCAGGGGCATCTTACTATTGGACATCAAAGTCGACAAATAAGCAAGCCGATCCTAACAATTATATCTCTCAATACGTACAGTTTTACTATCCCAATAGCCTTACACATTATGTGCAGGCCAGTTCAGGCGCATCCCAAAATAGCAGTATCCGAGTCAATATACATTCCTTCTATCAGATACTAAGATACAATTAGTTTCTTTAGAGACCAAAACTCCAAACCATGTCATATATACACAGTATCGCTCTCATAAACTCAAAACGCATAGATTTCAACAGTCAAATTGCACAGGAAAATTATCTACCCGTCGTTGGTGCCTCGGTTTCCTCTTTCGGTTCGACCTCCATCATATCTAACCACTCTAGGGCAAAAGCCGTGACGATTTTCGCCCAGTCACGTACAGTAGGCATATCAAGATGCGCTCCATCGTCGTCCATAGTATGCCACACAGAGTCAAAAGGGGAGGTAATCATGTGTAGAATTGGAACTCCGCGGGACATAAAAGGCGTATGGTCGTCTTCAATATGACTAGGGCGGAAATCAGCCGCCTTCTTATCTGCATCGGGCATAAAAGGACGTTTCGGTGTCGATTCTAGGAGTCCTAGCTTGCGCATCCTATCCTCAATGTTGGCCATGGCTTTGTACGCCCAATGCGTCATGGCAAAAAGAGATGGCACTGTAGGTTCGGCAGCGCCAAGCAAGTCCAGTAACACAAACATGCTAATTTGATCCAGCGGGTTACGGTAGAATGACATTGCCGGGTGAAGTGAGCTCTCCCAGTTTTCCGCCAACGCTCTAAATTGTTGTCAGATTTATACGTTATCATTAGAAACAAGTACTAAGTGAGTATTTACCTTGATCCATAACGTGAATCGGTATCCGTCCACTGTTGGAATGCTTCTTCACCATCAAGGAAGAGGATTTGTACACCCATATCCATCGGGACAGTTCCACCTTCACCAAGTGCAGACATCTCAGTGTGCATCTGCATCACAAATTTGTCTAGTGTTCTCGCAACATGCATCAAGATAGCACAGGGCACAGCGCTATCAATAGCGCCTATAAACCCTTCAGGGCTATATTTGCTATCGTAATGAGCCACAAGGGTCAATAAATTGGATTGCCCTTCGCCGACCCATGGCGGCTCCCTCTTGAATAACAGGTTCGCAAACGGGACTTCTTTACCTCCGGACACAGGTGTCGTCGAAGTTGAGTTGTACCATTCCATTTTCCATTCCGGCAATTCTTTGGTAAAGAAATTCACGAAATGCTGTTGAACGGTTGCCGCACCGGGAGTGCCGGAGACGCGCGGAATCAATATAGGCGCTAATAGTTTGCCATTGTCGATATCAAAGTCGGGACCTCCCGAGGGGACTAGCTTCAAGAAATGGTCGGATAAGGCCGTGTAGGCGATGACGGGTGAGATGAGAAGCTGATGCAGGGCCAAGAGTAATAGCATCTGTATTACGCGGCCCGGCAATACTGAGTTTATGATATCGCGCTTCATAACTGCCCAATCTGCTGGTTACCTCGGACCAGCGAGGCCATTATTTTGTATTAGAACAGGAATAAAAATGACAGGACGCCAATTGAAGCGTTGAAATGAAATCTGATGAATGAGATTTGGACAAGTTCAAGTTTAGCCGTGTCGTAAATTATTGGTTCATCCCTTGTTCTACGAGGCTGAAACATACATTAATGAAGGCCCACATGCATTTATATCTTACATATGATATGTGTATAAGGATATATACATATAGACAGTTTACACAATTAAGAGGCACAACTTCATATGAAAGTCGTTCAGGGGATTTATGTCGTCTTGACCCGCCCGACCTTACATATAGAAATAGTCGATGAGGAAGCGAGCCAGGGCGTGACGGATTCGAAATGGATATAAAAAAAATGCCAGGAATATAGAAAGAATGGTAAAGTGTTCCGTCAAAACCACAAACGTGTTTCTTGGTGGTGACACTTACCTATATCCTAGAAATAGGATGACAATATCAATCATAGCTATAGCTTGCATGTAGTATAATGAATACTAGCCGATCTATCTAAGCACGGTTAATGTTAGAATACATCAGCGACGTCTGGATATTTACTTCTATCAGTTATACCTATCGTAAAGAGACGGATTGAATATCTGTTATATGTACACTTGACCGTTTACATGTACCTAGCATGATTGACTCGTTGGCGACTGCTTCCGGACACAAGTTCGACATAAAGAAACACCAACAAGAACTACATGTCATTTTGCTAACCAATGCTTCGGTAGGTAGTTATAAAGTTTCTAGGCAATAAGTTTACACATCAGATTCTTATACAACCCTTACATCTTCAAATCTCCAGACACATCACGAACAAGCCGAACAACGCACAAATCAAGCAATCCATTAAGTAGGTATCTAAATCACATAGGCACTGCAACCACCTAATCAGCCCCTAACTGCGAAGCAAGAAGCAGTAGTGGCTGTGTAGGTTGGGCAAGTATCGATAGGTAATCCATTCGTCGCCTAGACGCCCAATCCCCGTCTCTTTCCGAACTAACTAGTAGCGACGCGCCCTACCCGTTTGTTCTGCCTTACCGGTATATTCTCTTTTTAAAGAAGCCTGCTTAAAAGCACACCAGCGGCGGCATTATGAAATATACACGAACGCTCCATCTTACATTCCAGCATTCGAACAATCGCCTCGAATGCTCACTCGAGGGGGCAAGGTAGTTTATGCCGGTCCTGCCTCTACCCCTTCGCCCTCCTCGTTGCCAACCCCACTCATTACAGTATCAGCGTTGACATCATTTGATAAAACAGCTCCGCCTCCATCAACATCATCGGCTGAGATAGCGGAGAGGGAAGCGGTCTGCTTTCCTTTATGGCTCTTACTAGTCTCCGTTACTTGCACCTGCACCGTATCCTGGGTGTTGGTATCGTCGACTGATTTAGCTACGCTCGTCTGTCGTTGTTTCTCAATCCACGCTGGGGGCAAACCAGGACCACTATCGGCGTTGCCGTAGTCGCTTTTCTTGGTGCCCTTTGGCCAACGACCAGGACCGCGGCCGGTACCGCCAGGTTTGCGCTTCCCAGAGCTCGCCTTTGGCGTTTTGCGAACTTTAGGGGTTCCGGTTGTACGACGGACTTTGGGGCGTGCGACTCGTCGTGAAGTCGGAGGGGGTATACGCGGCAATGGTGCTGGTCTGACGACAGTTGAGTTGAGGCGCGACACAGCCGTGCGTCGATTGTTGATAGGAGGAAAAACAGTGAACCTAGAAACAGGGATCGATTCATACGGCTTTAGCCAGCTATTTTCATCATCTGGGATGTCCGCACCGGTACTAGTCGAGGTAATCTGATCCTCTGATTGACCGTTGGAAATATCGGCATTTTCTTTGCCAATTCCGTTTGGTTTTATATCTTCTTTGGTGTCAACAGGGGCATTGTCGTTTGGTTCTGTCGATTCAAGAACAGAAGGCTCCGCATCTGGAAGAAACTTTGGTGCTGTGGGTTGAGTTATAGCAAAATCACCAGTTGCTATACCACTCTCCGCAAGGGTCTGGACAGTCTTTACATCTTCATCTTCCTCTCGGGGAGCAATCGTATTAAGAGCTGGCCCCAATTCGAAGTTCGTAGCGTTGCTGCGACCCATGACATATGGCATCCAGGTGAGGTTTTTGGGATTTAGCTTAACATAGTTCTTCGCTTCCCATTTTGTAACCTCCTTGTGGCAGTAGGCTAGGTCGACCCGGAAAGCGTAGACTTGGGTGACAGGATCTCGAACGAGGAAACGAAGAGCCTCAAGGGCCGAGATTGCATCATCAGGAGTCATTCCTGTATCATCGGATATCTGTCTGATACTTATACCCTTCCTCTGGGATTTGTCCTCAGGCGTGTGGTCAATGAGGTACTTGCAAATGATCAATCTCCAGTAGTTTCGGTACGAGACAAGTCCCATATCAGAAAGTGGCTTCTCAGGAGAGCCAGTTTTCTCCTCCACCTTCGTTAGGAGATACGAGAAATCGATGAGTAGATGGCCATATCCTTTTCGCTGATGGATGGGCAATGTGAGAATACAGCTCACGTTATTCTGACTACTCGCTCGTTTTTCTTTGGAAAAGTATCCGACAAAGTGATAACCTAGGTCATCATACTCGCAAAGTACGTAGAATAAGAATGGTTCGACATCGTAGTATAATGTCTTGGAACCAAGGAAGAGTTTGGCCAAAAGGCAGAGATTCTGGCAATATACTGGATTTTTTCGACCATCGACCTCAAAAAACGAAATAGATCCATGTCGATATATCTCGTCACCAGGAGGGTGTTTTGCCGGGCACTTCAGCTTGTGTCGCCAAGCGACATAATCCGAGTTCATGTATTTCAAACAAAACTCGCAGATATACAGCACTCGATTACGGCTGTATTCTTCGGGGTACGGAGCCGCATACCAGGTGTCAATTTCCCAGCCGCCAAATTCGATGCACTCGATTTGGCTTGCAGGACCAGATTGTTTTCTTGATTTCTTCACTGGTACTTCGGCTTCGGCTTGCATAGCAAGCAAGCGATTCCTCCACTCTTCTTCAGCCTTTTGTTTGGCCTCATCAAACCTTCGTCGATCATCTTTGGTCGGCAGGGTTTTTGTTGTGTCTGCTTGTTCTTCGGATAATATACCACCATACGGCTTGCCCTTAAGTTCATCTGGCTCTTTATCGTAGAATGAATAGAAAGGTTGGGAATAGCTGGAAGGGAAGAATGGGGCCATGGGAAGTGGTTCTGCAACAGCCGCGGCTCGTGTTGTTGTAATTTTTCTTGAGGATCGAGAAGGGCGAGATGCGGCTACCCGGCCGGTTCGTTTTCTTCTCTTCGACCTTGAATTATGGGAAAGTTTATGCAACTCGGTGGCACCCACTCGCATTTTCACAACGAGACTAGACCGCGACTTCTTGACGACAGTACATAATGCCTCTGAGTTTGACGCTTTGTGCCGCAGGGATCGCCCTGACCGGGCCCTAGTCGAGGACTCCGTCACATTAGCTTGTTCCTGATTAGCTTCATCTTGGATGGATTCATCCGATGTGTTCCTTCTTCGTTTGCGTAGCGACATTACTTCTTCATCGGGGATAGGCTCAGTTGACGACGTCTTCCTTCTTCGTAGGACTCGCGAACCATCCATGGGATCTTCATCGAGAACTAATTGATTGAAAACTGAATGGGAGTCTGGCTTGTTTAGACCACGTTGGGAAGGAAGCAGATCTCGAGCAAATTTAGGAGCAGCCGCTCGGCTGGCTGATGTAGGCGATAGATCATTATCATCAACATCGACACCGTCTGGCTCAATGTCGTGATCACTTCCTATGTTCTCGCGAACAAACTCGGCTTCAGAATCGGAACCCACATCATCGGCTGCGCAATCTGGACATTTCCAATTCAATTCGTCTATACAAACAGGTGAGTAACCTGACTTGGGGAAATAACAAATGAGTATTTAACTTACTATTCTTATCATCAAGAGCTCCTTCATCACGGGCACATTGCTGGTGGGCTAAACAGGATAAAATTAGATCGTTGGCTGGATTTTGCGCAAAATTATACCACGTACCGTGTTCGCCACAGCCTTTGCAGGAGAGGTAGGCCTCGAATTCCTCTGCTGGATCGTTTTCCTCGCTATTCTTGCAGAATATGCAGTTATTGGGGTCGACGGCATCGGATTCATCTTCATCCTCCTCCTCGTTCTCGACGGCCTCTTCCCATTCAGCCGCAGATTCTCGATCGCTAGAGCCCGAGGCTAGACTGATGTCATCTTCGCTCTCGCTATCTTCCTCATCGGTGTCGCCAGGTTTTATTTTAACAGCTCCAACTCCTTCGTTCTCATCATCTTCTTCGGCGACTTCGTGCTCCGCCTCGTCTTCATCGCTGGAAACTCCATTTGGATCGACGGGCTGGTGGCTGACGGGTTCTTCATCTTCCTCCCCTTCGGCGTCAACGTCGAAAGCATCGTCATCATCATCATGAGGATCTCCATCTTCAACGCTAGAATCCTCCTCTTCATGATCGGCATCGTCCTCTTCGGCTGGTACGTCTTCCATCTCGTAGTCTATTTCGGCTTGACGCCCTTCATCGCCTGGACTTCCATCGTCGACTTCGTTCTCCCCGCGGCTATCGTAGTCTACTACCGCATGGTTGTGCTGTATGTAATCTTGACCTCCTGAGGTGTCAGGAGGCGGAAGGGAGGCGCTGTCCATCATCACTGTGTCGTTGGGTAAATCTTCCTCAAATTCAGCATCCTCTTCGGACAGTACTACACTTTGTTGAAGCTCCTCTTGCATAAGTTGTGCGTTGGCCATCGCCTTCATTAATGTGGTACGGCGCGAACAGTTGACGGGTGTTGACTAGTCGGATAAGGATTTACTCGGTGTATTTATAGGGGTTGGATTGCGCTTGTTGGTGATGGCAAGGGAATATTCCAAGGCCTCCGAATCGCACCGTTTCGCGTCATGAAGGGTTTCGTCGCATGCTTGTCGCAAAGGGATTGTAATATTTACAAACTTGGGCGGCGTAAAGTGTGTGGATGTAGGATATTTGTATGTTGTTTACGGAATCGAATATCGGCGCGACCCATGACATTTGAGTCTTGAGGGTTTAGGAGGGTTAATGCGGCGGAGTTTCGAGAGGAGTAGACGCGCTAAGTATGGGTATGGGGGTGATTATTGTTTGATTATTATGAAAATTTCTAGATTAAGTCAGTGATTGACGCGTCACCAGAAAAAATCGCGACTGAAAGGGTGTATGATGTATTGAAAAAAGTAGTTTGCGACGATAAGATGGTTGTACTGCGCGCTGCTTTGAAATGGTCGAAGGTTGATGATTGACGGTGGTGTAGCTCTTGCCGAGCTCCACATTTAGTCAGCTCATATCACTTGCTAAGTGGGTACATCACTAGTACTTCATGTAGGGGCTATTATGTAATGAATCCAAGCTTGGACCACATACAATAAGCTGCTGAGCTTATGTAATTCATCAGATTACTCAGGCTAGCCGTCGCACTTTAACATTCTACATCATTGGCTGTTGTGTTCGACCTCATCTTGCAATATCACGCTTCGCCTACCGATTGACTCCGAAGGAGCAATTGCAAATATCAACATCCAATAATACGCGATAGTAAGTCATTCAAGATAGACAATAGATCTAAGTAGCTTCCATATTAACTTTTAAGCATAGAATAAACCGATAATTTCGCAATGGCGATTCCCTTCGAAGCGTTGATTCCTTATGGAATCATCCTTGCCGTGAGAACCCCAACCGATGATGAACGTATACAATGACCCCCTCGGATATTAATGCCCATTAGATGTTCGGCGCGACTGGTGCAGGTCTCTCGAAATTCCGAAACTGGCAAAACGGTGGCAAGAGAGGACGACGATCATTGGATCAATGGGACAGACAAAGTACGGCGAATTGGGGTGCAACGTTTCGAAATGCAGATGGAGCTGACGTGACGTTCTACAGTGATGAACCGAGACCGTCGGTTAACGGGATTCTTACGAGGGCAAAGCGATGCGCCCATAGCCCCAACCGGCTTCGAGGTCAACAACCCTTGGAGGGTATGGTTTTCTGGTCTCTCAAAGATTAAGTATGTTCATAATACTGACGGAGTTTTTAGGTCGAGAAGCGATTCACGTAAACAGAAGAGAGAGACGGAAAAGAGGGGACGAAATATTTCGCAACGGGTAGCCATTTGTACAAAGCCCATGAAATATAGCATTTGATACGGAATTTTATTTGTTACAACAGTATTCAGCCAAAAATCCTCTTCATTCGGGGTATCGTATTTCATCTATTCGACCAGGCCCAACTCTACCAAACGCCGAATCCATGCTATATCTATATTGTAATCTCTGCTCGGTTCTTATTTAGATTTTCTAGCAGCATGCAAGCTTGACACAACTTCTGGCTCGACATATAGCCACACTTCTCGCAGGTGCCTAATTTTTGTTTTAACCTGACGGGCAGATTTGTGCCTGGTGTCTTAGCTTGACCGTTGGTTTGGTGCGATTTGACGTGATGCTGGGTTTCGGTCTTTTTTGTTGTGATCTCCGTCTCGAGACCCGCAGCCTCAGCAGCCTCATTTTCTCTAAGTCGCTTTTCCATCGCTGCCATCTCACCACCATTTGTTCGGCCGTTTGTTGAACCACAGCCATCAATGTTTTCTTCGTCAGTAGGGGCTTGCTGAGCGGTGGCTTTCCCATCACACCCGCAGGAGCTCGGTGCAGCTCCTGGAACCAATCTGGCCATATCCTCACCACTTCGAACAACATCCAATATAGCGCTAGGACGAACCCTTTCCAAGTTCTTGATCAGACTTCTGGCGCTTCCTCTGAAGGCTTCTGGGCTGTAGATGCATTCGGTACTGAAATAGTCGAGGTTCTTATGGTGCGCATATAGCACAATCTCCTTCTCGTATGAATATTTGAGTGGTTTACTCCTTTTAACCTCGCTAGCGTCACTTCCAGTAACGATACTCGTACTCCTCGATAAGCGTGGCAGATCTCCTCGAAGAAGGTTCATGAGGACTGTCTCTGCGACGTCGTCGGCATTATGACCAGTGACGACATGCTTGATTCCCAACATCTTCGCGCCTCTGTCGAGAGCCTGCCGCCGGAAAACGCCGCAGTAGGTACAATTGCCCTTCTTACCGATAGTCTCGACGACTTGATCCATCGTCCAACCGTATAATTCACCGTAGCCAACTATTTTGAGTGGCATGTCGTACTGTACCGCATTGCGCTTAACTGTTTCCAAGGAGTCATCCCTGTAGCCTTTAATGCCTTCGTCGACACTGAGGAGTATCAAGTTGACTCCATAGTTATGTCTTTCGTTTAAGGTCTTAAGCACCGAAGCGAGGACGGTTGAATCTTTGCCCCCTGATGCACCTATAGCCACTGTTTCCCCTGGATAAAATAGCTGTGATGAAGTTATGGTATGGTGTACTTCATCTTCGAATATTTGTATAAAACAACCCTTGCAAAGCTTCTGGTAATTTTTGGGTCTCTTGATTAAGGCTCGCTCTGTCTTGCAGATAGCGCAGAGTGCTGGTGGCATTTTGTGCTTAGTCAAGTAACCGATTTCAGAAATGAAAAAGGAGAAATGATTTAGAAATAATGCTTGACTTAATAAATATGAATTGAGAAATGCAAACGAAAGTTGACTCAACCCAATCGATATGGGATTAAAGTTGCTGACTCTAACCTTGAAGAACCTTTAAAGAATCTTGGTGGGGCAAAGACGGGTACGAAAGTACATCGGCGAGGGGCAAGCGCACTAGTCCGATTCTAATCTAGCTGATTTCATTCCCGATATTTTACCAGCAGTAGCGCAAACCCTACGCACAACTTTTTCTCTTTTTCCACCAGCTCGCAACTTTTAACGAGATTTTTCATTCTTCACACCTTTCAACTTTGGTCGCAGTCTTTTCACCCAACAACGACCACACGACAAATTAATCACCATGGTAAGCTCCTGATTCCTAGAATTGATGTGCCTATGCACTTAATTCAATGATACAATGGCACTCAATATTTGAGTTGCTTTAATTCCGCCTGTCGTCTTCGGACGCTGGTGAAGAACTGGCTTGAGATTTTTCGTGCGGTGCGCAGAAATGCCACTCGCGATTATCTCTCTAGAGTTCAAGATAGACTACAGTCAATGGAACACATTTGCTGATGTCTGTCTTCTCAATGATAGCCTCCTAAGTCCGGTAAGAAGGCCGCCCCGGCCCCCTTCGCCTCCAAGGCGGGTTCCAAGAAGGCTCCCAAGGTAAGTCCACAATATTCAATCCTTCCCCTCCAATTCCATTCAAGGTAATGCTAACATGTCGATAGAACCCCCTCATCGAGAAGCGACCCCGCAACTTCGGTATCGGCCAGGACATCCAGCCCAAGCGCAACCTTTCGCGCATGGTGAAGTGGCCCGAGTATGTCCGTCTTCAACGCCAAAAGAAGATCATCAACCTGCGCCTGAAGGTCCCCCCTGCGATCTCTCAGTTCCAACACGTTCTCGACCGCAACACTGCCGCCCAGGCTTTCAAGCTCCTTAACAAGTACCGACCCGAGTCTAAGGCCGAGAAGAAGGAGCGATTGGTCAAGGAGGCTACCGCCATCAAGGAGGGCAAGAAGAAGGAGGATGTCAGCAAGAAGCCCTACGCTGTCAAGTACGGTCTCAACCATGTTGTTGGCCTCATTGAGAATAAGAAGGCTTCTCTCGTCCTTATCCCCAACGACGTTGACCCTATCGAGCTCGTCATCTTCCTACCTGCTCTTTGCCGAAAGATGGGTGTCCCGTACGCCATCATCAAGGGCAAGGCCCGTCTTGGAACCGTTGTCCACAAGAAGGTACGTTCTAACCTACACACATATTACATGTGACCTGACTAACGAAAATCCAGACCGCCGCTGTTCTCGCCATCACCGAGGTCCGATCCGAGGACAAGAACGAGCTCTCCAAGCTCGTCAGCGCCATCAAGGATGGTTACCTAGCCAACTCCGAGAACGCTCGACGACAATGGGGTGGTGGTATCATGGGTGCTAAGGCCAACAAGCGCATCGAGAAGAAGAAGAAGGCTCTTGAGCAGGCCATCAAGGTCTAAAGCTGAGCTAGCTAAATAAAGCATTGCGGTTGGTCGGTCACGGGTCATGAATTTCTCTATATTTGCACAGTTCCGGCGTTGGAGGAGGTAAAAGGGAATACCAACCATATGGATTTGCACGCAGCCTACTCGCTCTGCAGAATTTCACCAACGACCAATGTGACAATGAATGAATTAATTGGCCAAGATAAATTTGTGAAATGTGTTTATGTTTACTATGTTGATATGCTCCAGTATTAGAGCCAAGTCTTGGCAACGGTTTTTTGGTCGTCAGCGTTGAGGCGTTGAATTTCTTGGTATTTTCCATTAATAAGTTGGAATTATCTGGTCCTCCGTAGATCTCAGCACGTGGACCCCCTAGTATACGTATTTACGAGCGGACACGTTAAAAGCGTACCGGAACCTTAAAGATTACCGAATTAGGATGGTCAAGCCGAGCCGAGAGCCAAGCCAAGAGCCAAGGGAAGCCAAGCCAGCCTCGTTCGTAGCGTTGCATTTCCCTGGGACCTGGGCAAAACTGGCATTGATACAGGAAGTGTTCCTGACCGTTGGGTCCGAACCAGGAAACGAACTACTAAGATAAATCCCCCCTCACCTTTTCGCGCAGCTTACGTATTCTACACCGCGCGACGCCCATCTATTATGTACACGTGTATGGAAATATGGACTTGAGCATGTGCAAGTGCATGGTATACTACCTGTAATGTCCCCCCGGGAATAACAAGCTCCAGGGAAGAAGATCAGGGGGTCTTCTCGAAGGCGCTTTGCGTTTGAGATATTTCCTAGATGTCTATGCTACTAGTTCGTGATACCCGTTCTCCTCTCTCGTCTCGTCCCCTCTCTTGTGTACCCAATCTGTCCTCTCGTCTCGTTCTCCTCCTTCTCACCGCTTTCTGTCTATCTGCGGTACCACGCTCAACACCCTGTTCCTGGCAGTTTATGGTTGCTTCGCAGATTGGCGGCGGCGGAGGCAGCGGGCGGGACAAAACGTTAGATATAAGATTGGTTATTGGCTGGGCGTCTGGGTATTGGCTCGCCTCTCCTCGGACATACTAAATACATCACATTACAATTCGCTCATTCGCTCTTTTCTTCGTTCGCTTAGATTCGTAATAATAATGTACCTAGATAATATGTAGCTAGCTATGTAATACATGCAGTAGCTTTAGCGTCCGTGACTTTTCTTACTTACATTTACAGCAAGCACTGTGATTTGCTTACGTAGTTGGATAGTATCCTAGGTATGCATTATACAACTACTACTACCTAGGCTATCTCGTTCCCATGGTCCGGAAAATGTGAAAGATGTTGCGCTTGTGCCGATCTGTGCGCCTCGTGCCTGCGACAAGTTTCATAATATCCACGAGCCCTGTGTATAACACTTTCATATCTAACAATCAAACTTCTATCCGGTAGAAAGATAAAGCTAATTACTTGGACCAGGGGGAACTCTAGACGAAGAGTTAAGGCATTATTAAGGTTGGGATCTCATCTAATCTGTCCGGATTACAAGCATCCCCTGATACATGTTAGATATAATCTTGATGGTATATTTGCTTTTTTTTATGTACGACAATCAAACTTATACATAAATCAATACAATACTTTCTTTTTTTACCCCGGACTCCGGTTCAGCCGATCCTACTGTATTTGATCTTGATAGACCCAACCAGTGTGTGTAATAATTAAAGCCTCAAGGACTGTGCTGTGGTCCTGTGTACTGCTGCTTCTGCTGACGCCGGGCTGCGTCAGGTTTATTTAGTATTACTCTGAGACCTGTTCCTCTCTTCCTCCTCAGCTGTTCCCCCCCTTCTCTCTAGTACATACATACTTGTTCCATCCCATTTATGGTTACTACCTGGTTCACCAAGATTGAAATTAGATTTGGGGAAACATATTCTTTATCTGGGGAAACGTCCTCTTTGTTTGGAAACATACCTTCTGTCAATAAACCATTTAAGCTTATCCGCTTACCTATCAACACATATAAATCATCGTGCGATCTTCATCTCTCCGAACAATCACGGCCTCCTCCGACGGACACCCGAACGCGCGAGCTGAGCACACGACTTCGAAATACGATCGAGAGATATTTTACCTAGCCAAAGCAGAGAGAAAAACAGGAACTGAATCCATCTTAGTGGTGGGTGTGTACAGACGAGAAAGTGGGCGAGCGTTAGATCTGATTGGGCTTGGGACTTCCTAATTCGCTCATTGATATCCTGCACTCCCGTTTGGGTGGGATCTTGCGTGTGTGCCGCTTCGCCGCCCGTGGCCATTATACGGAGCACCATATTACCTCCTCTGCACATATAAAAGGGCGCAACACCCAGGACATCTTAGATTTCCAAGATGCCTGCTCCTCCTCGTAAGTCTAGCCACATTACCAATCCAATCTCTTCTTTTCTTTCAACCCCCGTACTACTGCCCCTAATCTACCCCACCAAGAAGGAGTTACAGTTGCTCCTAGATCTGGATCCAACAGGGGTTGTGGTGGTCCACCGGCACCTCCTATTTTAAAAATACGCTTAAATTGTTTTTTGAGATCCCGAGATTGGCGAGGGTAGCGTCTTGGGAAAAAGAACAAAAGAAAACGGAACATATTTTTGCTTACCATGGCCGCAGAAGATGCTTTTGCCTACGCGCTGAGTTCGAACCAAGCCTGGGCCGGTTACAAAGGCCATCAAAACCCGGATTTCTTCCCGAAGTTGGCTTCAGGACAATCGCCGGCAATCCGTAAGTTGGTTTCATTTATTTATTCATTTCTCTCTCCACCTCATTGTTTCCTTGGCATCTTGGTATTGTTATTTTCCCTTTGTTGAGCTGCGAGATGAGGGAGGCCCCACTCAACAGATCACTAGCATGGTCTTGGGAGATATCCTACCCAAGATCCTACCACTGCTGTGTGACGTGGGTGTTATGATGACACTTGCGCTGTGGGGAGCTCGTAGGCTTGTGGCTGTACCTAAGCACGCCGACCCGGAGTGAAAATGACAACCCCACGCTAAAAATAAAAAGAATAAGACGGCTAACGTTAGAGCGATCGCGACGCGACATACAGTGTGGCTAGGGTGTTCTGATTCCCGCTGTCCCGAAACAGTGATTCTTGGCTTACAGCCAGGCGATGTATTTGTGCACCGCAACATCGCTAACATTATTTCGCCGACCGATATTAACACGTCGGCGGTTATCGAGTATGCTGTGACGCACCTGAAGGTCAAGCATGTGGTACTGTGCGGGCACTCTTCATGCGGTGGAGCGGCAGCAGCATTGGGCGATGCTCGCGTCGGCGGCGTGCTGGACACGTGGTTGACACCCCTAAAGGCACTACGCAATGCAAACCGTGAAGAGCTCAATTCCATTACGGATGATAAGCAGCGGGCGGTTCGCATTGCCGAGCTTAACGTCGAGGCTGGTGTCGCTGTGCTCATGGCCAACGCGGCGATCCAGGACGCTATCGCCGAGAGGGGCCTGCAGGTACATGGCACACTATTCGACATTGGTAGCGGTCGCATCCGTGACCTTGGATTCGGGACAGGCAAGGGAGGTCCCCACGGGTTCGTGGGTGCTGGGGATACGGACGTAGTTCGGGGTAAACATGCTATGTTGGTGTTTAGAACGGATGGAGCGGGTATGTCGGTTCGCTAAAGAACGGGATTGGCGGTTATACTCTAAGTCGGCGTTGGCTTTTTTGCGATACATTGGCGTCTTCAATTGGTCCAATGCGATTTAATCGATCGCACTGAGTGGTTTCGGAACGGCACGGCATAGCGGGAAAGATAGTGATAGGTCGGAGGAACTGGGATTAACAGCGTCTATTCGCATGGCGGGCGAGCGTATTTGTTTGGTGGATCGGATACTCGATGTCAATATCAGGTAAAATACCTAGGTGAAGGTGAAAGGTCAAAGGTCCTTGGCGGCGTTCGAGAAGTCTACATATTAGCGACAACATGTATGTGCATTTTATTATGCGCAGCTCTTTTGTTTTCTCCAAGTAACGGGAGCCAGTGTTGATTGGTCATTATATATTGCCATGTAATACCTATATGGATCAATTGATTCCTATATTCATATATCTTGCGTCGTATATTATTTATCTGTATATGTGTATGTATATGTAGGAGTGATGAACATGTCCTGGTTTTAGTTCTGGTTGGTCAATTAGTACCAATTTAATATAATTCATCGTCGCTCTTTCTGTCGATTTAGGTTCAATTCTCGTAAGTTGCCAAGCTTACCCCTCTATACTTATACGTCACTCTCAGCTAAGGTTAGCCCTGTGAGATACTACTATAGCGGGGTAGCTACAGCTAAGGTAGGCGCAGGTGCAGTTCCGCCGGCTTGGTATTCTTATCATCGCCAATTACAGCGAACGCTGCTGTTTCCACCCATCCCATCTAATCCATCTTATCCATCTTCTTCCTCGGATTTAGGGCATGAAAGGAGTTGTGTATCGACGCCAAGGTCCATGGCGTTTTTTGAAAGAAGTATTGCATATATCATTTTTATTAATCTTGTCCTTCTTGACTCAGGCTTTCTTCTTTCTCTCTTGATCTTGTAAAACATGAAGAATATTGTGTTGTGTTTTTATTTCCCCAGCCAAGCCTTTAACGACTCACCAACGGTACCGAGACTCGGCCCTCTTCTCACATGGAAACGGGCAGTTTATCCCGAGATACCTTAGAGTTCGCTTAATACACACCTACGTTGCGTAACTTGAAGGTAACGTAGGCAACCGATGGCTAATATTCTTATCTTCATTCCTAAAAAACCATTATTACGACATCGTGTACACCCAGTTATCTAGTAACGACCAACCAATTTTCTACATCATCGTATCCATATAAAAAAGTACGATATCCGAAGTCGGAAACAATGTCTTTGACGGTACTTTCCGACGAACAAATCCAAGGCTTGCTGGAAAACCTAAGCCATCCAGAGGCCGATCAGTTCGTGGATGTAGTCAAGAATGCGCTTCACGAGTATTCCACTGGCACCCAGTCCATACAAGATGGCACCGTTCACCAACCCGAGCGCACTGTCATAAGCTCTAAAATTACCGGTGCCACGACGCTATTTATGCCATCATGTAGCACACTAGGCCACGCGGTAAAAGGTTGGTACACTGGAGTACAAAGTTGGCTCTATTAAGCATACCTTTGCTGATGAACTTCCAGTTGTCACTCTTTCATCGCCGTCCGCCGACCCTTCGTTGCCTGCCATCCGACCTACTGGTTCGGTTACCTTATATTCGCCTGAAGGGCCGCCCGTAGGATTCCTTCATGCGCAAAACTTGACTGCTTTTCGCACGGCGCTTGCTTCCTCCTGTCTTCTCATTAAACGGGCTACGGTACGAACTTTGACCGTCTTCGGTTCGGGTTTACAAGCGTACTGGCATATCCGACTAGCTTTGATGCTCCGGGGAGACAGTATCCGTCAAGTATACATTATTAACCGGCGCTTTAGCGATAACGCAAGAAACACGTTTAAAAAGCTTTCCGGAATACCCCGGGAAATCAAGGAACGCGAAGGCTGGGACCAAGCAGAATTCAGTCTCCTCACCCCAGGCTATGGCGAGTTTGATAGATTACAGAAGGACCACTTGAGAGCAGCAGATGTTATTTACTGTTGCACGCCTAGTACGGAGGATCTATTTGATGCAAGCATCTTAACGAACCATGAAGGCCGTAGAAAGGGTAGATTAATTGTGGCAGTGGGAAGTTACAAGAGAAATATGCGGGAGCTGCCGAAAGAGTTGTTACTACAAGCAACGAAGACTCACACGGCTGGTCACCTTCACTATCATAAACACGCGACAGAAGGTGGAGTCCTCGTCGTGGATACACTAGACGGAGCGTTGAAGGAGGCAGGTGAGATTATTGACGCAGGCTTGGAGCCAAAGCAGCTTGTTGAGTAAGTCTTAGATATTTTCATGTTGAACAAATACGGAAAATTGTTAACAAGTTGTAGATTGGGTGAACTGGTTATGATTCACAGACTGGCTAAGGAAGAAGATGAGTCATTGGCGTCGCAGAGTTCGGAAACTTCCTCTGTAAGCGAATCTTTCGATAGATCCGATCCTGCATCGACGGGTACGGCCATGTCGACGGTTTATGGATCAGAATCTGGAAACTCAGGTAGCGGAAGCAAGCGCTCTTCATCTCGCAGCCCTAGCCGAAGAGGTAGTAGCGGCGGATTTTCTCTTCCTTTCCATCATCGACGAAGTTCTAGCCGAGGAGTGGTTTCGGATGACCGACAGCCGAAACAACAACCTCAGCAATCTGGACAGGACAATCACCTGGCGCGCTGGCTCACGGCCGGTAATGTCATATACAAGAGTGTGGGGTTGGGTCTTATGGACTTAGTGGTTGGATTTGAGATCATTCGGCTCGCGAAAGAAAAGGGGGTAGGTAGCACCGTCGAGGGATTCTCCTCTTAGTACGAAGAGCCCACCATACCAACAACGGCTATTTTGGATGGTCTAGATCTAACCTGCGGCCTGCCCGAAGATACCGCGCTACCGAAAGATGACAGGATAGCTCTAACTTTTTAGACAAGTTTTTGGCCATCTACTCTAAAGTAGGGAAAGACGATAAATGTTGGAGTACGAAATGGCATATTTAACGTGGATACTAAACGCCGAAAGGATAATATATACACAATGCTATTTGGTCGCCCCGAACAAATCGCCTCGTTCGTGACTTCATATATGTGGTGATATATCGACAACCCCCCAAGATGACGTTTCCAAACAGGTAACACGTAGTACTAGTATACACCTGAACACATATTTTCCCTTAATTATTGTAGCATTTATTCGGCAACCCAGACGGCGGCCATACCCATACCGGTACCGACACACATACTCGTAACACCAACCTTCTGGCCACGGCGTTTTAATTCATATAGTAAGGTGCTGACTTGTCTGGCACCCGTGCATCCAAGTGGGTGACCGAACGCGATGGCGCCACCCTTGGGGTTGATCTTCTCCTTGGGAATGTGCAGCTCGTTTGCGCACCACAAGCACTGACTCGCGAACGCCTCATTGATCTCGAAGACATCGATATCATCAACCGTAAGACCACCCGCGAGTTCGAGCGCTTTGGGGATAGCTTTCCAGGGACCGATACCCATGAGTAAGGGCTTAACACCCACGATACTGGCTGTTACAAAGCGACCTAGGATAGTCTGGCCTAGACGCTCGGCCGTAGATCGCTTCATGAGTAAAACAGCGGCTGCGCCGTCCGAGACCTGCGATGCGTTACCCGCGTGGATCGATCCACCCTCGGCGAACGCGGAGCGGATCTTGGATAGGCTTTCTGGTGTGATTCCAGGGCGTACTCCGTCGTCTTTGTTCACGGTTATAGTCTTAGTTTCGCCGGACTTGGGGTCGGTGTATTGGACGGTTAGGGGGTGGATTTCTTGGTCGAAGAGCCCTTCTTGTTGCGCTTTCAGCGCTTTTTGGTATGAGGATGCGGCGAAGGCGTCTTGGTCTGCGCGGGAGATTTTGAGGTCGCGTGCCATGTCTTCGGAGAGTACGCCCATTGGTACTTTGCAGTTTGCGGCTTCGGGGTGGGATTCGAGGAGTTCGGAGAACTCGGTTACAGCACCGGGGCTGGTTTGGGAGTTAGTAAGGGGAAGGGAGGGAGTAGAGTTGGGGAGGAAATCGAGGCTTACCCATAGTGCAAGCTCATGCTCTCGACACCGGCACCGACACCGACTTCGATCATTCCAGCGCGGATCTGGTTGGCGACGTCGACGCAGGCTTGGAGACCGGAGGAACACTGGCGGTTGAGGGTGCGAACGGCGGTAGACTCAGGAAAGCCGGCGACGAGGGCTGCGGCGCGCATTTCGGTAGCACCACCGCCGGGAGCTAGGACTTCACCGACGCAAACGTCCTCAACAAGAGAAGGGTCAATCTTAGAACGCTCTAGGAGGCCCTTTAGCGCACCGGCCATTAGGTCAGCCGCTTGCGTGTCCTTGAATCCGCCCTTGCCACCTTTTGTGAATGCCGTTCGGAGACATCCTGTTACGACAATCTATAGTTCGGCTTGTTAGTTTGGGAATTCGGTGGATATGTGGTATTCGAGGAGTGGGAGCGAGCTTACGTCGTCGGGGCTCTTTTGGAATAGCTTCTCTCGCGCTGACTTGGAGCCAGAGATCTGGCCCGAGATTTGTGTTAATCGGTCGAGTGCTGTAGTTTATTTCACTTGTTAGCCACCTCCGTCATTACTGCTAGTATATAATGACTGAGGGAAGCGCTTACCACCCATTGTTGCTTATTCTTGAGGTTTTCTGGTTATGTTCTGGTTATGTTTCGCAATAGAGATGGTAATAAATATAGTGGTTTCAAAGGTTAAGGTATATTAAGGCCAGATGATACAACAAGAATATATGGAAGGAATAGTTCAAAGGTTAATAATGATTTCAACAAGAGGCGACAACCTTGATTATGTTTTAAGTTCCCAAGTCAGTTGAACCTCGGATGTATTTGGTATCTGGCTGGTTGCGCCTGTAGAGTTCCGGTACAAGCTCCAAAAAAGTCCTAAGTAATGCCCTGTAATGTAGCAGTAATGTGCACTAAACCGTTAACGCTGATGTCAGAAGACTCCACAATAAAAACGGCCGAGGCACATGTCGGCGCCCTTGCTCCCCTTATTAATTTAGTCTTTAGCGTTGTACCGTCGTATTTTAGCGTCTCTTCACATGCCAGCCCGGTATTCAATTGCTTGTCCCAGACTTTCTTCTCCGACTTTCTCCAACAAGAGTTAGCACTAATACCCGTTGAACGCGGAGTAGGCCAGGCTCAGAATAGGATCTTGTGATCTGGCATGCCTTCTGACATAATCTTTTTGCTGTAGGTGTTTTTCATAAGATCTTCGAATGTAGCGAGGCACAATTCCCCGGTTCGTCCTCCGGACATTACCTATTTCCATCAATGATGGTATTTGATACTCGAGGCTGGGTAACGACCTTTTAACACTTGGGGAGAGTGTTGGTTGATTACTTCTTGAGGCGCCTTAATTTCCATTACGGGAATAGGTATAAAATACCTGGGTATCGACGGCCGCAGGCCTATATTTATAAGGGCCAGCATTGTTGTCTCGGTACCCGGAGTTCACAGCCGACGGCCTACGTCGACTTCGTGTTTGACCCCGCCGGGTTGATATCGATAGCATGCCGTGGTATCTCTGGTCTTTTAGGGGGTATAATAAGGGAATAAAATGTTGTCTTCGGGGTTCGATGGGCGCTCGTCTTTTCGGCCATCTTCGTCAATCGCGAGCGCGAGATTGAAATCCGAGTGGTCCTGATAGCCAGTAGTGAAAATCGATACGTCGGATAGAATGGATGTTCTCTTATGGTTTAATAGATCATAATTAGACTTATTCCATTCATACTCATAGCAAACCTTTAATGACAGCCGTCGGACCTTCAGTGATCCGCTTTGGCTGCGGCTGCAGGTACGAAGCCGCTGACGCTGATTCAGTGGTCTCCGCCGTTGAATCACTGCCGGACGTGTACCCAAGGTGCCTGGAATCATCCTGTAAGTATTTGCCTTGCAGCAGGTCCTCGAATGATCTACACCACATAATTGGTGTACTCGTATATAAATAATATGGAGTCGACTTATACTAGGAAATCTACCTAAGGTAGACTCATATCATAATGTCATTCTACGAGGTACAATATATCTACTAGGTCATACCATTACGTGTGATTGCCTCAGAGTCTCCAAGAACTGTACCCCAAGACAAACAACTCACCTGTAATAGGTACTGGCTAAATTCTTATTTGCTATTCCCGAGATTCCTTACATTATCATGTAACCTGTGGGTGCTCGAGAACCTTGAAGATACAACCCTATCTCGGAGAAAGGGGAGAGAGCAAATGCTCATACGACGAACTTTCCGCCGGTCACCACCTATGAAATACGTGGATGAGGAGGTGGGATTTATGCATGATGTATCGTACATACTATCGGATGTTGAAGAGTTCTACCCACTGATTCAGTTTTACACGCACGTCTTAATAAGTGGTATACTACGCTTCCAGCGTATAGGGATTGTTTGTGCTATGCATATTCGATGGGAATTAATCATTGGTGACGTCTCTATCAAACACACGATGTGGTATATAAAAGGGAAAGTAAATTTCCTCGTGTTGTTCGGGGCGTGGTGTAATGAAGTTCTCTATCCAAAGACTTAACGTGATCGCAACTTTTGTTTCATCATGGAAAACGCACTCGGTTTTGTTTGGAAGTATTCCATCGGCAACCCATTGCACTTGGTGCTCGCGCTTGTCCTTGGGGTAAGTAAACCCTCTATGGGACATATTAGTGAATACTAACACTCTACATAATAGACAACCATCACCTTCGCCCTGAATGTTTTTTACAACATCTTTCTGCACCCCCTACGCAATTACCCCGGCCCCCTCGCCAGCCGAGCAACGGGTCTCTGGCGCGCCCATAAACTTCTATCCGGCCACCTCCCCCAAATCGTAAAACAACTGCACGACGAATACGGCCCCGTGATCCGCATCGCACCAAACGAACTATCCTTCATCGACTCCGAAGCATGGAAAGACATATACGGGCACCACGGGTCCTATGAAATGGCCAAAGACCCACGTTTCTACCGCTTCGTCGGCAACCGCATACCCCATAACGTATCCACCGCAGGTCGCGAACTGCACAGCGTCATGCGGCGCCAGCTCTCGCACGGGTTCTCCGAGCGCTCGATGCGTGCGCAGGAGCCGTGTATTGGAGAGTATGTGGATTTACTCATCCATCGGTTAGAAGAGAAATGCAGCGATGGGAAAACGGCTCTGGAGATGCGCGCTTGGCTCAATTTTACTACGTTCGATATCATCGGGAACCTGGGTTTCGGCTCGGATTTCGGATGTCTGGAGAATTCGAAGTATCACCCTTGGGTTCTGACGATTGTGGAGAATTTGAGGAGTCATGCGATTATGCGCGCGTTGAGACAGTATTTACCGGCTTATGTACTGTATTTGCTTCAGGAACATCGTGTGTTGAAGGGGCGGAAGGAGAATATTGAGTATGCGTACCAGACGATACGTAAGCGTATGGAGGTTGAGGTTGAGAGACCTGATCTCATTGAAGGTCTTGTGCGGAAAAAGAACGAATTGGTGAGTACAGCACCTGTTTTGTGCGGAATCTCGAGGATTAACAGGTGGTTAACTTATAAGGCACCCGGCGAAATCGAATTGAATGCCATGTTTCTAATCAATGCCGGCTCCGAGACGACCGCAACATTACTGAGTGGCGCGTTCTTTTTGTTAGGATCGCATCGCGATGTTTTGGAGAAACTAACTCGTGAAGTGAGGACAACATTTAGCAGCGAGAAAGATATTACTTTGATCTCCGTCGGTAGCCTCAGCTATATGTTAGCATGCCTTGACGAATGTCTTAGGATGTACCCTCCAGTTCCGCTTGGCCTGCCGAGGGTTGTGCCAAAAGGAGGTTTCAAAATCGCTGGAAATTATGTGCCTGAAGACGTAAGATATCCTCCATCCCTTCTATTATAATGCTTTCGGCTAATGAAGTGACGTGTAGACCTCTGTCGCCGTATGGCAGTGGGCGATCAATTATAGCAAGGTGCACTGGCACAAGCCCGACGAATTCCACCCAGAGAGATTTCTAGGTGATAAACAATTCGCCAATGACAATCTCATCGCCATGCAGCCGTTCAGTGCTGGACCTCGAAATTGCATTGGAAGAAAGTAAGAAGCCAATACTTAGCACATTTAAATGGATATATACTGATGTTATTTTCCCTAGCCTGGCCTATGCGGAAATGCGACTCATCCTCGCTCGAATCTTGTATAGATTTGACATTGAACTTGCGCCGGAAGCACGAGATTGGGTGAAGAGACAGAAGATTTACACGCTGTGGGACAAGCCGGAGTTGCCTGTGTACCTTAAACCCGTTAATGCCGGGGGTTAATACTGGTATTCCGTAATTATTAGCAAGTGGGATGGGAAGATGCGGTATATAATTCGTGAGCAAAACCCAGAGATGGTTGTAGGAAGACTGGAATCTGAAGGAAACCGAATAGTTTTAGAGTGTAATTATGGATATATAGGTATCTTATATATGGGAAAGTGTTCATACTTGGATTATACTGCCGACCTGTATTACGAAGTTGTGCTCTTTACGTTTGTGATAGTTAGTCGTTCTCTATTAGAAATCAGCTATAGCTATTAGGTGCCTACTCAATGTTGGCTATAGGTGTTATGGGCCTGCGATGGAGGCACTGCTAGGCCTAAGGCCGCCCTGCCGAGGGGACGAATTAGGGGCTGCGTTGCGGGAAGATATCGCTAACCGCGCTTTGCTTCGAAGTATTATAAGACACAGGGTAATGATTGCTACGAAGTTAGACAAAATTCGAAAACGAATTTTATAAATCAGCGAATTCATAATGTATTGATTGAATATCCAAACCAATAAACAGACTTGGGTATCGTGTTAAGAAATCTCTCGTGAGGCCCCAGCCTTCAGGTTTAGTAAAAGTGTTATAAAAATCGGTACTGAACACAAGTTCGCCGTTGTCATCCGGCTCGAGAAAGCGTTTGTTCCAGGCCCACCGGACTTTAAGACAGCAGGTCCACAGCCCGATGAACTCCTCCCGATCATAAGCGCTTTGATTCTTGATGAAATTAGTTCGAAGCGCTGGCCATACCATGAAGTCGATAAAACTCGCATGCGGATGGCAAAGCTGTTCGGCTACTGGTTTTTGGAAGTCTTGCAGACGGGCGAAGCGGGTTTCGCTTGGCTCGAACATCCACTTGACTAAACGGTAAGTTAACCACCCGCCAGCGAGGCGCTCCGGATCACGACACGGCCGTCGTCTTGTAACGTCGTGGATGGCGTTGGCAAGAAAGTTGGTCTTTGAACCGTATAGGAGCTCCACAGGCTTGGGGTCCTCTGGTGATGAACGCACGAGGTCCGCCCTGCTGAGGTATACCGAAATCCAATCTGATAGAGCTCCCTCGTCTTTAGAATGTACTGGTGTCATATTCCAACGTGGTAAAGTGAGATCTTCTAAAGGCGTAGGGCTCATTTGGGGGATTTGAACTGTTGGCGAAGAACCAGTTTCCGGTGGCGTTTGATGAGCATCCGATTGAGCATCATCGGTATATGATCGAGGCTGGATTATACTAAGCGGGGGAGAACAAGATTGGGTTCCCTCTAATGTTAGACTCGCGATGCTACTCGGATCGAGTTGAGAGGGTCCACGCGTCCATAAATTTACTAGGTGTTGGATTTGCTCTTGGCGGCCTCGTAGGACCCCGTTCTCTTGTCGTAAGTCGTAGCATGTCTTTTGTAGGCTTTGTAGTTCGCTATTGAGAGCGCTATTACGCTGTTTCAGGGCTTCGACCTGGGCAACGCGCTTGTCGCGAAGATTCTGCTGGGCCCGGCGGTCTCTTGCCCTCTTTTTGACGAGCGATTCGGGCGTTTCCCGGCGACTAGCCATCTCATTTTACACCAGAAGCGAAGGATAGGAAAGAGTATGATGATGGAGATATTGTTATGAATTAGATAACACTCACCTACTTATTCAGCGGTCCGGCACGGTCGGGATTGCGGGTTTTACCCAATTGAAACCCACCGTGCGCATCTTTACCATATCCCGATACTACCTAGGTACCGAGGCAGAGTCCTCTAATTAATGATGCTATTCTTAATGTCCATTTACCTAAATAGAATAATGCTGCTGTATATGGCAATAAGGGCATAAACTGCCATAGGGCCCCTCGTATAGAATGTGAATGTTCTAGATAAATACAAGGACGTGTGCATTGTGTTAGAAGTTCGGGAAAGTTACCTTAATGAACTGGGCGTTCGCAGAATACCTTTCCACATATATTCTTTTTTGAATGTGTCGACTTCTTGCTCTATTCTCCAAGCGCTGCCTAGGGCTGGATATAATTAACTGCTATTCTGCACACTGAGTTGTATGTGAAATTAAGTGATGCACCAGGTAGGTAGGTGATGCTGAAATGCGGTGAGGACGGGACGGGTTCTAAGAGAAGAGAAGTACCGAAGCGTTGGGAGAAAAATAAGGGTAGCCTTCAATTAGTGCTTATGAATACCTAGGTACCTATTTGTTCGCTAGAAACTGCGCTGTAATAATAGAACTTAGTGTTCTTTAAGGCTTCTAGGCCAGCCGCTAAATGGGGTGGTACTCGATAGGCTAGGTAAATTTGGAGGGCAGTGAATCCCAGTAGCGCGGATACAACCCCGCAAGGGCTTCCCCACCGCGCCATTTCTTTTTTCGGGAACCTATTAGCTCGCTGCGGACGAATGCCGGTAGCGAGTTAGATATTGTGTAATCGTGCTGACGGAAACTCTGTCTACTACGTAGGCCCTTAACATCACTAACAGAACTCTCTCTTCAATTACCTTAGTAGGTCCCCCCCCGCCATAAACATCTTAATAGGAAATACATACCTAGGTAGGTATTTGCAAAACAAATGGTTTGACGAAGTTCTAAAGTCTTGTCGATATTGTTCTTCTATATCTCGCAGGCCATAGTAGTATAAGTCGATGCAACTGTTGGTATTTTCTTTCTCTGGTGTTTATAATGCCAACTACCTTGATGGGCGTGGCATTGGTGCGATTGGCGATTGATTCACATGTATACGATAGCTCCCATCATTGCTCCATGGGTAGTGTAACGATGTCAGGGGTGATATCGTGCTATTAGAGACATAATGATGCAGTCAGCGATATTATCATTTCCTCATCGAGGTCGTAGTTTCGACCGATGAAGCTAGTGAAATGGCGCTCTAGTTATAAGAAGTTGCCGTGTTGTCCGTAGAAGAGTAGGTGAAGAGCGCCCGTTCACGGTGTTTTCCTTACCTCTTCATGCTTTCATAGGGTCCTAACATCATGTCTTTTCTAGCAGACTTGCTCAACTCGATTGGGCCTTTAGCAACTCTTGCTCTCCTTATCGTGGGCTGGTATACAATATCAGCTGTGTATTCATGGTACCGACTTCGCCATATTCCTGGCCCATTCCTGGCTTCGTTTTCATATCTATGGCTCGCTCGGACTGGCTGGAACGGTACCCAGCTTGAGGATTTCGAGGCCGCTGGCAGGAAGTATGGCTCCCTTTTTCGGATCGGTCCCGACATTATCTTGACGGACGACCCAGAACTTATGAAGCGCATGTCAAGCGCAAAAAGCAAATACTGGAAGTCAGAATGGTACTCCGGTAGCCGATTTAACCCCTACCACCCTAGCATGTTTACTATACCGAGCCCATCCATTCACGATGAACTCAAGGCAAAGGTCATTCCTGGATATAGCGGTCGCGATACACCCAATGTCGAAGCTGACGTTGACATCCAAGTCAATAGCTTCGTTAACTTGATCAGAAGGAAATATATCTCGATGCCTGGTTCAGGGGAATATCACCCCCTGGACTTGGCTCGAGCCATATCATTCTTCACTTTGGATGTTATTTCTAGAGTAGCCTTAGGGAAAGAATTTGGATGCTTGGAAACCGATTCGGACTGCTATCAATTTTACGAGGCAATGGGAAAAGCGATGCCTATGGTGATCTTGTCGTCCGACGTCCCCTGGATCCGTAACATCATATATTCCACGATCGGCTTAAAGCTTTTTGGCCCCAAAGAAACAGATCCTACAGGGCTAGGGAAAGCCATGAGGTGAGTGGTGTCTCCCCTTTGATCTCGATTCCTTCACCTCTTATTCTAATCATCACACCTAAGCTTGTCGAAAGAAGCGGTACGGAAACTATTCGAATCGGATATAGGAAAGGAGCAAACCATGTTGGTAAGTTTGTAGAGATAAATTAACACATTATCCCTCCCATAAAAGTGTAGACATCTAAGATTCGATATGAAAGGGTTCATTCGCACGATATAACCTCCCACGGACACAAATTGAAGTTGAGGCACTTTTCATGTTCGCAGCTGGCTCAGATACAACTGCTGCAGCTATCCGATGCACATTTCTACACCTATTATCAACCCCACGAGTATATTACCGGTTAAAGGACGAAGTCGGATTGGCCGTCCATGACGGTAGGGTATCAAGTCCCATCACTAATGCGGAGGTTAAAGAGCTACCCTATCTTCAAGTAGGTCATTTTTCCTTCAATTGGAATATCAAAATTGACGGCATAAAAATATAGGCAGTTATTTTCGAGGGCTTGCGAATGCGACCTGTCGTAACTAGTTTGATGCCGAAGGAAGTACCCCATGGTGGTGACACAATAGACGGTAAATTTATTCCAGAGGGAACATCGATAGGCGTAAACTTTTGGCCACTCCTTCGATCAAAGGCTAGGTTCGGTGAAGATGCAGATCTATTCAGGCCAGAACGATTAACTGAAGCTGATGAAGAGACGCGTCTTGAAATGCAGAGACAAGTCGAGCTTGCTTTTGGTTATGGCCGGTGGATGTGTGCTGGAAAACCAATCGCGATGATGGAGCTGAACAAGATATATTTTGAGGTATGATCGCCCTAGATGCCTCTATCTGACGTATGAGGCTTGCTTACCTACCTAGGTAGGTAGGTACCATGCTAACACCTGAGGTAGCTTTTCCGACATTTCGATATACAACTTGTAAACCCCCAGAAACCCTTGACTACTTATAGCCATGGGCTATTCATTGATAAAGGCCTGCTGGTGACGGTAGCACCAGATCCTATAGGACGATGCTAGCCATCTGGTTCCTCATTATAAATACGTATATAGTGACCTATATATGCCGAACCAAACCTCGAGTGTACTGTGAGATTACTGATCTTTGTCATCTTCCGACATACCTATCCGGCCCTTGTAAGCATGGGACCCGGCTTACCGCCCTCCACCTAGAATCCTTTCCTACCTCGGCACCTAGACGCACTACTTGCCTAACTATCGCACTATCAATGGCCCCTTGTAGATGAGGTTTAGCGATCGTCGTGAGGGGTGGGGTCCCCATATTCTCCAGGTTCCCCTCAGTTTAAGGCGTTCCACTTTACTCAACTATTTTGAGTCCTTCTCACCCCGACACCACTGAATCAAAACCTATTTTTAATCACGCATTGGCCGTGATGCTATAGGCTATATAGACAAATGGCGGTCATCTTGTACCTCACCACTATCGTCGTTGCTTGGCTCTTAGCCATTCTGTACGCCCCTGTCAAGCAACAAATTACAGTTCTAGGGCTATTACGACCGCTGGAATCATGGCAGAACGTCCACGGCATCGAGAATCATATCATCCAGGATACAATCGCTTGCGAGGATCTTCACTACCATGAACAATCTGGCCTGCTGTATTCTGCATGTCAAGGAGATCTTGTTAAAGCAGCTGGCTGGTTCCCAGGGTATGTGGTCTCCACTGAAGAAATCTCGCAGGAGATATGCAAGCGTCAGCATCGATGAGGCTAATGTATGGAATATAGGGCTTGGTCTTTAGATTACCCGAAAAACCCTGCTTCCGGGTCACTGGTAGTGATTGATCCTAAGGTACGTCGTCATGTTGCCCATCGATTTCGGCCGAGTGATTGAAAACTCACATCAAATATCTTAGACTATGAAAGCGCGGAAACTCTCACTTGAAAATTTCTACTCGGATATATTTGTAACCCATGGGATCAGCCTTTATACTCCTCCCGATGACCAAAAGACCATATACATATTAGCCATAAACCATCTACCAAACCCACTTTGGACCCCAACTTCATCAGAACATTCTAAAGCAGCTTCGCGTGTCGAGGTCTTTGTGCATAAGATCGGAAGCAACAAGGCAAAACATATTCGCTCGATATCGCACCCGTTAATCAGGACACCCAACGATCTCCTTGCGTTATCTGAGAATGAGTTTCTCGTCACCAACGACCATTACTACCTCGATGGTTATATGCGTCTTGTAGAAGAATTATTCCACCCGGCATGGACCGACCTCTTGCACGTGCATGCAAACGACGCCGACAACGTCACTGCAACAGTTAGCCTTACCTCGGTCCCGGGGAATAATGGCTTAGGTTGGGGTCCAAACGGACAGGTTTTGACTTCGGATGCTACGGCCGGCTCTATCTACTTTGCGGATTTCCAAGACCACAACAAAACCTTATCCGTTTCTCACTCGATCCAAGCGGACGGTGTCGTTGACAACCCATTCTTCTTTTCTGACCCCTATGCTGGAGTTGACGGCAAGGACTACAGCGGGTACCTTCTTCCCGGCATCGGACGCGCGGGCGACTTCCTTACAAACTACAAGGATCCCACTGGAAAAGCCCCTCTAACGAGTCTTGTGTATTTCCTCCCCGCAAGCGCCGGAAAGAAGGATAGCGAGGATAGTGGAAAAAAGCCAATACTCGTGTTCTCGGATGACGGGAGCTCATTGAGAGGCGCGACGACAGCTGTGATCGTTGCTATAGATCCGGCGACTAATGACGGGAAGAGGCAAGGGTGGCTTTTCGTGACGGGAGTCATAGCACCTCATATGCTGGCGACGAAGATAGACTTCCCTACTACTCTAGCTTGAAGCGTTGGGTTATGGATCACGAGCAAACCAAGCCCTCAATTTGTGGATAACTGGTGGGGTTGGAAATGATGTTTGAGTTAGTTGTGAGCGATTGTTTCGCTCTGACTTCTATTGATATCTCCCACATGAGGTCGTCATGGTAAAGTTGAGCGACTCCTAGTCCAATCGCATTCGCGATTGAGTACATACTGATACATGTATCTAGCTGTATATTGGATTATCTGCCTGAGTCCTTATATATTGCCAGGATGGAGGATGCAGAAGTACATATATGGGAGAATGGATTGTTAGGTGGACTATGATCTTACATCTTGGGCGGGTTCACTCCTTAGTCGCACTGAACGGTCGATTCCCCCTTTTTTTTCGAGAGTGTTTAAGCAACACCAATGGCCTTTGTTCATTTACAGTTAAAATCAATGCTAATTGTGAGCTGTATCGACTTCGATTCGGATTGTTTGAGTTGTGCGCTATTGTCGCAGAACTATCAGAGAGTGAATCTTTTTTTCCCCTACTATTAAGTGCTATGGAGCCCCGCGCAAGTAGTCGATCAAGTCTACGCAACTGGAATGCCCAAAAGGAATTGACAGATGCTTATAATATGGACTCTGAAAACAGGCAGGAGAGAAGGCTAACTCTTGGAGAAAGGGCCAAAGACATATGGAACGTTTTCCTGGTAGGCTTCGTGATGTGGTTTCTTACCGAGAACTTCTATATAATTGGCATGTTGTTTTTCTTTTTCCCATTCCGCGTGGGATATTATGGCTTGAGGAACTTAGGCATGTGCCTAGGTAAATCGTTATACGCTTTGACAACTACGAGTTATAATGGCTTGAAGAACTCGGTTAGATATCTAGGCGAATCGCTATACGGCCTACCAATTGGTACGAGTTATAACAGGTTAAAGAGCTTGGTTAGATACCTAGGCGACTCGCTGTATGCATTACCAATTGGCATGGTTTTTAATAGGTTGGGGATCTTGATTAGATACCTAGGCGAATCACTATACGCCCTGCTAATCAGTAAAGTTTATCATGGCTTAAAAGACCTGGTTGGCAAATCGCTATACGCCCTACAAAGCACCTTGGTATACTTAATTTCCCTGCCGGGCGCCGGTATGTTGATCGGAGTATTGTACTACTCCCGCATGCTTCTTCTGATGAAGACGGGTACATTGCTTAGGTATGCGATCATGGGGACAACATTCCTTGTATCGGGTACTCGCCCTATGCTCGCATTCGAGACGGATACGATCCAATGGAAACTTATATTCTTCACACATGTGATATGCCTCCAGCTACTCTTCAACGCTGTTTTTGCCCCTCGCTTTCGGGATGGACCTCCCTATCTTTGGACGTGGTAAGGGCCTTATTGCACTATTCCTCACTGACATTGCTTTCATAGAACTCGGCCTAATGGGGGACCTTTTCAACTCTCGAGTTTTACTACGATTATGGATATTGGACGATAGGGTATCAATTTAGTTTTGTACCCAGGCCTAAGAGAAATAAGCGGACTTAGGAATAAGATAAAAGTTTTCGAGTAAGACTATAAATTGATACTTCACAAATATGCGGTATCGAAGCAATGCATTGAGTTATTTATTCTTTAACAACTATTTGTGACTTGAAGATTATGTGATGCTATTGTTCATTGAGAATAATTTGTGACAAAGAAACGGTATAAGTCTTTTAGAAGTAAATAATTAACTGTCATCATTTCCAAACATCGCGGGCAATGTCGCGAACAAGTTGTAGTTTCTCCCACATCCTTTCCATCGTCATCCCCTTGCCGCCAGCCAAGCTACTGCTACTAAAGCCACACTGAGGGCTTAAGGCAAGATACCCAATAGCTTCTTTGGGGGCAATGCCTTGTGCATTAGCGATTACTGCAGCGGCAGCGTGGATTCTTTCCTTTATCGTGTTTGGATCCTCTAGTTCTGGCGTCTTGGTCGAGATAAGACCTAGCACCACGTTTTTCCCCTTAGGAAGAAATCTCAAGGGGCCAAAGCCACCCGCGCGCTCTAGATCGTCGAACTCGAGGTAGTAGGTTTGATAGTCCGTTTCGTTGAATAGCTTGTATGCGATCTTCTCGTATGAGCCCGAGACCCAATATGTGGACCCTGACATGTTGCCTCGGCATAAATGCATACCCGCGTGCAAGTCTGTCGGTTTATTCGCTAACAACTGATTATGTGTCCGGGTATAGAGGTCTAGAAGCTCATCTACGTCTGTGCCGTCCTTCTCGCAGCCTTCGACGAATTGAGGGGAACAAAAGTACGTTAGGTGTGGATCGTCCACCTGAATGTTGCGGAGACCCGCATCGTAGAGCGTTTTGAGCTCAGCTGCATAGCATTTGGCAAGATCATCGAAATACTCCTTATCTGAGGTGTAACCTGACTGTTGAGTCCATGCAGTTCCTGGTTTGAGTTGGATGTGTTGATAGTTAGGTGCGGGGATAGTGAACTTCGCCTCACGCCACATATCTTGGGACAAGTTATCGCGAAGTGCAATCCATTCCGAAAGATACGGAGACTCCTTGTACTCAATCTTCCCGGTACAGACAACTGCTGCCCGAGTTGTCGCGCCCATTTTCGCTAGGCCTGTGGTTGTAGGGAAGTCGGTCCGGAAGGCATCCGGGATGGGAAGATCTGGCTTGGCTTCAAATCCAGAAAGTTTCTCAAAGAAGCCGCCATAGTAGATGTGGCGGGCATATTCGCCGTCTGTAATGGGTCTAATTCCTTTATGCAGCTGTGCTTGTACTACCTCGCGAACTGCCTGAGTCTCCGCATCTTTTACTGACTGTGGAATGTTCAGCGAATACATCTTTGAAGGCGATGAGAGCTCCGAGCGAGCGTCTAGAAGGGACTGGGGTCGTAACAACGACCCTATGTGATCCGCTCTAAAGGTTGGTGCCATTTTTATTAATATTTAATCACGAACCTCCGAGTTATTTTGGTATATCTTCGTAGTAATAGTATGAATAGCTGGCGAAGTTGGACAGTTTCGAGGTACCCCTCTTTTCCTTTACTCTGTCTATACCAAGTCGAGTATTGGCCACTGATAGCTCAACTAATTCTCCGCACCATTTGTACCTAACAGGGAATTGGTGATTGTCGTATTAAAGGAATCGACCTAACCAAGCAAGTACTCTACAGGTAATGTCCATTATCTGTGTTGTCTGATGACAACCTAATCTTCCATAGACCGACGTCGAAAATTCCGTTCAGCTCTTTTGTTCCTTCGGATTTGGCGAAGCTTCGTCCACGAACTTAGAAAAGCCCTGCTCAAATTTGGGAATATTGAAGTCTTGCATATGATGTACTTGATGGTAGTCCGGTACATCTCGAGAGTTATGATTCACCAACACCTGAAGACGTGCTATAGCAGCGGATACGTTCGGCTGTATCCGAAGGCATTCCGTGTAGCAAGCGATCGCTTCTTCGTATTCCCCAACGTTATCAGACTATTGTAAATTGTGAGCATCTCCTGGACTAGTTGACATAAATAACATCTTACCAAAATCGCGAAATTAAACTGAGGTAACCAATGGTCTGGGTCTAGACGGATAGCTTGGATAATCGCTTCCCGCGAGTCATGATACTGTCGAACCTTGTAATACAAGACGGCAGCAGTCATCCAGTATGCTAGAATATTCTCATCTTGGCAAATTGCTTGTTGTATAGCGGCGTGGGCTTTTGGATAATCGTCAAGATATAGGTATGCTCTCGCTAATAGATGCCACACCACCGGGCGAAAGGCCTCTGCAACGATCAGTTATTACGGTATTTCCTTGAATATGTCCATTCTTAAGAAGCATAATCATATTGTGGACCCTCACCTAATTGTACGATAGTTTCCAGGCATGGTATTGAGTTTCTTGCATCCTGCTTGGATGAGTTATGTTCTGCAGCCTGAAGGTATTGTAGCCCTGCACAAAAGTTGGCAGCCAAATCATATTCGTTGTTGCGCAATATATCTAGCGCCTCTTCAATAGTACCCTTCATTTTTGGAAATCGATAATAGTGTATTCGACGAAACGGGCGGCTTTTGACGACCCGCATTGGCGGTAGTATTGGTAGTGGTAGTGGCCCAAATACTTTAGGTGGACCGCGAAGTTCTTGGGTCTGGGGGTCACGGGTAGGAAGTATGGTCGACCAACCGAAAGTCGCAAGTAGGCCGCAACCTGAACTGGAATTAAGTTGTTAGAATACAATAGTAAGCGCTAGAATGGCACCAAATATATCCAGGGACCTACCAGAGTCTGTCGCCGTACCCAACAATGGGACTAGGCCGCTGGCATCCAGGGCATTGCTGGCGCGCGGTCTTGGCTCCAAACATCAACATGGCCTGTTCGATATGTATGCCACTCTTGGCTCGACACTCCCAGCTCCATGGATCAAGCCTTAACCTTTCCTTGGGTAATAGGATGGCATATCGATTGGTTTTTACGTACTCTACACCTTCTCTATTATTTGCGAAAACTACATTTCGAAGCACGCTTTCGAATGACTAGCAATATCAGCATCTTTAATCAGCTAGATTTTCCATCGTCCATACCTCCCAAGTACTACATGCTTGGAATGGTAAGCCCCAAGTCACACCTAGCGCATCGTCGAAGCGGATTATGTCGACAGTAAGATGTAGTGGGATCGCTTCAATTGCGCGTATAATGCGCTTCATTTGGTTCGTAATGTCGAGTAAGGACCGCCTATCAATCAATTAGCGTATAAGACGCTGCTTCTTTGCTGAACCCCAAACTTGCGTATTGTGACTAATTGCCCCAAGTATTTCCTTTATGCATGTTAAGAACCTAGGTCTATTAGTATAGGTTACTACAATGGAGAGGGGATGATACGAGAGACGTAGCTCCCTGACAAGCTCTAGGAGATTAAGTAGCCCTCCGGATATCTCTGTTACAATGCTTGCTTGCTTCTTCGCCTCCGTTGAAATTTTTGAAACATTCGATGACAAGTCTTCGAGGCGAGAAGTGACTGTAGCCATGCCTTGTGATTGAATACTAGCTTGCTGGGACTGTTGCTGGGTCTGTGATATTATTTTAGAAGGAAGGTCGTCAATTTCGTGTGGGGTTGAGGAAACGGCTCCTAGGATCAACGAAGTCTGCCCAATGAGAGCATTAGAGTAGTCGTTAATTTGTTTTGATACAGAGTTATCATGCTTTCGCATCTCTGTGAATATATGTCTCCCTGTACTCCTATCGACGCATCAGTCACCCATCTCGCAAAAATGAGGCCTGAATATCGTATACAATTGTTGGATACCCAAGAGGATAAGCATAGTATTCATCTGGGATATAAGTATACTCCTCGCCTCTTCAACGTCCTTATGTATTATCGACCAATGCAGCCTTGTCCCTATGGCGCTGACACTTCTGGTTGTACGGAAATGCCCAAGAACACCTTCTTTGACTTGCATTTTATTGGCGAGGTCCTGTAACGGTCGTAAGCAATTCATTACTATGGCTCGAATTTTCTCAAGGTTTGATGGATCAACCACATCTTCGGGGTTGAGGCGAAGGACGCATCGGAGAGTGCTGCACCAGAAGTCTATCTCGACACTGAATTCTTGGAACTGCGCCGGTGCATGCCTATAATTACGTATTTCAGTGCCAATGCGCTCAAGCAGACCAAGCACAGCAATCGCGTCGCCGACAGACATGGCGGAAGTAGATGGAATATGAAAGTTGACGGTGGATCGATGGAAAACTAGGTACGCAAGTGGGAAACGTGAGACAATTGTTATATGCGAAGCCTTACAATTATGTTCACCCTCGTGCCAATTAGGTATATGCCGATTGGCCTTAAGAATGTCCGCACGCAACCTTATATATACCTGAATAGGTCCTTAGGTAGATACCGGTCCAGCTATAAGACTAAGACCGACGTCGTATCGCAAGGCATTTTTTTGAATACGTTAGAACCAAGCCTCATAGCACCAAAGGAAGTGCCAACCACTCTGATGAATACAACGTGATTTATGATAAATATCAAAATTCGGAGATTTCTCCGCTGTGAATCATAGTAGACGAGTGATGTCTACCGCCTGGATCGCCTTACTCCTATACTCTGAAACTAGCAGCGTCTTTCCATCTGGGCTGACTGCGAACTCACGCGGGAATAAGCCGGTCAATATCCGTGGGAACCCTTGGTTTCCCCACAGTGCTGCTTCGGTACCAACGACTGTTAGACCTGTAGTAGCATTCGCATAATTGAACCTATTTGAATCTGCAGTTATAATATGACGGCCTCTATTGACAATGGCAATGCCAACGGGCGAAGTACCTACTTGCACACTCGCCCGAAGAGCGCCTTCAGGATGCGCCGAGTCTAGCTTTTCGGTGTCGAATGCGAGAAGCTTGTTGCTTAATCGAGCCGTTACCCAGACTTGCTTACCATCGGGGGAGACAGCGAGCCGGACTGGACTGCAGCCTGCATCAACAGTATGAAGAAGAGCTTTCGAGGGATCGGTCTTAAGTATCGCGACATCAAGGACACTAAGTGTTCCTCGTGTCTCATTTACGGACGTTGCTTGGCTGGTAACTTCGCTCGTTACGTAGAGTTTGCTCTCGTCGTGAGAGAATGCTGTGCCTACAACTGCGTATCCGAGCCTGGTATACCCCTTGCTGGTACCGGCAATGGACCCATTTAAGCCGTGATGAATTTGGAAGACCTCAATAGTCCCGCGAAAAAGAGTCGCGTTGGTACCGTATTCCTGTGTGACCAATGCATACTTGTCGTCTTTGGATAATGTCACTTGAATCGCGCCGTCTCCGGTCGTGCCACGTAGGAGGCCGACAATCGGATTTGTATCACCAGCGACAGCCTTCTCAACGTCGAGTATGACCGCCCCGGGACCGACGGATGCGTACACGTAACGCTTGTCGTGAGATAGAGTCAGACCGCTAACGACTCCTTGAGATTGGTTAAGAAGTGCAGGAAGCGGAAATTCTCTAGCTAGAGTTGGCTTAAACGTCGTCGTGTTTAACATGATCACCTGGTGGCCCATGCCGGCAAAAGCGATATCGTTCCTCGCGTATACGAGTCCGAAGGGAGAGCCGGGTAGGCTCATGTTAGCCGTAGGTACGTTGATTGTGGTTTGCGTGGGGGCTGCATTTTGACATTGTGGGCTCGCAAGGATAGCAGCAGCAGTGATAGCCGTGTTGGCAATGGCTGCTACCCAATACGCAATTGAGCGTGCCATATTATTCTGTTTGATGACCATTAGCGTGCCGCCAATAGTTCATGTCGACTTCAGGCTCGCTTACTTACCTAGGTAGGTGGGTACCTAATACCTAGCAGCGACGAATTGCTTGAGTAAGTATTGACATGTGAGTTGAGTTGCGAGATAGATGCCAAGAGATGCTTTTATATCACGAAAATATGAAGACCTCATCCCCTAAAGGAACTAGCATGATCTTAGGAGTGCGTAAGATAGTTCCTATTTTGGGAGTCCCTCAGCCCCAGCCGATCAATACCGGCTTCATTGCCTTGTTAAATCTTCTTACATCATTGGGGACCCAAACCAAGTTAATAATCCGACGCAGTGAGGCTCGAAGATTGGTTTCCAAATTCCTTCGTGATATCCCCCTATATTTACGAGTTTGCCTCGCAACAATCGTCCGGGAACAGGATTATTTACGGAGATTCGTGCGCTTCGGGCTTAGTAAGAAGCCGATTGATCTAGAGTCCTGCCATTTCGTTGACGGTAAGTCGAGATGATCTCTAATTTTAGATAATTGAAGGTGGACGGTGAATACAACGGGCGTTTTGAGGTTAAACTCGTCGTGAAGGCAAAATCTGGATATGCGGCAGTGACAGCAACTTAGACGTGCAATAGACCAGCTTATTCTATACTGATCAAACCCACGTTGGACCTGCAGCGAATAAACATAAAATAATCATAGCACGATGCGTCGCCGCTTTGGCGGTTTCCTTACGTTCCATGGCGACCATGATTCATCGAAGCACACTTGAAAATCGCAAATTTGCTAGAACAATCGACTTTGCGAAGCTTAGGTTATTAATCTGGGGGTGATGTTCGTGGGAAAGAGTAGGTACTTGAAAAGGTGACAGTGCGAGAATGCGGTATGCTTTTCAAGTGCACTATCCGTGTGTGTCGCGTACCTAAGATAAGTGGGTTAGTCAACCCAGCCCCTCGGATTTTAAGATGTTACTTTAGAAATCCCCTACCTAAGTAGGTACCTAGTATTCACTGGCTTGTGTGCTCTTCGAATTCTCTTCGCCACCCTGCAGGTACACAGCCCAGTGTCAACCCCCACCCCTGGCTCCTGGGGAGATAGATATCACATATCGCTCGGGCAGCCCAGGGAATCAGACAAGCTGACAAGTCCCCCGCGGATAGGTACCTACCTCAAGCATACTGGCAGTCCCACCACGCCACATCATGTCTCGCCCCACAACATAGTTGAAAACATCGCAGAACCTCTACATTCGTTGATCGGCATCATATCTACATCTCGTTGTGTGAGACGGTTTTTCGGGGGGCGTTGACGAGGTTGTATACTTAAGTACCTAAGTACCTAGCTATGAATCTCAAAAATGCGCCTTATCTTTCCGACCATCTTGAACCCAAGAAATGTGTTCAGGACTAAAAAGGACCCCGCGTTACTTTCTATACAAATCGTCTCATACGTTATGCTACCCTGACAGACCGTTGACTGTCATATTCCCATGGAGAACCGAATACCTTGGTACTACGGGTGGAAATGCCCAGAGGAACACTAACAACAGAGTCCCATGTTCTGGAGGAAATGGGTGCCGAATCGATGACCCCCGGTGAAAAAAAAAGAAAAAGAAAAAGAACGCGATGCAGACTACAGTGCCATGTATGAACGATCACCATGACACGATGCGGTCATTCTTCATTAACAGCTGGGGGCTAGACTAGCCGCTCCTTGGCATACTCTGAGACGCAGTTGATCCTAGCCCGAATTGTTGACGCCTTCAATATGAGGCTTCCTGACGGGAGCAAATATTAGACCAATGTATGAGGGAATCACATTCTCTAAGAGGAGTCTGGCTTGCGAATCTATCCGGTGCCACCCCCTACCAAGTCCGAAGAGGAGGGCGAGGCACACAACGAAAGAGAGCCCGAGCCATGCCACATTGTTAGAGTTGAGCCAACCCCTCACGATATCCAAGCACCGCGTGTGATCCTCAATTGGATTGGTTAGGCCGATATCTATGATTGAGTTGATCGGCAATATCATACGCATCATTTGGATCGCGTTTCCCGGGGTTTCATATCATCGACTTTCGTACCGCGATCGTCAAGTAGCCCAGCCGGACAAAATAATCACCCATATTGGGTGATAGTTTGTGATTATCGTGAGATGGTCCGGGACTGACTGTTTACATCATGGATCAACAATATAAGCCGAGGAATCGGCTAGGGCATAGTGGCGTGTGGCTACCTGATCTAACCAACATAGCTACCCCGAGACATACGACGCAAGCCACCTTAGGTTCATCACCATCGAAAAGGAAAATTACCATCATCTGATTGTATCCGAAGATGGAGTACGAACAGACTGGGCCGGCCAAGTGAATGGATATAACCCTAAATGTATCGTCAAGAGCTGGAAAATATGTTCCTGGTCAATGAAAAGTTATTCTATTTTGGAATCTGAGTTACTCTAGTATAGTGTGGATCAGGATGGTTCTCATTCCGTGGGTTAATTTATCTTTGCTCTCTTCTGCGTGGGTATATGCATATATTCTACCAAATGATGGACCGGTACAGAAGGCAATTGTATCAATTACACATGAGAGCTCCGCGGAGCCCTCCTGCCTCAGATTGAATCCCGAAGTCGAGAACGGGTAAGTATATCGAACTCCACAAGTCGATAGGCAAACCTAACGAGATGACAGGACACTCATTGATCAGCTGTGGAGAAACAATTGCGATCTCGTGGAGCAATTTCTGGGGAATGCTTTCTCCGTTGCTCAGGCAGAACAAACTTCTACCGGAACCTTTACGTCCTTCCACTACTATTCTGTGGTTCGTTCAAAGTATACGTGTCCCCGAGTTGGCATGTTACTGACACTTTGATGTAGCAAGATTACTACTACTTGCTCGAGACGGTACTGCACAAGCCGTATCTCACCGAGACCAACCCGCCTATGTCAGAGCCGAGCCTGCGCTCAAGCATACCTGCGGTCATCGATTCTACGAACAAGTCTTTTCAGGATGCCGAAAACTTTCGCCGAAGCCTTATTAATGATCTCGAGATATCAGAAGATATTATCAAAAACGGAACTTTTCATGCTGCTGGCTTGGGTTATGTTAAGTGGCTCCAGGAAAATATTAATCTGGGTTGGTTTGCATACCAAGTTTCGAGAATCCCTTGTATTTACGTAAGTGGACTTGTATTGAATGTTCACAGTCCCAGCTAACTCACCTAGGGTTGGGCCGAGCTCGCAAAGAGTCTTAATAACCGCCAAGACGTAGATCATTGTATGGCTCTTAAGCGCTCACGTCTTATTAATCGAATATTAACTTACACGTATAGCATCAATATTCTACCAAGAATGGATAGTCAATAACCTAGACTGGAATTATGGTGCCAGTCACTCGCGTATTTTCCTCCCCGCCCCTCTTTTTCTAAATAGGGACCGATTACTAACATATAGCAATAGAAAAGCTCCAGAAAGCCGTAGATCGTTACAATAACAGTGAGACATTCGAGGTTTACAATAGGTTATTTTGACAAGCCTTATTATTCGAAATTGCTTTTTTCGAAAGTGCCATTGGGAAGACGTCGATAGATAATCTTCTTTGACGATCCATGGTTACCCTCGACGATCGAGTGGTGGGATCGACGGTACGGGCCGTGGCCCGCTTACCTTATTAGGTTAATATGAGCTGCCTTGTTTGCATGGTGGATATTGAACACGTCTTGAACCCTCAATCTCTCGACTGAAGACGTCCTTCTCATATGTGAGTTAGCTAATATTTGATAGAGTTACACGTAAGCGTATATGAAATCACAGTTAGGGTTATATTGCAACTTGATCTATTCTTTATAAACTTCGTCGAATCCCGTAAACCAATAGGAATGTGGAGATACCTACGTAACTCCGTATGTAACCACGGACCCGAGTAGTCTCGACTAGTATATGTAGTACGAGGGTAGGTAGGCAGATTCGAAAAAGGTCAATACGGAAACCCAAGTAACCTCGTGGCTCCGGAGAAACTATCCAGCCACAATAATTGCCCTAATCCCGTTCAAGAAATGACCTTCGAACCCATAAATGATAGCGTGACGTGGTTGGTAGGACATGGCACTATGGCTAGGAATTTCGTACTACCGTCATTTTCCCGTCTTACTGCTCGACGGAATAATCGACAGCGCTAGAAGGCGGAGAGAATCCATCGTTCCAACTCAGCGAAACAGAACAACTTATACTCGTATAGTCGTACACGCTCAGCCACCTTTCAGTCATCACTACCGGACTTCGGATCGACGATAATGCCTAGTGGCTTAGGAGAGAAATATCTAGTCTTGTCTTCCGATCAAGTAGTGTTGATTAGAGATGGAACGCTTTAAATTTCACAATCTTTACAGAGGTCGAGATGAAGTCTCATTCGTCGTACGCATCCGTTAATACCACACGAAATAAAGGCCTCCATGATGCAGCCATCCACCGCAAGTGCAAGGAGAAATTTTCTCGCATGTGTTGTTTTAATACCTTTAACCGCCATCGCAGTCATTGGCCGATTTGCCGTAAGGAGAAGTCTTCGCCAAGCGCCACTTGGAGCAGACTGGATGTGTTTGGCGTCCTGGTCCTTCTTCTGTGCATTTTGCACGATTATCATCGACTGTAAGATACACTATTCCCTTGTCTAATATTTACGTATTGACCCGAAAAGAAGATATTCTAAATAAGTCCAAAAATGGATCATTTGATTTTAACATAGCCTTGCCGCAGCCAGAACTAAGAGACGAATCAACAACCCTTTTGAAGGTATCAGGAATTTCCCATGTCAGTTGCGGGCTAGCTGTTAACCGATCTCTAGGCAACCTTCGAGGCGCATCTATTCTTTGGGTTCACAATAACTTCTGTCAAATTGAGTATCCTATGGCTTTATTACACATTGTTCAGAGTCAACAAAAACGTCAAAATCTGTATTCAGACGACTGCGGTCGTCTGCGTTTTATGGCTTATTATCGTTACATTCCTCGTCATATTCCAATGTTGGCCAGTTGAGGCATACTGGGTCGCGAACATCGAAGGGTCACAGTGTCATTCGATACCGCGCATACTTCTAGGCTACGAAATAACTAATTTATTTCTTGATGTATTGATATTGTGTATTCCAGTAGGTATTACGTGGCGACTGGAACTCCCAATACAGAGAAGACTGGCTATTGCGGGTACTTTTCTATTAGGAGGATTGTACGTGCCCTAATCCGCGTCCGGGGACGCGCTCATGAGACGAAAAATACTGATTCATATCTATAGTGTTTGTGTTGCAAGCATTGAACGTATAAAGGCGACTTGGAACCCCCCAAACATAAATGAAGATTGTAAGTGTACATGGCACTATTTCCGTGGGTAAGCATAAATATTAACATATTTACAGTTGACTTTCCGTCTATAATGCTATGGTCGACGCTGCAATTGGGCGCCGCAATCCTTTGTAGCTGTTTGCCGACGTTTAAGCCTCTCCTCCCGGCCCTGAATAAGCCCATAGTCCACTTTCGCACATGGTATGGATCTAAATGGAGTCCAAGGCCGCTGAGAAAGACAGAATCAACAGCCCAACGTATAGTACCCGATAGACGCGACTCGATTTCCGGTTGGGATACTATTGGAGACCGTCGGTCCCAAACCTGGGTCTATTCGAGTTACAGTGACGAGTGCGGCCACCAACTCCAAGATATATCTTGCGATGCTGCCTATGTGAATAGAGAGGTGGAAGTGGTTTAGAACTCAAATTGCTATACCCGAGTAGCTTGTCTTAAAGGCCCTTCTCACGGCGTTTCGCGTCGAATCCCGGTGTTAGTTATCCCCGAGTTGATACGTCACGTCTAGATACCCACACAGATAGCCAGCGATATTTCGGGGGGTTTTGCGACAAGGAATCTAGACATTGGTTTGGTGCGATACTTGGAGTCGCATACGGAGCTTCCCTTGCCTTCTGGAGTCATGGTGTGGTCTCCATGGGTGCACGTCACGGCTACGGTCGTCAAGCGTTACGCCAAGCACGCCGATAAAATTCGATATTCTTGATAGCGAAGTGCTTCAATGGGGAGTTGATGTATATCGGCCTCAAGGAAAATTTGGCCGCGGAACGGAAGTGTATATTTCCCCGTTTCAATACCCCTTTTCATGCACGCCGGGTTATTGGGAGTTTCGTGTCAGCAGGTGGACGGCTTCTACAAGAAAATAACATGGATAGATGGAAATTGGGGGAAATTTCATTGGCATCTTTGGCGACTCATGGCGTTGCCTTGGCGCACCATCGATATGCGAATGAAGATGACTTTGGGGTTGCTATAGCCGATCTCCTCGCGAGCTTTGATTGAACTGGAATGAGATATAAACACCGAAGAACGATACCATGGGATAAATAAAGCCTGGAGTTGGGGGTTTGCGTTCTTGTATTCATTGGGTAGTGAATTGGACGTGGTCAACATCCATCCTACTCTCATCAGGATAGCGTGTGCCTATTCGGGGAACGAAGAAGTGATCGAATACATTCTATTGAACCTAGCGCGGACGCGCACGTCAGATATTCGTCAGATATTCCAATGTTTTCTTTCAACTATACATGTATTCTCCAATTAACGAGCTTGTCCCTGATACTAAGCCTGGAATTCTTCGGGATGCGGTTTGCGACTCTGGGGAGGCTCCATTTTATTTTTTCGTTGCTGCTTTACCCAAATCGGCTAGGGCGTCACGACGCTTGAACTTGGCATCCTGAATGACACCTATCGCCACGGAGTCAGTACATTTACTACATATAACGGTGGTTAATTAGATACGAGATGGGTAATGATACGTACCGGCATCAGCATCGCTAGAGAAGTTGCTGGTCCACTCGACGAATGTGCTACCCTCAAGCTCACCCGAAGTGACAGCATAGCAGCGGATGGTGGAGAGGACCGAGGAGTAGCTTAACTCGGGCTTAGCAGTGATGACGCTATATGTGATGTAGTGGTTGATAGTCTAGTGATATGGTTAGGGCTGCTGTCTCAAAATACTAGTTCTCACGAAATGATAAGGTAATAAGATGAACTTACGCTGTGCTCCTCCTGTTTTACTTCCACCTCGGCACCGTCCTTGAAGACCCACTTCACGACATCGGTCTCGTCACTAGTACCTTTGACATATTGGCTAGACTTTAGAGCAGACCAGAATTTGCTGAAGTCCTGGACTAGAGGATATTAGGGAAAATGCTAAGTTTATTCACGCGGAGTAGACGTTTTGACGTACGCTTAATATGATGCCAAACGTGGCTAAGGGGTGCCTTGATGACGGCGGACTCAACAACGGAAGTAGAGGTTGGGATCGACATTGTGGGTATTGGTTGTAATTTTGACTTATTCGCGTTTTTCAAAGAGATTATTTGGGAATAGATGGTCAATTGTAATTTGGTAGATGTAAGTAAGTAAGTGAAAAAGATGAAGGAGGAAAGAAGAATATGAAAATCATTGGGAAGTAGAGCTCATTTTCAAGAATTGAAGCTTCGTTTGTACCTGCAGCAAACGAAGTCATAACGTCACCGTATGAGGGGCATCCCCAGCTTAGAAGCTTAGAAAGTGCAAGCTATAGTGGGGCAAGGGACTTGTTATGGTCACATCTTGTGCAACTAAGCAACTTGACTATAGCAACTTTCAATTGTAAGTGGAAATGTTTTAGATTTCCTAGTAAGCTTAAACAAACTCAAGGTAATTGTATGCGAGAGTCTTGTGTATTTTTGTTTTCTCAAGAGATACAAGCACCTATTAAAGCTTTCTAGATGAGAGGTACTTAGGTACTTTGCGATAGTACCCCGCTCTACTTTAAATCCTAACACTTACCTACCTAGGTACGTACACGATCTGTACATAGTCCTTGTAGTATGTTAAAGAATAGGTATTTAATAAAGCAATTACATATAAATATCATTATAGGAATTTGAATCCTGGATTCATTTTAACTTTTAACTTATGAGCATCTTCAACTCTTGTTTCATAGATTTTAGTTGATGTTTTTTCGAACATTTCGGGGTATTTCCTAAAGGGGTAATCATCTAGCACGTCTGCGGGGAATAGGGGACCCGGAAGGAACAAGGTATCGTGCATAAGTTCGTTGGTGACCGACATTCCAGCTCGTGGCCTAGCTATCTAAGGGAAGGTTCTGCCCAACATAATGGAACCCCTACCTAAAAATATAGCGATGCAAGGGATTGATAGCTGTTATCTCGTTACCATGTTGCTCTATACGAACACGAATAGCCCTTGCTGGAAGAAGCTAAATGCTGACTACCTTAGTCTTCTTTTAAGGGCACATAGTAGGTATATAACCATTTACCGCCTCGCGATACGCTTTCTATCGCCGTGTTTCAAAAAATATTTCTTCGCCGGGCTTGTCTTAAACGATTTGTTGAAATGTTGTTGAAATCGTTATGTCTTGCTTCAGCGCTGGCGTTATCGGTTCTAGGGGAGAAGGATTCTGACCCGATCCACTTGTTGAGGAAAAAGGGGATCGCATCCAATCAGTTGAACGAAATCTCCTCCGGTTTAAAAGGCGGCGATGCATGTCTATGCTCTCTTGCTGTAGGTTTTTGCCCAGACCTGTTTTCACCTTCCGAATATCCCATTTTCTTACTGTTTTAGTGCGATACGCTTCTCAGCATATTCAGTAGCGATAGCGTGAACGTGGCTGGCCAAGAATCCTACGACGCCTCTCAGGCCAGGTATTGGTCGCAGCAACAGGCGCGTGATACCAAGCCAAAATGCTTCATTCAACCACTCGACGCCGAGGATGTGTCTGTTGTAGTTCTGGTTTCTCGTGCCACGGAATGCCCATTTTCTGTCAAAGGTGGCGGCCATACCCATTTTAAGGGTGGTTCTAACAGCCACGGCGGCATCACCATCGATTTCATTCAAAGAAAGCATGTCATCCCAAGCGCGGATCGAAAATCTGTGGCATTTGGACCGGGAAACACTTGGGTCGATGTGTATACAGTGCTGGACAATCTCAATCTAACTATGGTTGGTGGCCGTACAGCTACAGTAGGCGTCAGTGGCTTAATATTGGGAGGTAAGTGCAGTACTCATCTCCACCATTTCTTTATCGTAGAACTCCGCTTAAAATATTAGGGGGTATCTCGTTTTTTAGTGGACAATACGGGTGGACTTGTGATAATATGATTAACTATGAAATTGTTCTTGCATCGGGTGAAATCGTACGAGTCGATTCGAAATCGCATCCCGATTTATTCTGGGCTCTTCGCGGTGGCGGTGGGAACTTCGGTATTGTTACGGAGTTTGTTGCCAAAGCCATCGAGCAGGGGCCTATGTGGGGAGGATTTGTTTTCTGGGAGATGCATAGCACCAAGGACGCTGTTATTAATGGGCTTGTTAACTACGCCGACAAGGGAGCTGAAAAGGACCCGAAGGCTGCGCTAATCCTGTCCTTCGCATACGCCCAGCAACACCAATTATGGCTCTCGTGTGTTATGCCACATCATTCGGATCCTCAACCGTCCGGCTCCCATCCAGAAATCTTCGCCGATTTTTTCGGCATTGAGAATTCCTTAGGAGATAGTACCAGAACCACATCCCATTCAAATCTCACTATCGAAGTAAACGGAAATAATCCAATCGGCCTACGCCAGAATTACCAGGTCTATACAACTTATGTGGACAAGCAATTGGCCTTGGATATACTAACCATTTACCACGAGGAAATTGAACAGATAAAAAACATCACAGGTTTACTTCCGGCTTTAGTTTATCAGATCATAACCATCCCCCAGCTTAGAGCCATGGCCCGCGCCGGCGGCAACGCGCTCGGCATTTCTGGCGGAAAGAAACCCCTCATGTTGATCAATTTCACAGTCATGTGGGCGCTGGACTCGGACGACGAAGCAGTGCTCACGACATCTACCAGAATCCTTTCCAGAATCCAGACCCTAACGCGACAACGTGGATTGGAACATCCGTTCCTTTACATGAATTATGCCAGTCAATTCCAGGACCCCCTGTCAAGTTACGGGACCGAAAATAAGGCAAGGTTGATAGAAATCTCGAAAAAATATGATCCAGAAGGAATCTTCCAGAAGTTAAGTCCTGGCCACTTCAAATTTAACGGACCACCAGCTGCGAAATGGTAGTTGCTCGAGTTTGAAGAAAACATCGTACTAGAATATGGCTCTGTAAAGAGTTTATATAATAAAAATGGTATATTTTTATACTATTACATATCTCTTTAAAGGAATTCGGATAAACGATTCGAATTATAAAAGGCACCTCGGTGAGTTTAATCGCAGTTTGATCGTAGGCTAATCGTCCAGTTCATACGGGGTGCATACACCCAGGTCGGTACCTAAGTACTTTAAAGGCTGGTCGAGATTGTGACTTATATACGTAATGAATGAATCGTGCGGTAACACAGCATTAGACCATTAAACTAGAGGATAAGGTTAAGATTTGTCATCAATCATTTCAGCGCGTTCATTTGCAAAAGGTACGCAATCCACCTACAATTTCTCTCTACCACCTTGAACCCTTTTGGTTACATCTCCACATCTACATCCTTATGTCGCAATCCCTTCACAAACTTGGTATATGACTTACAACCTTACAACCTATCTCAATGCTAATATCCGTGTAAGCTGATGGCTTATCCTGCAAAGGCTTGTGTAACTTGATTCTTTAGCACTCTCATCCCGTGTTAGGTCTTCCCGTCTTACATGTAACCAGCGCCGACCTTATCGGAACACCTCTTATGGAATTTTGACCTCTCGTGGCTCTTGTTGGCTCGCAGTACCTGTCCTACCCCACTTTTACTTCCTAGCCTCCTTTCGACGGCAAAAGTTTCTCCTTGGAACCCTCATGGAACCCTGAAGCCTGTTTTATTCATATAAATTAGAATCCTTATATACTGGCCACTAGAAGCCAGCTCTGAAGTTTGTATAACCTATAAAAAGATACAAATTAAAAAAAGAACAAATACCTGCGTTGCAAGTATGACAAGTATGGGGTCTTCGCGTCACATAGCGTGCAAGGTGGGCCGGCTCCCCCCCTTCTGTCCCCCCCCCTTTTCCCCTTTCCCCCCCCACAAGTACAATAGGTGGACGGTGAATGGTATAGGCTAATACGAGGTGAAAGCTTTGTCGTGAGCGAAAAGTCCGCTGTCCGGGCGAACAACCAACCTGCGAAAAATGCCGCCGCATGGGTGAGCAGTGTATATATCTGCCAATGCAGAGAGGAAGCAAGGCTAGCTTGAACCAAACAGTAGAGGCAATGCAAAAGCGATTAGGTGAGTTACTCACGGTATATGCTGTGCCTGTATAACCATAGTCATCTAACAATTACGTGCTGGGGCACGTGGAAAGATGAAGCAGAAACTTTCATCCAGAAAATGGGTGGGCAGTCGAATAATAATACCATAGCTGGATCACCCTACAGTTTTGACTGGTTTGCCAACACCGGCTTTTCAACCATGTCCCCCCCGAGCATCCCGACACCCTCTATGGTATCCTCGGGAGGCGCTAACTCCCCTTCGAGTCAGCCCAACCACCAAGACATGATATACCAACAGTCTAGCCTAAATTTACCTGATCAACCGCTAAGCAACGAGTTGCTTGAATCGCTGCAAGCTACAGTCAGCCACAAGCCCTCAGGCGGGAGGAATGACCCCGCTCAGTTTCGTATGAGTGAGAGACCGAATTTTGACAGATCAAGTATCGAATTTTATCCCCAAATGGGGATTTCTTCCCAGAGAGAGAGCCATGACCAAAGACAGGGGCAAGATGTCACGCGCCATGCCCGTAATGGCTCGACGTCTAGCAACACTCCAGTTTCTCCGTCGATGTCCACCCGGAATGACGCCGGGCCGGGAACAGGTTGCTTAAATGAAGATACAGGGGCAGCCATACTCGATCCCTTCTCAACGTTTTGCTCGTCAGTAGTCCGCCGCCAATGTGAGATGTCAGGAGTTGCCTCCGCTGTGGCAGATTACATAGCCTGGATTCGCAGCGTCCCGCCTAGTGGCGCTCCGCTTCGTGCTAATTCGATATACCAAGAAATGCTGCAGAACATAGAGATCCGCGTCAGGGAGCTTATCGAGATATCCCAAGCGGGACCCCACGAATCTTTCCGGGAGACATTGGCGGCGCTCGAACGTGCTGCGCCGTCGGGTGGTGCTGTGGCTGCCCGACTAGCCAGTTTAGAAGGGGATCTCCAGAAGAAATCGCAGGGCCATTCGGACTTCTTCCAAAACGGTTACGACGCATGCAGACGCCTCTCAGAGCAGAGGCGGGACGCCCCCTAAGTGTTATAGCGGTTGACGGCAGAGTGCCCGACGCTATTGGTGTTCAACCCAGGCTCAATCTACTGCCTTCTAGTGGGCAGGCCCCTTACAATTTCCTGCACGGACCGAACTAGAGAATTTGTGGCGGAAGACGGATAAAGGTCGAGATATAGGCGGGACGATGCAATGATTTTCATGATAGCGTTAGAATGGTTCTTCCATATACATCTCCGAGGTGTTAGCATGCATAGGGGTCCGTCGAGTGTGTTGTATGAGTTATTCTGGAGGATATGGGGTTATGATTTCACGATTTAGCTAGCATACCTCGACACCATCTACTTGGAATAGCATCGAGAAAGAGCTGAGGAAGGGGGCGAATCTCTAGCTGTACGCCACCGATCATGAACAGATGTGAAGGAAACAAATGAGAGACGACCGATCAAAAGTCCAAGATTAAAGTTGCCTACTCTACAAGTGGAGCCGGAATCATGATATATACAGCATCAATTGGGGTTGCAACGCATATACGTGTACGAAAGTGAAAATTATTTGGTGAAACCCAACAATGCCGACAGTTTTCTTATTCATCTGTCCTACCTCACAAGCGAGTGCTACCAACCACTATCGTGGCATCGAATTACGGATCAGTCGGGTCTGCAATAAGTCGTCATAGTTTAATTGTTCGATTGTTCGAGTATCTTTGTACGCTCAGTTATTTCCCATATTTGGTTTCTCGAAACACATCACGACATCTCCATGAAGAATATCTGGAACAATGCACCCCAATACCTTGTGTGGATCCCCCATTTCCTTACAAGTCATATAGTAGCATTGATATCTGAAGTACCTATGCATTCTTGACAAAATCAACAATACAACATCTCGAGTTAGTTGTATAAGGATAAAGAGCAGTCTGCAAATTTTGAGCTGCGCCATTTTCTAAATGTCGAGTTAAACGAAGCATTTCGTTCTAAGTTGGCAAATACCGCTAAAAACAGTGTACGCTACACAGTGGGGGCGTTTAAGCGCCAGCATTCAAACAGCCACTTTGGCAGAAATTTATTCTTGGCTACAACGTCAATTACGCGTCTATACCACCACTCTCCCTTTGCCAACCAAGAAGGTGTTGGAAATGAAGGTTCAATGTTGGACATTCTCGATCTCAATGGGTCTTACCGAAATACGACGTCTCCACATAAAAAGCACGCAATAGGGGGCTTATGCTCCAACTGACTGCAAACGACGGACTCGGTGGGCTCGGACCGAGCCCGTCTCATGCTCAGGCATTCCACACAAACGCAATTAATAATAAGCCCCGGAGGCTTTATTGGTGTCGATCGATACCTGCGGTCATTTTATTTTTTCTTATTTTTAATTTCACTCGGTTCTTATCGTCCGAGCTAGAGTGAAACATGACTCGCTCGCTGCAACGCCCGGCTTCAATGCATGCAACAAGACTTTTACGTCCAGCCAGACAGCCAGATTAGGTTGCCAGGCCTTCGTGGTAGCATGAATGACATTTGAACTCCTTCCTCGGTCGGACCGGAGCCTCAACATCGGTGGCCCCTCCTGTACCCCGAGGATAGATGCATGCATTTGAGCATACGGTTGACATGTAGCTGACAGAGTTGTCGGTTGAAGTCATCACAGGTAATTCTCTTTTAAAACACTTGCCTAGATTCCTAGATCGTGATGGCCTCTTCACTCACTATTAGGTGAACTTTTACTTCACTACGTGTAATCATCATATCGAATTCACACCCAGTTGTTACATAGATACCATGTCGAACGTCAGCCACCCTTCCTCCGTCGGCGGCTCAGCCCTGAAGGCTGTTTTTTTGGGACTTGGATTTTTGGGTCTCTTGGCGACGTGGGGTCGCACAATAGCGGATGGAAGTTTCGGACTGCTTGAGGAGGCCATGTCTGGCGAATACACACTTCCCGGGTCCGATAGCATCCTCCGCGATCGCTTCTCCGGAATCGGTCCTCTGGATTACGTTGCGCGCACTCTTGTCGTTTTCTTCTGGGAGGCCGTAGATGGTTCCCACCCCAAGACGTCGGCGGCGGGTACCTACATGGCTGGCCAAATGGCGACAGTCATCAATGCCCAGTTTCTCGATGGCCTACGCCGGGGTAACGGTGCATCGACGCTGAAGCCTTCGGTGTGGTGGTTCATTTTTGCGGTGGTTGCTATTGGATTCAGCGGTTCTCTCTGGGGCGTCTTTTGCCTGGCGACGTCACCTCTGCTCTCGACTTCTATTGGACTGCAAGCTCTACAAGAAAGCTCCCTCATCCAATCCCCCCGCGCAGCCACACTTTTGCCATTCGCAACGTATATCGGGTTTATAGGCAGCATGATCCTCATGTCTCTCCCTGCACCCTCTATGGTATCCTATGATTTTCGGCAGTGGGCTATCGTCATTTGGAATCTGTTTCCCTTGACAATGTCCGCCATAGTGCATGGAGGCGATTACTTGCTAAATGCGATATTCCCGGCTTCCCGCCGCGAACCTGATAGAGAGGCGCACTTGCGCGTGGTCAAGTTGCTGGGCATCAGCTCGATTGTTCTCGGTTTCGCTATGCATGTCGCTGTTCTGACCGTTTCACTTTCGGCGGTCCTCTTCCCCGCTATTTTCGCTCCTGGGTATGCTGAACTATTACACCCGCTGTCCGTGGCAGTGCCGCCGTTTGCAATAGTGAAAGGGCAGACACCTGGTGATGGGATCTGGAGCTTTGTAGTCTGGGATCAGGTTTTCGGATTCTCGTTCGTGATGTTGGTATTCTTGGCACAGCTCCAAAATGCCATGCGCTTCTCAGATCAATTTGGATCTTTTAGCTGGATTAAGATGAGTATTATTTGCCTCATATCGTCCTTTTTGATAGGACCAGGTGCTACGATTATGGGCGTGAGTTGGGCGCGGGATCGTGTTTTATATGGTTTGGGTAAGAAAGTAACGAAACCTGGAAACAAGATACAACCGACCTTAGCAAGATAGTGTTACACATTGGTAGCTTAGGAAGTAGACATGTTGGGTTCAGGATTTATAACTTAGGCTCAACGACTCCGTTATAGAATTAGAAAAGTACTTTTGGTGGATACCACGTCGCTCCCATATCTAATTTATCATAACCGCATCGCATTTGTGTAATAGTGATTAAGGGCGTAATGTTTTTGACACTGAGTAAGTCTGTAGGGGTGTGGAGTGTTGGTCCACTTAGAATAACAATTTTTGTGATAACGTAGGATGACAACTCATGCGCGCATGTTTTAGAAAGGAAAAAAATAAATTATTAGATACTTAGGATGGACATCACTGTTGGCATGTGGTATATTGCGCCTCCATGAGAATATCTCTTCGCCTGTGTATGCATCCATTACATTTGCTGGTATATGTAATTATTAAAAGATTGTTAGGCACCAAAAACTAGCGCGACCCGTTTCCGCCGGTTATCCTCCTCCCTAGTTGCCTTGTACACCCGTGTACCTAGCAAAAGGTAATTACCCTAGTATAACATTCTTTATTCGTTGTCTCTCGATGGATTCCCTTATATGCTTGTCGAATTTATAACGTGGTCTATCCGAAGCTAAAGGTTACCGCGGCCCTCGTTATGATCGTTACGCGGCGGCGCTGGGCTTCACGTCGAAAAGCTTCTTCGGCTAAACACAAATAAACTAAATTAGAACCTATTTTACGAAGCGCAACATTTAGAAAAGCCTGAGAATAACTCACGCTCAAGAAGAGAGATGTAATGAATCCAATCGCCGTAGTACCAACTAGGTAGTAAAAGGCCTCGCGGATTGCTCTGGTGATTTGATCTACGACTAACGCTCGATCGCTATCACTCAAACTCTTGTAGTAGGCTCCGCTGATACCGGTGACTAACTGGGTAAGATCGGATCGTGGGGTGTTCGGTAAGACTGAAGCGATATATAGGATGGCTTTGTTCTGGAAGATGGATCCCGGGATTGCTAGGGCAAAGATGATGCCGACAATCTGGGCTATTATTCGTCATTGAGTTAGTGAAATGCTCCTCCTTATTTGATCCTAGACCGCAACATACCAATAGTCATGACAGACACCACATTGCTTATTTCAGATGGTGGAGCAAGTGCCGAAGCCACGCCAATACCAGCACTTTGGAAAGCACCTATTCCGAGACCAATAAGTACTGTATATCCGTAAAGAGCAGAATTCGAGATGTTGGAGTCGATCGTTGCTGTTAATTATGGAACCACGATTAGCATCATACACCTCATGTCCAAGCTCAGAAATATGGGGGGAGACAGTGCATACTCATCAATGCAGCGCCGGCTATTAGCAAAGCGTTTCCGACAACGAACCAAGGCATGTAATAACCAAATTTTGGCATAGCAAAGCCATTGAACAGACAACCAAAAACGATCATGCAGATTAGGGGTAAAATACGAACACCAGCCATCAGGGGGTCGTCTCCTTTGGTAAACTGGAAAATTAGGGGCGTGTAGTAGATAGACATCATCATGCTTCCCGCCACCAGGAAGGCCTGGAGAGGGATGATTATTAAATCCTTAGTGCGCATGCAATGCACGGGTAGAAGCCTCAACTCGGAGGGGACGAAAGGGTGGTATATGGTGACAAGGATGAAAGCAATCAGCAGAACGACTGTCATAACCCAGAGAGCAATTTCAGATCCACTGTTCCACTCGTAAAGGGTGCCACCAAAACTACCAGCCATACAGAAACAGGCACATAACGCTGTGAATACTACTATTCCAACCCAATCCTGCATTCGTATCTTCTTGCTGAAAGGAGTGTCGCGCATGACATTGATATTCGGGAGGCTGAAGAGGAAAGCAGGCGAGAATATAGCGGCGATCGGAAGGTTGATGTAGAAGCCCCAGCGCCAAGTAGCGTGGCTAATAGCGAACGCGCCCCCCACTACCAAGTCTTCAGTTAGTTCTATATTCGATAATTCAGATACTTAACAGGTAAGGAAATATAACGAAAATTACAGGGAGAAAGGAATCTCCAAATATAAAGCGAAAAACGAACCCCTAAATAGAAAAAAGGTAAATTAGTCTCTCTCAATTCTTTTAGATGCTGGAAACTCATGAAACGTAGAGAAAAAGAATAAAAAATAGAAAATAATAAATAGAAAGGGAAAAGGGTACGAACTCTGGCCCAGCAATATTCCCGAGGCCCCAGACAGACATTAATATACTTAGGTAGAGCGGGCGTTCTCTCGGAGTAGTTAGAACGCTGATGTATGTTAATCCGCCTACGTAGACACCGCAGCCGCCAATTCCAGCGATAACTCGTCCGATAATGATAGCAGTCATGGTGGGAGCGGCGCCACAGATAGCGCTACCAGCCTCGAAGAGGATGAGACTGACGACGAATAGGATCTTCATGTTAAACATGCCGTAAGCCTTTCCACTGTAAGGTTAACAGTCAGTGTACTAGCTCGGGGCCGGGAAAAAGCGCAGGATCCGGTACGTACACGGGCAAGATGACGACTTGGCCAAGTACGAAGCTGACTCCGATCCATGCTAGCTCTTGCTGGTCTCCGAATGCTTCGACGATAGAAGGCTGTATGGTGGCGACCTGGGTGATGTTAAGGTTTAGATTGGGACAAGGAGCTGGCATGCGTGGTTGGGCTCACAATAGTATTATCCAGCGCAAAGAGTAGAACCTGGTATGACCAAACTTGTAAGCTTCAAGACTTCTCCCACAGCGAGTATATCGGACTATATTGGGTACTGACAGTTGACATTAGAGACGAGAATACAATAAACCACTTGAGGCCTCTTATGGTTCTCTTGGGCTCGGAGTCAAAGTCCGAGCCGGCGTTCTCATCACCATCTGACTTCTCGATGTCGCGGACGGGCTCGGAGGACTTTTCTTTCTCTGCCACATCATCGCTTTGGCTATGACGGTCATAAGCGGGTTTAGTCGTCTCATCCATTTTCAAATAGGTGAATCTTGATCTTGGGGTGTTGTTGAAATTCCTGGGTGAGATACGTGAAAGTAGACCCTTGAAGTTTTTATATTTCTTATTACGGCTCGGTATTGTGTAGGTACCTAAGTACCTGGGTCTGATACCGACTTACTACAGATCCGTAATCCATATTGACCGTTCTGAATTTGTAAGCGTTCACTCCGTACTTTGTGCCATCATGTATGTACCTAACTCTTCGGGGACCTGACGAGAATCCCCATACAAATGCAAATATGTCTGCATTATAAATCAAAATGGAGCATGAATCAAGTTTACCGCACTGTAGAATATGTAGATGTATCAATAATTTAATTGCTTTTAATCGACTTTAGTAAGTTTCGTTCTTTCATGACTGTATGAGTCCAGGTTGAGATTTTGTTATGGAAGGCTATGGTATCCGTACCGCGTAGGCAAGCTGCTAAATATGTGGGACCACTGCAGCTAGCTTAGCTGCATCTATACAGTGCCGGGGTATGTGGGGGTCCACTTCCAATAAATGATCGGGCTCGATCTTGAAAACAGCATGCGATTGGCCAGCCAGATTAAAACGGAAAGAAGATTAGTCCAATCATCTTACGAGTTCGGTCCGAGCTGACCGAGCCTAACTAATCTGAGACTAGCAGGGATACTTAGGTACTTCATCTAAAGCCTCACTCCGTAAACAAATACTCATTTTCAACTTCCTCCCCTTTTCTAACATTCTTATAGAGCCTAAAGGCTCGAAGCGCGGTAGAGGTAAATCATCGCGGTCAATGCTATTAGAACACCCATCCCACCCAGCTTGCTGGTTTTGACTCCGCCTCCCTCTTTTGAGACTAAAGTCTTCTTTACCTCATAATTCCAGGGCACGCGACCCGAAGGAAACCGACCCGCCTCTACAAAATTCAGTGTTGGCGCAGAGCTGATAATTGCCGACATTTCACCCACTAGCGACCTGTCTGGCAGCATTGGTAGTACCCAAAGGGCCAAAAACTTATACCATGGAGTTGACCATCCTTGCGAGAGGTTAGACGAGAAGCTGAATATGTGTCTCATGCGTTCCAAACGCTCGGCCTGATATCCAGCTAATGCTTTCTCGAGGGCCGATTTGCTTGGTTTAGTCCAATTGTTGTCTACAAGCATTTTCCGTAGGTGGTTTGTTAAAACAGCGACCGACTCAATGCCCGAATTTCCACCCAACCCCATATTTGGCATCACCTATTGTGCATAACATTCGATTAGAAGATCCTCGTACTGGATACGGGCTTGTCTATCCAACTCACCTTGTGCGCAGAATCCCCTGCCAGGGCTATCCTCCCATGATACCAGTGGTCTAGGACACCTTCCTCGAGGTGGACCACGCTCGCTCGCAATCGACGTTTCCACGCTTCCGCAAAGACTACCGTCTCTGTTAAGGGATGATCTGCCACCGATGCAGCCAATTCTTCCATATCTTGGTCGGTGAAGCGCCGCCCTCGTTTGGGCCACGGACAAGGCTCGTCTAGGAGGAAGTATACGGCGAAGAACCCTCGGTGCGGCGTCAACGTAAACATGTGAGAGTGCTTTGGGCCATTAATTACGTTTACTTCCGTAGTGCCCAGCTCTGGGATACCGGGAGTTACAAAGACGAGGCAATACCAGTTCGCTTTTATGGCTATTGTTAGGAGCTTGTTAGCGTCGCGCTTTCCCGACCAGCGATGTCGAGGGTGCCTCGATGAAGACTAAAGTGAAAATACTTACCAGTCTTTTCTTTCGCCGTAATCATCCCAGGGAACTGCCGATTCGCATTTTCCCACATGACACTTCTGACTAGGCTATATACTCCATCGCAACCCAGGACCAAGTCGCCCCTCTCAATCTCACCATTGGCCAGCACCACTTCAACCCCATCATCATCTTGTCTAATATCCTGTACAGGGCAGTTTGTTCTAACTCGTGATTTATCCGGCAAGGTATCGTATAAGTCCTGAAGAAATTTGGGCCGTTCGAAAATGAGGATACCATAACCGTGGCTGGTTCCGCACCAAATATGTAGTATTAGGTATTTGACTACAAAACGTGGCAAAAGTGACGCGGTTATATAGACTTACTTCTCTTTGAGATAGCCGAAAAAACCACTGTTCATTAACTTCTCGCCATCTGGAAGTCGGACAAGCCACCGACCTGGCGGAACGGTGCCTTTTTCCACAACGTTCAAACAATGTAATTGCTCGAGGATCCGCGACCCGTGAGGGTAAATAAATAGGCTCCCCCCTTCTGGCGTCGCGACTATTGGTCTTCTTTCAAGCACGACGTGGTCAATCCCTGCCTTGTGGAGCATATGTGAGGCGGCTACGCCAGCAATGCCGCCGCCGACGACAATGATGCGAAATGGGGACTCAACAGAAGTGGTCATTGCGTCTTGAAGCATATAATGTGTATCGTGTAGGTGATTCTTAGGCGCGGAGAAATAATGAGACTGTCGTGGGATTCTATCAAACCCTTTTGCGTTGCGCTGGACAACATTCCCATCGATGGAAGTGTGCCGGCGCGTCATAGTTAAAAGCTGCAAGGTTTCTCTTTTATCCTATTAGAATTGATTAATCATATGTATCGTGCGTTTTCAAATGCACATGCGATCTAGCACAGCATCGCGCATCGTCCGGCCCGATTGCCCCGTTCTGCCGGACATACAGTCTTCAGCTACGCCTCGGACCGAGTGGGATCTCGAGACGCCGTGCTGATACCATAATAGACTCCCGGCCGTCTTACATCTCTATGTTATCCCACGTCTAGATACTGCCGTCGCTTTGACAGCCTGGAATGGACACACCGAAGATGAATTAGAGATTGGCAGTGAATACGGATCGCGCCGCTACCGCTCACTGGCTGTTTATTACCCGCCCAGAGCCATGTCACACTGGGATCATTAGCATGGCATCTTCTCAAGGCGTTCTCTCTGTAATAGCAATAGCCACGCATTAATCCACTAAATAACTAGCTTGCTTCGACTCACCATGCAAAACGATCCAAGCCTCAAAGTGTCGCTGTTCAATTCTCGCACATTAACTTCATCCGATTTACCTAGTATTGAACGGTGTTTCCGGTTCCTCTTCTACGCCGCCGTCGTGCTTCTGTGGGGTGCTAGCGTGTTGAACGGGACGATCAAGGCCCTCCTTGTAGCAGCATGGGTTGGACATCTTGAGAATGGTATTCCGCTAAAGACAGCTTACACGGGTCTCTTTCTTCTAGATTACCCGTTGTCAGTCTTGGTGGCATTTTTCTTTCATGGGACGAGTGGTCGGGACGAAGGGTATTCTATCTTCCTCTTTGATCTTTACATAACCCTTCAACTGGGTTACCTGTGGTTATATGCGGAGTCTATCCGACCGGGGAAAAAGCCGATATGGGTTCAAAAGTAAGCCGGGATCCTTCTCGCTGCTACTGCGTCAACTGACACTAGACCATATATAAAGCCCTATTTACATCGCGCTTCTATGGCAAGCCTGTGGCGGCGCTGTAGCCATGCCCCTTTATTTTGGTGTCTACACCTCCTGGGCTTCGCGGATTAAACCCGCACAGATCATGGATATCCACAAAGCTCGGGCTCTACCAGTGACATTTGCATTAGGTGCTGTTGCTCCTATGCTATTCCTTATGGCACCGACGTGGCTTGGTCCAGAGGTCCGTTCCCCAACCACACAACAGTTGATAATCGCCGTCTTCCAACCTTCTCCGATCCTTGCCTCCCTTTTAACTAGCTTAGTTTCGCGTGCATCTGCATATTTAAGCGGCGCACAGAATATCACCCCGAAAATTGAGAGCCACGACAACGAAGCTAGCAGCTGGATCCAGCGAGCGTACCTCATTGGTGCCGCCGCCTCAATCGTCGGTCATTTCTACGTACTTACCAGGATTTTCATCGCAGTTGACTCAAATTTTGTAAACACTACGCGTATGTATTTGCCATTTCCAATTTCTGGGCCGGCTCATGTGACGGATGTACTCGCGCGGGGGTCATTCTTATTTCTGAAGTGGGACAATATTATTCTCGGGTTGGCAAATTTAACTTGGGCCTTGGTCCTTCTGGGGAGAACTCCGACTATAGGAATAATCTTGGCCTTTGCCATGTGGTCTATCGCGCTTGGGCCGGGTACTGTCGTTACGATAGTATTGTATCTTCGAGAGAGTCGTTTACCAAGGGCGAAAGATGAGATTGAGAAGGGAGAGTAGAACCTTGTATTTAAAGATTTCACTTTTTCCGAATCATAAAACCTCAAATAAAGATTGAAAGTACCTGACTCCTACGTTGGTAATTCGTGATGGATTACCTATGCCTATGTGTATCTAGGTTGGTAGGCAAGTAGTCCCTATAGCTACGGCGTAGTCAACTGCGGTCCCTATATGCTTAGGTACCTTAGTGGGGGAGGGGTGTCTTGACCTTACCCTACAGTAACTTATAGCAGGTACCTACCTACCTAGAGGTAGGTTACAATACATGGAGCTAGGCATATAGTGGTATCATCACATAAAGCTATGGTATCCATTGGAAATCATCATGTCGCAGATTTAGGGCTTAATATAGTCTAATGAAGAGTTGAATCTATATTCATAGAATTGCCTATTTATCAGGTATGTTTACTAGAGGATTTAGTAGGAAACCCTTCTCATCCTGCAGCCGACATGCCTCCATCAATGACTAAAGGGACCCCAGTGATAAAACTGCTCTGCGGGCCTAAAAGGAAAGCAATCACTTCAGCTACCTCTAAAGCGCTCCCCAAACGCCCTAAAGCCGCTGTAGGCCCTCTGCCATACATATCCGCAGACGCAGTCACTCCCCTAGCCTCAGCCACGCCTTGAAGCAAGGGGGTATTGATCAAACCGCTAAGATGGAATTAGTTTGGCTATTGTAAATTCTGAAACAGTGAAAAAAACTTACGGCGCGATAGCATTAACGCGGATTCCTCTGGGTCCTTCTTCCTTGGCTACCGTACGTGTTATTCCGATGACCGCGTGCTTGCTGGAAACGTACGGCATGTAGCCGCCTAAACCCATCAAGCCGGATAGACTGCCACCATTAACAATTGAGCCACCACCAATACCCGCGGTACCCTCCCGCATGTACGGTAACTCCGCGCGGAGACAATTGATGATTCCTTTGACATTTACACCCAAGATAAAATCGATCTCGGCATCATTGCTATCTCGACCATCGCATGGGCCAGCCTTTGGAAGAGTCACAACGCCGGCGAGGTTCGCTGCGCCGTCAATCTTGCGCCCCCCGAAATGTGCGACCGTATTGGCAATCCACTCATGACACGCTTCCTGTGACCGAACATCGAAGGAGGCGGTAAAAATTGGATCGGCGACTTCCGCATTTCCCTTTTTAGGAACTATTGTCTCCTGAAGCTCTGACCGGAGGCTTTGGAGGCCCTCTGCGCTAACATCAGATAAAGATAGCAGTGCACCATGGCTAGCAAGTAACTTTGCCGTAGCCCGGCCAATGCCGGACGCAGCGCCGTTGATGATAATGAGTTTGCCTTCGAAGGATGACATATTGTGGCTGGTTCTAAATGTGAATTCTAATGGCCTATGAATAGATTGCCCATTTATGCCACTCAGCTGACGGGAGAGAAAGAGAACTGACCATAGATTTTAACGACAGTGACAAACCGTCAAGGGCCCCGCGGCATTTCGCCCCAGACTCAAGCTATTCTATGCGCATGTCTGAGTGTCTAGCAGCATGTGAAATCAGCCGCATGAAGCGCATAGTAAGCGTTACCGGGGCAGTTCATTCGGGCCTGTATTATCTCGGACTCAATTTCAAGGCTTCCGAAACATTCAAACACAACTTCGGAACGGGCCGGCGGTTTGGTAACCATAATAGTTCATAAGAACGGAATTGCCGGACCGAACCGGTGAACGCCGGAGAGGCCCGAGATTCGGTTCAGTGGCGCCGCTATGACAATGCGCCTCTTACTTCAAATCTCACGCGTCTTACAACCCTATTCCCAAAATGCAAGTCGCATGACGACATAAATAACACCACGGGGGCTAGAAGGGGGGTAAAGGCGTTAAGATCCCAGGAAGAGCTATTGTGGTATTTGCTCTAGAGCTCCACCATCTTGAATATCAAACCGGTGTGGGAAAAAAAAGCAGCAGGATGTCAACGGAAGGCCTAGCGGGTTTTGCCGCACTGAAACCGGCTATCATCTCAAAAGTCCATGTAGACTTAGCTAAAATCCATCCTTTCGGTATGTGTTTGATCCAGCATATTAACAATTGGCGGCTTACTTACCGATATATATTAGGCACTGCACTTAATGGCTCCAAGCTCATTCATTTTGTACGTTAACCTTGGCCGGAACGCGTATGTGACCACTAACGCAGGGATATTTCTGTAAAGGAGTGCCCAACAGGTACTATTGAGAGCGTCCCGGGATTCGAGCCAGCTTTTAAGGCTACCGTAACGTTTGGTGGGGATTGGTTCTCCATGGACGCAGACGGGCAACACGGTCGGGTGGATTTCAAGGGGATAGCCGTGTTAGTAGTTCACATTGACTTCATGATTGAAAACGAATCGCTGACGTATAGGCGTATTTCAAGGACCGAGGATGGTCATCAAATTGACCTCCGCACTTATGGCATCGTCACAATGGGACCAGAAGCCTCCAAGGTCTTCAACTTGCAGCCGGATATGTGCACTGTCCCTTTCGGGTACATTCGTAAGTACTAACATGAGATTTTGTTGTCCGTACCTGGACGAGCGACTAATCTGACTAATATCCCCGTAGCTGCAAAGAGCGAGTATATAGTGAGCGATCCCAAATTGAAGTTTTTGGAGAGTAGTGTTCTTGTGGGAAATGCTCGTGTCATTGTTGATGAGACTGGGGTGACTGTCGAGAATAGGCAATCCCTAGTGCTAGCCACAGAAGCCGAGTAGCTACCTATATAGAGGGGGGTAACAGCTGTAGGGGTACAGCATTAGGGCAGTTTCGAATAGAATATAAGCTGAATTTACTTAACAGCCACACAATATCATTACGTCTTGGTAACAAAGCCGAATATATCTGGGCGGACATGTCCATGTATTGAAAAGATACCTCACGATGAATTAATGGTGAACCAATAATATTTTCAAATAGTCTTGCGTAGGGCGATCGTGTTTCTGAGATTAGAGTCCAAGTAGCTCTTAAGAGTGTGTGATGTTGTTTTTCTTAGATCTATTAAGATTTTAATTATGGGTGTTGGTTCCCTAAACCCACCTGGTTGGCGGGGTAGGTACCGTACGACGTTGAATTATTCACTGTGAGGGGTAATATAAGGGATGGCACCCGCTGAACCATACTGGTTTAAAACTTTTCTTGATTCATCATCAACACTTAATTGCCTTATACTATCTGCTCTATTGTACTCTCATATCAGTAAATCGCATTGCAGAACCCCATATCTACTTATATTCCATGCCGACAATAGTCTATCCTGTTATGGAAGTAGGCAAAATGGTGTTAAATCTTACACCTTGGAAGGCAAGCATGAAGACTGCTGCCACGCCTAGAACGATGGAGGAAGAAACTAGAGTGCGTGCAGAGCCAGTCTCTTTTTCATCAATCCACGGCATACTACCCGAAAAACAGCCCGAATCATCCACATAATCCAACTTGGCGCCAGCGCGAATAATCTCAGACACTTGGTTTGATATAGCCTTGTCCGCCTGTAGTGGGAAAACCCATGTGTCCACAAACTTATACCAAGGGGACTGCCACACTTGAACCTTGGTGACCAGTCTGCAGAGCTCGGCAACTTTCTTCACTGCGGGCATTCGCTGGGTCTTGTAAGCCTCGAAGGCTTGACCAAGCTCAACAGTGCTAGGTTTTCTACCCTTGCAACTCAAAAGTAGACGATTCAGATTGTTGCACAAGACTGCCACGTCCTCAATGCCGCAATTCCCACCAAAACCCATGTTAGGTGTTGTCTATTCTCAGTACTCAGTAAATTGGGCCATTGGTGAAGCTAAAATATGGTTGTGTTGCGTACCTTATGGACCGCATCACCGACGAGGACGATCCGACCGGCGTGCCAATGTTCCATAATTCCGTCTTCGAGATAGATGAGATCCCCGCGGAGGCGTTTTTTCCAGAGTTCACCGAAGACCATCGATTCCGAGACAGGGTGATCCAGGACAGTTTCCGCTAGTTCTTCAGCTGTTGGATCATTGGGGTTAGCCCTCTTAGGGAACCTAAACGGTTCATCAAGTTGGAAAATGAAGAAGAAATAAATGTAGTCCGGCTGGGAAAATGATATAAATGTTCGTCCCTTGTCTGATACCGATACCATATCGCGGTCGCCGAGGCCCCCAGGCATAGCGGGAGCGACCCCCACCACGGCTTTCCATTCTGTTAGGTAGGCTAAAGTCTATAATTAGCGGGGTTGCCTTTGTGGTTACCCGATACTCGTAGCGGCCAGAGCATACTCACACGTTTTTTCCTTCGTCGTAATTAGGCCTGGCGTCATTTTGTTCGCGTACTCCCACATCATACTTCTGACATTGCTGTAGGTGCCATCGCAGCCGAAGACTATATCGCCAGCCTCTACTTCACCATTGCTCAACGTTACCTTTACTCCGTCGGCAACATGCTCAACATCTGCCACTTGACAGCCCGTCCTGATTCGTGACTTATCTGGAAGTGTGTCATAAAGAATCTCAAGGAACTTCCGTCTCTCGAGCAAGATATAATTGTAGTTGAAACTTTTACCGTCGAAGTCAAGTCAGTATCTGAATCATCGCACCAACATTTGTGGCCCAGGATTCGAAACACGGTACAGACTCACTTGTCCTCGAGATGAAGAAAAAAGCCATTGTCCATGAGATTTTTGCCATCGGGTCCGCGATGCCACCACCTTTTAGTGGGTACACAGGCCTCCTCAACAGCCTTTAGACAGCCCAATTGATGCAGCACGCGCGTGCCATGAGGGTACATAGCAATGCTAGCCCCTTCTGGAGGTGCAACATTCTCTCTCTTCTCTAGAACTATATGGTCAATACCCGCTCTGTATAAACAATGTGAAGCCACAAGGCCCGTGACGCCAGCGCCAATAACGACGACACGAAAAGAAGACTTCGACTCTGACATTTTGCAAATAATTTTATTTGTGGTGAAGAAAGACGCAATTGCTGTTTGTCCTTCTACAAAATATTGATACTGCGCATCCATTTGTTTTCATTCGCTTTCTTACATTGATAGTGTATCGTTCCATCCGAACAGGTAGTGACGAGTATGGCGCTACCTTTTCGGGAACGAGCCTATCGATCGCCGATCGAACTGGACTATCCTCCGAGACACGGCTCAGCTCGGTTTGATGGCGACTATGATGCCCGTCGCCAAGTCTGCGAGTACCATGGCCCGGCCCGGACCGAACGTGGTTCGATGATGGAGACAAGCGTAAGGATCTGTTTGATAGCCGCAGCTTCACCCTCGTTTTCGGCGTTTATGGACTTAACTTGGCATCACATGATAGCATCTCACCTGCATGTACTCGGTTTCCAGTGAGCGGCTCTTCGTTTGATGTAACCAATCCCTCTGGTCCAGGGTGCGAATCCAACGCTACGGATGTTGACCCCTTTAGGGCTAGACCAAAACGTGGCCCAACCAGCTTGTCTTTCAAGCTGCTGGAGACCGGTAATCTTGGTGTAGCAGATCTTTCCTATACTTGACTAATCCTATACAAAAAAATATGCGCCGATAAGCTGTTGCTCGAAAAGTGTTTATTACCGTGCCTCGATAGGTCGTGACGACGCGTTAAAGTGAATTGTGAAGAAACCCCCGTTAAGGCGTTAATCTATTAAGATTACCCTTTACGATATGGTGCTGTTTGTACAGTGCTTGCTCGCTGTAATTAGAAGGGGCTGTGCACTATGACCGTCTGAATTATAGTGTTCATTACTACAATTATAGGGGCTAAGCTAGCTAGGGTCGAACTAAGGTTTTAAGGTTACAGTTAGCGTTAGGCTTAGAATTAAGGTCATTTTTAAGGTTAAATCTTTAGCGTCTAGAGCTAAGGTTGCCGCTAAACTCTACTAAAAATAGACACCTTACTCCTTATAATCTAGTAGAATTCAGCGCATAAAACCATCTCCCAGGTATCTATTTCAGCACTTCAATATTGAAATCGGAACATTATTACAGCGCATCGCTCCCCATGGTAACGATGTCCGACTAGTTGTTCAGACATACGCCGTAATCGTACCTATGAAGGGAACTGCCTGCTATAGCGTAGTGCTTCATGCCCTATATTCTTAAGCCATAAAGCACGCTGAAAATTAGGGTTTGCGCTATTGTTCACCGTATCTAATTATTCACAACGAGAGAAGTCAAAATAGTTGGATTACAACAAAAAAACGACGAGAGAATATAGTATTTTCTACCTATTCTAGTGATGCTGTAGCATATCTACCCATTTGAATTGATTTTCGGCTACGTGTACCATTCTTGCTACTAATCTCTAGACAGCCAGAGGAGTAAAGTACCTAGAACCGCCACAAATGTAACAAACAACATGACTTGCGACGCTGTAACTGGTGTCGTGTCTAGAATGGCTGACTGAGCGAATCCTGCCTGGCTCTTACAAGCCTGCGCTCTCTGATACTCATCGACCAGGCCACGGTAATGCTTTGGTAAATTTGGTAGAAATTTATCGGCCAGAAAATTAGATTTTCGCCTCGTCGCGACGCCCAAGTCGCTAAGTAACAAGTCGATATACTGCCAACTGTCAGCTCAGGTCTCTAGAAATGAAATCGGAGTAAATGCATTTGCTGAGAAGGAATACTTACGGAAACGAAATCGTATATTCCATATGAGTGCTTGCGGCCCTGAGTGAGGTATCTCTTTCCAGTCCATACGTTCCACTCGGCCACTTCCTTTTCCATCTCAGCCAGAGAGGGCACCTTGTGTAGGCCAAGAAGAAACGCGACTCCCCATAAAGCCTGCACCTCCCCAACCAAGGGTGTGTAGACATTGTGCATGAGACCCGGGAAGATAATGGAAGTATCGCCCTGGGAAGCCGGTCTAGGGCATACCATTCGACGATAATGCCGGCTTGGTCCGTGCGAAAGTTCCTTTTTCTCACCTGCGACCATCTCGTGGTTAATTGATTTCAGGTCCCGGAGCTTAACTCCCGGGTTTCGGAGGACAGGCAGCACATCGTCAACCGTTTTAACAGCTTTGGCTTCAAGCTGCGTCCACTTATCTGCCTCACCTGGGTCAGGCTTTAGGCCACATTCTCGTTGCAGGTCGCGGCTGAACGGATCCCAGTTCTTGTCAAATCCAGTACAGAGTACCACGTAGTCTGGATTGAGCGCAACGCCGTTCTGAAGCTTGACGGTATTATCAACTAAGGATTCTGGCTCCGACCTGTGCACGGTGCAATCCCCCGCGTGAAATACCTTCCAAAAATCTGGAACGCTGGCGCATCCTAGCCCACCGCTCGCCCAAAAGATACTGTTTATGGGTTAGCAGTTATAATATCAATTATCATAGAGCGACATACCCTTCACCGTGGGGGATAGGTTTCAATTTAAATGCATTGGGCGACTTGCTATAACCAGCGTGTGTATCAGCGATCCAATTGACGAAGCGCCAAAACGCCTTGTGGCACGTCTGGCCCAAAGCCGTTTTGTGGATCAGTCTGTAGCTAAGACCTTTCGTGGCCATAATACTAGCCCCAAAGGCTGCGAACGCCCTAGTGGACATAACATCGATCGTATTGACAAGACCGAATATAGTCGGTGGCATTAACGCAGCTGGGCCGGCTCCATCCTTGCGGATCACCCAGTCGACTTGTTTCCTGGCTTTTAGGAGGAGGAACACTGTATCAAAGGCGGACTTGGCTCCCCCCACTACAGTAGCTCTCTGGATCTTATCGAGTGCATCCAAATGCGCACCAGTTTCGACCGAGTGGATTGTAGGTATATGAAAATTCGACATAGGCCATGAGGGAACCACTGCATGTGAAGTCGGCCCAGAAGCGTATATGAGTTTTGCACACTCCACTGGGCGCTTTCCACCTGAGAGCTCCAGTCTCCAGCCGCGGCCTGGTAGGCGGATGATTTCGCAGACAGTTGTAGAGAGGCGGGATCTTCTCACAAGATCGTAAGCCTCAGCGAACTCGACCAGGTATCTATTGATGGTATCCCCTGGGATATAGCCATCCTTGGTGATACCTTCGCGTCGCATGGGAAAGAAGGAATATTCGAATTGGCCATATTTGACTTGAGCATACAAACTGGGATAAATCCTCTCTATTCTCCAAGCACCACCAATGGATTCGCCGTCGTCAATGAGAACTACATTGGCGTGTGGCTCGAAGTCAAGATACGTTTTGGCACAGATAAGACCTGTCCAGCCTGCGATAATAGTCAACACTGATTTGAATCAAAGTCCTACATTCGATATGGCGTACCGGTTCCCACCACCACACAATCTACTTGTTCAGCTTCCATGGTTATTGGTCGTATTCACGATAACAATCACGATATCCAAGATCAAATTGGAGTTGTAACACTACCGTCGCTTATACAATTAAAACTTGAATATTAACACAAGAACTACTTGTTACCTAGGCAGACGAGGTATTCCATTCATCTTCATCTATCATTGTCTAATAACTTACCAGCACCAAGGTCATGTCCCACATTCCAATCACCTACCTAGGTATATTACAAAAGTAGCTAGACTAAAATTCGGTCCCTTCGTTCCGAGTTGAGGGTGGTCTACCCGTAGGAGCGAACAATGTAGCTTTATGCTTATCCGCAGGTGCAAGGGTGTCGTCTCGGGTTTCCAAATATGCCGGCGATTGTGCCCCCCCATAGTAAGCATTCGCGGCGATGCACGGAGTGCATCTTGCATCCACGCGAAGGAATTGAACTAACACTCAACATCGGCCGAGCGAACAATAGCAACGGCGCGATATCGGCTTTCTCGGTCCGTTCGCATAATCCGACTGAGTGATCCGGAAGTTTTCGACGCGGCACGGAATGCGACGTTCGGTAGACATGCTGATGGGCTACTCGAAAATCCAACACCTTCCAGGATTTGGAGTTACGTTTCAACACCACTAGATATTCGGTGACGACGATATCTACCATGAGTGGTATAATAATTTGGATGCGTACATAGGAAAATAAAAAATGCAGATAGGATGTGCTGTACATACCTGGTGGGTCTTTGATTCTCTTCGTGAAGTTCCCAGTCGCCACCTCGTCGATTAGATCGGTGTCCAAAACCAATATTTTATTATACTGCATCATTCGCGTATTTGGCTTGCCTTAGATTACCCTACTAGCCAATCATGCCAAGCTTGATCATAGATTCAGAGCCCTCCTCGGGGGGCTTCTACCAAGCTACCCCTGGATCAAGCCCAAATTCTGCCTCAGAGGATGGGTATCGGCCCCAGGACCGACTAGAGCCAATCGCCGTTATAGGAATGGGTAAGTTTTACCAGAAAGTGACCAAAATATAGCTAGGCGAGAACAAGTAGCTGATGAAAATTCCTAGGTTGTCGTTTACCTGGAGATGTTGGGTCGCCCGCTGAGTTCTGGGACTTAATGATGAAAAAGGAGACTGGAAACACGCCCAAGGTTCCAGCAGCTCGATTCGATATTGACGCTCATTTTCATAAAAACAATGATCGTCCCGGAAGTTTCGGTGTCTTAGGTGGATATTTCCTCGACGGGGATCTCTCCGGTTTTGATCCCGCTTTGTTTAATATCACACCAATTGAGGCTATGTGGATGGATCCGCAACAGCGCAAACTCCTCGAGGTCGTTTATGAGGCATTAGAGTCGGGCGGAATAACGCTCGATGCCATCGCCGGGACTCGGACTGCCGTATTCGCCGCTAGTTTCACGGCAGACTTCCAACAAATGTCTTTCAAAGAGCCTTCCTTCCGCCACAGTTTAGCTGCGACTGGTGTAGACCCGGGTATAATTAGCAACCGAATCAGCCACGTTTTTAATCTAAACGGGCCTAGTGTTGTGTGCAACACGGCTTGCTCGTCATCCGTTTATGCTCTGCACAACGCGTGCAATGCGTTACGCAACCATGAGGCAGAGGGCGCTATTGTTGGCGGCGTTAACCTCATCATAACAGTCGACCAACATATGAATACCGCCAAACTTGGCGTATTATCACAAACATCAACTTGCCACACATTTGACGTCAGTGCCGACGGGTATGGACGTGCCGATGCTGTTGGAGCCGTTTATCTGAAGCGTCTCTCTGACGCGGTACGCGATGGCGACCCAATACGGGGTTTGATAAGGTCAAGCGCCACGAATTCGAACGGGAAAGCTCCGGCAGTAGGAATAACCTACCCAAACCGAGATGGACAAGCTGCTGTGATAGCGCACGCCTACGAACGCGGGGAGGGTCTCGATCCTCTAACCACAGGATATTTCGAGTGCCACGGTACCGGAACTCCAATTGGTGACCCCATCGAGGTAGAGGCCGTATCGATAGCGATGAACAAAGCACGCAAAGCTGGTGAAGAACCTTTACTGATCGGGGCAGTTAAGCCAAACATCGGACATAGCGAGGCGGCTAGCGGCCTGTCAGCATTGATAAAAGCCATCCTCACCGTCGAGCGTGGCGTGATTCCTCCCACCAGGGGTGTGGTGAATCTGAACCCGAAAATCGAGTGGGAGGATTGGCAAGTTAAGGTAGTCACAGAACCGACGCCTTTCCCAGCCCATCTTCCGGTAAGGCGGGTGTCAGTTAACAGTTTCGGCTATGGCGGTACCAATGCGCACATGATCGTAGAGAGTGCCGAGTCCCTGCTCAAGACGGAGCAAACATACAAATATATTGATAACCACGACGTGGATAGCCAACCAAGGCGGGTGCCTCGCCGAGCTGCCCACCGCAAACGACCTTTCTTGCTTCCCTTTTCGGCACACGATAAACCCACGCTACTGAAAAACATCGCTGCTCACGGGAAGGTCGCTTCAAAATACGACCTTCTCGACTTGTCATACACATTGGCGAACCGTAGGAGTGTTTTATCAAGTAAAGGTTTCGCCGTGGTCAGCTACAGCACCTTGGATGACATATTCAGCAACGCCGCTGCCAATTTCACAATCGCTGAAAAGAAGAAAACGAGGCGCCTAGGCTTCGTGTTCACGGGCCAGGGAGCCCAGTGGTCTCGCATGGGTTCCGAACTGATGCAAAATTCCCACCGTTTCCTCAGGTCCATTCGCCATCTAGATCATGTGCTCGGGAAACTACGGGACGGTCCCGCTTGGTCTATCGAAGATGCACTACTCGAACCACCAGAGAGTTCGCGGGTGGCCGAGGCGGAGTTCTCCCAACCTCTTTGCACCGCCATCCAAATCGCTCTAGTCCAACTCCTAGAATATTGGGGTATTCGACCGGCCGTAGTTGTGGGTCACTCATCCGGTGAAATAGCCGCTGCTTACGCCGCCGGATTAATATCCGCCGACGAAGCCATTATTTTGGCATACTTCCGCGGTATCGTCTCGCGAGACGTAGATACAGACGGCGCAATGTTGGCCGTGGGTCTCGGTGCGTCATCCGTCGCCCCGTACCTAGAGGGTTTTGGAGACAAAGTGGTTGTGGCATGCCACAATTCACCCTCTGGAGTGACGCTTAGCGGAGACACGGACGCATTGGACGAGGTCCAGAAAAAATTGGCGAAGGACGAAGTATTCGCCCGCAAAGTGAATACAAATGGAAAAGCATACCACTCACATCACATGGCACCTGTCGCAGCTAAATACGAGAGGCTCATGCGAACCGCCAAAAAGCGCACACGGCTTGGTTTGGCGCCCTTAACATCAGCGAAGATGGTGTCGTCTGTCACTAACAGCATCTTCCCGGAGGGTACGGCCCTCGATGAGACATACTGGAGCAAGAATCTCAGAAGCCCAGTCTTATTCAATCAAGCTGTCCAGACCATTTTAACGACGGATGAATTCTCCGACGTAGACCTTCTGGTCGAGATTGGCCCCCATTCCGCCCTAAAAGGGCCGGTCCAGCAAATCAAAACAGAGCTCAAGCTGCAGAGCGTAGAATACCTACCGACACTCCTTAGAGGTGCTGACAGTGCAGTCCAACTTCTGAATCTCGCTGGCGAGATATTCTTGAGAAGTTATCCCGTCGACATGGAGCGCATAACGACAACTTATAACGAAGAGCTATCCAGCGGCGGAAAGCTTACAGCTAGCAAAGGATCGATCATCGTGGACCTCCCTCCGTACCAATGGAATTATGCTCGACCGTTATGGGCTGAGAGTCGAGCCAGCCAGGAGCACCGCGCACCTAAATTCCCTCGACATGACTTACTCGGCAGCCGGGTCATTGGTGCGTCCTTAGCCGAGCCGACATGGAGGAACGTGCTTCGAACAAGAGATCTACCCTGGTTGAAAGACCATAGTTTAGGCGGAGAAGCGGTCCTCCCGGCCGCCGCCTACTTTGCCATGGTCATGGAGGCCGTCACTCAATTAAACGAATTGAGCTCCTCGCCCGTCGAGATCAAGAGCTACGCGCTGCGAGACATCTCTATCCAAAAAGCTCTGACAACACCCGACAACGACGAAGGTACCGAGGTGTTAACCAACCTCCGTCCATCTGCTTATGCTAGCGATCCAAAACACACCTGGTGGGATTTCGGTGTCTCATCGATTGACGCAGAAAATAATGTCAAGGAACATATGTTAGGAAGTATAGCGATAAACACACGTCCTCGCGGAAGTAAGCCCCGAGAGTTACCAAAGGCCTCTCGACGCGCGACCGGTAAAGCTTGGAACCAAGCCTTACGCCAAGTAGGTTTCGATTACGGACCGACCTTCCAAGATATGGATGACATACGGTTCGACGGCGAGAATTATTGGGCTAGCTGCAGCACCCGTATCAAGCAGCATGTCGACGAATCCTTAGGCGAATCTCGATATCCCATGCACCCCGCATCCCTCGACTCAGTGCTACAGCTTTGTATCGTGGCCATCCACGCAGGTCGTGCTAATGTCATGGACTATGGCGCTATTCCCATCCAACTTGAAGAAGTGACCATTTGGCCTCCGACCGAGGCGCAAATAGCGGACTCTAGGGCGACAGGTTATGCCTGGTGCGATCGGCGAGGCATCCGCAATTTCAACACTGGTGTTCAGATGACTGCGCATGATGGAGAACTCGTGGCAGAAGTTAGATCCCTTCATTGTGTGAGCTACGAAGCGGCCCTGCCCCAGAAGGCCCCATCTGTATTGAACGAAGCCCCTTTCGGCGAGATGAGCTGGGAAGTTGATTTCGACCAACTTAAAACATCCCTAGACGTCAAGGAGATGACAAGCTCAGAGTGGGCAAATTTAGCATTATTCAAATATCCCACGAGAAAAATTCTCCATCTCGGCTCACGCGATGCGCTCAAGATTCTTCAGAAGAATCCACGAGCTTCTTGTACTGTTGTGCCGACAATAGAAGATGAGGTCGAGTCGGTTAAGACGTCCCTAGCTGCGTTTCATAACGTAACGGTGACCAATCCCGATGAATTGCACAACCTTGGAGAAGGGTCATTCGACATGTTGGTCGTAGAAGCTGGAATGCATTCAGTTGCAGAGCTCTTTCCGAGTGCCTGGTTTGCGCTCAAGCCGCGCGGGCAAGCTTTCATCAACCATTTCGACGTCTTCGACAAAATCGACTTAAAAGATTTGGAAGTAATAGCCGAAACCGGCCTTGAGGCCAGCGTATGCCAAAAAGCATTACTCACACCGAACGGACACATAAATGGTGTCAGCCGTTCTGCTCAGCTCATATTTCGCGAAACCGAGGCGCCAATCATTTCATTAGTCCAACAAGCTCTGGAAGAACTCGGATGGGATATTGAAGCCTGTCGTTTGGATTCTGATACCACTTTCGATAATAGGAATTCCGTTATTATGCTTGCGGATTTCGAGCGCCCCCTTTTGCATACAATAGTGGAGGGAGAATTCCTCGCCGTTCAAAAGATAATCGATGCTGCGTCGTCGCTCCTTTGGGTCACGGTCGGTGGCCTCCTAGAAGGGAAATACCCAGAGTTTGCCATGGTAGAAGGCCTCGCTAGGACCATCGCGTCCGAGCAGGCATCAATCGACTTCCGGACAATCGATGTTGATCTCGAAAATACCACGCTAGAACAGGTTGCCGATTCCATAGTGGAGATTGCAGAGAACCAAGCAGCTCCGCCCGGGGGAGTCGTCGAGCGAGAGTTCCGCATTTCCCACGGGAAAAGGTATATCAGCCGTCTGGTTCGAAACAACGAGCTCAATACGCTCTACGTATCCGAAGGACCCCAACCTAAACCGTTTTCTCTAGGCGAACGCGTCTCTGGGAAGGTAGTTAGCGGCAAGGTTATCTTCGAGCAAGACATCGAAAAAACAACTGAGCCAGGCCATGTCGAGGTGCAAGTCCTTACCAGTGGTTTAACAAAGGAAGGAGTTCTTGTTATCACTGGAAACGACTACCCTACCACATTTAGTCATGAAGTCGGCGGAATCATTACGAAGGTCGGCCCTGGTGTCGAGGGCTTCAAAACGGGTGATAAAGTAGTCGGGTTCCACGCGGATAAATTTTCCAGCTATCAGCAGATCCCGGTTTCCATGCTGTGCACACTTGGCGACGGCGATAATCTTGAAGCTGCCGTTGGCGTTTTGACGACTTACGCATCGGCACTCTACGGTCTTCAGACCCTTGCAAATGTAGAGGCAAACGAGAAAGTCCTGGTTCTACCAAACACGGGCACAAGTGGCCTAGCAGCGATCCAAATTGCACAGGAAATCGGCGCCACCCCTTACGTGATAGCTAACACCACAAGCGAGGTCCAATTCCTCCGGGAACAACTTGGACTCGGCGTAGATCAAATTATTCTAATCTCGGGCGAGGTACCCGTCGGTGAACAAATCAAAAACGCGACGAACGGGCAAGGTGCAGATGTCGTGTATAGCTCTGGAAGCACAGATATCAATACCGCAGGTGAAGCCTGGCGATGTATCGCTCCTTTTGGTCGCTTCGTAGATGGCGGCCGTAAAGAAATTTTGCGACACAGCATCTTGTACGGCGTACCAACCCATAGGGGAGCCCACTACTTGCCGTTCGACATCCTCGGACTTTACGAAAGTCGGCCCGCGATCCTATCTAAACTTCTTCCGAACATCTTAGAGACGCTCAGACGGAAATCCGTCGTGCCTCTCGAAAAGCAATTATCAGTTCAATTAGGGGACCTCGACAAGGCCGTGGCAAGATTCTCCGAAGCATTCGATGCCCCAATACCCATTATCCAGTACGAACAATTTGCAACCCCTATTATGATGCTACCCACGCGACCTGAACTCAATTTCAACCCGGACTCAACATATCTACTCGTCGGCTGCCTAGGCGGCTTAGGTCGGAGCTTGACGTCATGGATGATGAGGTCTGGGGCGCGCAGATTCGTCTTCCTCTCACGATCCGGCGTCGATAAGCCGTCCGCGGCAAACCTTGTCGAGGACATCGAGGCCGCGGGAGCAATTACACAGGTAGTAAGAGGTGACGCTACCTCACGAGATGACGTCGTTCGTGCCGTCCGCGCCGTATCGTCAAGATACCCTATCAAAGGCGTCGTACACGCGGCTATGGTTTTACGAGTAAGTCGAGTCGTTAAACAGCACGTAACCAGGTGTAGGAGCTAATATATCGCTACGCAGGACGGCCTTTTCGGATCCATGACTTTCGAAAGTTGGAAAACCACCATCGAGCCGAAGGTAGTAGGCGCCGCCAATCTCCACTCCGTCTTGGCCAACGAACCTCTTGAATTTTTCTTAATGATGAGTTCAGTCTCCGGCATATTAGGTAACCCGGCGCAGAGTAATTATGCCGCCGCCAACAGTTATCTTGATTCACTCGCCCGCCACCGCTTCGCCGCAAATAAAGCGGCGACTTCTTTGATATTACCCATGGTATTGGAAGTCGGTGTCGTGTCTGAAAGTTCCGATCTAGAATACGCCTTAAAACGAAAAGGGATGTACGGTATCGACGAGGAGGAGCTTCTCGAGAGCTTTGAGGCGGCAATTTTATCGACAAAGTCGGAACGTGCCCCAGACCATATTGTTGTGGGTCTAGATCCAGCGAAGCTCCAAGCGACCGCGAGTGACTCTGCCGTGACTGACAGCTATTGGCTCGAAGACGCGCGCTTTAGTCAGGTCGTCTACGACATGAATTCAACAGCCAATGGTTCTGCAGGTGGTGGCGGCGGGAGACAGGACATCCTCGCAAACATCAAGGCTGCAGCTTCTCCTACCGAAGCTATAAATGCGGTAATAGATCATTTCAAGGAGAAGCTCGCTCGTATGTTGTTGCTTGAAGAGGATGCATTTGAGATTGATGTTAAGTCGATCGCGACATACGGGATCGACTCGATGGTAGGCGCAGAGCTTCGTAAGTGGATATTTAAAGAGTACAGTATGGACATTCCTTTCCAACAGCTGTTGGGGCCAACAATGACCATCAGCAAGTTCGCGCGTCAGGTGTGCGAGAGGCAGGGAATTACAGATTTATGAAGAAATATAGAATTATTGTAGATTTCTTGAAGAATAGATTATGTTTCAAGATCATATAGAATATGCTTTAATTCGAGTTTATGAAGCGTTATTGTGATTCTCTTTTTCGACCACGCACCCAGAAATTGAGGAATTAAATCAGAAACACGATCTTCGGAGGTCCGGGCCAATGGCGTAAGAGTACAACACAGTGAAAAACAGTGTGGGTTTGACGGCCAAATGCCCCGCACCTTTCAGAAATAGGCCTTGCTGTCGCTCGAGCCGTCGCGTCTGTCCCTTTCTTGCACTAAATAAAACAAACTCTAGCGGTTCTAAAAGCTAAAGTAGCGTAAATCATTCTAAAGATTATTATTTAAACGTATATACCCTTGTTATAGAAAATCGAGAATTTACCCAAGAAATCGCGTCGCTAGCCAACGACAGCCTCTCTTCCGACCACCCTTTACCACCCTAATCATTACCACCATCCAAACTTTTCCCAATGCCGTATCACGATAGCTCTACCCATTTACTTTCGAACGGCACCCTTAGTAACCTGCGGATATGTGTACGTCCCGTTACTTAGAGCATCAGTAGGCACATAGAACCGTACTATGAAAATATCAGTATTGAAAGTAAAGCCGCATACGATGTTACCACTTACGAATCGCCTTGAAGGATCCCGGAGTGCTTGGTGACGGGAGCCAACTACATATAATTAGCAAGAAATATAAATCATCAAGAAGGTTGGCTTACTTAGAGGTCCAGTTCGCAGGCGGTTGAGACGCCTGTATTAGGATATCGAATGGCGCGTCGCTATCCGTTCCATACACGACCGTTCCATCGGAGTAAGTCAAATTGCTCCGGTCGCCCAGTGAGTACCGGTTGATCGAGTTTGGTACCAACGTTCCTCGCGAGTCATACATCGTGACGCTCCAGAACCCGATATCAGTCACCGGCGGCTTTCCCGAAAACCGCAATACGTAGGACTCATTAGCCCCCAGTGAGAAACCCTCCTTGTACGTCGGGTAAAGAGCTTGATCCTTAGTTAGGGCAAGGTATCCGAACACCGCAGTAGCAGTTCGCGCGTCGTAGTTATCACCGTATGTCCCAACGAGATCAGGTCGAAGCATCGTCCATCCGTTACTTAGGTTGTTGATGAAGTCCGGTGACTGCGAATACTTAGTGATCGAGGCATTAGTTGCGCTAGAAGCCTGTGCTAGGTCGACACAATCCGGTTTTCGGTAGGTCCCGTCACTTACAATTCCAGCTAGCGAGAGGTTTGACGTGGTCCCCGCGGGCAAAACTGGTTGACCATTTCTTGGGGGTATCGTCTGATTGAAGCGCGCCATGAATGCGAGAAGATTCTCGACCACGACGCTCGACACGTTGGTAAACAAAGTAGCCTTCAATTCCGGGCCAATAGGCTCCCCGGACCGGGCTGTGGTGTTAGTACTGAACCTGCGCTGGATTTCATTCACTGCCCTAATATCGCTGTCTTGATTCCTCAGGACAATTCTAATAAGAAGGTATCCCAAGGTCCTGGGCGAGTATACAGTACCCTGATATGTTTCCTTGCATCCTGTTACTATCTTGCCAGCAGTATCCGACGTAACGGCAGGCGTGAGAAGGTATTTTCCTGCTTTGGTCTGCAAAAGAGAACCAAGATTGAGGAAGTTATCACCCTCGCTAGACTATGATTAGAAGGCATGACAATTTCAGAACATGTGGATCTTCTACTCACGGGGTATAGAACGACACAGCATAGTATCTGTTAGGATCGACCTCTGGCACCATAACTATCAGATCATCCCGCGATATGTCGTACATTTGGCTCATGTATAACGTATCCACATTTGGGCTTACGATCGCGGTCTGGTTAGGTGTCGCCAACGCGGTGTTGGCGTATAGCTTGTTCGCAGGGAAACCTTTCGGAAGTTGACTAAAAGCGTGTGCATAAGAAAGCAAGGGCTCGCCGTACTAAGTCTCGTCAGCATATCATTTAACCCGGGGATATTTTTCATCGTTTCTTACCGCAATCGCGAACTCTGTAGCCGCTTGGGCCGGGCAAGCGGTGTCTTTGGCGACCACTCGAGCCGTGGCAACCCCGGCGAAAAATGACGCTATGAAATTTGCCGTCTTCATCTTAATAGTCCGCTAATAAGTGAGGATTGATGATGACTCCGACGCTGCGTACTGGGACAGAATTGAAAGGGTATCAGAGCTGCATATATAGCCCTTCTACATGTTTCTTATTAAGTCATATTGCACTCATCAGGTTGAGTGAACGAGTGCGAAGCCATACCTGGACCTGTTGGTCACAGCCCTAGGCTTATACCAGAGAGATGATCGTCGTGTAGCTGACGCCTAGTTCGTCATAGCTCATGGCAAAGCTTGTTGACAGGGTCCTCTTCGCACTCGTTCGGCTCCACACAACGAATTGAGGCGCAGGGATCGAAACCAACACACGATGTTGTGCCAATTAAATCAATATGCACCACGCGAGTTCAAGCGACGTACTGATCTCACCCTAACAATTTATTGCCTTATGAGTGCAGCTGATATTTATACGCTATATATATCTTAGCAGTCCATTCCTAGTTGTATATGGTTATTTTGACATCACCCCAGGACACAGTGGCGCATAAACACTCATACGCGCGTTCCAAGAATACGAGCTAGCATTTGAGCCGACTCACAAGGAGATATCGAGATTAGATACCTTGTCAGTTCACGATATCTTTACATGAAAAAGTATAAAATTAAGTCGACCGCCTAAAACCATAAAAGAAATCAATTTGTTATTGTTTAAGTCAAATCAAAATCTTCTTTTTAATAAAAAAAAATAATAATAAAAAAAAGATATCATCGAAGGGTAGAAAAGGGGCAAATTTTTGCAAAATAGGGGTATGACCCAGCGAACCCCTCCCATCATCAACACACATATTTCAATCCACTTATATATCTAGGTAGGTATAACAATATTAGATTGAGTCAAGATGGAGATGCTTGATATTCTATTCTAATACGTCTTAAGAAGTTGTCCTACGCACGTTCTGACGCCACCCCTATAAGCCCCCGCATCCCGTCCAGACGCTACTTCTCGGTCCCATCATGCTACTCCCCATAAGGCGACTCAAGTCGTAGCTACTTCCCCAGGCTTCCCCTTAGATGCGAGACAGCTTCCATTACTCCGTCTAAGCAAGAGTGTCGGAGAATGGACACTGGACGAAGGCGCTAACGAATGGAATACCCGCTTGAACACACTGGTCAACCTCCACCAAATATGCGGTGCTCTGGCACTCGGAATCCGTGTAGAGAGTAACTGTCCACCATTACCATTAGCTTCCAATACTTCTTGATAACAGCGCGATTCTAAATTAATTTCTTCGTCACGTACCGTTGCAGTCGGGGTAAATAGTAGTCGGCTTGTAGCTTAGGATGTCAGGGGTATTGTCATTCCTATCTAGTGGCTGACACCTCCCGCCGCGCCCAAAAATCTGCAACACGGAGCGTCAGTAGGTGTCATAACAGTGAGTTTTTAAACATTCGAAAACATGTCCTAGGAGCGAAAACCCATATGTTGAGCTAACATAAGAACCCCCTTCCGGGAAACCGGTTGAATGGATTAATCAATAAGTCTGAAAATTCCATACTGGATCCGCCCAAACGAAGCTTTCCGTGCCGCAGTCCGGCCCGGAGTAAATCTCAGCGACGGTATTGTAGAAATCGGGGTCGCCAGGCGATGAGTCTATATTAATAGCTGCGACGGACAAAGCAAAAACTAGTGAGTAAAACATCTTAGGGCCCAACATCGCGTTGCAGACTACCTAGATTATATATACGACGGTAGATTTATCTCTGAGTAATTGAAAGAGCTCTTTGAAGATATCTTCGTCGTCTGTCTAATCACAATTTAAAATTAGCACGGTACAGCTTAGGTAGTCCAACGTAACTCATGCCCACGAGGCATAGGAAAAGGGTGCATGAGATTACCTTAGATACCTAGGTAGGTAGGGAGGTTAGATATGTAGAGAGATACAGATCGAAGTAATGTTTCCTACTCGCGGTTCTTCTTTATAAGAATTTAATAGGAATATCAGTGCATGATACCCATGAGTTATCGTAAGCACTGGTGGAAGTCCACATAGAATTAACCGGCGTCATTAACCGGTCGAGATATCCGCCGTCCGGCGGGAGTTCTAGATGCACTTAGGCTGCTTAGTTTGTTGCTTAAACACTCGATAAGGATGTGTTACCTGCTGTTATAGACATCTTTGAGAGTAATCATTTTCCTTGATTTTTCTTGATTTTTCTTGCCTGAACTTCTTCGTCGGTGTATAACCTCCCACAACTTTTACAAACGTCAGTTCCTCCAAATCGCCCCCCAATCATTTCCACCTTCATATCAAGTTTGCGAGTGTCCAATGGGATCCAGTTACCAATTTGTTTAAGGAAGACAATCTGGGGTGGAGAGGATGCTCTTTTTGCACCCTTAGAGTCCCCTCCAGGCCAGGATTCAGGATAGTCCCTGGTGTTAGACGATAGAAAGAGTATCGCATCGGTCTTCTGTCGAGTTTGTTTCTGTTTGTGTAAGACTTCATACGGGAAATAGTAAACATCGCGATCGAGGGAGGATTCGGGTAAAAAAACCGTGCCATCATTTTCATGAACCCCGCTCGATGTCTTCCAGTTTGAATCTCGCATCTGGACCGAAAGGAACAGGGGTATGCGAATAATGCGTAATGCCCGGTCATTAATCGCCATAAACACGTAGTCTTCAGTCCAGGTTAGTGTATAACCTAGAGTAGGCCGGAAGGGTCCTCGATTACTCCTCTTGATGCCGTGAGGAAAACTAAAGTCCTGTTGATACACCAAACGCGGTATAGTTTTGATTGGCGTCCTCGCCGAAAGCCTATGAGTTGTGACTGTTAGACCGAAATGAATGGCAGTGGTGTTTTTGTCGTCCCCTTTCAGGTTCTCGTGATCCTTGTATCTTTCATGAGGGGTTAATAGATCACATATGTGGTTTTCTCTGATTTTGTGAGACTTAATTTTGTGACAAAGGTCTCCGTATAGAGATGCTAGGTGTATGTATCGACCACAAGCTGAGTATTTTCCTTGAATCGAAACTAGACATCTCTTCGAGTCAGTCGCCGGAAGCCTCAGCTTGAAGTAGCTTCTATTCTTGAAGTCCCCGAACACAACTTCTCCCTTTGCGGTTGGCCATGCGAGAAGATCTTTATGAGGATGAAGTATCGGCGGAGAGTCGATCAACAAGCCTTCTGAGTGTTGAAAGAAATGAAACACTTCTTGTATTGCACCCGTCTCAGAGTCGGAGCGAAATACCCGTACATCATTGATACGGTCTTTCAGAGGTATGCTAGATTCATTAAGCTGAAAAAAACGACCCACCGTCTTTCTCCTATTGTCGTAATATGCATCGCAAACTTCGCAGTATGCGTCTAACCTTATGTTTTTGAGGGGATGGAAGTTTGTAATCGACAGCGACCTAAGAGATGATATTTCGAGGTCTCTTGATCTGCTTATATTTCCTGATGATGCGAGTAATGACTTAGAAATATTACTATGACTCCTGCTAAGCGAACCTATGTGTTCCTCCAGTTCAGATAACTCGTCGTTTCGATCGTTGTCATTGTCGATCTCGGACTCGAAGGAATCGTCATCTTGTAAATTCCAGTCGTATAGATGAAACCCATCGTCAATTTCATCCGAACGTACAGAAGACGACCCATAGGCCCAGTACTCAGGTATAGAGCATGGACCCGGGCGATCCAACTCAGCTTGATTTCTGAGAAAGCCTCCGATCGAGGCTCCAGGTAACGGCAAGTCCTGCTTTAGCATATAGTGTATATCATGGCAGCTTGCTGGGAATTATACCTCATCTTCCTGCACGCTCTCATATGAGCCATCGTCTGAAGCTTCATCATCAGTATCCACTGAACTAGAGTCACTGCCGATTGGCGGAAGATTTGCAGATACTTTAGGGTTTTCATTTGCTGTTTGAGTCCCGGAAGCTCTACGGTGAGAAGCAAGTATAACGATATCGAGCCTATGAGCAAGCTCATGGTATAACGCCATTTCCCGAAATCGGTTGAGTTGGTTGGAAATTGCCGCGTTCATCGCGTAAATAAAGCGAGGAACCGAGTCGAAGAAGTTTGCCATCATCTGATATCGTAATAAACGGAGCGTGAAGTGTGCTATTTTCGGTTAGTTGCTGTCGATATAATTCAATTTCGCTAGATGATACGAGCAGATTTTGATTTCTTTTCAGTTTTGGCCGATGGTTTTTGTTGAGGGACCACTCTTCGCATGTGACGTGAAATCCTCGGATATCTGGTGGTCTATGAAGGATTTAGCACAATTAGAATATTAAATATAAGATGGCTTATTACAACTCACTGGCTTCTTAGTCACAAAACTAGTATCTCCATCGACGGAAATATGAGCTTATCATAGAGTAAAACGTCCCTGTTAGCACACCCTGAGCCGGCCATTTCAAGGGCATAACTCTTGAATTTACTAGGGAATCCGTGCATGAAATTTGACGTTCCCAAAGCCCCCCAGAGGCATTGGTCAATCTGTCCAGGGAAGCGGCCCGTGGCATGCGCGTGATATGTCAATAAATACCCCCATTCCGTGATGGCAGAGCAATATTGCATATATAATTGTTCGTCGAACCATTCCGGAAAAGCCTGCCGAACGACTCGAAACCAGGTATATAAGTATCCTTATTTTATGGTTAATACGTCACTTTGCGGGGGTCCTAAATTAGGAGTGTTTTATAGATAAGACTTACCTGTGAAAAAGAAGCTCTGTATCTGGATACAGGTTATAAAATTCGGCGATCTGACGAAATCCTCCACGTCTTTTCCTTTCTCGGGAGTAAATTCCACCATTCCCATATGCTGACCCCAGTATCTAGCGCAATATAGTAGAAAATGATGGCTCAGTACGTTTTCACCACCCGAAGTTGTGATATATTTGTCGTTTGCACTATTAAGTAAGTGAGAGTACTGCGGCTGCTGAAGATATCTCAGACAGGCGTCCGCTAGTATACTAGGATCTATCTCGGTCTGTTGGAGCTCTCATAAGTTAGTATCTGTAAGTATCCTGCGGTTATGCAATAGAAATTCCTTTACGGATCCGTGACACAAAGTGCATATCTTCACTGGCACCCCGTCTCTGATTATCTCGTCCACACGAGTCAGGGGAGCGTAATAATATAGGATTTTATCCTCGAAGACTTGGTCCTCATCTCCGAGATCCTCTCCGGGCTCCAATTCTAAAATGGCAATGACTTCGCTAAGTTCTTCGACAGACAGTGGGCGCTTGGCATATGTCAGAGTCGATAGAATCTTTCTGTATAAGCGTTAGTGTGGCAGGCTTTCGGGATATAGTACTACCATACGCTACTAGTGGGGACCCCTTCAGATCTCGTACTTGTTTTGAGAGGTAAGCTTCAAAATCTTCTGGGAGACCTTGTTTGATCTTCCTCCGCAGGTCTTTAATACTGATAGCGTCGGATATTGACTCAACCATCATGCTAGCCCAAAGGAAGTTCCCGTGGACTTGCGCTTTGAGATCACTGAGAATGGAAGCCGCAACTCGCGTTATAGGCGCAGAAAACATGCTTGGTAATCTTACCCGAAGAGTTTCTTCACAAAAGGCTTCAATGTCCTTGCTGTTGGTCGCCTCGTCTATAACAATCCCTTGGAATTCACCTAGTTCACCGCGGATGGCCGGCCAGTCCTGGGAACTAACCCAAATTTTAAGCCGCGCATCAGGTTGCCGCGCAAGATTGACAAGAAAGCCAAGGACTCCCCGTGCATCCTGCCAACGTTTTGAGGGTGTCTTTTCTTCATCAATCCCATCCAGGAAGATATATGTCTGTCTCGACTTCATGACTAATATCTGGATAAAAGTTCTGAGTGCGTCTTCCATATCAAGAGATAAAGTGAGGTCGATGAGGAGATCTGATATATCGTCGGGCCCGACTAGTTCGTGAAAAAGTTGAGTCGCAATATTGCGATACGTGTTTGATGAGTTAATGTCGTCATTATCGAAACTGTAGTAATGGAAAGCGACAGCAACCTGTTGGCTTTTTGATCGGATTTTTGCTTCCGTCACGGCTCGGGCACACATAACGGACTTCCCCGAACCTGGATCGCCATGAAGCCAAATGGTGCTGAAATATGGATTATCTCCATCAAACCATGCTTAGAAAACTGGATTCTTGATAAGCCAATCCCCCGAGACAAGTCGAAGCATATCCCTAGTACGCCGATGCCTATAGCTACTCTCATTCAGCGTCGTTAGGCCATCCAACCATTCATCTATCTTTGCTCTTCGTTGTTCTTAGGTGTTTTTCTCAGTTATCGGCTCAAAATATTGATAATCATTGAATACATACCGTTGATTTCTTCTTTCTTGAGTTGGAGTAGCTGGCTAAGATTGGCTTCGGCTTTTCGTTGCTCGTTGATAACATCTTCACGTTCTCCCCTTCTAATTCTCTCTTGTACGATGGGGACCATCCTAGCGATTCTGTCCATGCTGTCTGAAATCTCTTCGATTACGCTTTGCAGCCTCCTAATGGGATCGGAGGTAATTGATTTCACGGCTAACCTAAGCGCTATCGAAACGTCAGCCTGCTAATTTGTAGTAACACTTATGAATAGAATCATTACTAGAGTCACATAGGTCTTCAACCTTTGCCCAAAATTGTATGATATAGGCGTATGAATGGGCAAGTAATTCTTGCATAGGAACAGATTGCTGAAAGAGCTCTTCATATTCTTTCAAAAATTGTAGCTCATGTGCCAATTTCTTCAGATAGCTCTCGATCATCTCGAAAACCGTAAAGTATCTGTTGAAGCACTATTCGACTTAGCTCCGCCATTCCTTTCTGGTGCGAGGAGTAGCTTCATTATGTCTATAATAACCTTCAAACCTCCCCAGATCAGAGCCGACGGCATTGGGTCAGCGGATACTACATATTCAATTAATATGAGCAACGAATTTGAATTGCTGTGTAATAATACCTAAAGTTGATACAATCGCATTATAATCGTGAACGGCGTTGAAAATTAAACGGAGGGTTTTCACAGACCCTCTTCGATTCTTATCCTGCTCTACATTCATTAACAATGCATTAATATTGTTAGCCGTATCTAACTTGTTATCATTTTGGCAAGACTGGATGAACCTCGGCTGGCGTTTCCTGCTTGGTTGGTGTAGGAAAGCCTCGATCGCGCGACTAAATGGAGTTGTAGTACTGTCCATGATGGATGTGCGCGATATTGGTGTTGTATCTAGATCGAGGTACGCCTGAGGTACGGTATAGCATTATTCGCAGGGGTTATAAGTTTTTCCCGAATTCTCAGGGCCGTACACATAGGTTTGAAGTGGGTGTACCACCTTGCATGAGTACGCGAGCCAGTCAACCAATTGTACGTGATGCCACTATGCAGGCTGTAAGCCGGTGACTTGGGAAATACTGGCCTGCAGGTTTTAAACTTATATCCTCACGTAGCACACCTGTCAGCGTCACACTCACCGAAATTTCTAGGCAGACATTCCCCCGCAAGGCTGACCAGTTCGCCCTTCTGGGTGCCTTGAATCCTACCTATGTACTTAACAGCTTAATTACTGCATTTCTCTAGGCATGAGTTTGTCTGGCTTCTATATCTTTAATATTGTTGCGTGTTACTTTTCTATCCACAATGTCCACCAATGATATCGAAAAGCAAGAATCAACGTCCAAGAGGACAATACAAGTTGACCGTATCTTCAGTAGGTAAGTTTATCAAGCAAGCTTCAATGTCATTACATGCACTAATAAATATTATAGAAAAGACTATCAGTGGCACTTCGTGAAGTCGAAACCCCCTTCGAAGGAAGACAGGTTCAAGAAATACGCTCTAGTCGTGCGACGAACAATCCTCTTCGATGGAACTCCAGGGAAGACTTTTGTGGAGCTCAGGTCTTCACACTTAGCAAAGGTATTTCGTAGCATTCTCAAGGGCGTTGAATGTAATGGTTTACGTCTGAAACCACCGACGGTGAGCGTCCCCTAGGCTGCGGAATATTTTACGAGGTACTTGTCTAATGCTGAAAAAAAGTTTAAAGTAGAGATACTGTTTCTTGTTGCTCCCTTATTAAACGCTCATCTAGCTGAAGAAGAGGACAGGGGAGTTTTGGATCTACAAACTTCGGATGATATCAAGGAGGTCCTCACATTCGTGGATTCCTACTATGGCCCAAAGAAACAAGAGATTGAATCCTTTCATGCGAATGGTGAGATAATCTATGAATACTTATGGACGTTGTTCCCGCCGGGTTGCGAAGTCCTTCAACGGCTTGGGCTTAAGAACGAATCTCAAGCATTGAAATTCATTAGTGGCTCATACGAAAATAAAAAAACACGAAGAATATTATCTAATTAGGGCTAGTATGATCAATCACAATGGAGACAAACTTGGTTGGGGGGTGGTCAAGCTTAAGATTCCAATCTTTAGCCAGGCGAAACCTATCACTAGTCTACCTGTTTTCCCACTCAAATTTTGCCTACATGGATCAAAGGTGCAGCGAGATTTGAAGGAGAGGGGGAAACGATACCTAGATTACTCAAAACCCACTTGCAGAGAATATGATGGCATAGGGGTCGAGATGAAGCTTGAAGGCGATAACTGGAAAGAAAAGCGGTTCTACACATCCGGAAGAGTTATGATTGATCCAATCACCTTTAAAATGAACTGCCCAGACAGTGAACTTCTTGAACTGGATATAGCGGAAGAAATCGAATCGGACAACGTCACAGATGATGATCTTATCTTCTGTAACCATCGCGCCCTCGGATTCAGCTTTGCGACAAAAACATGGGGAGGTTTCGCTGTTTCCAAGTTGCAGGAAGTGACATGGGATATCACAGCTATCGATAAACTCATCATTGATGGCAAAAGGCGACATATAATAACGTCCCTAATCAAGGGTCATAAGTCCGATCAGTCCAAGTTTGATGATATCGTCCAAGGAAAAGGCAAAGGCCTTGTTGGACTTTTCAGCGGTCCACCTAGGACGGGGAAAACCCTTACAGCGGAAGTTGTGGCCGAAATGTCGAAGAGGGCACTCTACACAGTTACAGTTAGCGAGCTGGGTACTGAAGCGAAAGGCCTTGATGAGTCTCTGGACCGCATTATGTCGACGGCTCGTCGGTGGGGCTGTGTTGTCTTGATTGACGAAGCTGATATCTTTTTGCGTAAACGAAAAGACGATGATAAAGGCCAAAATGCCTTAGTCAGCGTGTTTCTACGGAGATTAGAGTAGGCGAACACATACCTAGATACTTGCAGAAGAAGTGTTCAAGCGCTCACAGTTCATATAGGTACTTTCACGGCATTATCATATTGACGACAAACCGTCTGAAAGATATGGATGATGCCTTTAGGAGTAAGTTGAATTCTCGTTGGACAATTCAATATACTTACTGGTTTTGAACTTGACGTTAGGTCGCATTCATTTCAAGTTCCACTATCCACCACTCACCCATAGCGACCGCGTTGGGATCTGGAGGAACTTCTTGCCAGGTTTTACGGAGGCCGACTTAAATACTCTAGCCCCCATTGAGATAAATGGGCGAGAGGTAGTAACCCTATATCATTCTCTTTGAGAGCCGATTCTAACAGAAGGCAGATCAAGAATGCGGTCGCGTGCACAACAACGATTTGTGGGGTTATAGAGGAGCCTCTGAGCGTAGGTGCACTTAAAGATTCGCTGGAAACCTATGCTGGTTGGGAAGAATCGCAGGAGTAAACGATTATTTGATTCTGATTGCGAGGGATTTCTTTAGAGTGAATTGGAAAAGGAATCCGTCCGAATCGAGACCCGCCCCCTCATGTATCTGCCTACCTAAGACATTACTTAGGTACTTGAATATCTTCTGAAGTGAGACGAATGTTTTTTTTTATTTCTTTTAGCCCATTGAAATAGAGCCAGTAGCTCTGTTAGCCGATGTAGTTGACTCCAATAGCTACTTCTTAATGTATATTATAAATTCGCAATGAGGTAGTAGATGAATTCGTGAAGGGAACGACGATGCGGCGGGGTCAATATCCTTGAACATGGCTAAGCGGCGCTTGGGTCAACGTAGAGTTCGATGTCCCGAGAGATCCGTGAAACGGATGGGCACTAACTGCATTCTATGCCTTCGCTCTTTCATCCCTAATCAGAGAGTCAAGGATAGCATCATCACGGTATAGTTTAAGAGCGGCTTCCTTCCATTCTTCATACGAAGAAATGTTATCGTCATCATCGCCAAAGCACTTGCGAAGGCATTGAAAGAGTGCTTCGAGTTCTGTTTTATCGGACGGGACACCGCCACCAAGGAAGAACAAATAGCGCTGCCATTTTCGGCCTTCTAGCACCAAACCAGCGAGATCCAGCCTATCACGCCCGTTAAATATCCACGCGAATTCTATTTCGTCATCCGATAAATTAGGCTTCCCGTCGTAGAAATCTTCTACCGGCCACATCATACATGGCGAGCTGAACGCCAAATCTTTGGCTTCGAAGGATGCAAATTCCCAGTCGATCACGCCTGTAATGTTGTAATCATCGTCGTAATGCTTCAAGTAAAAGGGACCGTTCTTGGAAGCGGAGGAAGCAATAAGTGCCTAAAGGTTTGACAGACGCCACTTGAAACTCAGATAATTGTCCACAGGGAGCTTCGCAATTTCCCGACCGTCGAAGGCTTGCAAATGCCAGTTGATTATTGCAATGTAAGCAGCCTCGAGCGTCGAGAAATGTCCCAGGCCTCTTTCCGGTGTCTCGAACCAAGGCTCTCGAACAAAACCGCCGACTTTGATCTCATTATCCAAAAAGTCCGAAGGAATGGGAGATCCCATTAGCCAAATGGGATACTTTTCAAGTTCTAGGAATATATCGGCCAACTGTTCCATCACCTTGATCCGTTGCTGCGGGCTCGCCTCATTCCAATCGAGAGGACTACCTTCGAGCTTGCTCATAAGAACATACGAAGTTCCAACAGGGTTATCAGGGTACTCTAGTTGATAAGAATGCACACGAGGAATAGGCACCGAGGTTTGCGCGAGAAATTTGAGGGTCGCTACCTCGCTGAGGAAAATATGGCGCTGGGCACTCGCTGGAGGTAAAAGAGGATCCTCGAAGCTCAATAGTACAATCCATACCACGCCGTCCTCAAATTCGATGTCGAGGTGGCAATTCTGCCCACCGCTCTGTTCAGAAGCGAGATCTACCCGGAATGCTGGGTCATTGTTAGCATCAAAGGCTGGAATCCAGCATTTAACTCCATTCCGGGCATCACTCGCAACGGGTCTGAGGGCTTCGATATTGATCTTGTCTAATAGCGCGCTGAGGTGGCTTTTCTTAGCGACAGTGTATGCGGCAAAATAGACGTCAGGGTCGCTTTCCTACAGCCAACGCGATAGCATGTTGGTCAGTGCAATAGAGAACCAGAGGGACGGTCCACCTCAGAAGGACATTGATGATCCTCAAACTCAGCATGCTTGAAGCACCAGTGTTTAGAGCAAAGCATGCAGCTTCCGAAGCCGCGCGCCGCCGGGTAGCAGCATCCGTCGCGATCGCATTCACGAAGAACCATCCTTGCCACTACTAGGCAGAGGAAAAGTAAGTCAGCTGCAGTGCGGGCTTTGTTAGATGAGCATGGCGTGCCAATATGCGCCCTGTGTTATATTTTGCTTTTGGGTAGCCATATATCTTAATACATAGAGCAGGCTCTGCCGTCGTTACACAGGAACTTAGTCCGTTATATTATTCTTGCTCCGGTGTGAATCAATCACCCGCTTCGTTTTGTCCATAATCGCTTGCTTGAACAACCACCCAGGCAGCCAGGTACATTCAGCTGTATCTGGGTACTTGCGTATGGCAATTAAATCCTTGCCGTGTCGCAGGTGTGGGGAATATTTACCAACCACCTAATTATGAGCCATTCCAAAGTCCAACATGCTGGGGACTTATGAGATTGACGAACTCTGACACATAAATAATTATTCTAATGCCACCGTACCTATATATTAGAAAAGAGTCACGCGATCCCAACGACCGACGCAAAAATCTTGGATGGAAAGTCTTCTACGATTTGTGTCTTGGCTAACCCATAAGTATCGAGCGACAGCTAATTGCCGGAGTTAATAATTGCAACATGCTGATAATCCGAAAAAGGAAATCATACTCTTTACTTATTTCCCAACATATAGGATTCAATATAGCCGGACGTCCGATCTGAAAATCCATGAATCAAGACGTACCTAGATCTGGTACGACTCGACGACTACCTAGGTAGGTAGAGAAGTAAGGGTGTTAGTCAAGTATCAAAACGTTATGAATAATCCTTCCCAGGATAAGGCTTTGTTACACGAACACCTACTTACTCGGCGGTAAGATATCTACAATCTCCTTGACAAGAAACCCATGCGGGGTGACCCGTGTTTATCTAAATTGTGGCGTCGAGGGAGCGACTAGTTATCTGCGGATGCAGGATGATGGATAGTTTATACGCTAGTATTATCAGCAACCATTCACGGCATTGGTGTTATCATCCCGAGATTTGTCCTGGGAGTACTCAATCTCCAACATTTCATAGACGTACCCTCTTACTGAGATCTGCTCGAGGCGCGTCACCTGAGATTATGGAAGCCAGTTGTCTTTGCAGATGCTCGCGGTACCCTTACCATTTATCATCATAGGCCCCGGATAACGGAGGCCGCTATCGGTATATACTTTATACGTGTGTTGCTTTGCTATTAACGTCGTTCTCATTAGGATGATACTAATAAAGGGGTAATCTACATGAAGTGATAGGATTGACGGAATCTTGATGGCATACTAATGTTTGGGGCGACACATTTCCCCCCTCCTTGTAACGTCGAATCTCAATCGTATTATAATCTAACCAATATCAATAATGGCAATGCATGCTATCATCTGGCTTGCATCTGCAATTGCCCTCTCTCTAATTACCTTTCTCACCCTCAGTAGATCTCAGAAAAATGTAGTTCTTAGGAGATTAGGTCTTACCGGGCGCAACGCCTCCCGCCCCAGCACACCCTCTCTTGAAAAGCAGACGCCTTCCAAGCCACTTGCGTCGTCGACTTCGGACCTTCTCGCAACATTACCTCCAACTCCGCGGGACCAACTTCGCACGGTGATACACAAACTATCAGCTACCCAACAGGAAGCGATTGGCGACCTCTCATTCGACGCAGATGTTTTTGCACGTTCGTTGCTGGGCTTGGAGGAGGATTATCGAACTGCGGATGATTCTAAGTACAGTTACATGGGCTTCTCGGTCCGAGAGCTGAAAGCGCTCGGGGACTTTCCGGACTACTCGACCATTTCCGAGGTCCCAATGCCAAACCCGTACCCGGAATTCAATATCGATCGGGCCCTGCCGCGGCCCTACCGACCGTTCAGATGGGCATACCATCAGACGATGTGTAAGTGCTTTAGTCGAAACCGACCCGGCCTGGATGTATCAGGGGCTAAACAAGGATAATTTGCAGCCTTGACCAAACTTGAGACCGACTGGTGGATAGAACTAGAGTCAACCTACAAGGAACGGATCGCGCAGCGGAAAGAGCTGTATAGGAAGTATGGCGAATCCGTACTGCAATGGCTCCCAGGCTCAGAGCTTGTGTGCAAGGAGTTAATGGAGATGGTGCTGCAATTCATTTGCGCGCGGTATCCGCAGTATTTCTCGCTCTCCCCGGATAACTCTCGGTTCGAAAATAGAATATTAGGTACTGTATCCGTAATCAAGGAGAAGCACCCCTTATTGATACTTCTTGACAATGTACCCGAGGACTTCGGTATCGTTTTGCGGGATCCGGAATCCGGGTACTATATCTTTCGCGCGGGCATAATCTGCTCAGCACTCGGCTGGAACGTTAGAACCAAGATCGGAATGAAGCTGCACGAGATACATCAACCGATTCCGGATTACAAGGAGAAGATGCAATTTAGCATGGACCGGTAAGCAATACCCCCTTCCCACCCGACGTCTTCGCGTGTTAATCAGAGGCGATACCAGATACTTCTCCAAAATGCCCGCGAACAAGCCAATCCAGCGGGGATCATGGGGTTTTGAGGTAGACCAACCGCTCTACATGCCACCAGGCGACCCGCACGAAGCATACCGCGACGTGCAAGACGCCACACTAACACGGTCGCGCATCCACCTACGGGTAGACTGGCAGACGCTACGACGACTCCCGCTCTCTGGAGGCGTCGTGTTTAACTTCAAGGCGCTATTCACGCCGCTCGAAGAGTTTCGCGATGAGCCGTACATACCGAGTCTCGTACTCAAGGTGCTGCGGGAGGGCAAGAAGAGTATCATGAAATACAAGGGCACATGGCATACCGAGCACATTGTGTTCCCGGCATTGGAGGAATACGAGAAAGAACAGGTTAAAAATGGGATAATTGAAAAGGATTGGGAGCCGAAGACACTCGAAGAGAGTCCTTGGTTCCCTGGGTGGCAGGAGAAATGGCACAGACAGCAAGGCTTCTAATAAACTGAATTAGCGATACCGTATAAGCATGTCGTTTAACATTAGCAGTCCTTAAGGGGACCAAAAATTGGAGAGTATTTTCATCATTTTTGCTAGCCTAACGGCGTTGTCGTCTTTTTGACCTCTTATTTCTAGTCAACCCGTCAGTAATATATACAGCTAAATATATCCAAGCGGCCCTTACACCGGATAGCTCCGATTCCAGTTTGGTTACCAGTCTGTCCATCATAGGAGGTAATATATATATCGAGAAGTTGAATTCGAGCATACCACCGTAATCCGTGGCTTACACAGCACGCCAACCCAAAACCCAGGTTGAAACGCCACATTCCCTTTTTAAATTATGCAGCTAGCTTTTTTTCACGTCATATAGTATTTTGGTCCTTCGCCACCTTGGGGTACGGCCCAGTTGATGTCCTGATGAGGTGCCTTGATGTCGCACGTCTTGCAGTGTATGCAGCTACACTATTGTTAGTACGAAATTGTTCCTTACCGAAAAGCAAGGGATGGGATCATAGATGACTAGCTGAAGACTTACTTTTGAGCGTTAATCTGGAACCTCACACCAAGGGGTTTTGATTCATCCTCAACATATTCATACACACCAGCAGGGCAGAATCGGTTTTCTAGACCTTTATACTTGGGCCATGTTTCTTGCGTATGCGCATCCCAATCCTTAACCTGAAGATGAACAGGCTGGTCTTCTTCGTGATTTGTTCCTGTCCGAGAGACACTTGTCAAAATATCAAAGCTAATCTTTCCGTCCGGTTTCGGGTATTCGATTTTCGGATAAGAATCGGCGTCCTTAGTTGCGCCGTAGTCGGTATGCCTGTGCTTCAGAGTCCAGGGAACGCGACCTTTCAGGACAAACGCCTCTAATCCGGAGTACATAACACCACCAAACGTTCCAAGGGATGTTTGGAATGATGGGCGCATATTTCGAACCTCCTTCAGCTCCTTCCAAACACTCGATTTTCGAAGATTCTCCTCGTAATTATACAAAAAGACGGTCTCTTCATTGCCTTCAGCCAATGCAGTCCAAGCTGCTTCAGCAGCCAGCATGCCTGTTCGCATGGCATTATGAGTGCCTTTGACTTGTGGGACGTTGACAAAGCCAGCTGAGTCTCCAATTAATGCACCACCAGGGAAAGCGACTTTGGGAATAGATTGAAACCCACCCTCACTAAGGGCTCTCGCACCGTAGGATATGCACTTGCCACCTTCTAACACGGATTTATATAATGGGTGTTGTTTCATCTTTTGGAACTCGCCATATGGCGATAACCATGGGTTCCGATAATCCAAGGCTACCACAAGTCCGATACTGACGAGGTTATCCCCAAAATGATACATCCATCCACCACCATATGTGTCCAGTGGTAAAGGATAACCCATGGAATGGGTAATTTCGCCTTTGTGGAACTTTTCCGGCTGAATTTCCCAAACCTCCTTCACCCCCAAACCATAAGTTTGGTGTTGGCTTTCACTTCTCAAGTCAAACTTCTTTATAACTTGCTTGGTCAAACTTCCATGACATCCTTCGGCGAACAAGGTAACACGTGCGTGGAACTCCATGCCTCTTTCGAAGCTATCTTTCGGTTTCCCATCTCGCCCTATGCCCAAGTCATTTGTCGCAACACCAAGAACCGAACCATCTGGTTTATAGAGCACTTCGGATGCAGCAAACCCAGGATAAACCTCGACACCAATCTCTTCCGCTCGTTCTCCAAGCCACTTTGTAAATTGGTTTAAACTGACGATGTAGTTTCCGTGGTTATGCATTTGTGGAGGGGCTGGCAAGGGTATCGCGCTACCTTGAGTTAAGAATCTCATCTTATCTCCTGTCGCAGGTGTGGCATGTTCGAATCTATTCTCGTTCGCCTCGTCGAGCCAGTCGGGGAATAGTTCTTTGACAGCAATTGGATTTATGACCGCCCCAGAAAGGATGTGCGCCCCGATTTCGCCCGCCTTCTCCAATAACAAGACTCTAAAATCTTCATTTCCGTTCTCGTTGGCGAGTTGTTTTAGACGTATCGCAGCGCTGAGACCAGCCGGCCCTAATCATGAAAGAACTGTTGTTAGTCTTAAGGGAATGGCGATAGGCGCCAATTAAAGTCAGCATTACTCACCGCCGCCAATGATACAAACATCCACCTCGTCACTCTCTCGCTCGACGGTTTTAGGGTCAAAACTGTCATCAGCACTAGCAAAACGCCTCCGAGGGGTAGTGCTGAAAGCGCGGGGTGTAGGACGAGCGGCCGGGGAGGTTGCAGAGGTACATCTTGACCGAGGCAAAGTCGTTAAGGAAGAATACGAAGCTTTACACACTAACTTAGCAACCTTGGGGCGGATTGATATTGCACTTCGTCGCGCGACGATGTGCAGTGGCGCTGAGACAGGCATCGCAAGTTTCCTTCTAGCAACGGTTCGTCTGACTAAGATTGTCTTTTCGTTGCAGGAATAGTTAAAAGGCCATGTGTCACCGTGTGCTAATCGCCATGTGTATAGAAGATAGGAAATGGTTGCTAAGGATACTTAAGTTTAGGTAATTATCGAAAGTCCCTGACTTGGAAGTTTGACTTTTCTGGTTGGAACTGAGTGGCCTATGAAGGTTATGATGACATCAAATCAGTGCACGCGCAAAAAAATAATTAAGGTAATTCCGCAGCTTGTGAGGGATTGACCGAGCTACCGAGGTTACCTCCGCCATTCATTGGACAAAGAATTCCCCAAAGCTAAAATAAAACTCCGTCGCAACCCGTTCTAGGCCGCGTTCGGAGCATTGCGTGAGCGAATCATATTCTCATGATTAGGAAGCTTCTTTTGTGGAATGAGACCATTCCCAATACCTTAATACCTTTGGACCGATCGGAGCTTGTTGACTCGGAAGGCATGATGGTCGGAAGCCGCACTACTGCATCTTCCCGCTTTTCTAACGCCCCAAAGTCTTGCGGTCGCTTCTCTTCTTCAATCATTCGAAACTCTCCCAACTTCAATCGCCAACCCCACTATTCGCAATGACTCAATAACAACAAAAAATGGCAGATCTTTGGGGCTCATCCAACTATGCAGCATTATGCAAGCGCGTACAGTTGCCATTTATTAGCGTGGAAATAAACGACTAGAATATTCGCATTGATTGATCCTCATGATCACTCTTACAACGGGAATGTCGATGCTATTAAGTAGCATCATATCAAAGCGATCAATTCAATGCTATGATTTTCCTTGGCTTGATCGCCAGCGAAGCTCATTTTCGCATGGCAGCACTCAAATGAAGATCTGCGTTTCTTCGTTTGAATCAGGCAGATAAATCGTTGTCGCTACTACACACTACACCGCTCGCTCACACAGACGCGACCCTGGCGCTATTCCCACTTAGATGCAGATGCGATATTTAATATACACAATATGATAATAACTCAACATCAACACCGGGCGCCGGGCACCGGACAATTCGAACGGATAGATACACTTACTGTGTCACTAAGAGTATCATCAGAAAGCCTACTCTCAACCCAACTAAACAGGTTGTAGGCGCCTAGTGTAGGTATGTATCATGATGCTGTTGGAGCTTCTGATACGTTTTTAATTCTTATCCGTCCTGCTCGTCATATCAAATGAACAAAGACACAGCCACCTTTTTTCTGGGTCCTATAGCAATTTCGCGACCTAATTTCTATTTCGGGCTCTCCCCGAAATGGCAATGTTATCGAAGAGACTCCTACCTGCAACCGGAAAGCCTTGTTCCCTTTGATGGTGAGCTCTTAACCTTGTATGGCGCCTGCAGCTAGAGGGAGTTACAGTGTCTCTTAGGGGGACTCAGCTTTGCTGGTTTAACACGTGATGATTCCTTGATTCTCTCGCCTTTACTATGTGCTATTGTTTTTCTTTGGTTAGTTTTTAGCTGACACCCCTTATACCAACTGTTAGAGGCTGGTTTGATCTGCCGCGTCTAACGTTTGAGGCTCCTAGTGCCGAGAAACCCCAGAGCCTCAAAGCGGCCAAGAGATCCCCACGCATTCTTGGCATCTCAAGTTTCAATTCATATGATCCCCAAGGATCTCCTAATTGATCTCCCCGGCGTCACTCCAAATCTGGAGGTCCAGATCTGCACTCTTTTCTACACGCTTCGTATGATCTGCCAAACTGGTGATCTTATTCTACTTCGCCCCATGTTTGGAGTGGGGCGGAATTTCCTCTTGACATGTTTGGACTTGGTGGGTCTGCTGTCTTCCACAATCCAATGAGGGCCTCGTTTACATGACATGCTCCCTGTGTTTCTTAGGTTCTTTGATACTACCAGGTATTCTATGGCCGTAGCAAGTGCTATGTTTACCAGCATTGTTTGTAACCATGGAGCCGTTGGGATGTGACCGTCTATCACAGGAACCTTGCGCAGTTATGACAATCGATGATGGGATGGCCAAGTTCATCCAAGGTTCTACGCATTTCGATTGACCATAAATTGTGGCCTCCCCGTGCTGTTCAACCTGTTACTTTTTTCATTCCTCACACATCCGCATCAGTCCCAACCGTCAACCTTTCCTTTCTTGGTTGTTTCTTGTTCTAAGAGGTAGGTCGAGTCGTATATCCTGACGACAATGTTCCAGTTTTCGCTAACGGTTTCTCCAGCTGTGCTCATACCTTCTTTACTGTATTACTTTTTTTCCCCGACAAATTCCCTTCAACCCACTCCTTATTTCCTGTTAGGTGTCTGGATATACACTCTTTCAACATGAAGAACTTCGGAGCTATTTTAATGGTCTTGGCCGCCGGTGCCTCGTTCGGTGCTGCCCTACCTACCCAACCTGCCCCAGGTGCCATCGGGGCCCGTGCCACCCATGAATTCGGTATGCATTAGTGCTCCATGAATACCTGGTTCACGCTAACGGAACATTTACAGCTCTAGATGTTCGTTTCCCCAAGAAGAACAAGCACAACAAGGGTGCTGGAGCCGGTGCCGCTGCGGCTGCCAACGGGACCGCAGCCGCCGTTGATGTACGCTCTCCTGTAAGGATCCTTTGTTTCTACCACTAATCGTATCGCTAGGCTGGCGCTGCTGCTGCCAACGGTACAGCCGATGCCAACCAGGGCAACGGTGCTGCTGATGCCCAAAATGGCCAAGGAAACGGCAAGGGCAAGAAAAACAAGAACAATGGCAACGCACAGGATGCCGCCGCTGCACAAGATGGAGCCGCCGCCCAGGACGGAGCTAATGCACAGAACGGAGCCGACGCCGCCAACGCCCAAAACGGTCAAGATGCTGCTAATGGACAAGATGCCGCCAACGGTCAAGACGCCGCTGCTAACGGCCAGGATGCTGCTGCTAACGGACAAGACGCTCAGAACGGAAAGGCTGGAAAGGCAGCTAAAGCGCAACAGAATGCCGACGCCCAAGGTGCTGATGCTCAAAACGGACAGGCCGCCCAGGATGCTCAGAACGCCAACGCTCAGAACGGAGCTGGCGCCCAGGATGGTGCAGCTGCTCAAGACGGTGCTGCGGCACAAGATGGAGCTGCCGCCCAGAACGGTGCGGACCAGCAGCAAGGCGGTAACTCTCTCACGGACCTAGTCGGATCTTTACTCGGCGGTGGTGCTAACGGCGCGGGCGCGAACCCATTGGCAGATATCCTTGGAGGCGGTAACAAGAACGCAGCCGGCGGTGCCCAGGACGCTGGTGCTGCCCAAGATGCCGGTGCGGCTCAGGGTCAAGCCCAGGCTGGTGGTGCCGCCGGTGCCGCCGACGCAGCTCAACAACAGGGTCAGGGTCAGCAGGGTGGCGGTCTCGCCGGCCTCCTGCAAGGACTCCTCCCTTAAGTGAACACACAATCTTTGCACATATTTGATTGAATCCGGCAAATCGGGGGAATTGTAAATATAGGGCATAGACGGGGTTTTTTCTATTGAGCTGAGCGGCTCTCCGCGGGAAACAGCGCGGAAACTTGGGATGACAATGAAACGGCCTTGGATATCAAATCTAGCTAGTCTAGAATCATGTATGATTGGAGGTGTATTTATTCCACGCCGTGAAGGGCGGTGGGGGGATCGGTTAAGGCCTAACGATCCGACGCCTATCAGGAACTCTTTATTTCTATAACAAGTACACCAATGAAAGTTGCGGATGTGGGAAAGATTTTTTTTGGTTTTGATGCTTCTCGTGTGATTTGTGTGATGTTCCTAATGAACATTGACTTAGTTGTGACGTTTTACTAATGTCAGCCTTCATAATTGCAATTTACCAACTGATTGATGACTTAAACTCTTAAATCATTCGTAAAGATATTGGATGCTATTTTCAATTTCTGGCTTTTCGCTCTAATGTCTTCAAATCATACAACAGCTTGCTACATCTCTAGTATTAGACTTCATCAGACATTAACTTTCCACCAACTACCACCCCTTCTAAATCACCATACATTTAATCATCCCTAACGATACAGCCACGCCAATACCCCAATTCTATAAAAGATCGAAATATCGCTTTTTGCTAGATTAAATGGTAATACATCCATTATAGATCCATAGAACCAATATCCTCATCAAATTTAGATCGGCTCATCCCTAGGTTCAATCAGAACCTCATTTACAGAAACATGCGGCGGCTGCTTAAGTGCATACATAATCGCACGCGCGACATCCTCAGGATCTAAGACCTTGGCACCGGTCGGTTCGCCGTATTTTTTGATAGCCTCAGCATCCGTCGATATACCCAGGAGCTCAGTTGCCGTGTTACCTGGCTGTACAGATGTGACGCGGAGTCCAGACCCGGCTGTCTCCAGACGCAAGCTCTGTAATGTGGCCTCGACAAAGAATTTGCTTGCTGAGTACACGCCCAGACCCGGGAATACTTTACGACCAGCGTCGGATGAGATAGCTACTATATGACCGGCGTTATCACCGCCGCGCGATAACATAGTGGGTACCGTGGACGCTAAACAATGAAGGAGCCCTTTGCAGTTGACATCCACAGTACGCTCCCACTCGTCTTCTTGTACGTTGGCCATCATCGTGAAGTACATAACACCAGCGCAGCAGATGAGGATGTCTATAGGGCCAAGTTGTTCCCTTGTCGTTTGCATGAGAGCTTCAACTTGTTTGCGATCCGTAACATCTGTTCTCTGGACGAGGACTTTGCCGCTACCTCCGGATTTAGCAAGTATCTTAGTCTTGAGTGTTTCAAGAGACTCGGTTCGGCGCGCTGCAATTACAACGTGTGCGCCTTCTTGCGCTATGGCGGTAGCGACAGCAGCACCGATGCCGGATGATGCACCAGTAATAACTGCGACGCGACCAGCTAACGGGCCTCGTTTCGATGGGTTTGAGACTCCATTAACCTGGGTACGGCGGGGAGGACGTGGGAGCCAACCTCGGGCGCAGAAGTGGCGGGCATAGGTCTCCAGCAATTTGTTGTCAATTTTCGGACGCTCAAGGCCAGTTTTGGTAAGAGCAGAGCCTGTCTCTGGGTCCTTAAGGACAGTCACCCATTTCAGGAAGTCGACAGTAGGCATACCGCGGCGGAGGATATCCACAGTAAAGATATTACCTCCTTTGCTAGATCCTCTCTCTTCCTCCCATAGGCGAACCCATTCATCCCACCCAAGAGGTTTCGTGGGGTATCCAAGCTGGTCTAATATTCCGAACAGTTCCTTGGTAGTCACAGGAGACGGGTCGCCCAAGTGGAATATACGTTGGTCCGTCTCAAGATCGGCAAGTGAGGTTATAGCTTTGCTGACAAAGTCGACTGGTGTCATTTCGGCATACCAACCCTCGATGTCCGGTGCATGACCCAATTGAAGCGACTCCACAATCAAGGCATTCAAGAGATCGTAAGTATTTGTAGAGCCGGAAACACTATGGCCACTGATGGTGCCCGGACGGTAAATCCTTGCCGGCAATCCACGTTTAGCAGCCTCGAGTACAAGTTTTTCCGCCACCCATTTAGTTTGTCCATACCCGTCGATTAATTTCTCAGGTACTTCGTCTACCTCTAATATAGTATCTTCAGACCAACCCTCAACCGACGGGGGTAATACACCGTTGGTAGAAATGTGGTGTACGGTCGCACCAGCCCTAGACGCAAGGCGTAGGATCTCTCTTGTGCCATAGACATTAGCGCCTTGCATAGCAGCATAAGGATATACAAGGTTAACCGTAGCAGCAGAGTGAATGATAACTTGGACTCGAGCAGCCAGTTTTTCAAATTCCTCGGGTGAAAGACCAAAACGCTTTCGAGCTAAGTTCGCTGGTATAACTTCAATACGGTCCAAAATCGAATCATTCCAAAGACCCAAATCAAGAAGATTCTTCCGAATGCGCGCTGTACCGGTTGAATGGTTATTGTTTGCGAGGTCGGCGAATCGAACAAGGCATATTACGTTTGCCGAAGTTGTTTCTAAAATGGTATTAAGTAAAAAGGCTCCCAGGAACCCAGTTGTACCAGTAAGTAAGACGGTATCCGCATCACTGAGGCGTTGCAACTTCGCTCCCGAAGGTTGTATATCGCGAGGGAGAACGGAATCAGCACGCAGAACAGCAGGTAGATCTGCCTGTACGGCCGCGGTATGGCCATCACGCGCATCGCAGACCACTTCCAGGTGCCCTTTCAATGTTGGGTTTCCGGCGAGGCGCCCCAAGGGTACAGGGAAACCATAGGCTCCCGTCAATCTCGTTACAAGCTCAACTAGAGCTAAGGAATGACCACCGAGGTCAAAAAAGTCGTGTTCTTGCATCATAACAGACCTATAAGGTATGTTCAGAGCGGCAGCCCACATCTTTGCGATGTCCTCGATCGTGATCTTTTGGTTACGATCGCCATTTTGACCAGGGCCAATTGATGATGTGGGACTTCGTGACTTAGCCGGGGCAGGCAGACGTTTGAGGTCGACTTTTCCGGATACTTCGTGAGTAGGAAGGCTATCTAATTCGACCCATAGAGCTGGGATCATGTAATGTGCTAAGTGTTCCGATAGAGCGCGCCGCGCGGCCGGACTGAATCCGGACTCATCAATCTTCACAGCTGCTCGGTCATCGGATTCTTCATCAGGAACGACGTAAGCAAGAAGCTGGCGATCAAGACCATCTCCATGAGAAACAACCACACAGTCTTGAACCGCAAGGTGCTTTATGATGGTATTCTCCACAGCCGGTGGCTGTACACTATAACCCCTGATCTTGATCATGGCTCCTACACGTCCGGTGATTTCAAGAAGTCCCGAAGGAAGTATTCTTGCAGTGTCCCCAGTCCTGTACATTCGTGCTCCAGAAGTCGGATCAAAGGGATCTTCGGTGAAGGCCTTTGCAGTCGCTTCTAGTAAGTTCAGATATCCGCGCGCCAGTAGCTTTCCACCAATGAATAGTTCTCCACTAGTACCATTCCCAACCTTCTTGCCCTCCTCGTCAAGAATGTAGGTGTGTTTTGGGTCCAAGGGAGGTCCAACGGGGACAACCCGAGCTTCTTCATTAAACATTTCTTTGATATCTCCGCAAGCAATTTCGTGAGTTTCGCTAGCACTGTAACAATTAAGTAGGCGGGCATTCGGAAGTGCCTTCAATCCACGGCGTGCAAGATCCGTCGTCACGACTTCACCATTCAACCACACAGTTTGTAAATTCGGGAGACGAGCTCCGAGTTGCGAATGCCGAGAGAGTACTGTTGCCAGTAAGGTTGGTGTCATAAGGGTTTCCGTAATGGATTTCGAGCGAAGCAACTCGACAAGAGCAACAGGATCGTAACTCGTCTCATCAGGAACAGTGACCACAGTGGCTCCACGCAGTAATGGACGTAATATCTCCCAGATGAAAAAGACATTACAGGCCACGCGATCACCTGGCTTCAGGTCATTTATGCTAAATCTCAGATCATAGGACAAAACAGCTGCCCTATGCGGATTCGCAATTCCCTTCGGTTTTCCCGTGGTCCCAGACGAATAAGATACGAATGCTAATTTCTCTAAATCATCTTCCGCAGGTAATGCAGGCAACGTTTTAGCGGTCCCGTTCGACAAAGCTGCACCATTTGTATCTGTCGTCTTATCATCAAGGATGATTAAGGGGGTCTCGGACTTGATCTTGCCGGCATGAGCCGTATGTGTTATTACCACAGTGGGCCTCGCATCTTCGATAACATCCGCTAAAAGACTTGGGGGGTATGCAAGTTCAAGAACCAAAAAAGCTCCACCGGCACGAAGTGCAGCAAGACAAGCAATGATGTAGTCCGCGCTTCTTCCAAGCAAGACACCAACAAGGGCATCTCGGCCAACTCCATCGTGGCGAAGACGTGTAGCTAGGGCATCAACTTTTCGGTCGAGCTCAGCATACGTCAATGTTGTCGGTCCATCTTCCAGAGCAACGACATCGGGAGTAGCCTTGACCTGATGGCTGAAGAGCGCAGATAGATCCTTGTTGATATCAATGACTGCCATTTCCCCTTCTCTCCAGTCAACCAAGCTAAACACTAGCGTTGCTAACCCGGAAAAGACAAAAAGTCCGTTCAGTCGAACTAAGAAGCACACCCTCTGAGCACGAGCACGTGACCACCTTTTCTCTTGAAAGATGGCCGGATCGAGGACTGGAGAAACTTTATTAGGTCCGAATTAGTGAATTCGGGGTCTGGGGAATATGGAAGATGCCCGATAGTGTAGACTAAAGGGTTGCTCGAACCGGACTATCTCCTAGAAGCGAGGGACGGGAAGTTGAAAAAAAAGGTTGAAAAGATATGTCAACAAGTGTGGAGCGAAGAAGTGGCTGATGTTTAATCTGCAACTGCTAGGTACATATGTAGGTACCTTAGCACGAAATAGAAGTGAGTGTGCCGTAAGCGGAGCTTCGTTGGGACCTTCCTCACGACGTATCACTGAAAGTACAATGTATAATGGAAACAAAGAGAAGCGGTGACCGGGGTTTTGCTAGCTTTGACGCAGGTACACATGTTCAAGTCCCGAGAAAAGGAAGTAAGAGGGACGGATACATATAATGTAATGTGTCGCCATAAAACATTGAATGGAGGGAAATAGATCCAAATTTTTACACCAAACGTACACCGACTACCCAAGCTGTTCTTATTCTGGACCGTTCGGGTCCAGTCCCGACTCTCCTCCGAGTTGACGTTGTCGCCATTGTCATACTAAATAAGACAGTACAATAGGTTTCTTATACGAATAGGAATCCTGATTAAGTGCGGGATGTCTTCGTCGGTGCGTAATGGACTGTCATAGATCGACTGAAAGGGTTTACCTTGCTTTAAGGATATGCAACCAATTCGCCTCAGGGTTTTCTACTCGACAAGCCCCAACAGGGTTGGCCAACAATCAGGGACAATCAAATCTCTGCACCGAATTATAAGCGATTGGTTTTTAGTGGAAAGGAACTAATGTCACCCAATGGTTAATAGTAAAGTCTGGATTGGTTAATTCAAAATAGTTTGTTGAGTTTAAAGTCTAGAAGCTTCAGAGCCGCCTAAGTGAAGTGGACTTCCCCCCCCCCACTTCGATCACATCATCGCTCTATTTTTCTTTCCAATCATATAGAACTATTATCTAAGTACCCCCACTCCGGACTACAAATTGCCGGATACCGACGACTTATCGGGACAGGAGTACGATCGGTCCACCCCGGTCGGAGTTCTGTTTATGATCATGTAGTACACATATCGCTATCTTCTTCCGATGTAGTGAATGTGTAACCGATGCCCCTCATTCCTCAAGTACTGCTGTCCGGTAACGAACAAAGATGTAGGGATAATCCAACTTTTAGAGTCTGCCCGATATGTGTCACCAAAAAAGGATAGTCCACTGATTCGGATAGTATACACCCACGTCAAGCTATAAGGACAATTATGAGGATGGGTTGGGGGTCTTATTGCTTCGAGATGATTTCTACCTTTCCCACTTTCGGGGATGACTGAAGAGTGATCTGGCGCTACTACTGTGATACAGTAGCCTTGACCTGTAGCTACTTGATTTCCTAGGCTGAATTTCTTGGGTACCTTGGAAATCGTCTTCATTTAAATCAGTCTAGGTCTAAAATCCCGGGGTAGATCTAGCTGATCAGATCACAATCCATCGACCTCAAGCTCCGCTTATAGGGGACACTGGCCGCTTTAGAAACGAAGGCGTTGTACATGTCGCCGGACTTTGGAGCCTGACATGTATCCGAGGCTCTCGGAGATTGTGAGCAATTTCTCTTTTACATTCCGGTGACCCCATCCAGCTGTAACTAACTATGGCTGTTGGCAAGTACATAAGTACTTGGTGATAATCTCTGTGAACATATTTGATATCTTTTTATCGAGCACTTGGTGTAGGAGTTGTAGAGCTAGATATTATAGTACTGAACCTATTTATTATGGGGATGGTTGTGTGCTACGCCAATCAACATCCTCCAAAATGCATCGGGTAACGCTGAGTTCACGGATAAACCACCCAAGCAACACGAAGAAAAAAAATACATACATTCACAAAAAAAAGAAAACAAAAACATATAACATACAACACTAGGGATTCACTGATCGTCACCGACCCAGCTACTAGTCTAGCGGTATTTGATTTATCTCTGGGAGAGCGGACGGGATCCCGAGTTTTCCAAATCCTATGGTCGTATGTGATAGACAGTAGAATCAATAGACCCTATATAGTTATGGTTAGTGTCGGTAGTTTCCAAAAGCGGATAGCTTGTGCGGTGTTAGGATATAGTTCTATATCAAAACATTTATGAGAGTGATTAATTCACGAAAAAATGAATTACGTTCAGTATAATTAGTATTAACATAGAGTGTAAGCGGTGATTCTGTAGAAAACTCGGCCTACCGCGGTTTCCATATACAGCATGTGCTAATCATCAGTTGGAATCTCATTGGCCTTTTTCTCAGTCACGGGATTACCGTGTGACCTACATCTGATTTGGGAGACGAGTAAGGTATCTAAGTACCGATTATCGATAGCCTGGTTAGGGTTTTTACACAATCCATCCATGTCTCACAAGCCGTTTGCAAAGAGGGACTAAAATTCTAGGGTTGATAAAAATTGATAATACAGTAAGGCGCACTGAGTACTTCAGGGTACTTACATATATGTACCATATCTAAACAGCAAATTTGCATAGCCTGCTTCGCGTGCATTGTCAGACCGTATCGTTGCATCAGGTGATTTGAAAGTACCGAGCGCTTGCATACGTCTTATTACCAGCCAAGCCAGCCAGCCTTCCTTCCAGTGTATGCACTCAGGGATGTCGCGTCATTGACAGGACCAGCGCGAAAATTAACGCTTAGGCAGAATTGATACGATGATAACGTCTAAGAATACGAATTTGAAGCCTGAACCATATGTATTGGCGATTGAATTTGCAATATTGCCGAGATAGTTTAGAAAAGTTACGCTAAATGCGCAAAATAAAGCGCACCGACCGGTGCATTAAAACTCTGTAAGATAGAGTGAACAATGAGTCATAAGACGGGCCAAGAAGGGATACATGACAAGGAACGGCTGGTTGGTATGGCTGGATGGATGAGGCTGGCAGCCGCTGTAAGAAAATTTTCTTAAAAAATAAAAAATGAGAAAAGGAAAGCAAATGAATGCGAGTGGCGACTTACAGGGGTAACCTTGTATATAAGAGGCTAACTGTACACTAGGGCAGGTCCCGCCGTGTATACCGATAGAGTACGAAACCAAATAATGGTTACCAAAACAAGGGGGGTGAACAGAGTGTAGCAGCCTGGAAGTACCTACCCAGCTACACTAGGGGGTCCCTGTTGTTCAATTTCCGACCAACTCGGGTCGAGTGATAACGAAGGGGAAAATGATGAACAGGATAAATGTAAAATATATCAAAATAGTCCAATATACTGACGCCATACATCATCCGTAAAGTATTGTTTGGTAAGGAAAATTTTCTCGAAATGTTGCGCCCAAAATTGATGTTTCTCACTTAAAAAAAAGAAAATGACTTACATGTAATTCGAGGGTGGTGGCATTCTCCGATTGCGGTCGCGGCTCGTACCTCCGAAACCACCGAAATGAGACCTGAGACTGATCAACAAGGAGGGATCTTCGTAGCCAAACAAAGAAACGAGCAAAAAAAAAAAAAAAAATAAAGAATTTGGCGGAAAAGCGAGTGCGATAGTAACGTAGTCTGTCAATCTTCTACTACTCGCGCACGATGAAAGAAACACTTGTTTGTACGCGCAATCTTCTCATTCAACATTTGTTTGGGATTTCCGTTTGCTATAGAAATGGATGAGATGGATATCGTTGTGGAGGCTGAGTAGGCGACACAGAGATAGCTACTGGCTAAGAATTAACTAAAACAAGAAAAGAGAGAAAAAAAAGAAAGCATGAGAATAGGGGTGAAAGAGGAGGTATTGTGCGCGTTTCAGGGAGAAAAAGGGGGGCTAGGGTGTTAGGGTGGCAGGCAAACCCAGGCCTGTAAGGTGTGGTTGGGGTCTAAAATCCGTCTGCCCACACCCGTCCACTAAGATTATAGGAGCCTAGACGGGTGGTGACCTTCGGGTAGCCTGCGGCCCAGTGCGAGTTGTAGGGTACGATACTGGCTGACGAGACTTATGCGTAGAGTGCGGATGTTATTGACCGAGTCATGCATTTTTGCTGACCCGAGAAAATCGTGAATTCGTCGTTGATGAAAGTTGAGATTGTATAACTGATAAAAAAAAGAGGAAAAGGAAAAAGTGATATTTTAAATGGAGCGATGACACATATGGATGTTGTTTGTATTAGGAGGGAAAAAAATCGTGTTTGATGTTGTTGAGGCGCGTCAAATGTACTAAAGAATAAGTTTTGCTACCGGTCATAAGCGATGACGAGGAACATGAAAAGGACTTGGTCAGAACCTTGAGTGACGAGCAGGGAAGAGAAAAAAATTGAGAAAGATAAAAAAGGGGTAAGCGACGAGACATGATTGGATGCATTGATACTAGCGTGACCGCTAAGGGTGGGAATTAAGGAGCAGAGACTTGCGGGTTCCCGCCACACTGGGGCGTCCCTACCTAAAAAGTCAGTGCACACTTCCACGAGAGCGCTTGCACGAAAATTATAAATTGGCCAGCTCCCCCTCAACTTCAATGTTTCGAAAATTCTCGCGCTGCGGAAGCCCCGACCCGAAGGTCCCCTCTTTCTCAACCCCTCAGCCACAGCCATTTCCTCCACACCAGCCACTCGTAACCCTTGTCAGCAGTTGCTTGCCTGTCAATTTACGCCTGGCACCTAATTATTGTTTTTTATTCCCCTCCTTCTCTCGTAACCGCATCATTACGGGACCCCACTTCTAAAAAGTGATTGAAGAGAGAGTACGTACCTCACCGCCTCAAGTACTTAAAATCCCTCCCCACTTCACATCACATCCCAGTCATTACATCTTTCACATTCCTCCCATCATCATAACGTCACAGTCGTGGGCTGCTCGTCTACAATCAACGTTTCGCTTGGACACAATCAAGTGTCGCTGTTTTGCCTTGCTCGCCCGCTAAATCTAGTTGAAGCAACAGAATTACAAGGATATCGCCTCTGGCTTGTCCTTTTGTTACCTTGTTGCCCGCCTCTAGGACTCGAGCAAGTCGCAAGAAAATAATATTCCATCCATACACCAGCCTTAGTCCACAGCACCCGGGTCTCGGTGCAGTGTAGCCAAAGCAAAAAAAGATAGACGAAACAATAGAGACGAGATTTGAAGAAAAGTCCAAGACCGAGGATTTTATCTTCCCCCGATTACCGTCGTTGCCAGAGACCGAGTTTCCGTCGTCGTCGAATCGCGTTAGATCACTCGACCTCGACAGCCACTCGTACATCTTGCGCTTCGAATCAGTGGAAGAAAAAGCTCTCGACTTCCCCGATCTTATCCATCGAGAAGTGACCGTCTTTTGACACTTAGATATCCTACTTCGTGTGTGTGCCTTTGAGGTCAATTGATCGAGAGATCTATACGACCGACTCATCATCGTACCAGCCTTTACTGTGTTGGGGGAGACATTTACTTGTTTATCTCCTACACCTCACTTGGTAAGGCTGCCTATTTTTCTTTTCTCATTTTCCTTAGAACACCTCCCATTCCCTGCCGTGCATTGGAAGCCCCACTGTAGAAATTCACCCTTAGGAGGGGTACAGGTACCTGAGTTTGCCCCGCGAATGCTTTTTTTCCAGGTGGTACGCACTGAGCACCCCTCCATGCTGTGTTGCCCCACTACCTCGAACAAGTTTTACTATTTAGGTAGCTTTTTCTACTGAAAAAAGCGATTTATTTACATTTTACCAAAAACAACTTTCATCACTCAATCCTCATCCAGTATTCCACTTCGACCATACCTTTGATCAATCGCGCATTTGATTAATTTTGGTCGCGCACTCGCTCTTTTTGTTGGTTTCATCTCTTTCTAACCTCTGCTACCTTTAGATCTACCAGTCGCACTCAAAAGGTTATTTTTGAGATCGCATCTGCAAGATGGAAGGCATCCAAACCCATCCTTCTACAGCCGCACAGGCCAAGGCTTTCACGGCTCCCGGCTCGCTCTCCTTTCCCGGAGGCGCCGGCGACCTTACGCCGCCGTCGTACGACGCTGAGAAAGCGAACGGTCAGCGATTGGCGAATGGCGTCATTCAGCAACCTGCTAACGGTACCGGGGTGACTCCCGCCACACCCGCAGCTACGCCTGCTGCTGTCCAGGGAGGAAGTGGTCTGACTCCCACCTTGCAGTATGTATAACCCCTAGAATTTATAATAAACTTCTAGTTCTCACAGTGCATGATTAAGGAATATCGTCGCCACGGTTAACCTTGAGTGCCGCTTGGATTTGAAGACGATTGCACTACATGCTCGCAATGCCGAGTACAACCCTAAGGTATTACCAACCCGTCTATCCGTCATTTTGGACGTTTTGCTGACTAGCCCAGCGTTTCGCCGCCGTGATCATGCGAATCCGTGAGCCTAAGACGACCGCTCTTATCTTTGCCTCAGGCAAGATGGTTGTCACTGGTGCTAAATCCGAAGACGACTCTAAGCTTGCATCGCGCAAGTATGCTCGTATCATCCAGAAGCTTGGCTTCAACGCCAAGTTCAGCGACTTCAAGATCCAGAACATTGTCGGTAGCTGCGATATCAAGTTCCCCATTAGGCTCGAGGGTTTGGCATCGCGCCACCACAATTTCAGCTCCTACGAACCTGAACTGTTCCCCGGTCTTATCTACCGTATGATCAAGCCTAAGATTGTGCTTCTGATCTTCGTCAGCGGCAAGATCGTCTTGACCGGTGCCAAGGTCCGAGAAGAGATCTACCAAGCTTTCGAGATGATCTACCCCGTCTTGCAAGGTATGTTTTTAATTACTTGCGCTTTTTGTCAGATCAGTTTCTAACGAATTTTAGATTTCCGCAAGGTCTAAGAATCCCCTTCCGACTATTGATAGACCGTCGACGCACACGCGTCTCTTTCCCAATACATCACTCGACATCTCCGTTCTCTTCGACTCCTCGCTGGGGTTTGTAAAATACACTTTTCATGATCTTACGACTTTTTACCTCTCACGAGTTAACGACGAAAATCAGGATGGGTCACAGTCCATGAATTCTCGTCATCTGTATCATCGTCATTTTCACATTGCATTGCATCGGCGTTTAACAGGGAAATGGACCTACACCGGACGGGTCACGGATGATATTTACGGAAAATCGAAAAAATAAAAAACGCCTTTGAGACCCATTTGAGTGGGTTAGATTGCACTGAAACACTCCCGGTGGCATTCGCGCTGGTCGAAGTGTCGCCTTAATTCGACCTCTTTGAGGGAATGGTTGCATAGTCGGCGGAAGGGGCGTCGGCTAGGTTGCGGTATGCGGTATGCGGAAATACGTATTGGCATTTCCGCGGTGGAAGGGTGGAATGGATGATGCGTGCCTTTGAGATGAAATTATTCCATAGGCCAAAGGATCATTAGTGATCATGATTGTATGCCTCTAAGTTCTTAATCATCCGATCTCAAGGCGTCGGCGAAGTCTGAACCTTTTGCATTCACAAGAACTTTAGTTCCTACGAAGCATTCAGATATCAGACGGATGATTAATAACTTAAGGTAATTCCTTAGGTAGAGCATACATCGTTGCTTTATGCACATTATGAACATCCTCTACCGACCCATTGCCTGTGACTTGGTTTTAGTATCGTGATATATGCTGTTGAATCTGTTGTAACTCAAATCTTTTCTCGATTAATTTGCATGTTTCTTAAGTTCATCTTCCAAAATAAGACCTTGTTGTCCCGCACGACTTCCGTCTTCTGTTACTATTGCTTTTTCAATGTTGTCCACGGTCTTCCATTTCCATTTATTCTGAAACTGTTCAGGACATTTACCCATGATGCAATCTACCACACTATCACCAATGACTGGTAGGAACTTGAAGGCATGTCCACTCCCACCAGTAGCAACGAATAGACCTTGCCAATATGGGTGATAATCTACAATCCAATCGCCAGTAGGAGTGTCCGTATACCAACAAAGACGTGTTCGAGAGAAAGATCTATCCTTAAGCTCAGGCAAAGGTATTATCTTCCGTAAGCCTTCCAACAATTCCTTCTCACTCTCTGGTGGAATGGAGAGATTCGCATCGTCCAAGTGCGTATATGGTTGAGAGACAAGCTTTGGTTGTCCTTTCGCGGATCCTGGAACTCCTAAGGGTGATTTCGATAACGGTTTGGGGTTTATATATCCGTATGCGTGACGCGCTACCTTGAGAACTCGATTTCGAGGGGGGATAACGAAGAACCCAGTCGATAAGTTCAACATCACGGGGATTTTCTCTAGCTTTTTCTGCTCCTCTTCTGTAATATCCATGTATCCAAGAACTTGTCCTGTAGCTACAGCTTGCGATGAAAGATCAACCAATGTGGGAGTCCAGGCGCCCGCGGCTGCAATTGCTAGATCAGCCGATAGCGTAGTTCCATCTTTGAGTCGCGCGCCCGTGACTCTCCTCGTCGCATCATCCGTCTCAAGACTCTCGGCGGTGCCATTAAAAAATTTCACTCTCCCTGTAGCAACGACTCGTTTGTAATACCAATCCATGCTAGCCTCGGCATCAGCCCACCCACTTGCTTCGTTGAGATATCCCCAATCGGCGAATTCACCCGCACCCGTCACCTTCGCAACAGACCAGGCCGAATGCATCATGCGCACGGAATTTAATGGTCTACCCTCGCGTTGGGCTAATGCTAGAGCGTTCACCCAGCTCGTTTTGACATACGCGAGGGCTGTTAGCGTGCCGTCTGGCCGTGCCATGGGCCCGTCGTTGGCGGCTAGGACGAACCCGCTCTCAGTATAGCGACCCTCGCCGCCGAGCGCATCGGGTCCAGAGGTCTGGCGCCAATGCGCTTGCGCCTTGGCCGCGAGACCAGCATATGCGGGGTCGGCATAGTCTGGACGGATAATGCGCGATGAGTCGACGGAAGAGGCATCTCGGGCGGGGAATACACCTGTTTCGGGGGATCGGTCTAGAACTGTTATCGAGGTTGAGGCGAATTCCGGACGCTTGGTTAGGGCGAATGCGGTGCTGAGACCGAAGACACCGGCGCCGATAATTAGGATGCTATCGGGAGCCTTGAAATTACGGGCTGCGGCATCCGAATCGATGGCGGTGGCTGTAACGTCGGGGAGGACGGGACATGGGCAAGACAGGACGTCAGCCATTGTTACAGCTGGCGCCATAGGGTATTTTATCTATGGTAACCAGGTATCTGACCAAGAAGGGAAGGTAAGTCAGCTGCGGACTATGATGACGAAGCTCGTGCTACCGGAAGACTGAAGGGGGGTATCAGTTAAGGATGACGATGTAAGACATGTATCATAAGAAATGCTATCTGGCCATAAAATACACACACATCCCGAACTCTTTAATATTTATATATAGGGATTTTATGCTCCTCGTGCCGCTTCTAGTAGGCGAGAAAGATTGAATTAATCAGCTGGTGATACCCCACAAGTCGGGTTTTGTACATTGGAAGGGCGCTATTGGAGTGATTGATACGAGATCGTCTCTTTGTTATAGTCGTAGGGTCGGTCAAGATCGGAGGGGTACTCCGACTTAGATGTATACGTAGACGGTAAAGTTCGTGGCTTATGACTGTACGATTATTACTGTATACATCAATCTCGAGGTACGTACTAAAATTTATCAATGTTACATCCAATTACATAATCCAAAAATCGACCCTCAGATCCATGGATGTTCCTTCGATCTAACAGAGCTCTAATGCTCTAGCTTTCTTACCAAAACATCGATATTCCGGATCTAGCATCCTCCCTCAATAGACAATCGATGGGAAGATAATTACAGAATGCGACATCCTACGTGACAATTGCCCGACACTCCTCGCCGATAATGTCGTCCAAGAAATTCAACGCTTTCCCGGACGTTGAGGCGAAGCTTCAAAAGCCTTCGAAACAATCCGCGTTCGAAAAACAAAAGGCCGAGGCCGAGGCCAAGCGCAAGAGGGAAGCTGCCGAAACTGCCGCCGTATATGAAAGTTTTGTCAAGAGTTTCGATCACGATGAAGACGAAGACGATAACGGTACCGTATCCAACCAACAAAACGCGTTCGGTGCGCGTCAGCAAGGCGGCGCTTTCGGTCGAGATGGAGGTAGAGTACCACCGCCTAAAAGACATTTCGGTGCTGGACCTGGAGGTTCTTCAAATTCGAAGAGTGGACCTGGATCTTTGGGACCTCCGCCCACAGCCTTCAACAATAGGAGGAAGTATGATAGTCCCCAGCAGTTTAATAGGAAGCCAGCAGATGATACTCGGGGTCGACTTGGATTTCACGATGACGACAGTAGCGATGGTGGTCACGCGCCGAAATCGAAAGGCTTAGCGAAAGTGTTTAATGCGAGCGACGACGAAAGCGACACGAGAGCAAGGGATTTAGCAGAGCAGAGGGCTATAGCGAAGCCTACGCTGCGCCTAGCTAATCTACCACCAGGAACATCGCCTGCAGTCATCAAGGCCCTCATACCACCGAATTTAACGGCAGAGAATGTCAAGATTATACCGGGCGCACCGGGAAGTACCGAAAGAAAGTCGATTGCCGCAATTGTTACATTGTCCAAGGAGACACCCGCGACCGACATCGATACCGCAGTCAGTTCCTTACAGAATCGATATCTTGGTTATGGTTTCTATCTGTCGCTACATAGGCATCTATCATCTGCCGTAGCATCCACAGCGACATCGAATCTCGTATCCTCGTCCACGTCCCAACCCTTCGGCGCAAAACCCGTCCCACAAGCTAATGATAATAATAATCCCCACCACCAAGGTGGATTTCATCGCGGCTTTGCTCCCCCATCATCTTATAGTTCAGGCGGAGGCCCAGTGAATCGAACTATCTTACACGTCCCGGTCCAAGCACCAAGAGATATAAAGCAACTTCAATTAATCCACAAAGTTGTCGAATCGGTAATATCGCATGGCCCAGAGTTCGAAGCACTATTGATGTCGCGACCCGATGTACAGAAAGAAGAGAAATGGGCTTGGCTTTGGGATGCGCGTAGCGAAGGCGGGGTTTGGTATCGGTGGCGGCTCTGGGAAGTTATCACAGGCGCTCAGGTCAAAAATGGACGGCAGGGAAAATACATACCACTCTTCGAAGGTAGTCATGCTTGGAGAATGCCTGAAAAGGACTTACCGTACGAATACGCCACCGCGATCGACGAATTTGTGTCAGATTCGGAGTACAATTCATCTGATGAGGAAGACTATGATGATGAAGGGCACAAACCCGCGGATGGCGGCGAGAACGAAAATAACTATTTGAATCCACTCGACAAGGCAAGATTGACGCATTTATTGGCTCGCCTTCCTACGACGTTGACGAAAATTCGAAAGGGTGATATTGCTAGAATTACGACTTTCGCGATTACTCACGCAAGCAGAGGAGCAGATGAGATAGTGGAGATGATTGTGGCTAACATAACCAAGCCATTCTCATTGACTTCGGCAAACCCCGAACACAGCAAAGCTAGCAAGGATGGGGAAGACTATGGTGAATCACATAACTCGACACCCTTTCCTGAGGAGTCGAGTGTAAAACCGGGGGAGCTCCAAGATACGAGTGCTGCCAGTCTTATTGGGCTGTACGCTGTGAGCGACATCCTCTCGTCATCCGCAACTAGCGGCGTTCGACACGCTTGGCGCTATCGTCAACTCTTCGAGACTTCTCTAAAAGACGGCAAAGTCTTTGAAACTTTAGGTCTCCTATCGGAACGTCTTAACTGGGGCCGACTCAGAGCAGATAAATGGAAGCGAAGTGTTAAACTAGTATTAGGGCTATGGGAGGGTTGGTGCGCATTCCCACAAGAGAGCCAACAGCTCTTTACAGAGACATTTGAAAACCCACCCAGCGCAAAGAAAGAAGAACAGGTTGATGAAGTGGCCAAGAGGGGCAAGTGGAAACCTGTCGAGGCTGGTGGTTCGGGCGCTACTCAAGGCGAAAGCAGAGGTTTCGTACCTATATCCGCGGTCGCGGAAACGCGAGACGATGAAACTACGAATATGGATGTTGACGACGTGGATGGGGAGGTAATGGATGAAATGATGTCGATTGATGAGGAAGATATGGATACCGATATTGATGGTGTCCCGATGGACGATGATGACGATGGAGTGCCCATGGACGAAGACGCTGCAGATGTGGACCAGGATAAAAACACCGCTGTTGACGCTCCCGAAAGTAAAGCCGGCGGAGGGCAAGATGGCAGGAAACCCGGTATTGAGTCCTCATCCGAAGAGAAGCCAGCAATTACCCACCTGCCGAGGCGGCGTATGAGAGCTGTAGATATGTTCGCTGATTCCGATAATTCTGATAATGAGAGATGACGTCATAACGCGACGAAAAGAAACAACACTACGCGATCTTTACGGAGGATTGCATCGCATTCGATACGACTAATGGCCATATTGGCACGTTCCGACCCTGGGAATAAGGCAACCCAGTCTTGGCATGTCGCGAACGTGATCGAACACCTAGCGTTTAGCCTACCTACTCAGTGCTACGGTCCAATAGGAGCCCCTCCGAGAATAACCGCAGCCCTCGGTGTGTGGTATCTTGGAGTATATGTTCGGGGTGCCAATTGCTACAAGCTCGCTACGGCTGGAGCCAAAGACGCATGATCGAATACAAGGCTGAGACGGGATATATCTCGATGCTACGACGACACCTGGAAATGATACACCTCAAGGTGTTGTCTGGGATACCGGCGGTTTTATAACATCCGATAGCCTTATGGCAGATATCCTATGGTATAACATCTTGAGCTAGATAGATAATTGGACAAGCTTAGAGGCTTAAATATTAGCTCCTACTTTGAATAGATACCTAACACTCGGTACAGTTACATACTCGCAGAGAAGTAAAGTGAGGCTAGAACCGAATGCAATAGCCTTATTGCGTTTTCATTTCTACCTTCGATATCTTCGCGTGCGTGAGTGGCGTACATAGTTACATTAGTTACCCCTTCCGAGCCGTGTCTCGGAGATTACGATGGCACTTTGCGTTACGCGCCTTAGTCTTTATCAACCAATATGTTATTGATTTTAGTCGCATTAGATAGAGCCGGCATATAGTGGCGTGAGTTGAAACACTCAGGGCATCGTGAAATTGATAAGGCTGTCTTTATTGTGTGTAGGATATTAACAATGGCACCACTTTGCTAACTTCTTAGGCAGGCTGCAAGTGATAAATGAATAGCTATAGAAATTCACCAAGGCTGGATGAAACTTCTAGATATATTCATTTCCAAATAAGTTATCAAGCCTTGTTACCTGCCAAACAAGTCCAAAAAATGCGAATTATCGTGGGTGACGTGGTCAACCACCACCCACGTGAAATGTCACATAGATGAACCAATTGGAATGATCCCGAACACCCTATGACGTGAGAATTAACTTTTTCGGCAGTCGGCTCCTTTTTTGATCGAATCTTGGGGTTGTCTTCAGCGTTGTTTAACTGGTGAATTTTTGGCTTGGTATATAAGGGTCTTGATATCATGTTATTGGTACATATCTGAATATATTCTATGGAATATTTCCACCAGTTATTGCTTTAGTATGTTTTTCATAAGAATTCATTTTTATTATTAATTATATGTGATTGGGCTGAATACATATGTTTGTATAACAATGTATTATTTGATATTTGGTACATGTCCTAAATATGTCGTTCGTACTGACCAAATTCTTATTTATATCAGCAGAGTAGACACCCAACGTTATTAGTATGAACTATCAAAGCTATAATCTTCGAAGGTTCCTTACAGCTAACTTAAAGTAACATAAATTGCGCATACATAATGTAGGCTATGAGTATAATAATATCAACCATAGAATCATGAGCAGACTAGGTTTCTCGGCTGCTACCGAGGCTATGGTACTGCGATGACCTTTTATTTTATTATTTTACGGCTGTCACACTCTAGAACCCTCCGGAAAGAAGCTGGGACCGAAATGTGAACGGCTCACCTATATATAGTACCCCTACGGTCGATCCATGGATATATTCTCGTTAAAGAGCCGCTTTTCGAGTGATACCTGTATGTAAGTAGGTCCGTTATGTAACCTCCATCAAGATAGTACGTTTTAGATGTATAGATGTACCTGCTTAGGGCCATGGTCGGGCGCAAGAACTTGCCGAGTTTTGAAAGTGCCGTTACCTAAAGAGGAAAGGTGATAGCTCGCGATCGATTTAACCTTGAATTTTAGTTTTGGCGTCTTGAGCAAGTACCTATGCACGTCCTTTACTTATACATTTTATACAGTGTTGACTGTGTATTTATGTACTTCTGAAAGACCATTTTACTCATTATGTACCTAGGTATTTTGAATAAAAAAATAGACGATAGGTATCAGACCAGATGACACATCTTTCAGGTGTTACAATAGGTATGGTACTACCCGAACATGAAGAATGTAATGTATTTTATCGTAGGACAGAAGTAGGTAATTCTAACCGCAAGAAGCTGAAAGGTTACCTCTAAGTCTACAGGTACATATACGTACATCGCAGCGGACTGTTACAGTTACGTAGTAGCCCCACGTTCCCGAGACCAACTACATGTTTTTTCTTCTACAAGTGCCCCTCCTTTCAGCCCCTCCATAAGGAAAAAGTCGATTTCATGGTCCATTGGATGTAGATGATACGCATCTTTCTGCAGGGCTCTTCACATTCCCGTTCCCCCCGTCCCTCCAGTCTAGCGTGAGCGCGACCTGCAGTCCCTAACCTAGATGTGTGTACATTATGTACCTAGTACTTGCCTAGGTAGTTCTGTACCTTATGTACCAGCATCAATGATACGTAGGTGGTACTTGGGTACTTGTCGCCTTCTGCCTTCTTTGAGGACCCCTGTCGATAGTAGCGAAGGAAAGTGAAGGATCTAACTTGAAAGTCAGCACCATTTTGGCAAATCAGCCAATCAAAACTTGCTCGTTTTGGGAAACCCCCACAGACAACACGACACTTACCATCCCAATCATCTTTCACTTTTCTACTAATGAATACTCTTTGACCCTTTTCTACATAGTAGAGTTGAGAGCCACCGACTGTCTATGGTCTGAAAGTGATAGTCTTAAATTTGTGGTGGGACCTCTAGGTATGCTTCATTGGGAAGACATCTCAGTCGTCTGGTAAACATGTACTAGAGACAAGAAAAGAGACAACAAGCGAGAGACAGAGAGACTACCAATTCTAAACATCCCGGGAAGGCAACGAGGGATTGGAACATCTAACAGGTTCAATATATAGGAATTTCCGTCACTTCCAGCAGCACAACCACCAAAGTACCAGCAACCCAGCATCAGCAACCAATACCAACACCAATCCCCAATCCTTACCACCCCATGGAAAGAGGGGGATTCCCTTTTTCAGATCTCAGGAAACCATAAGACTTGAAAGCAATTTTATGAATATCGTCATCATCTTTTTATATTTTTCAGAAGAAAGGAAAGAAAAAAAAAGGAGCCTTAAACCCTGGTCAAAAAAAGTCCCCTTTCTTCTCCCCCTTTCGTACCAGTCATCTAGACTTCTAGACCTCTGGACCTCTAGACCGCAAGACCGAGGCTTCCCCGGAGTACTTACCGTGCACACACCCGTTCGTGCATACTCGACCGCAACTCATGTCGAATCGATTCATAATCGAGCCTTGGAGACGGTTTTGTCCTTTACAAACCATAACGGACCGCAAAGCGCCGACGCCAACGTTCTCAACGTCGAACGAGCGCCTTTGCTTTCCGCTATCATAATTCCTAGCTCATCTTACTCCGCCTCAACCTCCAAACTCACATCAGCCATATTAAAATTGCGACCCTCTAACTGCACGGATTAAACCTCATTCGTTTACCCTCACCTGTTTCTGCGGTCCCTATACTCATTAGCACATCCGTCATTTATACTATACACCTTATACCTATACCCTATACCTCACGCCTTCATAACTCATCTGACCCTCCGGTATCTCCTTACCTTTATTCAACCTGGTTCCCGTAGAACCCTGAGTATCCGCTCTCGTCCATCTCGATCGTCTCTGACGGTTCAAGTTCCACGACGCCAGCCACTTTCACCTCATGCCACAGTAATCATCTCACCTTCCCGAGACACAATCTAACAGGATTCGCATTTTATTACCCGCGCGCATCGACTGTGACGAAAAGGGTTTCCGAGCACCTCACCCTAGCCGGCGTATCGCTCGCCGATCTCCGAAGTAGACTTCAGGGCTTGCTATACTCCGGATTGCCTTGATGTAAGAAATATCTCTTTATACTACATATCATCGCGACGCCTACGATATCTTAAATTCCCTGTCGCGTTGGCATCGTCCGGCGCCTCTGTGAAAGATGCCTGTCATCAACGGACAAAAAATGGCTTGGTGAGTCAAACATATTCTCTTTTTGGTTTCGTTTGCGCAGTACTTCCTTGGTAGTCTCGGAAGGCTGCAGGCTGTCGCGCTAATTTTTGATGCGCTCCTCCTGGTAAACCATCTGTTCAACATCAGGAGTTCGTGTAACGGATATAAAATTCGTATCTCAGAAGATGCGACCGAATCCGAGTTGGGTAGTTTTTGCTAACAGGTCATTATTTCCATCTTTAGCGAGCCATGCATACGAGGCCATCGTTCGACTAAATGTACTCATGCGGGGGATCGTCTCCTACTGCCCGTGCGAAAGCCGGGTCGGCCTCTGAGTACCTGCCCGCATCCGCCGGGAAAGGCCTGCCAATGCAGATCGAGTGTAACAGCTGCGATACCTAGAGGTGCCGCCTGCCGTTGTGGCGGAGGCTCGTCTGTTAAAACTAACGGTACGCCGACGATCGTTAAGGCCGAACCGTCGGACAACCCACCGTTATCACCCGCGAAACAAGCGTCTTTTCGGATACAGAAACCGACGACGAAACCACCTCGCAAACAGTCTGCTGACGCATCTGCCCTGCAGCGGATGAACCCTAGTAGTCTGAATTTGGTCAATGCTGCCAATGTTTCGGTGACGGCTCCTGGAAATGGAGCGTCAATACCCGATTATACCAGCTATATTCCATCACTACAAAATGGAAACCACCAATACCCAACATATCCTCACATAAATTCCCGCTTAGATAGTGCAGTGGACTCTCCGTTGATGTCGCTGAACGGTAGCCTGTCGGGACCGCCGCTAATGCAAGCTTCCGGAAATGAAGTATCTGACAGTTCCGGTACGTTAACGCCTGGTACTTCTAGCTCGCCGTATCATACACCGACATCTAGTAATGGGGATTCCTTACCGCAAGAGCCGCCTTTTGAAGCGGCGGGAAGCTGCTGTTCCCAGCGAATACGACCTCAACCTCAACCACAAACCCAGGTGCAGAATCACATACAATTCCAGGGCCAGATGCAGACCAGACCTCAAGAGCAGACACATATGATGGGATATGCCCCTCAGGTTATCACGAACAACGGCTCGATAATGGGCCAGTTTCAACAAATAGCAGCTAACCAACAGATGTACCCGATAAGTAATTTCGGTCAGTCGGCTTTATACCCGGAGACCTCGTCGTACGGGACACCTCACTTTCCGTTGCAACAGTCGCAGTGGGAACAGTTAGTGGCGAGCCTGATACCACAGGTTGAACCGAATGGAAATGCTCCCGGCTCATATACTAGCCATGTGTGTAACTGCGGTCCCGACTGCGATTGTCTTGGTTGTCTTGCCCACCCATACAATCAAGCGACGTGCGAATATATTCGCGAGGTTATGGCATTCCAAGAAACCAATGTTAACGGCAAGATAGACAGTGGCAACTCAATACCGGATCCGCCGCTGGCGGTGAGCGAAACACCGCCAGCGCCAGCTCAAACCCCGTCCGATACCGATTCGCCAGGTGGGAACGATCAAAACCTATCACCAAGTGAATTCCTCTTCGTGGATTACGGCAGTGGCATGTGCGGATGCGGCGATGACTGCGCATGTGTCAATTGTATGATTCATCGTGATACTATAGACCCTAAGGGTCATCAGGACAAAACACCCAATTGAGGTGGGGGCGAAACCGTGGTTGTTCCAATTGTCCCGTGGTTTAATATTTGAACCACATAGCGCCTTCTGAAGGAGAAGCAGATCGAGAGATCGAATGAAATCTCTGAGATTTCGGACGAAAATTCATGAGAGAGGAGATACATGACTTATGCATACCCAAGGAATGAGATGAGCGTAACATATACATAGGGCGCGACGAGGAAAATCTCCCAATTCAATATTTTGAAACATGGCTCTAAACACAATATAAAAGGGGCTATAGCGAAAATGCTTTTTTTTCGTCGACGCGAGATCATCATGCAGACGCTTCGACCGCGAATTTGATGGAGGTTCGGAGGTTGAATATCGCTTATTCTCGACGAATTGGTGGATTGTCGTCTGCGGACCTACTGTCGCTACATAGGTGGGGAATTGTTATACTGGTCGAGCCCCAATCGGCTTTCTTGCCGTCTCTCCGAGGAGAGGGGGAGCTCCCGGTGAAGGCCGACGAGTAGAAAGCGGCTCTAAAAGGCCGATGTCCTACATGAGGATTTTTTTCATGCTCGTCAGGTGTGAAATAGGGGTCCCGGGCGTGTCTCCGAAAAAGGGGATATTATCGAGTAGAACTCGGCCCTGGATGATGTTTTTACGAAGTTCACGACGTGGCAGACGCATGAGCTATTGACTCTCCTCCACTTTATAGCATAGCGACTTCGTTTCGTACAATATAATCAGCGCGCAAACACCTTTTATTATTTTCTCTCTTTTTCTGTGCTGTGTAAACATGGTTTAGCGGTAGCGGGCGTTAGTAGGCTTTCGAGGATGCTAGTTATTATTTTATATGGACGCATTGCTGTCTTCATGATGCTCAATGGAATGTTTGCTATTTGATCTAATGAGAAACATGACGTGCTTTCAGGGGTAATTCGATATCATACCTTTCCAAGATAAGGATATTATAAAGTATATTTAAAGCAGACATGATGCAATAATGTATGTGTATGTACCTGCCCTATGTTATGTATCGGATACATAGGTCCTGCTTGTGAGAACCTTAATGGACAATTCGCTTATGTGAGTGCGGTACATGTCAAAATTTCCCATCCCCACAGGCCACATGGGCGTAAATCTTCCGATAGGCGCATGGTTGCTACCCTGTTTCCCCAAGCCCAAGCTTATCTGTCTTAAGTTCCAGTTCCAGTTTGTGTTTTTTTCCTTCCTGCCCAATTCTTCCCTGGTTACTAGCTAGCTTACTACTACAGCACATATTAATAAATTAGCCTAGTACAAGTACGACCCCTCGAAACCGATGTCTTCCATATAATTGCTTGCGGCTTCGGAGGCAATGTGAATCCTTCCGGGTTACTCGATCGCTCTTTTTTGGGAGGGTTTAATTTAATTGAGAGAGATGGCGGAGCTTACTACTACAGAGTACCGAGACCGTGGATTGGGGGATGATGCTCGACGTCATTCGGGTCGCAAGCGAACGCGTGGGGAAGAAGGGGATGATGGGGTTGGTTTGGGACGGGTTATGAGGGGATATGATGATTATGACTATGAGCATGAGGAAATGAAGAGGAGGTCGTTGTTGCCCCGGGATGAGGTGCATCGGGATGTGCGACGTAAGAGTTACCGTGATTCGAGGGATGACTACGTGTCGCAATCCAATGGTTCGTACAAAGAGAAGAGGAGACAACTGCGACGTTCACGATCTCCTGATTCCCGCCCCGAGCGTTCACCTGCTACCCGGAATCACCATCATCGCCATCACCGCCGACATCACCGCTCCCCAACGCGCTCGACGCGAACCCCAGATGAACTCCCTCTCGGCGCACGTCTCCTTGTCCGCTCCGACCTCGATACGTTTCGACCACTACTCGCGCAATATCTTAAGGTACAAAAGGGCAAGGACATAGTCGGAATGGACGAGAGGGAGGTTCGCGGTCGCTGGAAAAGCTTTGTTGGAAAATGGAATCGCGGCGAGTTAGCTGAGGGATGGTATCATCCTGAGACGCTGGAAGAGGCTATAATAGCTGGATATGGTGCGCGAGATGCAAGTCAAGAAGGGATAAATAATGGTTCAGTAATATCTGGAGACGAGGATGAAGACGAAGAGAAAGAAGACCATAAGAATAAGCAAGGAAGAGTGGAAGAAGAACGCGATGACGATGACGACTACGGACCAACCCTCCCCGAATCTATGCGAAGCCGCTCGCGCGACCCATCCGAACCTACTCTTATACAAACCAAACACGGCCCTGGCATTCCTAGCCTCCAAGACTTGGACCAGCGCCGCGGCGACGCTGAGGAAGAACGTCTGGAGCACATCGAATCGTTACGCCTAGCCCGGCGTGCCGACCGTGCAGAACAACGGTCGCGTCTCGATGAATTGGCCCCGCGTGCCGATGCAGGTACCCGTGAACGTCGGCTTGAGAAGAAGCGCGAGGTAAATGACAAGATGCGCAGCTTTCGCAATCGGTCGCCAGGTGCTACAGCCGAGGTGGGGGAGGCGGAGCTCATGGGTGGGGGTGAAGATGGCGTTGCAGAGTATAAACGCGCGAAAGCGGCGGCAGAGAGGCGCAGGACGGATCGGGAGGTTAGGAGGGAGGAAGAGGCGAGGGCAAAGGCAGCGGAAAGGGAAGAGAGGGTTAGGGAGTATATAAGAAGAGAGGAGGGGACTATGGAGGGGCTGAGAAGGATTGCTAGGGAGAGGTTTGGGTAGGGCGATGCCTTAAGTTGCTGGGATTAGTATGAGGATTAGGAGTTTGAAGATTGGAAATACCCCTGGTAGTAATCGCTGGGGGGCTATCATAATCTCCCCTGAGGGGTACCTACCTAGGCATATACTCCAGCATAGTGACGACTCCTGTGTAGGCGTGAAATATGCGCTGAAGTATTCATGAAGCTCTACTGGGTTACTAGAATAATATTAATTATAATGCGACACGACACTGTCGGTTCATGTAAGGCTGAGATATGGTCAAATACAGGGTTAGGGTCGAGTGTCCGCTACCATTTTCCTCGGGTACCTAGGTATTATTGACGTATTTGTCTCGTAACGAACTGGTAACAGCTCGGAATCTTTCAGCTCACGGAGTAAAGTAGTTGAAGGTACCTTTTCTGGAGACTAGCGGGCTTAGTGTAACCTCAATGTAGTATATAGTATTTGATTACGCTCCCAGTTTTCACCAATTAAAGGCGCAGTGGCGGAGTGGTCTAACGCGCAAGACTAGAATCTCTAGAGAAATTCTGTGATCTTGTTCCTTCGGGAGCGTCTGTTCGAATCAGGCCTGCGTCGTTCTCTTTTTGCTTTTTCTTGACCCTATTCCGATACTTTCAAAGGAACTTTTTTTTTTCTTGTTCCCTTAAGACTTAGCTAAGAATTTCGTACGATATTAACCCAATCACTCGAGATAAAACCAACATACCTTTACCCATAAATATGCCTTCATTTTGGACTCCGCTCCACTACCACCTCAACGCCGCAGTTATGTCCACAGGCGAATCCGAACTTAACCCGATTTATTGCCCAATTTAGAAACATCTTGAAGTTCTACTTGATTATTAACTGCTTAGGTATAGATAGATCCACTTCTAATAAGATAAGGCTTCGAAGTAGATCCCAACATTATTACTTAAACAAGTAAAAACTAAGTATAGATGCTACATCGCGATATGCGGCGAAGTCATTGGTCGACCACAAATGCGAGTTTCAGGCGTCGTATATGATATATCGACAAGACAACGGGATTCTAACTACGAATGAAGCAATCAAAGACCTAGGCCGCAAATCCCCGCTCGATGACGGTCCACTATCGCACTGACAGATGACCCCATATGTTGTTGGTTGATATCCTAAAACGTTGATAAAGCTGCGCAAGCTTTTGTCATCGTCACGAAATACCCTCGACAAGCAGAGCTGGGAATTGCTTAAATACCTGGTCTACGACCTGTTATCATCATGGCTGTAACCAACGAATATTCTCAAATTTTCAACGTACGTTATACCTCGTTAATTACTGTCGATCCACTATGACTCTCGAGTACGAAATCATCATCATTGGTGGCGGTCCCGCGGGACTAAGCGCCGCTTCGTCAATAGGTGAGTAGAGTAACCTCACACAACCCCGCCAGTTTTTATCAAAGTACCATAGTCCCAACCTCATGTAGCAACTTTAAAATTTTTTTCTACTTGTCAAACATCATATACTAAGTCTCATCCCCGTAGTACGTCAAGGCCACAAAACCATCCTATTCGACTCAGGCGTGTATCGCAACTCCCCAAGCAAACACCTGCACGCGGTACCCGGGTGGGACTATCGCGACCCCGAAGATTTTCGCGGCGCAGCCAGGAAGGACCTAGCGCGGTACGGCACAGTCGAAGTGGAGAACCTAGAGATCCAGCGTCTCAGACAGCGAGATGACGGGTTATTTGAAGCGACCAGCAGCGACGGGGAACGAACGTGGGTTGGGCAGAAAGTCATTTTAGCGACCGGTGTGGAGGACGTGCTCCTCGATATCCCGGGGTATGCTGAGTGCTGGGTTTCGGGGATGTGAGTTTGGGAACTTTTGAGAGCGTGTTACCTACGTTAAAATGTTGGTCGCTAATTTTTTCTTTTTTTACCCCGCTAGATTTCATTGTCTGTACTGTCATGGATGGGAGGAGAAAGGCGTAGCTTCGGCGGGAATATTGGCTGAAGGTGATATTGGGAGAACGGTGCCTGCTTTACATTTCGCTCGTCAGGCATTGCGGATGTCGGCGCACGTAACCCTATACACGAACGGTAACGAGACACTCACCAAGAATCTGACGGATGCCCTTGCAATAGCCCCGGCTCCGATGAAAGTTGACTCAAGGAAGATAATAGGCTTTACCAAAGCTCCGGAACGCTCTCGCGTCATTGTGCGGTTTGAGGATGGCACCAGTACGACGGAAGGATTCCTAGCCCATAAGCCGAGAACGAGATTGAGGGGGACCTTAGCTCAGCAATTGGGGCTAGAGATGACGGTGATGAAAACTATTAAAGTCAGCCAGCCATTCAATCAGACGAGTCTTGCAGGTGTCTTTGCGGCAGGAGATTGCGCTGCACCCATGCAGACTATTACTGCTGCTCTTCACTCGGGGACATGTACAGGAGGCGGTGCACCGTTACAAATACAGGCCGAGACCTTCAAACAGCGCGCAATATTCTAAATTAAACATATTTGCTCATGAGAGCACCCTTTGCTTTGTTCGCTATAATTGATCGTGGATGTCGTAATTGCGTAAACACCCAGGCCTATTTTAACAATAAAATTCCTCAATTGGCTTCGCGATAGTTACATGCCTCTTGGCAAACATACAGTTAGTAGCCCTTCATCTACACTCTCAAGTCGACTTGTACCCCTTTCAAACTCCTCTCTTATAATAAAAAGCCTTGCTCTGAACTAACACCCTCGTAGAATGACCTGGATCAAAAATCTTAGCCCTATAGGGGCCCATTCCTCGGAATAGAGGTAACTTCTCAAGTTGGGCAACTCATAATTCGTTTCCGAAGGCTTTAAGTGTTGAGAAGGACGACTTCGCAAGCGCTCACAAGAAACAGGCAGCCTAATGATTATTAGGAGGCTAGGGCGTACATTATTCTCCTTACCATACACCTGGGTGGGAGAATGCGTTGTCGATAGTTCTGGATTTTCTGCGCCATCCAACACGATTCTCTACCGTGGCCACAGGAGCTGTTGTTCGGGGCGTCGAAAGCGTAGTCGAACGATTTGTAAAGAAGTCAGAGAAGGTATTGATGCATTTCCATCCAAAGGAAGACCTTGTGGAGGATGATATTGGAGTCCATTTAAGGGACGGTTTAAGTGAATCGAAGTACGTTGGAAAATGTTTGACCTTTAGTTTTGATGTATGTCCAAGGGGGATCAAGTAAATTTCCTAATCAACCCTCGTAATTGCTCCCGAGAATTTATTTTCGCTCTTATCACCAATACTTGTGGCAGGTGCTGGTAGTGGTGAAATTGTTTCTTCAATCTGCGCTCTTGTTGAACGATAGGCGACCGAGTGGAAGAAAATCGGAAGAGATGAATTAAGAGATGTATATTGATGATGAATATAGGTACTTATTACCTAGGTAAGAAAACTAGGTAAATATGTGTGTGTGTGTGTGTTTTGATGGTTGTTTACAAGATTAAATGTTTAAATGTCCCCCCGACGGCAGAGCAGATATTTATATGCCAATCATTTAAAGTTCCTCTTCATAGTTCCTGTCATCTACCTAATCTAAAAGTAAAAGAACGACTCATCTTAGGTTTCGCAAGTAAAGATGATTCAACGCTGTTATGTCGCTAGCTACCTACTATGTGATTGCTACTTCCACAATCTGCCATCATTCAGGCATCTCAGGGACGAATAAGTTTCCTGCTCTTTCCCCCTCATAGAACTCTACATCGCCCATTGAGTACCCTGCTATTTTAGCTCTAAAATATATTTCCTCCTCGTACAAACCTAGAAAATGAAGTAAGTCACACGCTGTGAAGTTTTCTCCTTCGTTCACTATTTTCTCGATTAGGCTTTTGTAAGTCTCACCATCCGAAAGTCTAGCAAAGTTGACTATCGCCAAACAAACTCTTGCCCAATAGATGATATGGTCGGGATCAAGCGACGCGCCCATCTGTCGAAACTCAAAGGTCTGTATATTGCCCTGTACGACGCCGCTCACTGGTAGGAAGCGTGTAAACCCGACGGTTCCTCTGCCAGGACTATGAGACGCCGAAGTGTTAGTAAACTCTCCCTTGGTGATTTAGTGTTGTTACTTACTAGAGACTGTAATCAGGTTCCTCACACATCAGCTTTGCGATAGCTACCATGTCCCTACACTCCTAGATGAGACGTAGCTATTCTGCAGTTAGAACTTCGAGCTCCAAATTTCTTAAGGGGATTGAGAATAAACTAACTTGTACAAGTCGATCTGATGTGGCGTTGACCGGTATAAATTCGCCCATACCTTGCTGTCTGACCGAGGTGTATACCATGAAGTCTCTATGCGCGTTGTGCGCTATAAGATCTGCAAGGTTTGAGCGCTTGGCGAGTGGTCGGCAGTGTTCGTTGTTTTGGCGCGAAGGGTGATGCAATTTCAGCAACATCTCGTCTATAAGGTAAAGCAAGCAAGTGGTCTTCTTCATCGTAACGAGGCTGAACGGTTCATCTCCCCGTCCGATATGGACGTGCACTGATGCTGTGTCGTTGAGATGGATGCGTGTTTTTCGGAGAGCTCGGCAGACATCCTATATCCTCTTTTTGTAGTAGTCGTATTCTTCGGCGTTCATCACCTCGGAGGTGATTTCCCCTCCTACCCAAACGTAACCCGCTCGAGGCCGCACCGGCATGTCTGTATCCCGCATATTTTCATGCTTGAAAAATTTGACCGAAACATCGTCAAGAAGTCGCCAGTGATTGTAGAGCAAGAGACCAGCATCGTATTCGTCGTCGTATCGGAGGTAAAAAGGAATGCCGGAGACATCTTCGAGGAAGAAACGGAGTTGCTCTTCGGCCTCGACGTCACTCCTTACTACCACGCACAACGTACGTCCATCGTGTGGATAAGGGTCTCGTATTCCGCTGAATAACGTAGGATATAGGAATTCTATTTCGAGACCAAAGGTAAGAGGGCCGGATTTGTCGTTTGGTGATTCGATGATTCCATTGTGTTTCGCTATCGATGACGACTCGAATGTCCATTCGGGATCATCTAAGGGTTCCATGATTTAGGGGCGGCTGTGGAATACGCAGAGCAATAATTCCAACACAATTGGCGTCGTGATGAAAAAAGGGGTATTAGAGGTAGATATATTTTGATTTTATGTGGTCTGATAACGAATGTCGTGGTATTTCATACGTGTGAATAGGTATGAGGATCTAACCGTTGGCGTATACAGTTGTTGAGATATAGGCCCTGCAATTAAATGTTTATATGATTCTAAGCATCCGTACCGAGAAATAAGATGTATTTCTTTGAAATACACACGTACATAGCTAATGGCAAGAGCTATACGCCCAGGTATCAAGGTAAGGAGGGGGGATTGATGTCATGAAAAGTGCCTTAGTACCTAGGCAGTCTTGAACAAGGAGTAAGCTGCTACCTTAGATCTTCAAGTATAGGTAGGTACACGTTGTGCCTTTGATGAGCTGTCGAAGAATGAGCAATGGAAGATTGAAACCCAATATTAAGCGCGATACGAGGGAAATTAAATATTTACGCTTTAGTCGCTTGATTCTACCTTGTTTTATTTGACTAGGTGAATGATAAAATAATATGATTTTTGGACAAGCCTACCTAGAGTGCAGGAATTATCATTTACTCGAATCACCGGGTTACCGTTAACATAGTACGAGGATTGCTTACTTATGAGATTGAGACGATAGACAGATAGATGGGAGGATAATAATAGATAAGTAATTTAATGCTCTATTTAGGATTATGATGGTATCGATTGTGTTTTGTTCGGCGTCCTGGGTTCGACAAGGCATGGAAGCCCGCCCTTCATCGGTAATGTGAGACTGCTTTTGCTGATTCGTTCGCCCCCAAAGGCTGGAATGAAATTGAACTTCAGCACCATAGTGGCAATGACTTGAACAGCTAATAGTTCTGCCATCCGTTTTCCAAGACACAAGCGCGGGCCACCATTGAATACCGGAAATTCAGCAGCACTCTTCGTAATTAGCTTGCCGTCCGCTGTTAGCCATCTCTCAGGCTGGAAGGATTCGGCTTCTTCTCCCCAGCTAGTTTCCGACCTATTCATAGCCCACGTGCACCAAAAGACTATGGACCTCTCCGGAAGAAAAGTGCCATCGGGTAAGGTGGTTGCTTTTTCACATTGCTTAATCTCGAAAGGGATTGGTGGGTACAATCGTAATGTTTCGTAAAAAACTGCTGTGGTGTATGGTAGCGATGCTGGTGTGAAAGCGGCCGAATTGACGTCCCCATCCTTGTTGCTAAGAAACTTCTGTAGCTCATCTCGCATTCTATCAACAACCGCCCCCTCGGACATCAGTGTATATATACACCATGTAAGGGCTTGAGCAACGGTGTCTCTGCCGGCGGATAGGTAATTTAGAGCAGCGTCAGATATCATCTTTCGATCATCTCCGAAAACTTCTAATAGCGAATGTATTAGACTGCCAGATATCTTATCCAATCTGTCGGAGGTCGATTGGGATCGTTTCTCTCCACTTTTGTTAATGGCGTTGTCCACAATTTTGTGACCAAAAGTACGAATCGTATTGAGCGCCTTTTTAAACTGGGCACCAGTGTACGGTTCAGTAACAGACCATAATGGATTCTGGAAACGCTCTGTTGTCGCTCCCGATGCATATTCAAAAGCAGTTGTAAATTCATCATCAGCATGCATTTCCATGTCATAAGCCATCTTCCCCATAAGTTGGCTAGTGATTTCGTGGAAGACAGTTTGGAGATTCACTATTTTCCTAGCACCACTCTGTGCTCGTAGATCCTCCACAGCGCGATCGAGATACCGGGGTAGCGCAACATCTGTTAAGACTCTCATGTTGGAAGCGCTGAGAAAAGCGAGCCCAGCTTTCCTCTGAGCCTTCCATAATTCACCGTCGACATTGATGATTCCATTTCCGAACAAATCCCAGGATAGCTTCTTGAAGAAGTCGCCCTTGGAAAATATGGCTTCATTCTTAAAGATGTACTCCAAATTCTTCGGGTCATTGATCACGACGCCCGGCGGTAGAGTGGGGACACTAATTTGAAATGTCTCGTAGCCGAATTGCTTCTCACATTTTTCGAACCACGAGAAAAGTTTCCAGCGCGGCCGAAGAAAGAGGATTCCATTTCCCACGAAAGGTAGAGTATTCGGCGGTTTTCTAGTTAAATGTCAACTTTTGATTCTTAGTTATGATCGAGATATGGTATACATACTTCAAAGGGACGCCGTTTCGTCGAAGTGTGGGGGTTCGCAAACTGAAGCGATAGACAACAATTACCCCAAGTAATCCCAACCCCAGGGCTATTAACCCTTCTAAGAGCTTCATGTTACAATGGCTCAATAGCTATAGTTTGGCGAAACTAAGTCATTTATTGGTAAATGAGACTTTAGCATGTAACTTCAACAATAAGCCTGGAGGAAGTATACCATCAATTATGAAAAAAGTATGTAATTGAGGGGAAATAAGCAGTGCCCCATTGGCCTGTAGTGAGGAGTTAGAGGAGCAGAGGACTTACAGCGTTTGGGGGTGGTTGGGGTTAGTTTGTCGCATGCATTCAGGGGTACAATTTCTCCCTTTGTACCACCGTCTCAGCCTTACATCAATGACGCACGATAGCGCCGGTACCCTTCTAACACCCCTGTTCCTCCTACTCTAGCTATTTCTTTCTACTGCCTAATACTACCTAAACACCCTGGAAATGCCCTGGAACCATGTCCGAGCTCAAACTCGAAACTCGACAGAAGCTCCTGTCACGAAGCTGTCATGATGACGCCAACGAAGGAAGCTAGACAGCTCAATTCCCTCATTTTCTCTCTTTTTAAATTCATCCAAGGTCAATTGTGCTGGTTCACAAATATCAAGCTTCATCAATTGATTTGTTGCTGCTTACTACTTTCACTGTTGAGCCAATTGCTTGAAATCTACGGATCCAACAAACGATCACAGCATATTGAGTATCAACAAACCAACAAATCAAAATGGCAAAGCCTTGGATTCCCCGGATGCATCTATGGGAGATCGACGACCAGCCGTGGTAAGTCCATACAGCCAAGCCCATAATCACAAGCACTATAACGCCAAACCTCCCCAATTGGTTATATGCCGCGAACAACCCCGAGATGCGAGACCAGCAGATCACCGGCTCGTATCCGACGGTATTACTACTATAGATCTAGATCATGTCTAGGTCCCCTTTCCTGCCCGCATTATCCAGCCTCAACAACCTCACTCACCAAACTACTCTCAGGTTCCCTTCGTTCCTCCGCGCCTACGTCCAGACCGGTCTAACACACGCCTGGACCGTCCACATCCCAATCCTCCAGCCCAGCAGCCCCGCCACCATCGTCGCCGACATCCTACGACGCATGCTCGGTGCCTCGGCCTCGCAACGTACATACATCGACTTCTGCGCCGGAGCCGGCGGCCCAACCCCCTCCATCGAGCGAGCCCTGAACCAACGCCTAGCCTCCTCCCCCAGCACAACAAACGGAAACAATGTACACCAAGTCCCAGCCACCGCCTCATCAGGCGTCGTAAACAGCGAAAGCCAAGCCGCATCCGATACCACACCAAGCTACGCCGCCGTTGCAGATCCCAAAGCGAAATCCACAACCGTTCTTGATACCACCGAAGATGGGGACGGACAAGTACAATTCGTCCTAACAGACCTGCACCCACACGTCGAGTCCTGGGCCGCAGCCAGCAAGCAAAGCGAGCACCTAACATACGTCAACCACCCGGTCGACGCCGCCAACGCACCCGCAGACTTGTTACAGCAATATGCTAGGAAAGAGGGTAGCAAAAAGGGTATATTCCGACTGTTCAATTTAGCCTTCCACCATTTCGATGATAACCTCGCGCGTGCTATCTTGAAGAATACTGTTGAGACTAGTGAAGGATTTGGGTAAGTCCCCCTCAAACCAAGCAGTGGGACGGATCCAAGATCAAAATTGCTAACTGAAGTCCCGCCACAGCATCTTCGAGCTCCAAGACCGAACCCCCACAGGCCTACTAACCTGCTTCATATTCGGTTTCTTCATCTTCCTAATCGCGCCGCTTCTCTACTGGTGGTCGCCCGTCCGTCTCTTCTTCGTGTACATAATCCCCGTCGTACCCTTTGTCCTTGTCTTCGACGGTCTTATTTCGTGTCTACGTACCCGTACTGCGGATGAAGTCGAAGCTCTTCTCCGCACTTGCGGTGCCCCCGATGCCGAGAATTGGGAAGTACACAGCGGAAAAGAGCAGTTCCTCTGGCCCTGTGGTTACTTGAACTGGATCGTTTGCACTAAGAGGAGTGTGTAGGATCGGGATACGGCATAGAAGCAATATAAGCTAGCTATGTGGAGATGTAGATTCGAACAATTGGAGGCATAGAAAAAATATTGTATAGTGAACGCTGTTTTGCATTCTGCATTGAAGACTATATAGATGTTATAGTATGTAGTATGTACGAATGGTATTCCCAATGAATCAATCCCCCAATAAATGACATTTGTCGATGCTATCCCACGATAATAACCGTTTAAACGCCCCGGCCAGTTTCTTCAGACAGCTTTTGCGCGAAGATACATATAAAAGGAAAATAACAAAAAAAAGACCGTTATTAGTTATAAAAATCGGGGTTACTAAATCATCTAGTCAACCAGCCGAGATAGTCCACGACAATTAAAGTAACCATGCTGTAGGTAACATCATATTAGCATGCGTCTTTACTAGGTGGGTCCGATATTCGGAATTGGGGGGTTTCAACTTACGCGTGCGGGGCAATACGCACGTAATACGTGCCGAATCCACGGTAAAAGCGCGTTAGGCCTTCCTGCTTTGCAACCTTGACGAAGCAGTCCGTCATACTCTTGTACGGTAGTTTGCCGTCGGGACCGCGTTGCTGCTTCTGTAGTCTCGTTTTCACGAAATCGAAGGGTAAGCTAAGGAATGAGGCGAAGAAACCGGCAATAGCACTGGCTGTTAAAGTTTGCGATTGAGCGGACCAGGTGGTGCGTGTCTTGAGTTGGGCTTTGGCTTCCGAGAAGAAGGCTAGTTGACCTAAGTTGAGTGACATGGCTCGTACCACTGTTGGTGTAGCACCCGCCCATAGTGCGGTGACTCCTTCGGACTTGACGATCGTCGATAACGCATCGATGACGGACTTGTAGTTCTTCCGCTCGGCGATAGGTTTGAGGCCATCCGACTGCATACGAATGAGGGCAAGATCGGCTGGGTTTCCGACGAAGGCTGCTATCCCACCCGCCGCAAGACCTGCGCTCGCTCGCTCAACAAAGCTGATTTGAGTGCCCTTCTCCTTGGCGCGAACTGCTAAGCTCTTCATAAACGTGTCGAAAAAGCCCAATCTCGCTGTGGTGTATACAGCTTGGCGAAGTAAACCAGCCGAGAGACCGGTGTATAAGTCGAGGACTTTGCCCTGGGCGAGAATATCTCGCGTGACCGATAACGGAGTAGGTTTCGGTCCAGTAGCAACACCCTCACCTGCAAGTTGTAATCGTACTTTGATCATATCCACGGGTTGGATAACAGTAGTCGCCACCATCCCAGATACACCGCCGTTGAGGAAGGGAAGGGCCGCCCGCATAACAGGGGTGTGTAGGAAATCATTTCCCACGGCGGCAACGGTCTCTGAGCCTTGCTTGCTCATGGCGGACGACTTAGTTCGTGCTGCTTCCGCGGCTTGCTTCAGAGTGTTGGAGCTCATAATTCCCAATCAAGAGGCAAGACAATAAGGAGTCGAAGAAATCGTACACTGACGCAAGGCCCAGGCCCGTCTAAACTCTAGAAACAGGACTAGAAAAATAGAAGAAATGGAAAGCTAAAATAAACGATATATGGTTAGCACCATGTCCGAAGTGCGACTTTGGCTCGCTTTTAATATGGTGAGATGGGCTGGTAAGCTTATACTATGAACCGGACTAGGGAGGGAACTCCAGCGAAGGTCCGGCGGAGCGCCATTGGTTGACGGGATCCAACATCCGCCAGACAACGAGACGAGAAAAACCAGACCATGACCGAGGTGGAAAGATAACCGATGTGTACTTCGGCTTCATTTCGCAGGTCCAAACGGTAATGTGGTTGACGGCTTGATTATCTATTATGACATATGCAGATTGTTGCAGATGTGGACCTCATCGGAAAAGATAGGAAATAGGCGGTTAAGGTAAATGAAGGTCCAGTAAAGATGCCATAACAGGTACCACGCAGAACAAACAGTCGTTAGGGTAGCATCTCGGATACCCGTTCCAGGTGTGCGAAGAAAGATCCACCAATAGGGTAGTAAATTGACCACGGTGGATAGTGATAGTTAATGTTGAGGATGTTGGATGGATACCGGCGGGGACAATAATAGCAATAATAGACAACGAAATTGGGGGGAGACCAACTTGTGCAACAATGTCTCAGTACAATTAATAGATCAACCGGACACTAATTCCTATTTTCACCAATTAGAATCTAGGATTGCAAGCCTTCAGTTTTGGGTCGAGGTAAGCTCACCGAGACCCGCAGGATGACGGAGGGATCTGGTATCTGGTTGAGCTCAACAAGCTAGAAGCTGTATGTAGGGAGCTCCGACAACGTAGCGAGTAAAAAAGCAAGATGATGTCAGCCCGAAGGAATATTCCGCTGCGAAATAAAATAATTCGAAGCAAAATTATTGAATTGGATTCTGACAAGATCAAAAAAATCGACAGATAATAATAAGCAACTAATATTTGTATGTAGAATTGACTGGACACGCGATCAACACGGACGGGACGGCTAAGAAGAGAGCAGGGGTTCGAGAGGGAGGTAATGAGTTGGAGAAGACAAAGCACGACCAATATGATGGAGGAGCACCAGATCAGCCTAGCAAAAAGGACGGGATCTCAACTTCTTTTAGATTCAAAGGGAAAAAAGTTGATTGAACCGACACGGTCGGCAATGTCAGGAAGCTAAGTAGAAGTTCGGGTCAATGTATTGGAATGCCTCTTGTAGTGACCTCGGTTGTTGTTGAAAAGGGTAGGAAGAGTAGGAAGAAATAGGGGATAGGTGCCGTAGTCATGCAGAAGCAAACTCTAGATTTATCACGAGTAGCTAAAGCTAAAGGCAGAAGAATGAAAGGAAAGAAGTAACGGAACTAGGTAAGAACCTTCACTTTATGTAAAGTGAAAGTAAAATGATAACAAGGAAAGCAGGGCGCGACCAGGCACAAACCATGTGGTCCTATCCATTGGCAGCTTCTCTTTTCTCCTCTTTCTGGTTTTCCCTACCTCCTTCACCCTCGAATACCCGAATCCTCATTGGTTTATTGTCGCATCTCATCCTATACCTACCACGTATAAGTTGGAGGTTAGTTGGACAGGACTACCGAGAAGATCAAAATGCGGGGCTTGCACATAGCATCCATCATATCGACATCAGATTGGAAGTAGGTCAATGCTGTGTAATTGCTGGTAGTGATACATGTCTTCCAGACGTGGCTTTCGTGTACCGCATCTATCAATTATGTCACCTTGATATGTCGGCTAACTAACCTTGGCAATATCCTCAAATTATAATATTTTTCGAGTGATAAGAAGCTATTGCTATCATCTCGAAAAGTATAGCTTAGGCAAGAGTCTTGACAACATTTGAAGGTAGCCTGGGTATAGTCACATCAAAGGCGGACTACCAACGGTACATGGTACATGAGAGCGCATGGCAAGTCTAGCTGGATGGATCTCGGCATTGCGTGGTTGAGATCTGCGCTGCTGCTCCCCGTTCAACCGGGATTTCTTAAACTGCGCTTGGTATCAGGTATGCGGATGTCCGTACATAGGTGTTGACAAAGACAAAAGACCTCGGAAACTGGAGTTCTATTTCATCATCTTGAAAGCCACAGAGCCCGAAAATCGTCCGAATGCCCGCAAGATGAATAAGGGCTGAAGATCATTGTTTCTATAGCTTTTGGTGTTCGAATGTAGTTTGTCCTGTGCCTCGAAAGATGCCGTAATATCCTCGTCCCTTGTCCCGACAGTTGTCTTGGTTGCGGGGTAAAGTCCCTACACGCCGGAGCTGAGCTGCCTTAGCTTGCATACAATAGGTATTTATCGATAAGCACGTGCTAATATTTTAGCTGGATGAGCTCAACAAGATCTATTATACGATTTCAATCATAGAAGGAATCGTATAAGTGCAAAAACGAGGAAAATTCTCAATAAATGGCTTCGAGACTGATATTATTCATGGTAAAAGAGGACATTCCGGGATCTCTAGAAAGACAGCCATAAGGTATAGGATACAAGCATGTACAAGAAGTACCTGCTATCGGTAGGTGACGTCAAGCTATGTAGCTTTCGTCGCCTTAAGAATAAGTGGTATTTGATTGGCCAAAATCTGCATGTAAAGTGGAACGCACTAGACCAGGTTCATTCTCAAATGGGATGCCTGCATCTTTATTTCTCCAATCTAAAACTAGATCAATATTTTGTCACTCTTTTTCCACTGGACTCCCACTGGAAGCCAAGCTTAAATATTTGTCGCTTGCAATAACCGACATAGATATTTCAATACCACCAAATGTCCTTGTGACCACGAAACATCTGAGAGCGGATTTCCCGGCCCTTATTATTCGGTTTCATTTTCATTATAAATGGGTTTGGGCTTGGGTGAAGTACTTAACCTGGCCGCTACCCATTTGCTAATGCGCATTTAGACGCGATCGGGCTTCAACGAAGCGCGTGTTGTCCTCGGCAAAAGGTGAACGGAACATCTAAAGACTAGACTGTTAATTGGCTGAATACGCGCGATACACCTCATGATTTGATCCTAGTTATCATCACAATGCATTTTCATGCGCCGAACTCATCCGGAGACGGGCCGGAAACCCTGGGATCCATCGATCTCCAGCTTGGGAAAGTTTGGAAAAAACTTTGCGCGTACCTCGATAACAAGATGCCTTCATGATCGGTTTTACCCCCTTGGCGCCTGGCCCTAGCTTATGTGTAGGCTTCGTCGTATGACAAAAAGGGGAGGTAGAAAAATGTTTACGACAACAAGAAGCGATGAAAAACAACAACTACCTGCAGTTTTTGCCTTTAGATACACGCGCAAAATTGCGCAGGGTTGCTAGGTCTACGCGAGGATCCACCTAGCCGGATCGTCCCGATCTTAAAACCAAAGACCCAGAGCTGCGGGATAAACTAGCTCACGACGAGTCTTATGTGACCGACGAAGTAATAATCCGGTTTGTCAGATACCGTAAGCGACTTGGGAAGTTTCACCGATATGTCTCTGTCGCCTTACTTCTCTCCCCAACACTTTCGGCGTATCTGTCGAATCACTGCCGAGTCGTCACCGAGTCGCGGAAGTCCTCGTTACAGTTGATGTGGTTCCGGTTGAACTACAAGTGTAGATTGACGTAGTAAAGCAAAGACCTGTCATAGGGAAAGGCCGCAATTGATTTATTTCGGCTGCCGTTTTCGCTATTACTGGAATCTATTTTTTAAGGAACTCCAACATTACCGCTCACTTCTAACAGCGTTCGATGATTGGCCTAGAACTGCATAGTCAGGCAGGGGCAGGCCAACTTTTCAACATCCACCTTATCTATGAGCGGTAGATACACGTGGGGACTCGATGGGATCGTGATTTTGTGAGGCCCGGATATCGGGGGCCAGTACATGGTCGATGTGCCTTAACATTCGAGGCTGCATCCCATCTCCCGGCTTCGTGGCTAAATCACCCCTAACCCACCTGAAAACCGTTCGACCGTATCTACTTGGCATAAATTTTACGATCTTTCTATGCGGCACTATGTTTCCACATTTTCCTCTTCCGTGGCATCGTCTTATTAATCGCTTAATCATGAATCACTGTGCTTACCTTATAGGAACCACCTGGATATGTGGGCAGGGGAAATATCTCACCCTACTACTAGGGACATTTCGAAACACCACCAACACACTAGCTCCGAAGAGCCGTTATAATTACTAAGGATGTAATATCATGCTCTCAGGGCCGAAATTCAGTACCCACAAGGACAAGGTGGCTGACCTCGGGTATTGATACATGGCACGGCGTCCTCGGTTCGGGTGACCGGACCAGTTCCACCATGACAGTTGTCCGAGATCTCTCACCGTTTTCTACGATCTGTGAGCGCGACTTTCGAAAACGAGGCTGAATAGATTTGAAAGCAAAATTTTCTTAAGCTCCCGCGCAAAATATATGCCAGTCTTAAATTTATAATAGAAAGCAGATGCGCAGATCGGTAACTGATAGAAGCTTGGCCAAAGTTTTATCCGCGCGACAACCATTCTGCTCTCATATGACCTAGAATGTTGAAGGGAAAGTCGTTAATCTTCCCCCGTCTGTCACGATGACGGTACCGTTGCAATAAGCTCCCGCTCTTGACGCGAGGTAGAGTATCGTGCCTCCCATATCCTTTTCATCTCCGGCACGCTCGAGCGGTATCATGTTCTTTCCAATCCCTCCTTTCTCAATTATCGGAGCTGACATCTCGCTTGGATACACTAAACATAAGTCAGCATAAGTGGGCATCGGTACCTGAGTGGTTTCTCCGGCGAAGATTCGCCAGGACAACTTACAACCGGGACATATAACATTAGCTCGGATATCCCATTGCGGCAACACCACGCTTAAATGTTTAATGAGATGTATACATGCGGCTTTGCTCTGCCCATACGCGAAACCGCCGGTATTTATCTTGTTTAAGCCGCCGATACTGCTGATTGCGACTACCTGGCTCTTTTGCTCTACGTTCCTCTTCTTATTGCCAGCATCGAGGAGCTTAAGGAATGACATAGCAGTATACCAAACCGCGGTTGTATTAACGCCGAAGGTGTTGGTGTAGTCCTCGGGAGGGACAGATAGGTTAGCCTCGATGAACTCGTCAAGCGTGGTCTCGGGCTTAGGTCGGTTTCCATACGGCCCGCCGATGCCCGAGTTGCAGACTACCAGGTTCACAAAACCGACCTCCTGTTGAATTTGATCAACTGCAGACTGTAGCGACTCCTTAGACGTTACATCGCAGGTCACCGGGATCACGTTGCCTGAGCCTATCTGCGCTGCGGCTTGCTGCAAAGCATTCAGACGTCGGCCCAATATATACACTTTAGAAGCGCCGTTAGTAGCGAGTGCTTTAGTGATCATGAACCCAATGCCTGAAATGGGGTTGTTAGCAACGAGGTGGCATATTTACTATGGGGAATCGGGCCTAACCGACCTGTCCCACCGCCCGTTACGACCGCAACCATGTCCTTGACACTGAATAAATTTTCGGCGCCGAGTGCAGCCGAGCTTGGGTTTGAAGTCGCCATATTCACTGATATCCCAGAACCGAGTAAATCGCTCTATTTCTGACGGTGTGAGAGCCCGGGGAATGGGAGATGAATATTTAACTAAATAAGCCTTTGGGCTAAGCTGACTATTTTCATAGCACATAGGACTCCGCTTATACCCTTATATACGAAGGTGCAAAAGATGACTGTCTGAAGACTAATCTCTTAGCGCTGATCCATCACCACACGAGTCGTCATTTTCAATGACAACTGGGTAGGTCCCGCGTGTTGTAGGGATCCAGTGCGCAGGTGGGTTACCCACCCACAGTGGCACCCGATGTCGCGATAGCTACGCCGGAATGGGATGCTGTGGGCTGCGGGATAACTTTCCACTTCCTTGGTACCCACACATCCGGCAGAAAGAAGTAAGGAAAAGAGACCTTTTTCTTAATAAGGTAATCACAGAACTCTTATTGGACACGATCTATGCTAGAAATAAGTTCAATCGATTATTAAATAAAAAAAAAAAAAAAAGCTGCAGTTCCGCGATCTGAATTTCGTTTTGAGATTATCTTAATCGTGCGCTGCTATGGAGGGTGCAAAACATGATCTGTTAGGAGATATTGCCCTTGCTAGAAGCACAAGATAAATCCTCAAACAAATGAAAAATAATTTTATATCAATATACTACTACGAAACTATAGAATTATGAAAACATCCCAGAATTTATTTACTGTAATGGAAGTTGAAGTATCGTCGGAGCTGTAAACGGTATATCTACGTAAGCCTAGTATGGTGGTATCTAGTTATCCGATAAGCACTATATGTAAATAACAAGCTTATCTCTCCAAATCTTTTTCCAGCGTCGCAAAATTTCTAAATTTCTAGAAAAATCAAGCACAACATTTTCCCACCACACAACATGCCGAAACGAAAACGGAGTCATGAGCCTAGCCTCGAGGAGAAATTGACACAATGGCACAAGGAATTAGCGCGGGGAATGAAGACAACGAAGGGCTTCGAGCGTCAACGTCTGAGCAAGCGCATTCGCGAAGCGCAGACCGATTCCGATAAGACGGCGAGGCTTGAGAGGGAGGTTGCTGTATTAAAGGTATGTTCTTAATATTTGCAATTTGTTTGAATGTGGGAATATGGGCTAACGTGCAATTGAAAATAATTAGAGTCTCGATCTCCAGCAAGCCGCACATGCGCATCTTTGCTCGTCGCTCCTAAAAATTAAAGGCATCGCCGAGTCCCCCCGCCTACCCTCCGATATCGTACGGCCGATTCCGAAACCCGAGGGCTTGTCTGAGGAAGAGAAGGCTGCGTTGCATAATGTTACGAGTGCGTTATGCAATCGAAAACAGATCCGCGATGTTGTTGAGGAGGCTATTATGGGTACTTGCATTGCGCTGAGGGTGCCTATGCCGGAGAAGATGAAGAAGGGAGGCAAGGGGAAGAAAGAGAAGAAGGATAGTAGGGCGGAGAAGGAAGAACAGGCTGATGATAGGGACTCCGGCGCGACGATACGTAAAGCTGGTAAAAAGGACGTGGAAGAGGAAGAGGAAGAGGAAGAGGAAGACGATGGGGAGCAATCTGATTTAGACCAAGAGCCGGAACTGGTGCTGCTTAAAAGGAAACGAGAGACAATAGCGGATGAAGACCAAGATCTCGAGAGCGACGAAAATGAGGAAGATGGCCCTTCGGATGGACAGGAATTTGAGGGCTTCTCGGATAGTGATGCCGAGGAACGAGCATGGTCGCGATACGACATCTTCGTGGCGGGCTCCTCGAGCGATGAGGACGAATCGGACGAAGATGGGGCGAGCGAAGATGAACTTGCTGTTGATAGTAAGGCGCGGTCACTTCGAAGAGCACCAACCGCCGATGATATATCTATCTCATCCGCCGAATCATCCGAGCCAGAAGAAGAGGATTTAGATATTTCGGAGAGCGACGGTTCGGACTCCGAATCTGCATCAATCCCACCTTCTAAGAAAGCAAAAACCACGAAAACTGCGAAAAACGGTCCTGTATCAGCTGGTAACTCAGCCTTTCTACCTACATTAATGGGTGGTTATATTTCCGGCTCCGAATCCGAGGCGTCTGATCTTGATCTCGAACCCGCGCGGAAGAACCGACGAGGCCAGCGAGCACGACAAGCTATCTGGGAGAAGAAATACAAAGAAAAAGCCAAACATCTTCAAAATCAGCAAAATGCAAAGGGGAGGGATCAGGGTTGGGATATGCGACGGGGCGCTGTTGGTGACGACGATGGATCTAATAAGCCTTGGAAGAAGGGCATTCATAATCCCTTTGACAATAAGCATATACACCCCGAGCGTCAGCAACATTTGCAGGGAAGAGACCGGGAGAGAAATTACAACTCGCAGGTGAGGGAAGAGAAGCCAAAGCCCAAAGCCCCTCCTAAAAGAGATGATACAGGCCCTCTACATCCTAGTTGGGCCGCAGCTAAGAAAGCTAAGGAGGAAGGTCAAAAAGTAGCATTTCAAGGGCGCAAGGTTGTATTTGACTAAGTTTTAGATACCACATCAATAAGTCACGAAAATCATTAGTTGAGGAAGTAAAACGCATTATGGAAAATCATGAGTGGTGATCATTCTTGCACTGCTTTGGTGTGTGCTATCGGTATCTAGCTGTGTAACTGAGGCTTTCCCTAATCCGGGCTCATTGAAATCAGCGCATAAATCTTCATATTCATTCCAACAGACAAATCCCTATCCTAGCAATATGTGAGCAAGCCCTTATGTATTGATTTTTGGTGACCTAGGAGGTATTGGTGATATTGAAACGACAATGAAATTGCATCGATTAAGTAAACCGAAGAGTATGGTTGAAGTTTCGGCATAGTAAGTCAAATTTGTATCGGGGAGGATGCTTATCCCAAGCAAAGTTATTGAGGTGCACCTAGACTACTAGGTGGATAGGAAATTAACGTGGGTATGTGTGAGCGCAATGAGGATTGTAACCTAGGCTTTCGGGTATGTTGCCTGATAGTAGATTTTGAATGTATTTTTCAGCTTGAAATACGATGGTGTCTCTGTTGGTAGGAGATATGAGCTGACTACCCGTGGGTGACTTGGAATCTAGACAAGTTGTATGTAACTAAGTTGAGATAGATATCTGTTAGATGGTTCGAGAATAATGGCATGAACTTTCGAGTTCAATTAGAAAGTTCGGTAGAGAATTTATGTAAGAGAAAGTACATCGCCTAGGATGCCAATGTATGAGAATATTGAAGGAAGTAGAATCTGGGATCGCAACTTTTCCAAGTCGCTACACATCTTGTATAGACGCGAGAGGATGTAGTAAATAAGATTAAATGCGATTTATCCTCAATAGCCCTTGGCTATGATCAGGAAGGGGAAATCTTGAAGCCGCCTAGTCTAGGGCGCTTGGTCTTGCTTCCGACATCCGAGCGGCCCTTACTGGGTCGCTTTGCAGGGGGGCGGGATGCATGACTGGTGGTCATGCTTCCGCCGGGGTCATCTGAATCGCTATCGTCACTATCTGGAGGGGTATCCTCCCTGTCATCTTCGGACGACTCTGACTCATCAAAGGGTATATCAAGATTATCGCCATTTCGTGTTGGCGCGTCAGCCATAGTTACATCTTGTGTATTTTGGTCACTTCCGCCCATGGCTGCTTCGGTTGGTGGCTCGGAACGGACAAAGAGCGGCGACGAGTTGCCATCAACATCCGTGTTAGGTTCGGTTTTGACAGATTTTGCTTTAGACGCCGAGCGAACAAAAAGTGACGATTCGTCATCACTGTCACCGGTAAGATCGATCACTATTGGACCCGAAGACTCTGCACTACGCAGACCAGCACTGGGGGGTTCGGGTGGGCTAGGTTCTGAGCTGATAGCTCTGTTGTGGGCAGTTTGTGCTTGGGCGACATCTAAATGATCGGAGGCAACAAGGCTGGGTCCTGAGCCCTCACTGACGAATAAACGTTCGCTATGATCGTCCTTATGCTCTTGGGTATCTATGTTTAAATCGCCAAACTGCCCCGCGAGACCTGTTGGCGAGGCAGGGTTGTTGGTTTGGCCACCGCCGTTACCGCCACCCTCGTCGTCGTCGCCGTCATCGTCATCGTCATCATCGTCATCGCTACCTGGAGGAGTGTCAAGCTCGTGGGCATCGCCTTCATCAAAGTCCTGATCTGGAATGTCTACATCACCGCTATTGGGCGTAGGATCGTTGAGCGTAGGGTTTTGGGGATCGCCGCCACCGCTGCTCGAGTCATCGTCATCATCAGAATCTCCATCTGAGATATTGCCGAACATTCCATGGTCCGATTCACTTGTCTCAGAGCCAGCTATAGGATCCGCATTGGGGTCTTCGTCGTAGAAGGCCTTCGCCATTTGGACATCCTTATTCGAAGGAATCCACTGTGCCAAACCCGACAATGGTGTCAAGTTTTCGATTTCGCTCTTTAATGCATCAGGAACCTGCTTCGGTAAGGCGACGAGAGTGTTGATATCTTTGATGAATGACCAATCTCGAATTATTTGGCGATGTTCGAGGCCGTTCCTCTCTTTGAACCGTACCCAATTCATGCCCCGAAGCTGGTAGACATAATCGATTCCTTGGATAGTTCTCATCGAGCGGTATCCGCGGTAATTAGGCTGCATCTTAGTGCGCTCATACATGAGCTTGTATGCCTGGAAGTTTCTATCCGAGGGAAGGTCGCCGACAGACTCGCCATCGAACGATCCTCGATCAGACTCGCCGTCTTCTTCAACTCGGTTAGCTCTCTTGTTCTCATATTTGCGTCTCGCACGCCCTCCCACACGTTCCGCTACATGAACTGTTAGTGTGCGAAGACGTCTAGTTTTGGCGAGCCATGAGAGCCCAAGAGTACGACGGGAGATTTGAGTAGGGTGTTTGGGCATTAGAGCACCATGCCACATGAGTTCGACGTTTGCCAACCTCTCGACACGCGCGGGGCCGATTCCATTACAGAAGCGATGCCATTCGCCGAGAGAACTGAATGCAAAAGTATTTCCTCCATAGAAGGCATGTGTACCAATATAGAGCCAACGCCTGCAGACTAGAAGAGCGCTGAGAACATGGTTAGGTTTACGCGCCCGGATGATCTGGCACGGCGATGAGCCGAAGTGGAATCTGGTTGGTAGTTGGCTTCGGTGTTGGTCGTCTTCGTCGGGAAATGTGAGTGGCGGATTCGCAGGGTCCAACCGCGAGAGGCAGTGGATTAACTCGCGCCTCACAAACACCTTCCCAAATATTTTAACCTGGATATCGGCAGGCAGCATTTCGAATGCGAACGGGTGGTGTTCTACCAGAAGCTGAGGCGCTTGAGGCAGGTGGTCGTCCTGGGCGAGGAGATCTGCGCGCGCCGCTTCCCCGAGTACCTCGTTTTGGAGGGAAAAATCCGGGTGGAACACGTTCAATGTCTGTGACATGTTCTCTTGTTTACAGCTCTCGCGGTAGATACTGTCATACCAATCTTCGTCGTCCTCGTCAACCTCTCCGTGGTAATATACCCTAAGCATTTGGCTCCATGGCTAAGAGTAATTATTAGTATGCCTATACGTACATGGCGGCTAGGAAATAGTACATACCGTGCGAGGTGGGCGGATTCCCCGAATCCGGTTCTCCAGATTGTGTATCGTTTGGTCTCTTCGCCTGATAGTACTTCGCGCGTTTTCTCTAGCTCTCCTTAATTCATGAATCCTCCTATTCTTGGTGAAAGTATCTTCCATAGATCTTACCAGGTGTTCTAATGAGACAATGTAGTTTTGCCAAAGGATGAAATGATCTTCCTTGAGTTGGTCATGCTCTTCGATAAGTTGATTATGCCTATTTTGAAGCTGGCGGTACCTTTCGACGAGTTCCGCCATAGTTAGAGTGGTTATATCTTCGCCAACTGATGACATGTCGCTATTTGATGACGCATCACTATCTGATGGTATACTGAGAACGCTTGCATGGACAGAACTATCGTCAGCTTCTTCGTTCTGATTATCTTGTTGTGGGATGCCGCTGTCCCCAATTTGCATCGAGTCGTCACCACTGGGCTGACCAGTAGCATCATTGTCGCCCGGGGATGACATTTTGTCGGGGGCTGTCAAAAGACGGGGAAGTTGGCTTGGTAAATGGTGTAGTAGATTTTTAGGTGCGGTTAGATATGTTTGTAAGAGGAGAGCTGCAATATTACCTGAGGGTTTCCTGTGATTCGAAGCTTGGAAATAGCTTCTTTGAACTAGTTCTTGGGGGGGAATCGTGTAAGTTACTCAAGCATGAAATTCATTGCTCAGAGAAACATAGGATAAAAAGGTAATGGTGTAGATAGCAGGTTAGGGCTTTGAATGAAGGTTATGGTTCAAATGCGAAAATATCGTGTGAAATGGCCAAACTCTTGTTGTAATAGATATCTAGGCAATGAGATGGGGAGTTAGGTAAGGAGATCTGGTAAAGTAGGTATCGGAGAGGAGGGTCAGAGAAGGAGGAAGAATGAATTAACGGGTATGCTTTAGGTGAAGAAAAGGAGCAGCGTTAGCCTGTGAGATGAAGTATGCTAGGAAGGTAGTTGGATGTGACATGAAGGCGCGATCCTGAAGGCTCGATGATAATTTTCGAGGCAGGTGCTTTTAACGAAGGGAATAGGCAAGAGTAGAGCGGCGGAAGGAACTTGCTATGAGGAACTTACTGGGTTGACCGGCGATGCCAACTTAGATTGCCTGCATCAACGAGTATCTTTCTTTAGGTCAGTAGGTTCGATGTGACTGGTAGACTGGTGATCGCCTGGTGCTTGATAGTGCTATGGCTTACTGATTGAGAGAAGAAATCAAGTGAGATCAAAGCATGAGAATTAGAAGCAGCAGCTTCATTAAAATCTGCTGATAGATGATGTAGATTGAATAAAGATGCTCTAATCACAACTCAAATAGCCTTGACGTTGAGGTGTGGTGATAACGAAGATGAAGAGGGATATGGGAATGAGGATGGAGATGGAGGTGGAGGTGGTGAGGAGTCGAAAGAAGTTAACTAGGAGAGAAAAATCGGTATTTAGGATTAGGTGTAGAAAGAGAAGGGATGTATTGGGAGGAGTAGGGTGAGAAAGTGCGAATGGCCATCTGGGTATCTAGATAGGTAGGTAATCGCGGAGAGCACGACGATGACGAGGAGAGTAAGGGGGGGGGGGGGGGGGGGGGGGGGGGGAAAAAAAAAAGATTAACTTAAAAAAAAAAAAAAAAGAATATGGGGGGCCCAAACCACATGGGGTGGTGGTAACAAC